TGTCCCAGCATGTGATTTTGCCAGTTTCCCAGTTCATGTGAGGCTTGAACTCCTTTAGGAATGGCATGCCGAGAAGGACATGTTCTTTTCTGACAAGCAGTCTGACATAACATTTGACCTGAATTATACACTCCTTGATTTCCATCCTGAGAGTTACCTTGCCAGTAACCCATTCCACATCTTTTCCAGTAAATGAGGTGGTCTTGAACTTGCTCTTGACTCGATAAGTCAGGATTCCAAGTTTCTGAACCATCCATTCCGAGATGAGGGAAACTTCAGCACCTGAGTTGATACAGGCCCATATTCCTGCCTTGAAGTCCAGTAAAATGACCAACCCAAGAGGAGAATGAATTTGCATGTTCAATTCATCATCTATAGAAGTACATTTAGCAGACAAAATAGCAACAGGACTGACTGATGCAGGAGATTCATCAGTCCCCTTTAAAAACCCAACAACTTCTTTTCCGATTCATTCACCTCATGATCTCTGACATAAGTGGTCTTCGTTCCATCCTCCAAGAGGACAATGTGAACATTGGAAAGTTGTTGCTTGACCTTGATTTTACAGTCATGCTTGTAGTGACCATTGGCTCCACAATTGAAGCATTTAATTTCCAAACTGGAATGTCTAATGTTCCATTTACATTTGTCAATGTCCATCACATCAGGATCTTGAGAACCTCTGTGGTAATGAATGAATTTCCATTCATACCAAGATTCCTTCCCTTCTAGGATATGCTTCATAGCGATCACAGTTTTTGCTTCTCCCATGCACTGTATCCACTCTATGACCATGGAAGGGGTGTGTCCAGAATTGAGAATCCAATCACAATATTCTTTCTGCAATCCTTTTCTGAAGAAGATCCCTGCTTCACATGATTCTTCTTTAAGTTGAGCCTTGTTAACAAGCCCAGTGAACTCAGCTATGTAAGCTTCAAGTTTGCACTTTTCTTGTTTGATGTCCGAAAGGTGAAGTATCGCCAGTGCAGTTTGGTCACCAGACTCGAAAGTTGCCTTTAACCTTTCTACGAACCTTTGAAAGGTGTCGGTATAATAGATGGTACCATCAAGCAACTTGTTTTCATTTTGATAGTTCTTGGCAAACAAAACTGCCACTCCTTTGGTCATATATGTGAGCACGAATGAAATCTTGAGTGACTCCAAGTTGTAAACATGCTTGTTCAGGTTCAAGTAACCTTCAACCTGCATAACCCAGGTCTGAAGCCCATTGTGGCTTCCATCATATTCTCTGGGATGCCTGACATTAAACTCCTGACCTCCATTGGGTGGGCAGCAATCGTACATGTCATCAGGATCAGCTGGGGCCTTACCCTTACTGGACCCACCAATGGGGACCTCTGGGGGAATTACCTTTCCAAAATTTCTCTGATACCAATCATGTAATGCTGAGTCCATAGGTGTTCCTGTTGGAAATGGGTCGCTACTCCTGGCATGCATAGCTCTATGGAGCTCCTCTGCCATAGCGAGCTGTTGGGATTCCAACCTTTCTCTCAGCTCCTCTTCCGAGAAGGTCCTTGTAGGCATCTCAGGAGCTGACTCTCCATGACCGAGTGTCATGGACATCTTGGGTGATTTGTGAGCTTCTTGTTCTTCTTTGAGGACTGATCCGAAAGAAGTCTTGGACTTCTGATCATCATCTTCTTCTGAACTAAGTGCGACTTCTGAATCCCTAAATTGGGACAGATAAGATAACCAAGGGACCAAGTCATCCTGAAGGGATGGGCAGTAAAGGAGGATTCCTTCCAAGCCCAAGGGGATTAGGTTGAGGAGGGACTGGTGGTCTCAACTTCTGTGGGTTAGACACTTTAACAAGAAGTGATAATGAAGGCTGAGGGAGGATTTATTTCTCGAAAGAAACCTGTCAGTGTAGAGGTGGATTGTGCTCAAGTGACTTTATGTGTAGGGAGACACAAGAGCAAGCTCTAGGGAGGTGATCTATTAAAGCCTAGTGGCTGCCTGTAGAGCAGTGGATTTGATTGAGAGTGGAGGGATGCTTCTCAATTTTGTTCAAGTAGCGCAATGAAGGTGAGTTAGTCTTTACACTGAGGGAGACCAATGAGCCTTCTTTAGAATAAGATGGTTTGTTGAAGTTCAGTAACCAGGGATGAGTAGACTTTTGCGAAGAGGTTGACGAGTCCCAAAAGCTGTGCTGAGTTTTTCAATTTTGTTATGCCCTGAGTGTGGTGACTTCTTCAAATGGAATAGGCATGAAGTACATGTGAGGGGGAGTCCTACAGGCTGAACATGTTAGTAACCCCTATGGCTCAGTTATCTCTGAGGTCCAACAAAGGTTCTGTCTTCTGGCAATCTGCCTAAGGTAGTCAGCATGGAGAGAGAACAAGGACAAAAGAGAAGGAAGTTAGCTGAGTTGCAAGCTATCGAAAAACTGCAGATACAGGACAGAGTATATAGGTTTATATACCCCTAAGTACAAGTACCATAACAGTCACGATGCATATCTGCAGTAATCAATGATACAATCAGACAAATAAATAAAGAAAGGGGAGTCATACTGGTGTCATATGATGGGGGTAGAGAGGCAACAATGGCTATACCAGCTGCAGCAATCAATGTGCACAGCTAGGAGCCTGACACCAGAGCTATAGTACAACAACCTAGACAACATAAATGAGTCATTAGGAACAAGAAGGAGACATGTTGTCCATCAGAGAGGGGCAGCGGAATACCAGATCAAAGGGGAAGCATGGTCTCAACAGGTATTGGAAATACCATGTGACAGTGGGAGATCTGTAAGTCCCTTGGAGCATTCAAGCCCCTAGGATGGTGATGACAATGAGAGACATGACCAGGCACATGATGCATGTGACCATGAAAAGTTGAAAAAGGAAAGGCCCCTGAGCAAGGCATAACAGTACCACTCCATGGACCACACCATGCATGCCATGAATCACTACTGCTACAAAGCACTGAGTCTCACCTTCTAGTTTTGACAGTCCAGGAATCCCTTGGGACAAGCAATTCATTCCCTTCATTTTTATTGTTGTTATCTAAGCCATCTAGCTTGTATTATACAGCTACTTGGACTTTTCCTACATCATGCATCCACAGTTTTTTTTTTTTTGCATGTGCCCTTCTTCCCCCTCCTTCAAACCAGTCATTATCACCACTCTCTAATCTGCATCAATTCATGTTCATAGCCACTTTGCTATCACCTTCTGTCATCCCCAACTTGCAACTACAATTTCTACATTCATTTAATGTTTGGTACTCCTCTGCTCTCAATACCTATTGTGTTTCTAACCTGACAAGTGCATGACCAATTAAAATAATGAAAAAGGTAGGTATGTATAACACAAACAACATGCCATGGATAGCATGGATAGTAGAATAATACAAATAAGTCAAAAAAGTCATTAAGCAAAAAGGCAAAAAAGCCCAGATGGGTGAAGGATCTACCTAAATAAGTCATGGCACTATCTGTGCTTATTTGACAATTGGTGCTAAAATAAGTATGGATAGTACTTTGTTAATTTCCTGATGACACTGTCAGGCAGACAGTTGAGTTGTATAGCAAAATTATCATGTGAGATCAGCTAAGCTTGTGGTACAATTCTGTCTTTCCTTAGCCAAAGTCCTTGCCTGATATCCACCATGTATGACATGCAGTGCGCTACTCTACGCCCCGCAGCACTTATTACATTCGCTGAGCGGCTGAGCAAGGAGTTGGATCGTAGGTCAATAATCCAAAGTGCCCAATTTCATCCCCCTCCTTCGTCACGCAAGACAAACAACTCTGAGACACGCTGGAATCCAGGATGCGGGCATCACGATCTGGTAACTCATCGCTGTCATGCCAAGCTGGCCTCAAGGCTCGAATCATACATATCATTTCCAGAGAATCGTTTGGGAAACATTTCAACGTTTCATTCAATACAAAGTCTAGCTTTTCGATGCAGCCTCACAGTTGTTGCCCTTCCCATAGTAGCTGCCCTCAGCCTCGTGACCCCCGGTGGTGCAGTGAGTGGCCAGCAACTTACATTAGTTTGGATATCTGTGCTCGGCGGTCCTACAATTTTCACCTTGTTGATGGTTGATTCTGCCGTCTATACTCTTGAAACTAATGTGGCGACCGCATTACTCTCGACAACAGTCACTCTGCCCGTAGTTCAAGATGCAACGCACGTTCATTGCTACCTTGTCGATTGTATCTCGGATATGTTTTGATTTCAACTAGGGACCTTTACACCATCAAGGCAGTCGATCTCAGGTAATATGTTAGCCTCCCCAGCAACTGTGCATCACTAACTTTTCTATGCAAATTAGTGACTCTGCTGTCGTGTACGCCCAGACCGCCCCGTTCACCATCAGCGTATGTCGGGTCATGTAACACTCACTAACCACCGTCACGCACATATCATCGTCTCCGAAATAGGTATTGTTTCCATGCTTGATTTACCTCGCTCCGAATTGAGTTTGTTTTTTCAGACTCGAATTTTTTCCAACCTTTGTACACTGATGTTGTCTCAAGTGCTAAATTCAATGGCACTTGTATATACCAAGCATCCAGATGCCATTCTTTCTATCGAGGTTTCGCCCACATACTCAGACAGGTGAACAAACAAAGAGGTTGCATACCACATTGGTGTAAAGAAGTGGTGACCGTAGTTTTCTTTGCTGTGTCTTTCACGGTAATGCGGCGCAGGGGTGTCATGTTCACTCAGCTTAGTCTAGTATGCCATGGTGGTATTCAGCAGGTTACTGGCAGTGTAATGAGCGGAATCTTTACCTTCCAGTTCCTTTCGGGCTCACGGTCATCGAGCATGGCAATAGGAAATTGAAGCGATGCTTCATAACCGCTTCTTGACTCCTGCAGGACGTTTTCCAATGATCTCGCGACGTAAAACCTTTTGCAGCGCGTTGAGTCTACCCTAATCGTTTGATTTCCTACACAGAATGCTCTAGTTTTCGTTGGAACACCGTACACACTCGATCAATAACCCTTTTCCTGGGCAACTTTTTCAATGGTAATCTGAAGGAGCTCCGCATCTGGGCGGTACCACGTCTATGACGCGGCGCTCCCGCGCCAAGAAGTCGCGGAAATCATCTGGAAGTACATCGCGATCGAAATCGAATCCGTCCGCCGTTCCTAAGGCTTGGTTCACGGCTGCGGAGAATTTGGCTGGGTGGGCGGTCGCCAGGACGACCTGGACGACTGGCTCCACGCTACTAAGAAAAAAGTTAGGGAGGAGTTGAGCATACATGCATGAACATGCCCACTTTTCTGTCCTTGCAAATGAATCTGCCACGTGAAGGCCGACAGCTGTGTGCGGATCCGGAATGTAAGAGGGAGATCCCTTTGTAGTATTTCACAATAGCATTTGTTATCTAACAAAACGAAGTCATCATCAATATTTGTGTAGAGTAGCCCGCGATAGGAAAAAAAACCCCTACCTGCTCGTCATCTGCTTTTTTGGCAACGAAGTCCTCTCTTGCTGCTTGGAGCACTTCATCAGGTACCACCATTTCGCCCTCCTTTTTCACTGCTTCCATCCACCTGGATACTGTCTTACATGCCGTTACGCGCCTTGTAGGGTCGCCAGGTGACGATGTCTGGTATGCCAGGTACCACAATAGTCGCTCAAAATTGCTTGATACAGTAATATCCATCGCAGGGCTTAGAGTCTCCTTGACTCCTAAACCCGTTGAGGGGTCTATCTTTGCGTACCTTCCTGTTTCCCAGAACCGAGTAAGGATGTCATTTGCATTGGTTGCGATGCCGAGTTTGCGCATGGGCAACATCATGCGTTTCGCGTAGTACCCCGCGAGAACGTCACCAAAGTTGCCGGTGGGGACTACAAACTGAACGTCCGGATTTATCGTTGTCCCAGTACTAGCGAGGGAGTTCTTCAGTTGGAAGTAGGCAGAGAAGTAGTAGACAATCTGGACGAGGATGCGGGCCCAGTTGATAGAGTTGACGGCTGCGAGAGAGTGTCGTTCGTTGAACTCCTTGTCTGAGAAGAGCGTTTTCACAATATCCTGTTTGGTTGGGAGAATGTAAGCGTCTGCATGGGAAACGTCAAGTAACCTGACCTGACAATCGTCAAATGTGCCTGCAACCCTGACATTGTGGACATTTTCATCCATAACAGTCGTCATCTGTGCCTCCTGAATTTCGGACACTCGACCACGAGGGAAGAGAATGAAGATGGATATGTTAGCCTTGTTACGAAGGCCATATATTGCCGCACTTCCTGTGTCTCCGCTCGTTGCACCAAGAACTGTGAGCCGTTCTGCACGTTCTCTTGGAGCTTTGCGCATGTTCCGCCTGCGGAGGAAGAACTCGAAGAGATTTCCGACGAGCTGTAGGGCAAGGTCTTTGAAGGCGTAGGTTGGGCCATGGAAGAGTTCAAGTATGTAGAGTTTTTCTGACAGAGATACTAGCGGAGTGATGAGGGGATCCCTAAATTTCTGAGGGTATGCATAGGTGCTGTATACGAGCTGGGTGATTTCCTCGCGGGAGATCTCCGAAGGGGAAATGAAGAGGGAAAGGATGGCGACGGCGAGGTCCTGGTAGGACAGCTTGGACCAATCGTTCTCCCAGTTTTCTGGGAGCTTGGGGATTTCTGCGGGGATGTACAAGCCGCCGTCTGGCGCGAGGCCGGCGAGGACGACCTGCCGAACAGTGAGTTGGAGATAGATAGATAATTGGAAGTAGCAGTAACCTCTTCAAAAGAAAGCTCCTCGTCACCTCCTCGAGTAGAAAAGTACTTCATCGTGCTGGTAGTGCCCTCAGCTACAGATCCTCGTTGCTACCACAGGCGATGGCGGTGGTGATGGACCCGGTATGAAATCTCTGGCTGCCACTCCTCATTGATGATCTGTAATCCGTTTTTGGCAACTTACTGCCGAGAAGTGGCAGTGAAAATATCCGTCTAAGATTCCGACCGTATATGGCAGGTTTTGCACGAAATTATATTTGACGCGCTTCGAAAACCGTGACAAATAGTGTGACAAGGCGCGACGTCGCGTTCACTCCCCTCCTGTATTGCTCCTTGGCCACTGGTCATGGCAGACTTGCAGGATTCCACAGCACCCCGTCGCTCTCAGCGCGATAGAAAGCAGGTGAAACACTTCGTATCAAGTACGTCTCAATCGCATCAGTCAACTGCCGAGCTGACCTCTATATGTTACAGCCAGCCAGTCTCCCAGCAAACGGAAGAGGGCAGACATAGAGAACGAATTAATGGACCTCTCGGAGTTGGATGATGCCGACAAGGTACAAGATGAAGACGAGGAGGATTCTGTCGCAGGAGACGAGAGTGACGATGAACCGGAGTTCAGTGCACCGGTGACCAAGCAGAAACTTCCAGCTGCCACACGCAAAGGTAATGTCAAAGCAAGAGGTCCACCGCCTCCAAAGAAGCCCAAAACAATCAAATCGGTTGGAACAAGGGCCACAAAGGTCAAGAAAGGACCTCGACTAAAAGCCCACAAGCCCAAGGCCGCCAATGGCGACTTCGATATCGCAAAATTAACAACCGAAGCTAACATATCAACGGATAACCCCTTATTTAGTGCGCAATGTGGTTGCTTTGAGGGAAAACGAAGAGCTGACGCTCGAGCATCCAATCTCAGATGCCATCCTTAACCCCTCCGCGGCATTGCAATCTACCGCAGAGGATTTCCTTGATGCGCTGTCGCGAGATTCAGGGCCAGCACAAGCACAGCTGATAAACTGTATTTTACGTGCATGCGGGTGTAATGATTCGGTCGATGCTGATCAAGTCGTTGACTATGACGGTGTAGTCGACACACTTGACACATTCACCGAAGGTCTTAAACAAGTAGGAACTTCGGGTGCACATTATACCGAACTGTCTTACAAAAATTTCCAGGAAAACTCTCCTACATACCCGCTAACGTCGAAACTTCCTGCCTTCAAGCGCTTTCGTGCGTCGCTTTCAGAACTGATAGAGCGAATCGTCTTGGCGGCGGCGGAACTGGGCACTCTTTACACTTCTGACCTCATGACGACTCTCCAAACATGGGTAGTTGCCATGTCTTCGTCCCAAATCCGTTCTTTCCGGCACACTGCAACCGTCGTGGCGCTCGAATTAGAGACTGCCCTCTCTCAAGTTGCAGCCGCTGTCGAGAAAGAAGCAGAGATTCTCGGGAGGCAACGGGAAGGTGAGCGCAAACGCAAGGCAAGCAACAAAGCTAGTGGAGTTCGTGAGAAGGATTTGGAAGATAAGGTTGCGGCGGTGCGGAAACGCCGTGCCGCCCTCGCAGAGTACCTTAAGGAAATTGTCGATGGGTATGTCAGTCTTCTAGCTCATCTGGCGTCTATTGTATGTCGGTGTACTGATTTCAAGATAGTGTGTTTGTCCACAGATACCGCGACCTCGATCCGAATATTCGTGCTGAGTGTGTGAAAGCATTAGGTGCTTGGTTCACCTACTACCCAGCACATTTCCTTGATACATCATATCTTCGGTACGTCGGCTGGGTCCTTTCCGACTTAAGCACTCCCGTTCGTATGGAAGCCGCGCGTGCTCTCAATGCCGTCTATGCTCAGTCGGAGTATGTTAGCTCGCTCACTCACTTTACGGAACGCTTCAAGCCTCGTCTGCTCGAGATAGCAGGAGGCGATACCGAGCTTGGCGTGCGCACGGCCGTAATCAGTGTACTAAGTGCGATTGACGGGCACGGACTTCTCGAGGATGAGGAACGAGAACGAGTATGTCTACTCGTGTTTGACACAGAAGCGCGTGTGCGGCGTGCTATCGCGGTGTTCGTAGCGGGCGTATGGGCAGAACTTGTGGAAGAACGGATGGCCGCAACAACAAGCAAAGGCAAGAGTAAAGCCAGCGATAAAGTCAAGGCAAGAGTCGGTGTGAAGGTCCTTGCGATGTTACTGGTGAAATGGGGGAAGGCTCTGGATCGCACGTCGGAGAGCATGGAAGAGGAAAGTGTTTTGTCTGGTGAGAGTGGGGTCGTTACAAGGCAGCGCGTGCACCCGCCCTATATGACTGGAGCAGATCCGAGAAGCCGGATAGCGCTTGCCGTGGAAGCACTTTGGGGCGAAGTGGACGCTGTCGGCGACTGGGAAGAAATTTTGGAAGTCCTGCTACTTGATCATTCGGCAGGGGGAAAGGACGACGATATCGATGGCCCTGACTCACTCGTCGAAAGTGCAAGCAATACGGTGGACCCATCATGGCGGCTAGAAGAGGTGGAGGAAAGTGTGTTATTGGAAGTACTTGTGGCATCTCTGCGTCGTGCAAAGGCGGTGGCGGCGAGCGGGAAGAAGGTTTGTGCAGTTTTTTTATGCGTCACGAAAAGTCGTGAGCTCAGCTGCGTGGCATTCCAGGGAGAGGAAGAGGCCGTGACGTCCGATGTGACTCGCGCTCTGATGAAGGGACTTCCTCGACTCTTCATCAAATATCAAACCGATGAGAAGCGTATATCCGACGTTTTGTCGATTCCCCCATTAATGAATCTCGACTTGTACCTGGAAATGCGAATGATCAATGTAGGTACTACATAGTTCTTCCCTCTCACGCTAATGCAATATCGTTTGATGACAGGCATATGCTGCGCTGTGGGACGACGTCATCAAGCAGTTTCTGTCACACTCCTCCCAGACCGTCCTCACCAGGGCTGTTTCCACGATCCGCCATCTACTCAGCGCAACGTCATTGGCAAACACAAATAACACCAAGATTCTCGAATTAGAAGACGACTTAGCATCCCAGCTTCGAGATGCGGTTGCTGGCCGTGAGGAGATCGAAGTTGCATCGTTCAATGAGGACGAAGTAATAGCGCTTGCGGCCGTTTGTACACGGATGTGCGTATTGGCTGGCTCGCGTGACCTTTCCTCATGGATGGAAGAGGATGAGGGTGGTAAGCAGAGTAGCGCATGGGATATCGTCTCTGCGTTGGTAGAGCGTGGCCGCTTGGGGTACAAAGAAGAGGAACGGGTGAGCTTGAAGTCTACTTTGGCACTAACTGTGTCTGATCGACGACAGATGATCGAGCAAGGTCTTCATTTACTTGGACTGCACATTATGTGGAAGGCACGAGGCCTACTAGACGCCAAGAATGAGGCGGCAGACAACAAAAAATTACGTGAAACGCTGCGCGTGCAGCGGGATTCATTATTGGAGAGACTTATCGAATATGCCATCGGGACACAATCTAACACTGCGGAAGGTGTTAAGCGAGCTGTGAGTGTTTCAGCTATTTCATACCCATTTTCTTCAACCAAACCAACTCATACATAGGCGTTTCAAAACCTTATGAATCTGTATATTCTGTTCTGCCCTACACTGGCCGCCGCAGAGGATGGGCAACGGCTTCCAACGGAGGTACTTGCCCTTCAGCTCGATGATGAGGTGCAATATCGCTGCGCGGGGTTCATCCAGGCTACAATCGAACAATATGCAGAACTACTTGAAGACGAAAGGCCAGCCGAGGAACTAACGGAGAAGGATGATAGCTCTGACGACCAGGAGGATGTACGCCCCGTAAAGAATGTAAAGAGCAAGGACCGCAGAAAAACTCAGTCGAAAACACCAGAACGGAGTGGGTCTTTAAACCGGTACCCTCACGGAAGACGCTGACGGATCTTGCATTAGGTCAACCTGCTTCGAAGGCGCCGCTTGAGCAGGAATATCAATTTGTAGCGACTATCTCGCCGTTTCTCCGAGCTATCCGTGCGGGTGCTGTGCATGTCAGGCATGGCGCGGTACTTCTGGCACATTACGGTCGTTTAGGACCTGTCTTCGACCTTTGTACGAAGGTTATCGTGGACGTTCTTCGAGACGAAGGCATGTACAATGACAACGGTGAAGTTGTCGTTGATGTTGTTACCCGGGCCCTCAAAGAGGTGTGTTGTCTGCTGTTGTGACATTTGCCACTCTCGATGCTCAACGATGTGGTAATTCCAAGTCATTTGGCCTCTTACTCGACTCCGTCGTGCGCAATGAAGATTGCTCTGTCGGTTTGGCGAAGCAGCTAGCATCAACGTTCATGATTCGTGGTGCTCAACTCGCCGTAGTCCGTAAACTCGACAGCCAATGTATCGTCAAGATGCACACGACCTTACTGACGTGGATTATCAAGCGCATCTCAACCTTGGACGCAAATAAGAATATGAAGCAAAAGGGCAACGCCTTGTTGTTCTTCAAAGTTCTGGCGGCCTTGTTGAAGTCTGTGGAGAGCAGAGACGCGTTATCGATGTAAGATTGCAGAACATATATACCTTTTCTGTGTCACTGACTTAACTTGGCAGCAAAGCGCACATGGACCAGTCTTTTGCACAGTGCAAAATTGAGATTCCACCAGCGTCCAAGCTATGGGAACCCCAAAGAATGTACGAAAAGAGGCTGAATTCGATTCTGACAAAGGGGAAAGGTAGGATCAAGTTTCTCATTTGCACTTCACAGCTGATATGATGCACGCACAGGCGGGAAAGGACGGAAAGCGAAAGGCGCAACTGGCGTCACGGACTCGGAAGAGAGTGAGCCTGAACCACAGCTTGAACCGCGGTTCGAAGTGGAACCTGTGGAAGATGCTGCTCCATCCAGTCGGCCCCGTCCACGGCGAAGGCCGGTTCGCCGTTCGCCCTCTCCAACAGAACAGTCTGAACACGAGGTACCTCCGTCCGTGTCACAGGAAGATGAAACACAGGCCACACCCAGAGGTAAACCCCAGCCAGGGAACCGTGAAACGGAGTCTCCTGTAAAAACCCCTATGAACTCACGGACTACGATGGAGGTAGCAATCCCGACTAATGGGAATGAGTGGACACGAAAGCGACGGCGTTCAGAGGAAATGGAGGTCGAAGAGTCAGAAACAGCTGGGGAACGCCAAAGTATAGAGGATGTAGGTGTTGAAGAAGAGACATCCCAAGCCCAGAATACGATGAACGAATTCATTATCAGGAGAAAGCGCGCACGGCTATAGACATTTATTGGCATAGTTATGATTATTGTTACTAATAGTTTTCCTGTTGCTTTCATTGTTCTGCCCTGTTCACGACTGTTGCACTACGTGTATCGATTCGCCTTTAAACACTCCCGTTGCGAGGGAAAGCATGCCATACCATCGCATCTATTGATATGATTCCCATTCCTGGTACTCTGCAGTATCCGTATTTAAGCCACGAACGGATTCACTGTCCATTTACATGCGAGGATTACCATGTGTTTGCATTATCTAGCTTTAAACCACGCTGCAAAAGAATCATGCGGCACAAGGGAAATAGGTATAAGTTAACTGAACCCTCAACGAGGACTAGCTGCTCGAGGTCAGATTGGCAGGGCATAAAGACTTCCAATCCTCTGAGAGACGCATGAGAAAAATTTGCAACGTTGAGGATCAGATCAACAACACGCGACTCACGCGGTACAGCGTTGCCCTGCTCGATAGCGGCCTCTGAAAGGCTTTCTGCCATTACCACCGCAAAACCGCTAGGAAACTGTCAATACGACGCGGTACAGCCGAAATATTTCTCTTACTGATGCAAATGCCAATCGATATGGCTATGAAATATGGTTAGGCGTGTGAGGATAAAATGACGACGCGCGCTCACCAGTGGAAGAACCATGGACCTGGATTATCTGTGACGAAACGAATGGTCACGTTGTCACCTTGCGTGCCCATCGACACCGTATCCCGCATTACTGGGTGGTCAAAATTGTAGGAACTGTTGCCTGCCGATCTGATAACCCAAAACCTATGCTACGATAGGTTAGATTCTTTGCACATGACACTAAGCAGAGATACGCACACCGTGCAAGTGCATGGGATGCTATTAAGGGGCGTGTCAGGTGGACGTTCATCGAGCTCGGACATACTTACCGGACCACCGACTGCGCCATTGGTCAAGTTATCCGTAGCCGGAAAACTCAACTCAATGACCTTGTTGTGAGGTAGCTCGTATATGCTGCCAGCAGGTAACAACTGTGACGCGTGTGTCGCCCCGCTGAGGATTTGCAGAAGGACCGGAACGGTTGGATCCACAAAGGATACATTATTTATGTTGAAGAGTGCGCCAATATGGCCGGGAATAAGGTTGATATTGACATCCGCTTTCCCTACTTCAGGTGTACCAGGCACACCAGCACTGTCCAGAGTAGTGAGGATGCTTTGATTAAAGTCGAGATCATAAGGTCCTTCTTCCGTAGTCGGATCTTCATCGGCTGCACCTTCGTACCTCAGAATTGCCGAATTCAGCCCGCCTTCGAAAGTCCTATTAAGCAAGTCCGCTGAAGCACGAATCCAGTAATTGCCAACCGCTTGGTTGGCAGTTACCACAACAGAATAACGCTGGCCGGGAAAAACAGGTAAGGAGTCAACGACCATCGGTTCTGTCTCGATTCCATCTGCTTCAATGATAGTCATATTATGACCATCAATAGTGAAGTTGAACCAAGAAGCACAAGACAGTCCGACGATCCGAAACCGGTACCGCTTTCCCTCTTCAACGTTAATAACGGCTAAAGGGGAGGAGGGACCACCAGAGTATCGACCCAGTCCATTAATGACTGTGGAGTCCGGAAAAACCTGCGTGGAGATTGCGCCAAGCTCGATCGAAGAATTATGGTACCTTGAGAGAGGTTAGAGAAGCCATGTCTGGTCAGTGCGACTGACGTACCAGTCAGCCAGAGTGATGACAGTCGTCTCTTTTTCAACGTTATGTTCAAATTCAGCATTTCAGTTCTCGAATGAAACTGGCGTACTAACCATCATCCACGTCATACGTGTCTCCGAGAGGATCATCTGGATCGTAGATGACAAGAGGGCCCCTCAAGCCATCGCAGTACTGAGTGGAATAGTGTGAATGATACCAGTATGTACCCGTTTGACTGCCGGCATTAAACTGATACACGAAGGACCGGTTCGCAGGAATCGGACATTGCGTAATATAAGACGTCCCGTCCGCCCAATTCGTTTCAAGTTGGGAAATACCATGCCAGTGCTACGACATGGTCATACAAAACCCATGAGATGCAGACGTTGTAGAACACTCACAACACTGGTATCTATCGGCATGGATTCGTCCACGAGTTGGTTAACCACGTTGATGGTAAAGTCATCGCCCTAGTGTCTGGTCAGCCACACATGGTTCGGGCGCTGGGTGAAAATGCACCTTCTGAGCTTGGATTAAGGGTGCAGGGAAAGATCCGCCAGCAAGAACGGCACTGGCCGCACAAGTGTCAAAATCAACTCAGCAGACGAGTTACAAAAATGAACATCGAACTTACGACCTCGTGAACCCATCTGGGGAGACGACTCCGTTCGTAAGGAAAAGCTGGGAAGATGGACCCAAAACATTGCTTGACCGTGGATATATGCGAGCGAGCTCCTTCGCCTCAGTGGAAGCAGCACGCACACCTAATAGGATAGCAAATACGAATGCAAAGTATCCGGGCATCTGAGGTTTGCGCGACAGCGGGGTACTCTGGATACTCAAGCCGGGTAGGGGGAAGCTGATTTTATATAGTCAGCTGATAGCAGGAAATCGGCCCCCCATCCTCCGCACCGCTAACCAGAACGGCGTGCTTACCGCCGCGTCGCATAATATCTAATGCCAGAGAATCAGGATCAAGCCGGGCAAGGGAAACCCTGTCGGAGAAGACCACAAGCAGGAACCTCCTGAATTTAGGCCCCAAAGGAAATTCCGCTGCAATTGAGGGTGAGCCGGTCGTCCGTTGACTAGAAATCAGCAGTACGCTACCACGTATTCGGGGTAATTAATGAGCCTGCTAATACCGGTGGATTGTGCAAATTCAACACCGCGGCTACGTGGACGGTAGCACTGAGTGCTACGAGGAAGACTGCCCTTTGACATTGTTCCTAGAAGGCTGTGGTCTTCCGACTTATTATTAGAATTTAAAAGTATCGTCAACAACTTCGGGAAGGACGAGGAAAAAAACCTTGGTTCTCCAATGAGCTGAAGGACATTTCCAAAACGTATGATGGAAAGCCCATGCTCGCAGTCTCCAGACGGGACGTGTCGTAGTTCCCGCGTAGAGCAAACTTGCTTTCGCGTTAGAGATGCCACGAGGGAGATGAAAGCGAGATGACACCAAAAGCAGCATCCTCGTTCTTTGAGTATCCCATAAGCGTCGGAATGCATCTAACAACCACGTTCAAAGCAAACATTCGTCAACGGATGAAAGGTACAAGCGTCAGTGGCACATTTCTCGTTATTCGATACGGTATCGTGATGAGAATACTCCTTGCTGTAACCATGGAGATATATAGCACCCCAAGCGAGTAACGTCCTATGCCACGTTTGCAATATTCAAAGGGGCCGATGTTTCGACCAGTGTCGGGGTATGCTTGTCGCACTTGAAACCGATTCTCGACTCGAGCGCAAGTGATACTATGTACCTACCAAATGCGGAATGCACCGCCACTGCACCGCTTTTAAATTTCCGAGTAGCATGCGTGGAAGTAGAGTCCTAACACTTCTGGGCGGAGAAGCCTTTCCATCTGTTGCCAATGCAAAACTTGGTGACTATCTTATGACGCAGAAACCTCTTATTTTCGTGTAGTTTATGTGTCCCCGAGGATCACTTTGCCATAGTCGCATGATCGAATTTGTTTTCATGTCTTCCCGTGAGTCACTGTACTTCGCCATGATGCGATGTTGGAATCTAAGAATAAAGTCCCAGTAATTCTGGGCGGAGAAGCTTTTCAACCGCTGCTCATGCCCGCCTTGTGGCACAAATATTTTGCATCCATTGGCAATCCTTGTGGGGCCTCAAGGCCTCAGATGTAGGGTGCTGCTGGAAATCTATTTTAGTTTATTCCGAGATATTTGCAGGTGGCTGTGCCACAGTCACTGTTGGCTGTCCGCTGGCTATTAATGATAAGCGGTGGGCGTGCGTGGGAGAAAGCGAAGGTCGGGCGACGTGCGAGCTGCACACAACTCCTTGCCCATTCGTTGGCACCCGTTTCGATCCTACTGCAAGCCACTATATATAGACCATGTAATTATGCGTGAAAACAATAGGTATATTGCTTGCGGAAATTTTCTCCGGGCCGGCACTTCCGCTGGCAAAATTTCCTGGTGCAAAGCCGCTCCATCGAAGGGACAGGAAATGACGGAATCGTGGTCAGGACCAGTCAGTGACGGGTTTAAACAAGTTTAAACCATCTATTCGCTTCCTGATGTCTGCTGCTTCTCGCTAGCTAAGAGGGTAGGTAAATACAGGTAGGACGTGAACAGAAGTTCTTGGCACCCCAAAAACCATCCCGCCCAAACCGCGACCTCGCGATGCCCCTGCAGGGGCCCACTCGAACGCTCGCCCCCCAGCTTGCTGGTGGCACTTCTTTTTCTGGAACTTCTCACGGTATCGCCACCCGCAAACTTTTCAATGTTTGTTATGTAAGCGGACTCGGTGAGGCATTTTACCGATCTACTACCGTAAGAACATCAAACTAGTAGCATAGAATCTCCTATCACCAGCAAGCTGAGGTGACGCAATTAGCTGGTAAGTAAGAGCACGAAAGGTCCATATCTCTCATGCATGAGCAGTCGGAGAATTGTCTCCGGTGCATATGCCTCAGTAAATCCAAATCCAGTCGTCTTCCCCTCTAGGGTCACAAAGTGATGACCTTTCTTCAACCCTATTTCTCTTGGAAAGTCCCCTAGATTGACTATCGCATACCATTCTCGGATCATCGCACATCGGGCATCAAACCTTGGCATGGGTAAACACCAACAAATCCTCCGACCGTGATGAATGTAGTAGACACTCAGCAAGATTATATCGTTAGTCAAATCCTTGACCTACCCACTTTTAAGACGGGATGAAGGGGGAAAAAAGAAGAGAGTTTCATGGACCTTGACAAGCATCTGCTCTTTCTTCATATGTTCAACGAGCTGCAACACATTTCATTTCATTTTCAATGTTCCACTTCAGTTGTGCGACCGGTTAGATCGGAAACACGAACATGGACAACGCTACCTACCTCCAATGATGGTCGAGACAATGAAGTCTGCTATCTGTACAAGATGCCCGACAGTAGCCAACCTGGCAGCGTTGAGAAATTAGCACAGCTGCAAACATGAATGCAGATGCGCCAGGAGAGCCGTAGGAGACACCCAGAGATCAGCGAAGGTACTGCGAGCCGCGCAACACTTGAACATAGGCAGAGATTGGTCGACAACGAAAGACAGCGGGTCACGCTAAAGTGCGACCTGTAACAAACGTTATAGGCAACTTAAGAGGGTTAACACAGTGGATGCACAAATTCCAACGTGCCTGAAACCTCTAACACACCACTGGAATGGAGCGGCGACGCCCGCCCGATTGGCACACATGTTACAAAGGGACGTGAGTATGCCGAGAGATCGTACGAAATAACTTAGTCATAAAGGGAGGAACCAAGCAGCTGCGCACGCAGCACGTCGAGCAAGCCCGAGGACATGTTGAGGCCGTGGCATTATGCAGATAATACCCGCGTCGTTGAGCAAACATCCGAGGGAAACACGTTTGGTGTGGATGACCGGCTAGATCATCTACATGAAAAGGGCTTACCTGAACGAGGGGTGATGCTATCGACCAGTCGAGCGGAAGCCCATACTACACAAGCGCCTACTTAGGACGAATCAGTAGACCGCAAAGCGCGCTATGAAAGACTCGATCACATATCTCGGAACTCACAGTACCGCCAAATGCCTTCACCTAGATTCCTATATACCAAATGTGGAAAGAAGGCTGAAGCAGCAGACGTCAAGTCAGTGTATCACAACCCAGTGAAACAAAGGACCACAGCATGGGGAAACGCAAGAATTACTCGTGTCTATCTCACTTTGTTAAACAGGCGTTCTCAGAGGGTGCGCACATCTGTTGCTTCTGACCTTCATCACCATTGAACAGTATGGACAACGGGCGCCGACGCAGACCACAAGAAGGAGACACCTCGCGAGCCAAAGAGTCGGGATAGCGCCAGTATCGCAGATGGAGCTATCCTAGACACACAAAAGAAGTTGTCTGACGCTTTCGCGCTTGTTCCGCACTACAAATCCGCATCTGAGGTTCCCACCCACCTCCAGAAGTGTAAGCAATCCTACACTCTCCCGTTCCACCCCTCCCAGGATCTTGCCTTTACATTCACAACCGCCAGACTTTTCTCAAAGACACCGCTACTTCAGCCTCTACGACCAAGGCTGTCTCCTTGACGAAGAAGGCTGGTACAGTGTCACTCCTGAACGCATCGCCTCCCAAATCGCTGAACGATGCCGATGCGACGTTATTCTCGATGCGTTCTGCGGGGTCGGAGGGAACGCGATCGCGTTTGCAAATACGTGCCACCGTGGTGAGCATTGCATTACAATTATGTCAATCCATCTTCGTTTGTTGTTCATGTACCACACTCAAGTCATCGCGATGGACAATTCCCCCACACGGCTCACCCTCGCCAGACATAACGCCACCATCTATGGTGTAGCCGACCGCATCGAATTCGTACTCGCGGACTATATCACTTTTGCACGTTCGTACCTATCTCATCGGGACGCAGCCGCCGCTAGTCATTCTATCAACGCAAGTACCGACGCCAAGAGACGACCCATTGATGTCGTGTTCCTAAGTCCACCTTGGGGAGGTCCAGAGTATATATCTCGACAATTGCATGATGCCGACGACACGAACAACCCTGACTTGAGTGTTGTTGATGCTGCCAGCAACAGTCTTGGGAATGGTTACGGTAACGGCACTGAATCCCATCCCGAATTCAGCCTCGCCTACATTCAACCTATCCACGGTGCTGAACTCTTCCAACTCACGCGTCGCATCACAAACAATGTGGCGTATTTCCTACCGAGGAATACAAATTTAGAGGAGATATCGGCATTGATCAATCCCTCTATGACCACGTCCTCCTCCAATATGTCTGCATCAGCACCTGTAGAAGACTCTGCGGAGATGGTAGGAGGTAGAAGAAGAATGGATGGGTATCAAGCTTAAAGCCCTGACTTGTTATTTCGGGGGACTCGTAGCCAGCCAAGAACACCTGTTCTGAGAAGTGAACTTTACCCGTACACTCTACCTGGCGGGGACACATGGTCATCTCCCAGAGTCGCGATACCAATTCGGATCCGTATAATCGCGCGTCTCGATTGTTGTAGTCAGTTCTACATCCGTCTCCGAACCGGCGCTCCGGCGCTGTCTGCATGACCATCGGGGTCTTCCAGAAATGAATTGCCCGATGATCCGCACGTGTATGGGTGAGAGGGTGAAACCATTGCACCCCAGGCATACCTGCGATTCGGCTGTCATGCGGTGCGTTCCGGTCGGATACAAAGAGGAAGGTACACGACAGGTTTCTCGAGAGGCGACGGTTAGACTAACGGGGTAGTATTCTGTCAGTCGAGGGTGTGGATGAGGATGTACCGACCTCGTAGAAATGACAGGATATCCTACCTCGTCAACCCATCGAAGGAGATTTGCAGCAGCTTGGTCGGGATAGAATGTTTGACTACTCTGCAAAAGCTGTCCGGGTTGGTGAGGCATCAGTACTCCTGCCGTCCACCGACACAAACGAGCTGTCATTCGGTTGCGAAACCAAACCACTTCGCGAAGAGTTACGTCCTTCTGCGCACCTACCTTTTGGGCATCTTGCAGGGCAAGAGGAACAATGCGTATGTGAGAATCATGACAGAGGGACGTTGATATTTTCGTCTCTCGATCAACTCAGCTGCCCAGTCCACGTGTCGGAAAAGGAGAGCAACTAGCCCTTTACATGGTTGCGCTACCGCGGAATCCATGCGGACGAGCCAACGACGAAGTATGCTTAGCTGAGCTCTTTGGGATCAGCATGTTCCACGTGCAAATGTCATGCAATAGTACCACTTTCATTGCTTTCTGCAGGCTCCTCGTATATTAAGCTGGACCCGCGTTGGTCATGGTGACATAACGGGTAGTTGGGAGTTTTCGAGTGATTCTCCCAAACTTCCTTATCTACAACCAGCAAACGAATCAAAACTAGAATATCTCAAAGGCTGAGGCATTACAAATGTGCATGCGGTGCCCATCGTATAAGTGTACCTATGGCTACGTAAGTATCAGGAAACACTTGAATGCAAATTACACAATAAATTAGTGAGTAATGAAGGATGGCACTTAGTCGGCCATCACTTCGAGAGCGGCAACGTGGCTATTCCCTAAAAATCGAGTATGAGCCTTGGACGTTCAACCTCCAAGTGATAACGAAATCCGAAACAGCAAGACTTACGTCGTCAAGTATTACACTACGGACAGCCCTATTCTCGTGCGAGCGCCGAGCCCTCAGAGACCGGGTCATGTCTGGGTCTGACAACGGACGAGTATTGGCCAACGAGCGTATCAGATCAGGAGATCTGGCTGAAGACGGGCTGTTTTGGAAGTCCAAACCAAGCATCTCGTACAGCTCCTGCTGAGCCTGGGCAAGGGCCCTTGTAGTAGATGCGCCGGAATAACACAATGATCCAGAACCTGGAAGACTGTGAGCGAAGGAAGGTCTGATGTAAACTCGATCCAAATCTAATGAAACAGCATTTGTTGCTGAATCTAGTTGATGAAGAGGAAGTGGGGGCACGGGTGGGACAGCTCCTTTACATGCAGACGAGGGAACAGACATGCTACCTCTGCTTTGCGCGCTGCTTTCCGAACGCCTCCGGGACGTGCTTGTGGATCGCAGACCTGCTTTCGATTGCCGCATAGACGACTTGCGCACGGCTGAAACGCGCTCAGACCGTTTGTTTGATGACCTGGGGCCCGACTCCCCAGCAGCCTCAATCAGTCTATCGCATTCCACCGCAATATCATGTGCCTGTTTCCATCCCTCGTCTCGTTCAGCCTCAAGAGATTCGAGTTGTTCGTGGAGCTTCTGCATCTCTGCCGCCTGACGCAAGAAAATCGTATTAACCTTCCTCAGGGCCATCGCAAGCGCACTGGAGTGGTGAACATCACGCAGGCCCTCGAGCTGGGCAAGCTGTTCAGCGACGGTGTGAAGTTCGTCGGCTAACTGGTCCTGCGCCAAGGTAACCTCGGCCAGCTCTGCCAGAGCCATGTTTGCTGTGTGTCCCACCACTCCACTCTCGAGGTGTCCCGTGAGTTCCGCTATGAGTTGCCATCGCCGTCGTACGAGCACCTTGTATCGAGATTTAACATCGGTGTGGAGCATTTCTAAACGATGTATTTCCTCGGCGATCTCACCGTCTAACGTCTCCAGACGCAAAAGACGAATAGAAGAACCCTCAGAAAACTGCTTCATTGCCCCTGAGACAATACTCTGCAGCTCTGCAGAAGTGAGGGTCCACTGGGCTGCCTCCATCGTGAGCCCGCGCCACTTTGGCGGAGGCGTTTGGAACTTCGGAAGGCGTTGCGATGCAACCTCATATAACTTTCTCCAGGCTGGTGCATGCGTGTTTCCGCAAGTTTCAGCACTGGTCACTTTGGATTCAGATGACCCTCGCGCCCTGAAGCCCGGCACACGACCACAGAATGGATGAGTGGGTCCACTTGGTCGTCGGGGACCAATTGGAAGAGGGGGCCGAGGTCTCGCTCGCGTCCAACTACCGAATAGCCGAGGCTGATAATTCGGTGGGGACGTTCTACCATCGGCTTCCGGGGCGGAACCGGACGACGTCCTCAGCATAAGATGTTTAACACCGGTTGGAGGATCCACCGTTTCTTCGCACATTATGGTACGGCACGGAGGCGGGGCCACAAATGATGGTGAAATAGGTGCTGATGAAGGACGAGCAGTTGGTGAACTCCCTGAGGGATTTGGGCCTGGTGGTACTGACGGGGAGGGAGTAGGAGTAATCGAGGGCAAGAAAGACTTGCAGAAAACTGGTTGCAAGACATCCGTTTCACGAGCTGGCTGAGGCTGAGACGTGGTGGGCGGTAGTTTGACATGGAAGGAAGAACGTCGACTACTGGGTACTAGGGGTGAAGTACGTGGAAGGTTGGCTGAAGATGAGGAAAGACGAGGAGAAGCACCCGTGGGTTCAGACGGAGGAACAGAGATGGGAGACTCGCAAGCGTCCACCTTGCAAGCAGATTGAATCGACGAGGTCGATTTGACGGGTAGTATGACTGATCCCAAGTCCTGTTGCCGGGATCTCGACGTTAAACTCGCCGAAGGTCGAGTTAAACTAAATCTTACCTTATTAGCGACCACTGTCTGTACGAGAGTATCGGGATCAATGAGCTCCTTTGACGGTCTTATTGTATCTGTTAGGGGTAGAGAAGCCTTCGAGGGCGTCGCTGGTAAGGTATCGTCGCAACGAAGTAGTGGGTCACGAGAAATACCCGACGACGGATCCAACAGAAACGAAGGCTCGCCATGAATCGGCGAAGCGATAGACTGGGGCCTACGAGAACAGACATTTCCATGGTCCTTATGTGACCTCAGATCCGTGTTAGACGTGTGCCGCGGGAGCGATATGCTACATGGGGAAGGTAGTGTGGCCGGCCTCGGCAGTGGCTGGCGTCGGGTCCGGAGAGATGATACTGGAGGACGCCGGGGGTCTGGCGAGAATAGCGGCGGTGAGAACATTGGTGTCTCGGGAAACGTCTGGTAACCAGCCGAGGAACCCGTGGAGGTATACTGGGACGAACTGTGTGGATCCGGACTAATAGTGATGGTATAGTCGAGAAAACTACTACAATCCTCTTGAATCACATCACAGGCAGTAGGCGGCATTTCAAGATGACCAGCGGAGACCGCGGATGAAGGGAACGAGGGGAAGGTGCGAAATACTAGTTTGAGTCAGCATCGTAGGTGTCAATAGCGTTTTCTGTGCAAAACTCTCGGCCATGGGCAGCAGTCTGACCTGCTTTTTGTTCCGCTGATAAGGAGTCCCGCCACGGGTATCTGTACATCTTCGTTGGAATCACAAACACTGATGACAATTTTTTTGGGAAAACACACCTTTGCGATTTCTTGAACCACCGATAGCACCAGTAGGTTTTGGAAGACGTCGCCGCAAGTTACTGTTCTTGCGTTTAACGGGAAGTGGGGCAACGTAGGAGGCGCTAGAATCGGAATGCGGAGAAAGCATCGCCGTGTGCGGACCGGGAGACACGAAAGAGTACTCATCCAAGCTGTGCTCAGTCGAGCTTTGAAACCCATCTGCTTGCGATGAATCTGTAGCGAACCCAGGTGTTTTTGGTATGCTGGAAGAGGAGGGAGGCGAGGATACCACCTCCGAGGCTGCGCGTGCCGAATCCGGTGCCCCGTGTTCTAATGCCGCGCTAGTTGTCATGGCATTTTGATATTCAGCATCGAGAGCGCATTTCTTCGACGTCGGGGTGTTGGGCGCAGAGGGGGCCTCTAAAGTGGAAGATATGCGACGCGAGCGACCAGCCTGCATGTCAGTCTCCGGTAACGGCGTGCAGTGAGAGTCCGTCGACAAGCAGGAGGTATTCCTGTCGGTTCCCTTTTCTGATTTCGCCACAGATGGTCCCGTAGCCATAGTGCCGGAAAATCGATGCGCCCGTCTCTGTTCTAAGACAAAACTAGGTGGTAGAGGGGGAACAGAAGGGACAGACGACGAACGTCCAGTCTCTGCTCCAGGTAGGCTGGGAACGGATGATTCGGGGGGTAAAGTTGCAGAATCCTGCCGTGCGACTCCGCTCCGGTGACGGGATTGCGCTCGTTCACAAGGTGATAGAATAAATGAATTCGCAATTAATGCTCGTGCAAGCGTAGTACCTGAGATTGCCGACATATTTTCTGAAGACCCCGGTGACGAGGGGTTCCTCAAATATAAGTCCTTCGAAATCGGGTCTGGAGCTTTGCTTGGGGTCTTGGGCTTCGCATCATGCATCCCCGAAACGTCAAGATGGGGGTCTGGGATGAGAATCGGCGCGGGTACAGACTTTTTCCGGAGAGGATCCTAAGGTCAACTGTGAGTAACGTGTTTTGGCGAACACAAACTACTTTGTGGAAACACACCTCGCGTGAATCACCAGGCAGCCCTTCTGCTGTCCCGTACATTTGTAGGGGCACAAGCAGATCTTCTGGAACTGCGTCTTGAATAAAGCAGCTCCTCCGGGAACCAAGGTTCGGTAGATATCTCTAGCTGCACGAATGGCCCGGGAGTCCCGTCTCGTGGGACGTATATAGACTGCTCGCCGATGTCCACTATCTGGGGCGACTCGAAAGACTCTGGAGATGTCGGTGGTCGAATGGAACGGTGCGGCTCCTGGAAAACTCTCATGTGCTTTGCTCCCTTCTTCTTCCCATTCTTCCGCATGAAATTCGAGAGCATGACGTCCGTCTATTGTCCCAACGATGGTGTCACGGTATCAACCAGTGCTAGCGTCAACCGAAGGAAAGGGAAGGTAATAATACAAGATCTAAGAAGACGAAGTGCAAAGATGGTGAGCGGGACTTTCGCATATATGTAAGGTCACTTCGCTGTTCATAGCAACGTCGGAACACCATTAATCACACATGATACACAGCCCCTGTAGTCCTGTGGTGCTCATTGGTCAGGTACGCGAACGGTCATAACTCAAACCTGCTGATCTTGCACCGTTGTTAGATTGGCAAGTTGAAGGACGGGCTATGGGCATGGCATGTAGCAGATTTGATGACAGTGTACTGCTGGAGTTGTCTGAATCCGTCAAGGTCGGGTGTATTAGGAGCAGACCTTGCTTCACCTTCAAATTCCAAGGCAATTGCGATGGCGCTGTCATGTCACGAGCGCTAGATCAGTCAATGATACTGTGCATTGCATGCCTGTACTGCCTTAGACTGCCTTTCGCGTCAACATGTGGCTGGTATAGCAGTGACCGCATAATCCCGTAAATCATTGATCGCATCACGAATTGGTTGATGGCGCAACGTCGTGCCTACTAACAAGCACGTAGGCCTGTAATAGCCTGTAAGTAATACAGGACGGACTTCAGGCTTCATGGGAAGAGCCCACCAGCGCTGTGTCAAAGGAGTACAAATACCATGGACGTGTCCATGATCGCATTAATCAACCCGAAAACTACATGAAACATAAGAACGATATATGATGGTGTTTCCGAATGCTCCTGATCCACGAAAAAGGGGGAAATTGAGGTCCATTGCGATTGCGATGACCGAACTATGGACATGCGGGTCACATGCTAATCCGTACGCTATTCCGTGGATGCAGTGTTGGGTACGACAATCTGAGCTTAGTAGGAAGCTGCCCGAGAGTCAATTAACGTTATGGGCATGTATAATTACATGGGCGATGCATTGATGCGTGGCTCTGCATTATATCGCAAGCAGAAGTACCGACTCTTTTTGACCACACTGATCTCGCACGTATCAAAAAAAGAGAGCATAAGGTTGATTATGCGACGTCTCGCGTTCGCGCAATAGAGATACATACTACGAAAACCAGCTGAACGAACTACGTACGAGAGAATATTGTGGGGTTGCAAACTGGCAAGTAAATGCGGAAGATTGGTGAGGCAAACGGGAACTCGTGCAATGGCATCCAAATGCCAATGAATAGCCGTGCTGCATCTAAGATGATAGGTATTGTGAGGTTATGCGACGGGGGATTACTGCGTGCAATTGGTCTGACATGATCTTGTATATGCCAGCCCGGACGAAAACGAATGCAAAGAATGAGGTGGAAGTTATAAAGAAAAAAAAAGAAAGAAGACTATGCCCGAGGTCTGCACGTCAGCGAGCTAACCTGTTCACTTAAAACAGACATACTGAAACGTATAGGGTATAGTCGGGTTCATAATCAACCATTTCCAAAGGGTCGCGGTGGTTCGATATCGCCCGCGTTGGACTTGTGGTTCGACGGCGACTCAGTAAAAGAACTATACGTTAACAGGTTCGCCCCGGAAGCAAGGGATGATCCAGAAGAAGCCGAAATGCGCCTGGTCGCTCTAGCAGCCCGACGTTCCTCTTTTGCTCGTTGTCGTTCCGCACGGGAAATGTCATATCGCGGGGAGGAGCTCTCAGGTATCGCCGATAGCGACTTTACAGGTGCTTGTGACACAAGTGACAACGAAGTCTGTGAGGATGTAGCAGATGGGGCCTCCGAGGAAGGCACATCCAACGTGGATGATGACTGCCTCGTGTGCTTGAGATTGGTATTGATACCCTTCTGCGCGGAGTGAGCGGTCCTGACGCCGCTGGTTAACGATTCGGTTGATGTAGGAAGTTTGGAGCGTGTGGAAATAGATGATGAAGATTCAAGATCTGTGACGGGTCGATCGGACTCGTCTTGCGTGCTAAGAGACGACCGCGCCAGGTTTGCGGCGGCGTCGATATCTTCAACGGCACCATGGTGAATGACTAACCACCTTAGGCCCTCAATCTCCCTTGTCTTCTTCCGGATGTCACGTTCGAGTTTCCCTATTGTCTTGGTCAACGTCACTCTGTCATCTTCGTAGCGTTTAGTGATGGTGATGATGTACTCTTGCAGCTGGGTGTATTTCTTACGCTGCAGGATCAGTGCCTCCCGAAGCTCTTCAGCGGAAGCATCAGGGGAGATACCAGGAATTGCTCTGTTCTCCGCAGCGAATGCCTTCTGGTAAGCGGGGAATGTGGAAGAACCAGACAGGAGATGAGAGTTGTTCAATAAGGTCGCTGACGATACAGTGTTTGCACGTGGCCGCTGAGACATGCCGGGTGGTCGGGAATGCAGTGTCGCATTGCTAACAGACGATATCGTTGGCATTGTGCCCGACTGCAAGTTCGACAGGACCAGAAGGTAACAATGGAGAAGGTAAAGAGCCGGACGAAGGGCAATTACTTGGAACCTTCCCCGAAGATCCTTGATACGGCGATGGTTTAATTATAGACGATCTGGGGATGGAGCTAGAGTGATCTCTCCTTGGGAGTCGAGAACTTGAATCATAAGCTCGAGAAGCGTCTGTGTCACTACCTGAGTGACTCGGCACACGACCACGACTCCGCGTTTGCTCTCCTCCAGATAAATGTCCCTGCGGGGTTGTCTGTTCACTTCCAGCGCCCGATCGTGGCCCCACGTGAGCTATAGTACTGTCGCAGTTATTACCAACGTCCTTGGACCAATCACAAGAACGGCGAACTACAGTTTTATCAGAGGTGGCCAATGAAGGCCGACCAATTGTGGAAGGTGGGTAGGGGAACTGGAGGGTAGTGGCGAGAGGCGTTTCTGAATTCTCCTTCGGAGATTCTGCAACGGTCAAGATAGTAGGAGAGGAAGCACACTTGGCCACCTGCGACGGTTCCCCAAGCTGGGGTTGCAGAAATAAATCAGAATAATCCTCCGAGTCTCCGCAAGAAGCTGCGGAAGATTGAAGCGTGGGGTGAGGACGAGGAGTAGGGGAACGACTTTGCATACTCGAACGTGGAGACTCAACTGAGGATGAACGTCCATCAGGTGCTGGTGGTGATAACGTGTGCATAGGAAGTCCCGAACAGTTGTCGACTGGTTTCTGAGCCGCTACATGTTGGGATTTGGAAGCTTTGGAAGACTTGGGAGATGACCGCAAAGGAGTGAAATGTGCCGCAAACTTGGATCCTAGTGATGGAGGACAAACGTTCACCGGCGGAAGAGTGGAGGGGAGAGGGGGGGCAACCGATGAGGATGCATCCATTGAAGGAGTAATCATTATCACTGTGCGCCTGGAAAACTAGTGGTCAGTCTGAAGTTACGGCGTCTCTTCATCGTGCGAATGCATAGCTCCGAGAAGTCGAAGACTAAACTGCAGGGGTAAAGGCACCACAAAGATCCTCTGGGAACGACCCCGTGTATGACGTGAGCTGAAGAATTCGAACACGTACCCATTGCCTAAAGAACGACGGGCGACATTCGCTGGAGGGCGCTCCACTGTGGACTTTCTGGCGGGCGCTGCAACGGACTGCTCTGCAGACTTCTTCCTTCCTAGGAACGGCAACATAGAACGCCGTGATTTGGACGTGAAGGACTTCTCTGACGATGAAGGTGTACCGGGTTCGGTAACCACTGCATTTTTCGGGGAATGTCGAGATCCATGGGTAGAACGGAAAAAGTCAGCGAGGTCAGACGTCTTCACGCGAGGACGTTGGTTCAACCCTGTACCGGACATCCTCGAGGGTTACTGGCTGTAGAATCGAACCGAGTGCATCCGTTGTGAGGGGAACTCGCGGACCAGGTTGAAGCCTGAAGACTGGAACACACGAGAAGACTGGAACACACGAGAAGGGAAGAAAAAACTGCAATGCCGGTAAGATGGACCACACCGCGTAACGCGTATACACAACCGAATCAGGTGCGGAAGTTTTGCCAGTATCTCCGGGACCGAGAGGATCACGATAAGCGCCTAGTATCGCGTAGACAGCTGACGGAATGAGCAAACTGCCAGAGGAACGCAAGGCTGTCGCAACCTGTGGTCGCTATTATGGGGGAAGGGCGAGTATTTATTGGCGTGGGCAGATAAAGCGGCCCCTGCGGCTCCCACTACTTTCATGTCCGTTCAGTTTTCCGACTGTGAAGACAAGCTTGGCAAATAGTGGGCATCACAACAACAAAAACCAGTATGGAAGTTGGCACCATTCATCCTCCCCTTGAACCTTCCTCATTCGCAGTGTCCCTTGCAAACAGTAATGTGCAAGCAGTGTGAGAATTGAAGGAATCCTTTCGTTTCATTGCCCATCGACCTTCAGTTAAATACTTAACATCCTCAATTCTGTGAGCACTATGTATAAAATGAAAACTATTCATGTGAAATGAGCGCCACTCACAAGGCGGATGGAACCAAAAAGAAACATATCGGTCGGACATTTGTGTGACACTTCGGGGGGGTCTACGGATGTCAAGGTGACAACACTAGTAGAATGACAGTCGTAAAATTGAAGCTGCCGTACACCTTGAAGCTATTCTTGACGCTGACGCACAACTTGAACACCAAGCACACTCGAGGATAGCTTGTGATCCGGAGTGTCGAAGCTCACCGCAGGTGGCGGAGGTGATTGAATCTGCGCGACAAGCGATGTTGAACTGAAGTTGGGAGAACGAAATTTTCTTCCGGACCGGCATACCACACGTCGGTGCCACTAATCATCGCAATCTTGCCGAGTGGCGGCGATGTCAAACTGGCATGGTTCACCCATAAGTTGGCGTTTCCATTCTAGATAGGCTTTAATTCCCACTGGGGATCTTCTGCCGCACCATACCTTCTGCCATACGGTTGTCTCTGGGGTTGAATGAGTGCCATGTTTTGAAAGATAGCTGGAACCTTGTTTTTTGTTGTGTAGGGAAGCCCGTTTCTACTGCGGTGCAGGGTCACGCCGAAATCAGCTGTCACCTGCCGGGCGTTTGCCGAGACGAAGGGTTGGCAACCAGATATGGCAAGTACACAAGGATAATTTGGTGAGTGCCGCAGGACGCCCGATAACCACTAGGGCCAGTTTTGATTGAAGTTTGGCAGCCCTCTCAACGCGTACTCCCATTCCCTCAAGAGTTACTGAAGAATATGGAACGCCTATAAGTGGATCGCATGCGAGTTGGACTATCCACCGTTACGTTTCGAGGTAAATGTGCTGCGGAAGGTTATGCCTACGAGGGCACTCCTCCGAATCGATATGGTCAAAACCGAACTGTCCGGCGCGCGTACTCATCGTGTGAAGGTATACGAACCGTTCATCTTGCGTGGAACTGGTCTTTAGTCACATCGAGGCACCCCCGAATACGTTTGTGGGCGTTGAGTTCCTTCAGAAGCGTCTCACCGCCGCAGTGAGATTCGGATGAATCGGAATAAACCTCCGACAACTAAACTGCAAGCAAAGAATTCTGCATGGCAATCGTTGGTTCTAGGCGCTTCAAAAGGACGTTTTGGTCTCTCTCAGAACATCTAGCTTCGTTCCATATAGGGCATCGTCTCACCCATTGAACTGACAGGGAAAATCCCGAGTGAAGGCCATAAGCCGCGACGAGATGGTCGGCAAGGAGAATGCGAAACTGCCACAAAAAATTTTGTTCAATTTTGCTGAATTGGGGTTGTCCGCTTTGCAATACGGGACACTGGTGACATGGGTGATGCAGGGCGTTAGCTTCAAAGTCACGTAGCCGTAGATGTCAAGGATGGAACGTATCGATAGGAATGGCGTGGAGAAACAGCGGGCAGGGGATTGGGGTGGCCTTGGTCACTCACCTATCGGTATTTGACTCCGCGGATTCATCTAATGCCCCTGTTGCAGAGGCATCCTGGAAGCCTGCAATTCCAAGGTATCCACAATTAGGGCGACATGGAGTTACAGCAGAACCAGGTCTTGAGATGACCAGAAAAAATCCGATTTCCGCGGATCTACGTGTGACTGTACCGGGGACAATGAGGGCACGGGAATATCCGGAAAGTAGAGATCTATACAGGCGCCAGTGAATCTAGGAGATGGAGATGCATTCACGCTTACCATGAAACGTGTCAATAGGTGGGTACGACCACTTCATTTCGAACCTCCTTAGACCCCTGTCTGGATATGTGGCTGGCGACGATGGACAGCACTTACATGAATATCCCGCTCGCTACATGTCAGCATGGGGTTGGCTTTTGTGCTGGAGAACAATATGCAAAATTGATATTCGCGATTGCAACCATCACTTCGCAGAGTAGATCGCGAATGAAGTCCCACGCAACATTAAACGAGACAAGTGTTGACTGTTGACCGGAGTGACTATGAGCTTCTGGACTCTGAGATGCTCAAAAGTCCTGCATCATCCACACTGGCGACCAGAGTAAGATGTCTTCGGGGCTTTTCCATATAACGTGAGCTGCAGGCCGGAGTAGAGTAAGGCGCTCACACTCGGAGGACTACCAGATTCATACATTTTCCATTATCAGGAATCACAAGTGTGTCGGTCAGTTTTCACCCCTCTCCCTGACTTCACTTTGCTCCTCCACAGCGAGACGCCGTCCTCCATATAGTTGATTGACCATAGCACTCCGCCTCAAGACTGCCAATTCCTTGACAGCTTCGTTGTACGCATGAGAAAGCTTTCCGGGATCCTGTTCAGCCTTCAAAGCGTCGTCGATTATATGGAATTTTCCTGATCGTGTTGAATAGAGCTCTTACCTGCATATTCCGAAAGTTTTCTCGAGTTCTCTGCACAAAATAATTGCGAAAATTGTAGGAACTAAACGACTTGGCTGCACGTAGAGTGGAACCATAAAGATGAAGAATATGCTGCCGTGATGGTGGATTAACCATGGTGTGCTGGAGTACTTCTGTGAGCCCTGAGTCCAATCATTCCACGAAGCCCCGCAGCTGCAATTACGTAATGGTATCACTTGTATTCGTAGGAGCCCTGACCAACACTACATCTGATTGAGAAGAACCTAGGCGTTCATCCCCCCAGGATGCGTTTTAATAGCGGTGCAACCTGTTTACGAGTGGCATGGGTGTTCATCTGCTTATAAACCCGTGCAATGAACGCCTGGCCAAAAGGCGAATCGTTTACAGTGCTGGCTGACCGTTCGTCAGCGGAGCCATCGTGAGAGAAGGAATCATCGTCCTCATCCCTGCCTTCGTCATTTCCTGCGGCATCTCCTATTCCACCAAAACCGTACCGAGAAAACGTGCGGGGCTTCAACGCGAGGCTCGCCTCTGCCTCCAGGCCATCAAACAGAGTACGAGCCAATTTCTGTTGCTGTGGCGCTCCCTTCGAGTCCCTAACAATCCACAGTTGTTCTCGTCTACCCTTGTCTTTTTTGCTGCGGTATGTTGTGAGGACTCCGAGGATCGTCAGTCCACGTTCTTCCATCCACGAGGTCGTGGCAGTCAGCACCGCTGCAGACCCCGATTTGAAGAAAGCTGACAATGATAAGGGAACCGTGGCCAGCCCCACCTGTGCAGGCCCACCACTTTCCTGCGTTAAAAGTGGGGACAGCTCCAAGGTATATTGCTTATAGTCTCGCCGAAGGAGATCCCTTGTGCTCAAGTGAGAAACCGCAAATTTCTTCGAGCGTAGAGTGTCCGCAAGGGTGCGCAACCAAGCGTGATCTATAACGTCCCCAGGCATAGATGGGTCTGTGTCTGTTAACATTTTAGTCGTGCAAGTCTCCCCGGCAACGAATGGTCGCTCCGTCGAGTTCACGAAACCCAGTAGCCAGGCAGCAGCTGCGTGGTCTGTTTCAAGCGCTTTCCCACCCTTCCGCAGTGCTTGTGTATCGATGGCGATAGCGCTCAGGAGTAGGCCCGCAAGGTCTGGGGGTAATGAGGTGTGACCAGAGCCAGACATGAGTAACCTGGTAACGAGAGAAGTGCAGCTCCCAGCTGGTTCGATTATTCTAAGAGAAGCTGTATCGTAGTATTTGCCATCGTCGTCGTGATGGTCAATGACGGCCACCACTCGTTTATTTGGTGACGGGTTGGGAACACTATTATGATCGACCAGTGCATAGTCTGTGCATTTATGACCAGGCGGTAGATCCTCCGGACAAAGGAGCTCGTCAAATGGATCATGTACGCCAGCCATTGCTAGTGCATAGACATTCTCTGCTCGGAGGGGAAAGTCCGAGCGAGGCATAGGCATCAGTGCCACCGTCTTTTCTTCAATATCTTGAGTCTCGGCATGAGATCGGTACCAGGCGTAGCCTATGGAACTTGCAATGCTGTCCAGATCTATACGACCAGGGATGATCGATGAGGGCTTCAGTCGTGGTGTCAAGTCATGAGAAGACGCCAGCCTACCCCCTGCCTCGTTGCCCACCACTATCGTCCAACCATGACCATCGTCTCTGAGAAACTGTGTTTTCTGCTCCCGCAGGTGCTGCGATAGAATGGACGCTGACATGTCTAATTTCCAGTAAGGATTCAAGGATAACGATCGTGAACTAGAGCAGATTAGAGTCGTGATACTGAAGCGTCCAGACCTCGCAAACAACCGGCTGTCGTTGATTTTAGTGACGTGGGAGGGCCCAGTCGAAAATGCTCGCGGTCTTAAAACAGCTGGCCAAATTGTCACTTTGTTAGAGTATGAGTAGAGGGAGAGAAAGTTACCGTACACAGTCATAGTGTGGCTTCCTTTACCGAATGATAGTGCCATCTTGGACAACGGTACCTTGCTCAATGTTTGTAAACACGTCATAGGTAGGGAACTCTCGAGTCCTATACACGCGCGGCTATGGTACAAACCCCGTGTTGAATCGGGGCATCTATATAATTTGTGGTTGTCGAAAAAAGACATGACCAGTATCGTCGACAGTCACCGCATACTCCAAAGCTTGACGAGGTGATATTCTAGTATCTATTAGTATCCGTTTCGTTGCATTACGTGAGGTGCACTCGACACGTCTAGACTGCTTCGATACATTTGGCCTGGTCTATTGACTCCCCTGATACGCCAACACTTCCTGCACGAATTCGGGCTCCCCAAAGATTTCCTTCACTCTTGGAATAGACACTACTTTGTCATAATGTGCGAAGATATTGGGATACAGTGCTCTCTCGGTGGCTCCACAGGTCACCCTTCCAGTCTGCTGGGTTGATGCCGCGAGCGCGATGTCGGCGAGGGTTACCTCGTTTCCGACCAAGAAGCCAGAGGATCGCGATGCGAGGTATGTCTCTAGGTACCTAAGGAAGCGTACCTGTCTGTTAAACAAGCCTTCAAACATCTAGTGTTTGGTGTAATACTGTCAGCTTTGAGCTTCCACGGCACCGCTGCAAACGCACTTCTCTGCTGTGTGGCCCAAGCCGTCCGGTATGGAGTGCTCGAATTTCCATGTTGAACGCCGAGATCTCGTACTCGGAAAATTGGATCCATTGATCTATCAGCGCCCGTTCTCTAGCATCTCTTCCAAGCAGTCCGGACTCCGGCGCGAGAGAACACACTAACGTAGGGATGTTAGTTACTCTGACGGACCTTGTTCTGTTTCGTAGTAAGCGGCTTGCCATGGCGCGCAATAGCTATTCCCTCGACGAGAGCGAAACCAGTATTGTCCTCAAATGCCGGAATTTTTCCCAACGGGAACTTTTCCAGAAATTCGGGAGTCCTGTTGGTCACTCCAAACTCAAAGTGAGGGACATCTATGTCTAGACCGGACAGAGCAGCAGCAGCGAGGATCTAAGAGCAGTTAACCATCGATACGCTTGCAGCTCCATGGATCAACGTACAGTTATGGTTTGGCGCTGCGCGGAGTATCCCCATAACCTGCCTATCGTGTTCATGGTATAGAGCGTTGGAATGTAATTCGAAGATGGGAATCACGAGTATGTGGACAACAGTACGGCTTGGACTCCCTTATAGGTATCCAGTCATGCGCAGCATCATAGAATGAAGGTGACTCGACCTGAAGCACAGCATGAACGGAGATGCCGGAATCTCATGGTGGGTAGAGGTTTTCTTGTCTTCTAGGGTTCTGCATGAGACTGTACAGTGCCAGATTTGAACTCGGCTTCATGAATCGAAGTAATAAGTCACTGGGTCCCGGTTGGTCCCCTGATAACAACGCACATCCAATCTGGCCGGTTCTCAATGAGTCCACGCTTCGATTATTGGCATGTCGCCAATCAAAGAGCGTCGCATTCGTCGTTAAGCTAAGTGCGGAAGCAAATGCGAACGCAACTCCAATGTACTTCCACGGAAAAGCCCGGGTGAAAAGGACGCGAAGTCCAGATGCCCATGGCCCTGTGCATGATCCTCGGTTCCGCATAAGGTGAGTATATGTACGATGAGTACTGCAGGTGTTTGATGTGCTACTCCCCCCTCCTCTCCCTTGTTATTCGCCTGTCTTTATTCCTATGAGGCCTTCTTTCGTCAGAGATACTCTTACGCTCGTTTCACTAGCCCAACTCGCTGTTGCAGGCGGTCTTTATACCCTCTCTGATTCAATCGTCGGCGAGGACTTCTACGACGCGTTCAACTTCGAAGATATCTCAGATCCAACCCACGGCAGAGTGCACGTTTCGTTGATTACGCGTCTTGCATTCGTATTGACGCGACAACGACAGCAACTATGTTGACAGTGCGACTGCCCAACTACTCGGTCTGACAGTCGCTACCGCAAACAGTTTCATCATGCGTGCAGACGATACAACTGTGCTCTCGCCAACCGGTCCTGGTCGAAACTCTGTACGCATTCGCTCTAACAACGAATATACAACCCACGTTGCGGTGTGGGTGCCCTTGAGCGGAGTGCATAGTTAATGTGACTGACAATTTCCCAGATTCGACATAAACCATATGCCTGAAGGATGCGGGTAGGTTATATGTCGTAGAACTTGCGAAGTTCTCCCACTTGCTTCAATTAGCTGACAATGACTTCATTAAGGACTTGGCCCGTGAGTGTTCATTAGTTCTCATTAGCTCCAATGTCAACATTTCTTTTCTTTTGGAAAAGGCTATTTGGGAGACTCTGGAAGCTGACTGGCCGGATTCCGTGAGTCATGGTATCATCATCTTTAGCGCCTCGACAAACAATCGATACAGGGTGAAACCGACATCGTTGAAGGCGTGAACAACGTGTCGCCAAATCAAGTGCATCTCCACACAAGTCCCAGTAGGTCATATCGTCGGACGTTCCGTATGTGATAATAGGAATAACCGACGCAGATTGCTCGATCCCGAGCAACATCAGGCAACTTGGGTAGAGACGACTTTGCCTCGTTTATTATTTACTGTGCTAAACTCGAGGTCGCTCAGAACGGTTCTCACCACTGACTGCGATGCGTCCGGTATGATATTGTCGCCCAGCTTGGATCTTTGCTTATACGTTGCAGTTAACTACAACAGCGGGTGTGGTTCCGCTTTATCGTACGCTCCTAACAGCTTCGGGCCAGCCTTTAACGCGGCCGGCGGTGGATGGTGTGTACCATAGTCCTCATTTGGGTGAGGGCAGTGGCCCACCTGAATTTGTCCCAGGTACGCCCTCGAGAGAACGGACGATTACATCAGTGTGTGGTTTTGGAGCCGCGACAGCTGGTTCACTCCCGTGGATGTGAGATTGGGATCCCCCGTCGTTGACACCAGTTTTTGGGTAAGTACGCATTACTTAGACGAAAGCTATTGAAGAATCAGTCGTGCAGGGTACGCCTGCTGCGTACTTCCCAAACACCGATTGTGACCTTGCCAGCCACTTCGGTCCGAACAATATCATTATCAACTTGACTTTTTGTACGTGTCATCAATGTCAATGGCAAATATTACTCAAGCATTATCAGGTGGAGACTGGGCCGGTAGTCCAGCAGTGTATAACGCATCGGGTTGCCCTTCTACCTGTGTCGGTGAGTGTTACAGCCTGCCATGAAAGAAGTAAAGCATGCTAAGCCACTTCTACGTAGACTTCGTGAACAGTAAGCTGTTGTGTCATTCCCCGCCATCTTGCTCACCCTTCTATTTCGTAGATAACCCGCAGGCCTTCAAAGATGCTTATTTCCAGTTTGCTTCCATTAGGGTCTACCAGTAAGTGAGGGTGTGGTCACACTCCGGCTCAATTGGCACTCGCTAGTTGTCATGACACCCAAACACTTCTTCTAGAGCGCAGCGATCATTACATTATTCGTATTTGGCAGACGTTATTTTTGTTAGAAACTAACCTTTTAATTGCGTTTCTCAGTCTGGGTATCTTTGACATCTTTCACCACGAGAAATCCATTTGGTTTGCATTGGCATTTGCATTTTCACTACTTCTACTACCGAGCTCGTCAAGCTGTCAGCTAAATCTGGGCGATAAATAACCATGCTACATGCAGCATTCATTCACATGCTGTTGTTACGTCCTGCCTAAATGATCGTAATATGGGTCATCGTGCGGTAGCGAATGTCTAACTAGGTGGTGCGCATCTGTATATATACATTCCCGAACTGACAAAGAAGAGGCCAAGGTGAAATGCAATATAATACACTATGAAGCGAAGGGACTCGCAGGCGCGAGGAGATTCATCACCTGTACTCTCGAAGAGAGAGAGAGCATCATGATCCACGCACTATGATGGCATGAATTGATCGTAAGCAGTGCGCCAAAATCCATCCTGTATGATACCATCTGGTTGCCATGAGTGGGCGACGGTTTGAGATTGTGGTGGTCCCGAGAATTGCCGCTGGGCGTGTTGATGATGATGTTCCGGAGGTTTCGTCATGTACCCCGGCGGCGGCTGTGATTTCTCCTGACGGTGGAGAGGCAGATCGTGACATGGGATTTCCATCGGAAACTGAGCATTTTCACCATTGGTATGGAACGTCATGGAAGGATGGATGCTCAGGCCCATGAGTGGAGGGTCGTTCACGTTCCCCTCATACCGAGAATCGAACGAATAATAGGTTCGTGGAGGTCCGGGTATTTCACCCATGAATGACGTAGGCTGATTATGAGCAGAGGGCGTACGAGATACTTGGGTTGCTGATAAGGCGTTGGGAGGACCACTAGTTGTGAAAGGAGAATCCGGGTAATCTGTGTTAGGTTGCGCATAGGGCATAGGATTAGCACTGTTTGATGGACTTTGGGTTGGTTCATAGGATGATCCTGAGGGAGAGATTTTCTGCATTGGTGCGGAATCCGAATTATCCGAGCTAATATACTGCGAAGGCTGTGATACACGACCAAGAGAAGGTCCACTTTGATCGCCGGTTCCAAAGGGAACTTGGAAGTCTAACTTGGGGTCACCAGGCAGGACTTGGGTCACTGTTTGATGATGTGCCTCCCGAACTCCGGGGGATGGAGCACTCTGCGATGGTGGCATAAACCCTGATGCACACGGAGGGTGTTCAGTATTTTGGGAAGAGGGAATCACAGGAGTCCGACTCGATGACAGCGCAGACTCATTTCGTTCAGGAGTGCCACTCGAAGATGGAGTGCGCAGCCTACAAAACGGTGGTGCATCCTTGACGGGCCGGACCCGTACGCCCGTGCGAGGATAGCAGGCTTTCTTTGTGCCCTTATCTTTGCATTTGGAGTCGCGTGAGTCTGTTTGTGAGCGCTTGGAGCTTGGAGGTACGGGTGGTGTCAAACGTTTCGGCAACTCTTCGGATGGACTAATATCTTTCTCCTGCGTCGAGTTCGTGGTCACCACGACGCACGAACCTGAGTGTGTGGTAAGACTAGGGGGGGCACAGTCCAAATTAGTGGAGGAGACCGTCCCTCCAATGAAAGGTATTTGGAAGCCGTCAGGTAATCGCTCTGACTCATTTTCAGGCTCGTCACGTTTCCTTTTCATCCCAGAAGACACATCCAGTTTTCCATGACGCGCCAATTCAGCTTTCTTCTGCAACAACACTATAATCATGATTGCCTCATGGACATCTCCCTCAATGCCACCGCGCATCGGTCCCCGACCTGTGTTCAAAACCGGGTCACGCATCACTTCGAGGGCATAGTTGACATCCTCCATGGCCGTTCGTGCCCAAACACTGGTCGGGTCCTTAATCACATTGTGCGCACACGCTACGGCAGCATCGAACAAAGTCCTCCCGAATGAATAGAAACTGAACAAGGCAGGAGTTGGGCGTCGTCCTTTGAGGTCTGGCCTTTGCTTCCACATGGAACAGAGTACTCGAATAGCGCGAATGATGGTATGGGCGGCTGTGAAAATCCCGACGGCGGCCTGGTAATGGGCCGTAGGAGTCGTGTGGCCATTAGAAGGGCGGAGAAATGGAACGTAGATCTTCATGATGAGCCGTTGCGCCGTGACTATCAATTCACAACGCTGTGCTAGTAGCACAGGCGATGCCGTAGGACAATCGCCTGACGGAGATGAATAGATCGAGGAAGCACCGACATCTCGTTGCGAACTTGGAGAGTTTGACAGGTCCGAGTCGACGTCTAGGCGGAACGCGACGGGAAGCTCGGCAAGCCACTGTTTGACTGCACTTGCGCAAGCCATTGCTTGTTCAAGGGAATAGTGGGCTTGGGCTTCTGGATCGTTCTGAAGAAAGTCCTTGAGAGATCTCTTCTTAATATCCTTGACAAGTCGCGCCAAGCTATGAAACATGTGAAAAACGTCGTTACTGTCATACAAATGGGTGGTTATATACCTGCACTTCAGCCCGAAGTACTTGAAGTCCGAAACATTTGGCTCGAGCAATGACAATGGACTTCGAGGAAGCGGAATGGATGTGCACGCAGGTGTAAACACATCCTCATCGACATCCATCGGTAATCGAGTTGTATGTTCCGTATCGGAGATTAGTGCTGAACGACCCATGTAGTCTGATACAAACCTAGATCGAGGCGTCAATCGAGTAAGTCGAGGTAGAACTCGTATTTGACGTACAGATCGTAATAGAAAATGTCCCACCAAAGGCGTCGCCGTGCCTCGGCATCGAACAGGTTGAAAGTTCCCGGAAACTCGTCAGGATCTGCGTCCAACCCCATGGTGCGAGCAACGTTGACCATTTTGCCGACCTACGGCCATCAGGTGGCGCCAATCAATCACACATTGATCGGATCAAAATGTACTCACATCAGGCAAAAGATTGTGTGCCACACGAGCTTTACTATCATGAAGCATGTATAGCACGTGAAGAATCATCGTTACGAGGAAGTCCAGATCATATGAATTGTTCTTCTCGAACAATGCCAGCGCCTGCTGTGAAAGCCCAAGTAGAACAGATGGATACGAGGCAGAATCTTTTTGGGTATTTTTGCCTTTCTTCCCCTGAGTTGGTAAAACTTCCGTTCTCCTTCGCGAAGCGGGCCGGGAGGTTGATGGGCCATCAACTATAATTCCCTCACATTGAGCAGCTGCGTGAATCCGAGCCTCTTCATCAGCAACCTCTCTGTCAACCAACGTACCCAAAGCGAATGCTGCTGCAACTGCTGCGAAGAAAGATAGAGTGGGTTTGGCAGGACTGGGACCTTTGGAAGCAGATACAGGTGTAGCTGACGGTGGGCCAAAGAAGATGGCGCGTGCCAATTCTGCTTTCTGACCTCCCATCATCCCTCCCGTTTCCAGACTGGGATGGCCTGGTGAAGAACTATCAAGCGCACCGTCGTCAGAGCTGTCGGCTTCAGACCCCCATCTGAACATTGCTTCTGCACGATCCTTAAAATGCTTGAAATTAAAACATGGATGCATCTTCAGGACGTCCTCGACATTATCGTAGAGTCTTTGTCGTTTGCGGGGAGCGAACGGCAGATGTGCCATAAGCCGTGAGGTCACGCAAGGTGCGTCATCCGGGGATGGTGATTGGGCAGCAAAATATGCAGAGATTGGAGGTAAAAGGAGAGGGATAGGTAGTTCAAGACTACATGTCGAAGATTTCCCCGGAAGAGTCACCATTGGTGATTCCAGTTTCACCTGACTAGAGTTCGCGTGAGGAAGACCCAACCTCTGAGGGCTGAGCTCTTGAACTGGATGTAATTCTTTGCCGAGATCCAGTTCATCAAGCCAAATAGTGGTAATGTCGTCAAGAGATATTGCCAAAGAGGATCCTGACTTTCCGACTGCTAGCAAGACACGATCTGGGTGGGAAGAACCAGACGCTTTGGGATGGTGAGGATGACAGCGGGGACCTGACGCGGTGAACTGTGCTAGTTGCGATTCGACTTGGCTCAGTCGATTGTTCAGGGAGTGGAGGTCACTGTATCAACAGGAGGATGTAAACCATAGCACGGATAAAAATCGAGAGGTGCGCGAACACTTTTTCTGCAGCTGCAGGAGAATATACGCATCTTGCCACGGTATCTCGCTTGGTACAAGAGCCACAGGGAGTACGACGATCACACTTGAGCTTAAGCCGTTTACACTATGGAAAGGTGATCAACATATGTGAATGCAGAGTACTACGATCAGGCGGCGCACCTCGGCACATACTACGGTGACCCGAGACCGGATTTGCCTATAGAAAAATCAAACGTCATGAGAGGAAGCACGACAGAGAAAGCGAATGACACAGACAGACCACCGGAAGCACCGGAAGATTGTTGAGGCTGCTGCTGGGACTGTATTTCGGATGCTGAGAGTGCGACGTCCATGGAGAGCTAATACTTTTGTCAGCAAAAAAAATCCGTAAAAATTGGGAGGCTCTCGTCCGTCAAGCAGACAGCCTTGCAGCGGGCCAAATGGACAGACGGGCGAGGGAACAAGAGGAGGCGAAATAGACGGGGGCTACAAGACAAGCTAAGGGACTGCCGCCGGCGCCAGTCACAAAGTAGGACCCCTGACACTGCCTGACCCCCGCAAGCAACGTAGGCTTATCTGCTTTGCAGTAGTTCTCACTCTCATAAGATATTCATTCACGACAGGGCCTGTCACTGGTCGGGTACCTGATAGGCGAATTGTTCATTTGCTGAAAGCACTTATCAGTACCTTTTGGATTTTACAGTAAGCAATAGTTTTATTTATACGATGATGAGCTGGAGCCGCACTACTCTATGATGTAGAGTACTGCGGACGGCGTTGATCCGTCTGCTGGGTCCGTCAATCATCACCGCAATTATCTTCATCCGGTAACCACTTGCACTAGTAAGGGGCTCTACATAAGATCCTATAAGACCTCACCCCGCCAGTCCTTTTAAGTTTCAAACAAAGGCCATCTCTTTCAGGTACCCAACAGTAGTTGATTCAACCGTGACAGCAACTTACATATTAGAAGCCGGCTTGGACAAGCCGTGCCTATCAGGCGTAGCTACAGCAGCTGAGTCACGCACTCATTGACCTATAGCATGCAGTTGCCTCCCTCCACAACGGGACATTGGCGAACATGTAGATGACCTGACGCGATGCTCAGGCGGACTCGGATGGACGGAAGCTGTTCACCTTGAGGCTGGGAGTCGCTTACATAGTCTGCTTACCTTTAAACTGCTTCAGCAATTCGCAGGACGTCCAAGGTTGAATTTATGATATTATAACCCGCATTACGTGTCCCAGAGGATGACGAGCACACTATTCTCGCTGCAGAAGAGCTAACAAACCTAATCCACCCAACATCGCATACTTCAATTGCGGAAAGTCGTTCTATCAACCGTGTCAGCGAAGTGAAACAAACGACTATGCTGAAATATCACCATAGCGATCGTGATGTAGCCAATATATGGGACAAATCTGTGGGGTTATCCGAGTCAGTAAAGCAACTCACGCAAGGGTGACGGGGCACGTAGATGACGATCACGCCTTTGCACACCATCAAAAGGAGAACTAGGACACACCCGCGCACTTTCCCAACAATATGTCGTCGTTCAAGGAATTCCAGACCGCGATACAATTCGATATCGTCAGCGTGGTTATTGTCACCCTTTGTGAGCAGAAGTTGGTTGTGGCCAGGTGAATACCTCGCCAACCTTGTATTTCTCAGTCTCAAAAGACTTGAGCTTGGATAGGAACTACTCACAAATCCTTCCTTGACTTCCGAGTCGAATTCGAAATGAACACATCATGAGTTTCCAGAACACGGTGGACAATAGGTATTTCGACGCCGGGTATCTTGTAGACAGTAATGTCACCGGTTTGGTACCTTTCGTTCACAGGGTTGGTTAAAAACAGTAGATCGCCCCGATAAAATGCGGGTTCCATGGAACCACTATGCGCCCCCAACGAAGCGACGAGAGGTGTAAGATGTGATGCCAGACGAGAGGTTTCCAAGCTCCTACCTCAAGACTACCACGATAGGAGACTCAGTGTTGAAGAAAAGCCCCAACCCCTTCCATATCATCAATCCCGAAGCTATCACGGATGCGAAATTGAGCAGTTGGAGGAGTAGCTGCCTCCCAGGCTGAGCATCAGTATGCCTTGCTACTATAGTTCATAATCGAAAGAACCAACGTGTCGAAACCCTAGTCGGCGTAGCGTCTTGAGTTCCTCAGCAAACATCTTGACGGTGCAACCGTTGGAAGCTCAAAGAGCAAGTACGAGGTTGTTAAGCCACGTTGTCTCTGACATATACGGGCAATTTGCCCCTGTCCATGCCCGCACTGTGCTCGCTCCCAGAAACACAAGGGCATATCAAAAGTGGGGTATACAGCCCTGCCAAGTCAGCGTGTCGCTGTTCACGTAGGTGTTATGTTATGTACGCCGAGAGAGTCACTATGGAAGCGATAAGACGACCTCGCAACCCTTAAGGGGAAGCCACCCATGAAAACACTATGCCCCTCCCCTGGGCAATGTCACCCTTCTTCCCTGCACTCGAGTATGCGACTCGTAAACGCTCAGTCGCCAACTCATCAAGTATCGCTGCATGCCTCGGTGGGGAGGTACCCGACGCAGAAGTGGTGACGAGTTGTGGATCCTGGGACATGCGTCTTGTACACTGCGTACGTATGAAAGGTCAGTACTCGAAGCCAAGAAAGGGGAACTGGACGCACAAGTTTGACGCCGTACCAAGCGCGTACAGTGATACCAAGCGGTGTCGACTCTGAGAGGCATTCCGTCTCGTCCCCGTCCGTCATATCGATAACCATAAGAAACATCTTTAACGACAACGGCAAGTCGCCAGCGGTATACGCCGTCTCAGCAAATTGCAGGGCATATACCGGATTCTGCGGCGCAAGAAGAAGGGCATGTGATAGTGCCTGGAGAGAACAATCATACCTGTGCGTCCCATAAGTTCAGTATGATAGCATGTTTGGATACTAGATGACATACTGGTTGCAACATGCGTAGATATCGGCGAGTTCGAGCCAACCTTCGATATCGGTGTAAAACGTGTCCAGGTATTGTGACAACTCAGAAATGACCTCTTCCGTTTGTCCCATCCTGCGTAGAACAGAAATCCTCCGCTTCCATACTGCCTTGAGTCACGCAAGAAGACCAAATCAGTCAACCACCTAGCCGTAGCAGAGAGATACGAACGACGTTAGTAGGGTCAGCTTCAAGCAAGTCCGAATAATATTTCAGGGCAGCTTCAGGTGGCTCCGAGGCTTCTAACCGAATCCCTGCGAGACAGTTTACTCGTGGTGACTGGGGAAACTTGTCTGAGAGTTGTCGCAAGCATTGCTGGCAAAACAGCTCTTCAGCCGGTCAAATTAGACCATTCCAAACCCATACGCACGTCTGCCACCTCCAAACGACCAACATCTATGGCTGCGAGTGCGAGCTGTTCCAGGAAGTCCCAAACTAGTGAAAGGGAACTCAGTACGAGGGGGCCTACTCCGGACGCACATAACACAGACCTTCATCACCCATCTTCTTGTGTCCATTTTTCTGTAATATCAAAGTCCCTTCCTCAAAGACTTCTTGCGACGCTCGCTTGTTCCGGGCTCGATACCTGGCGAGCTCTTCCAAGGCGGAATGCACACTCATGGTAGAGAGTAGAATTACGTAAACATACTGCTCGTCACCAGCTGCGATGAAGACCAACACAGTCTCAGAGTAGTACCCATATTCTATTCAGTAGTGCATTTCATACTGACATTGCACCCGGAAACGGGAAGACTTTGAACTAACTCCCACTGCTCAGAAAACTCCTTCTATCTCTATGGGCTGTTCTTCGTTACAGCAGCTGTTACATTCGGGGGGCAACGCGGTTCGCAGATGTCAATCACTTCTGGGTTTTCATACTGTAGCCATTGCCCTTGGCTCGAATCTTGGTGATCGATTCGCAAACATCGAGACGGCTTTGCGTCTTCTCGAAGTACCACAGGCTCTCCGGGAGGGCCCAGACAACGAGGCTCAAGTATCTGTTATCGACACAAGTTTCATGTATGAAACTGCCCCTATGTACGTCACTGACCAACCTCGTTTCGCGAATTGTGCATGCATTGTACGCACCTCCTTCATCTAGCGATGTGTTCGTCCTTCATTGAATTGTGAACAGGTGGAGACGAACCTCCAGCCAGTGGTTCTACTTCACTTGCTGAAGAAAATAGAAGATGTAGTAGGAAGGGTCCCTACGATCCGCAATGGACCGCGTGCTGTAGACCTGGACATCCTGACCTACGATGACGAGAAGATCGATACGCGACCTGAAGACAAGCAACACGATCTGCAGAACCTCACTGGTGAACTAGTCGTCCCTCACCCGCGGCTGGCTGAGAGAGAATTTGTTCTGCGTCCCCTGAACGAGTGAGTCCGTGAACATTGAACGCATGGGATAATTAAACCTGAACGCCGCGAGTAGCATGATACCCGATTTCGTACATCCTGTGCACGGGAAAACTATACGCACGCTCCTTAGCGACATCCTTTCGGTCCGGAGAGTCAATGAGCCTCCTATGCTCAAAGTCCTCCCGTTTCCAAAGTACCCATTTGCTGCTAGTCCCACCCCCTATGGATTCCCTTCAGTACCGCCCACAGTCAAGTACTGGATAGTCAGCTCCATCGATTCGACGGGAACGCCTGGCCCCCACAGGACCCATATTATGGCTACCCTCAATGTCACACCAGACTCTTTTTCCGATGGCTCGATGTATGATACTGTCCCTGCGGCCTTGGAGTACGTAAGAACCTCTGTTGAATCGGGCGCACATATCGTCGACGTCGGTGGATGCTCCACCCGTCCTGGCACGACATTTGTCTCGGAAAACGAGGAAATGGATAGGGTAGTTCCTATCATCAGTGCCATCCGCGCTCAAGAGCGCGAGGACGTCGCGAATGTTTTGATCTCGATCGATACTTTTCGATGGAACGTCGCAGAAGCTGCAGTTCAGGCCGGCGCGAATTGCATAAACGATGTCTACGCTTTCACAGGACCGGATTATCCACTCGTTCAAGCCTCAGCCGAACATTTACTCAAGATGCGTGACGTTGCGCGTCGGCTATCCGTACCTGTCGTTCTCATGCATTCTCGAGGTGGCGATGTACGTTCAAACAAAAATTACAGTCATTACAACGGTGACTTGGTTAGGGCTATCCAAAGTGAACTCGGGGATAAGGTTGAGGCAATCGTTGGGGGTGCCGGGGGTGTACGCAGATGGCTCGTTATTATCGATCCCGGCATCGGCTTCAGCAAACCTGTAGACGCCCAATACGCCTTATTGCGCAATGCAGCATCCATCACTGCCGACAGGCCTGGAAACCGCCTTGTAGGATATCCGTTACTCATTGGCACATCCAAGAAATCATTTTTGGGTGCCCTGTTGAAACGTCCCGATTCGGTGGGGGCCTATAAAGGGAGAGAAACTTCACCTCACGAACGAGTTTGGGCCACAGCTGCTACAGTGGCATGCGCCGTTCAACAAGGCGCGAACGTCGTAAGAGTACACGACGTACTACAGATGCGGGATGTTGTTGCTACATCCTCTGCGATATGGAGTGGGTTGGATTCGTAAACGCTCAGCTGCAGATTCTAGCCTTTTGTACTCGTCTTCTTTGTACTTCTAAAATGTAAACCAAGATATAGGAAATAAACATGGAAAAGCGAGGTCGAAAGTGCTTCTCTCTGTACTTCTTTCATTGTCTCTGGATTCTACAATGCCGTGTGTGGTCACTCCGGCGGCATAGTGCCATATGGACACCGCTTGAGAGCGTGACGTTTCACATCGTCCGTAATAGAACGATACCCACCCACTGTCATTGTGATGTCCACGTCCTATTATTCACGGATAGGACAATGAGGTCGTGAGTACCGGGCTGAATTTCACGACTCACAGCAAGTAAGGATGTCATGACATGCCTACAACCCGCTTCTCCTCCGTGTGACATACCCCAAACCCACAATCGTCCAACTAGTACCGCATCGGCACCAAGGGCAATAGCCTTGAATACATCCGACCCTGTTCGTATCCCAGAATCGAAGAGGATGGTCATCTCTGGAACAGTGGTTCCCGGAACGATCAACGGGAACGAGAAGCCGCAGAAGGTATATCACGTACTCCCACCAACTGCATTAACCACATCCTCAAGGGCGTCCAAGCTGGAAATCGCACCGTCTACCTGGCGCCCGGCATGATTACTGACGACCACACCCGCGTATCCAGCTTCGAGGGCTGCCTGCGCGTCCGCCCCAGCTTGAATACCTTTAAGGAGAAATGGGCGTCCGCCTGAGATGCGGTGCCACTAGTCGAAGAATTTAGAGTTTAGATGAGACCGCATGGATATTGGCAGATCGAATCACCTCCTTTTCGACCCATTTCACTTTGTCCCAAGTATGAGCTTTTCCGTGCCACACGCATTTGTCTATCCAAGTCCCCTTGTCGCGGGAGAGTTCGCTTCCATACTTACGCATGAAAGTCGGGTCGGATTCACCCATTTCATTTCCAGGCTAAGGCCGTTGATCAACCTGATACTCTTCCGAGGGTAATGAGTTATGACATACAGTTCCAGGATAATAGAAGCTGTAGATGTCAGATTAGTACCGTTAGAACCTTGCAGAAAAGCAAGTGCTCACGTGTAATTCGCGGCGTCAATGTCCGTGGGCCGCCAACCAAGTTGCCATGTATCCACGGTAAGCATGCAAACGTCGAATCCAGAGTTCCATGCCCGTGTCAAGAGAGAAATGGTCTGAATGCACCTTGTCATGTTGCAGCAACAGGATGAAACCACGGAACCTACGACGTCATCATCATGACCCATGTACAGTTGGAAAAAGCGTGGGGTTTTGGCTTTCTTGCCACTGTGATCTGTGTTGTGATGTTCCACGGTCGCGGCGCCGGCATCGTTGGCAGCTGCTACATCCTCTATCGATTGAGAGACTGCAGTGGAAAGGCAGTACTGATAATGTCTCACCATGGTCACAATCATGAAACAGGGAGTTAACCTTGCTGGAAATGGCTCACCGGAAGACCAAGTTCTCCTGCAACTTTCGCTGGGACCAATTCGCCCTCTGGGCTGTAGAGTTTGTTGATCCCAATGGGTGCAAACAAGATCGGCGCAGGAACGCGATGGCCAAAGACATCGACTGCAGTGGTCCATCGATGCCGCTCCACGACAATGAGAACAAGGCTCACCAGAAAGATCCCTTGTGGTCGTATCTACGAGCATACGCGGAATTATACGCCAGTGATAAGATGCTTCCCTAAGGGAAGGGTTAAGCGTAGTGTCGATGTCCGTCGAAACCGGCCAGCCTACCTATTGGCGTGGTCTGTCCATGAAAGACCAGCGTTTGAATTTGCATATAAGTATGACCTGCAGTCGAGCGTTTCCGTGGTGGAGGCTTGTAACTGCTTAGGATGAATAGAGAAGAACGGCACTATCGAAGGAAATTATAGGACAATAGGTTAGTGGTGCTGAGCGGGGCTGAACACGTGCGCACTTCCTGTTCCCCGCCCTCCCTGAACACTTGCCTCTGGTAAAGCGAGTAGTGCGGAGACGGACCCTTTGGTTTGTTATCCGGGTCCATAGTTGCCAGGGATGTGTGCAAAATGCAGTCCCCTCATATGCACCATCACACCCATATTGCAGATGACGTTCACTGCATGACGTATGTATCACTTGATACGGTTACCTTCCATTCTGTAGGCGCCCAGTGCAGGCTTTCTCGTCGGGCATATGGTGTAGCTGGTTATCACATCCGCTTAGCATGGCGCTGATTGCGGGGGGTCTCCGGTTCGAGTCCGGATTTGTCCACTTTTTTGCTTGTGAGCCGCATTAGCACAGCCACCCAAGTAATTGCTTGCCAGACAGATACCCTAGCAACTTGAGTTTACCATGTTCCCTTCCTTGCGTGCCCTGGCCTCCCTCGCAAACGTCTCCACGCCCTTCAAACGTTCTTCACTTGGTCTTTTTCATGGCAAGCTGAAGCAATACGGGAATAACGTCCCATTTTCCAAGAAAAAGACTCGTAGAACATGGCTACCCAACGTACAAAACAAACGCCTCATGTCAGAAGCACTGGGTCGTAAGTTGGAACTCAAGGTCACGACACGCGCCCTAAAGACCATAAAGAAGGTGCTTCCCGACCCACCCGTGTCATTCGTTTCAGAATCATCTTATATACATGTTGAAATATAGCACGGTGGTCTTGACCAGTACCTTCTCAAGACAAAGCCAGAACTCCTCGGTTATGAAGGCATGCGTCTTCGAATAACCGTTCGCGAGGCACTGCAGACAGAAGCCGACGCCCAGGCCGAGGCAAAACGCGTGGAAGAGGGGGCTGCTAGATTAGAGAAGGAGAAACAGCTTGCCGAGGAGCAGGCAGCACGACTAGCGAGCCAAAAACAACTCCAAGCTCAGAGGAAGGTGCAAGCGAAAAAGGAACGGAGGAGGTCTGAGTCATTGGCTGGCTCTATCCTTGGTGCTCAGCACAGCTCGTCTCCGCCGAGCGTGTCTGCGCGGTGACAAGTGGACTGCACATTCGCACTGATTGCTACCAAGGTATTCTAAGATTGTTTGTTCCTCCAGGAGGTACACTGTGTAACCAAACCACGTCAATATCGAAGCGATATTACGGGTTATCCTGATCCTTTCCGAGTTATGATCCTTTTCCATGACACATGCCAGTCCCTAACTGCCACCATCAAACCGTTGGTTTCTCTGACGAGACCAGCTCAGCCACGCGCTCCACCAAACATCTCATAACCTCCGTCTTCAATATACCAACTGCAATTACTTCTTCGTGAGAAGCCCTGCCAATTTCAGGCCGATCAATCGGAAGGCCGGCCAGCTGTGAAATGGTTTTCGCATCCACCCGATTATAAGAAAATCATGCCTAACCCACCTCAGCCTTTACCTCGGCCTTGATGCTCCGATATGTGTCGGGTATAACAACCAGGTTCGTAACGAGACTCAAAACTATGACTTCCAGATTTTCCTCGCGTGCCGCAACGACCTCGGGAATGGTACTCATGCCGACGACATGTGCACCAGCACTTCGCAAGAACCGTCCCTCCGCAGGCGTTTCGTAAGCTGGGCCGGAGACCCAGGCGTAGACTCCCTCTGCCAACGCGTCATCTGGAAACTGAAGCTTATGTGCAGCCAAGAATGCAAATCGCCGCAAACGAGTGGAATAAGCGTCACTCAAGGGCAAAAACCGCGGGTATTCTTTAGACATCAAGGGTCCGAATGACGGGCTCATCCCCGTCAAGTTAGGCAGTGCAAAGTGGTCCTGGACAACCACAACTGTGATCCTCATCAGTGAAATTATGTGAAGATGTAAGGCGAGAACTGACTAGTTCCGACGGGTATCTCTGGCGTCAGGGAACCAGCTGCGTTGGTAACTGCGGGAGAATATCACTTCAATATTCTTCTGCTCTTAAGTACAACAAATCTGCGCTCACTGATCACATCCTTGACTCCCAGTCTCTTCATGACCCGAATGCCATAAGTCACTGTCGCTGGCTTGTAACCTTCGTACGGATGGAACTATCTGATACGCGTCAGTTCCCGCTCTGAATCACGGATAGGTAAACGCACACGTCCAAGCATGGCAACGACAGGGTAGTTGTCCTTGCCGATGTAGCCAAAGGCCAGGGCACTTTTCTGTCCCACAACTACGCACCATCGCGATGAGCACTCGGAGGACCATCGACGAACAATCAGTCGCACACCTGTACTGTCCGCGAAACCCTCTAGTTTTGAGTATGATATCTGCACGACATTCTTGAGGCTGGAAACCAGCGTGCTCAGTCCAGACCCGCAGACGATGCCGAGACGGGGGTTATGTAGTCCGGGGTCGGGCACTAGCCTTGTAATCGTGGCAATCGTAGCATCGTACGTGAGACCGGGAGACATGGCTGCAGGAGACGAGGTATTGGGTATACACTGTTCACAAATGTCACTCGAGTATATCAAGCCCTCGAACAGCCTTCTCTATCAGTCAAGACTGCGAACTTTATGCTGTGGTTGTGATAAAATGCGACAGAGATGCAAGTGGGATCAGATCTGGCTCAGACATGCCTGGAAAGGGTGGTGGTAGTATGAGTCGTTTATCAAATCTGACACAGCTTCGGTTGCGTGAATAAGGCTGCCACCACCCATTCATCGGATGATATGTACGGCGACAAGTGGACTATCCCGCGCAATTTCTCACATCAATCCCAAGGCCTCCATGCCTTCTCATACGAAGGTGTCGCACATAGAAGGTAGAAGCGGCGCTGAATGGGGAGAATAAGGAATCCTGGATGGAATATATTGAGTGTAAAGATAGCGAGGGCGACCATTCCGCCATTCAGGACATCTGCATAGACCCAGGTTAGCTAGGAAGCGGATAACGATCCAAAGTGTCAAACGCACTGAAACATAGCCGTGCGGAGGTAATTCGTCCATTTCACCCGTCTATCAATTCCACAGTCCTGCGGCAATACAACACCGAGGTCACCATTTCTTATATGACCCGGTAATAGTCATGAACATATTCTACACAGATCTGACCGTTTCATGCTCCCGTGACCTCAGAAGTGGTCTAGGGACAGTACTCATGAGTGGCTCCACAGGCTATCACAAAGAACCACTAGATAAATTGACGACGGACGGGATCACACCTTCATGCCAGCCCCATGCGTTGCTTGATGTCTTTCATCGTGGCGCTGGAATACACTATGGCTTTGGATGCACCTTTCCGTGCGACCTCGTCGAGGAATGCCTTTTCGCGTCCTAATCCTCTCGAGCTCCGACCTAGGACCTTTGAGCAATTCTTCGACCGCATCTGCGACGTCATTTTTCAGCTGTCCGTGTCCTTTGGTTGCGTACATCTCCGCAATGTCTTGTACATTACTCTCGGTGCATGCAGCAAGGATGGTTAAGAGGTTAGGATGTTCCTGGACGAGAGATAGGATCGTACGTGACACCCAGTATCGAGTCAGTCACGGCAGCACGGATCTTAGACTTGATCTGAGACGCGGTATCCGTCAAGAGGATACGAGACGCCGTGTCCGGTGATGACTTGGACATCTTGGATGTCGGGTCTCTGAGCGACAGTATTCGTTTCGACAGGCGCTGTTGCAAGTCGCTGTCTAGTGGGCTACAGATGAAATCGCTCCTCACTTACCATTGAGGTATATAGGAAGGGGGAATAATGGCTTTTCTCCTTTGAACGTACGATTGAATGTTTCCGCAAGATCTCGTGTTAGTTCTATGTGTTGTTGTTGATCTTCTCCAACGGGAACATGGGTAGCCCTATAGGCACAATAAGTCAGCAAACCTGTCGACAGGATGCGCTCGGTTCCGACCTGTATACGAGTATGTCCGCAGCTTGAAGAACAGGATACGTGAACAAGCCCGAGTTCAAAAGCGATTCGTCCACTTCGGTCTCTGAGGTGGCATTCCTAGAAGTGGCCAACCGAGACTGAGATGGCATCAGATGATTGACTCGGTAGGCGATAACGATGCATTCACCTTCCATGTTGTCATTCGACGCAGTTTGCCAACCGGGGTCAAGCAGTTCAGGATCCAGCACAGTTCTACGTGGTGTGAATTCTAACAGGTGGATCAGCTACACGGACATGCTTTGAGAAATCGCTACTTACGTGGTCTTGGTGAAATAGAATGGATTGTTCGGGGTCGAGCCCTATAGCCAACAAAACTGCCAACATGTCATCTCTGGACGACCGTAGCACAGCGGGATCTTGGGGCAAAGTCAGCGCATGCCATCCGACGATAGAGAAGAGCAATGTGTCGCCGGGGTCTGCTGTCTTTTGTAGTTTAACCCAGTTAGAGAGGGCTCCGAGGTAATTTCCGAGCTGTATTGCCAGCGCTGTCAGAGTGTTGAGTATCCGGACAGAGAACAGCTAAACTGACATGGGGAATGCCTGTCGGCTGAATACCAGACAAAACAACGCGTTTCTGAGACGGTTTTGTCGACTGTGAGATCTGTCTGTAGTCGGCTTGGGCGATGGCTGATGCGGCGCCGCAGAGTTGCTCGTTGACATGCGCGCAACATGCCAAGTCCCAATTGGTAAAACCCAATTCTCAGTCGTCATACGTTGGACGCCATCATGGACGACGGATACCAAATGCTAGACAACGACAACTACGAGGACGTCACGGCTCTGTTTGAACAAGCCAGTCAAGGTAAAGTGGATTCAAAGTTCTTGCCATCCCAAATGATCACAATCGATCTTTTGCAGATATGCAACCTGGTACTTTACTGTTCGATAAAGACTTTTCGTTGCACGACTCCATGGCCGCTTTCGAAGTATGTCCACGTTGATTTTCCCATCGATACCACACTCGCCGATGCTTGACAGATTGGCGAGCCCCGCTTTGACAGTGGTCTCTCGCTTTTGGATGACTCGCGACCACCCTTCGATTCCCTCACGCCGCTCTTACCAGAGGAGGTTTGCTGGATAATCGATCGTGCATTTTCTTGCGAGGTGTGTCCGTTACCCGCTTTTATATTCCAAGTTTGGTTCTGAGACATCACCGCTCAGATGGCATGGCATGCTGGTTGCACTCTCTCACAGACGGTCTTTTCTTTCTTATACGTCCACGCCTTGCCTAACATGGATCCGGATACAATCGCCCAATCGCACCATGGTGAATATGACAGAGCAAGGCCGATCGAGCTTGTCAGTGTCGTTCTCAGAGCCTCGGTACTTGGGCTGCTGAAGTGTTGTGATCTCGCATGGAGGGAGCTCATCAAGGGAAACGTTTATGACGTTCGTCTGTGCATGAATTCCTCCGTTACTCATACCTCACCCTCTTCTTCAGTCTGAGGACTGGCAGAGCGAGAAATGTGATGTACCAATGTCCGAAACGTATCCTGTAAGTCGCATCTTGGGCATCCTGGACGAAGCCTGTATTTGGATTCGAAATTCCTCCCGAGGTGAGTGATGAAACTACTAAATACAAGCACCTCGTAACACGTTCGAGTTAGTCCGGTCGACGTGGAGGACTGCGCTTTTCCACCGCCTCGTCCTGCGAAAGGTCATACTCGGTGCTCGTTGCATCCCCTTTCTGACCCCACAGTAGACGCTCGTCGAACTCTTGTCAGCCCTGCTGTCAAAGGATTACTTCCGTTTTCAACCACTCGTTGAGACGGCCCGCACTATGCTGCAGCATGTGCGCGCTTCTCCTCCGCCTCCTCCTCGACCATCCTCCCCCGCACTGTGCGTGTTTGATCCGCAGTTCCCGCGAGTCCTCGTGTCTGCGATTCCTCTCCACCCAATACAGCTACCAGATCAAAGCAGCGTATGGGATACGTTAACAGGCCTTCTCGACTCTGTAGAGCAACTCGCCATCCTGACCGAGATACCCGATCTCTCTACGTGGGACGTAAGTATTTATCTTTCTTGTCTAGATCATCACACTTAGCGCAGTGCACACTAGGTCGTTGGCACGCTTCGTATCTGGCAGCCTAAGCCGAATCAATCTTTGGCTTACATCCGGTCCGCTTTCCAGGTATGCTCGCCTTTTTTAACAATTTTCTATCGATGCCAACCGACGTCACGTTGTGCAGTCAGCTATTTATGAAAACGGAATTATTTTAAACAAATTTCTTCAGAAACATGCAGTGGACTGTTTTTTCATGGAAGCATTGCAGATATCTTATGATTCATTTATTTCTTCTTTTCAAACCCAATGGGTTGGTCCGGATTCTTTGCCACTGGGACATATCGAACGAACCATCACTCAGGTACGATTGATCGATTTTGATGACACCCGCGTGGTACTGAGGGGGCGGAGTAGCTCGTGGTTGGTCGCATCAAGTCGCACTGGTATAATCCTTCGCGGCGACGGAGATATTGCATGAAGTCGTTATTTGATTGGCACGAGTTGTATGCACTTCTGACAGATGTTCAGAAGCATCTGGCCCCTATTGTAAGTAATATCGCAGAATTATTCACTTTCTCTCCGCATTAACGATGTTCTCAGCAGTCCGGAATAGATGTCGTTGGGAAGCTGCGACCCGTGGTACTCATGTATAGATTCGAAACGATTCGCGAAATTGTTCTATCCGGGTTTCAGCTCTCACTCTACTCTGCCAACGAGCGCCCTTTCGCGTACTGGTACCTCGCACAGGTGCTAGAGCAGCATCTTGCCTGTTCCGATGAGATAATCGATGTACTCCCGAGTAAGTAGCAAGTTTGCGACGTCGCTGTATATGCTATTAAAGGTAGCAGTAGATTCTGTTCCACATTTCGAGTTCCAGTTCCGTGCAAGGTATTTGACGGCTTTACAAGCGCTTTCATTCACCCTATTCGCCGTACGCATTTTTCTGCTTCATCCCCTGCCATTGACTGACTGCTGATACCAGGTGACCGTCAAGACGATGGGCTCTTCGTGGGAACGGCTGAGGCTCAACTTTCTACGTCGCTACAAGTGGGCGTTCGTGCACGAATATGCGGATATTGACATCCCTCCTGTTGGTCACCCTAACTTCCTCATCTTTGCCACCAATTGCAGTGCAATCTTGCAGGTGCGTTCAACAGCGTAGGCAATTCGGTTGTAGATTGGGCCTGATGCGTGTTGGGACAGGACAAAGAGTTCTCGCCTGTTGAGCAGGTCGAACTCGCAGAACGACTCCTTACGGAGTCCAATACAGCACTTGGCCAAATGGCAGGACCATGGACTCTAGATCGGAAGGAGGTATAGAAAACCTCTGTTTCGCCGAAACTAGGAGACTGACGTTCTCCCGATTTTCTTTCTAGTTCGTGTCAAAAATGGTGGGTGGGTGTCGTGATTTGAGGAGCTTACCGAAGAGTATGGACGAATTGCGGACGTGGGACGTTGGGCAATTAGTTTGGGATCCGGAGGTGCAGCCCTGGTTTCCATTTATGCGGAATTGCTCGTAGGTTGGACTGTAAGCTCCTTAGCACACAGCGTTGCCTGAGCTGGTAGTTATTTGCTGTCGCTGACTCCTCTCATACATATGCTTTTATCTGGTGGGGTTTGTTTGTGTTCGTCCGACTGAAATTGGACGTGTCCGGAAGAATGGCTGTGGTTTTACCTCATCTTAGCACCGAACTTTACAGCTGACGTCGATCGGGTCTAGGTAAACTTGGCTTTCAATACCTCATTCACTCTGGGCTACCGCTTATTAGATATGTTCTTTTTACCCGGGAAGCGGTTCGCGCTCGAATAGTGTTCCGCTGGCACCCGTGCGCCGCATTTGCCGGAAGCAATAAACAAAAACAGTCTCGTGATATTCCTGATTGTAAGAGTTCCAAATAGGACGATTCTGGGCAAAGGCAAGCATAAACAGGGCATCATCAGAATTGGACGGAAGCAAGTAACATATGTTAGGCTCGGGCATGCGATCGAGATGGGTGAGTAGGTAGCATTTCGTTACGACGCTGAATGCAAGAGATCGTTCCAAGTACTTTCCCTCCACTTTTACACCGAGTGCAACTGTTCCCCGCGAATGAACTTGGGTGAATATCTCTAACGCAGCAGCTGGCTGAAAAGCGGGCTGCAATTTTGTTTAACCCGTCGTGACGCAAAACCAGGTGATGGACGAGCACTTACCACTTCGTGACCAGCGCCAAAGACCCTCCTGTAGAGATGGAACATCGTGAACCGATGGTCATTTATACTTGATAGGAGGGGATGGCACGTACGCAAAGGTGAAGTTGTCCACATTTGCCACTGAGGCAATAGGTGTTCCATCGAGGGTTATATTGGTAAGAAGGGTGTTATTTAGCTCTTCCTTTCCGTACCAGTCCATCGCAAGAACAACTGCATAATTCTGGAAGCGGCCAAACGGTCATTCCATGTGTGAGGAATCAGTTAGTTGTCTACTTACACCAACCCAGTTGCATCTAGCTCACGCAGGCGGTCAGGGGACTAAGGAAAACAGAAATAGCAGGCTCACATGATGTCAGTATCACCAGCCTTGGCGAGCGATGCTGGATCAGAGGCTGCCAAACACGAAGGTGCCATAACATACCCATATCAAGGTCTTCAATCCAGAGTTGGCTAGCTGAGACAGCTCTGGCAACCAGGTTCGGGCAAACTAGGAACAGAAAAAGACTATGAGCTTAACGATTCGGGCCCCATATCCACTAGCACCCTCACATCGCCGGTATTAATAATCTTATAATATTGCCTGTTTGGACATTCTTTGTAAGTAGTCTCGGCACCAATCTGCTTCTTCACACTCTCAATTGAGAGGTACTTGACGTAGTATTTAGGAGGAAATAGGGCTGAAGAATTCTGACGGAGGTCATACGGATCATAGTTACCAATGGCCGCAGTCAATACGTAGTTCTCCTATAGTCCGGTTCTAAGTGAGGTCATAATAGAACCAGTGAAGTACATACACAGTAGTTGTAGGCATTGAGGCAAACTGAATCCGAGGCGGTGGAATTTCCAGCAGCGTAGCAAGCTTGCTCTTGTTGCACGCAGCCGCCTTCACCCCACAGGGCTTGGGAGATGTTTGCCAAAACTGCGTCCGAGAGGAGTTGCCCGTATCCAGGGGCATTCTCCGCAAACGTGTAGTAAGCAATGTTTTGAATCAGGGGATCGATCCATCCACTAAAGAGTTTAAGTTGGGGTTTGGACGATCGCAAAACACTTACTCGTTGATTAATAACGCAGTGACTGCGATTGGCTCTGCGTCAAGAGTGCCATCCACGATCTTTGCATTTTGTTGGTCGAAATAGGTGACAAAAGCAGGACCGTAATGACCGCCATAACTCTCAGTTGCAAACACGAACCTGACGGTGAATGTTTACTTCCAGACATCATCAAGGCCGGTCGGACAGAAGAGGCGTACTCGCGACTGCTATACTTGGCAAACGCTTGACTCTCAAAGAGGACTTGGAAAACCTGCCAGACGAAAGGTGCCGCCGCCTCCGTACTGTTCACTGTGTCGGTGCCATAGGAGAAACCCGTTCCGATAGGCTGGTCGATATAGATCACTTCGGAGAAGAGAAGTTTGGGATACCTTAATATCAGCGTGCACTGGGTCTAATTATACGTACTATTGCTCACGTTGTTCCAACTTCAGAGGACAATTACTCAGCAACACGTTACCGCTTAAACGGCGACTCGGTACATCACCTGTACGGGTTTAGATAGGTCGTTTCCCCATCTGGATTGACCTTGCAAGGCCCGTTTTCTGAGGAAAAACCTTCAGCACTCCACAGTAGTACTGCTTTCCAGTACCCTTTACCTTGGAAAAGACCTATCATGGACGAACATCCTGGCCCACCATTTATCCTAAGTTGCAGTCAGTGTGTCAGCATCTGTGAAGCAACGGAACAGAGTGCCCCACCAGAGAGTGAAGGGTGCCGTCTCGGGCGAGTTGTGTGCCTCAAAGAACCAAAACCACTGTGTCGACGTCAGCCATGGACCCGTCATGCCAACAAGGAAGTCCAACTTTACCATGGACATATTCTTCCCCACCTCAACATATCCAGAATATTGTGTTACGTTCGGCGTAGTCTCACAGATACCAGAGTCCATGACATAGCGCAGGTCTGTGCCACTGAACTTGGTGGAGGTGAACTGGACATATGATGACGCTGCGTCTCGGCCAAAAATGCTGGTTCTGGCGAAAGCGGCGCTCGCGAGCGCCGTGATAATACTGGGCAAAATCAGGGTTGTAAGTCGCATGCTGCCTCTAACGGGGGACCCGAAGGTGTACCCAGTCTCGAGTAGGGTGCAGCCCTATAAGTAATCTGGCTGAGTGTCCAGTATCTAATCCGTATGTGGCCATGCGCGGCAATGCGAGATAGCGTCAACCTATCATGGCATCGAAATATAGCGGCGACACACACGTACTCCCTCAAAAACAAACATTGATGCCGTTGTGGAGGCAGGACAAAAAAATTTACCGGGCATCATGCAGTTCACCGAAACCCTTTGATCGGCCGCCTTGCAGAGGGGAATCTGAGGCAACTCGGAAGAGATCACAAGGTGCGCATCTATTGATAAATTTGTACAAATCAGCGTATTTCCACTCGGTTCTTTCACATAACATATCGGTTGGAAGAGGAATAGAGCGGCATGAAATGAAAACGGCCTCCTAATATTCCCGACAACGGTAAGGATTCCAGTCAGCAGAGTTCGAATCAAGCGCGTCGCTCGTGGTGAGTTTGTTGTCTGGTTAGAGACAGCGGCGTTGTGGACAGCTTGTCGCAAATTTATTTGGTCCGTTGTCACGTGCCCCCATTGTAAGCAGCATGTAATGGACCACTTGCCATTATAATGGTCAGGTTTGGCTAGATTATAGCAAATATGTGATATTTTATCTAAGATATAGTGCAAATGTGTAAAATATTATGTACAAATACCCATTTTTGGCAATCTTTCAATGACACATGGGTGGCATTGGCATGGCTTATAACGGAAGTGTGAACAGCCACCCTTAACATGTATTATAAGGTTCTTATCACGTGCCCAAGAAATTTGCGACATGTCTATTTTCCCGTTTTGGCATTTCATTTGTCGTCTGAAGTCAAGTCAGGTCCATATCATGCGGTGACACTCTACGAGGCACACGACTCACTGGGACCATCTACGACGTGAAACGGGAAACGCAGAACTTAACGACCAAGATGGTTCGGATGAAGTGTTCCCACAGCACCAAAAAGAGATGGTGACTGTGAAGACTGACACCAAATGCTATGACGGAGACGAAGTCCAGACCACCCAGGGAACCTAAAGTGATACCCCAGAACTTAGAAGCACCTCATCCGACCTTGGAGAGATGGAGAGAGGCATACAATGCAGTCAAAGAAATGCGTTTATGGGTAACCGCCCCGGTGGATACGACGGCCTGTGACCAGGCGGCTTGGTGGAAGGAGCAGACCAGATGGTACGTCCATCCATCAAGTCCTAGCTGCCCAGCTACGTCTTGTGTGAACCACTTTCTGGTTGCTTACCTCAAAAGAAGAACAAGTGCTTTGCTACTCTCATTTCGCTAATGCTTTCGTCTCAGACAAAGGACGAAGTCATGCATACCGCAGTGACGAGAGTACGTACGGCAGTGGGTGAGTCACTTTCTGAAGACGCTGTCATAGCTGCAGAGGAGGCTATCATTTCAGAGGTCATATCTAAGATCCGATTCGGAGACGGAAAATGCAGTGCATGTTACCGGCTTCTTTGGGATCATGTGCTAAAGATGTGACGGATATATTAAGCAGGCAGCTCAACGACTACGCAACAACCCTGATTCGGACGTACCAAAGACGGTGGACGGGCTATGTTCGCTCCTGGGCTTTAGACCCAAGTTGCCATTTCTTGCACTTCGGGTAGCATGGAACCTATGAGGTGCTACGACCACACCCCTTTCATCCACTCACGACATATCCAAGAAATCTCGGAATTGAGTAGATGTTCGTGTTCACAGAATAACTAACTGACTGGGTTGGCACCGGGTGCCAACGAAGAATCCCGCAGAGACGAGATATGTGTTACACATGACACTCTTTTCACAGGTCGTGCCTCCATTTGACGTGAATCATCTACAGGCTGAAACGATCTAAACTGTTCGCATAATTCAAACTAGAAGATAGGGCCGTTAGGGACGGCAGGTACCTTGTTTACGGATGCGACATAGATCTCCATAATTTACATGCAAGATTTCGATGTCTAAAGATCATATACCACTCATCGCTCCGTTGTCAACTCCTCTGTCTCCGCAGCGTCTCCCCGTCCTTGTTCGCAAGTACGCGGTGCGGTAGTGCATTGACACTGGGCTTGGACGGGCTAAGCTTACAATCCTACATAATTCCATGCCCACAATTCATTGCCACCATGATTTGGATCGGACTTTGTTTATGGGAAGATCGTGGATGCCGAAAAATGAGCGAGGAATTTCCAGGTGCAGTGACCTCGTAAACAAAGTGATTATAAGCGAAAAGGCAATACTTTCGTGTGTGGCGGGCCACGCAGGTGCAAGGTGAGCTTCTTGGTTCCTGCGTACAAACTAAATTTCCAATCCTTGTTTCCCCTTTATTTCATTACTAGTGCAACAGATTTCTCTTGATGACCGATGCTCGACGTTAGCAACATTCGATGTGATCGAATTGCTCGGTCAACTTATGGTGGGTTATGCGCCTTCGCTCTTCCTTGCAGTGTTTGCTGCTAGATACTTCCGTATCAAAGCTAAGAAGCCTGATCCATCCAGAGTCCGGATTCCAGGGTGGGAAAACCGAATTTCGCTACTCGCCAGAGAGTTTGCGATCGTCATAGTGGAGACCTTGCTTAGCCACAGTGTGTGGTCACTGCTGGCATTACTACCATCGTGCCGATGTGCAGAGTCGTGCTGAACTGCTCATTCACTCGTTATCTTGCTGACACCATATTTGGTGATTGAGAATCACATCTGATCTCATTCCCTACTTGAGGTCTTCCACACTCGTCGGATAATATGTATAGCGACAAGTGGACTATCACGCATAATCATATCAAACCAAGGCTTCCTATGCCTTCCCACACCAAGGTGTCGCATCTAGAGAGTAGAAGCGGCGCTGAATGGGAAGAATAAGGAACCCTGGGTGGAATATATTAAGCGTAAAGATAGCAAGGACGACCATGCCACCATCCAGGACATCTATATAGACCCGTTAGCTAAAAAGTGGATAACCATTCAAAGTGCCAAACGCACTGAAATACAACTGTGTGGATATAATCCGTCCATTCCACCCGTCTATCAATTCCACGGTCCGGTAGACAGCCCTGGCGAAGAGTGATAGATCAGTCGCTAGGCGCGATAGTAATGAGAACATGGAGTATTACCGGATGAATAAGCAGGTCGTGTTGAATCCCATCGCATACAATGATATCTTTATACGTGAGTCTATTCCAAGCTTATATGCAATAGATTGGTGACGCTCCAAATCGTCAGCGGGTGGCTTGAGCGGCTGGTCATATGCGTAACGGAGAAGGAATTCGCTCGAAAAGATAACAAAAAGCGTGATGGCGACTGGTCGATAGACGTCCCGTTAGATGACAACGACAAAGATGGTGCGTGGGGACGAACCCATTTGCATGATGATACCGATGAGCATGACATTGCCACCCTGCCAATGAGGGTGAACAACGGAGAAATGAGACCCACGACGCAACTTACGGTAGTGGGGTTCTTTCCGTTACCAGCGGCCATTGCTGCCAAAGCACCTCCGACACCTTGAATAGTCAAAGAGATGGCGTCCTAGATAATACTTTTAGGCGAACAGTAGCATATACAGTAATTCTTGAGAACGCACACTCGAGCAGAATAATATTGTGTCTGCAAAATACGACTTTAAACAAGACGCTGGTAGGTGGACGGAAGTGTATACGTACACATCTTGGGGCTCAGCCTACTGTAACGGGGACCAAGAGCCTTGATGATATACTCCAGGGTCACGAAGTTGGCTGCTATCAAGGGGGTTGGACCAGTAATAGTAGCAGATATTCTAGAATTTGGCGAGTAAGATGTCAGGAATCACTGCCAGTACAAAGAATGCGCACTGTACTTCAAAAGGAACGAGCGCACGGGGATGGCTGCTGGAGTATAACCTTGCGCTCCATCCAACCAGCTCTGACACTCCGCAAAATACGGCTGTCGGGAAGAGCCACCACATGCGGAACCGCACAGCTTGGACGATGTGCGCAACTGAGACAGTCAGTATGATCTCGTTTTGATGGCATGCGTGTATAACTTACGTGTAGATATTGCAAACAAGATGACGAACGCAATACCAACATCTCGGGATGGAACGTAGTTATAGGGACCAATTCCAGTATTACCTGCTAGGTCAGGACTGGACACGCGAGCTAACAGTAGTGGTTAACGACAGCCTAGCAGAAAATATTATCCGATACCCACTCATCAAAGAAGTCCAAGCCGTGTTCATGATTGGAGTCTATTTCTGCCAGGGAGTCTAGTCGCCAGCCGTAAATTGCAAAAGTTCGTAAGCTGCGCTACCAGAGCGCAGTGGACAAGGAGTGGCGCGAACGAGAGTGAAAGGAGAAAGAAATGGTGATGGACTAGCACCAGCGAAGAGATCAGCGTAGCAAAGGAGGGATTTATATACGACACACACCTCGAATAAAGCTGTGCAGTGGACTTGACATCGTATAATCGCTGGTATGATTTGAGGGAGAAAGTGTACAGCCGACCAGGTTGTGCATCAAAATTCAGTGAAGGCTGTCATGGCAGTTGCCCTTCACACCTGTCTTTGGAGTTATGGCTGCCCCAGCTGGGGTCAGTTCATGGTCAGACTATCGGGCGACATCAGGCGCCAGCATCAACGTTGACAACAATGCATGTGCATATGAGGCGCATAAGTATCCACCAAAATGCAGTGCAATTGTCAATCAGCAATCAACGTTACAACGTCAAGCCTGGCTGTTTACCGGCATAGGTTTCCGAGTTCTCAATCTGCAGAATGGTTTTTGCATATAGAGATGAGGCAGGTTGAACCCATGGCTGGCTGTTGAGTAGTGGCTGCAAGGTAGTTGCCCCGACTTCTTGTTCAATGGTACACAAGCTGGTTCCGCCCATGTGTCCTCCTGGGCGGAACTAGCTAACCCACAACTCGAACTCGTCATTTAAGTATTGAACGCTGGGCGATAGGCCCATTTCCTGGCGACCGACAGGCACGCTGAAGTGTGCTAGTGACCATTTGACGGGATGACTCGGAAAATCCGACCTCGGTGATTTTCCGTGGAAACTTGGTCTAGGTTGCTGTCATTATTCGTTGATATCAAGGATGGACACAGTACAGAGGTACAGGACTTCCAATCCATACGAGAAGGCTTTTGGGTACTGCAGAGCCCTCAGAAAGGGTCCCTTCATCTTCGTGTCCGGCACAACCGCCGTCGACGTCACCACCGGGAAAGTCGACCATCCTTCCTCTGCTTATCACCAAGCCCTCAAGGCACTCAAGGAGCTCGTGGTGGCCGTGGAGTCCTTAGGTGGGAACAAGGCTGTCATTGTCCGGGTTCGGATGTTTGTGATTCACGAGAGCGATGCTACTGAAGTCGCCCGGGCGTTGAAGGAGGAAATAAAAGACGTTGAGCCTACAGCCACTATGATTCTGGGGGCCAAGTTTGTGTCCCCGGACATGCGTGTTGAGATCGAGGCCGACGCCGTAGTATCGCTCTAGTGCGTTTCTTGCATCCGGATCAACTAGCTTCCTCTGACCTTCAATCCTCGACAGGCACGCTGGAGTGCAATTGTATCTTATTTGACGTATTATGACACCTTCGTGGGGTTGAATACCCTTTTCTCCATTCCGTTGCCTCGCTGTGGACAGTGAAACTCATACTTGGCATGAAGCCTCAGGACACAACAGAGATAGGTCCTCTTCTGTACCACCTCGCGGGTATTCATTGGAGATACTCGCTCCCGAAGCTTACCTACTCATGAAGTTTCGTAGTGTGCACGTGTAGTGCAGGTCCCGTAGGTGCTGTGACAGTTCCCATCACGATGCGATTAAGTATGTATTGTTCTGAGGCGAATAATGCCCACAGATTCCTTACTCCACTCCTCTCTTGCTCTCGACCTTTCAACATGTCAGTCACTGCTTCGCTTCCAGTTCCCCACTACAATGCGGCACTTCCCACAAAAGCCGATTGTGAGCTGCGCTCTCTATCGTACGAGACTGGCTGACATCACTATAATGTGATGATGCGGCAGTGGACTGTGCCGATCTTCCTACGATTAATCTATCCAAGATGGAGAGCGCGCAATGCCGCGCCGCACTTGCATTTCAAGTCCGGGATGCACTACTTACCCATGGGTTCTTCTACGTCGTCAACCACGGATATTCACAAGCTCAGGTGAGTTTGACTCTGTGGCGCTGTGATTGGAAACCTGTTCTTGCCCCTTCTGAAAAGACAGATCGCATGTTTGATATCACCGATGTGCCATTTCCTGCGTGAGCGACGAGGAGAAACGCCTGTATGCCGACATAGATCAAGAGACTGGTTGGTACCGGGCGTATAAACTACGACAACATTGGGTACATTTTCCAACGATATGTCTCCTCCCAACGTTCTCGTGTTAACCGAACGGATTATATAGCACATTGACGCTGTTGTCCGTGACCATATCGAGTTTATCAACAGTAAGTACTACATTAAAGTCGTCCTGGTAGAGAGCCTCCATGACTCATCTTTTTCTGGAGTAGATCGAGACGTCCACAAACAAGGTCATCCTGAAGCATTACGACCTTCCCCGAGGTCGAGGATTTTGTTCGGTTCAATCACGCCAATGTTCTATTTGCCGTCCTGAGGTCCGTCAGCGCAATCTGTCAAATGCCTTTTCTTTTTCATTGGTGGCGCGCAGACTCATTGCACTAAGCCCGGAACTTCCTGAATATGCATTGGTCAAACTCCGTAATTGCAACGGCCTCGGAGAGGCTTTCGGTACGTAGAAGTTAGGGGTACCAACTCAGGCTCACATCGTTCACAGTCAAATTTATCAAATAGCGAGTCTATTAACACATCTTTTGTGTAGTATAATCAACTCAACATGCATCCCTCCTTTCAGTTATCCCTGCTCTACGGAGGATGAAGAGAAAACAAACAATGTTTGGTTCAAGGGACATACAAGTCTGTCGAAAGGCATTCTACGTCTGTATATTGGCTGATACTAACGTTTGCCCACTCCATTTGCGGTCCGTTGCAGATCCTGGAAGCATAACGACTCTATGGAGCCAACCAGTCGCGGCATTGCAAATTCTCGGAAAGGACAGCAAATGGCGTTGGGTCAAGCATGTCGAAAACGCTCTCTTAAGACCTGGTTTTATTACTTCTTTTTTTTTTTTAGGAAGAAATTGGAGAATTTTTGACTGCTCTGCGAGTAAAACTTCTCTTATGTGTCATCTAACAGATCGTGAATGCTGGCGACGCGATAGACTTTCTCACGGGTGAGTATTACATGGGGACCATCCATCGTGTTGTCCAACCTCCCGGATCAACAACAATACACTCGTCTAGGCGCTTTGTATGTTGCCATGACCGATTGTGACGTCAAGTTGGTGCCGTTGTATGAGTCCCCTGTCTTGAAGAGGGTCGGGATCAACCCTTGTTGCGAGAATAGTGCTCCAACGATGTTAGAGTGGCGGAGGAGAAGAGCGAATGGGTATGGTCGGACCGAACTCAGACCAAGTAAAGACAAGGGAGTCGAGGAGGTCATTGATGGTGTAGTCGTCAAACATTACAATTGACATCAAAGAAACAAGTGTCCTCTCTGTTCTACATCAACAGGGAAATTCAAAGACCTCCACAGGAATATGAGACCACACTATCTGCCATGAACTCGCCAAGCCCTTAGTCTCGATCCAGATGTTACGGATCGCCTTGGGAGACTTCGAAGTTGTCCTCACTGTTCTTACCGGCTCGATTACCAGGGCCGGGCCGAACTGTGAATATAAGGGCTTATTCCAGTTGATGTAATGTGAACGACAAAGTAGACTGAATTTCTTCAAATTGCGAATCCACACGTTCCCTCGTGATGGAAAATCGCTCAGCATATACATCTAACCGCACATGCACTTGTGTTCTTGGAGTTCGATATCGTCAGTCAAGGCAGAGAGGTACAAATGAAGGCGATCATGTCCAGGTACATACTAGTAACTACAAGTCAAAGGCCTTGCGTACGAGTGAGATGCATGTACGACTTTCTTTTTCTTTTTCTTTTTCTTTGTCTTTGGAACTTCTTTCACCCCTGGGTTTAACGGTGAAGTCTCTAAAGAAACCATCCACGAGCTTCATCGTCTTAAACTCCTCTCGCACTGCAGCCAACTTCAGTGCGTTCTCGAATCCTATGAGACGCCCTTCCTCTACACTGATCGGCTCGGACCGTTTGGTCAACTCAACTAGAGCAGGAAGTTGCCACTTCTTGATCTGGTACTTCGAAGCGAGGACCAATTTGTTAACTGGGTCAAGAGGCCGGGAAGGCGAATCCAGACATTGGATGGCGGCATCACGCAACTCATTGAACTCCCACATCGTCGATAACTTGAGAACTGAAATCCATTGAGCTCTGCCTAAGCTCGAGCCCTTCTGTTTCCCATGTTGTCTGGCATATGGTGCAGGTGTCAGCTACGGATGGAGAATAATGGAGAGACGGACCTGTTCAATAGAGCTCGTAACAAGCTTTCAAATTCCTTCTTGGAAACGCCTTGCAGGGTCACTGGGCATGTATCACTCTGACCTTCAACCGTCTCCGAGTCACCTTGGGGGAGAAGAAACATGTCCCTGAAGACAGTTGACTCCGCCTCCAATGGCCCCCGAGGAACGCGAAAAAGACAGTCCTCTACTTGGGTGAAGGGTAAGCTGGAGGGTGGCGGCAGAAAGTAGGGTGACACGCACGAGGAAGGTTACTGTGTGAATATAAAATTCCAGATACTTCGACCGTCTCAGAGTGCAGTCAGCCATGGAAACGACGAGAGAAAAGGTGACCTGCAGGGCGTGTCGACGGTATTAATCGATGATCACAACACGTGAACTGAGCGCTCGAGAGTCATGCGGCAACCAAAGATAAAGATGTTAAGAACAGAAATACCAGCACTGGGAGTGCCCTGAAGGGATCACACTATCTGCCATGAACCTTGCCAAGTTCTTAGTCTCGATCCAATGTTATGGATCACCCCGAGAGGATTCTGAAGTTGTCCTCGCTATTTTTACCGGCCCGATTACCGATGCCGGGCCGAACATATGGGCTTGTAATGGAAAATCGCTCAGTATATCTAACCGCACATGCGCTTGTGCTCTTGGGAGTTCGATATCGACAGTCAAGGAAAGAGGTACAAATGTAAGGCGATCACGCCCAGGTACATACTGTACTAGTAACTACAAGTCAAAGGCCTTGCGTACGAGTGAGGTGCATGTACGACTTTCTTTTTCTTTGTCCTTTGGAACTTCTTTCATCGCAGGGTTTAAGGGTGTAGTCTCTAACGATAACATCCAAGAGCTTCATCTTCTGAAACTGCTCTCGCACTGCAGCCAACTTCAGTGCGTTCTCGAATCCTATGAGACGCCCTTCCTCTACACTGATCAGCTCGGACCGTTTGGCAAACTCAAGTAGAGCAGGAAGTTGCCACTTCTTGATCTGGTACTTCGAAGCGAGGACCAATTTGTTAACTGGGTCAAGAGGCTGGGAAGGCGAGTCCAGATGCTGGATGGCGGCATCACGCAACTCATTGAACTCCCACATCGTTGATAACTTGAGAACTGAAATCCATTGAGTTTTGCCCAAACGCGAGCCCTTCTGTTTCCCATGTTGTCTGGCATATGGTGCAGATGTTAGGTTGCGGATGGAGAATAACCGATAGACGGACCTGTTCAATAGAGCTCGTAACAAGCTTTCAAATTCCTTCTTGGAAACACCGTGCAGGATCACTGGGGATGTATCACTCTGACCTTCAACTGTCTCCGAGTCACCTTGGGGAAGAAGAAACATGTCCCTGAAGACAGTTGACTCCGCCTCCAATGGCTCTCGAGGAACGCGAAAAAGACAGTCCTCTACCTGGGTTAAGGCTAAGCTGGAGGTGGCGGCAGGAAGTAGGGTGACACGCACGAGGAAGGTTACTGTGTGAATATAAAATTCCAGATGCTTCGACCATCTCTCTGAGAGTGTGCAGCCCGCCATGGAGGTGACGAGATAAGGTGACCTGGGCGTGTCGACGGTATCAATCGATGACTATAACACGTGGACTGAGCGCTTGAGAATCATGCAAGACAACCAAAGACTGGTAAAAAATCGCCTGACGTCCATCGCGAAGTTAGCTGCTTTAGGAGGGACTAGAGTCACTTGACACGCAAAGACCTCTCCGTTGGCCACAGCTCCTTCTGATCTTCAACCCCTGACGGCTTCGATCTGTACCACCAGGTGTCAGACCCCGTGGGCGTTGTGGCAGTTCCTGTCGTGGTGGTATGTACTGTACACTCTGAGACGAACAACGTCCGCGGATTCATCTCTCCCTCTCGATCTTCCTATCATGTCAGTGACCGCTTTGCCCCCAGTTCCCCATTACAACGCGGCACCTCCCACAAAAGCCGACCGTAAGTTGCATTTCTCTATGTACGATTGACCACGACTAGACTCATCACTGAAATATAATGATGCGGCAGTGGACTATGCCGATCTCGCTACGATCGATCTATCCAAGATGGAGAGCGCGCAAGGTCGCGCCGCACTTGCATCTCAAGTTCGGGATGCACTACTCACCCATGGGTTCTTCTACGTCGTCAATCACGGGTATCCACAAACTCAGGGGAGTTTGACTTCATTATGCCGGATTGGAAATCTGTTCTTACCCCATCTTCCCCCCTATCTGAAAAGAGAGATCGCATGTTTGATATCGCCGATGTACCGTTTTCCTGTGTGAGTGACGAGGAGAAACGGTTATATTCCGACATAGATCAAGAGGAAACCGGTTGGTACCAGGCGTATAAACTACGGCAATACTGGGTATGTATACCATGTTCGTCTCCCAATGTTGTTGTGTTAACCGAGCGGGTTATGTAGCATATCGATGCTGGAGTCCGTGACCAGCTCGAGTATATCAACAGTAAGTGTGCTACTTCAAAGTCGTCTATGTAGATGCCTTTCGTCCCTGACTCATTCTTTTCTTCAGTTGATCGAGACGTTCACAAGCAAGGTCATCCTGAAGCATTACGACCTTTTCACCCCGAGATCGAGGAGTTTGCTCGGTTCAATCACGCCAACGTTCTGTTTGCCGTCTTGAGGTCCGCCATTGCAATCGGCCAAATACTCTCTCGTTGAAATTGGTAACTCGCAGGCTCATTGCACTAAGCTTGGAGCTTCCTGAGGACGCATTGGTCAAAATCCATAATTGCAATGGCCTTGGAGAGGCTTTTGGTAAGTAGAGGTTAGGATCGTGGAACCCGAGCTCATACCACTCACAGTCAGATTTATCAAATAGTCGGTGATCAGTGCGAGTTTTATGCACAATAATGAGCTCAACGTGCACCCCTCCTTTCAGTTATCCCCGCTCTGCGGAGGATGAAGAGAAAACAAACAATGTTTGGCTCAAGGGACATACGGGTCCGTCGAAGGCCATTTTTACGTTTGCAGTCACTAAATGTTTTCCTGCTACGTTTGCATGTCCGTTGCAGATTCTGGAAGCATAACGATTCTGTGGAGCCAGCCGGTTGCGGCACTACAAATCCTCGGCAAGGATGGCAAATGGCGTTGGGTCAAACACGTTGAAAATGCTCTCGTAAGTCCTTACTTTTTTTTTTGATTGATTGCAAGTATAACTTTCTACTGTGTCGTTTATGTAACAGGTCGTAAACGCCGGCGATGCGATGGACTTCCTCACGGGTGGATATTACAAAGGGACCATTCACCGCGTTGTCCAGCCCCCTCCAGATCAACAACAGTACACTCGTCTCGGCGTCTTCTATTTCACTATGACCGATGGCGACGTCAAGTTGGTGCCGTTGTATGAGTCCCCTGTCTTGAAGAGGGTTGGGATCAACCCTCGTTGTGAGGATAGCGTCGCTCCGACGATGTTGGAGTGGCGGAGGAGAAGAGCGAATGGGTATGGTCGGACCGAACTCAGACCAAGCAAAGAAAAAGGAGTCGAAGAGGAAATCATCAATGGTTTAGTCATCAAACATTACAATTGAAGTCAAAGGAAAAGCGTTCCAGGTGTCCATTCTGTTCTACATTAGCAGGATGATACAAAGGTCTCCTTAAAAAATATGAAATGACACTGCGTGCGATGAACCTGACATGTTCTACAGAAAAGCAGGTGATATGAGTGACTGAATGCACCCCATCGTTACAACAGAAAAAAAAAGGAATGAAAAACAAATCATAAACTGAACTTCTTGCCAATCCGCACGACCCCTTGAAATGGCAAACCGTCCAGCACGAACTCTGAATCCTCTCCGCCACCTTCAAAGGGTAAGCTAGCAATATGAACACCGATGCTGGCGGTACCCCGAAGTCCGGCGAGCGCTCCTTTTGAGCTGAAGATTACCTAGGTTGACAAGATGAGGGGAAGGGAATGAAAAGCCAGTTTGTCCTACGCACCTTGCTAACAAAATTGCTGAACTCCTGCTCGCGACCTGGAAGAACCTGAATCGGTACATTCACGATAGAAGCGGTGACCAAAAATGCGGAACCACCATCCTCAGAACCGTCGTATGTGCTGGCAGCTTTCAACCACTCCTCAGGACATATATGGCCAAACGCTCGGGGAGGTAAGGGATCCGGGAGGATGGTACACGAGCCGTTCCGAGAGGTAATTGTTACATTTGCCGCCGATTCCGGGACATCGCCGTCAAACACGAGAATGTTTGGAAAGACTCGCCTGACGTCCATCGAGAAGTCCATTCCTTTCGGGAGGACCAGACGTGCGAAGACTTCGCCGCTGGCTAGCAATCCGTTCCCTGTGGAATTCGGTTTGACCCTCATGTTTCGTATCGTGACGTTGCGAAGGATATCTGGCCGAGTATCCGGGGAAGGGAACTCGGCATCGATAACGAGGGACGGGAACAGAGGAGACGCAATGGATATGGGGTTGTGCTGGAGTGATAGGTAGCGGCTGACGAAGATTGATAATGGCCCAGTTGCCTCTGGAGACAGGGGAAGGACATGTCCAGATATCAAAATCGAGATCGTGGGGTGGGTGAGGGAAAAAGGTTCGGTATGAACGGACGCAAGTGGAACGAGAGTATCCCCAGCACCCGGTACGGAAACGATAAACGGTAGACTTGGGACTGTCATCTCGAGTGTGGGCGGTGCTGGGTTAACAGCCGAGGCATGAGCTTGCAAGACAAGACCTTCCGGAGACGACGCTATGTAAAAATCTCGAAGGGCAACTAGCTTGGAAAATGGCGGAAACGGCTCGCCACTCCCCGGGAAAGGCAGACCAGGAACGGGTGGTACTTGATTTGTATAAGTTGGAAGTCCTTTTCACCAAAAAAAGAAAAGAAAACCTAGCAGACGTACACTGGAACATCGCCTGTACATCAAGATCCTTCTCACTTAGCTTCAATACACTCCTCCAGTTGTTTCTGTTGACGTTACCACCCCATATATCGACGTTCTGGACGACAGCATGGACAGAGACTACGCCTTCACGCCACGAGTCGTTAACGAATTGTGCCAAATCGGAAGAGTTGTTGGTCGGTTGTACAAAGAGAGGAATGGACACAGGCGTCAACCAAGAGTTGTTGGGTGGAGGGTTGGCGGTGATGGGGAGTTCCAGCGGCTCAAGGGAGACCACTCCAAGTAACGCTTGTGTAAAGGAGTAGATATACACGGCCGAGAGATCAGCTGATACTGTCTTGATGAGGCGGACACCGAGACGGCCCATGGACTTCCATGCGTCTTTCAATGTCCCTTCATCATCTTCTGAGTTCACGCCGAGGATGGACCCAGCATCTATGCCTACCCTGGCATCCACATTAATCCAAATTCCACCATCCGTAGCATTGAGAACGTCTACGCGATTCGGCCCCTCGAACACGATGCCTTTCTCCAGCAGATCCTGCGGGGAGACGTCCGACAAAGTGGAAGCAAAGGAATAGGCAAACAAGACGATGACAGCGAATATGAGCAAGCAAAGGAAGAGAGACGTGAAGAAGACTAGCGTCAGCGTCGAGCGCAGGCGGTGTCGGGCGCCAGCGTTCTCTGCATCGATGACGATGTCAGACAAGAGGGTGCTCTGGCTAGCCTCGCCCTGCAGCAGTGGCGTCCTTTCTGAGGTTTGTTCCGGTGCATTGGCTTTGTTCTTTCCCTTCGCATCCCCCGCTGCAAGTGCCATGGCTCGTGGTGTGAGGTCAGACGTAGCCACCTTCCTTGCCAAATCCGCTACAATTGGTCCCTATCTATCCATCTATGTAATCTATCTACGCTCTAGACTCCGTGTTGCACCGGCTGCAACCACATCTAAAGAACCAGCTCGACTCCAGATCCTTCTGCCTCTGTTCGACGGGTTGATCGGTGTCAACGTAGCTGATGCACAGTTCTTCCCCGGCTGACACAGCGCGGCTCGTTTCAAAATACAACGTCCTGCCTTGACGTATCTTGCGGATGTTTGGGGAACAACCTGTGGGGAAAAAAAGACGGAGGCGTCAAAAAACCAGTTGCGTTGCGATACCTGGGACAGCGGGTAGTAGTAGTACACACTGTGATTGAAGTAGCTGGCACTGATCCAAATTCCCCACCCTAACATCTCGTCCCTGCGATCGCCGTCCCAGATACCGAAAGCGTTCCCGGTGTCTCTTGCAAGCACCTCGCGCACGGTCGTCGGTGTGTACTGCAGGAGATACCTTGGAAGTGCGTTGCAAAGGAAAGCGTATATTCGAAGATGAGCGGATAAAATGTGCTGGCGTTCGCGGACGTTCGCAAGTTCGTTGTTTTGGATATGTAGGAAATGGATCCACGACTGTATCTCGTTACGATGCGAATCGGAATCAACAACACCGTTGGTATTACTGCCTGAGACGTGTCGGAGGACGATGGCGGATACGAGCAACCTCGCAATCTCTAGTTCCATGTCCTCGAGGTCGATAGTCGCGCAAAATGCGGCGAGCCGTGCTTTCGATGCCACGAGTTCCTGTACATTTTTCCATGCTTGGTCGATGGCGTCTTGTGTGAGATCGTCTGCAGAACCGAAGGAGGGCGTGTTGGTCGACTTGGAACCTTTCCTGCGAGAGGCTACCAGAGCTTTCGTCAAGGCCGCATCTAGCTGCAGCTGAAGCAGCCCTGTCTCGTCCTTCTCCCAAGTCTTTTTGCAATCTTCGCTGCAAAACCAGGCAGCAGAGGCTTGGAGTCCTCCAGGATTGCATTTTATGCTCCACACACGGGATTGCACGACCTTGACAGGCGCGGAGTCGCTGGCAGCGTATGCGAAGCACTGTGCACATACTTCGCGTCGGTAATCCTTGTAGATGACATGCGCAAAGGGACCTGGGCTCGAATGAACGCGTGTTCCGGCTGGGGTATCGCGAGCTGCAAAGAGGGAGCGTCCGCCATACTGCGTTGTCCGAAGCTCGACATAGTCAGACTCGAAGTTGGGGCCCGTCAACATCCAAATGCTTTGCAAACCTTATCAGCTCCGCCAGATACATAGCAAATCACACACAACACGTCCAGAAGGGGATGAGAGATGCATTCCTGTACTAGTAGATACACATTTCGAAACCATTATTCGTCCTCTGCTACGCCTAAAGTACCGGGTATCAAACTGATCCGCGGGAGACCAGAAGAGAAACGGAAAAAGCCGGTAAACGATACATCTTTTGAGTTGCTTGCTTATAGATGAGGAGATTGTCATAAATTGAAGATGAGGGTGAGAGAAAGAAGCAAAAAGAGAAATTGGGGACATGAACACCCCGGGAGAGAGTGCTTGTTGACGTCATAGATGGGTATCGCTTGGTAGTCTAATGGGCACCTGCGCCGAGATTCATCGCACCGATGACGACTTCCCATGCGAGATCAAGGCAGTCCCAGAGTTCAGGATCATGGACACCTAGAGCGACCGCGTTGCGCCAAACAGCGGCGATCTTTTGTGCAACTCCGGTGAGGGCGCCGAGGCCAGGAGCGGAGGACATGAGGTGCGCGGACAGGCTATGGAGTGCCGGTCCAGAGGCGAGCGTTCCACGGAGCGCCTGGTGGGAAGTCAGAGTGGACAGGAAGCTGGAGGGGATGGCGGGGAGTAGCGCAGAGAGCAAGTTGGACACGGAATGTGTGTACAGGAATGCGTGCAAGGGGGCGAATGCTGATGGAGAGGGCACAGAAATAGGGAGTACGGGGAGTGTCACGCTAACGGTGGCGCCAGGCTGGGTAGGAACGTAGGAGGGGGGCAAACGCGGCAGAGATGCGCATTGGGACGCGAGCACCACGGCGTGTGTTGGGACCAGCGTGACCGTGGCGTCGTTTGAGGAGGGCTTGGAGAGCGCAAGGATGTGGGTGGGACAGGATATCGCGTGTTGTGTTGCGCGGAAAGGGATGGTGAGCGATGTGGTGTGATACAGCTGCGAGCGCGGCATCGCAGGTGGCAGGTGCGATGGGGACAGCGCTGAGATCCCAGCCAACATCCTGGAGACAGAATGAGCACCGGATGGAAGGGCAGAAGGAGGAAGCATGGTACTTACTGATTAGCCTGAACGCGCAGGCCGCGACGGACATACTCGATGGCAACGTCTCCGAGTTCAGGGGCGACGGCCAGGACGTTCTGCCGCGGCACCTCAGCATAGGGAGGACGCTGAAGGGTGCGTGGCAACTGGATGTTTGAAGGGTAGGAAGGCTGCGCAGGGAAGGATGCCATGGCAGAGGGAGTTGTTGGAAGATCTTCGTCCCAGATGGCTTTTGTCTGGATGGGATGGGCGGGACGAACTTGGAACATTTTTTTTTCTGCTTGTTTGAGGAAAAGACTAATGAAACGAATAAAGTAGCTTGGCTGATGCTGGGGATTGTAGAAACGAGAAGGATTTGACTACTTTATATTCCTCATTCATCGTCTTCATCGCAGGAGTACAAGACCCGCGGTTTTGGCTAGTCGTTTATGCACCGTTTTGGTAGTCTCAAGAAAAAAAACGCTAATACCAACAACAAGGACAGCCTTGTTCTTCCTTGGGAAGTTTCCTTGAGCCGTATGTCGTCCCTTCTGCGTACAATGGCAATCGTTGTTGGCCACCTGCCAACCCACCCTGACTCACTTTGCTCATCGACTCTGATTAGGTTACGTCGCGGAGGCTCACATTTGGTGCGCAAACATGACGTCCGTCGTGATAGCTACTGAATGGTATCAAATATATCACGCGTACCCAGACGACCGTTCGTCCAGGCCAGGGCTGTTGCACATGATTTTTTTCGCTACAGGCCTTCCGAAGAGGCGAACGTTTGAAAAAAACGACTCGTCGATTGACATGCACGATGTCTTCAAGTCATACAGTACGCTATGTTAGCGAGGTACGCCAACCTGTCAGGTCTGTGCTAATGCTAGCTAGTGGTCGCTTGATCGCTGCCAAGTCATACGTATATCCTACTAGTTTCTTGCCGTACTGCAGATTCTGAACCCCGCGGACCACCACACAACGGAACGTCGGGCATGCTGGATTCAGTAGGTGGATACGCAACTACATACATACATGAGAGGGAAGGTTCTCGGTCAGGGGGATCGTCGCTGGCTGAGATCAGTGCCCATCATCAACTTAGATGACCCGTTGAAATATCGTTGTGCGCGTAGTTCCCCGAATAGGAAAATCGCATGTTTTGAACTCGCCCGGGGTTCTGCGTTGGAGTGGCTTCGTCGACCAGAAATTGAAACCAAAGCACCCCACTCTACCCCGCTCCGATCGGGACTCATCAGACAACCCGACACACGGGCCTGTGTCAAATCAGCAGTTGGCATCGATTTTGATGGTTTTGCAGTGACGTGACGAGGCACCGCTGACCAGTGTTCACCGAGTGTCTCGGTGACTCTTCTCTCAACGCGTGGTGCACCCACGACCAGTACGAACCCACCCCACTGGCAAATGCTAATGCACGAGCAGCGATTGTTTCCAGGTTTTGGCATAAATCTTACTCATGGCGACGACACTCATCCGACTCTCGCTGCGGTCGCCTCCACGTCAGCACCATCCCTCCGACACCGTTCTTCCACCCTCAAACCACCCAAGAAACCCCCCCCTCGTCTGAATCTGCATCCTTCACCATTTACTGCTGCATCTAATGGCTCACCGATCCCCCGTCCATCGTCACATCTTTCCCGAGCAAAGCCACCCACGCATCCCTCAGCCCCACCTGCGACCAGTCACACTACAGCCACAGCTCGTCCACCTAGCTCGGGTCCAGCTCCGCCGCTTGTATCTACACCAAGCCAGTTGACTGGAATACGCGCCCACTTTGCGCAACTCTTGCCAAGACATGCTGTCTTCCTGGTCCGACTCACGATTCATCAGCTGAATAACGTTCCACTCGTCCGCGGTGAGTTTGGGGTGAGGTGGAAGGTTAAAGGAGTCACGAATGGTGGGATCCTTGGAAAGGTAAAGGGGAAAGCAAAAGGAAAGGGCAAGGTGGGAAACGCCAAGGGAAATACAACACCAACTACTACTCTCATCTTTCAAGATGCACACGAAGGAAAGGAAAGAACAAAAGAAAGTGATAGGGACAGTGGCAGTCTTCTTGATCACTCCGCCTCCGTGTCAGACACACACAGTATTGCTGCAAGCAGTTCAACACACTCTCACTCGTATGACTACGGTTTGCCAGCGAGCTTGCCCCGGTCGCGGTCCATCGGTCGGAGCCATGCCCCCACAATTCCACACAACATCCCTGCGCTCGTCGTTTCTTCAAACAGCTCTCACGCGCCATCACCCCCAGTTAGCCGCAGTGTCAGTGGCACGTCAATAACCAGCACACCCTCATCTACCCATTCAAAGTTGCATACACCCGCGCACTACCTCTCCGCAGAATGGCTTCCCCAGTCACAGACGTACTCCCCCCTGTTTGCTAATCCAATGCATGAAGAACCTGCCCCGTCGCTGGCGGATACTCCTCCGGCAGACGGATACACACCCGCAAAGGGACACACGCCATTCGTCCAACTGAGGGATCACAATGTGGTCTGGGAGCAGACCCTGGATTTCGTGGTCCAAATGAACGTTGGTAAAGAGTCCGGGGAGCTGGGCGACTGCCCAGCTAAACTAGTGGTTATGCAGGTGCGTCTCAGCTGTCACATCAATCGGTTCATATGGCCGATGTTGTTGCAGCGTGTTATATCTGGCGATGCGGATGCACCGCGAAATCCCCGTGTTGGGGCCATCCATTTGAATCTCGCTCAATATGTCGGTGCTGGCGTTGTTACACGACGCTATTTACTTCGACAGAGCAAAACGAATGCTACTCTAAAGGTAGGCTTATACTATCTCCTACTCGCTCAACAAACTAATGTACTCTTCGCAACCTCTGGCACTATCTCCTACGCTACTAGTTGACTATTCACTTGGAACACACCGGAGGTGCAACCTCATACATCGCGCCACCCCTTCCCAAAGGCGAGATTCTTAGCGGAGTCACAGGTATCCTCGACTCGGACACGTACCTTAACCGCCCTCGCACACTTGGGTTGTATTCCTCTTCTAGTTCCGGATCGTCGGACTCCTTATCTTCCGGGGACACTTCGCCTTCCGCTTTACATCCAGACAAAGACCAGAGTAAAGCACACGGTGCACGGCGGCGACAGAAGAATCCCAAACGAAAGTTTTTTGACCCGTCGAAGCTCCCGGACGTGCGAGGTCCTCGCGCAACGGAGAAGCTTATTGAGGCTATTTTCAATCCTGCCCCTGTCACCTCCCCGACACAAGTGAACCCGTTTACGTTTCTGATCGGGGTTTACGACGAGCAGGACGGTGCTTATGAAGGTGGGGATCAGGAGTCTCCACGCCCTGGGTGCAAGAGGCAAATCAGTGAAACATCTGCGGATGGGAATGAGGACTCGTTTTTCTATTGCGATACTCCTCCGAAAAATGAGGTCGACGAGCAGACGCCAGAACAAGGAGCGGAGCACCGAGACTCGGAGAGCGATTATCATAGCGTTCGGTCGCACCGCTCGGGGTCACTGGATGCCAGCGATGGCGAGCACCCGTTGAGAAGCAAACAGTCTCTGCGATCCATTGGAAGTCGGTTGGGTCTGCGAACAGACCCACGAAACGAAAATGTTGCTACAGGTGAGAGCATGGTGGTTAAGAATAATGGCCGTGGGGGCGGAGAGGAAAAGAGAATGTGGTGGCAGAAAGTTCTGCGACCTGCCTGATGCATGCTACGGAGTCCCGGACAAGTACTATTAGTATATATTTTCACGATATATTTTTCTACATTCTATTACATGCGTAACCCTCACTGGTTGCTATTACAGTAATACTGATCATAGTTGTTAGAGGTTTTTCTTTTGGATTTTTTGGGATGCATTTTTTCTAGCTTTCTAGTTTTCTAAGGCACATTTTGTAAGCATGTTCCAGCAAGCTTGTAGCAAGCATTTTTCATATGTTTGATGTTGACTAGTGACTAGTGACGCTGACGTGTGATGGCTTACTCAGACTCTTGCTACTACAGGGTCAAGCGCTGCACTACGTGTCAGCGTATGCTGACTCGACTAGACTTGCGGCGTTGCTGTTCATTCTGGGTCGGATGAACCTTGCAACGTGCCCACATGGCCCTCGAACCACTGATCAAGCACCAACATTTGAAGAAGACAGTGCGGCCTCACGAGGTCAGTCACCTTCGGTGATTGAAATAATAATTGACGTCTGGCCTCGCATGTGCTCACATAGTGTTTCATGCAATGGATCAGTACCTGAACAACGAGGTCTAAAGAAAAGCACACGAGTAATGAGATTGCTATTAGAGGCGGTGCGTTAGCGGACTCAGGCTGACTAGTCACTTAGGGCAAATAGGGGCAAATGGGCGACATTTAACAGCATGGCAGCCTACCATCTTGGACGACAAAGCCCATTTTTCGAACAGCTCGGACTTCTCACCCACTCAGGCCTGTTCCGTGTTGGCCAACACCGTGACAACTTGAAGAATGCTTGCATACCCGACCCCAACCCCGAGTCCGAGATTCCTGTTCTTGACGCAATCGCGATCGCACTGGCGACAGCCCCAGGGGAATTTTTCGCCGCTGCATTCGAAAGACGGTAATGTTTCACGCTTGTCTTAGCGCAAAACACTCCTATCACCATTGAAGACGAGTAGGCCATTCGTCGCTTGGTGGAAATGCATATGAGGTTTTACCTTTCCTGCTTTCTCGTTGCTGCAAAAACATCGTGAGACGGACCGTGAAGATGCGCGAGTCCGCGGGCACGTTCTTGTATGTCCTCGAGGAAGTCCTCGTGATTTACAAGTTCCTACGCTCCACCGAGGAGTTTCCCAACTCTGCGGAGTACCGCAAAATAAAGTATTCCGGAGATGAACCCCCATTTCCGCAGATGATGCACAATATTATAGAGGCTATTCAGTCAATGGATCAAGCTTTTCACTTCGAGGGTGCCAGTCACTCAGCTGGACACTACTCGGTGCTCGGGACGACCACCTCCATTCTCCGGAAATCCGCTCTTCTACGAGTAGCTGCCAATTATGCGCTTCCCTTCTGGCGGCTAGCAGAAAGACTAGAACGCTGTCTCACCAAGGCTTGCGAGTATTATCATGGCATCAACCACCTCATCCGGTACGCAAAGGGTCATTTCCCCTGTGGCATTAACTATTGCTGGGCCGACGCTACTGCCAGTACTCAGGCGACTACAACTGAACTCGACGACAACTACTTGGAGGCCATATCCCGTGCATTTGGCAGCCCCCTCTCGAAGGAAACTGTAGCCAACGCGCGCGAGAGGCTCCCAGATGTGGAGCGACAACTATTCCCTCAAGACCCAGGTTCATGCTAAAATCCGCACTTTGCCCCATCTCGGCACCCCGTTCAACTCTTCGGATATTTTGTATCGTTAGACGATTGAACGGGAACTAGAACATAACACCTAATGCGCACGCTCATACGAAGCTATTCCAAGAATGATGGTAAACGACGGAAGCGTATATAAAGGAACTTCCCCTCGTGTATTAGTCGGGTGACGTCTATTGAACATAGTGATTTTCATTGACTGGTCCATCATATATACGTAGCCTTCCGGGTACTTTTCTATGAGAATGGAGCATTGTATGATCAAACCCCAGTAGCTAAATTCTCGTTAGTTGGGTCGGTGGCTCTACTAGCGATTTGAAGGTACGTACATACACCCTGGCATCTATGCGCATACTCTGTACATTCTCCTCTGTCCTCAGAGTCTTCCGCCACAGTTCTCGACTTCACGAGTTCGTGCATCAAGTAGGCATACTGCGGTTCCTGTTCAATCCACGACTACACGCGCTGGAGCGTCCCAATGCTGTGGGTAAAGATCTGAGTTGCGACAAGCATTATGCGAAGGGAGAATCAGGAGAATCAGCTTAGTTGTTACGCTTCTCTTCGTTCGAATGGCTTCAGAAGTGTTGTAAGTTTCGACTCTTTCTAGAAATCAATGAAATCCTTGAAGGGACGCGCGACAACCTTTGCCATTGCTTCCTGGGTAGAAATGACTGATCACCTTCATCTCCTCGGATTCCAACACGCTCCCCGGGCTCGGAAAGAACGAATGCAGAGTACGAGTCAGACTTATGTGCAGCTCACCCCAGACATATTCATCAATACCACACCTCCCATCCCTCAAAAAAGCATGCGAATACGCGGGGAGAGCCCAAATAGTATCTGCCTTGCCGTCGGTGCGCGTCATCATCCATCGCGGGCTGACCATTGCACTCTGCCGACGCTTACGATCCGAACAGTTGAACGGGATACTGAGATGAAGCATGATGCGAAGTTCAGTATGGACCCGCATCTTACGGATACGGCTGTTAGGCCACTCTCCTCCACATCAAGGAATCCCTCGCGCAGGTGTCTACATTTCCCTCCGAGAGGGGACAGCGGAGTGAACGTGATTCGGCCTCCAAGTAGCAGCTGCTCGAGTTTGATCGTGGCTTCCCTATTGCCAGTAGCAGCGTCTGTCCAACAGTGGTTAATGCTATCTGGGAAATAACGCTTGGCGTAGCCCAATCAAGGTGAATAACTTCGTGGGGCGGCACTTCGCATGTGGCGGGTACCCAATGATTCCAGGGCCATTGACAGCAGAACGTTCATCATGCATCATGCATGTATAGCTTACGCAATGTTCGAATAGAAGAACGTGCCTATATATATGGTCCTCCAACCATTGCGTGCCCCACCCCACCACCACGCGAAGTCGACGATGTAATTCACATGTTAGCATCGCCGCCGTTGACGCAATTGTGTATGACAACTTGCGCGTTCTTACAAGGCTGTGCAAGGTGTGTCAGTATTAGTTACTTGTGTACATACCCCACCGAGGCCCCCGGGCAAGGGAATTGAGAGTGTGTTGAAACGCATTATCCGCTTAGTACGTAGCAACAGCCTTCACGGGACGCTAGCCCATAACGTGTCCGGGTCTGCCCGGGTGAAGTGGATGGTACCGCTGTATGGCCAAGTACTGTTGTTGGCGGCGCACAAGTGTCTCCCTGATACAGCACGATGTAGTCATGGAAGGATCGTCGTATTGTTGTGTTGTTGCAAGGACGACATGGACGCACTCCGATAGCCCGGACCTTGCCTGGTGAACCGTATCAGTCGGGGAGCCTTTTAGTACCTGGCAATTGTTTGACGCTCGGGTCCGCCTGCGGACTGATCCTGCAGTGGCTCAGTTCTTGAAGGGGGACCTGGGCGCCAAAATATTCAGTATGCAGTGATGGCCCGGGTGCAGGCGGTGCAGCCCGTCGGCTGCCACACTCAAAAATCTCATAAAACTCACCCTGAACAGTCGCTAAGTTCACGCCATTTCCTCCACAATCCCCCTACCCCCCTTGCTACTCTGGCAGTAGCCAAAAATCACTCACAGACACATTTCTGTATATGCTGACCTCCTTCGCCTTGACGACCATTTCATGAACAAGACGATCATGACGAGGCGTGCACCTTCGATGCGTCGGCCACACGTGCACCTCTTCTTCCCGTCCTGCAGTCGAGCGGCATGGCAACTCCTCTCCGTTTCTATATTCGCTAATGCCGTTGCCTCTGCGATGCCTTTGGATGGGGTAAGGCTTGTCTACCGGAGGAGCGATGCCCGCGAACTGGACAGTACTAGTGATGGGTCAAGTTCTGACAGTATCAGTGCTAACGTGTGGGTGCGTTCGTCCCGAACGTCCTCGATAAATTAACCTCTCATTGTCGAGCTCGCGTTCCTTGTACCTACTTCCGTCTATGGTTTCTGCAATGGCAACAGATCCCCATCATGGTCGTCACAATTGCTTTGGTGGTGCTCATGTTTCTGGTATGCCTCAAGCGGTCCATGAGCAGAGAACTCGCCAGGGCTCCCCGAAATTCGACGACAGGCGACTCCACTCAACCTGCTCCTGCTCCTGCTGCTGACCAAAATGCGTCTACTAACCGAGGCAGGAGGCCTCGGCGCATGCCCAGTCAGATCTCAACCAAGTCGTTGCCACCGTACATGAAAGGAACCTGGTGACCACGAATTGGTTATTTACAGGTGTAGCTTTGCCCTTTTCCTTGGCGTCAGGAGAAGCAATTGATATTTGGCGAGTAGGGGACCGCTGGATATGGAGGACCAACTTCCAAACCCGATACCCACCCTCGGCGAGGTCGACGAAACTCCCGATGCTAGTATGACCCATTTCAACATCTCTCTGGATCGTGTGGTATCGCGAGATACGTTACCTGATGGTTCGACTGCACATCTAGTACGGAGCCTCACTCCCGGGAGTGTCGATCTACGCAGCCTAGAGTCCTCATTACAATCACATAGCACTAATGCCGAGCTACTTGTTTCTCATCAACGGACGCTATCGCGTGACAGTGACCTCGACTTGAGGGGCGAGGCACCACCGTATTCGGAGGAGGCGGTTGCGGGTGGGGATCCCTCAGCTTTGCCTCCACCTCAACCATCGCTTCCCCCTGAATTGGGAATACCAGTTCCTCCTTTGGCTCATGGTAATCCGGAAGATCGACGTTCGCGTTTCGGCTTCCTTCGTTACCCGTTCAATTCGCATACCCGTGCTACTTCTACAACCGCCAACACTCGCACTGCTGTACCGGCGACGCACGCTCGTAGTGGATCCGCACATACACTAGCGTCCTCCGACTACACTGCTGCTAGTCGCCCTACAACACCCAATAATGCCTCCGGGTCAAGCTTGTTAGCACTTCGTGGCATTCGTACTCGTGCCTCGTCTACAGGAACTGCAGCGTTGTCCTCCCCCTCTATGATATCCCTCCACTCTATCTCTGCGCCCCTCCCACATACCCTCACACGAACAGAATTCCGCATACCTCGTGGCGGACTCACTCCAGAACAAGTCAAGATCATAACCGCACGGGACGCCCCGGAGCGCTTTGGGCGCCCATACGGGCCCGCAGCTGTCGCTTTTGCAGGTTCGCGAGTGCTTGTAACGTCGGATGCCGCCGATACACTTCCGCCAGAGTTTGATGAGGCAGTGGGCACAATCGCTGGTAGTTCCAGCGCTGATGCCACCGCAACCCTTAATGGAGAAGGAGAGCCGGAGGAAGCGGAAGCTCGCGCCCCATCGGCACTAACGTCGTCCCCTGTTTCTGATACCCCTATCATGACCTCATCTCACCACATTTCCCTCACTTCGGAACAGCAACAGTCAGCGGAAATCCGCGTCTACACCGATGCTACCAACACCGATCAGTTCTCTCGTGCTGCGGATCTGGATGAAGCGATGACATCTCTGTCAGCTCGGCCACCTAGTGTTACACCTGCAGTGCAGGATCCGGTGAATTCTTGACAGTCTTGTTATTCTTCGACTCTGATGTGAAATGCCCCCTGAACATTTGCTTTCGGATGTTGGCCGCACATCGATTGTATCAAGTACCACATATATTTCGAAAAGCTCCATCTTTGATACCTATCGACAATGCGCTTCATCGTTTATCTTAGTTGTTTATTTTGCCCTGCCTCCCATGCGATTCCTCAGTCCACTGCAGATAGATGGATTTTGAGTGCCTTAGGTTTTCTTTGCTTTCTTGCTTCCTGGATATCGCGAATGCCACATAATCTAGCATTACTGTACTAACATGACCCTGCTGGGGAATGCAAACAACATGTAATATATGTATTACAGGCAAGATCGAGTGTGGTCATCCGTTTCCTCAGGGCATCTCGGGCCGTGATACGAGGCGCCGTTTCATGCGCAAGCGGTGACCTATGCTGATCGGTGTAACGCAGAAGTGTACAGTTGTATTGATCCGATGGAAAACTTACAGCCTGCAGGTTGAATTAGAAGGCTGCGGAACTGCAAGTGGATGCATTAACCATAAACAAGTACCAACCACGCTTGGGATGCGAGCGGGAGTCAGTTGCTGTTGTCAATATGCATGCCCTCTGCAAGACTGCGAGGGTCCACTAGCCAAATCGCCGCGGGGGAAATAGCGGTTGTACCACTGCAACCGCGTTGTAAAGTATCTAAGCTCTTTCCCATTCTTCTCAGGAGCACCCTTGCGCTCGTGCGGTTCGCCGTGAGAGTGGTCCACCCCCTGGAGGCGCCAGCATACATGCTTTCTACTGTGTGTGCCGTGAGTTTCGAAGTGATGAGCGTAGGAGCAGGGGGAATGTCAGCGGGGCAGTCATTGGAGAAGTCCTGCAGGGCGTCAGGATCTGGATGACTTTCCTCAGGAATGATCGGCCTCTGTGTACAAAGTCGCGAATCTGAATTATCGGTCAGAAGCTTGGCGCACGTCGCCGAGAGAGCTGAGAAGAATTCTGACAACGATGGAAGCGGGGTTGATTTGGTATTGATGTCACCGTCCCAGGGGGTGGAAGCGACCGCATCACAAGATGATAAAATGTGTACGGGAATCAAAGGAAGAAAGCCAAATGGATAACGTGAGTCGCTCCAATACGCCGCCTCAGCTGCTGCCCTATCCCATCTTTCCACCGTTTCCGAAGACCCGAAACAATCGTGCACAGCTAGGAGTGCATGGGCGCGCCGTCGTTCCCGGGGGCCTCCGATCTTCGCAACAATTTGTAGGCAGCGTTGGCGTGCCTCTGCCGTCGTCCAAAACTTGATGTTACTCATATCCAGGCTATGATTTGTTGAACTGTCGGGGAAAACATCAGGGACACGTTGCTGAGCACAATTTGACGTGCATTGAGCCAAGGGTGACAAGCGATCGCGCATGTCTTGTAGAAAACCCCTGTGCATTTCCTGGGTGGCCTGTCGTGAGAGTGCTCGTGTCTGTTCGCTTTCTTCTGTTGCCCGCAGTTTCGTCGCATGAGCGTCGTTGTACGCCTCATGATTATTGGTCGTCTTCAGGGCCTTCTCCGTTGACATCTCCTTGTGGGCAAGCTTCCAGTATCCATATCTTGTTTGCGATTCATCGGGACTACGAGGTAAGAATGCATGGGATATATCCGAGACAAGCGCAATCAAAGCAGACAGGTCCAAATTGATGTTACTAGTTGGTTCCAGCTCGATTTGCTGTATTCCATGGTAATCATCTAGGAGTGCCCCGGATCGTTCTCCAAGTTGTACGTCAATGCCTATGTCCCGCAAGTGTTTTATAGTCCCAGCTATTCTAGGGTCGGCCTCCACGCCGGAATCATCTACGAGCGTTGGATTGAGACGTGTTAGGCGCAAAGTTATTTGTGGGGTGCGTCCCGAAACGGGAAGAGGATTGGCTTCAGCGGCAGCAAGAAGTTCTCGTGCCATTTGAAGCACAGAATTTTCGAGTTCTTGGTTAGTAGCAGAACGGGTGAGGTTTCTACGATGTGTGAAGTTGTCATGATCGCCTTCTTCGTCTGAGGAGCTGGTCAGGTATGAATCCAGCTCATGGAACTCCATCAAGAGTCTCGAGTTTTTTATGCTGTTTCGCCATGACCACGTTGTAAGAAAAGGCTTCACAGCCAAGGGAGGAACTGGCAGCAACTCACGTGTTAATTCGTATCCAACGTGCCCCGTTTTCACTAACGACATCGACCTTGACAGGCCGATTGGACGGCTTGCGCCTGTTGGGTATACGTCCCTGACTACGATTCCCGTGGAAAAAGCTTCGATAAAGTGCAATCGGGGAGTGGCTATGGACAAGTTCTTGCCATACCGCGATGAGATACGGTGCATTAGTAGAGAGAGATGGACTGCCTCCTGATCGTGTCGGATCTTCAAGAAACTACTAGGAAACCACGTCTCAGCTCAAGAGATTTCCTCGACAGTCAAACGCAGTTACCTTCTCTAAGACTGCGCACTCACGGTTTATTTCTTCCCTGAGGATCCGCAGACCTGGCACTGAGTCGTTCTTTGCCGCAGAGGACTTTCCGTCGAGTTGCAGGGAGGCATTCGATCCAGATACGGTGATGATAGGTGGTTCTGGTACCCGAGGCTGATAGGACTGGATCGCACCACAAACTTGTCCCAGACGAAACGCGAGGTCATCGATCGAATTCATGAGTGTGATTAGTAAGCCATGCTGATTACCGAAAGGATGAAGACGCAAAGAACTAAAGAACCCTTTTCATCAACTTTTCATTGCGTACAATGCTGTTTAATGTCTTTCTATGAATCACGGAAATGCGTTCCTGCCTTCACAATCGGTAAGAAGGACATTTGGCTTTGGACCACTCCATACTGGGAACTCCTTGAACTCGACCTCGGCGAGTCCCGTGTATCTCCCTGCAGTTGTGAGGTATGCATGTGGAACGCAGAGTATGACTTGTGTTCGTTGTCGAGGCTCTCGAGGTGCATTTGTGGAGATCTGCTTGAATCTGACAAAAAGGACCACGTTGATCTGTTCACCAACTGTTGGAATACCTCCGAAGCAGGTTCCCGCAGGCACAACGTTGCGCCGTTCAATGTCATGATCGTGAAAGTTTTTACAGCCAGCAAAGGGACTTGAAATGACTATCCAGTACGTCTCATGTGCAGAGGTAGATAAGATTGGTCACAGTGGACACCTGTTCTACTAGGTTGGCTGCTATGGATACCCGCGGTGATTCTCGCAAGTGATTGACCAAGCTTTCAAGTGTACTCTACGTGTGAGATTTTTCCCGGAGGAATGCTTCAGCTCATCTGTTCCCTAGAACTACACGAATGGACTGCCTCATAGACATGCTAACTTCTGGGCTCGTCCGCAAAAGTGTGTTCGTTCAAGGGTACGCACGGATGCGGTCACTGGTGAGTACCTAAGTCGCGTTGATAAGTTCCTCAGTAAGAACGCACCGCCTATATAGGACAACCCCGGGGCGTGGAGCGTTTCGTGGTCCTCCACGACATCTATCCACTATAAATGTGGGAACCGCCCGAGAGTCGTTGTCGGAAACGTGGCAAGATACCGTATCCGAAGGTTTTGAGTCATTGATTGCCCAACAGGTACTTTTCACGATCTCGCCTGTAAGCACTTCGCACTGCCCTCGCGCACACCTCCGAGTTTTGGTGCCCATAGGTGTGGTAAATCGGTCGATCGAGATGGTAACGGATCGCAACGGGCCCGTGTATGTATATTTTATGGCTTCCTATTTATGTGGTGAAGTCAACAGCTTTAATTCAGTGCCAAGGTCAAAAACGTTCACGCGCCAGGTCGAAGCCACTCCACTTTTTTGACCGTCGTGCGCTTCTGCTTCTCCTACAGTTTTCATCACGCTTCGTGTCAAATTAGCATCTATTACCACCTTCTCGAGATTCGTTGTCAGAGCAAGCGTGGGGCCATTCGGTATAGCCCCTCTTTCGTATCGTGTTGAGACCACTCACGAGCAGTCCAGGATAAATGTTGGGTCATGGACAGCGCTGCTCAGAGCTTCATTATCCTGCAAACACGTTATCACGCCCATCCAACCAGTCTCCCTATCCCCGCTCTCTGTCGCGTCAACGGTCCACTGCTTCAGAGAATTCTGCCCTTTACAATACCCCTGCAGCCACTGGAAGGAGGAGTCGGCCCTTGCCCCCAGTTCCTCACCCACCTCGCAACCTAGTAACCACTGACGTGTGGAGGTCCCCTTCCATGCCACGTCAAAGCCGCCCTCTCCCGCTGCCACCATGCTACAGGTGCGCCACGTCTGCGCCACCACTCCGACGCGCTGTCTCACTCCCGCGGGGTGCAGGCCTAGTTCCGAACAGTTCTACTATGGTGTCGATGGTGACACGAAAGCATATGTCAAATTCCCTCTCAGTGGTGCCCGTAACCTACCTTTCCCAACCGCCATCACGGGTTTTGAGCTTGTCCTCAATTACGTCGAGTACCTCCGAACCGCGTGGGACTATCCCCAATACCCCCTTTTCCAAGGGATGCTTTGAGAGAGAAGGGAGAACGGTGGTAGTTCCGAACGACAGTGACCTGCCGCAACCACATTCCGTTCAGAGGGTGAACCCTTCCCCAACGGAAACCACCTCACCCACAGAAATAGTTTCTCCCACAAAATCTCAACACCCAGGGCTGGCGAGTCAGAGTTGCATCCCGCGTAGACAGCGTGTTCCATCCCCTGCTGCCTTGGCAACCGTCACAGAAACACCACGTCGATCCGAACGCAAACGTCCCCCGGCCCTCACAATTCATATCCCGTCGTCTACGTTGTCATCATTCTTGACGGAAGCTTCTTCGTCTGAATCCGGACAGTCTTCTCCACCTTTGACGCCTAGAACGCCGCCATCGCCGTCCGTCTTGCGGCGACGAAGATTCTCAAAGCTTCGTCGTCAATTTGGGGACGCTCCGCCTGCAGCTATGGTCTTCGGTAGCGAACTAGGTGCAGATGAAAGTTCCAAGCCAAACATGCCTCCATGTGCAGATGCGCCGGCTACCCCTCTGCAATTACCGACTAAAAAATGGGTATGGGACAAGGGGGGACGTCGACGCACAGCAAGCGATTACAGCGATGTCATTCGATACCTGCGTGAGCTCTAAGGACACTTGCTAACCTAGTCCCCTTTGCGGCACGTTGGGCATTCCTTTGTACAGGGTATTGGCATCCATGTAATCGGGTATCTGGTTGCGAAGAGGCGAGCAGCCTGGTATCCCGAGGTTTGCTTGAAGTGTACATATGGGTATGAGCTTGTCTGCCGTTGGCAGAACCGAATGTTGATTTAGTACATGGCTCGAAAACTGACGGATGCTTCCTCAAGAAACGATCCGTGTCTATCCGATTTCGTCAGCGTGGGGAGTCCATACATTGAACGACCTGGACGTACCTTGAGGTCGTTTAAAAATCAAGGTGGCTTAAGCACAGCGAAACGACGAAACAAAATGTCCGACAGGTAGTTAGCCTAGACATTACCATTGCTCACCGGCATACTCCGTTCCCAAAGGCTGCGGTGAATGAAGCCGATTTCGTGCCAGATGGTGCTACAAAACGCTTGTTCAATTTACAACTGGAGTTTCACCAGGCGTTGGTTTGGCGGCTGGAGCGATAGTAGACGTCAGCCGGTTGGCTGATTTCCGCATGTTTGCTGAACGGCCCTCCCTGAACCTCATCAATTTATGATTGAATGGCAGCCTTATTCGACAAAGCAACGTCGACGGTCCTGCCAAGACCGCTTTCGACGCACAACTTGGAGTAGCCTTCACTGAGCACGACATCGCCATGGGGATCCGTGGTTGGAGAGTCTGACCTCCGTCCTGTGAGTTATCTTGTGGACGACGGTAGCAGCGACCGAGATGACCATCGTGGTCAAGGAACGAGAATGGGCTGCTGGCGTTGTTTGTGGACTGGTCTGTATTTGTTGGCTCGACACTCAGCTCAGTCACCCACGTCAACAGCGAGCGTGTCGCCCAGCTCGTCTCCCCGCCGTCGTCGTCACCGGCGACGACAACGCCGTTTATCTTTTCCCCTACTATTTAGTTATTTTTTTCCTTAGAGCCTATGATGTCTGGCAAAGCGCCTCCAAAGGGACCGCGGGCGCTTCTGAGTTCGTTGCCTGCTGCTAGTTCGTCGGCCTCGACATCCACAGTTGCCTCGTCGACATCACCGGGGACGGCCTCCAGCAAAATCGGCGCGCCACCACCCACGGGTCCTAGAAGCCTCTTAAATGGAGTCCCAACACAACCTAGAGCCTACTCGCCCACCAAACCTCTCACGAATGGAGTCGCTTCCTCACCGACCGTCGGGTCATCTCCAAACGACCCAGCAGCACCAGGACCATCGCAAAAGGGCAAGCAAGTTGACTTGGGATGGTCCAGCCTAGGCGTAAGTAGTGCTTTCCTCATACTAGAAGTGACCCTGACACGCGTTGCAGTCTCAGCCATCGTCTCCCTCATCGCCTACTGCAAGCAGACCACCCACCATAGCGGATGGCGTACGACCACATCAACCTGTTAAGATTGCCTTCCCAAATGCCCGGCGTACTCCAGTGACCGAGTCCCGACTATCACCACCACCCCAACCACCCACGGAACCTCCACCTCCTCCCCCACCGTCCGCCCCGCCTCCCTCTCACACTCCCCCGCCTCCTCCTCCTCAGTCACCACCCCCTCCACCTCCGCCCCAGTCACCCCCTCCGCTGCCCCCGTCTCAGACGCGACACCCTCTTCCCCTGCCACCTTCGCCCCCTGCAAACCCACCACCACCGCCCCCTCTAATTGCGTCAATACCACCTCTACCACAGAATGTCATCTCTCTCCCATTAGCGCCATCGCCACCGCCACCACCCTCCCCACCACCTTGGGATGCTACACCTCCACCCCCGCCCCCGCTTCCTTCCCCACCGCCGAGTTGTCCTCCCATTGCACATTCCCCCCCATCAAATCCCTCACGCCGGAATTCGCCCCCACCATCAAAGATAGCACAACCGGATGCGTCAACATCAACGCCTTCGCTTCCACGGGTTTACTCTTTGTCACCACCACCGCCATGGCCCCCTTCACGTTCAGAATACCCACCGGGCCGCGATTTTAGAGTTATCTACGACCCTATCACCGACAAGGACCGGGATGGACGGATGCGTGCTCTTCTTGAGAAGATTCGCTCATCACACAAGGATGGATCGGAGCCACGGATCACGGGAAAGGGGAAAGGAAAAGAGATCATCACACGATTCGATGGCGAGGTCATCGAGGGTGAACCAGAACCTGCGCCGAAAGATCCTCGGAAGGAACCTGGTTTTCGTCGGCGCCCAGGGCGGGAAGCATTCCACGAAGCCAAGTACGAGGTACGTGGACGCTTGCGCGAGTAAACCAACCCTATCTTACGCGTGTCCTCCAGTATGACCAAAACTCTACTGGACCACCGCCTTCTACAGCTGTCCTCGTAACGAACATTTCGCCTCTTACTCCGACGCAATATATCAGGCAAGCATTTGCTAGACACGGGAAAATCACGTCGTTCGAGCCCCAAATCGACATGGAGACAGGAACGGCACTTGGCATCGTATTTATACGATATCAAAACCACCAAGAAGCCAAGCAGTGTGTAGAGCGAGCGAATGGAAAGAAACTTAGTGTTGTGGTCGGAGCGTCTGAGGGAGAAGAGTTAAAGGTAGTGTTCGATGGTCAGGGAGCAAAGTTGAAAGCAGTATTGAAGGAATTGGATGATAGGAAGAAGCGGGTCCGAGAGGAGAAACGGCGGAAGGAAAGGGAGGCCAGGGCTCCTCAGGTTACATCCACTCCCACCTCCAATTCCGGACATACTCCTGCATCGAACCCAAATCGGCGAATGAACCACGCCCTTCCTCCTCGTCCCGCTCATATACCACTTTCCAATGGACGATCTTCGCCTTCCAGCCACCACAGGGGAAAGAAACCCCCACCGCCACCGATACTTACGAAAGCGCGCATGAGTAATGCCTTCAATGATCGATCTACCGGCTTGCAGGAACTAGTTCCGTCATCGACACATTCTTCTTCTTCTACGCCAGTACACGTTCGTGGCCGTTCATCTTATCACTCGCAACGGCACGGCCGGTCTCGTTCCCCACGCACACGATCTCCATCTCCAATATCCCGTCGTCCCGGTCATCCCAGTTCCCGACATCAGAACCAACGCGAAGCCCCAAGTTCATCTGTCATCGAGGCACTTACTAGAAACGGCTTTGATCATGTCCGAATCGACCTCGGCAGCGGTGCGATGGGCTCCATACACGAGGACGATGTACGGGCTTTCGTTCAGGATTTTAAGATTGAGTCTGTTTTACGCGACCGCGGGTCTTGGTATGTCACATTCAAGACTGCTGACTCGGCACGGCGAGCAGCGATGGTGCTTAACTCAAGTGGTCGCACTCTCGTGCACCATTCTGTATCTGTTACGGCTTGCCCGCCACCCAGTCAACCTGCGCCTCAGCCGTCTGTGAAGGTGCCTTTGACCGATGAAGAGACCGTGCAGCACGCGGAACAGACGATTTTGCGGGAGCTCAAGACCTTGTTGGAAAAGGATATCACCGAGCGCATAGTGGCTGTGGGACTGAGAAAGCTAGTCGCGGAAGAGAGGGCAAAGGCCACGGATGCAAAGACGAAGGAAGGTGTAGATGCAGTGACCGAAACGAAGCCGACTGAGAAGCGTGGATTGAAAGGTCTGTCGTTTCGTAAACCCGGGAAAAGAGGTAGGGAAGAGGAAGACGAGCCAAAGGTTGCGGTACCTGATGTTCAAGAGGAGACGGTTACGGCGGTCCATGAAGCGCAACCTGAGATAGAGTCCGAACCTGCACCCTTGACCCCTCCGAAGAAGAAGCGGAAAAAGGTGGTGGCAGAACCGCCTCGGATGGAGACACCAGGTGTTGGTGCTGTTTCCGAGGACGAGGGGCTAACAGAAATCCGGAAAAGACTTCTTTCGGAGGAGGCTGAAGAACCTGTCAAGAAGAGAGTCAAGACGGACGGGATTTTGGAGGATCAGGTCCCTCCCAAAAAGACCGCGCTCAAAAAGAAGGTACCGAAGAAGAAAGTGGTCGCCAAGGAAGTCATCGAGGACATCCTCTTGTCTGAGACTTTGGAATACCCGCCTCCAGCGCCAACCGTCGAGCTATTGACGTTTGAGCCAACATCCAGACCATTAACACCGACTGTTGAGGTTCCCCCATCGCCTGCGCGTCCGCCAGATCCGTTGAAAGAAGGACTTTGTGAGGATGACGAGGACCTCTATTTCGCTCGTCTCGCGATTTCCGGTGAAACTGAAAGGCCACGATCACCCTCACCCCCGCCTGACGCAGTGCCACCATTCCGCAAACACGTCACTGGATCGGCCCGTACGGAAGGCTACTACAAGATTTCTCATGCTGAGAAGTCTGCATATGTGGCACAGTACTCGTTACGTTCCACTAATGCGAATGCCGCACCGACCGAACCCACTCCTCAACACGTTGTATCTTCTCGATCTAACCGTGCCAATGCCCGGCGGCGTGCACAAGGGTTGGAGGAAATCAATCAAGTGCAACGAGCGGTTGCACTTTCAAAGGGAGAGACTGCCGCAGCAGAACTTTCGATCAAATTTAACCAACTGCAGACTCGGAAGAAACATCTACGTTTTGCCCGTTCTCCTATCCACGATTGGGGTTTGTATGCTATGGAGCGTATCGCTCGTGGTGAAATGGTTATTGAATATGTGGGCGAGATCATCCGTGCGGCGGTGGCGGACAAACGGGAGAAGTTGTACGAACGTCAGGGTATTGGGAGTAGTTATCTTTTCCGTATTGATGAGGACTTGGTGGTCGATGCCACGAAGAAGGGAAATCTAGGGTGCGTTGTCTTGCTGTTTATTATGCCCGTTTGCGATCTCTCTGATCGATGGGGAAACAGGCGGTTAATAAATCATTCCTGTGATCCCAACTGCACGGCAAAGATCATCACAATCAGTGGGGAAAAGAAGATCGTCATTTATGCTAAGCAGGATATCGAACTTGGAGATGAAATAACATATGGTAAGTGTTTATTGATGTTGAGCTCCCGCTTGCATCGACATCTGACATATCGTCCCTCTTCCAGATTATCATTTCCCTATCGAACAGGACAAGATTCCATGCTTATGTGGTTCTGCTAAATGTCGTGGCTACCTTAACTAGACTTATTGGCGCTCTTTCCATGTCTCTTCACGTTATCCCTGTGTCTTTTTCTGCATTGCATACCCCTGTCATTCACTATTGACAACGCTATATGTATCACTCAGCTTACTGCACGTTATTCTCATACATTTCGCATTGCCTAACCACGATCAGCAATCCAAATATCCAGCGGCTATGTAGGATCGACAAGAGATTGAGTTGTTCAGGACCTCGCTCACTGTACATACTATTACAGTCCCAAATGAATGTATGTGACAATATTGCAGTATATACCTAAGTGTATGGTCGCACGGTTTGAGATAGAGAATACGAATCTGTGCGTATTAATACAGTGATTAAAAGCTGCGGGTCATTTCAATGCATTTTGTATCCAGTCCAGGGCTATCGCCCGCGACAGCGATAGTTCTTAATTCTGACCGACAACGACAAACGTAATCACGAAGGCGACGAGAATGATCACTCCACTGGTGACAGCTGCGATTCTGCACCGACGTACCCATGGGTTCTTTACAGGTCTGAGAGGCTTTGGCGCGAGCACGACGCGTGAGTAAGAAGGGGGCATCAAGCTTGCCACGGACGGCGTGAAGATCGGGTAGCCATGTGTATGCATACTAACGGAGCTTGCGTTCTGCGGCACGCTTTTGCCCTTTCCAGTCGTCCACGTGGGTAGAAGGCTTCCACCGCGAGAGCGGGACGGGTACAGCGGTGGGTTCCGTGATTCGACCATCCACCCTCCGATTAGCCAGCACCACGGAGCGATGAAACCGACCCAGAAGAGAAGCTTAACGGTATCCAGACCGCCTTTCTGGGATGGGTATCGCTGGCCTGCCTGCCGCGCGCTTGCACGCTCGGCTGCGGAACCAATATACAAGTCTGAGTCGGCGAAGCGTCTGTCGATAAACGAGGAAGACGCGGATGGGAGGGAAGTAAGAGATCGAAGGCTCGGAGCAGAAGGTCGAGGAGGGTATTCTGACTGACCAGCCTGTTGAGGGTAGAATGGCGAGATCACATCTGAAAGGTGTACAGGTGGTGGAGGGTGTGGTAGTTGAGTCCGAGGTATGTCAGGTGGACACGGAGGGCTGCCTTTGGGCGTATGCGGTAACCGTTGAGAACGCCTATCAGTGCTTGGTGTGTCAAAGTTGCTCTCAGCATCCACAAAGTGTTCTTGCTGCGTGCCCGAGTAACGACTCTCCCGTGCGCCGGTTGACCTGGCAGTAATATAACTGACACGACGGTCTGAACTGGATTCCTCGTCGCCTGCACCAACTCCATCTGCGAAACCTGGGAACGTAAGCGAGGTTGGTGTGGTAGTAGGCAGAAAAGGGCCAGGAAATGAGGGACGCAGATCAAGCGGTGGTATGACAGGAGGTGTTGAAGAAGAAATACTGGATTGATGGGTCCTTGCGGACGACAAACTGACAGTGCGGTTTAAAGGCCGGGATAAAAAAGTTGAGAATACAGGGGACGGGCCTTAATTTCGGGCATGTTAATGGAAAATTCTACATTGCAAGACCTTACTTACGAGGCGAATCCCCGCCTTCTTCTTCCTTCTTCTTTACGAATGGGACGACACCACCATACGCAGGACCCGGAGCTATTGGTTCCGTTCCACCTGCTAGAGAAAATATTGGGTTCAAGGGCATAGGAGTGACCGGTGTGGGCGCAGAAGTGCTAATAGGCGTCATCATGGTCTGAGTCGTGCTAGTCCTTGCACCTGAGCCGTCGTAACTGGAGCTGGGCAATGAGACAGGTCGTTTCTCAGGAGACATGTAATCTTGTTCTACAATAGGGGAAAGTGGTTGTCCGCAAAACTCTTGGACGGGGACACGCAGGGAGTGTGTGCTCTTGACGGGGTATATTAGCTTGGACCTACTAGCATTAGGAGGAGGAGCGGTTGCGGGCGGTGGTGGGAAGAATAGGTTCGGAGATGACCGGCCAGCGGTAGGAGCGGATGCAGGTGCGGGTGCGGGATTTGACGTTGCTGTTGATGTTGACGGACCAGCGGGACTGGAGTTGGACCCACTGAGCCAAGAGACATGGGATGGTGTCACTGGGGACTCTAGGCTGCTTTGAGAAGAAGAGGCTGTATGATGGTGCCAATATGGGTAGGGATGTGCCGGTACGCGGATACCAGGCGGAAGCTGTCCTTGCACTGAACCAGACGGTGACGGAGGGATGAGTGTTGAAGTGCTGGAGAGCGGCTGGGAACTGTTTTGGTCGTCTGAGGTGTAGGTTTCTCTTTGTACGAGAACTTCCATGGAGGCGGCAGAAGTGTCAGTTTGGTCTTCCGGATATCGTTGGCGTTCTTTACCCTTGGCGGGAGCAGCCCTGGAACCAAGAAGGCGACGCATGGCTGTTCAAGGAATGGGGCCACGGAAAACTAGTAGTTGCACCTAGTGTGCTTGGTCCGTGTGTGACGATCGTGCAATGTGCTCTGTTCAAGTAGGAAAGGCGGTGGTTAGCGTCGGCCAGGACGCACGCCGTTAAGTTAGCTAGCAGCGGATGCAAGTGAAAAGGATATCATGGACCAAATCCACCACGCAGTATAAGTAGGGGGTGGTATGAAACGGCGTGGTCATTCAAGAAGCCGGGGAGGCATGCACTCACTGAATCAACCACGTCAGGGGGCAGGCAAATGGACGCGATCAACGCATGAAAATGAAGCGGATGGTCTGTGCAGGGCATCAAGAATGAAGGGCGTGTACTGGGAAATGAACACACAGGTCTCCTCGCAGACACGCCGTATCCACATTCCTCGGGTAACCAGCGCGTGCCATTTCAGGAGATCCCAGTCAATGCGGAAGGTATCGGATGGATAGACCGTTACAATAGTTCGTAGATTGGCCGGAAGTCTGAAGAGCTGGATACAGTTAGCTGATGGTCGTACGGACCCGGCAATAGTATCAGGGTCAACCATTTTGCCAGCGTTGTCGTAACGGTATCACCAATGTGTACAATCACGCTGCCTCGCGGACGACACCAGGCCCGTCGATAACGATAGATAGGCAGGGTGGCGTTCACATCCTCGCCAGTGCCGGTTATTGCCTCGGGAGGGTGTCCTGGCAGATATGAGTACACGTATCACCATCGATCATCGCCAAATGCTGGCAGTCAACGCGGATTCGATAATGAATGGACGTGCCAACCTCGAGTGCGATAAGAAGCGAAAACCCTATAGTCATCACAGGGAACATGAACGCACGGTGCAACTGCCAATGGATGGCTCCTACTACGTTACAGATTACACTCGAGTCGTTCCGAAAACCCTGCGATAAACAACACGACATCATACATTCGACAAAATACAAGAAATACTCGAGTAGCGATGAGAGGGTGATTAATTCAACTACGCAGTGTAAACGTTGGGTATCGCGAGTCGTTAACAAGATCGTTAGCCATGCAGGTGCACCTGTGCACGTCCTCCAGTTTACCATCCCAAGTATCCAATGTTCATCGACATCCTTATATGCATGATGTGTGCAGGGCCCCTTCTGCACATCATAAATGGTATACGAGACCATTCCAGTTACCCGACATCAACTCCCTTCCTCCGTAGCCTCTAGTGCCTCCTCTGAGGCTGAATGTGCGGGCGGACGTTCGTCTCTCGCCTCGGTATCAACGACGTCCGCAGGATGTGACTCGACAGTCCCCGGACACCCTGAAGTACCTTGAACTTTCTCGTCTGGATCTTGGGTTTCCTCCTTTTCGGAGGAAGAAGCAGTCGACTCGCCATCAACCTTTGGGTCTCGTGTATCGTTCGGAGCGTCCTCGGTCGGTTGGACAGACTCTACGTTTGTCTCAACCTCCAAAACTTCTGTATTGTGCTGCGGCTCCTGAGTTTCCTGGGTAGACTCTAAGTTCACGGGTTGCGGGGACGGTGACTCCGGAAGAGGGATGGCTTCGGGTTCCATAGCCTGGACTCCCATGTCTTCAAGATCAACTTGTTTAACACCCTGGGTTACCGACTTGACCTCCTCCCCCTCTATCTGTCCCTCCTTACTGTCCTTGGTTGATGCTTTGCCACTATCGAGTAGCATAGCTTCTGTCTTGGGCTTTTTGCCGTTTAATGAACCAAATTCTTCTTCATCGTCATGATCTGTGATGCTGAAGCGGCGTTTCCGACCAATAGTGGGTGCATTAGATGTAGCTGTCCGTGGAGGATATCGAAACGTCAGTGGCCGGGACAAAGCTCCTATGAGGTTGCGACACTCACCATCCTCTCGCCACGGTCTGTCAGGGCGAGGAAGGAATGACGTCGATACACGTCGCAAGAATTGGAACATAGTTTGGATATTACAAGACGATAACAAGAAACAGCGAAGACGGTCAGAACAAGACACGTCCACAGCCAATCATAACGCGTCGACGCGACGTGTGGGGTATTTGTTCCTGTTTGCTCATATAGACCAGTGGTTTTTTTATATAGAAAAAAGACACAAGAAAAAAACGCTCATCAGCGTGCACGAAACATACTCCCGTAAGGTTTCGTGATAGTTGATACGGTGGAAAGCTGCCTTTTATTCTTCGAACTTGTTCGCTCTCCTCGTCGATTCGAGTCACTTCGAGTCCGGAGGGAGGTTGATTACGTAATAAGCGCAGATGGCTTGGAGGCAAGATAAAATCTGGCTCTAAGATAATACCCCAATCCTCATATTGAAGAAACATCGAATCGCAGAGTCGTTGATCTCCACCCATACTTATACCGATCTAGCAACTACGCATCTTGATATTCAGAACAAACCATGACGTTGGACGTGTTGAGCTTCATAGATAGCAAAGGCGGGAGCGCGGAAGAAGTTAGAGAGTCGCAACGGAAACGAGGGGAACCAGTAGAGCTTGTCGATCAAGTCATCGAGATGTATGCAGAGTGGGTAAAGAGTGTGTTGTCCATCCGACTTCCTGCCTTGGTATCTGACTTGCCTTGACGCGCTCCGTTCACGGTTTGCACCCAAATGATCCTCGGTTTGGTCTGTGTCCTCCAGTGGACTTTGACGTGAATGGCCTCAGCAAGCAAGTAAACGCTGTACAGAAACAGATCGCAGCCAAAAAGAAGGCGAGTACGTCTTGATGACTTACATTCCAGCGTGACTTACGTTGATTCACTCAGGCCAAGGAACCTGCAGACGATCTCGTTGCCCAAAAAAGAGCCCTCGATGTACAAGTAGACGAAAGACGTAAAGAAACACGCGACTATGAAATCAAGATGCGGCAAAAGGCAAGCATGGTCGGAAATCTGGTCGCCAAAGATGTCCCAGTTAGCTTGACGGAGGTAAGTCCTCGCGTAAATACCCTTTCACTCCACGATGTCGAAGATGCATGCTCCTAGGACGATAACGTCACACTTAGGTCGTGGCATCCCGATGGACCCAACGGCCAAGTAGAGAAAAAAGCCAATATCATGCCCCACCACGAGGTTCTATTGCGGTTGGACGCAATGGACCTTGAACGAGGTAAGCTTTCTCCCCTAAACCGTATCATCGACTATCGTGCAAACGTGATATCTTACGCAGGTGCAAAGGTTACTGGTCACAGAGGATACTTCCTCACCAACGACGGCGTCGATCTCAACCAAGCACTCATCAGTTATGCACTCGATTTCCTTAGGAACCGAAGTTACAAGAAGATCCAGCCACCCTTCATGGTTAACAAAGATGTCATGGCCAAGACTGCACAACTAAGCCAGTTCGACGAGGAGCTTTACAAGGTACGCTACGGTGGCCACTTCTAGAGCACTCATAAATAAACGTGGCCAGGTCATCGCAAGCGAAGATGAGAAGTACCTCATTGCTACCTCGGAACAGCCGATCTCGGCGTTCCATTCTGATGAGTGGTTCGAGGATCCGAAGTCGCAACTTCCTATTTACTATGCGGGTTATTCCACATGTTTCCGTAAGGAAGCTGGCTCTGCGGGACGGGACATGTGGGGAATATTCCGAGTGCATCAGTTTGAAAAGGTCGAGCAGTTTGTGATCACTGCCCCAGAAGACAGTTGGACCGCATTTGACACCATGCTTGGCAACAGCGAGGCATTCTACCAGAGCCTTGGGATACCGTATAGAGTCAGTGGCTATCGTTAGCGGTGCACTGAACTTGGCCGCGTCGAAGAAGTGTGACCTAGAAGCGTGGTTCCCCTTCCAGGGAGCCCATAAGGAGCTCGTGTCGTGCTCGAACTGTACTGATTACCGTGAGGCTCTCTCGCACTATACCTGTGTTGGTGTCTGTTGATTCGACCATTTGATCTCAGAGAGCCGACGACTTGAAATACGTTGTGGCCTCAAATCGAAGGATCAGCAACGCAAGGTTTATGTACACATGTTGAACGGGACCATGTGTGCGACGGAGCGGGCACTATGTTGTCTCGTCGAGAATTACCAGACTCCCGAGGTAAGACTTATGTTTACAGTGTCCCCCCAATAGACTCAATCGCGGTTCACAGGGACTCGTTATACCTGATGTACTTCGACCATACATGCAGGGACGGGACTTCTTACCTTGGAAGAAAGAGTTACCCAAGAATCTCCAAAGGAAACAGGCATAAATCTCTTTCGGCACTGTAATGTATTAACCGGCATACTCGCTGCCAGTGCCATGCATCAATAGACCCGTTTTCTCCACATGCATTTATTGACACGTTTCGTCCTAGTGGAGCTTCGGCAGGGATAGTAAGGTACTACTTTCTTGCCCCCCCTCCCCCCATCGAAGATACTTGGTTTCGCCAACGACTTTCACGGGAAGGATTGGCTGTTTATAAAATATCCATTGGAAAAAATAATGTAGATCTTACAAGCGTACAAATACACCAGTGCATTTAACAGACAACAAGGTACAAGTAAAAGAGGACCGCAAAATGCAAGAAATCACACAGAATGTCGCTCCGAAGTGGATATGCTGCGAAGTGTAACTTGGGAGGGAGAGGTATGAAGAATATGGTTCACATTCCAATCCATCATTCGTTAAGCTCAAAGTATGTCCGAAAGATGGATTCAGTGCAGAGTGGTGTCTCCGATATAACGCCATGAACGTGCATGAAGAGACGAGGGAACCGGCGTGTGAAGTATGCGAGGAAACCTTCAGGCATGGGTCCCAGATGGCGCTTTACGTTCTCAGGTAAGTCTTGATAGTGGTGCTTCTACAACGCGCGGGAGAACCAAGATTAGCGATCACGTCAGACTAAGCAGAGATAGGATGGAGAAACTTGAATGGATGTGTGAAATGAATGAGGACGACCAACCTTATTGCGTAACGCACGAAGCAAGTCCTGCACAGATTTCCCATCGTACTTTTCTGAACTTACCAAGGGTCTCGATGAAGACCTTGTCCAGTCTGGAGTGCCAGTCCTGTCCCACGATGTCAAGCGCATTCGTCTCGAGCTTGACGAGATTCTGATCTCGTGGATCGCGACACATGATCTCGAAGCGGTCAGAGGCGTCTTGAAGGAAGTGGAGCCGCCTGCCTGGATCCCAAAAGAACGGATGAAGGAGACATCTGGTAGTATTTGGTCTGCATGACAGTTTCAAAATCAGATTTCTGCAGGGCTCGGTGAATGAGAGAAGATTATGTACCTGTTGCAAGCATCTGGATCCAACATCTTAGTAATCAAATCAACGGCCTCCGTGCCCTCTTCTCCAAAGTGGTCTAACCCGTCAAGGTTTTTGACATTTTTAATGATATTCACCTCCCGCTCAAAGCGGTCACCAAATGGGTGAGAACCGTTGGTGAGGACGTAGTAGAAGAGGCATCCGAGTGAGAATATATCCACGGATTTCGTAAGTTTCGTCTTCCCTGAACTCGAACCACCGACTATAGTATTGACACTGCCTCGGGAAGACTGCGACGTATCGTCAGCAGAGTCATCGAGTTTCACCTCCCCCCTGAGAATCTCTGGAGCACGCCATCCCACTGTGCCAGCAGCCTGCGCCCCTTGTGCAGTCGGTAGGAAGCTGGTCTGATCCACATCCAGCTTCTTGCACAGTCCGAAGTCTGATATCAACATGCGCCGTCCCCCATCTTTGCTCGAGGTGCCTTGTTTTGGCCCAGAAATCAGGATATTCTGAGGCTTGATATCACGGTGGACAATCTTTAGTGAATGCAGATGGCGCAAACCGGAGGTAATCTGTCGTAGAGCACGTTTTGGATCAAAGTGAACTACAATGTCGTGGTGTTGATCAGGGTTCTCGATGACATCCGCGAGGGTTGCAGGGCACAATTCGAGGGCAATATACAGAAAGTTCGCCTGCGCTTCCTGGTAATAGTAGCGTACGACGTTGGGGTGATCGTCTGATTCCTGGAGGATGCTGACTTCGCGAGAAGCCAAGGTAACGAAGTCTTGTAGGAGCCGCTTGACAGCAACTGGACGTCCCTGCAGCGAGCCACGAAACACGACAGTTCCATGAGAGCCAAAACCTGGAGACTGTCGGCCCAGACCTACATAGAACCGAAACGAACTTACCAAGGACGGCATCAGACACAACAAGTGAAGAAGTGACCGGGTTAGGAGTCGAAGGGACTACTAGAGAAATCGGAGGCTGTCCCGAGTAATTGTTTGCCTTGTTTTCTTCTACGGCGTTCCCATTACCTTCATCCCTTTCCGGCGCACCCCCGTCGTCGGCAGGTCCGTTGGCGGATGACTGGTTGCCCTTACCCTTTTTGCCTCTTCGACGTCTTGGTGCTTTCCTCTTCTTCGGCGTGCCCCCTGCATCACCTTCCTTCTCACTCTCTTCCCCTGTCTCGGTGGCTACACCTGCTGCGTTGTCGGGAATATCCTGGACTTCAGGAAGCTCTGCAAAGTGCACGCTTTGCCGTCGCTGCGTAGTGAAGACTGCGGAGGGTGCAGGCGTATCTGTGGCACTGAGTGAGACTTGAGGTGGAGCAAAGGATTCCGCGGCCCCATTGTGTGGCGGTGGTGTTTCGGGCGTGAGTGAAGGATAATCGGCGGGGGGGAAGGGTGAAACAGGTCCATCAGCATCGACGGTCCCTTTTGGTTGAAGTGTCGGAGCAAACCCGGCAAAACGGTTGCTTGGTAGTTTCTCCTTGAGGACCCATATGGCGCCTAACATAATAGCAAGCAACATTGAGCCGAGAGCTGGGAGCTTGAAATTGAAACCGTCCCGAAAACCCTTCGTATCCTGGATCGAATTCAAATTCGGGGTAAGGGAGGCGATGTCATCAACACCACTGGCACGGGCTTCCTCAGATCCCGTAACGATGTTCCTTCCGGTATCTATACCAGGAAGAGGTTCGACAGAGGGAGCACCGCCAAGCTTGACGGCTACTTAGGCCAGAAAGATCGAGCCGCCGTTTGCCAGTTAAACACCTAGCATCAAAGGGCGATTCCTGACATAGTTTAAGCAAGCTTGCGACGCTTAGTCACTGAATCGATATTATCTGGGAGATCTCCCTCAGAGTTAGAGGATGGGCCAGAGTCAAGAAGAGGCCAGTTGGGACTGTACTCGGTGTCCCCAAATCCTATAAGAGGGTAATGATCGTTGCTCATCATGAAGAGTGAGCCTGTCCCCGAGACCAATCCTACATATGCCGTGTCCGGATTGTAGAAACTTTCGAGTTGTGCGATAGAGATGTCACCAAATAGCAGAACATCCGTAATTGGAGGACGGGGTTGCATTAGGACGAAGGCATCCTGGCAGTTGAGAGCTCGAGAAGACGTCACAGACTGCAACACTAAGAGCAGAAATCAGTTGAACAGTGTTGTTAATAAACAGAAAATTGTCTCACATAGGGCTGTCGAGAGACAGAACCCACAATATTTGAGGCTGCCGCAGGTGGTATGGGTCGTTAGAGTCGATTTCGGTAGCCTTGAAAGAGAAAACATTTCCGTTGGGTAGAGAATGGATGTAAGTGTTGTCTGAGGTGCGTCGGTATTTGGTTTGCATATCATTATCTTGGTTATTGGGGCCATAAGCGGAAAATGACAGATTCTGAACTGGTGGCTTTCGGCCAGATGGGGAGGATGATCGTGTGTATATAGAAACATGGTAGTCTTCCGGATAATTGACATCTGTCCTTAACTGAAAGTGCACGCGACCCACCTGTGCGTCCAATAAAGACTCGAGTTGGCCTGGGCGGCTCATTGTGTGAGGTATAATCCTCCAGTTCATCCAAGGTCAATGTCGTCTTTGGAGGTCAGGTCCTCAAAGGGGTTCCAGGGACACTCTGCACTGATGGCTTTGACTCGACCTGTCTCCAACTCTATAGACAGCAATGAGGTTTCCTTCTTTCCGACAAAGGCCCTCTCATCATCTTCCCTCGCAAATTTGAGAGGAGACAGTTCGACTAACTGGGCCATGGAGAATGAAAGAGGTTGGAGAGGGCTTGTTGGCGTTGCCATGACATATACGTCTCCTGACTGTGGTTCGATCACGTAGAGATTCCTGGTGAGCGCTGTCGTCGTCCGTAATGTCTGGGTCGACTTCCACGTGCTTCGTACGAACAAGTGGCGACAGGTTCGATGGAACGTCTCCACCAGCAGACGACATGGACCAGAGCTTGTGGCCGGAGGTGCGATTGACCTGCATGGAACCTGCCATCGACGGAGGCAAGTAAGACGATATCCAAGAGTCGTATGTCCTCGTTTTCTTTCCCGAGGGTGGGTTTTAAGGTCGACCCGAGTATGTGAGCGCTGCGGGTAGGACCTAGAGCGCCCCGCAGTCGCGAGGGCGTCGGTGATGGAAGAATCAGCGACAGCGGCTGTTCCTGTGAAACATAGTGAAGTTATAAGAAAGATTAGAACGCAAATAGTCCACATGAAGCCTATGGGCAGCGATGCTCCATTGACCTTCTCGTCAAAAATGAGTCCTCCTCAGAACGACACAGCAAAGAACTCGGCCCATCAGGCCAGGAACGCGGCCTCGGAAATACCCGAAGCCGTCCCAGGGGGGTCACCGAGATGTCTCAAGGGGGGTCGCTTTTCCATCATATCCCTGCCTGCACTCCATGCCTGACATTCCCGTCGGTTCGCAGATATTTGACCTTGTGTTTCATCCTACAGATACCACCGTCTATACAAGTCTCTTGGATGGTCATATTAAAGCATTCAGGTACGATGAACAGGGTCAATACCAGCAGACCTTCTCCATAAGGCCATCCAAACGCTCGTGCCGCAGCCTCGCCACCAACCAGGATGGTTCGCGTCTACACGGGGCTGGAAAGGCAAAGTCTATTTTGTATGCGTTCTCTCGCTGTCTCCATATCGTCTGACATTAAACTGTCTAGTGCTATCGACACATCTACTGGCGATGTTTTTGACACGAGGAAAGACGCACACGAGTAAGTACAGCGTTCGCAACGTGTGTGGCGTCGTTTGATATTTTCAGTGGCTGAACAGCTTGCCCATAAACCGGACGAAACATTTACTTCCCAATATGTTCTGCACTGGTGACGACGACGGTGTTATTAAGGTCAGTTACCCTCAATATCGCCGAAACACGAAAGATAATGTCAAGCGTGCCCACAGCTTTGGGACCCAAGACAATTGCAGGAGATACGACAATATGTTCACCACTTTGATTTCATATCGGATTTTTTGTGGCTAGAAAATAAGAGACAGCTCATATCTACGAGGTAACGTGTGTATAACACGCCGCTGGCAACAATTCAATTGACATCTCCTTTGGCATCCTCCTGTCAAAATAGCGGAGATGGAACATTATCAGTGATTGATGTACGCGGAAGGAAAACCGAGCCACTTGCCCAATCTGAAGATCAGGAAGATGAATTGCTGTCTGTTGTCACTATAAGGAAGTGAGTCCCTGCTGGTTCCCATCTCCAGATAATCTCTCAGGCTCATTCTTTAGCGGGTCAAAAGTAGTTGTCGGGACCCAACTCGGTATACTATCAATTTTCAACGCTACCCATGGTTGGGGAGACTGTGTAGACCGGGTCCCTGGGTGAGTTCTAATCCCCAGTTCATTGGCGAATGGGTATCGCTGAAGTGCTGGTAAAGTCATCCGCAGTCCATCGACGCGCTTTGCGGATTACCATCTGCTTATCCTTCCTCCCACTCGACGATCCTCACCGGTTCTTCCGACGGTTTGATGCGAGTAGTTCAGTTATTCCCCACGAAGCTCCTCGGAGTTGTTGCAGATCATGGCTCATTCCCCATTGAACGTATCGCGATCGACCAAAATGGAGAAGGCCGATGGATAGGAAGTGCAGGGCACGAAGATGTTTTGAAAATGACAGATCTCAGAGAAGTTTTCGAGGACGAGGACAGCAACCGAGACGTTTCTCCCTGGGGAGCACGAGAGCAACGAAGGGGAAAGTGGCTCCATTGACAGGCCGAACATGCCTGCGGACGCCGTGGAAGGCGGCGCGCTCTCAGACGCAGAAGGGAGAGGGAACGAATCCGGTGAATCGGAGGAGCCCAAGGAGAAGAAGAGGAAGCGCAAGGGGCAGAAAGATACGCTCGCGGCAAAGAAGAAAAAGGGACGAAATGAAATAGACGCTGATCCGTCCTTCTTTGCTGGGTTGTAACTGCTGTGCTTTAGGTGATATGTGACCCTTTTCCTGCGAGCCGGCTTCTCAGACAGGGTATCCTTCATGGCATCTTATCTGTCCTCGCCTCTGTATCAGGTTTGAGAGTATGGATTATTTTTATGCAGGGGTGGGATTCAGTCCAACATTTTCGACAGAAAGTTGTCCCTGGCTGAGTGCCCACAGCACATGGCGGCTCCAACGTTAGCGATCGGTCCACGGCTGCAGCCACTGACTTGAGGCGGCGACTTGTGAGATTCGCTCGTGACAACCACTCTGCGCGCAACGTTGTTTCCTTTCGGTTGTTTAGCCATTCATTAGACATGATATGTAGTTTGAGGCAAGAAGGTCGATAATGAACTTGGTCTCCAGATTCGGGAACAAAGTAACAGCCCTTTGGCGCACCTGGACACGTGGGGTCTGGCGCGGATCAAGCCACCTTCAACTTCTGCCACCGCTCGGGTCTTGAGTGAAGCTCGTGTCAACAACGGGTGGGGCGATTCATTCTCTCCCCCATACATACAACTCCATTGGTGACTTGGTATCTCAACTATTACAGTGCTGCCTGCGTTCATGTTGTTGCGCAAAGCGGTCGTGTCAGTCCGTCATGTGCGCTGCGTCCGTGGCCTCTCTAGCAGAGCCTCTAACATCTTAGGTGCTCTGGATATACCAAACTCATATGAAGTACCAGGCGTGTATGACGGAAGGTGGAAGGGAAGTGGTAAAACCCTTGAGAGCGTATGTCCAACTACAGGCGAAGTACTGGCTCGCGTCCGATCAGTATGTCGCCATTCCACCAAGCTACCAGCTTGCGGACCACACCTAACCGTCCTTTCAGGCCACTCCAGACGAACTCCGCGAGGCACTGGAGAAATCCAAGGATGCCCACATCATTCTCAGGAAAATACCTGCGCCCAATCGTGGCGAGATTCTAAGACAGATTAGGGAGGCTCTTGCAGCAAAGGTCAGACTGGCCACATGATAATTCCCTCGGTCCAGGCTTCACTTCCACTTCGATAGAGTGATGTTCTTGGCGCACTGGTCTCTCTGGAAATGGGAAAGATTAAAACGGAGGGCGTCGGCGAGGTCCAAGAATTCGTAGACATCGTACGCTTGAATTTCACTGATCCATTCAGCCTTTCTAATACAGTTCATGTCCGGCAGTGTGATTACGCCGTCGGCTTATCGCGCATGATGAATGGCAGAGTCATGGCCTCGGAACGGCCTGGGCACACCATATTGGAAGGTTCGTTGCCACCGGAATAAGTTTTTCTGTGCTGTTGCATCGACCTACTTGAGACAGTACCTAATCCGCTCGGAGTCGTTGGCGTATTAACGGCATTCAACTTTCCCGTCGCAGTGTACGGGTGGTGCGTGTGCACGTAGACTTGGTCGAGCCCAGAACTCATTGCCTGGAAGGAACTTCTCTCTTTCTTTCGCAGCTGGAAATGCAAACGTCTGGAAGCCTTCTCCCAGCACTCCTCTCTGTTCCATTGCCGTAACAAAGATCATCGCGCAAGTTTTAGAGAAAAATGGCATCCCCGGCGCCGCGTCTGCTCTTGTGTCCGGGGGTAAGGATGTTGGTGAAGCTCTCGTGGGGAGTCCAGACATCCCGCTGGGTACGCTATCACCCTCGCATTGGTTTTGAGTACTCACATACGTGGCAGTATCATTCACGGGTAGTGAAGCTGTGGGCCGCGTTGTCGGCAAGGCTGTACAGTCTCGATTTGGGAAGACAATACTAGAACTGGGTGGAAACAATGGTATGACTTTTGCGCACCATCGTGAGATATCGCTGGAAAATTCACCCCGGACTTTATTCTTAGCGTCAATCGTGATGCCCGATGCAGACTTGTCGATGGCTGTACCCGCAGTCTTTTTTGGCGCTGTGGGCACTGCTGGCCAGCGTTGTACATCCACAAGGACGACTTTATTTACATCGAGACATTGCTTCACGATTTTTGGACGCGCTACAGAAGCTTTATGCTTTGTTGAGAGTCGGCGACCCATTGGTTGAGGGCACCTTACTAGGCCCTCTGCACACTCGTGCAGCTGTCGGGACTTATGCTGAGGCCGTCCGGCAGCTCCGGGAACACGGGGCACGTATTTTGACAGGTGGTCAGATATAGCGAGCAAGTTGAACTTCGCCAGGGAAATTTCGTTCAGCCGACCATCGCAATACCTAAACATGTAGATCCAGCGGATGCTATTTGGAGCACAGAGACGTTTGCACCTATTTTGAACGTGGCTATTTTTGACGAACTTAGAACAAGCGATTGCGTGGAACAACGGCGTTCCACAAGGCTTGTCGAGCAGCCTCTGGACCCAAAACATGCGCAATATTGGCAAGTGGATAGGCCCCGAGGGCTCTGACACAGGAATAGTTAATGTTTGTTTTCTCTTTCTTTTGGTGCCCAAAGTTTGCGCTGATTTCACCCTAATCCAGGTCAATGTTGGCACAAGCGGTGCAGAGATTGGGGCCGCGTTCGGTGGAAATAAGGTTTGTCCCACAGATTCTCAACGTGATTGCTGCTGGACTCAATTTTTTCTGGCGAATCGTTGCAGAGCACTGGGTGGTAAAATGAAATCTGTTTATCAGGCAAGAGCTGTTTCCTGACAATTCACTTTTATATAGGGGCCGAGAATCTGGCGGTGATGCGTGGAAACAATATGTCCGATGGAGCGCCTGCACTATCAACTTCTCTGACGCTGCACCCCTAGCACAGGGGGTTGATTTCTCGACATGACGAGGGTCACTGCTGAGAAGGCTTATTTATCAGTATGGGAGTCTGCTCATTAAATCATCGGTAACCAAATGTGGCCCTCGTTTACGTCAGCATGTAATTCACTGGACAATTTACGGCTACACAGTGGCCACGATGTGGAGTAACCCCGATTCTGAGATATATGTTGTTTAATGATTAGTCATAATGAGTCCAGAGAAAGAATAAGGGAAAAAAAGAGAAAAAAAGCAAGTCTCATCAGACAGGCAAACGTTTCAGGAATCGATCACCGTTGTGATGATCTATAATCGTGGGAGTGCTTCCGGACTTTGCATGGCTTCGAACCAAGATTGTGACCTGCAGTTCCCTCAACCGTCCCAGGTACCCATCAGGGTTGCCAGCGAATTTGGTATGGGTAACCTTTTTGGTTGACATGTCACTCAGGCAAGCCGGACAGCAGGCCGGGTCTTGATTGGGCCCTCCCAAAGGCAGTGACCTCGATCGCTAAGTACACAGTCAACAAATTACCATCATGTTGCATGGGCAAGGCCAATTATAAGGGCGTTGCGGTGATTATCTTTACAAGAGATTTAACACCATCCCTCCCCGAACGTCGTCGACATAATTCTTGGATCGGTTCAGTTGTAAAGTTGTCGCAGAGGCTCTTCACCATTCACAGACTACACATATCATCATGCAAACTCCCGACGACCTTCCCTGGCCAGAGTTGGGCAACGTCTCCCGCGGCGCAACACGCGGCAACCAAGGGCAAAAGGGTGCTTTGAGCCCTCCAGATCAGGACGGGCGCTGCGTGTTGCAACTACGAGTGCAGCCCGGTGTTCTCTGTGTAAAGTTAAACCGGCGATCGAGCGAGTGGTATCGCACTCTCGACGGTGAGGTCAACAGAGCTCTCAAGCTCACGAAGACGTACTTGGAGGAAAGCGCGTCGACGCCAGGACTAGTCAGTGATGCAAGCTTCTCTTTGGACGTGCTTCCGCAGTGACACCGTATCTGCACAGTGATGCTCGGGCAGACCAGGATCACATGGAGCTACACGAGTGGCTGCAACAACTCAAAGACAAGACCATGTCCCACCTCGAAATTCTCATGCAGAAGGGTGATATCCCAGGGCCTTCGTATGTCATGCCAGAGGACATGGAACTGAGCTTTTTGCGAAAATTCATTGAGCGACATAACGCGGGCATCCCCCATAACCCACGGCTGCGACATCTCGGACCTAACGCCCCACAACCCGCACACATTGAAGACTCTATGGAGTTGTCTACCCCCGAATTGTCTGACCAAGGATACCCAGCGTCAACCTTTGTTGATCAGATGGCGCGAATGCAATCAGGTACGTGGAAATGTTGTCTAGCCCATCTGGAAACTAGTTTTACCCTCACCTCTCGTAGACAGCGCGCCAAGTGTCAGTTCTACTTTTATTCATTCGCCCGGAACGTCCGGCCGTCCACAATTCACCCGAACTTCAACATCACCTTCTGCTGCAACCTACGAACAACTCGTACAGGACGCTCAATCATCAGGTAGCCCAATCATTCTTCCTAACCCTACGGTTCAGCCGAGAACTTATCATGTCCCCACAGACCAATTTCTCCAGGATGCACGGGCTGCACTTTCTCGGACTCAAGCGCACACGCAGGAAGCTTTTCAGCGGTATACCGCATGCCTAGAAGCCGAAGCCCGTGCAAGGAGGGATGTAGCCGTTGCTGAACAGCATCGCGACGAGCTAAGTAAGTTTATTGTGGAATCCGGGCAGGCCAACTTCATATTTGACTCATTCAGTGTCTGCCATCCTTTCGCGGGCACAAACATCCATAGGTACGTGAGACACCTTTCTCTGGGGAATTGCATTGGACTAGTTTTGTAGAATATGCTCGGCATTCGTCTTCTCTGGGGCACGAAGAAGTCGGAGCATCGCAACATAATCAAACGGAGGTAAATGTCTTTTAGGCCATGTGCTTTGAACCACTGACATCTCTGTGGCTACAGTATGCATCACATCACATGGCAGAACGCAGAACCTCCGCCGACGTGATGCCAACACACAACAGCCCCAGACCTATGGATTGGCGACAAGCGGAAGTACCCAATACATATCCGGGAGGACTCGAGGCTATCCCACAGTCCGAGGTGCGGTAATGTACCTATCATTTTTTCTTGGAGTACTGAACTTACGGATAGATTCGGTCATCAAGCGATCAATCCTTCAGGCCAGAGCGCAAGCACTCGCGGAGCTGGGAGCCGGTTGGGCACGTTGATATGGCGTCGGGTATGCAACAAAGTAAGTCGCCGTGTATCGATGACAACGTTCGCGATACGCACTACGTGCCAGTGATGCCAGATATGTCGGGCATACCGCCACGAAAGCGACCGCATCATATGACAGGCCCATCTATTCACAGTGGCGCTGTGATATCTCAGACTGCCATGTCACTGCCTCTATGACTACAGGGTTAACACGGGCGACCGGCAATCATAAGTTCTCCCGGAGAAACCCGAACTATGTGTTCTTCTACGCATCGTACCTAGGACGTTTGTGTCCGTCGCTCTCTCTTGCGACCACGCGCTCACTCTAGGATGCTCGCATACTGCATGACGTTAGGTTCTAGATTCTTTAACTTCACCTCTGGTCACGGACTCGTAATATTTGTGGTATTATTACGCTGTATTTGTCCTGCTGTATGCTGCAATCATCTGGAATCACCCTACGCATCTGACCCCTGCGAAAATCTCTAGATGCACTTCTCCCAGCTTCCTTCCAAGGCAGACAGATGGGTAGTGGTCGGCGAGCCGTGAGTACTTGAATCTTGCTTGAGAGCCACATTGATTCAGAGCCTGCATGTGGTCTTGTCGGGGCGATGTGAAAGACCAATGGCGGAGGTCTCAGTTCCGTGTACAGCCTCAAAGGCCGTACCGCTACTTTTACGTAATAAACTGGTGGACCATTTGGTGTGTTATCACAAATTACAATTACTTTTGTTCTCGTAGTACTGACCACTTTACATATGCGCGACACGACTCCAGAGGATGGGTCCAAAAGCGTTTTGGTTCCACACTCAAAGGTGGTCCACCTTTTCGTGCGGTGAACTGTATCCTTTATGCTGCTGTGTGATGCGATGTTATTGGCGGGTATAGGACCTCTTTTGTGGTACCACTCTGCCGCCGCTTTGATCTTACGGAGGACTAGTGGCTTTATGCCCTACCCTTGTTCCTACCGTCGATATTCACGCTTTGACAATAAAGGAGGTGTGGGCATGGCCAACTGCATAATCGCGTGCTGCACACGTGCATGTTTAACCCAGCCTTTAAAAGGCCTTTCTCGTGCTCCACGGAAAGCACATACCTCGTCCTCTCCCATCCACTTGTCTGCTCTCGAGCTATCATTCATCGTATCGACAGTATCATCCCCCGCCCAATAATCATCCCTTAAGCAGCTCAAATGGAGGTTCCCTTCCGTCATCGCAAATTCCGCAGTAAGTGGCACTGTTACCTGCTATACATGCCTCAACCCTGATGAAAATCACAGCTAAGCTGTGCCGGAACTTCGTAATTGGGAAGTGTGAATATGGTGAACGATGTACTTTCATCCACCCCCCTGTGGCACTTTCCCCTCCACAGTCATGGAGCTTCTTCACTGCCCAATCCTATCCAACGTGGAATGCCTCGCCTCCTCAACCAGAGTTGATGTATCCAACAGCAGGCCTCACCGTTAGGGCTCTTGCAGTCGTTCGCAGCACATCCTCAAGAGCTTTCCCCATTTGGAGATGAGCCATCGCCAACGTCACTCCTTCTATCCACGCCCGGTACTGTTAACCTGGGGTATACTGGCAAGTCCTCCATCATGGCAGACAGGAAAGAAGAAATATCCCTGCAGGCATTTCTCTCGGACGGGTGGTTGGTGCCCAGTCGGAAACCGTTGCAAGTTGCAAGTTCCCTTTCTCGTAGACTATGGCAGGCTTCTAATTTCATATCACTAGCATCCATGATTATTCTCTGGTAAAGTCTGGGAACGATAGAAGCAGCGTTATGCCCCATAATCCTGACGCATACTACGAAGATGGCCGAACCATCAGTGGCGGCGTTCGCATGGCTATACCGCCTGCTCTCCATCACTATAGCCAAATGAGCCGAGACAATCAAGAGCCCTGGTACACCAGTACAGACACCGAAGAGTCATGTCGGTAATCGCGCTTTGACAGCTTGGACTGGTCGCAACTGACACCGTCTCACACAGGGATAGAGCAGACCACTGCATCCGACTTGTACTGGCCTGTTCCCTCAATTATGTGTCCGTATTTCCCCCCCACAAACACTACTCACCCGCCGCTGGTGCCGGGGACCGGTTATGCACAATATCCATCGACTGCTAATGCTCACCAGCTCCCTGCCGGGACATATGAAATAGATGGAACGACCTATTTCCCCATTGCGATCGCTCAGCCCTTCTGTTACAACCGAGAGGCGCCACCCCCCGGCTACTACCAACCCGGGACCAACTTTCCAGGTTTCCCAAGTAGGGGCGCCTCCTTCGGCATATCGACCTGCCTGAGGATCATGATCCCGTCAACCAGATTGGATCAGATCCTGCACCAACCCAAGAACCACAGGTCGCCAAGGAGTCAACCATAAATGAATCCGAGTTTCCTTATCGGCCCCCAAAGCATCAACAAATTGGTCACGTCCGCCGCATTAGTGTTATCGTCAAGAAGGTGAACGGTCCGAGCGGCTGAAATTCTCCCTGAACACTCACGCCACTATCTCGATGACGACTGAAATGAGTGCTCAGATGTATACCCGCAAATGTACGTAGACTAGTACCTGGTTGAATGCAATATGTTGTACATATGTAAAACCCACCGTTAAATTAGATACATCCCCCGCGAATTTATCGCAGCCAAGTACTTATCCTGGATCCGAGCTCACCGGCCGAAAATCAAAGCATCGACTTCTAGATCAGAGGATTGATGGTGATACGGAGCTTTAGCATTTGCTGTGCACGAATATTGTTGGCATCCCAACGACATCTTCGGCAGCAGGTCGTGCATACTCATTTGTCGAATTGACGTTGGAAGACGAGACGCGTGCCCATTGCTATTGGCGATGGCCCAGGTAGCCCCGGTTCGAGTTATGTGGGTTTAAATCTTCTAGAACAGTACGACAGAAAGGTTTTGTACACATACAACCTTCAGCGGAACATATAGCCAAGTTTTCAATGCGTACCCGAGAGTACCTGAAGTACTAACGACTGAATGGCTAGGACCGATGAGGAAGACGTGCCTGACCCCTGGACCTGTGGTTTCTCCTCGAGATGCCGAGTACGCAACTTTCTCTAGGCGTCGCGTGAGCAACCACCACTGTTGGCTCTGGGTCATTATTGACTCCGCTCAGTACCTTCGTGGGCTCTCAGGACAGCGTCTTCGATCATATCTGACTTCAAACCCAGCGTAGCGCGTTATTCGCAGATCGGCTGAAATTATTATGAGGGTGGCGAACCTCTTAGCATGAGCCAAAGACTGGGGCGGCAAGCGGCAGCCTGAAGGACCTAGATGCGATAGCCCTGCGCCTTCCACAAGCGGAACATGCCTCTTGTTGTTCATCGTTGTCATCCGACACCTCCCTTACCCGCCTGATAAAAAAAGGCTACTCAGATCTTCACGCACCTCGAGATGCATCTTCCTAAATGCAACACTGGCAGATGGCGACAGGAGGACCAAGTTTCGTCCGGGCTTCTGACGCTAGCTCGAAAGCGAGACCAGTCGACAATAGATGTCCAATCTTTCATCTTTCCGTCCAGTGGACTCCGTGCCTGGTTCCGTTGCGATCTCCCTCGCACACCCGCGTGGTATATTACGTACCGTTCTACAACACTCAGCATCCTGAATTTTCAAGTACCCACCAGCATCCAAAACAAATACAACGGCGATACGAACTTTGACCTTCCGGCTACACTGTGACGACGAAAACAACGCGTGACCTATTGAGGGGACCCTCGAAAGAGTGTCATTTTGCGCACCTTCAATGTCAGTGGTCCAACTATAATATACGCTAACTGGCACAAACCAAAGAAATGACGCACGATCAATGGGAAACGATCAACCTACCGCCTAGCGCACGGGTCTTGGCAGAGTGAGAACAGTGGCTACGCCTCGCACGTTGTGGTTTCCGGGACCATAACTTGAAATTGGGTTGTGCGTTTCCTCGTTCTGAGATTCTAAGTCTCCATAGGCAAGACCCAAACCTAGAGCATAGCGGTTCCTTTCTGACAATAGCATCGTCCTGCGATCCAGCCGTCAACCACTAGGCACCCTTGATATGCTCAAAAGGCGAAGGAGGATCGACTTCCGTTCGGTTTTAACCCCGTGTGAGCGGCGAACTTTGAAGTAGAGAGCCAGATTTTGCGACGACACCCTTTCTGGATGCTCTGGAGACTGGGTCATTGGTTCTTGTTCCGGCTCCACTCAGTGGGGGCTTCTGTTGCCCAGGGACTGTCCGAAATTGAGCTGAAGTAATAGGCTAATGGTGTAAGCGAATTCGCAAGAGAACACAAGAAGTCACCGGTCATCGACGCAGTTGCTGAAGCCACTCAGACACTGAAGATCATATTGCCGCACTTCACAGCAGGATACCAGTAGAATACTGGGTATTAGGCGGGTGGTATTACAACCACAGAATGCTTGAAGACATCATTAGGTAGTATCGGTACACGAATTGTCAATGGGTAGGATGAATAAATAGTTGGGTATGTCAGATGAGTAACAACAGTCCTCGCCAGTAGTAGTGCTGTTCGCCACGTTTGAAGGTAATGCAGTGAGTTAAGGCTTTTTCAACAGTCACCCGGTAGAACGCCCGTACACGAGATATACTAAGTGAATAGCGGTGCACCTTCAATCCCATATGAGAAGTCCAAAACGACAATCTTCTGGTCATGCGATGTGCTGTGGAAGACATAAATTTCTCGCTGTACAGCAGCACCAACAGATGTTGAGTCTTACCTGACGATCTTACCGACGTCGAACTTGACATCGAAGATGTGGCTCGCGTGTAGGTTTCTAAACTCCCTCACCAGTCGACCCACGCCTTTCGATTTACTTCTGTCCGGGCTTTCCCCAACTTCAGGTTCACGCCACTCCCACACTCGCACGCTCCGGTCGTAGCTGGTGCTGACGATATATCCCGCCTTTGGCTCGAAGTACAAAGCGCGGACCAAGAGCGTGTGTCCAGCGAACGTGTGCAGGCACTCTCCTGTCGAAGCGCGCCAAAGCTTAATCGTGCAATCATTTGAGCCACTTAGAATGAGATCGTTCTGGGTTCCCATACACCGTAAGCGTTTGCGGCCGATGAATGCAGACATATCGATACGTACCTTGAACTCGATACATGCCAGTCCTTTTTCGTGTCCTTCAAAGATGCGGATGCAGCTTCCGGTTTCGACATCCCACAGTATCATTTTACCGTCGCCGCTCGCGCTAACGGCACGGCCGTTCTCCAGCCCTACAGCATTCACGGGACCCTCATGGCCACTCAAGACAGTATGCAAGGTCAGTGTCTTTCGGTCATAAACATTCATTAAAGCATCTTTTGAACTTTGTGGAGGAGTGAGTTCCAAGCACGGAGCAAATGGCACCACATACCAGGTGACGATCCAGCGCTCATCCATCTTTAGATCCAACACGCCTGCCGAATGTCCCCGTAACACATGTCGCAATTCTGCAGACACCCTCCGAGGGGCACCAAACGTCCCGGTAGTAACATTTGAAAGAGCACTGTTTGATCTCGAGGACCCATGAGTGATAGTTGAGTCGCTGTTTCTCTCCCCAGCGGTGACCGGCGTCGATATCAAATCCCAGACACAAACCGTACAGTCGCTACTCCCACTGACCATGAATCCACGAACCACACCATCGGCGCCAACATCCCAGTCCCGCTCAAACTTGAGGCATAGAACACTTCCCGTATGCCCTTCAAAAGTAGCGATGCACTTTCCGGTTTTGATACACCAAACCTTGATTGTTCTATCTCGGGAGCCGGTGATAATGCGTGATGAGTCAAAATCGAGGCAGTACACACTGCGAAAGGCATCAAAACAGACCCTATGGATCCCTGGAGAAGACTGACCTATCCCGGTGACCATCAATTCTCAGAACGTGAGGTTCGCCCTCGGGGTCCCGCCAGCGCTGCTCAAGTAGCGCGCGATCCCTGTACAAACGACGCCAGTCCAACATTAGAGGAGACTTTCTCGACACTGGCGGGCATGCTGTTGCTGAGCCGGGTGAGTCCTCCTCTTTGTCGTCCGTAAGATGCCCATCTTCATTCGTGACCGTTATATTGTTCTGTCCGTACTCCTCTGTGCTAGCGAATTTCTCCGACGGTACGAACACATCGGTGCAGGCACTCTCCTTTAACATGAAGTTGGCACGGTCAAAGTCGATGGCCCAGCCACTCGGTACATCCCATTGGTCTTCCTGTTCGTGTTCGAGCGTGTTCAAGGGAAGCCCGTGCACACCTTCATCCTTGACGCCCCGGTAACGTCGTCCGAATCCACCGAAAGAATCTAGCAGACGGCGACCACTGTCTGGGGGTGGATTGGACACAGTGCTGGGAAGATGCGGGACACCTTCTCTTGCTTGCCACAGCCTCCACCACACGCTATTGTCGAGGGCAAGTGTGCGCCAGGCTTTACATGTGGAGGCTACAGCGAGGACGCTACGCACCGGCAGATATGATAGTACGTGTAAAAACAATTCTGGGGGCAGCTGCGTGAGACGCGACGGAGTTGGATTCTCACGTAAGGGAGTTGGATCTGTAGGGTATCGTTCAATGGATGTCATTCAACAGCGGGACGGAGAAGGTAAGGACTCACCTTCGGCAGTCTCGGGCTCTTGTACATATCCCGCATAATCATACACCTCCCAATAGCCATATCCACATACGCACGCACCGTCACCCCAGCCACTACACGTACACCCCACTAGTTCACCTTCCTCGCCATCCAGTGGATCAAGCGCTCCATAATCCACGTCCGTTTCCGCCTCCAGCGTGCTAGGTTGCCTGACCCGTTTCACGCGCCGCCTTTCCCTTAACTTCCGTCCAACACTCCTCATCGGCGAGGACTTGGTTCGTGCAGCAGCAAACCCACCAACGGGCATCGACTTGCCACGCTGTGAGGTGGCAGCTGCATTAACTGCAGTGGCGACATTATTCGGTCTAGACGCATCGGGAGATCCGAAAGGCGAGGTAGAAGAGCTCTTGGAAGGCGATGCAATGGATTCCCAAAGCCGCGAAATGCCGGGCCGTGAGCGGCGCGGCTTGCCTAGACTCATGCTGCGGGTCTGCCCACCACTCGGACTCCAATGGAATACGCCAGGTAGACCACCGGCTGACGACGTAGATGTAGGATGCGAGCGAAAGAAGGGGAGAGTAGCAGAACCTCTGGCACTAACAGAGTACTCCGAAAGGCAATATTCCATAAAAGAGGGACTGTTCGGCGGAGAAATCATAGAGAAGTCCGCAGTCAGAGCTGGACTTGGAGGCGGGGGAGACATTGTCAGCCAGTGCGGAAGTACTGGTTCTGTGTCTTCAGATAGAGGAAACTCGGACGACAAAGGTATCGGTGAAGTAACGGTGATGACGCTCGTATCGATAGGAGGTAGTCGGGAGGGACCAGGTTGTGGTTCAGTGCCGAAAACGGTGGGTGCGAACTCCAGCTCTGGTGTCGATTTGGCAGTGTAGTAGGGCGTGGGCACAGGTGGAGGAATGTACCGTTGTTCAACGAGTCCGAACGGATGTACCATCTTCATCATGGATCCAAAATTTGACCTTAAGCGCGCGTTGGGTGAAGTGGTTTGATCGGATTCTGAACCTGATGACGATACGTCTGTGGTCCTGCTGTCGCTACCTTCATCGCCTCCGTGAGTGTTCCTCCCTCTCAATGGCTTTGGTTTCATTCTCGGCGTTGACGGAGACACGCCACTAGCAGCGCCCCCGCACGACGTGGGGGAACTAGAGTGAAAACCGAGAATGGGCTCTGTCTTGACTCTGCGCGCCTTACCCTTCCTCCAAGTTGTGACTCGGCTCTTGGTCCCATCTCCCTCCATACGACCACTAGGTGACAAACGCTCGCCGCTGCTGCTGCTACCCAAATTTCGGGAGGCACTGGGAGTCGGACTTGAGCTAGGGGAGCAGAAAGTCAAGCCTGGCGTGTCCCCGAAACTAATATTGAAATCTAAGTCTGGGTTAGTCGCCGGTGCACCAACTTGCTGCCTAGGTGGCGTCGTGCTATTGGCGATAGCAGTACGGACACCGCCTGGAACATCTATCTTGGGGGGCGTCATCGTCATTGAGAACGAGTCGTGTGTCAAACAACAACCGTCGCTATCTGGAGTCGTTCGGAGTCCAATGTCAAGCGGAATGCAGGCACGACGATGGCGGTGCGCTGTCATGGGACTTTGGCAGAGAGCCACGGACAGTGATGTTGATGTGGGGTGTTGTCCGGTCGCAGAGGCTGGGGACTTGGAGTTGGGACTGACCAAAGCAGTCGTCGATGACATCGGTAATGGTAGTGTTGTCGAACTGCGTTGTCGCCGTCGTCGCAATGCCAAGTGCACTTGCAGATGTGCAGCGTCGACGGTAACAGGAGTAGTCGTACAACACGGTGACGCAGTAGTCCTTAGTGGGGATGTGCGTGGAGGTGGTGTGGATGGAGGGTGTTGTTGGGTGCGGATCAAAATCATCCCCAACAGTCAACATATGTACTCCAGTGCAGCAGCAGCCTGACGGAGCAATATTAATACTGAACTGCGGTGTCGAGGGCGTGGTCAACACGATGCTGCATGGTCCCCTCGAGTCACCCACCTCGAAGAGAGGGTCTGTCCGTGAGTTGAGCGCTACCAAGACAAAATATTTCAATGTATTTGGTGTGCGGTTGTATGATGAAATGTATACTACGGTTGACAACTCTACGAGAATCGAATACCACCAGTTCTCGGGTCCGTGAACGTAAGCATGGGTAAGTGAGAGATGATGAGAGCGAAAATAGCCATTCTGCATGAAATTACTTGGTCAGTGCCAAGCTGTGAGATGAGAAACTGATTGTCAAAATTGAAAAAGGATGGAGGGCGGATTAGGAAGGTGAACAAGAAGATGCCGCCACTATGTCCAGCCATGAGCCAGCCTCATCACATCGAAGGAACGAACGGGGCACCCTCCTTGACACACATAGCCTCCGGAGGCCCTATGCAATCGACGAAGTCGTGAAAAAGTGCTACTTGCTGCAAACTGGCAGTCACCGGGGCGAAAAATGACGCTACCTTGCGTCGTGGTTCCAGGTTCGTTAAAAAGGTTTGCAAGTGCACAGTTCAATACTAACACGAGACCGTGATGTGGACGTCATGAAAGAATGGAATGTCCGATGTCGAAGGACGATGAGCAATCGACACACTCACGTCAGGTTGGTCCACGGGCTATTCCCGCTATCCTTGTAGCGCATGGGGCGCTGATTCATAACGCCGCTGATGGCCAAGACAAGAACAGGCCACACCAAGTATCTGCAATGATGTCAAGCAGTAGGTTGAAACGGATGAGGCGAAACACACCTATTCTTGGTGACCATCACTATCCCAGCAAGAAACATGCCTACAGACCCGAACGCGTCTGTAAATAGTCAGTCACTTAAAGCAAGGGTATCGAATTCAAGAGGAAAGTACTCACCAGTGGATTCGACACGCCATGACCTGGGTAGGGTCAAATTTACTTCGCGCGATGGGTCTTCGGCGTCACCGTTCGACATGAGTTCCGCAGGAAAGAGCGCGGGAAAGTGCGGGCGTGGGCTCATGACACGTGATGCATAGATAAGATAAGATAATGGATGTTTACGAACAGGCTTCCCACTGCGACATCCAACTGCAGCTTGCCATGGCTGAAATACACCAGCGCGAGTGTTCGTCTATCACATCCTCGCCACGCAGGAAGCCACCTCCAAACAGTGCAAAGATTCCCGTTCCGTTCAGCTACACTGCGAGCGACGACGGCACAGACGAGAATCTTCTCGTTCTCCTCCACGGCCTTGGTGTGTGTTCGAGGCTATTCGTGATACAATGCACTCTGACTTGCAAAGGAAACTAGGGGACACACACACTCCGTTCACAAAACTAGGTCGGTCTCTCAACTTACCCCAAACAGCCACCCTCGCTCTCCGCGCACCAGAACAGTGCGTACATTGGTTCGCTCCCTACTGAACATCGCTTACAGGATCATAGAATACCGTTTCTGTATGAACAAGCTTATCAATGGTATGCTTCCTTCGATCCGCTGGGAGACCTTATCGAGCGTCCGAACCCGACACCGGCTCTTGACCTACTTCGCATCGTTTTTGCGCATCTGATCGATAATTGCAACTGGCCATCACATTGTATTCACCTTTTCGGATTTGCTCAGGGAGGGAGCGTAGTCGTCGAGAGTACCATTTCTTGGTGGAAAGGCGAGCTTGCGAGGACTAGGAAGTCGCGGGTAGTGGAGAACAGAGAAGATGACGACAACAGAGGCGGAGCCACTCGTCAGCTGGGATCGGTGGTTACGGTTGGCGGACGTCTCTTGTCCTACCCTACGTTGGAGAAACCTTGCCCAACGCCGCTACTTATTTTCCACCGTGGCTCGCTACCGAAGACCGCAATCTCATCGTTTTACAGGGCCTTTACCCAGATACAGGAGGTGAACAGACAGGATAATGTACAGGACGAAAGCATGCCTCGTTCGAAGGATGAGTGGGAACCTATCATGCGCTTCTGGAGTGAGGTTTTGAGATACAGGACCGGGGAAGGCCTTTACGAAGTAATGAGTGGTGCGAAGACTCGATAGTGGATGCGATGGTCGCTAGGCTACTACTTAGGACACTCAAGTTCCTACGGGCACATGTCATGCCTTGGGGTCAAATCTTCGAGCATTTAGCCAGTCGAAAGATGGCCTTGTAGGACAACTTCGAGGAAGCACCGAACGGAGAGTGGCAATGTATGTTATGTGTGCTGACTGACATTGGAATCCGAGTTACAGCACACTATATAACGACCAGATCTGTGCGTCTCCGGCGCACTCCAGGTGGTCCTGGTCTAGGATCATCTTTGGTTAGTGACGCATTTGCCGAGCTGGCACACCGGTGGCGCGAGAGAAAGGGTGATGTTCAACGTGTCTACATACTTAGTCCTCGAGTTATGTACTAATGTTACGGCCAGAGGGGATATTCGCACTTGAGACGGCGCCGAGCACATTGTCTAGTTGAACACGGAGTATCAGTAAATGTTTTCAGAGTCACAGGCGAGAATATCGAAGAGGTGGTACGCAAATCAGCACGTATGCCTGGCATTTACGGCACCCATTTTTTCCCACGAAGGCATCCACAAGTCGGACAAGGGAAATGCTGCACCAGACAACTGTCCAGTCACCAAGCATGGGAAAGAGAAGAAGGGAAAAGGTAAAGGCTATGAAGGACGCACTTGCACGTCTTGTCTATAGCTCCTAGCAATGGAGGCGCGCACTCGAGCTTCTGCCGCCGACAAAATAGACAGTGAAGCGCGGGTTTCTCATCCATAGACTAGCAGCACAAGGGTTAGCAACTGGCCAACACCAGAAGATAGAAGGCCACACACATCCTGAAGGCAAGGAACAGTAGCGCAACGTCAGCAGACGGCGTGTAAATCGGGAATCACAACATACCAACTGTAGTTGTCGAAGCCAACAATGTCAGTCGAGAAATACAAAAATATATTTGCGTCCCACACACCACTTGCTTCACCAGAAAATTGCGAATGAGGCTGTTTGCCTCCACCATCGGTCCATCATCTCTGGTTTGCAATGTTTCGCCCCGCTGGCTTCTGACCTTGTCCCTTTTGGTGCCCATGATCTGAAAACGTCGCTGGCAATGGCGACTTTCGGTTCATTGTAAGCCTTGGTTGATTGTGGAAAGTAACTGGTTTACCATGTGATGGTGCAACCATGTGCGAATGCATCCAAAAGTGTGGCATCATCAACCTCGACATCATTCCAAGTTCCGCAACGGCACCGATGTCTTGCAGAAAATCTCCTGACGACTTCTGTGGTAATGATCCTCATGACAATTTTGGTCCCTGGCTGAATAGTTGACCAAGCATTACTTCCACTTGTCAGTTGGGTTATGTTAGTACTGTCGTCAATCACAAAATCATACTGTCCCCTTTTGATATACCATTGTTGGATCTCAGCTTTATCTGGTGGACATTGGGTGAGTATGCCAGGCAAAAAAGCACACAGTTGCTAAAACAAATGTAGTAAGCGTCGTGAATCCATATCTGCGCAGCAGGAACGCACATCGAAGGAGCTGCACTGATCAAGTAGCATGTTATGTTCCTGTTCTGTTGCATCCACCAGTATCACGCAACTAGAGGTCATGGCTACTGGTAGTGACTGTCCTGCCTCGAGTATCATCAAAATGCGCTCTACTCCTTGAGATTCTGTTAGCTGGCTCTCTCCAAGTGCAATGAGATGGTCCATACCAGCTTGAATGTCCATTTGGGATGAGAACTGAACGAGAGAGAGAGAGGGAGAGGGAGAGAGAGAATAAGTCAAGAACGACTGGATGAAAATATCACCGCGCGCGCGCAACATTACCTGGTAGAGAGAAAGATAACTGAGAATCTCGTTCGAACATCCAGCTATCTCTGCCGCGAGCGAGGGGGATCCAACTATGGTACGACTCCTCATCTTCGACAGTTTGTGTGCACTCCCTTCCAACTTGCTGTGCGTTTCGATGTTATCGATGTTAAGATACCCCACACATATTTCTCCGAGAAACATACCACTTCAACATACGTCTCCTTTCTTCTTCACGGGGAATCCGAGCAGCTGGGGCATCGAGCAAATGACGGCTGAGATCATACAGTAGGCGAGTGAGGGTACTCAAGTCGTCTGTGTTCTGGGCACGTTTCTATGAAAGTATGAATTAGAATCCAGAGTGACGCTTGAAAGATGGAACAGAATCACATCTATAAGTTGAAGAACAGTTAGCAACCCGCCGATCGCAGCCTTCAGCGGAGCACCGGCGACCGGAATTGCTTCCATTGCTGCTTGTACCACAGGTAACGTTATCTGAGTGATATCGGAGACATCACGAAAGCATAGGCCAGGGGGAGTCTTAGAGGAAGAAACGTGTGTTGAAAGTCGCTGATCCGGAGCGGGAGCAACTTGAAACGTGTGCGAAGCAAGTATTCGTGTGGAAACATCATACAAGCCTGCAGCGACGGAGTTATCCTGTGGCGTTCGGGTGGATTTGCCTATCCCCCATGGGATCGTGATACGAATAGGAATAATCTTGCCCGTTTCCTTGCCGAACATGTTCACTGAGACGACGAGCGCACTATAATACCCTACACTCCACTAGACCACCAGACAGCATACTGCATGTATACAGCCCTGTACTGCAGCTGAGTCACTTCAGCAGAGTGGTCGAGGCAAGTTTGGTTATGTACAAGCGGTGCATTGCCTTCGGACGTTGTTGTGAAGTAATACACTGTAAGTAATAACAGTATACCACACAATTCAGAATGGGTGGACGGCATCCATAAGCTTGGGACAGTGGGGGGGAGAGAACCCCCGCAATTAGAACAGTCACACTTGTTGCATGAGACGGTGCAGTTCGTACTACCACTCTGCTAGGAATCAACGTGCGTGCAGTTGGAGGCACTCATCCAACCACTCCGTGAAAGTGGACGTGCGATACAACAATCACATTGGGATGCATAAGGGAAGGAGGGGATCCTAGACCCCAACAATACCATGAACACTGCAGGAACTCGCCATGAGAAAAGGACAACTGATGTACAGCACGTTTTATAGCGCGAACGCTTGAAGGGCTGATATTATGTAATGCATCACGTTGACGAACCTGTGAACCGCCACGAATAGTATTAGATGTACTGGGCAGTCCAACTATGGTGGTAGGGTTATTAACACTCCCATGGTGCGGCAAGATTATTGCCATGCAGTTACATGATATCCAGGTGCGTAACCCATTATTTATTCGGATAGCTCTAGAACACTATGTATCACAACTTTAAGCCCTCAAACTACAGGACAATTAATATGAGAAAATCATCAACCAGGGATTCAATATTATCTGTGGAGAAAAGTCGGCAAGTCATAAAGATGATATTCACGCGCACGCGTTCGAACATGAAACTTACAGGGAATAAGACATGACAACCAGCGACGAGGCTGCATAAGCGAACGACTAGGTTGAGCAACACGACACGCCAACGCGATCGACGTCAAAAGGCTCACCCTAGCGGGAGGATGACAGCCCAATAATAACCCGGAACCTGCCAACCAGCGGGCACGATATCAAGGCTGAGGACGACCATAGTTGCGAACGAGGCGAAGGCCCACAAAAACGCCAACCAAAACCGCTTCAGGATACGCGGGACTTCGATAAAGAAGTTAGACCGTTCCACCTCTTTCTTCGTAGCGCCCCAGGTTATGTTGTACGAGAACAAATGTGCAAGCAACGCAACAGTCAAGTGTACGCTGAGGCCGCTGAAAAAGAAGAAGCTGGTAACGACATACTACGTCAGATCATGATACGTCAGTAAGATGATAAACTAACAAGAACGGTACCCAGGTTGCAGTCTCGATGAGGACGTCAAGCAGGTTGCGGTGTCCAAGGCGATACTCCAGCAGGATGTACCCGAAGTTCCCCAGTCCGGGGAACACGGCAATGACCGCCAGGAACATCTCAAAACTGTGGAGATAATATCCGTCTACCTGAATGTTGAATCCCAGAAGAAAGTAATTCGCCGTTGACAATGCTGCGGATGCTGCTATACCGTCTGAAAACGTTGTTAGTGCATACAGAGTGATGGAGAAAGCCAAGTGAACCCACAATAAGAGAACATGTCTACATGAGGGTCGTCAACGCAGGCACACGGTGGTGAAATATGTGTCACGCACAAGACATCATGGTGAACTTGTAGTGAACTGGTGCATCCGACCACACAAATGTGCGCAGTTGTTTGTTAATAGGGCCCAAACGCCACCAGCTGATCAGGGGATTGAAAATCAACTCGCTACAGCCTGAAAGGAGTTTAGTTGTCGAAGTCATGGTGTCAAGCAAGACAGCCATACCATACGAGTACTTCTGCCATCTATTCAACTCATCGTCCACAGTAAGGGAAACGCCTTCTTTGAAGCCACCATCGGAGTACGTTGCCCACCGAATTATGTAACCTTTCAACTACAGTCGCATCAGTAAAACCCTGCAGATAGTATGTGCTACATCGTACCTGGAGGCGTAAAGCCATATCGAAATCTTCCGATACATTTGATTCCGACCATACTTTCTTTTTCCCATCCGCTGGGTCAATGAATGCAGCCTCCTGAAGGGCCGACCATCGAAGAAACGCATTATGGCCAACGAACGGGGCCACTTCGCCATTCGCACAACCGAGCGATATGGCCTTATTTATCCGTCGTGTAAAGTGAGCTATACCATTTTCGAAGTAGTGATGTGCCACCTGCATAACGTCTGAGGCGCAACAACTATTAGCTCAGAGCGGGGGCGCATCGGGAGGTAATCACCAGAATTATGCTGAATGATGGCAACTTCAGGACATTCAGCTAGTTCGCGGGCTGCATCCCGAAGACAATCCTACGAAAAAGTAAGCACATATGACGCACTCGAATTGCTAGAGCTTCCTTACGTCCGGCACGATAGTGTCAGAATCAACAAGCAGAATGATCTCTCCGATACGGATGGATCTCCCGTTGCTAGCCCATGGTTTCCACTTTCCGTTGCTCTCCTGGAAAACTTCGTCACAAGCCATTCGCAATGCGCGTTCCTCGAGCGGTTCCTCCTTGTCAGATACTTGCAATTCACCCCTTTCTTCGGCTTCCTCGAGAACTTTCAGGTGCCTCTCTAATCTCAAAGTAAGATCGAGCCCATAGTTCATGTTGGAAGCCTTTTTGAATCGCCCAGCGCGCTTGAATCCACCCGGAGAAGAATCATGGGGAGGGCGGGCAACCCAGCCGATGTTGTGATCCGCATAGAAGGCAATCCGTTCCAAGCGCTCTTTTTCCGGAAGGAGTTGAAGACCGTCATCATGTATAAATATCGTAGATGTCCCCCCTTGGCGAGCGTATGACTGCATGGCTTTTTTAAGGGAAAAGACAGAAGGCGCGCTAAAAGTCTATGAATACGAGTGACGGGTGCTTCCAGTAGCAAAACGCACATGGTCTGTTCCAAACTTTCTTTGTAGACGGGCATTTCAATCGTGATATGGGGCAGAGCATGGTCGACCTCCTTGTTCGGCTCTGGCTTGACAGCTGAATAGTACCGCGAGTTCTCGTGGTACTGTGCCACAGGGCCGCATCTAGAATAGAGTGATAGTTAGTAATGTGCTATCATAAGGATAGAAAATCGTACATCATCCCAAGATTGTTAATGATCTGCATGGAGAAGAACTGCCAATAACGTTTTCAGTTAGTGCAGTATTGCATTCAGAGTGCGGTGCTTACTTACGAGGGACACACAAAAATTGAATGGAGCGGTTACCAGAAGGGCAAATCTCATCCAATACCCATCCAAAAGTGACTCCTGAAGAAGCATGCTAACGCCACTACCAACAAAAACTAGGAGTTCGTTTGTCGTTAGAGGCAGCATCCTCCAAGTTGATCAGGCAAACACTCACATATCGACAGAGCACAGCCCAAGCCACTGTAGAGTGGTGCAATAAGTCTCATTGGCCAAACCTTCTGCGATACCTTCTCAACGTCGCGATCTTCTCGAGTGGACCGCCAGCGGAACCAATTCCAGCCTGCCGTTGGCGCTGGGGGTTTGTTATTCAGATTGGCGAGCTCCTTCTCTGTGACGGGGATCTTTTCGGACGACGTCGTACGCCTGCGCCCGTCGACGAGATCTTCGTCCGACGGCTCTGCCGTAGCTCCTACCTCGGAAGGGGGAGCGGAAAACGTAGCTCGGGCACGCCAAACCAGCTTGATCAGCTTATCTTCAAAGTCACGGTACAGGGGGATGATGTTGTCCAACTGATCGGACCATAAGACAAGAACACGCTCGTCTCGCTATTCTCAGGTTAGCTACGATCATGAGCAAACGAGGTCAGGTAGATGACTTACGATAAAAGCACCACATTGCTCCTTCTCCCCCGCGGGGAGATGGACCATGGAATCGATTATCTGCATACGGGTGTTCTGATCAACGTATATGGCAGTGGCGTCATCAGCGCTAAAGATACAAGTCAACCGACGCATGAGCTTAAAATACGCATCTGAAGAGAAGGTAGTGTCATACACGGTTGCTAAGGCAGCGTGTACCGCGGCGCTCCGGACTTTGACTGCCACGACTGGATTCAGGGCACGTACTGCCGCTTCGAAGGGGGCGAGAACCGGGTTCTCGTATGGAAAGACGCGGAAGTGGCCAGGCTCTACTCGAAGACAGACACCAGCAGATATGTTTTCTTCTGATGGCTTGAACCACGCATCCCCCTGGGTCTGAGCAAGTTTGTTAGCAACGCTGGAACGATCGAGACGATATGCCAGTACCTGTTTGAAGATGTAATGCAACAAGGCATCGTAGGCATCGTAGTCCATAGCCATGACTAGATGAAAGTGTCGGTGCACAAAGTCGAACGAGATGAAGGTCAGCAACAACCCACTGGGTAGGCCGAGTTGGCACGAGCACGATAGGGAGAACTGCAGACAATGAAATAGATTATAAGTCGTCTCGCGCCGGTCTGGCTTCGAGCTTGCGCCTGGGTCGCGACGTTGCTCTGCCACCGGATCGAAGGAATACCCGGACTATAGTGTGACAAATGTTCCCCCTTATGCCCTCCTCGTCTGTAGGCAAGATGATCCCCTGACGCCAACACGGAGATGCATCGGGTTCTCGGCATGGTACCACTTTTGGGACGAGAAAGAAAAATAATATACGATCAAAACATCCACGCAGGAAGATCACCGACCCAATTTTGTGGTAGATGCCTACCCAGGTACAACAACCGACCTCTAGGCGAAAGGCGCGACTGGGCTAAAACATTTCGGTTCGGTGCTTGAGATCACGATCGGTCCGAAGTAAATATGGCACGACAGGAGTCGCAACGCGATGAAACCCACCTGGAGAAGGAGCCTTGATGGTAGGAGTCACCGACACCGTCGACAGCTGTCTGGTCCACACAGTACACGTATGGACCCGTCTCTAGGACATTGTGCGGTATGCGCCGCTGTGCGCCGGAAAGACGAACGCCAAGTTGGTATTTTGTTTTGCGTTTCGTTCATGCAAGCATTAAAACTATTTTCTTGCACCTCGGGAACGGGTAATACGTTCATCACTGCCGTGCCTGTAAATAGCATGATTGGATGTTGATATTGAAGACACACTAATAGCGCAGAAGGAAAAATACTCACCTCCCATTTAGTTTCACGCCATGTCCTCGGAAATGGCACTACCGCGATCATCATCCTTGCAGTTGCGTCTGATACATAGTTCTCATGGTCGAAGGCGTCTTCCTTATCGCCCGGACAGGCACGACAACCTTGAACCCAATCTGTGTCGACTGATTTACGAACGGCGGATACACGGCTGATCCCACTCGGCGCTGGCTAGTCTTGCAGTCTGTGACTCTTATTGTAAGACCCGGGGCCAGAAAAGGCAATCGAGCACAACACCATGTCGGGACCGGCGGCAACGTCACGCCCGTAGTCCATACAGGCTACGCGCAATCGGACGAGCTCACACACGACCACCGAGCACATCGTATTCCCACCCACATATGTCATATATATATACCTGAGAGCTGCAGGTCCGAAGGTCTGGGCACCCACAAGTATACCCTCCGACTCTCACAATTTATGACAATTAGGTGAACAGTGGAACCCCCTATTGCAACCTGTGTCTGCGTCCTGAGTGTGGCCGCCGGTGAATATTGCACGATGTTGGCCTCAAGGTGTTCACGGCATCTCCATCAACGACGGAGGTCGGTAACGGAGAGCCGTGATCCAATGATAGCGCGCACCTCATGCTACATACACATGTGAGCAGGAAGTCCGTTCTTTCTGATATTCTGCAAGCGATAAGAAGGATTTGGATGGGGGCTGTGGTGGCCTGCATGGATCAGAAGCTACGATTCTCTTCCCGGAATATCTCGATCTCCGGAAAAAACTTCACGACTGCAGTTATTTGGGTGAGACTACTTCCTAGTCTTAAAAAGAGACATGTCTCGTCGCCAGTCAAGAAGCGTGCGAGCTCAAACCGATTCTCGTAAGGAGTGGAGTACTTGCCGATATGTCCCCCTATGTCCTCCTGGATATCTAAGGCGCATTAAGGAAGCTACGGATGACGCCTCGGCGATCTGATTCCAGGATCCTTCTTGGCAGGAACTTCGTGATTTCGTACTACATCATCAATATTCATCCAGTCAACCAACTCGTGGGAGGGAAGTTGCACGATTAATGTGTACATCTATGTCAACTCCACAATAGAACGAGGATGGAAATGGCTGTCCCAAGAAAGGACTAGTAGTATGTACTCTCCGCGAGGAAGAAGGTTTGACTATATATCGTTGTTTGCTCGGTATAGTTACACAGTTTCTCGGCCGGTTGAGACTCCCGAGGCTAATAAGGGCACCCAACCATCGCACCCCTGGGAGACTGACCTTATACTCTGTTCTTATCTATGATTCTAAATGACCTACTGCATTCCGGATCGGTGATGAGTCCACCGTCGTTTCAGGTAAGAAGAGGAAGAGAGAAACGAAGTTTGTACGTGGCACCAGTGCTCGTACAGCGCCGGAGGTTGGATGACTGCCCAGGAAAGAAGAGTGTGCTGAATTTCCGAGAACACACGAAAGCCATCGACGAGAGGCTGGAACGTAACACGCTACGAGTTTGCCCGTAGATAGCCAAATACCGGGCAAAATTTGCTCTTCCACACCGAGATCGATCAAATTTCGAACCTCTTGTGTTCGAAATGTTATCCACACGTGTCTCCAGCAGCAGTGCGTACTCCTGCTTCTCAAGAGTCCGGAGGCGTCCCGTGGCTAAATTAGTGATCAATATAGAGGCCGGACTATTAGGTACTCCGAGCGCCATGGGCTATGGAGAGGGCGTTATTTATGGCAGAAACATGCGTTCACAGTCGCATGATCAACATAACTGGACCACCCCCTGGCCAGGGGAATTACTGACGAGATATCGAGGCCAGGGCAAGCCGTTCTCCTGATCAGTGGATCCACTGCCACTATGTAGCCACGCCAGAATGTTTGGCTAATTCGGTCATTTCCCCTGAGTTGCATCCCGTTTTATTTAAATTCGGGAGAATGGTACAATCGCGGTCGACTAGCCAGCCAGCCAGCGATGAGCCCGGCAGACGCTTCGCAAAATCCGAAGTCAGGGCCATTTTTCCTGGGGGAGGACCCTTTCAAGTCCAGTGGGTCCTCGCCGTCTGACTCCCGCCCCTCTACAGGCGTGGACTCCATGGCCAACCCATTCCAAGGTTCCGATAGCGGCGTGGAATACCCTCCGAGTCCTCCCCACCATCGCCGGTATGACTCCACAGCCAGCATCCCGAACCGTTCGAAGCCATCTAGCGCTTCCACGGTCTCAGAACCCGTTCCACGCCAGAACATCACCATCGTCGATCGCACCGACGCCGTGCCTCGCAGCCCCTCTTACTATGGCAATGGCCATGGTCTCAGACCGAGCAGGGCATCCTCCGCAATACGCCTCCGCGAGAGCTTCGCTCCGCCTCCTTCACGTCCAATGACCACTTTTTCAACTGCGCCTTCCATCGTTAATAGCCTCGGGCCTATAAAGGGAAAGCGTATCAAATCAACCCTGTTAGAAGACACTAGCAAACTAGAAAAACCATGGCTCAAGGAGAAAGACCCCTATGCTCGCGTCGCGTATCTATTGACCTATGCAGTCGCATTCCTTGGCGTCATCGCATCCGCCGTGAAATGCTACCTTGGATACAAAGGCGTACTGGTGATCAACCCTGCCAATCTGTGCATGGTACTCGACGAGGAGTTTAACTCCGATACCAACACTGTCTTTGGATCAGGCGGAAACTGGTTCCGCGAGGTTGAACTCGGCGGATACGGGTGAGCACTACAACAGAACTCATTTTATGAGGATGACCCAACCAATGATAGGAACGGCGAGTTCGAAATGACCACTGCCTCGGACAACAACTCATACGTCTCCAATGGTTATCTCTACGTAACTCCAACCCTCACATCCGACGCCATTGGCATGAGCAACATCTTCGATGGATACACGTACAACCTCACTGACTGTACTTACAATCTCACGAACCCCGAGTCAATTCCTGGCGGCACGAACTCGACCGCGTTCAATCCTAGCGCCTATTACCAGGCTTGTGGTGCCGTGAGCAATAGCACAGCAGGGACTATAATTCCGCCAGTACAAAGCGCAAGAATCTCTACCAGATACAGCGCAAGCATTAGGTACGGCCGAGTAGAAGTCCGGGCAAAACTACCTAGAGGGTATGTAGGTTCAGCCGTTTCAGCCCTGGATACGCTAACTCTATTTTCTTACAGCGACTGGGTGAGGCACTACATACAAGCGTGTACATGACAACGCACTCACATTTGTGAGGTATCTAGCTCTGGCCAGCGATTTGGATGCTTCCTGTCAACAACACGTATGGCCCTTGGCCCATGAGCGGCGAAATCGACATCATGGAGTCCCGCGGAAACGGACGGGATTACCCAGATCAGTGGGTGACCCGATACAACGACCATGATGATGCTGACTGTACGCCTAGGGGCATCGACTACGTCCGGGGCTCTCTTAACTGGGGTCCACTCTCGTTCATCAACGCCGTCTACAAAACTTTCGGGTGGTGGACACAACGGAGGACAGACTATGGCGAAGCATTCCATACATACGCCTTGGAATGGACGGATCAGTTCATGTGAGGCATTCTTCCTCGCTAGGGGAATGAGCACTGACAATCGTCATGACAGTCGTATCTATGTAGATTCCCGACTGCAATACATGCTCCAGCTAACCTTTTCGGAACCCTTCTTCTCACGTGGAGATTTCCCGGCTGTCGTAGAGAATGGGACAACGCCAATCGTGCTGGAGAACCCATGGGTGAACGGGACGAATGCAACGCCTTTTGACCAGCGTACGTCTTTCACGTTCCCTAGCAGAGAAATGATAACCGAGTCGGAACGCTTTCACACGTAGCATTCTATCTTATTCTCTCTCTTGCGGCTGGGGGAACGAATGGGTGGTTCCCGGACAATGCAGGCAACAAGCCGTGGTTGGACGGATCCAACACGGCGATGATGGATTTTGCGTTGGCTCAGAATACGTGGTATCAAACGTGGGGCTCAAATGGAGAAAGCCAGTCGTTCATCATGTGAGTCACCTTTGTTTTTTCTTTTTTGTTCGCTGAACGCACGGATTGAATTTGATTGTACAGCGACTATGTGAAGATGTGGCAGCTTTGCTGAAGAGGGCAAGTTGAGGGCATGCAAAAAATGAGAGAGCATTTCGTTGCTATGGACATTAGACTTGTCACGATAGAATACGTAAACGTGGTTTTGCGGGGTGAGACTTCGCTAGATGTGTTAGGCTAATTGTATTAGTAATAATTATGGGTCATGAATATGCCTCCCTTCAAACATGAACATTAATTGAAGCAATAAAGGTCGGCGCACGTCGTTTGCGCCGTACGCGCCGTTCCAAGCGAAGCGCACCATGCCCCCGTCGATCAGATCGATCATATCGATCGTCGACCGACCGGTACGCCGGTAAATTAAAATTTCTCTGCCACACAAGCGATCGCGACCATCAAGAGGGCATCCTGGAAGACCGATCAGCTTTACGATGCTCACCGACAGCACAGAAGAACGCAACCAACAAGTAAGCTGTCACTGATCTCCTCTCTGGCCAGGCCGATCAGTAGAAATGATATACATCAGAGAAACGGGGAATGACAGAATCGCGGTCACGACCAGTCAGTGACAGGTTTAAACAGGTTTAAACCATTTTTTCGCTTCCTGATGTATGCCCAAATCTGTCATATTGGCGACGATTTCTGACACTAGATTTCTCAGAGGATGCTGATGACGATGGTGAGCGTTGTGATTCTGGCCAGGTTCATGACAAAATCGTCTCCAGGACTACGCACAGCGTTCCATGACCGGTCCGCATCGGACTTCAATGAAACGATGGATTTGGTTTAGATGAAAATGTCTTCCCTCCCTGCCCATCACAAACACACGCCGAAGCCGATGTGTTCTCGATGGAGTTTTCGATGGAATATAATACCCAAACATCAATGTTCTAATTATTGATTTCCGCCGACACGTTTCTCCTTATCCCAGATAATGAAGAATCTGGACCTATCTGGACCGACGGTCGCCGTAGCTCGCTCAGCTTCGATTCAGCGTTCCGTACCCGTATGAGTGGGATCTGATGCGGACCAGGACGTGGCTGAATGAATCGCGAGAACAACGCTACTTGGGCGCATTGATGTCAATTAGGAGATTTCTGGAAGCTTAGCAACTTGATCGCTAATACCGGTGGCATGGCTTGATTTTTCCTTTGTTCTGGTTTAGCTTCGTGTGGTGACTTTACGATGCAACGTGAAGCAATATTCACGGTATCCTGTTGCGTATGGCGGACGTGCGACTTGACTCATGACCAGGCCTATACTGGATTTAGATGGTGACGACAGCAGCGATGAAGCTGAAGTTCAAATTGGAAGCTCATCAACAGAAGGTACGATATGAGCTCCGAATTGAGTGCTAGTGAGTCTCGACTCTCGAGTCCGCGGAATTCGACTCCGGACAATTATTTGACTTAGGAAGGATTTCAAGAATTATTGTGTGCCGACAGCTTCACTTGGGGTACTACGTATCGGCAGCTTAGGACACTGATCCAGGGTATACTACTTGTATATCTACAACAGAAATTCCGGCCTATCCCGCCCATGTACACCTTTTATGCCGTACCAATCTCTTAGTATGTCGGCCAAAGTGTGCCTGTGTCACGACCCATGATTGTATGTCAGTATCCAAGGTATCAATGATTCGTTGACGATGTTCTCCGAATGGTATCATACGTCTCCTTACACAAAGTTACGGCTCTTGCGGCGTGCGGGTTCGCCCGATCATGAAACCGGTTTCACGGCCCGGCAGAAGGATGCGTACCTGTCATCGAACATGTCGGCCAATTAGCCCTGTTCCAACAAAAAATGAGAAAAAACAGACATGTTGACCCTATCCAGTGCGACTTCTGGGCCTGATCTGATCGCTAGTGGTGTAACAACAAATCCATGTCGTTCAAACCTAGACAACGTCCGTCGACATCAACCTGCCAACAAGGACATCAAAGGAAAGGACAACTTACACCCTAGTATACCAAGGTCTCCTTCCAGCAGATCTCCATAACAGGATACCGCCCGGCGCAAGCACTCTAGCAAGTTCTCTAACTTCGTCGTCTACGTCTTTCGAGTCCTCGGCAAACCAGTCAAGATGGTCCATTATGACTGCACGCGTGAGCGACCAGGTAGTCAATCCTCGGAGGACGCTGGCTTATGTTAGAAAAGCTGAGGAGAAGAAGTGCACGGCACATACTTGAAAATGGATTCCGTATGTAACCTGAACGCGTCTGTCGCTTTGCTGTCGTTAGCTTTCAGGGTCTCAAACCCAGTCCGCGTCAAGTATGCAGGGCATGAGGTTGGGGTATAGTGTCCTCTCAGTGTCTATCCAATCGGGAGTTACATTCACAAAAGAAAACAAAAACATCGACACTCACGAGTGGGTAGAAGTACGCTCCATCTCGGAAACTCCAACTCTTGGCCAATGGATCGAATGTATCCCTCACAAACTCGTAAATACTTCCTTCCTCTAGTAGCATCTTTCTCTGATTCATCGGGACACCTAACGCGTTCCAGCAAAATATCGGACTCTTGAGTATGGCCACGACAACTGGATTCAGCAGCACGGGCTTAAGCTTTTCGTTCCATATCCTCTCTTGTTCTTCAAGACTCCCAGCCTCACAAAGAGCCTCAGCATCAGCCGAAACACCGGCAAGAGAGAATATGAACTGGGCAAGACGGAGAGCCCAGCCACTGTACCCGTTCAAGTAGAAAGCGGAGCTGAAGGTTTGGTCGTTAATATGCCAGAACTGATATGCTATTGAGGACAGAAGGGGCGAGAGTCGAGAGTCGAGGAGTGTCCGGAAGTTGGGGTGGCAGCCCTTTCCGAAAAGTGCGAAAAAGTCCTCGAAATCGAGTGTATTGATAGCGGCGAGTTTCAGCTCGAGAAGGTGCCCTTGACTGTATTATCGCATAGATTCAGAAGGAGTTCACCTGCGGGATGTCCAAACCTACCAGGGATTCATGTCTACGCAATGAATCTACAAACGTCAGAATAGCAGGGAATAATAACGATAAGCTCACTCACTCGCTTGGGTTGCGCAGCTATTGCATAGTGTAGCGCGTTGTCACCGGCGGAGGTGATGACAAGCATCGAGTCCTCACGCCCCAAATCCAGGTATTTCATGTCTTCGAAAGGGTCCTCCTTTACTCCAAGTCATGACACGAGTTCTTGTCCACCGGAAGCTATGAATAACGTACCCATGTGAACGAATAGATGAATGTTCTAAATTCTCTGTGTACAGGCTGCTCATAATAGGGTAATCTCCAAGGCTACAGCAATCGAATTTGAAAGAATGTTGAGCTCCGCGCAACACCAACTCACGGAACAACAACCCACCTTGCCCAATTGATAATGGAACGAACTCAATGGCAGAGTAATATTGATGACCGCGTCAGCACGAATGACTTTATCTATGACTGGTTTTCCAATCTCCAGAGGGGGGATGGCCTCGCTGTCCTTGACAACTGCAAAGGGGGAGGGGGAGCAATTCCCAATGACATTTCCACCCTCGACCTCAAAAGCGTGACAGAACCGTGATACGTCACACGAGCGGGAACGACCTAGCCAGATGTAGTATGGTCTGCGGTGACCGTCAGTGGGCTATGGGAATGTGGGAGACAGCTTACATCCTAACGATGAAGGGAATGACGAAGCGGTTCCTGCCGTTGTACGTTTTGACCTATAGGTATAAACCATGAGATAGTATCGCAAACACCATCATGACCTACCGTTCCAAACTTGTACTCGAGATAATCTCTTCGGTGGGGTGATAAGGACACGTGATCAAAGTCAAACCAAATCTGCCAGAACCACCGACTAAGCCAGCCACATTCCTTGCTGGTCCCTCCAATCGCCTTCTCGTGCAACGACGGTTGTTTTCCTGAAGTATAGAAGTCGACAACAGAAACGAGACCCGTCTCGGGGCACAAGACATAGTCGATACGATCAAGAAGGGCATAGAAATTGGGAATCTATATCAGGCATAAGCAAATGTAGTATCAGTCAGATTGACCGTGGTAACTTGGGACTTGCCATTGAAAGCGAGTAGCTTAAAGTGACAACATTGACGCTGCCTTTAGCTTCCTTGTGCGCCCATTCGGGGAGAGAAAATTCGGTAGCATCCTGCTGGAGAACAGTAACATTCGTCCAGCCTTTTCTTGTGAACCTTTCCCGGGCGATGTCCAATAACGGCTTGCAGAGATCAACCAAGTAGACAGCGTCGAATGACGAAATAGGAAAGTGTTTGTTCATGAGCTCGATGTTGTGTCCTACACAACGCTCAATTTCCCACTCCACGCGGGAAATGAAGGGTTACCTGTACCGCCACCAATATCGACCCAGACAAGTGGATGTCCAGGGTGTCTTTCCCGGACGGCGCGGAGGTGGCTTGCGGTCAGGCTAAGCATCGTGTTACGGCCACGTAACAATTTACTGCGGGTAGTATCATAGACGTCTGCTTGACCGGCGTAGAACTGAAAATCAAGGGAACTGTCAGGTGTCGACGATATGGCAATGAAGTTTGCACAAACCTTATCCAAACGAGTCCTCTGATCGGCACTGCCGAGCGAGCGGGGAATACAATGCCATATGAACCTGAAGTAGGGATGAAGTGCACTGTGCAAGGCAACCAGTACCACAGCAAGGGAGCCCGCGAGGATAAGACATGCGGCGCTCAGCGACGATCCAGTATAGTACTCGATAGCTTTTCCCAAGGATCTGCATCCGGCGAGAACCAGTAAGCAGACCCAGAGCGTGTGTACTAGGAGAGAACGTACCTTCTGTAATAGAGGGCAACGACCCCACCGACGAGGAGAGGGGCACGGAAAGAGGCAAGTGGCGACATCAACCGATGGGATGGATCGCCTATCAGTTTTCTTTTGAGGGAGTGATATCTTATACTGCTCCAGGATAGCGGGTTGATCTTGGATAATGTAGCAACACGACTAACACGGAGGTAGACATATTTGAACGATAGGAAGTGGCCGATGGCCGTCAGCCAATGAATGACCGTGGTTTATCCATTCTGGCGCACGAGGGCTGAAGGCCAGTAGAACACGTCAACGAACGTGCTGGCAGCCTGGGACTGTGAGACATTTTCCGCCGCCAACGACTATCCGCATACGGCGGAAGTGGCAGGTTCGCCTACAATTTTGGCAAAATGATTGAGCTGGCTGGCGATACTTTCCAACGTCATATGCACCTGGTTGACCCTAGGCGAAAAATGGAAGAACGAACGTTGAACATCGCGAACAAGAGACTTCCGTCAGGACAACACAAACTCTGCCACACGTGTTGCACAGCCACACTAATAGAGCTATACTACCTACTATCAAAGTTATCTATTGTTCCTTGGTTGTACTACTACTAGTAGGACTCGCCCCATGAGTCGTTGTTAAGACCACCGCCACAGGAACGCGGTGTTACCAGACCACTTGGCAGGGTGCTGATCATGTCATGATCACGCTTTCGCTGCCGTACCTCTCTCGTGCCTTGGGGTTCGGCCTCGAGGGCACCGGAAAAGCATCCGCGCCTTTCACAGCACCTTTCCACTGCGGCTCAGTATTAAGGTGGGCACTAATACAGTACCCGTCCATTTCCTGATTCGACGATATCTCAAGAGTCGCTTGCACAATACCCCAGCTTGAATATTGGTGTCAAACTCGATCACTTACCATCTCACACGTGCACAATCTCCATGTCACCTCTTCAACGCAAATACGTCGATCTCATTCGTGATGCCACGTCAAAGTGGGCGAACTGGGACCCGCCAATTGCTATTAAGGTTTGTCCCGGAGTGATTGCGATGCCGCCGATCAACCTACATATCTCATCTCATCTTCTTCGTTATCTTTCACGGTATCCAATAACTTATGCTCACACGACATAGGTAGGGGCGTTTGGCAAACTAGATCGCGTGACGGGCGAATTAGAGGTACATGGCAACGTTTATGAAGCAGAGTTCCAAGAAACGTTGGACAAAATCGATCCAACACTTAGGCTCAAGCTCCAGCAGCATCCGCCCGTTGCTGGTCCAGTGGAAGATGATTTCATCATATCCTCCTCGGGGGCGCAAAAGAGGGCGTTTTCAGTAGCGCCTGGTATGTGAGTATACAGCCCTCCATCTTACCGATGGTTTGTCATACAACTTTGGTTGTGGTGCAGAGACATAATGGGCCTTGCAACCGCTTCCCTTAAAGCCGACTTCCAGTTCTCGCAGGGAAAGAGGGACGCCCTCCTAGTCATGCACAGTCCCAGGATGGAATACTTCCCACCTTCCGCTGTTCTTGAACAATTATACCACATCCCCGCTCTTGCGGATATGTACCTCGTCACGAGTGTGTTCACCTGCCCTGCATTTTCGCTGTATTTATCGGATAAGAGTGAGATCGTGCTCATCCTTTCTACTAACCGGATGTCTGCGATCTCTGACCGAGGAGAGATTAGGTGGCGAGAAGATATCCCTAGCCCTCATCGCTTCTGCTCCCATAATTCCTTCTGTCGCGCCGCTCGGGCCTAACGCGTCCTTCTCCACGGGAATTGACTGGTGGACCGATGCCTCTCGAGGAATCCTTAGAAAGGGTGCTAGTAAAGAGGGAGAATATGTCTTTACACCGCTATATGGATTAAAGAAGCGTGGAGGCTGGATAAAGAAGATATTTAGAAACGGAGACCAAAAACAACATGGAAGAAGCAGCGAAGAGGAACTGTGCGTACTCCTTACGTCTCCTCGTGATATACGCAGGTGACCAGACTGATGCTTTTGTCGTCGTGTGGGCAGGTGGGTTGACGTGGATGCACCTTGGGAACCACTCGATGAAGATGGCGAAGAAGACCCAATTGATGTGGTGAGCTTTCGTGCAGTCCTTTTGATGTTGGCTGGGCCGCTCATAACGGATTTGACAGGATGGTTCTAGTTGCCCTGATACCTTTGGCTGAGTCATTCGTGCGACACCAACGATAGGCTATAGAATCCTTTGGAAACAAGATGGGTGTCATATGGGCGGACACCTAATACCACGTATTCTGTGACCTTTAAATCTTTAGAGTGGCGGATCAACTTGCGTGGAATGTAAGCATGATGTGTTGACGATGTATTTCTAGATGTTTATCTGAGTGCTGTGTCTGAGTCTTTCATGTGCGGTGTGGACATACCAACGCAGAGGAGAGCCCTTCCCTCTAACGTATCCAATGGTCCAGTCTTGCGCTTGGAATCCTTAGGGGAGATATAGCACGCTCTAATAAATTACAGTAATGCACTGTTTCACGTTTGAGTATTATCGAATCTCGATCTTCGAAACTTGTTATATTCGCAGTACATCGTTTTCGATCGTAAGAGTTACCTATGATAACCTAATCAAACTAGACGCATAACACCCTTGCATCCGTGGCCGTGCTACTCTACATAGCACCAGGATACGTCCAGGAACAAAGCAAGGAATACATACTACTAGTGATGGACCACTCCGTTGGCGCGTTTTGCGCTGTTTTGTGCTGCGACATCTTGTCCCGCATCTGTTTTAATTTCACGACGACCAGTAGGACCCAATCTTACTAAGTTTCTTCATACTTCATGACCTTCCCTCAATAGGACAGCGATGCGCTGAGGACCCTCTGTCGATGTTGCTGGAACACGGAGGGCCAATTGAGTGACCCGGACGAACAACAGCCACTCAATCCGGAAACTTCGGATCAACCTTCGTCACATGCACCAATGCGCTGCACATCGTAGACTGCAATTCACAATGCACGTAGCCCCCTTAACAGGTGAGCTACTTCTTGACGTCCCAAGACCTGGTGACAGGTGACTTCGCCGCAGGTTATTGGCTGTCCACCGAATCCTAGACTGGCGGACTGCCCTCATGCCCCCCCCCCAGCACTTTTGCTGTCTACAACGGGTTTTTGTAACTACATACGTAGCTTCTGTTCATTTGCACACAAAGAATTGACACCAGTTGACAAGAAGTATCGGCTATTTAGTACTTAAACTTAATGACTTGGAAAACCAACGACGCTTCGCTGTACACAAGACTAACACGACACAAAAATAGAAATCAATATATACGTGAATAATGACAGTGGGTACTCCAGTTTTTGCGCCGCGATCATACACCTGGCGTGGTGAAATCCGGGTAGTCTGGCCAATTGCCCAGCTGGGCTGGGTCGCCTCCGATGCGTACCCATGCCGAATGAGATGGTGTTGGCCCATCGAGGATGAACAGCTGATGCCAGCCTGGAGGGCAGACAAACGCGTTGGGAGGAGCTGTGATTGTACAGCTGTTCCCGGAACACGAAAACTCGGGGAAGATTATGCGACCACCGCTCATAACATTCCCGTGAGTACTGGAGGAAGCTGAAAGTGGCAACCAATGTGTCAATCGAGTGAGGAAGGCCATAATACACGACTGTGACGATGCCTACCTGCAATGAGAGACACCTGCATTGTGGATGTTGTTCCCTGGTAGAGGGTAACGACGATATCGTATTGTCCCCCAAGAGCCCAGTCCGTCTCCGCAATGGTGAATTCAGGTTGGCGGAACCCTTGGTTAAGGTACGGAGGAATATATACTTCAATACGGAACTCCTCAGGGTAGACAGCGGTGCCGTTCGGGTAGTTCGTCTCAGGGTCCGAACCAGACACGAGAACTCGGCCATCAGGAAGAAGGGTCGCTTCGGAGTGATACAACCTTGCGACAATCGTCGAATTCAAGATAGAGATGCGTTGACCAACTGGCTGAGAAGGGTCGTAGAGGAGAGCACTGAGGTTAGGATCGGAGGCAAGGCCAAACCCAGCGACACCCTGGTGGGCACCATTTAAGATCATGTACGTCCTAAAGTCGTTTTCAGTACACGACATCGTAATGGCGTAGTATTTCTCTACTTACCCATCCGGTAATGTGACCATGCAAGGCATCACTCGCTTTGATGGCTATGCACAGACATTGATTATCACCAAGCTACGTATTAAAGGAAGAACGCACCATCCTTTCAATTGTCCAAGTGGGATTTGACGCCTCAGGGGTAATGGTGACGCAGTTATCCAAAGCTATAGCTGCTCCGGGGGTTGAACCACCACATATCAATATTTCTATTGTGTCCGTGTATGGAGCATGCTGGGGGAGTAAGACGGCACTTCCCTCCATCGGGTACGTGCGCCCCGCCAGAAAATTGTTGACTGCCCCAGGTATATTCGGTAAGACTGTCACCGTATCAAATGTGACGGGGTCCAATATGCGCGCCTCGTTGTAATATCCTAAAACAGAGTTTAGTAATTATCGCGTCAATCCACACAGACATTACCAATGAAGAAACGACCACTTGGAAGAACCATCAAGAATGGATACAGATTATTTGGATCCGTGCGTTGCAGATAATCGAGAGTGATGACTGTGTCACCTCCCGGTGGCGCGGGCAGGACTTCCAGACTCGGTTGAGGAGGACCATTGCTACCAGTCTCACCCCCGACCACGAGAATGCTTCCGTTGGGCATCATCATCGCTGTTGGGTACCAGCGACCTCTCTATAAAGAGATGAATTCCAGAGATCTATATTCTATGGAAAGACGAACCTGGAGTGTTAGTTCGTTCGCGTTTTCCTCCCAGTCATTCGTCCCATTGACACCTGGCTGACCGTCGGGGGTATACAACCTGACTCCGTAAGTGGATTCAAGTGACCACCCTCCTACGTTAATTTGACGTGCACTCTTGTCTGGAAGGATGATACTGCCCGAACAGAATACGTCTGACTTGACATGCATCTCACGCCAGGCCAACAAATAGTTGTCTACTAGACTTATGTCCAGCTCGTAAGCTCCAGTAGAGTTCGCAAATTCTGAGGTCGGATATTTTTCGAGGAACGTGACCTTATTGTTGATTCCGACCGTCGCGATGAGTGGAACCACCAAACCACCAATCAGGAACTGGTGGAGAAAGGTCAAAAGAGGCCATTCCGGGAAGCATATTATGTAGCGCTTGCCTCGTAACGTCCAATATTATCTGGGGTGTGCCAGACGTTCATCGTTCCGTTCCAGTAGTAGGTGGACATTAGATTATTTGCACCGCAAAGATGAATTGGGTCTCCCGAGCAAGGCATATTGCATTCGGAGTCCGAGACAAAGGTGCCATCAACTACATCGCTGACGTCCCCGCAGACTATTCCCGATCGTCATTTTATTGCCTCAAAGAGGACAGATCAGAACTTACAGCATTGCTCGCCATATTCCAACCCAGCTGCTGGGTAGCCAAAGGCAGCACATTGGTTCAGACAAGCCTCAACTGTGTTATTGTTGGTCCAATCATTCTCGTAGGGGAAATAGTGTGATCCGGGAGCCGGTTCACTAGATTTTATAAATGGCCATGAAAATCGCCGCAGACGGAGGTAACGCTCACGAAAGACAACCCTGATACACCCATTGGCCTGGGAGCCCCGATTCCAGTACAGTTGGTACAGGAAGTATTGTGATAATCCCTGTAGAAGAGTAGACGGATAAGCGATTTCCTGCGCCACATGCCTCCCTGCTCGACATTAGCCACCTCTCAGGACATGGAGAAATGTCCTACTCACGATGCATTTCCCCCGCATGCCATGTTGCAATCACTGTCAGGTGCTTTTGTTGCACCATCGATCAGTTCGTTCCCGCAAACTAAGCAAAAGCGTCAGTAAAAGCACATGCATATGTATAAGGTCGATGAACAAGGCTCACAGCATTGCGTACTATACTCGAGGCCCGCAATAGTGAAATTGTCTGCGGTGCAGTGAGCAGTGCAGCTTTCAACCGTCATGGAACTGCTGTCCAACTCGTCTCCAAGGACTCGTCCGTTAGCATTATCCACATAGCAGCCGCTATAGGTCCAATTTCCAGAGAGATTGGGCGTAACAAAAAACTCTGAGCCAGTTCCACCGCCAGCGTTTTCCGTGGTTGTCAGCGTTCCCGTGTAGTTGTACAGGTTGAGACGGTCAGGACCTCCACAATACTCGGAAGAATTTCCAGCACAGGTCATGTCGCAACCCGATTCGGGCGTTGGTCCGGAACCATTATCCAGAGTCATTCCACAGTCTGTTCTCTTACGCCTCAACATTTATGGAAGCCTAGCATGAACAACGTCACTCACAGCATTCATCGGCGTATTCAACCCCTGCATATTGATACCCAGCGCCCTGGCATGCTGCAGTGCATGACTCGACCGTAACCTGCCCGGTTACACCCACAGCATTTGGCAAAGCCCTCGCTGTCGCAGAGTCACTAGTGAAATGTTAATTCGTGAACTCTACGGAGCCACGTATTACTTACTTATAGCACCCGAGCGACATCCAGTTGCCAACGCTGGGGACGACGATAGGCAGTGGAGGAGGTTGAGCACCACTCCAGTAAATATTCAGTCGGTCCCCAGCACCACAAAACTCAGAGGCATTCCCGGTGCATGTCATGTCGCACTCCGACATGCTGACGTTAGAAGCACCCGAAGCAAGGTAATTCCCGCAATCTGTAACGCGCATCAGACGATGGACCACGAAGGAGTGTAACTTGCTACGCACAGCATTCCTGTGCATACTCGACGCCACCATAGATGTACGAGTTGGATCCCGAAGAACAGAAACTAAGGCATGATTCGACTGTCATACCAGTCGTGTTTGTATAGGAAGCAGCGCTAAGCGTGCGAGCGCCAGCATTGTCACTGGGACAAAGGCAGTTAGACCCCTTATTTGACTGAGAGTCTCCACTCACGTCCAGCAGCCATACGATGTCCAACCGCCCTGTAAGGAGCGGCGGTGCAAGACATGTCGATGAAAGAGCGTAGAAGCATGAGCTATCTTCCAAGACTGTCAGTAAAGAGTTAGCATCTCTGAATGCAGAAGTACCGGGATAACGATGGCACAGGCCGAAAGCAGTGCCAGGAAGATTGAGAGAATCATCCCGGCCTTGCTTCCCTTGCGCTGTTACTGATCAGGATTTTATACTGCATCTCACGGATGAGAATTCTGAAGGAAATAAATGCCAGAAAAGGGTTTTTTTTTTTTTTGAAAGGATAAATATAATGATCAGGAACGGGCGTAGATCTGGCCTACGTCCGATACCGATGACAAATGCACCAACTGGAAAAGTTGCAGCATTGCAAGACAGGGGACAAAGTCCAACTTTGCTGCTGGATTGAGCATCCAGGAAAAATTGCAGCGTTTCTGGTTGCGCTTTCAGTTAGGATAGGTCCTGTTGCTCTTTGCTTGTGGCGGTTGTCAGAAATCCGGAGAGGATTGGAGGGCAGCGGCCACATATCATTATAGCCGCAATTTCTATCACCTTTGTCGCTGCATTCTTTTTTCAAATGAACTGCTTCATCTGAAGAAAGTTAAGACCCGCCCTTTGCAACTGATTCCAGAAAGACAACGGCCGAAGAGTAGAGCTTCCTCTCCGTCACATGCTGCCTAAGTGGGAAATCAGAACATCAGCTCGGGTGAAATGGCCGTTGCGAGCGGACAGTGTAATGAAGCTGTTACGAATATATGACAGCGATTCTGTTCCTGGGGTCAGGTGAAGTTTTCGGGTGAATTTGGCAATAGAAGAGGGACAACTGAAAATCGGTGGAGGTGACGCTGGGGAAAGTACAAGATAGTCCGAACCTTCATGGTATCCTGATACATCGACCGGTCTTAACAGCTCCCCACCCGTGATCGGATTGGAAAGAGTCAGAAAACGACGACTGAACCGTCCATTCATTGCCCAATTGTCATCGACAGTGATCGGAATTGTCTGCCACAACTGGTCGGGTTATGACCGGATGTACAGTGTTGAAACAACACATCACAATTTCCTGAAGGCTATATTGTATCGGCTGAATCGTTTTGCTCTGCTAATGCAGAGTGCCTGAGCGGGGACCACCAGTTCCCCAGCTGAGGTCTGTTTCCCGGTGACGATGGTAACTTCACGAGAATGTCAGTTTTACGGCACAGGACGTGGACACTGGTCGACGTCTGCCGCAAAGCGTACGTTCTTACTACGCCGATAGTAAGCTAAGCGTGTCGGAGAAGGTCAAGCACTAACGCACAGGCCATACTATCCCACCAGGCTTCCTATAGGAAGCTATTGATTCATGCGCAGAAGAAGATGGTTGTCATAGAGAAAAAGTATGGTGTCAGGTTCCAGGCCTCCCAGGAACCCAAGACCACCCGACTTGAAGAACCCTAGCCGTGTATGCGGGTGCAGAATTCCGAGGACCAGGCCGGCTCCTGAGTGCTGGGGAAGACCAAACGGCATAAATTGATTAAGACATGCACGGCTTTCCAGGTACCCATAACTCGTCGAGTTGTTGGAATAAGGCTTACCTAACCTTCGCGGACAAGGAATGGTGGATGACAAAGCAGTGTGCCGGGAAACCTTAGCTTGTCCGATGGATTCCGCCTAAACTCTGTTTCTTCATTCTTTCTCTGAGTGGCAGGATGTGACCGCTTCGTCTGTCACTGTAGTCTTGGAAAGTAGCGTACGACGTATACTCGAGAAATAGAACGCTGGTAGAGAGGGAGAGAGGGCACGGACCAGTTATGGGCAGCTGTGGCGTGAATGGTCGGTAAAATCCTAAATAGTCCATCCTCACGCCTCCGTCTCGCAAATCTACCTGCTCGGTGAGTCAACCTTGTCTGGCTCATGAACTTTGATTCCAAGTGGCTGATCATCTTGGTTTATCTGTACAACTTCACTCTGATCCATCATCATGTACCATGTAGTTAGCAAGCATTCTTCCAAGAAATGTCTGCCAATCAGCAGATCAACTCCCCATCAGGCGCCGCCAGTCCAAATGGCAACCAACAGTCGTCCCCAACAACCTGGACTGAACCGCCCTGGTCGGGGTGGATAGAGACAACTGGCGATGCCCTGCTCATCCTCGAGGCCGCCAGAAGGGGCCTTATACCTAGAGTCACTCGTCGGCTCGTCGACTCTGAACGGAAAATGATTACGTCTGGCTCGGTCTTCGTCTTCGACGAGGATGAAAGTGGAATCAAGCGCTGGACGGATGGCTTCTTCTGGAGTCCTTCTCGCATACTGGGCAACTTCCTGCTCTACCGCGAGACAGACAAACGTGGCGCAGGGCACAGAGGTGCACGCTCAGACCCCGCTGATGACCACCACCCGTACAACGATGGCTCGCGACTTGACAATCACTCTCTCAGCCGGCCGAAGGGTGAGGCAAGCTCAACTGGTTTGGACAGGCATCGCGAACGTGTGCTCGTCGGGAGCCTGACGAACAGCTATAAATTCAAAAGCGACGGCCTCATGAAGAAAGTGTGTATGCCATGCCCTGGGCTTCCCTCTCTCTCTTCCATGTGGTTCTCACGCTTTTCATCTCACTCTGTCAGACATTCTCTCTCACCATAGGTGGTGTTGCACAACACCTGATTTCGTACTACAGGGTAGAGGATGTCGAACAGGGCCGTCTGCGCTCCCCATCGTCGTTACCCGAATTGGCTTCGCTCGACATCAGCGCAGAGTATCTCGACAAAACCCATTTTCGCAATCCTCCCAAGGTGGAGATTGGTGTCGACGGCGTCCCACGATACCGCGGTGAAGCGGACGACATCGATCCCTCGCCCTCACTCCTCGCAGCCCCACTGTCAACTGGCCTGCCACTACTCACAGACGGCCGAGTCTCAGATGGTAACAAGCGCGGTCGCTACAATCCATACGGTGGCAACAACTCGAAGCGACGGAGCAAGGGAGGAAAGGGAGGGAGCGGAAGCCAATCCAATTCGCCCACAGACAACCAAGCCGTCGGACTGTCCTTGCCCTCCCCGTCTACTCCTTCTACTCCTCACCATTCCCAAGGACGCTCCGCACCCGCATCTGCTGCTTATTCCGAACAAGACCAGCCTCCTAACGTGGGTGCCACCAGTGCTGTAAGCGCTCCGCCTCCTCCACCTCCCCATTACGCCCCCTATCCTGTGGGATACTACGGTGCACCAGGGTACGCACCGCTTCCACACCCGCCTTTCTATCCAGGCTCACCACATCCTAGCGTGCCTGGCGTCCCACACCCGCAACAGCTTCCTTCACCTTCAGTATCTGCTCCGGTACCGCCATATGGGTACCCTCCCTCCGGCTCTGGACCTGCGTATGGCACCACGCCCCAACCGCCATCCGACCCACAACAGGCCGCGGTCTCTCCCCCCCAGCCGTACTATCCGTACTATCTCCCGCCACACCCCTCGCACCACCACCCCCAGCCGCATTCACACCCACACTACGGTGGGTACCCCGCAGCATCATGGCACGTATACAATGGCTATCCGAGTCACGCGGGCCATGCCCCTGTTCCGCCCGCGACTACCATGTCGAGTTCAGCAGCCTCTATTGCGGAGTTGCCAGATAAAGATGGGGGCACGCCTTCGTCTGTTGAAGTGGGTATAGACGGGGACAGTGCGTGACAGGACGCCCGTCAAGATACTTAGTGTGGCATGGCAACGAGGATTTTTCCACAGGGTTCGTTGTATTCGTTCAACGTTTCGCATTTTCTCGTTTATAGCTTAGTCGATGTGTTCATATACTTTTCTTTACCCATGTTTCGATATTCGATATGCTGTTTCTCCGCTTTCGATACACTACATATCTCTGGAACTGGAACTGCACTGGATGGGTTGAATAAGAATCTGGTCGGTGCCTTGTCGACTGACAACGATATGACAAAAGACCTAGTACGGATTGTAACAGGTGTCCGTTGCGGGGGTCGTCGCTGCGACAATAAGGAGTGGCCTTTGAGTGATGCCAACGTTGTCGGTGACGTTCATACCTGGGTCCCCACTAGAAATCTCTTTCCCGAATCTTAGTTGGGAGGCACTGAACTCAATCACATCAACTAGGGGTTGGGGAATATGGTCATTATGTAACCTGCTTATATAAGTACATAGCTTGTGCAAGGCCAAATAGGGTCAAACACCGGGCACCAACGCCCAAACGGCACGTCCAGTGATCTAACTTGCGACTGTACTGGTGGCCCGACCTCATCCACTGCGGCAATGGAGCCAGCAGTTCACAGAGCAACAAGAGGCCGCGGACTAGCGCCATACAACGAGGGTGGTAATAGCAAACGACCCTTGCACAGAAATAAGCAGTGGGTCGCAGACGGCGTTGCTTCCCGCAGTGGTACAAATACTCCCCTAGGAGGCAGTGACGGCGACAGGTGGGAACGTGGTGGGATTAGGGGAAGTAGGGGACGAGGTAGAGGGCCCAGAGGCAAGTCTAACAATGTTCATGTGACTTCTTTTCGACGTGGTGTCGTGGATGGCGGTACCACAGCAAGTGAAGGAGAATACAGCGAAGTGGAGGATGAAACAGAAGGGGAAGATGTATACCCTCCAGATCCCGAAACACCGGAGGAACGGGAGAGGTTTTGGCAAGAGGTGTGTAGTAAAGACTTGTTGCACTTAATGCTACTGCACGACACCCTATGCAGCTGGTGAAAGCTCGTGATGCCGAACGCAAGAAGGCTATCGCCGAGGGCAAAATGGACGACCCATTGGTGCAGAAATCCCTAAAAGATGCGATTACGATGGTAGGAACGTGCATGGATATGTGTCCGCGGTTTGAGCGGTATCGACGCGAACGCGAGAATAATCTTACCGAGTGGGAGACCGTATGAATTCTTAGGCCCTGAAATGCAAGGCCTGTCCAGATGTTTGCTGATAATTCTATAGATCCCCGGCACGAAGAGGGTTGATCACAAACGGGCCGTCAAAATGTATGAACGCGCAGCTGGGGATAAAACTTTGCCATCCGATCTTCGACCACCAAGAGTGCTCAAGGTGTGTTAGAGAAAATCCACATTTGTATGTGGTGTTACTCAAGCGGTTTCCCAGCGTACTCTTGACTATCTGTTCCATGATCTCTTACCTCGGGGCGGATTTTCTGCGACCTTCAGTTTCATCCGAGACCGCTCGAGAGCGGTGAGAAACGACTTTACGATGCAACATGAAATGGGACCACTGGCCATCGAGTGCCATGATCGATGCGCTCGTTTCCACATCCTTGCTATCCACCTGGAGCGTGACTCCGCTGGATTTTCCATCCCACTGGAAGAACAGCAACTTATGAACAGTGCGTGACTCTTCATAATGGATCCCCAATCGTCATTCAAGTACCGCTCAAAAGCTCTACAAAGCTTGAAAGAGTTCTATGAAGACCAGCGCGGTCGCTATCAGTCACCGACAGAATTGGAAATGCGCGTTTATCATCGCCTCATTCACATTCGGGATCAAAGAGAACGCCATGAAGATATACCTGATTTTCTACTCAAGCACCCTGTGTTTGAACTCACGACGAGATTTCGCGCACGCGTTCAGGCCAAGAGCGCGCCTATAACTAAATCTTCTGCTCTCACTGTTGACGCGGAAGCGATGCAAATATTCGCGGAACTCGCCGCCGTCCTCCGTGGGGAAGGGAATGTCGTGATGATGTACCTTGTTGCATGCATTCTTGAGCGGCTGTTCGGAAAAGACACGATCGAGGACATTGAAGCCATCCGGGGGGAACTGACCTACTTTGATATTATCGATGGCTATTCTGGCCGACATCCCCAGGCCGAAAGCACAGAAGATGATGCGATGCATACTAACGAAGATGCGGAGGGCTCCTCTGGATTCGTGACGGAACAACCCCTACCACAGCACTCACCGCCTGCCTTGCAGCCAAACGGAATGCAATGGTCTAATGATGATTCCGGGTCTAAACCCGCTGAGTCCACGATTTTCAATATCCCTTCTGCTTCGATATCTGCTCAGGCGCCAGCCAATTCAGCTATATCTGCGTTTTCAAACCTTCCATCGGTACCCAACGTGTTCGGTACGGGCACGTTCGGTGTTGTGCCCGCCTCTGAGACGCGCCCTTCCACCACCCCTCTTCCCGTGTTCCTACAGGGTCCTCCATCTTTTGATCAATTATCATCCACCCCTCCTGGTAGGTTTTCATACCTAAGCAAAGACTAGTGCTAAACGTTCTTGCCCACCTTCAGTATCCTCCAGCGGACCCACCATTCCCTTTACGTTGGTGGATGATCGTGCTTCTGTCAAGTTCCCAGCATTAAGGCCAGAAAGTGAACAAGTGGCAAGCACGGAACCTGGTCTACCTCCATACTCATTGTCCGTCACTCAGGCCACTGATAACAATGAATACCCAGACCGACTACCATCGATCTTCGGAGTACAGCCCACACCCACTCTGCTACAAGCACCACGACCTGTCGTTTCCTCCCCAGCAGTAGAGCCTTTGATCCCATCGACTTTGTCGACCTCCAGCATTTCCTCTGCTCCTCCGCCATCTTCAAATGTCGCAAATCTACCTGTCGACACACGACTGCAGCCTACTGATGACTCGACCCCCGATATGACGTTAGCCTCCCAACCTGGCTCATCCGACCAACGGAAAACCTCATCCTTTCCCTCCACACCACCAGTCCCTACGCAGGACTTAACACCACTAAACGCAACTTACGAATCTCTCCAGGAGACACCACCTAGTCAACCACCGCCGTTGAACAGGCAGCAGCCAATCTCATTACCGCCCACTCCCACTGCAACGATTTTCCTTCCGAAATCTGTAACTCCATCCCAGGGGCCGCGACTCAACCTTGGTTCTCTGAGGAGCATTCAGACTTCGTCACTGTCGGCATCTTCTACAGAGATTTTGAGTCCCCTCATCATACCGTCCCCTTCTAGCTCCAAGTTTTTTTCGTCGTCTGTTCCCCGCTTACTTCGTCGCGATTCTCTTCAGTCACCTCTCCAGTCGAGTGTTGTCGCTGCCGACGCCGAAACTCACAAGGACAAGCTAAGAGCGCAATCCCTGTCCCAGTCAGGTCAAACAGATGTGATGGAGGCCGCAGCATTGAAGTTTGCTCGCAAATGCTATCTCGTGAAAACATCTTTTTCACAATGGCGGCGTCGGTTATCAGATCGAACGAAATGGATAGAGGCATGCAGAAGAAGTCAGGAGTACAGTGAAAGAGTGCATGCTGAACGGCTTTCACGCACCACAGCTGCTGTTGTCTCCGAGAAGAAGCGGAAGATTATCCCTGCGGGGGTTTCTGTTCCTGTCAAAAAGCGCGCAAGAAGCCGTCCTGTCGGCGAATTCAAATCCCCGCAGACAGACGAAGAGCTTGCCAAACGGTTCGAGACTGTAAGCGGGTTGTTGTGTACTCTTTGTGGCGGTTGCTTGACGTATTAAGTAGAATCATGAAGAGCAAACACGTCGCTGGGCACGTGGTTCTTTCCTTCACCTCCTTCAGAGCTGCTTGGATCCTTCGAGCTCACATCTGCCTGCAAATTGGGTGGCATGGCTATCACTTAATGAGGAAAACGATGGAACTGCCATTTGGCTGGAGCAGAAGTTCGACGTTCCCGAATCTGGGAAGTGGAAAACTGGGAATGTTTTTGAGATGCCGATTTCGTGTTCCCACACTGACGCCGGAAGCTTCTATCCTGGAGTTATCATTTTCGAACGAACACCTATGAGTAGTACAGACGTGCTTGAGAAGTAAGCCGATTTATCGCCTCTGTTTTCTGGCTTGCTTACACCGACCATACAGGAAATACCGAGTCTTGGACGACTGTGCTCGACTGCGTGAAATCTTGAAGATGTTACCACCGGACAGACATTACATTCCTTCACTGATTTGCATATCGTGGGCGAGTGAGCCACCAGACGTTACAAAAGACTTTGATGACATGGTATGAAATCTATCCATCAGCCCATCATTTGAACTTAGTAACCTTGCGGCAGGTCGTAACTGCAACTCAAGGTTTGCTCACCTCTTGTCATGAACTCTTTGTTACTCCGGGTGCTTTGGGTACGGAGTCGAAATTCGAGGAGCTGCTCAGGTCAATTCGTTTTGACCGTGACGGTCGCCTTGTGAGGTCTATTTCTGTTGATGGTTCGTCGTGTTCGTTGTGGCCTCGTCAGCTCCCCTGACCGACAATTTATAGGTGTTGTGGAGGACTGGGAACGTATATGGGATGAAATGACCACTTGGCTCGCGAAATGCACCATTCACGGTGAATGTGTGTACCTTCTTTCTTCTCTGGACTAAGAAGCTTACCCCTGTATCAATCCATCTAGTTAACTGGAACCTTTATGCCTGGTTTTTGCATAGCGTTACTAAACTATTGGGCCATCTCGTCAATTCTGTCGTCGGGTTATTTCGCAAGGACAGTATTCAGGCTGACCTGATCCCTTTGCAACCGCAACGTATCGTCAGTTCCGAGTAGGTTCCTCACTCTCCTAGTCAACTTTCCCTCATGGTATTCCCACCCGTAGTTCCACATTTGATGCTGTGCTGCACTGGCTGGAGCAGCTCCCTTCCATGGAGGTTAAAGCGGATCTAATTAAAGATATCACCACACATAGGAGCCTAGGCCGAGGTAGGTATATAAATATCGAAAGCGGTCTTCTATTTTTTTCTGATTGTATTGACAGATTTTCCGACGCTTAGCTTTGTGTCTCAAGCATACACGCTAGCTAGTGCTTTGGTCGCATATTACGCAGACCTCAATCCTAGTGTCCATGTGTGCATCCGAAAAGATCTCCTAGAGGACGCAAAGAAGTCTCTCCTTTCGTTTCAGTCGAATCTGGAGGACGAATTCAACAGTCACATTACAAGGCTAAGGCATCCTCCGAAGCGGATCCCAAGTTCTGGCAGGTCAGTTCACTTGGTACCTAAGCCTCGACGTTTCGTTGACATTTTCAAGTGACTACCCGGCGTCCAAGAAGAGGCGTTTATCAGATTCTGAAGCTTCCGTGTTCACCGAGGACTCGGAGAGTGTGCCATTTACCTCACACGAACCCTCCCCTTCGCTTAGCGCTGCCACATCCGTACAGTCTCTGGATACCACATCATTGGTGACGCCTGCCATGCTCCGTTCCTTGGCTAGAGATGTCCGGGCCAAGTATGGGCGTAGTGCTCCATCTCTGTTCAGCTAACGATAGACAGTCGCTTGTTATTCACACACGTATCTGACGGACATAAATTACTGGCAACCTTGCATGTAGCATTAGTATCCTTATCAGCTTGTAGTGATGGGCTCTTCGGATGACATAAGCAATCATGACAGAGTTGGTGGCCTCCAAGGAATCCGTCCGCTGATTCCGCCATCATGGACACGCCAGCATCTACTAACAGTGGCAGTTCTTCGCGAAAACCGAGCGTCGTTGTCACCATCGGTATGGCAGGCGCGGGCAAATCAACCTTCGTGCAACGCATCAACTCCTACCTGCGTCAAAATCACGAAAAGGCCCCTTACATTCTGAACCTCGATCCCGCAGTAGCGCATGTCCCTTTCGAACCTAACATCGATATCAGAGATACAGTTGATTATAAAGAAGTCATGAAACAGTACATCTCGTTCTGGTGGGTCTCATGTTGGTCGCACTAACGGACCTACGAGTAGATATAACCTTGGGCCAAATGGCGGCATATTGACTGCTCTTAATCTGTTCACGACGAAATTCGACCAGGTTTTGGACCTCATGGAGCAAAGAGCGCCCGAAGTCGAGTAATATTTTGTCTTTCTCAAACGATCCGCGAGAATTGCTAATAAAGAATTAAAAAATCGTAGTCATATTATCCTGGACACTCCAGGGCAAATTGAAATCTTCACTTGGTCGGCATCAGGAGCCATCATAACAGACGCTGTTGCCTCTTCATTTCCCACGGTCGTGGCATATATCGTCGACACCCCACGAACGACGGCTCCAGCGACCTTTATGTCGAACATGCTTTACGCTTGCGGGTGCGTTTTTTTAAAGCTCAGAACCAGTCGCAGCAGTATATTGAATGTTGATATAGCATATTGTACAAGACAAAACTTCCCTTCATTCTCGTCTTCAATAAGACAGACGTTGAATCCCACGATTTTGCCCTTGAATGGATGCGAGATTTTGAAGCGTTCCAGGCTGCATTAGCGTCCCACTCGGGGTCAAGAGATGCGGAAGGTGAACCGACGTACATGAATAGTCTGATGAATAGCATGAGCCTGGTTCTTGATGAGTTCTACAAGCACCTCAAGGTCAGCCTACAATAGGTTGGGTGGTCACATTGACCGGAAGATGTTCATGCACTGAGTCATAGGCTGTCGGGGTGTCCAGTCTAACGGGTGATGGGATAAAGGAATTCTTTGACGCAGTGGAAGAATCACGGGACAGCTATGAAAAGTAAGTTCCCGCTCGCCTTTCCCTATGACGACGACGTGAACGGAACTGTGATAAAGGGAGTACCTACCGGAGCTTGCTCGTGCCCGTGCTGCACGGGAACAGTCACTTCAAGAGTCCAAAGAAGATTCGATAAACCGTTTTATGAAGGATTTCAGTTTGGATCAGGCCAAAAACACGCATGCCACAGATGATAGATGGGAGTCAGAGGAAGAGAATGAAGACGACGACGATGTTGATGTCAACCTCATTGACAGAAGTATGCTCAGCACACCGTTATCGGGGTCTAGGGGATTGTTAACTCCGTTTTTATCAGGCGACGCTGAGCCCTGGCCTGGACAGTACATCGACGTGACACGTATGCGGAGAAGTGATGAGCAGGCACAGTGGCCGAGACCAACGTAAATCCCACAGTAAAGATCGCAGTCACAAAAGTGTTAGTATTCTCTTCATTTCCGATGTGTTGGTGCCAGGAAATTCTCAAGCACGAGTTACAGATAAGGGGCGCCAAAGTATTTGCCGATGATCTGTTGCACCCAAGACATGGAATCGACAGCATAGCTAACGACTCTGCCGCGTAGTTATTACGCGGCCACGGTATAATCTCGGTTAGTCTCAGGTCTTTTTCAACGTATCGTCATGGGAAGAAGCAGGTTATCATTTTGACCTTGACGACGGGGTGACTAGAAGGCATGGAGGGTATTGATGGGTTCACCAGCACCGCTTTCGGTCCGAGGCTTTGACATTACTCCTTCCGTAGAACCTCCCTCAATTCATGAAAAGTAACTCGTTCTGCAAAGTGCACGAAAATGCTTCCAAACCTATAAGCATGTAGCACATATCTTCCAACGAGAGCTCTTCTTTACTGATTGACTGTGATAACTGGTGTTGTCCGAGAAGTGGCGGTGCTGTTTTTTGCCGAGCAGTGGCAGATTGGATAAGATTACAACGTTAGTTCGTTAGGATATGGCGGTGGGGCACGCCCAAATTCTCATCCGATCCACAAACATTAGGTTACTGTGAATGCCTTTTCTCTGCGGCGGGGGGAAAGCGCCGGGACCACTGCGGCACATTGCACCGCCCATAATAATGACAGCTTTCAAATAGTTAACGAATTGTCTTATACCTTTCCCCCTCCACCACCATCTGGTCACACCGTTAGATATACCCTTTCACGTCGCTGGATCCATTGTCTCGCACAATTCATACCCTCCGATATACCAAGGGCCTTTCTACGTTGATTCACCAGTACCTGAGTTTGATCACATGGATCGGTAGGCGGCTGCATTTGCGCGCGTTAAGATGTCTTCGTGAGCTGATCACATTTCTTTATGCCAGTTACGCAAAGATAGAAAAAGTTGGTGCGTAACTTCACTCCGGGTCTGGCTCAGCATTTCATCACCAACACGTGTGGAACGATGCAGGGGAGGGTGTGTCCGTTCAGTTCCGCATCCTATCACCCACTGATTCGATGCTGCGTTCCGGTTATCTTCGCGGTCTGGCGCACTCACAGGAACCTATGGCGTTGTCTACAAAGCACGCGATCTCACTACCAATCAGATAGTAGCTCTCAAGAAGATCAGGTTGGAAGCTGAGGATGAAGGCGTCCCCAGCACTGCTATTCGTGAAATTAGTTTACTCAAAGAACTGAAGGACGACAACATCGTCCGGTGCGTCCAGCACGCCCCCCGCCTTCTCGTACATGGATTACTTACCATGCATACTTATATGCTGCCAGGTTACTGGACATTGTGCACGCAGATCAAAAGCTGTACCTCGTGTTCGAGTTCCTCGACGTAGACCTCAAGCGGTATATGGAACATGCAAACGCCAGTGGCACTCCCATGTCCGCCGATATCATAAAGGTGAGCTGCGCTTCTCATTGCGGTGAAACGTCAGACGGTGGCCCTCGTGCCATGTAGTTGTGCCATGGCTGGCGCGAGGATGATGCGTGTCGACTGTTTCATGCGTGGGCGCCAATTAGTCTGGTGGTAGGCGACGTCGAGTTATCTTACGTTCAGACGTGTTGATGGGTGTCCGGGTCCACGAAACAGAGTGCATGCAAGGGGACATCTTTCGTCACGCAATTAAGCCTTTTTTATCCGGCAGGATGTTAAACGAAGTCTCTGACATCTTTCAGAAATTCACGCACCAGCTCAGTTCTGGGCTCCTCTACTGCCACTCCCATCGCATTCTCCACAGGGACCTCAAACCTCAAAATCTACTTATCGACAAGCGCAATAATCTCAAGCTCGCAGACTTCGGTCTGGCCAGGGCTTTTGGCATCCCGATGAGGACGTACACGCATGAGGCATGATCATTACTGTATTCGCGCAGGCTGTGTTCTCATTGCCTGGACCCGCCTAGGTTGTTACCCTCTGGTACCGTGCGCCTGAAGTTTTACTAGGATCACGACACTACTCCACTGCCATTGACATGTGGTCAGTTGGATGTATATTCGCTGAGATGGTGATGAAGGGGAACCCACTCTTTCCCGGTGATTCGGAAATTGACCAAATTTTCAAAATCTTCAGGTCGGTAACATTCCCTTCCCTGTAGGATGGTTGCTGAATATTTCGCAGGATCCTTGGGACGCCGAACGAACAGGTTTGGCCCGGTGTCAGCCAGCTTCCTGACTACAAAGAGACGTTCCCCCAATGGTCGCGGCAAGACCTGCGTAGTGTGGTACCGAACCTTGACGATATGGGCATTGATCTGCTATCGGTGAGTAGACAGCTCAAGCCTGTGTGCGGGTTCACTCATTACTGAGAAAACGATAGCGAACGCTAATATACGATACTGCCAAGCGCATCTCTGGTAATATTTCTTTTGGGTAGGGTGCTTTCTGGTACTGATGCTGAGTTTAGCGAAGCGCGCACTCTCGCATCCCTGGTTTGCCGACTACTCTAAGTGAAGGTCACTAGATGTTTTGTGTTGTCCAATAGATACCACCGTTGCAGATTGTTTCTTACCCGTGCATTCCGTCTTTTGCCCCTTTACCCATGCCCCTGATCTTCTGCATTAGCTTCACATGCCACTACAGCGACTGGTGTTACGATATCTCTAATGTTTCTAGTATGTACCCTTTGTGCAGTTGGGTCGTTGAGGAGGGAACACCGCTTTTTTGGGGACCCAAGTCAGGTGACGGTCCACATGCATAAGGCGTTACTTGTGATAAAAGCCCATTGCCAGTCACAGCCAGAGTGACTCGCCCCAACTCTCATCCCTACCCTCACCTACAAAGCAGTCCCCCTTCGTGCTATCCGCTCCATATTTACTGATAGAGGGTTGGCGTTGGCATCATGGAAGAAGATATCCAGTACTTGGGCACTAAGCTGGCCCAACCGAAGCCCCTTTCTGACCTCCTCGAGGCACCAGAGGCACCAAGTGTCGTCGCAGGCAAGTCTGTACTTCGCCCTTCCCCCCGGGCGCTTCTCATGCCCGCCTACTGGATAGGAGTAACCCTACATGTTGAGAAGTGTGGCGACAGACCTGCTCACGAAATTACATTCCATCGCTCTCGGTCAAGCTACGTCAACATCGGTCGCAAATCGGCATCTGGAGAGAAAGCGATGAGAAAGGAAAATGATGATCAAAACGCAGTCTTTGCGTGCCAGGTGGTTAGCGCTAAGCATGCAAAGTTGGTGTTCTCCGATAACGAGGTAATAGCTCTGCATCGTCAGCGCCGCCACAGTGTCCTCACTGCGATCAATAGGTTTCTATCATCGATCTCCACTCGCGGCATGGAACCCATCTTTTGAGGGGCGAAGGAGCTCCAAGAACCCTCAAGGCTGAAGTCGAAACCCCCCTAGCAGATGGCGATATCATTACCTTCGGCAAAGCTGTTAGGATCCGGTTCGAGTATGGTCCCTCCAGTTACTGCAAGGGTAGAGCTAGTGAAGGAGAAGCCGTCGCTTATTGCCTCACAAGTTGGCCCCTCCTTGACCCCTATCAACTCCTTGGTCGACTTGATATCCCGTACTAGGAGTAACTCGGGCCGCTACGGATTGTTTCATCCCTCTGTTGCACCCCGACACCCCGTCGCCATATTCATCGCCCTCCCTCTGCGCATACTCCGACGGATCTTCTTCAGTGTCCGATGATCGTGACTCTGACATAGAAGAGGTTTCCGTTCCCTCACCCAGCCGGACGCATTCCCTGCATATCAAGATCCCTGCATTCAAGTACTTTATTCACAACATTTGCAGGTCCAACGAAGGATCAAATTCGTCTCCCGTCAAGGATACTTTCCCTTCTTTAGCAGAGTTTTTAGTGACACCCTCCCCTTCGCCGGAGGACCTTAGAACACCATCTCCACCAATTGTGGTTGTCGACACCGTTTCGAATTCTCGATCGCATTCGCCAATGGAGATGTCCACACCTTCACCGTCTGCCACCTCTGAAGCTGAAGCGCATCCTCCAGAGCCCCCAGTTGTTGGTGCATGGCCATCATCTCGTTCTGAATCTCCACATCCTCCGGCAGAAGACGACGTCGAGAAGGAGAAGGACGATAGCGATAATGTAGCAGTAGGAACTCCTCCTCCGCCTGCCGAGCCCGCAGAGACAGGCACTGTAACTGCCACTACCCAAGAAAGAGAGCCTGATTCGTTCCCGGAAATTCATGCCTGCCACTTCATGGATATCCCACCACCAACATATTTTCCAGTTGGACCGCCTTTCGGGAGACACCTTACTTCTCCATTCAATGCTTGTCATCCTGCCCCATCTGGTTTTCCCGGGACGAGTTCCACAATCGAGAGGCTCAGCAACTGAACTAAGAGCATCCATCAAGATCATCGAGGTAAACGCACGCTTGCTGATGTGAGCAACGTCGCTGACTGTACCACTTATAGGATCGGGTTTCTGCAATGCAGGGAACGATTTCCGATTTGAGAAGTCGACAGTCTTTTACTGAAGAAGATGTTATGGACATTCAGACACACGTAGACATGCTTGAGCCAGAGTCGGACCGTCTCTTCTGTCGCCTCAACCTTGCGGAACGCAATATTGCGTCGCTGTCTACCCTTCAAACCCAAGTAAATGCATTGAAGAACAGATTGGACGACCCAGAACCAAAGCCCACCTGAATTCCCTACGAATGATCTCAAGGCGTGCGCTGAAGCACTGGGTTCTCTTGTGACTGGTTCGTCTGCCGTTTTTGGCATGTTGTATCGAGGGCTGACATCCCCACAGAGATGAAGACGTTGCGCGAAGACGCGGAAAAGCGCTATAGAAGAGAAGATGATGGTGATCGACGCAGGTTCGCACGGAAGCGCTGAAGGAAATAGCTACTGAAGTCGAGGTATGGCTTTCATTATCTGGTCTGGGATTTGTTCATTCATCAGCTATGGGATATGACAGGTCAGTCAAGTCACTGAAACGTAAACGGGCCGAGGACGAGGATGCGGGCGAGCCTGAGAAGAAAATGGACACGGACGACGTTGCGACAAACACAGGATGCTCCCGTGGCGCAAATATGCTCTGATTCATTCAGGCAACCCAAACGTGTCCGGATGGCGATGGGGGCGGTGGCACAGACTGCTGCAGCCATGGCGGTAGGTGCTGTAGTGACATGGTCTGCCTTGGCATTTGCTTGAAACACTATCACGGTGATTGTGGATACTCTATATGATTTGGCATGTATGATAAGATGTATGACGTGTACTGAAACTTTTGTATGCTACTACTTGTTGTGTTGTATTAGGTCAAACATGGATAGGCGTGCCGGATCTCCTGATTTATTGGGCTGAGGGACCCGTTTCACTGTTCAAGGGGTCTCTGATGTCATGCTAACCATGAATCGGATATGGTGTAGCGGCTAACATGGCTGTCTTTCAACAGTGCTTCGGGAGGTTGAGCACAGCAGCTCCGGGTTCGACTCCCGGTATCCGAATAATTTTTTTGGGGGTCGTCCTAGATAAATTACAATTCGACTAGACTAGAGTGTTGTCGGAGGTGGAGATCTCATCCTGTACACAAGATTTTCAAACAGCTCCGTCCTGTAATATTCTGCACCTGAGCATCTTCAATGTTGTTTGACTCGTCGCTTCTGTCCTTTTCAATCAGATCCCGCCGCGACGAGTAACCTGATGGTGCCCATTGGCGTGACGTCCACGGCTTGCAGGTGGGGTCGGTATACATCTGCGTGTCCCAATCAAGTCTTAAACCTGGCATCCAAGTCAAACGACAACGGACCATGTTGACTTCTTCCAATGTCAAATCAGAAGATTCATAGAGGAAGAAGTAGACGACAACGGCCCCGAGGAGGTTGCAACCTAAAAGTACTTGCTCAGTAAAAATGACCTGTATCAAATGAAGAGATATCGTACTTGCGAACACATAACCATACTTGAAACCAATGGCGCTCCCGATGAACGGTGTGAAGAAGGCGATCAAGAAGTTCCACATCCAATTCCCTGCTGTAGACAAACTGGCCTGTTTTGCCCGCGTCCGGGTAGGAAACGTCTCGCCAATCAATATCCAAACGCCACTACAAGTCATGGATGCCAAGAAATACGTGTAGTACGGGAAAGTGTACTTACGGTGCCCAAGTCATTGCGTAACCCAAGATGAACAAGCAAGCGGCCACGATCATGACTGCAGACAGTGGGGGTGAGGTTGAGATAGTTTGGTATTCAGAAACATGGGTCTTACGCTTTCCAACGCCAACATGCGTGACTGGGTCGACAGCTGTGCCCGCAGAGGCAAAGGCGAACAGCCATGCAGATTGCCACAAGCCTCCACAGATGAGGGGCCGTCGTCGTCCGAACTAAATGTAAGAGACTCGAAAAGGGGTGAAGCGGATGCCAATGGACGATGACGCACCCTTTCCATTACATACATACCGCCGAAGGTGCAGACGAAATTAACAGTCCCCAATATAATCTGCGTGACGTACGGATCGGAAAGGCCAACGGATAGAAAGACCGTAGCTCCATAGTAGAAAAAGTAGTTTGCCCCTGTAAGTTGTTGAAGGCTCTGCAAGCTCATTCCAAGCAGAGTGCGATACAAGATTTTGTCCTTGGGTTTGAAACAATCGACCCAGCCGCCTTTCGTGTGCTTTTCATATTCGACGTTTTGCTTGATTCCTTCAGCCTCACGACGAAGGAAATTGTGTTTGTCTGCTTCGCTAGCAGGGATACCGCGAGTAACGGCGAGGGATACTTGTGCTTCTTCCATGCGTCCATGAGCTGCGAGCCATCTGCAAGATGTGACTGGATTCAGCAGGACATGGCGCATTGCCATAGGACTTTCCTTGGACTTTCTGGCATGAATAATATGCCGATACCGAGGATCAGGGCCCATAAGATACCAATGCCTACGACAGTTCTCCAAGAGCCAGATTGGGCAATTGACCTTGCACCAATTGAAATGCAGTCTGTTCGAGCGCATAAAAGTCAAAAGCCTGCGCCAGGATATCAAAGTGCATACATGCAACCAAAATCCCAAAGGTAATGAAAAGCTGGTAAGTGGCCCTAGACAGTCATGAGTCCTCCACTCCAGCGAACCACGAACATTACATACGTTAAGGTACCGCGAATTTGTGGGGGAGCTGTTTCAGCTTGGTACTGTGGAAATAGTCAGTGTCGATAGTACCTCGCGCACCCGTGAAGGGCAACAAACCATGGGAACGGCGGCGCTGAGTGCGCCAACGCCTAATCCACTGATGAACCGTCCTACGGCAAACTGTTGCCAGACGTGGGTGGAGGTGATTTGAACGATTACACCAATGATAAAGATTCCACATTCCGTCGTCATTGCATAGCGACGACCAAGCCAATCCGCAATGCTGCCAAATCGAAGTCAGTGTTAGTGAAGGACTAGTTGATGTGATTTTAAGACCCACGGGGCTCCCATAAGGGCACCCACAAGCGTTCCAATGGAAAGAAGGCTGACAATCAAACCTTCCCTTACGTCAGAAAATGCGCAATCGTCCTGGCGTCGTACATGTTGCAAAGCGAAGGAGGAAGTCTTTCATAAGAACAATGTCTGATATTTGCCCGGTGTCATACTGTCCAAGTCGTATACCCTCTGTTACGGAATCGCTCTCGATGAAGTTGGAAGTGTTTGACTCACCCCGAATATAAATCCACCCATTGACGCGAGGAGGGCCAGCATGATGGTGACCCAACCTACGTGTAGTCCTCGCCTGCCATAACATAGGGTTAGAAGCCCGTGAACGACAATATAACGAGGAAACCTGCATGGAAATTATCGACATCTTTGAATATCAGCGATGAGGTACCAGAAACAGATGCCTGTATCATATCAGCAAACCTGTGACTGACGTCAGTGGAGACGACCAGCGGCTGATGGGAGAAAACAACCCCGACGGTCAACAAGTTTCTGCCGGGGGACTCAGGGGGACTCGCATGACACGCTCTGTCACGTCACGCGTAACACCGTGATTCATGTTGCGCGTTTAGAACCCTACTGACTGAGCAATCATAATATGACGCGTGCAGGTCCTAGTCAATCACAGAGGTCACAAAGAGACCCACAGTCATCTCAGTACCATTCACAGAGAACCCGAAGAGGCCGCAGAGCCCAACCCCGTGATGACGAGGAAGAGGAGGAAGAACCAGGGGCTGGAGATGAGAATATCGGAATGGATGTCGACGATGGCCAAGCGAATGGGGATTCAGTATGTTCTTCCCCAGACAGCTTCCGTCCTTGATCGCCGAAGACCCATCATATCTCAGGAGCTGGATAGGAAAGCTAGCGATTTAGCCAGGCTCGCACTCTTCATGGAGCAAAAACGCGTCCCATTGCGTAGGGAAGACATCAACAAGAAAGGTGCCTTCTTTCTTTCTTTCTTTCGGTGTCCCTTTACAATGTTCAATGGGCTTCACAGTTCTCGGGTCCAACACGCGGCAATTCAAAGCCGTTTTGGAGAAGGCACAAAAACTCTTACGCAAGACATTTGGAATGGAACTTGTGGAACTTCAGTCACGGAATCATCGTGACGAAGATGGGAATGAAGAAGCCCACAATGCCACTGGTGTGAAGAAAAGGGGTAAGTGCCCTCTTTCGTTGTGAACGTAGTCAGAGTGTCCGGAATTTTGCTGCCCTCCTTGCCATTAATTATGCACTCGGTCGTATGTTCCCCGAACCCATTTAGGGTGTATAATACGTTTCTATTCCGCCCCTACGAATCCCTAATACCTATGCCTTCCACACTAACTACTCGCTACGAATAGCTGCAGCAGCAGGGTCAAGAACATACATACTGCGATCCGTTCTTGATTTCGTGATCATCGAACAGGCAGCTATTACCGATGAACGACTGTTCGAAGAACAAATGAACGATGCTGGACCCGACGAGGAGGTCGAGGAGGAACTTCCTCGACACTATGGGAGTATTATTTCGTGGAGTACCTGTGACCAACTAGCCTCTCTTGGCATCTTGTACGTTGTTCTCGCGTTGATTTTGGTCAACGGAAAGACGATGTCAGACAGTTCGTGAATGAGCACTTTGGTCGGGGTTGGTAGATACTGATGCTCGGTGACAGTGGACCTCAAGGCTAACCTCAAGAGATTGCGATTGCCTTCAAACGCTGTCGTACCCGTGAACACGCAAGCAGCGCACAAAGCCATGCCCATTGATGCCTTCCTTAACCATCTCATGCGTCAGGGTTACCTTGATTGTATCCGTCCCGGTGATAACAAGGTCGCTGGTGGGAAGCGGGGACGTGCTCCAGCAGCGACCCAGGCTTCGGCTGAGGAGAATCAAGCGTATGAATGGCGCTGGGGTAACCGTGCGCACGGTGAAGTTGGTGAACAAGCCGTCACAAACTTCATGGCAGAGTTCATGGTCGAGCGCTCGAGAGAGGTGGTTGCGGATGATGACGAAGAACAAGAAGCTGGCACAAGTAGGCAGGGAAGAGGCCGAGACAGGGGAAATGCTACAGAGAAGAAACTGGAGAGCATTCAAAAGGCGATCGAGAGAGCCGCTGGGGGTAACCTCTCAGGTATCAATTGATGAATCTTAAGTTCTCCCATACCCATACTTTACATGTGTTGTATATTCCGTACCGTATGCTCAGATCGATATGAATATTCTTCATATAGTCCCTCAGGCCTCTAAGGCCCCAGCACCGGTTACTGCGAAGCGGCATAACACAGTTGCACCCGCGTGTTTACCCTTCGTATTCAATAGTCGTATTATCTTCCATCCTGGTCGGAGCTGACTGATCCGACCACAAAAGATTGCAAGACACTCGTGCGGCCCAAATTCATCAGACCGATAGACCCGCAATCTTTAAGGAATGGTGAAGATGAGCAAGGAGCGGTTTACACGCAAAAACCAACCTCAGGAAGGTAAATTCATCCGCGCTGAATTGCCATTCGAAGCTTTCTCTCCATGTAAAATCTATCACGCCCCCGACACCGCTGGACTCCACCTTAGCTGTGCGCCAGCTCTGTTGGCCTGTTACCTGGAGTAACTCAACAGAAATGTATGCCGAAAAGGTTTCGTGGCGCTCTGGTAGAGGTACTGAGTTAAGCAAAGGTGTATTAGAACCCTCCCGATCCAAGGAGGGAGAGACCTACAGGAACTAACACCTATGATTTCTCCAGTGAAATATATGTTCCGCGAGCCTTGCGTCAGTTCCTGTGACGGCTTAACGACATAACCCATAGTGCCTGCAAACAGTCCTTCGTTAAGTTGCATTTCCTCATCGTAATGTTGCCAATTAAGACACGCTATCTGGGTTCCATTCTGCCATTCTTTGAGTGGGTCCAGGTTGCTCGAGTTCAGTCTCAAACCAGACGGATAAACTCGGCGAAGGTAGCACTCGGCGCTGATTACGAGATCTGAAAGCTTCTGAGGCATCAGAGAGACAATTGATGTCTCGTCGACATTTAGCATTAGGTTTGGAGGGTATGGTGGGTCAGGAAAATCTACCCTCGGCAACACAAAATTATATGCTCGTTGACTATGACATCCTGCGAACGAAAAGGGGATACGCTACCTGTGTGTTCCCAACCCTTATCGGGTTTCATGCTTCGCGCATAGAACCCAAGGTCTGCAAGTGATTCTGCGATCTTGGCGTGTCGATGTGGACTCACGAGTTGCGAGTTTGCATCATACGAAGAGTGGTCGTAGTCAGAAAGAATTGGAGTCCCGCAAGATGGCGCCATCCCAGATGTGTCGCTCCGAATATCGTCAGGATAGTATTCTACCTGTACCCACCACGTAGTAGTGGAGTGAAACGCCAACGGAATTGTGCACGTTAATGTTTAGCAAAAAGCAGAGAAAACAAACTGCGTTGGCGTCGTACCATAAGCACAATGCGTCCCTTCAAATCACGGGGAGAAACCATATCCCCCTGGTGGAAGACTCGCAGTGTCGGCCTTCGTGACGAGCTTCCTACCCCACGCTTTCTTCATAATTTCCACGATCTCGTCCTGTTTCTCCACGGGAACGTGGCACTCGAGGCTTACGAATACTGGCCAGTCGTTTACATTACCGTTTCCAACATCGGACGGAGTGTCTTCTTTGCCGCCTGCAGTAACTGCGGCACCGATGGCCTCGCAAACGGACGAAAAGGGCACACTTCGACTGAGGGTATAGCCGTGAGTAACGACCGGACCTTTGGACGAGGACCAGACGTCTATCTCAATGCATCGTGCGTTCCTTGAAAGCACATGGGTGTAGGCCTCAGCAGAAGCACGCCCGAAGATTTGCCATGAAACAAGATAGGTATTATGCGAGGACCTGCGCATGCATCGAATTAATGTCAACGGTTGCCACCCAAAAGAAAAAGAGAAACGAACGAACGAGATGAAGTAATTTCTCAAAGGGAGGGTATCGTCTACGAATAGCACATGCACTGCAGCTTGTTGCAGAAGTTCGAAGGTGTCCTACGAGCGTGCCCAGGTTAACCTCGCGAGTCGTATTAGTAGAGGCACATAAGCATAGAACTTACCACGCTTTCGTCCGCAAGAAACGCAAGCACTTCTGGGCTCAGTCTGACACTGCAACCTACAGGTGGATTGATATTAAGCTCTGTGTCCACACCCAAGTGTTCGGATAGCAGTTGGATGTCGTCATGTCTTCTTCCTACTGGCATCCTCGTTCCTCGGAGCCACTTGCTGACGGACGCTATTGTCGATGCAAGCATTGGAAAAACAAGTACACAAGCGATGCGAGACGTACGCTAGTCGTGACGTGGCACTGTCAAGGTGGGCTTATGATGATAATGGTGATGGGTATAGCCAAAGTATATGTATCAAGTCGCCGGACAACCCAAACCAGTCCATTCTGGCGGGTTCGCGTCGTGCTCTGATGGTTTGGAGTTGGTTTGGAGCACAAGTATGCAAGAAAAACCACTAGTATGTAGCAAGTGTTGGCACGCTTTCCAAAAGCTGGCGTCCTCGTCCACACGCTTCATAGTACCCACCTCGGTAGCCCCAGGTGTCATCCAGATATCATCTCACAAGTGACATCAGTTGAACGAAGATAATCATTCGTTTCAAACCCTGCCATTTCCGACTCCTGCACCGCAGTGCCAGTGTGGCGAACATTCTTGGAACCTAGTCACTTTTTTCGCTACTGACAGGGTCTGGCATCGTCAATGAAGGGAGGGAAGATGAGTAAATTTCTAATCGTGCAGTAACTGTTTGAACAAGAAGAAACTAGTACCATCCCCTGCCATCTAATGTCGAGAACTATGATCAATCCAGCACAATTATTGGCACTAGAGGACATGGGTGGCACCGTGAGCTTGGGTAGAAATTCACCGTAGAATATCGAGACTGAACATGGATGTGGCCAGTGTGCTGTGCAGGGCACGCATCGGAGTCAAGCCATTTGACAGCTCTTGTAGTTGCAGACATCACTGAGGGCCTGGAGTGCTGACTGCTCTCGCAGGTCAGCATTAGAAGCACCACTGTGTACTGACGTACCGGGAAGGTTGAAAATTTCCTTAATGACATCGGTGAAGTCTACATTGGCTGCATCTCTACTCCCCGCGGCGAGGCGAAGGCCATTAGGAACTAGGCTTTCGCGCACAGCAGCCACCTTCAGAGCTGTCTCCAAACCGAGAATTTGAGTGTCCTCGACGCTAATTGGTTCTGGTCGCCAGGCTAGTTCATTGATCCCAGGTACAAGCCAAGCATTGATTTCATGCTTCAACGCAAGCGCAAGCCTTCTCTGTCGCACTCTTCCACCCAGCAGGATACTTCAGATTCTTCAGTGCCAAACAGTGAAGTTCCTCCATCTGCCACATTCGCGATAACTTCAAGACAGAAATCCACCCGTTGTGGTCGTTTTTCGGTAGGCGTGGGCCATAGAAGGCTTCATACACGGATCAGTACATAATGGAAAAGAATATGCGCTGCTCTCACCTAGTCGGGAGGAGCACCTTTAGTAGCGACTTGAAGTCATCCGCTTTCACGTCTTCTGGCAAAGCAATCGGACGCTCGTCACTCGAACCCTCCACCTCTTCATCAGGGGGAGGTGGGAAAAAGAACATATCCTTAAACACAGGAGACTGAGCTTCCAGGGTTTGACGAGGCACCCTAAATAAGCGATTCCTCTACCTGGAAGACGTGATCAGCCTGCAGTTCGTTAGAACCAGTCGATCAGACTATACTCGGAGAGTGACAAATGTCATGTAAAACTCGTCGTCCTTGAACTGAGCCATCGTCGATCCAACTGTCAATGGTAAGTAGAAAAAGGGAGATCGTGTGCTTCGGTGGAAGCCAAGATGGTTATCCAGCACCCACTGCCGTTAGGGTGGTTCGAGATGGATTTCGGGTCGAAGTTGCGGGTGGCAGGGGCAACTGCGCACCACTGTAAAATCCACTCAGAGTATGATATCCTGAAGTAGATTTAGGATGATAATCGTTCCTCTCAAAATCTGCTATGCACTTCCGACTCCCGCAATGCATTGGTGTGGTAGTCTCCCCAGGCAGACCAAAGACTCGACGAAAGACAATAGCAAGTGTGACAGTATCTCTCATTAATCAGGACAAATAGGTAAACTTCTGATCACTTGATACACAAAGATAAGGGGACGAGACCAGTACATCCCCTGCCACCTAATGTCAAAATTATGATTAAACTGAGCACAATTATTGGCACTAGAGGACACGGGTGGCACTGTGGGCTTGAGTAGGTTCACGGTGCTGTGCGGGGCATGCATCGGACTCAGCCATTTGACAGCTCCCCAGCAGGCATTACTGTTGGTTCTGAGTACTGGCTGCTCTGATAGGTCAGACTTGGAAGTACGGCTGCGCACTGACGTACCAGGAAGGTTGAAGATCCTGGTAATGTGAGGAGTGAAGTCATTTTTCTTTCCCGCAGGCGAGGCGTAAACGCTCGGAAGTGCTCTCTCGCACTGCAGCTACCTTCAAAGCTGTCTCCAGACCGAGAATTTGGGTGTCCTCGACGTTAATCGGTTCCGATCGCCGGGCTAATTCATCGATCGCAGGCATGATCCAATCCTTGATTTCATACTTCATGGCAAGTGCAAGCTTCTCCACCGCACTCTTCTCTACAGCAGAGTAGCGTTTGAGAACCCCCAGTGCTGCGCGTTGAATGTCGTCCATCTGCCACATCCGCGATAACTTCAAGACGGAAATCCACCCATCGAAGTCGCCTTTGGGCAGGCGGGAGCCGTGGTAGCTGCATAGATCAGTACATCTCGGAGAGGAAAATGCACTTCTCTCACTTAGTTGGGAGCAGCACCCTTAGCAACTGCTTGAACTCATCCACTTTCACGACATCTGGCAAAATAATCGGACGCCCATCGCTTGAACCCTCCACCTCCTCATCAGGGGGAGGTGGGAATGAAAACATGTCTTTGAACACAGGAGACTGCGCTGCCAGGATCTGACGGGGCACCCTAAATAAGCGGTCTTCCACCTGGAAGACGTGAGCTCGCGATAGCATTCATTAGTCAATGAGACATACTCGGAGAGTGACCAATGACATATAAAACTCATTGTCTTGGAACTGAGACTGAGCCATGGTGGGAGAGTGAGAGTGAAGCTTTGGTGGAAGCCAAGATGGCTTTTACGATAAGGCTATAAGTAGCTGTATCGAGCGCCCAGTGCCATAACTGGATAGTGCTTCTTTCAGGAAGTGGAATCTGGGCCACCAAAATGTGTGTGCATGGACTGCGTTTCATACAGTTAGAAGCTGAGAACGTCGCGACAAGTGTGCGTGCCGGCTCTGGATGTGGAAGATGCCGTACTCTTCCAGACAGACGACATTAGACTGCTGGGCTTTGGTCTCTCGCGGCACCGCCCAGGCATTCGAGCTAGAATCTATACAAGAAGTAAGTGTTAAGTATTTACAGTGTCCCAGAATCTCCAGTCGACCAGGTCAAGTGCGCTATCGATGACGGTCAGTGCAAGAGTGTGGTGGTGGTCGGTACAATGTCCGCAGAGTTTATCCTGGACATCAACTACAGGTGACAAGCCCTCTTCTAACTCTGCATCACCTAACGAAGAAGCCAAATAGCGTTGGAATTGGTTGATTATATGGATACATGGCGAATTACGGGTTGCTCTTCGACGCCTGTGCTGGCGACTGCGACTGCTCCCCGATTTTGACTTGCATGACATTGATCAGATAGTTTACATTTTCCTGCTTCTTCTGTATCGTCTCCGACAAGGTCTCGAGGTTACTCCGGATGTATTCGACTTTGGCCGAGTAGTATTTTCGGGCTTCCTCTCGCGTCTGGTTTGGTAAGTTTTGGAGTAGTAAGGTGAACTAAGCAACTATCTCACTTTTTTGATGTAGTATCCCGTGCCAACATCGACGATGACGTGTTCCGGATCGCTCAGTTTACCAGGGACATATAGAGAATTCGTGAGCGGGACAAGTATCGTCGTGCCTAGTAATGAGATAGTTGAACGAAAACGTTCCTGCAAAAGATGACGACAAAGTAGCGAACTGACCTGCATTCTTGGGTTTTACCTCTTGCACGTTGTCTACGCACTGTTTAAATTTTGACTGCGCTTGCTTGAGTTGCGCGAAGGAGTTGGTGAGATGGGACAACTCCTGTGAAGAAATAAAGTTTTAGAGTGGGGCACACCCTGGAAATGGCACCTAATGACCTCTTCGAGTTGGCGTCGTACTTCGGCAAGCTGCTGTAAGTCCAGATCAGCGATGTTGATCTGCTGGGGCTGAGCGGTGCTGGCCATGCTCGACGCCAACGCGATGAGACCAACTCGAGGCTGAGTCGACCCCCCTGGCGATCATGACCCCCCTCCGAGTCGGATATCGGAATCCGGGCACTCCCTTAAACTCGTGCAAGTACCCCATACACGCATATTGGCAGTGTCCGCAGCGACGAGGACAGCAGCAGGGACGAGGAAGACCATGTCAGACGGACAAAAGGCAGACTTGGGCAGACCACCGCAGGACATCGGTCAGTTCAGTAGCCGTACGTTTCTGGCATCGGTGCACTCACATCACGGTGACTCCGTTTCTGTCCTCACGATTAATACCCCTCGTGTGACAATCAGTCGCTATCTTCCATGCCTCGTTCCACCCCACCAAGGGGAACGTCGTGGACTGGTGTCTAAAGGCAAGTAACGGTATGTCGTGTTTTGGTCCTCTCCCAGCGTTATGATAGAGCCGCACGTTCATATGCAGACCTCTCTATCGACGGCGTGGAGTTTAGCACTCTGCCAAGCGGGTTGCACCTGGTTAACCATGATGTCGTGTGCGTTCCTATTCCAAACGGCTTATTTGCCACACCCCTACAAGTCTGACGCTGTACGCGACACGGAACGCCACTATAGTTATTTCACGAAAGACACTCATCCGGGCGTCTCGGTATTTCGCCGCAGACGCACCTCTGAGCACGGTCAACGTGGTTTTCGCCTCTCCGCGCTAGGGGTTCTACTCGCACGCTCTTCCCGCCCCCGTCCATGGTTGCACGTCGACGCACTGAACGCACTCATCGACCAAATATACACTTCTGTCGAAGAAAGGGGGGTATGTATGTCCGATCAGAATCAAGGTGTTGTACTTGAGCCGTCGGAGGATGCTGGTGACTGGGAGCCCGCACGTGCATTCTTTGAGGAAAGAATGGTCAGAAGAGCAGACCTTCGGGGCGCAGGTCAGTGGAGAGGTTGGAGCTACGAGCTTAGACAACGTAAGTCCTTTTAACTCAACCTTCACCCATCCTTATCTATATCAATCGTGTCTGGGGTGGCTCTTCGTCATCGTGCCCGATCAATGACTCTGCTGACGTTGTCATAATTAAAAGCCTGCCGTCCCGCCGACACCTTCAACTCCAACACTACATCTCCCGCACCTCCTCCGCATCCTTGGGCCTTCTACTCTCACGCTATACAAACACGTGTTAGGGAGACGGCGTATTCTAATATACACGCTTCCACCTGTTGAGCCCGCGTGCGTACTTTGCCACGTGGCTGCAGATCTGTGTTTCGAGGCACAATGTAAAACCTTCTACGGTGGTAGTGGATCGCACGAACACGGATGACGAAGAGGGAGAACACAGTGATGGATCGAGCGCCAGGGGTGGTGGTCTTCCCACACGGTTAAGCGGTCGGTCGAGGGAGGGCATCACAGTGCTTGGGATGGTCACGTTGAGCGACCTTGACAAGATGCATCATGAAGGGAAGACCGGTCGAGGCTGGATCGCATGTAAGCGTCTGCTTATTTCTTGACCGTGGCACAACCAGCCTATTCTTTGTGTGTTGACCCATCTGGATTGGCTGTCCTTGCTAGGCACAACTGACGCGATATTTCTTGAAAAACCATCTTATTACGATCTTGTGATCGACTTAACCACTTCGACCCCCTTGCGGTCGACCCGCCCAACGCTTTATGTTTCTAAGCCTGTTCACCAGCAGTCGCCAGGCTCCCGAGGACCTACCCACAGGTTGTCGCTTGTCCGATTCACGTGGAGCGACGTTAGGCTCGTGCGTGTCTCAACTCCCGTCTGCTTCCATTCGTCCGGTGCTCTAACCACTTTACCCATGTTGCTGCAGTGGAATGAACTCGAGCGTATCTTACAACTTGACGTCGGTGGGACCGATTGTCCAACGACATGCTGTCGGCCACCTGTCGATTCCCCTATTCTTAAACACCCGACCTCCGGTTCCGTCGTTGCAGGTACCGGTACGACGAAATCTCCCGGACTCTCGTCCTGGGCAGACGCATGGCGCGTGTATGAAGATGTCTGCCTTGTATGTGCATCGCTCTGGATAGGATCGTGGCGCGGCAACTCTACGCAATCGTATTCGACCGTGAATCCCGATGGATCGAAAGCTGACTGGGGAGGAGTGCGGTTGACTGGGGACGACGACCTTACCATAGACGGGCCTCTTGTAAGGAATATTGGATTGGGAATTGAAGGAAGGCCAAGCATGGTGTCGAATGGAATTGAGGGGAGCCCAAACGTGAAGGGGATGAAGCGGTCTCGGGGCATGTCCCTTGGTGTGGGAGGAGGCTCAAGTGCAAGCGAGAGCAGCAGTCGCGGACGCCAGGCGTCCACGGGTTCGGGGATGTCGATCGAGGATAATGGTATTGCCATGCATGCGCCCGACGATCCAGTGGCACGGAGGTTCCGGGAAGAGCGGTTGGAGAGACAGATACGGACAACGTTGGCCTTACTGCAGACGTTCCATGCGAACACATGTTTCCAACTCTCCAGGCTTGCAGAGTTGACCTCTCCGGCGACTGGCAGAGCCAGTGCGATGGCAACGACGGGCCAGCTCGTGGACGTTCCATCCATCGCGGAGACACCTGACCCCTCTGCACCGGCCTTGCCGGATACCAACGTGATATACCTCACACCCCGGGACGTTCTCTCGTTTGAGCTTGGTCCATTTAGTTCTCTGGATGCACGCTACCTGGAGTGGCTCGGGGAGGAGTATGGAGGTGGGAAGAAGGTCGTAGTAAAGAGGGGGTGGAAGGACTTGCTGGGTGTACTTCTCGGGTTCGGGTGAGCGGGGTGCGTTGGCCTATCTCGGCCATCACAGGCCCCTGCAACCCTTACATTGGCGCAGCTCTCCTTTCTTTGTTTTCATTGAACATTGCCTACGAAGCCGTCATGAGATGATGATGATACCACTTTGTCGATCGATTTATTCATCAGGGACAGCATACGTAGTTGTTTGCTTTGATTGCAGAGATCTGGCAAAGTTCAGTATACAGCTCTGGCCACAGCATCGTTGGATACATAAATAGTTCCATCCGCAGCGACGACAGCCTGTCTTGTGTTGTTTGGCCACTCCCCCTTCCCCCTAGCTACTACATACTCTGGTGTTTAATTGACCACACCGGTGACAGGCACTTTCTCAAACTGGTATGACGACGACAACGACCCAAGTTATTCCGAAGACTACCATCACTCCGCGCGGCAGTGCTATGAGAGCTACCCCGCCGCCGTTGTCAACTATTCCAACCACCCACGCAACATCTGCACTCCTACCGGGACAGATACCCACTATCACCACAAGTCACAACCATCACAGCCGCCCCAACGCCAATAATACAATGCCCCACAAATCGATTAGTCCGTCGGAAAGGGTGCCCACGTCGACTTCCGCGGTACCGCCGAACAAGACCAACAGCGACAACAAGCTTGCTATGTCCCGCGCCCTCGGCGCTGCGTTCCTCAGCCACCAAGTAGAACAACTCGAGAAGTCAGTATCACACCAAGGACATGCCAATTTGGCTGGAAGAAGAGATCTTCCGCGGGATAGGGATAGGGATATTGGTGATAGACGCCAGCCATTCGGAGAGCACACCTCCGGTGTCGGAGGGACTGTCCACAAGCGCGGACCAGCAAATCATCCGGCGAAGCAGCGCGCACCATCCGGAACTAGACAGTCCCCTAGGAAAGACTACCCAGAAAAGCCAGTGCACAAGGCTCACGAATACCAGCGGGAGACGAAGGACGCTGACCTCATCGTGCTCGACGCAAGTGTTCCTCGTACATGGACTCCACAAAGTCAAGAAATGGTGTAAAGAAGGGAGAGAAGAAATCGTTATCGTGCCCCTGGAAGGTGTGTCTGATACCGGTCGTTCCGTCGTTAATTAATAATCATTCTTGCTAGCTCTGAACACACTCGATTTGCTCAAGAAAGGAGCGAGCCCTCTTGCTCAGCGAGCAAGGTCCGCATCGAGGATCTTGGAGGCGCAGGTAGGGGACCAATCCTCGCATCAGGGTCCAACGAGACGACGCCTTCGTGCCTTGGGACCGCATCGAATTTAAAGATACTTATTCAGACGAGGATGGCGATAAACCGATTGCGCAGCCCCTCCATCTATCCGGGTCACCAGAGTGGGTCCGCAGGATGATCTGCTGCGCCCGCTGGGAAGTCGACAACGTCTCTACTACGCTCGAGAAAACCACCTCGAAGAAACCCCAAGTTGTCCTGGCTGTGTTAGGCCAGTCTTCGGCGCTAGCACATGTCGGCAAGACGACAGATTGCACTCCGGAGATTGCCTCTCCAGTTCCGCTTCCTGCGCCTGGCCCCCATTCACACAAGTATGAACCCCGTTCAGCTGGTCTCTTGGTTGCGCACTGGGCAGCCAAGGCCGGTATAGAACTTCTGGAAGTCGAGCCATGCCTCGCGGGCGCGCCGCCGATCGGTCAGTTCCGGAACGGCGACGACGACGAAAGGGGAAAGAGACAGGGAGGGCGTGGCAGACGCAACTCTCACACTGTGGGCAGTTCACCTGCTACTCGCGGAACGGGTCTCGTGGAACGTCCTGCTGCAGTAATGCAGATGATGGAAATGGTTGCGCAGCCTTAGCAAGGTGGTCAGGGTCCTTGCAAGAGGTGAGAAATTGGAGCCCTGATACATAAGCGTCGAATGTGATCTGTTAAAGGTGTGTACCGTTCCATCTGTCGTTCTCGTTTAAACTGATTGTATTCTCTAAACGTGCAAAAGTCTCTTGATTCAGGAGCTTAACTTGTTTCTTTCGTCTCTTGTTGACGAGACGGACAAGGACGTAACTTTCCGTCTTGCCAGGTTACAGAGTACAAGTTTCTCTCGCAGTAGCAGAAACGTTCTTCCATGCATGTAGAACATCGTCGGTGGGCCTGATTCTCCTTTGGGGAGAGGTGGCTTGCGATGGACGATAGCTACCGCAGTCGGCGGCTTCAAGTGCTTACGTTTCTCTTGTCCAGCGCTTATAGACCCTTTCCGGGCAGAGAACAGGTTTTCGTCTTCTTCTGTGGCTCTCCCCCGTTCCAAGTACCCATGCTGTCGCGGATCTGGTCTATGTACCACTTGCTGGCCCTTGTATTTGTTTTCCGAATTCTGAACAGTTCCGTATGACTTCCTATGCACCTTTTTTCGACTGTCCGTTTAATCTATCTTCTTGAATGAAAATTTCTCTTCCATTCATGTATGTACACAAGTCCTAATAATTTCCAACCAAGGATCCAGAGCTTGCAAGGCATAATCCGATAGCGCGGCTGCTTGTCGTCAGGTTGCCTTACGGGTACTATCCTAGGTGGGTATACCGATGTACCATAGTCCACACCAAGCGAGTTGTTCGCTTGCCAGCATTTCCTAACGTACAGTATGATATACAAGCTTCCCATCATACACACTACCATACTTTCGGACACCGTCATTTCAGGCATATGAAACCTCGAACTGCCCACGCATATTCCACCAGGTCTACCAGAGACTCCGGAACTTGAATGGTCAGCACTCCATTACCATCCAACTTCCAGTCAAGCCCGCGGTCCTCCTGCCATGCAGCATTGGCATTGTTAGAGACCAAGGCCCCGGGAATCTTTGGGCCAAGTAATCTGATGGTGTCCCCTGGCTGGAGGGGTAGAACAGCGTCGCCGACATCCACGACCAGCTTGCCACCGGTGGGTTTGTCGAGAGCCACGATACAAAAGGTATGTGGCGTGGTTAGGAAACGCACCGAACCAGAAACATCTTGGAAGCCTTGGTACCAATAATCCTAGTGTATCGTCAATACACACGTCCACCCAGCAAATAATTTTGGCGTACAGTCCCATATACACACCGCCCAGCATACTTCAACCATCTCCCGGCATCAAGGAGGTTTTCAACCATCGGAGCCACGATTTCGCCTTCAGCCGTCGGTCCCAATGTCCAGCAAGCTGGGTGCGCAAGGTTTGAAGTCGGAGGACACGGCAATGAAGTTCGAACTTACTAGTTACCATTCTTGCTTACAATGTCAACTATGTTCTGGACGATTGCAGTACCGTTCTTGTATGCGGAAGCAGGGGTCGCGGAGTTATACCCATAGCTGTATGGATCCATTCCTTCGCTGGTCTCCCAGCGTCTCGTTTGGATGTTCCCGTACCTCGCATACTCCGGGGTATCGAAATCGGGCACGTCACCACACCCTACATACGCACGACAGAAACAAACACAATTAGCTGGGTGTCCTCAGAATCGAAGAACTCCACCAACGATCGTTCATTACCACCTGATAACCGTGCTCCATTGCATTATTGTAGTATTCCGCTGCAAATTCTGGTGTCCGGTGAGGACCTCCAATATCGCACCACTGATTTGACATTAACACGCCAGTGAGCTGCGGCATGCAAGAAACCTCGTACCATGATCTCAGTTTCATAATCCACAGCAAGTGAAATCATATGTGGCAACAATAAGTCATCGAGGTAATCTGTGATATTCAGCATTCCGGTGTACGGCTCAACTTCCGACGGCTTGTAAGGGTGGTTCGCCAATCCTCCAGGCCATATGTCAAATCCGTACTTCGCATAATAAGGGTTGTACCTGTGAATCGATGTTAACTTTAGGTGGGAAGAGAGCGATAAAATCAACTTACCATTCAGGAAGTGAATAGTATGTGCCTCTGTGAATATGAGGTTTTTCCGCCTTGGCGGTCTCCATGAGTTCCTTCAAAAAATCACGATACGGCGGTAGATAAACGCTTCCCCTATGTGTGGTTTCTTTGGTATCAAAAAGACTGTATCCATCGTGATGTTTCTGGTGGCAAAACGTTTTGAAAGTCGAACTCTAAGAAAAAAAAACAGACCTTACCGTAACGAAGACAAAGTATTTAGCTCCCGCTTCGTCGATGAGGTCCAACCAGGCACTGGGGTCCCACGCCGACGCCGTGAAATCATGTATGAAATCATCATAAACAACTTCCTGCGAGGACAGATTAATATCTGTATCCTGAAACAACGCAACCCATGCTTCCTTACTGGACCATAAGTGTCAAGATGATATCTCCAGAAAGCACTGTCCTGGATGTGCATGTGCCAACTTGAAGATATTATTGTAAGCTGGGGGAACACCGTGCAGTTTCACCACGTACTTATACCACTCCGCGTAAACACCAGGCGAGCCCTGGGGAAAATTAAGAGGCACATACACGGGCATTGAAACGTCAACCTACCCAGCCCGGTACACTATAAGGACCCCAGTGGATGCTATCGGTTTGCGCATGTGCCTTGAGTAATACACAGTGGAAAAATACCGTACGACTTACAAAATCCCATATTTGGCTTTGTTCCACTGAGGTAGAAGTCAGGAAACAACGAAAATACCAAAGCCATATGGCACTCACCCACGTCGGTGTTTCGTGCGTTGCCAGAACGCTCTCTTCAGGAGTCCAGTGCTCACGCAAGGGAGTGATAGGCCAGTCCCCCGATGTACCGACCACATTTCCATGGGAATCCCTGAGCCGAACGGTGGCCTTACCTGAACCGTTTCTGTTCAGTACTAAGATGTCCACGCGAGCCTGATCTCCAGGAACGAGTCGGTAGATATGACCTGGTGTGACGGTCTTCAAACCATGTCCGACCACCTCAATAGAGTACCTTGAAGGGATGGAAGTGTGGCGTGACGTTGCAAATTTCGTTGGGAGGATATTTGCAATGGTGATTTCGACGACCTGTGATCGTTCCCCGTCGACATCCTCCCAGCGTGTAGTGAAGCGCGCGTTACGGATGGAAATGGCAGGGCCTGTTGCTTCAGGGGTATGGGTGCACGGCGTCAACGTCAGTGCAAATATATGCAACTTGTTTATGTGACGAGACGTATCCGGAAGTGTTATGCTTCGCAGTGGAGCCTTGGACGGCACAGGGAGGGATAGCTGATACATGTGTGTTGTATTCATGTTCTTTGATGCGCCGTGATCCGTAAAATGGAAGGGGCTGTATTAGGATTACTTGGGATCAAAACACAACAAGGACGCTTTCGCCCTTACGTTCGGATGTCCCCCCAATCTAAGAAAGGCCATTTCCACCAGTTCTTCCCACCAACTATTCAACACTGAGGGAGAAAAAGAGTGGAGGACGAGGATAAAACGCACACTGTAGGTGCTTGACAGACCCATCTTCATACTGCAGTTGAAATTTTTCACTCAACCCCCCTGAGGAGATGTGCAGCATATACCCATACAGGTCACGATCGGCACTCACAGAGAGGCTGCTCTCCCGCATATACGATATGGAATTCGTGGATATAGGTTGGCTCGTTCAGCGTTATCACTTGACCACTAGAGACCACATTGTCCAATCCCAGTCCCCAGTTCGTTGGTAGATCATACTACGGCCAGGGTGGGATTGGAGGATCGGAAGTGGAAATGAAGTACGCACAGTGATTCCGTTGTAATGCCAAGGACCTGTCGGCAGGTGTTGCGCAGGGTACGTTCCTCCGTGTCCATCGAAGTCACCTGTGGTGCCGTCGACTGATGCAGCTTGGTTATTGTAAAGGTCCTTCAGCGGCAATTGCAAAGACGAGAATGGGACAAGCGATGGATGATCCGTTTCGATGAAAGATAACAAGGGTCCACATAGATTTGGAACGCATAAGGCGCTCAACAACGCCTTCCATGACCGCTCCGACAAAAGGTAGGACACCTGTTCGAGTTCCGATGTGTAAGTGTTGTAGGGATGGACTCAGACAACCGACTGACCAGCATGTTGGTCTCCGAGACGTTGTACTGGGTATACAGTCCACTACTCAACTATTGTGAACTGAGCCACGGCGCAAGGGTTCCGTCTCCAGTGTGTTGCGTGTGAGGTGATGGTAACCTTGAGTGGGGCGTGGAGTGCTTGATACATATGGTAGTCGATGCTTGGCTTCGCTGATCCCCACAGGAGTTGGCATATCTCACCAACTTCTTCACACAACTCGAGCAAGCGCAGTCAAAATTCAAGCAAGAGGTAAACACCAAGAATGCGGGTCAGTCGCCAAGTACTGTGTCGTCACCTTTGCAGAACGTTTTCGTTCGACCGTCTTATGTGACATCACTATTTGGGTACACAGCACAATTTTTCGTCCACAAGCAGTCTGTTACTCGATTTAGCTAGCAGTCAGTAGGGGTTGATCGTAGGGCAGTATGACCACCGCTCTCTCAAAAGTCGAGATATCATACATCAGATCGTCTCTTCTCTCTGCCCCACCATTACGCGCGGATGGACGCTCGCCAGAGGATTTCCGGCCTATCGCGGTCGAGACTGGGGTAGCACCATTAGCCAACGGGAGTGCAAGAGTTTCGATTGGGGAGCCCTGCACTGGCAGAGAGAAAGAAGCGGAGGGTGCTGGAGGCGGCACGGAGGTCGTCGCTGCAGTGAAGCTCGAGGTAGACGGAGTCGGTGAAGACAAGGAGGGGGGCAAAGTCGTTTGCAACGTATCCTGGTATGTATCCAAAACTTTTTTCTTTCGGAATCGTCACTTCCCGTCCCTGGTACTACAGTTCCCCGGCGGCTTATCCTCACCTGTCATCACCTGCACTGGACGACCTTCAATCGGACCTCACCTCCGTGCTAGGGAGCGTGCTCTCCCATCCTTCCCTATGCCCCAAAAACCTGGTGATTGTTCCCGGGCAAAAGGCTTGGGCTCTGAGGCTCGACACCATCATATTTGCTGATGCGGGCAACGTTCTCGACTATCCCATGATGGCATGTCGCGCTGCACTTGTGGACACGCGAGTTCCGAGTACGAGAAGTGTGGAATATCGTGCTCCGGGGAAACGGAACGAGGTGCCAGATGATATTATGGACGTCGACGAGGGTAGAAATGGTCCATCAAGCCTGCTGGAAACCCGAGAACCTAGCCGCGTAGTAGATTTCGAACTCGCTGACTACTGGGATGAAGGAGGGGTGCTCGAGGCGAGGGATGCCTGGCCTGTTTGTGTTACGCTGAACATGGTACGCCGCCTTTCCGCCTTCCACAACATTTGTCTATCCTACCAGGCTGCATTGCCTGTTTAACTCGACTTTTCACATCCTGCTGGTCAATCTACGGCTCACTAGATCCATACTATGATCTTTCACAGCTTCCTACTATGCATCTCCTTGATGCAACGTCCCAGGAAGAGTCCGCAATCCCGTTAAGGTTACACGCCATGTTTGCATTTCCGGGAGGCAAACCCACGTTACACGGCATGAGGATGGCGGGTGCGGGACACATCCGACTTGTCACAAATTAGAGTATTGTTGAAGGTGAGTGGTGCATGGAATTCTATGATTTGATGACGCATATGTTCACTCACAATAGAATGCGGAAAAATATGCCCGAAATATGTGGACTGGACTGGAGGCGAAGCTTGCAGAAGAGGAAGCGCGTAGGAGCATCAAAGCACGGGAGAAATTCTATGGCAGGCGACGACGATAACCAAAAGATTCCCTCACGCTTGACTACCCATTACATGTGGAATTGATCAATGACGTCTGGCGAGTGAGCGTTAACTGATGCATGGTGAGTGTCCATTATCTCATGGGTACGATGCAAGATCATTGCCGATTAAACCTGGCTGATCAACCCACGTGAAGGGAGAGTCGCCAACGCAATCCGGCATAATGGCACGCTTTCGTTCTGTCCATTCGGTGAAACGAAAGATTATACCAACATAACACGTTTCACCCGCTATTATTGTCCATCAAATTCGACCAAACGGTTTCTAGAACTCTGTCGCACTCAACGCTCTAACCAACAAGCCGTCCACCTGCCACAACTCTTCGACAGTTCAGCAACACGGAGCGTGCGCCTTCTAAAGAACGTCAAGGGGATCGCAGTTGAGGCCGATCAATTGCAAATTGGACTATCAATGCCATTCCGCATCACTGAACTTAGCTCACAACAGATAATGATGGGTTTGACTTACGAAAGTAGTCCCTTCGCAGCAGACGGACTGGGCATTGCAGGAATGATCTGGTATCAGGTCAATGACCTCAATCGGGATACAGCCAATGCCAAGATTGCCGTTCAGGAGGCCAACAGCAATGCCCAACAACCCAGTGAGGTCGCCTAGGCTGCTGGCCTGGGGTAAACTTCAAAGTGAGGCGACGCTAGGGGGAGGGAGACATAAGCACGCGTACCGAACCAACGTTGTCACAGCACAATGCGTTGGCATTGCAGTTACCACCACCAATCCCCCCTCCACCACCTCCGTCCCTGGTGAGGTGGGTGGGGACAGCTGTAACAATGGCCGCCAGAGCGACAGTGAGAAGTGCAGGAGCGTTAGCGAACATGAGATTTAAGACACGAACGGTGGCCTCACTTGCATATCACGCACGCTTTTATGTGTCTTTGGTCAAGGCGACACTGGGTTTCGGGTGGACATTGAAGAACCTCCTTGGTGAAAGAAACAGGATTCCGAGGCTAGTCGATATCAAGGCCTGCCATTCACCACCGCGGCCACCAACGTTGGTGATGCAGAGCAACCATTCATGGAGTGTGGAGTAAATCCACTTAGCCCATCATGGAGCGTCCCAGTGGCCTGTTAATCACTTGTACTTCCAAAATTGCCTTGGCAGGCGCAATTGCAGTCGGATGGCGGAAGATTCTGGTAACCATCCATCATCCATAGTAACCAGTAGCGACGGTGAACCCCACGGGAAGACGGATACGAGTCGACAATTCCCTTACCCTACTGCGTACCTAACTTGCCATCACTCGGATAACATCCATGATTCCTGACACCAATCCAACTGGCGCTTACTATTGCAGGTACATCACCTATCTTCCTGAGGCTTATGCCACGATTCCGCCTGCAACTTATGGTCAGTGTATGCTTGGTTTGGGCTTTTTTCACAATGATCAAATGAAGCAGTTGGCACGTTCAAGCTGAGTTACCGGTACTCGAACGCCTAGCGATGTTCTGATCAAGTCGGGAACTACTCCTGTTTCTAGACCCACCGGCACGGTTTCCCCAACAAGGCACACAACATCGATGAAACCTTGAGCTTGAGTTGGAATCAAGATGCATCCCAGGACTCCACCATCGCAGTGCAACTGGTGGTACCATTTGGGATGATGGGAATGACCGCCCCGTGCCCACCCCTAAGTCGAACGAAAACCAAACTTGACACTTGTTACAATGACCTTGGTACCCCTGCTTCACTCAGCAGCTCCACGCGATTGGGTATTTGAGGTCAGTGGCCCCCCAGACTGCCATCGTTGATGGTAGTGAAGACTAATTGGTATCTCGCGGGTTCCACAAGCATCCGACCCGTGTTGAGGGACCAATCTGGAGCAGCTTGCTGTTTTTAGATGGTGTATCACTTCAACAGTGGCAGAATGTACTTGTCAACGGGTGACCCCACATATTTAGTGCACGGAGGCCCGTCCTTCACTCTTGTCTTGGCAGCTGTTGTTGTCGCAATTGTATTGCCCAGTCGAGAAGACGATATAACGTCTGTGCAAACAGGTAAGTATATGCGTTCCTGCGTAACCAGTTCAGGGGGTTGGCGGACAACCACGCCGCTCCACCGACCTCTTTGACTGGCTCGCAGTGCCTTGCAAAGAGCGATTTTGCCGTTGGTCCTTGGAATCGCAACGTTGATGGTAGTGAGCGTAGTTGAGTCATGGAACCTTGTTACCATCCAACAGGTAGTCGTTCCGAGAGCGCATAAAAACCCCTGTCTGCACATCGAGAATCGTAAGCCCAAGTGAATTCTGTGCGCTCCTTTCATATTAGCACCCCATGTTCATTAACACCTCTGTCTTCTTCACTGCTGCTCTGGCGACCATCGCTGCCGCAGCCCCCACCAACCTCGCCAGGGACGGCGTAGGTGGACTTGGTGGCGGTGATGTACTTGGTGGTGATAACTGCAATGCTAACGCACTATGCTGTGACAACTACGGATCCGGTAAGTCTTCTCGCATCTTGTTTTCTCCAGCATCGCATCAACCCACTTCGCACTAGGCCGATCAACTTCAAGGCCTTCTCGGTGGTCTGTTGGGTCTTAATGTTGACGCCCTGACCGGCAACCTTGGCATTGGTTGTATCCCAATCGAGGTCATTGCTCTGATACCAGATAATTCCTGCAATGCCCAGTCCGTCTGCTGCGAAGGGACTACTTTCGTAAGTCATATCCATTGTCTATCGTAAACTTAATTCAGTAACACGGAACGGCGTTGATAGTCCAATTTGCAATTGATTGGTCTTAACTGCCTTCCCCTCAAAGTCCTTTAGAGCACGTACGCTCTGTGTTGTTAGATTGTTGAAGAGTTGTGGCGGGAGGGGTGGCTTGTAGCAAAGAATGTTTACAGGTCCATTAGCGAAAGGTAATATGTAGATTGGAGTATGTGTTAAGTACCATGAGCGAGCCTTTGCCGATGATACAGTGAATCGGTCATGCATAATCCCGTAGGAAAGAAAATTGAATTGGCGTACAGCACAGGCAAGACGGAAGCTCCCGTTCATCTCTAATTGTTAATCAAACATCATGGTAAAAGCTGAGCTTGGAAACCGCATGATAGACGCGCTGATCCATATATCGCACGCTAGCAGGTTGTAGGAGCTTCCCGTCTAAAATTGCTGCGCGCCGGTGGCAAACCCTCGTAAACGAGTAATCGAGAGGTCGAATGCGATGATAATTCTTGCGGAAGTTACATTGTACAAGCATATTGGGTTGGATGAGCACGCAAGTCACGTTTCGCTATGAATCATGAACGGGAAAAGGTACCTGTGTGAGCCCTGACCTCGGGCCAAGTCAACTTAGGAAGTAGAAGCCCAAAAAAAACTTTCGAATCTCACTAGTATAGTGTGAGTATCTGGGAAAAATAGATCGTGATGGAGTCAGCAAACAATCGGCGTTGCGTAGACTGCGCTTTGGTGGTGAACATAATCTAAGCAAACTTAGTACTGTGGGTGCTAGAAATCTGAGGAAAACAACAGCTATAATCCTTCGCGGCAATGTAGCGATATGCCGCACGTTGACTACCATTCAAGCAGAACACGGCACGCTAGCCGTCTTGATCGTTGACACCGATGCCACGCCGGGAAATCGCATTGCCAAAATGTTCATTGCCCCCTGCCCCCTACTAGCTGTGGACTAGTCCATACCGCGGGCCCTAACCGTTCAGGGGCATTGTCAATCATCCAGGCCGCTCCACCAACTTATTAGACTCACTCGCAACGCCCTAAGGAGCAGCCCCGCTGCCGGCCCTTGGAGTCGCAACATTGATGGTAGTGAAGGTAGATTGGTCATGGAACCTTGCTGGGTAGGATCATCCAGCAAGTAGTTGTGCAGGAAGCGCATAAAAACCTTGTCTGCGCACCTAGCATTCCCAGAACCCACAAGCTCAGCTAAATTCTGTGCACTTGTTTCGCAAACCTCATGCTCGCTAACACTTCTGTCTTCTTTACCGTTGCCCTGGCGGCCATCGCCACCGCCGCCCCCACCAACCTCGCCAGGGATGGCGTAGGTGGACTTGGTGGTGGTGCACTCGGTGGCGATAACTGCAATGCTAATGCATTGTGCTGTGACAACGTCGGATCGGTAAGCCCTCTCATATCTTGTTTCTGTGGTATCGCTCTTACTTTGCCCTAGTACGATCAACTTCAAGGTCTTCTAGGTGGACTGTTGGGCCTTAATGTTGACGCCCTGACCGGCAACCTCGGCATTGGTTGTATCCCGATTGAGGTCATTGCTCTGATACCAGATAATTCCTGCAATGCCCAGTCCGTCTGTTGCGAAGGGACTACTTTCGTAAGTCACACCGATTATTTGTCATGAACTTAGTTCGGTGACGCGGAATGGCATTGATAGGCTGATTTGCAATTGGTCGGCCTTAACTGCGATCCCCTGGACGTTCTTTAAAAGGAGTGCGTTCTGTGTTGTTGGATTGTTGAAGAGTTGTGGCGGGCGGAGGCCTGTAGAACGAAGAACATTTGAAAATTCACTAACCAAAGGTCGCAGAATGGAACATGTGTTAAGTTGGTATGATCCCCCAATGAACACTATGTTTGTAGGTCATTTTCTGATTACGAGTGAGCTTTTTCGGATGGAGAAGTGATTCAGTCAAGCGTGAAGCCTACCGGAAAAAAAATAAAAAATAAAAGGCATACAACACGGGCAGGACGGAGACTCCCGTTCATCTCTGATTGTTAGTCAAACGCCATGGTAAAGTATTGGTTTGCCTAACTTAACAAGAAAATCGCGTAGCACACGTGGTCATGCGAGGCGGACACTTGTACAGGTATCGCACGCCGACAGTTTGTAAAGGCTTCACGTTGAGATGGAAGAGTCCGAGCTCCTCTGGTGCTCTCTCGTTCGTCGTGTTATTCTACCGCTGCTTCCGCTGACCAAGCTGACACATCCTGCTCCCCTACTACGTCTTGGATTGCTAGACACCGGTGTAAGTAGGGTGGCCTGGCGGCGGGAGGTGAGGCCTGAGGACACAGTCACAGTGGTCTTAGTCAGACGGATGTAGACTTGGACACACATATTCAGTTGGAGGTTATCCTACTGCTTGCCTCGAGCTCAACTCATTTCCTGCGGAAGTTCTGGTAGGGGACTTATCTAAGCATCGTAGGGAGGATGAGGATGAGCGTGTAGTACACGTTTGCCAAGTAGACTCGTCATCACGTATTATGAATGGGGAAACAAAATGTACGTGCGTGAGCCCTGGCCTCAGAAGCCTAGGCGACATAGGAAGTGGAAGCCAAGACTGCTTGCAAATCTCACTGGTGTGATGCGGCGTCTGTGCAAGGGATGGCTGAGCGTCCGGAAAAGAGGACGTGGTGGAGCTAGCAAACAAATTGACGTTACGCATACTGCGCGGTATTGGTGAATATAGTCTAAACCGATCCAGGAGTCCCTAGTTCAATGGGTGCTGTAAATCCGAGAAAATTCCGAGAACCCTTGGGGATACCTATAATGTCATGCAGCGATACGTTGCCCGCGTCGACCACTATTCACGCGGAACAAAGTGTGCTAGCCATCTTGATTGTCGACACCAGCGCACCTTGGGAAGCCTCATTGCTGAATATTCCATGCCCTCACCGGCTGCAGATTAGTTCATACCGTGGGCTCTAACCGTTCAGGGGATTGTCAGTAAGCCAGCCCTTCACCAATTTGTTGGGCTCACCCGTAATGCCTCGAAAAGAGCAGTTCGCCGCTGGTGCTTGGAGTCCCAATGTTGATGGTAGTGAAGGTAATTGGTCATGGAATCTTGCTACCATCTAGCAACTAGTCATGCAGAAAGCGCATAAAAACCTTCTCTGCGTACCAAGACTCCCCAGAACCCGCAAACTTAGTTGAGTTCTGTGCACTTGCTTCACATACCTCATGTTCGTCAACACTTTTGTCTTCTTCGTTGTTGCTCTGGCGGCCATCGCTACCGCTGCCCCCTCCGACCTCGCAACTGGTCCAACCGGTGGTGGTGGCGGCGGCGGCAGCTGCAACGCCAACGCACTCTGCTGTAACAACGTCGGGACGGTAAGACTTCTCGTATCTCTGTTTCTGCAGCATCGCCCTGACTTTTCCCTAGTACAATCAGCTTCAAGGCGTTCTCGGTGGTCTCGCGGGCATTAACGTTAATGCCCTGAACGGCAACCTGGGCGTTGGTTGCGTCCCCATTGAGGTCATTGGTCTGATCCCAGATAATTCCTGCAATGCCCAGGCCGTCTGCTGCGAAGGGACTACTTTCGTAAGGCGTGCCCATTATCTGTTGCGAACTTAACTCAGTGACGCGGAACGGTACTCATAGGCTAATGCGCAATTGGTCGGCCTCAACTGCGATCCCATTAAAGTTCTTTAGAAGGCACGCGCTCCGTGGTTTTGGATTTTTGAAGAGTGGTGGCGGGTAGATTGCCCGTGCAGTGAAGAAATTTTAGAAATATATTAGCAGCAGGTTGTAGGTTAGAGCACGTGGCAAGTTGATATGGACCCCCAATGGACAGTACGTTTGTAGGTCGCTTCCTGATCGTGGCCGAGCGTTTGCGGGTGGTGCATTGACTCAGCCATACATGAAGCCACAAGAAAAAAAAGGAAAGAGAAGCCAATAGGAGCAAGACAGACTGATGTTAGTTAAAGACCGTGGTAAAGTTTTGTTTTCTTCAACTCAGCTGGAAGTAAGCGTGGTGATGCAAGGCAGCCATGTGCCTGGGGTATCGTACGCCTACAGACCGTCGTCTGGGACTTCCGGGCGCTGGCGGTGAGCAAAACGTCGGATGCAGGAAACGGAAGCCCAAGACATGCTAGATCCTGCCAGTATGGTTTGACGTCTGTGGAAATAAGTATATGCATTCCTACTAAGGATATAAGTGTCAAGGCAGAAAAGGGGTCGTGACGGAGTCAACGAACAATTGACGTTGCGTGGACTACGCAGTACTCCAGACCACGCGCTAGCTGTCTTGATTGTCGGCACCAGAGTGCGCTGGGTAACCACATTTCCAAAGTATTCTTTACCACTACTGGTTGCAGACTAGTTCCATACCGTCAACTGGCCACTCCATCAACTTATTGGCCTCCATCATAGTGCCTTATGAAGGGCAATTTTGCCGTTGGTACTTGGAATTGCAACGTTGATGGTAGTGAAGGCGAGGCCGGTCGTGGCACCTTGCACGGCCCCACAGTTCGGTTACCCAAACGATTGCATGTGGACCGTACGAGTGCATTACGGCGCGGGTATCACATGAAGCAGCAAAGCCATCCACTGCGACGCTCGACGCCCCAGACAACCTGCTTTTCGATACTAACTGTTCCTCTTCCAGACGAGTATGACAACTATTATCCAGCAAATAGCCATGCAGAAAAAGCATAAAACGCTGTCTACACACCTAGAATCCCAGAACCCGCTAGCACAGTTGAATTCCGTGCACCCACCCCACATACCTCATGCTCATCAACTCTGCCCTCTTGACGACTACTCTGGCGGGCATCGCTACCGCCGTGCCCAACATCGCCAGGGCAGGTCCACACGGAGGTAGTAGAGGTGCTGGTGCTGGTGGAGTGGAAAATAGTGGTGGTAGCTGTAATGCTAACGCACTGTGCTGTGACAACGTCGGGTCGGTAAGTCTGCTCGTATCTGGTTCCTTTTATCATTCCCTCATTTTGCCCTAGTACAATCAGCTTCAAGACCTGTTAGGTGGCCTGGTGGTTGGCCTTGACGCTCTGACCGGAAACCTTGGCGTCGGGTGTATCGACCTCGATATCGTTGACCTTTTAGGGGACAACAGCTGCAACGCCCAAGCCGTCTGCTGTGAAGGCACTACCTTCGTAAGTCGTAGTCCCACTATCTGATCGTTATTAACCCAGTGATGGAACGCCATTGACAGTCCAATGTGCAATTGATCGGCCTTAACTGCGATCCCATCGACATTCTTTAGAAGGCTCGTTGGGCCATTGAACTCGGAGTTCTGGGGCGGGCGCAGCAGATGGCCCGTGCAGCGAAGATGCTGATACTTTAGGAATCTATTACCGAAAGTTAGTAGATTGGAACACACGTATATGATCCCTTCATGGACGGTACACTTGTGTGTTATAAGCAATAGTCGTGCGCGAGTCGGTGGGAGACCAAATAAAAGCAATCACGCTAACTCTGACGGAGTCCGTCATGACGTCCATCCCGACTCAAAGGACTACACGGCACATGCAAGTGAAAACATGAAATCTGTGATACGACATCTCGCAGTCATTTGATTTACTACATAAGTACGTGTCCTGGTGTGTGATGTATATCTGTGACCCCTGCCATATGGCCGCAATCCAGCACGGGTAAAACGGAAGCTCGTTGTCATCTCTGAAGATCTGATTGCCAATCAAAGCATCATGATAAAGCTATGTTTCGCACTAAGCCTTGTTTCTTCCTTTGATAGCTGGAAAACCCGCACAATAGACGTGCCAGTGCAACGCAGCCGCTTGTTCAGGACACCACTGCTGACCTGCCACGCCGTTATGCGCGCAAGGAAGGAGAGCACATTCTCGTACACTGGGGGATGAGGGATCTAGGATGCTCGATCAACTAATCGAACCCGCGGCACAGCTTCGTAGCTGCATCCTGTCCGGTGAGGGAAGATTGTCGACAAACGTGAATAAGACCTCCGGACATTAGCAGCTATTGAAGACCAGGTAAAGGACCGAACGACCTATTTCTTACGATGTCACGTTGCTATCTTTTTGCCTTACCGGTCGCTCGCACTGCCCAACCACCGACAAAAGGCCCATAAAACTGTTGTCGTCCATGCCAGGATCCCCCAACTCCAACGTGGGTCTTCCTGACCGCCAGACTGTTTTTACCTGCTGTTAAGATACTGTCCAATGTTTCTTCGCGTGTCCGCCTTCCTAGCTGTCGTCATCGCCGCAGCCGCGGCCGCACCCAATATCCTTGTCAGGCAGGGGGGAAGTTGCAACACAGGCAGCCTTAGCTGCTGTGATTCTCTGCAACCGGTAGGTCCCATACTCTCCCTCCTGATGCCTGTTAACTGTATGTAGGCAGACAACCCTTCAGTTATTAGCCTCCTTGGATCACTGGGCATCCTCCAGGATTTAACCGGTAGCATTGGCCTGGACTGCATCCCCATAACGGCCATTGGCGTCGGGACGGGCGCCAACTGCCAACAGCAGCCTGTCTGTTGCAACGGAAGTACTGCGGTAAGATATGTTTACCGTCTCCAGTTGCACGTCGCTGAGAAACCTGTCAGGGAGGCGTCGTTGGCCTAGGTTGCATTCCTGTCAGCCTCGGGTTATAGAGGGACGCATGTTACCCTGAGTTGGGCCGCTGAATGGTGGTTGAGTCCTAAAGGCTGATATGTCGATTAGTGAAAGTACCTTGTTGAAAAAAACTAGAGTCCGTACAGATAAGCTGCTATCCCGAAGGAGTGCAGGACATCGATGCATGTCGTCTTTGCTCCCAGCAGTCAGCGTTGTCAGAGGATCGCACCGTTTCAGGGAAAAAAAAAAAAAAAAAAAAAAAAAAAAGACGAAGTATTTGTTGGCGTTTCAATACAGATTTAGAATTTCCCGACCTCGTAACCGAAGGCGCAGCAGAGAATTTGCCGTCAGTAAACCCACTAGATTATTCACCACTATCCGTGTTACCTCCAAAAGCAGAACCCCACTCAAGTTCACAGAGTTCACAGAAAACCATGCAGCAAGGTACAAAAGCCTTTTCGTCAATGGCCACTCACCTGACCTTTGTGGCTGGGACCCTCAATCACGAGCGGCAAGTCGCACGTTGAACAAGAGATATGATCATCTTGAACAGTAGGCCCAACTATCAGCCAAAAACGGCAAGCGACGTGAACGCAGTTGGACAGGACATGGCATATTCAAGTATATATACTGACGCTGGGTGGTGTGTGTGGCGAGCATGTAGCATGTTAATCGGGCATACTGACACCATTGTGTGCATTTCTCGTGTACTGAAAAATCATCGACCAGCACCAGGTACTGCACGCCTCTCCCGACGGGGTCCCCGCTCAGGTTGGGGAATGACCACGGGAACAACGTTCACAGTAATATCAAAGTTAAGACTTTTGAGCATGGACTAACAAACGCCATCATCCGAGTGAGTGATCGATGCAAAATGATTACGAAAACACGAACCTCTGTATCAGCATCGACATCCAGACCAGCAGCGCTCGTATCGAGGGCAGAGACCTCGGGAACGTAGTTATCCTTCCTCTCCCGCTCCTCCTCTTGCAGTTTGAAGGAGATACCATGGACGGGTCCACGCTGTATACGCTTCATCAGATGTGTCGTGAAACCTGCAATCTTGTTGCGGAGACGTTTCGATTGGACTTCTGCAACTTCATCGATAATACGCTTGTTGGTATGGAAGTCGAGTGTAAGGCGGGGGTAGCTGGGTCGCATACGTGTCAGTTAGCAGTCTTAACGAAACGCCGATGCGGCCTGGGAGATAGGCTTGCGCACTATTTTTCAATGAGTATGCGAGAGGCCCTCTTGGTGGTTTTGGTGCGGACGCGACCCTATAAAACCAATTAAGATGGGAGTACACAATGGCAACAGCATGTCATACCATTTTAGCGGGATTTGGCTATCGAGGATGTCGCTGGGGGTGTGGTTTTGTGGGCGTGTGCAGTGTTGAGAGTGTCGGCGGGGACTGCCGGGGTGTGGCTGGGACTACTGTACAGTTGACCCAGCCACACCCGGCCAAGGTGCCCTCCCCACCAGATTCCTACGACGCCCTTCGGATCCCCCACCAATATTACCTCGCCGTGTCAAAATGGTTCGCGTCTCCGTATTGGTATGTGCTGTCGCGTCAGCGCGTTTTCGCCGTCTGCTGATGTCCCAGCTAGAATGACTGCCTTGTGGGTTCTTGAACCTCTCACCGTCGTCAACCGAGCACTTAAAGCTTCTCACGCCAGAACAGTATCGTCAACGCTGAGCGCCGTGGAAAGCGGCAAGTGCTCATCCGACCTTCATCAAAGGTCATCGTAAAATTCCTTAGCGTCATGCAAAGACACGGTAAGTGTGCATTCTTGCTGCCTGACGCACTTTCCTAACGAGTTACTAGGCTACATTGGCGAATTCGAGATAATCGACGATCACCGCTCGGGAAAGATCGTCATACAACTAAATGGCCGTCTCAACAAGACGGGTGTCATCTCCCCACGGTTCAGTGTACAGGTGACCCAGATCGAGTCCTGGGTCAACTTGCTGCTACCCGCTCGTGGTTTCGGTAAAATTATACTGGTATGTGCTAATTACTGCTTGTTTGGCCCGCTGGACTGTTGTGATCGTGCAGACAACATCGTCTGGTATCATGGATCACGAGGAGGCCCGCCGCAAAAACGTCGGTGGAAAACTCCTCGGATATGTTTACTAGATTCACACACTTTCACCTCCTGTATGTTAATGCGATATGATACTATGCAAAATGGTTGGCATAAACCAACATCTAGGTGGAAACTGGGCTGAGCGAACATGGAGAGCGGAACCCCCAGGTGCAGTGAATTCATAGTTGCGAATGTGGTGTGTCAAAGGGAGGCAGAGTACTCCAGAGTCATTTACGTGTCAATGTGGAAATAGTGATGCATTAAGAACATCCTCCTATACTCCCTCCTCATCGTCCTCATCGCCGGATACTTCGGCATTTTCTCGTCCAGCTTTAGCCATCAGCTGTGCAAGGTCTTGCTCTTCAGTTTCAGACACCGCTTTGGCCTGTTCGCAAGTGATAAGTGGGTTAAACCCGAAAATGCATGGCAACGACTCGCCTTCATTTTGACGATCAAGCCTCCACCCTGTGACTCGATGGAAGCCTGTATAGATTCAATTGCGCGCTCCAGTCTGTCTACTGCCGCGTACTGAAGAAGTGTTAGCAGAGAGAAGAAAGCCAGAACGTGTGAAAACCGAACCTTGTCAGTTGCATTCGTACTAAGAACGTACAACGGTGGCGCGACGAGCTTCGCTTTGATGGGTACGGCTTCCGTACTTTGTGATTCTCCTTTGCGCAGTGCACGTTTGATCGCATCGATGCCCGCTGGCGTATAGCAAGTCAGTTCTATGTCCGCACGCAACTTGATCGGCTGGGGGGTCAAGCGACGTGCGATGGTTGCAAGCAAGACTTGGACGATATCCTCGCTTGGTCGTGCAGGTAGAGTAGCGAGTATAGCTTGCGCATCGCTGCCACCATTCGATGCTTTAGCAATGGAGGAGGGTACGGGAGGTATGGTAAACATACCTGAGCATCAGCTTAAACGCGTCGTACGGGTGTCCATACGTTCGGCCGAGTGGCCATGCGATTTCTTCGTATAGTTTTTCGAGGGCTGCTTCTTCACTTGACGCCGCATCTACACCCTCTTCTGCCGCTGGGGCAGGCAGTTTTGAAGCGACGTGCCGCATAATACTAGCGACTGTCTTTGATTTTGTGTAGCGCTCGTCGCATTTGACGATATCTTCTGGAGAGACCCGCCGCTTGGACAGATCGATATAGCCTGGTTGGTTTGACGAGTTACGACGTGGAGTATTGTTATGACAGAGATTGGTGCGAACCTTTCTCGCGATCGACACGAAGGACGACGACGACCTCATTCCTGCCGACTCGAATGAGTTTCTGTATACTTCGAATGCGCCTCCGTGACAATTCGGAAAGAAGGATCATTCCCTCGATATTATCATACTCGAGCTGTGTGCAAATATCAGAAAAGACCGTACAACTGACGAGGGTCGACCCACCAGTTTGACGTATGCACCCATCTCTGCTATTTGGCGCACTTGCACCATTACAAGCTCGTCTACCTCTGGATACCGTGGTTCGTAGTACCGCATTGCTCGTCAACGTCGATGTCCCTCCAAACTGGCTCGCTGTGAAAGATAATCTCTGCTGATGTAATACTAGTCTAGTGTCAAATAATATTGGTCCTTGCTACTTAGGCTACTGGTATACGGGCAACGATGGCGACGCACCCGGTCGTATTCACGACAAAGACGCGCTATGTGTTGCCATCTCAAAAGTTTATGATACCGGTTGAATGGAGGCGATACCAGCTCTCCCAACTCATCAACAAGGCCCTCTCCTTGGCGGACCCCATCCCGTTTGACTTCCTTGTCCATGGAGAAATACTGCGGACGAGTCTTGCCCAATGGACAGCAGAAAAAGGCGTAGGAGAGGTGCGAGCGATCGTTTTTGAATGTCCTCTCGCCAGATTTTTGACTTTTTGAACAGGAAGAAACGCTCGAGATCGAATATTTCGAGTCTGTGCTGCCCCCTCAGCGCCTTTCCTCTCTCCCCCATGAAGACTGGGTGTCTTCTGTTTCGTGCAGCATATCCCAGTATGCCGTTTCATTATTATTAAATCATAACCTTCCAGCTGAAATGTCACTCGAGACACTTTTTGACAGCGTCATATGATGGCCATGTCCGCCTATTCGACCACTCTCAGAATTGTATACGGGACATACCCGCGCATCTCGCACCGGTCACTTCCGTCGCCCTCGTGTCAGGCCCAAATACGAACGATCAATCTTACATTGTCGCTAGCGCGTCCCACGATTTGACCGCCCGCCTCACAAAAATATCGCTCGCAGACGATGCAGCAAGGCCTTCCCAGCCCCTTGCAACTCTCCACTTGCATACTTCACCTTTGACCTCTATCACCGCAGATTCCACCGGTTCAACCCTTCTTACAGCGTCTTGGGATGGCAATATTGGCGTTTGGGATGCCACCATCCCAACTGAGGACGACCTAGTCCCGGAGAGCGGAGACCGTAAGAAGAGACGGAAAACAGGTGGCAATGATCGTCCGAAAAACAAGGCTCCAGCCACGGTTCTCAAGTCTCACACAGCCCGGGTTTCCAAGGCACTTTTCGCCCTCAACTCAGGCCGGTATGCACACAGTTGTGGTTTCGACTCCACGGTCCGTCATTGGGACGTCGAAGTAGGAGTGTGCACGAACACCATCGTAAGTCCGCTTTTTTTGTTTTCCTCGCACCATGCAAACACGCCATCTTTTCTCGTTATTGCACTCTCTCCTTACACCTAGACCGTTCCAGAGCGGCCGATGCTGGATCTGTCTCTGACGAACGATGGGAACATGCTGTTGGCAGCGTCAACAGACCGCACCGTGTCGATCTTTGATCTTCGTGGGTCAGAGTTGTCCAGCACGATCGGGACGCTCATGCACCCTGCGACGCCATCTTGCCTTGTCTGTCCGCACACCTCTACTGCACCACAGGTTATGGTAGGCTCGTATGATGGTGTTGCTCGCCTATGGGACTTGCGTAGCATGCGTAGCGCCATCGCGAGCTTCCGAGTATGGGATGGGATGAAAATCTTGGACGTAGATTGGGCAGGAGATATGTTGTGTGTTGGAGGAGAGGGTGGGGTCGATATATGGCGCATCAGCCAAGGGGAGCGGATATCGGCCACTGCACAAACGTAATTCCTGCGGAGTCAGACCAAAAGTATCCTAACGTCGTTCTTACTTGGCACCAACCAACCATGGTTCTCACTCCAAACACATCCAATCAGTTTCGTACCCTATTCAAAGGGGGTATTATGCTCGGGAACCCACATACAACTCTTCTATACTGTATGTATCAAGGTGGTGATCACGTGTATCTGCTGATCAGAGAGCAACCTATTATGCCTCGCCATTCTGCTGAGGGTTCCAAGGCCCCGCATCACTGAGCGAGCACCCGCCAGCACACCGACACTTCCCCCCAAGATCTGCTGGTAGGTTCTCTGCCGGGATCTGTGCTAGCAACTTGTCTTCGTAGCTTGAACTCAGGATATCAATCTTGGATACTGTTACCTCGTCCAGCCAGGGCTTAATCACCGTCCATACAGCGTAGAATGCCCAAGGTGCATTGATGATGTAGAATTTACCCATGCACTCTGGATACCGATCTTGCCCGATTTTAGCGGTCTCACGGACGTAATCTTTGACCCCGTAGAAGCTGGTCATGGATACTCCTTTCAGGTCAAGGATGGTGCATGAAGTTTCGACGGGGTGTCCGATAGCCTTGGAAGACGCAGGAAGGCGCTCTGCGAGGAACCGCTCGTACTCCAACACAAAACGCTTCAGTTGACGGTCTTTTGTGGTCAAACGGTACAGAGCATCAATATCCAGCTTGCCCAGGCGCTCTATGTATATCGGTCGGCCGTCCTAGAGTTCACGAGAGGGCGATTAATGACAAAGACGACGACAACGTGAAAAAGTCACAAGCGTACCTTGTCCGTCTTGTGGTAGTACTGTGGATAGTACTCGTCTACACTTTCTTTCTCCGTGAATTTGAAGTTCCTGCAGCACAGAAAACGGGGGAGAGGATGAGTGACTTCGGAGAAAGCAGGAACAGATGAGAAGCACGGACTTCATGAGATCGTCGATCCCGAATTCTTCTCTCCACTGTTCAGCGGCTATCAACATGGCCTTTGCTTTCGCAACGTCGAATCTACGAGCCCGCAGGAATCTGTAATTTAGGAACGTCATTAACGAACCACGTCCTCATCAAAACATCCATCGCACGCGATGGGCGATGGGATCCGGTGGACGGACGATCGCACACGATCTCCAGCGTAGCACAGAGGACCTACCTCAGCAACGTCGCATCATCCATCCTCTGTGGAACGAAATGACCCTCTGCCTCGAGTTCCCCCCTCAGCGTATCCAGTGCGTGCTGCTGGGCAGCTGTCAAGTTGCCCAAACGCCCTGGCAACGGTTTGTAGTTGGGATTGGTGACTCCTGGGGGCATCGGGCTGACACTTGCTTGGTTTGTGGAGGACATGGTTGGCGGTCAGTTGTCAGAGACTCGAATGTGTGGTTAAGGCTTGACACCCTATGACAAGGCAGTGGCTGCGCTGCGCTGCGATTACCTCGATTACGCTTTTGTTTACGTCAATTCAACACATGCTAAATGGCACTCAAATACGTAGTCGACGCCACCCCTGCACAACACCACACTGCGCACGCTGACTTAACAGTTGGTGGGTGCACCACCGGAAGACGTCATATCGGCCTGTGTCGTGAGGCGACACCACAATATCGACCGGTCAGCCACGCGGAGCCAGGGTCGTACATGGAGCTCATGATTATCATAGCATAGCGCGAGCGACTTATGTAGACATGCACATGTGGAGAGAAGGGGGAAAAATGTCGTCGAGAGGGTGGTGCCAAAGAGTTACAACGCAATGTTATACTACTGTGCCAGCTTTTGCTGCGATACGGGGCCATAGATCGGCCTGATATCGTTGTCGTACGATCGTCAGTTATCATCACTCACACTACGGAAAATGGACCACGTACGCATTCTTTTGCTACGGGTCCAACGATGACGGAACCTTTCATGTCTCCTTTGTTGTTGACGATCACCCCGGCGTTGTCCTACACCAATCAGGGGTGAGCTGGCGAATGTGCGACTACTAGTAACACACCTCGAAGTAGAGGAAAACACCGTCTCGTCGCCGCCAAGATTTGCGCTGGCGGACGACCACTATGGGCATAGCTGGATATCACTGCATCAATAACCGCAACCGCGAACCAATCGAGGACAATATGTTATCGGATAAGTGGACACTCACTCTTCTTCCTTAGTTCTGGTTTGCCCTTCTTGACGGATGCGACAACCATGTCGCCCACACCGGCGTCTGGCAGACGATTAAGACGTGCACCGAAACCATATGGTTCGATGAGGAATAGGGACTTGGCACCGCTGTTGTCGGCACAATTTAGGACGGCCCCGACAGGCAGACCAAGTGTGAGGCGGTACTTCTTGCCGGTCGCGCCAACTGTGTGGGCCAAGTCAGTGGAGGTAAATAAAACGACCACAACAACGACGCACGCTTTTCTTTCTTCGCCATGTCGTTCGGATCGTTGAATACAGCGCCGGCGTCGGCCCAGCCAAGGTTTCGCAGTGGCGAACCAAAACTGTACAGTTCGTTCGGAGATTGCCGATATCCGGTCACGTGGACAGACAGTCACGTGCGGGGATAGATAGTCGGGGCTTATCAGAAAAAGATAAAAAGCCGGATTGTCTTTGCCTCCGTCTCTCCCGAGCTGACATGGTTCAAGTCAAGAACAAGGTGTGCCTCATGTACGTTCGTTTCTACTGTCAGCGGGACCTGTCTTCAAGCCTGTGTACAGCGTACACGATGGTTGGGGTGTAGCCCCAGAGAAGGGAATGAAAGGTGATGCCATCGAGGCAGCAGATACCACCAACATGGATACCCTTGCCAAAAATTACGCCTATCGCACCTTATACGCCCATGGTAACGCTGTGGGTCTCAGCGACGGCCTTATGGGCAACTCCGAAGTCGGGTATGTACTCCTCTGCGCCTCTTGCGTCCATTTTCATCCCTGTACCCCATATTAGACACCTTAACATTGGCGCTGGTCGCGTCGTCTGGCAGGACATCGTCAGGATTGACGTGTCCATCGCCAAGCGACAGTTCCACAAGAATGAGACCATTCTTGCCAGTATGAAACAGGCTAAAGAGGGCAACGGCAGGCTTCATTTGCTAGGACTAGTATGTCTTAGTCCCAACGTCACAATCATGTCCCTGAGCCAACCACATTTCCCGCTTTATCCCCCTAGGTGTCTGACGGTGGTGTCCACTCCCACATTCGCCACCTCAAGGCCTTGCTAGAAACTGCAAAAGAGCAAGGTGTCCCCAACACTTATATACACTTCTTCGGTGACGGTCGGGATACCGCCCCCAGATCCGCCAAGGGGTACGCCGAGGAATTGCTCGGCTTCCTCAAGTCGGAATCCTATGGCAAACTCGCTACTGTCGTCGGGCGGTACTACGCCATGGACCGTGACAAACGCTGGGAGCGCATCAAAGTTGCGATCGAGGGTATTGTCGATGGCAAAGGCGAAGAGACAAACGACGTTGTCAAGACAATCGAGGAGCGTTACGCCAAAGACGAAACCGATGAGTTCTTCAAACCGATCATCGTCAACGGCGATGAGGCACGTATCAAGGACGGGGACACACTATTCTTCTTCAACTATCGCTCAGACCGCATGCGCGAAATTGTATCTGTACTTGGTTTGCCTGACAAGCCAGTTGAAGTCCACGTCCCCAAGGACCTTGTGAGCCCAGGTTTGTACCGGCTGATCCTTCATTCACTCATGCCTTCCCGCAGCACATCGCGACCATGTCGAAGTACAAGGCCGAGTTCCCGTTCCACGTCGCGTTCCCGCCACAAGCGATGACCAACGTGCTCGCAGAGTGGCTTTCGAAAGAGGGCATCTCGCAAGCCCATATCGCTGAAACGGAGAAATACGCACACGTGACGTTCTTCTTCAATGGTGGTGTGGAAAAGCAATTCCCCAGCGAAGAACGCCACATGATCCCATCCCCCAAGGTCGCTACGTACGACTTGCAGCCGGAGATGAGCGCACAGGGTGTGGCGGACAAAGTCGCAGAGGTTCTGCTGACCAGGAAGCACGAATTCGTGATGTGTAACTTTGCGCCACCGGACATGGTCGGACACACTGGGGTGTATGAAGCGGCTGTCAAGGCCATCACGGCAACCGACAAGGCAGTCGGGGCGATTTATGACGCGTGCGAGAAGGCGGGATACGTTCTCTTGATTACGGCCGACCACGGCAATGCGGAGCAGATGATCAACCCCGAGACGGGTGCACCGCATACGGCTCACACGACGAACAAGGTCCCCTTCATCATGACCGGAACCGAACATGAGTTCATTCAAGACGTCGAGGAGAGCGAGAATGTAGAAGAGCCAGGTGCCCTTGCTGACGTTGCGCCGACTGTGTTGGCACTTATGGGCCTTCCTCAACCCGAGGGTGAGTGGATGACGTTCATTGACGCTCTCTTGCCTCCTAACTGACGTTGTGGTAGATATGACTGGTCGTTCGTTGTACAAACAGAAATAAGTAATCGCACACACCCAAGTAGACAAGATATGTATCACAGTCATGTAGAGGAGATTGGCACAATATTGTATCGCGGAATGAACATTTGTCGTTAGATATGTACTCGTACCTGTGTGGTACCTGCGTACTCGTTTCAAGTCGGAAGCTGGCTGCTGGCGTTCAAGTGAGCCAAGACTTGGCCCTGAATGCTGCAAGCTAGCAAACCAGCATCACGATTCATTGGGCGCCTTCCCGCTGACCTTCATGTCTTGATATTGACGCACCTTTCCATCCCAGATGTTGCGAGATACGCCAGAGTCAGCCGGGCTGCGCAGCGAGTCGCGAACGACGAAAAGCTGTGGGAGACGCGATGGGTTGATCTGGGTGTTGACCGGCACAAGCTTGGGGATGTGCTAGACACGCTGGAATCCTCGAAGACCAGCAAAGGTAATGAACGGGGGGACAGAGGGAATACTAGCACGGGGCCTGCGACCATCGCTGTGTCCTCACTGGACGATGGCGATGACGACGATTTTGGTGACTTCGAATCGGCGTCTGCCAACCAGGCCCCCCAACTTCTGCTCGATCTCACAGGCGACACGGCACCGCTGAACCATGTATTCAGGACCCAATCTACGACTACGTTCCGTGGAAAATATATTCGCGCACATACGCTCCTTGTACCCTTACTACCCTCTCTCGATTCGTCTGCACATGCGATCCTGGCCTCGATAGCGTCGACTACGCCCTCACTCTCCGCCCAAGGTTGCACTCTCCACCTGCTCACGCGGTTCCTCTCGCCAGCCATCAAACCAGTATCTTCATGGGACATCCGCCTCGCCTTGCTCAAAACCGCCCTTGACAGATTCGACGCGGGTCTCTTGAGCGCGTTCGACATGGCAGACACGGAAGGGAACGAGGAGCGGATGGCAGAGGCTGCAGCTGCAAGCTGGCAAGTCTGGCTATGTCTGCATCCGGATGGGGCCTATAAAAAAGGCGGCGGCAGCATGCGAGACGAATGGGAAATGGGGCGCACGTGGGCGGAGAAGAGGGAAGTACTCTACGAACAGGGGAAATGGGACCCGTTGGCGAACATCACGTACGTTCCCCCCTTTTCAGATTGATGATCTTAGTAAATTTTGTCGCGTTCGTAGAAAGGAGAAGAAACTAGACTTCACTGCGATGGACGCATTTATGTCACGCACGCTCGCGGCCCTGCAGGAGGACGGTGCGATAGCAATGCGAGTGTTCCCCCCTGAATCTGGCGTGTTACTTGCATATGCAGAGAGGCTAGCGGGAGAAGTTGTGAGTTTGAATACTTCCTGAATGTTGCAACCTTTTTCTTTCCCGCTGACTAGTTGTTTATGCTTTGCCATTTATCCCATGTCTGTCATCATGACCATCTAGGTTGGGGAATACATATCTCCTTTGTTATCGGAGACACGCAATCTCGGAACTCCGCTTTTTCTTTCTGCAGCTGCTGCATGTTTCAGAGAGGCATGGCGAGTGGTTGACGGACTCAGTCTCGTCGCGTCTCATAGATCGGGAAACCCACCTACACCCTCAGAAACTAAACGAAACAGTCTTATGATCAATCCTCCGAAGCGGGAAGCGGTCATAACGAGGGAGCAAGCAGAAGATGTCATGTGAGTGTTATTGTTGCATCCGTTCTTCCTTAAGCTCTTATTTCGGACCCATTATCGCTTTTGGTGTGTCTAAGCTTCAAAATGTTCGAACCGCACATGGACGATTACCTCGACGATGAGCTTGACGAGCTCAAGCGCACTTTCGAGAGCATTTGCAGACAATGGGACGCATCACTTGCGCGCATTACAGGTAGCGAGGTAAGCATATTGACCATTTTCACAAGATCGACGTGGGTTGCCCTTCGTTCCCCCTCTTACTTTTCTTCAAGTCCGCCGGGAACAGCAATGTGGTTGGTTCGCACCTACATGGACAACCACAAACACAAGCTCGTTTTCTTGATTCTCAAAACCCCGCGCTCGCTAAGCGCAACGTACTGGCTTCCTTCACGGATGTCCTTCTCCTGCCCGTGACAATCGTACCGCGTGCCGTCGGGGCGGGCGTTGGTGCCCTAGGCACCAATGTCGGATCTGGATTGAACGCTATGGGCACTGGTGTGGTGCAAGGTATCTCGATGCTGAATCCACAACGGTGGATGGGGACTGGTGCCGATTCTTCCAGCACCACAACGGAGGCAGGATATAAGAGTTTCGTTGACGATGGTTCGTTATTCGAGATCGGTGAAGACGAGGGGAATGGAGGCACTGGAGAAACCGAAGCCACCGAAGAAGCACAGTATGCAGTAGGCGAAGATATCGATGATGAGGCTGGGTGGGGGGAGATAGTGAGCGAACGAGCGCCCAAGAGCGCGAGCCCAGCGGAAGGAACTGATGGCGCCGCTCGTACCTCTACCTCACGCACAGGCGATGAATCTGGTGACCAGGTGGCCGCCAAACCTGCAGCTACTAGAGCTGTCTCTAAACCTTCCCGGCGCATGGCCCCACCCACGCAACACGAACCGCTTGATCATGCCCAACCATTTGCAGCACTTGACCTCTTGCTATCCCTGGACGTTTCGCTCGAACTTATCCATGCGTCGCGGGACGCACTCAAGCGTCTGGAGACTTTTAGCACTTATCCACGCCCCATCGGCACGCGCGTTCGTGAAACATTGGAAGATGTATTTTGCGAGATGCTCAGCACACTCTCCACAAGGCATATTGCAAGAGGGTTTGGCATGTAAGTATTGACATTTGCAATTTCTTTTGGCTTTTTTCGGACATGTACAGGCGGTATAACTAATCGAGAACGCTAGTGCAACGGAACGCATGATGGTCTACAAGCCTGCAGAACACCAAGAAACGACGAGTGTTGCACCATTATTACAGTTCTTCGAACTCGTACATATCGGGGACACCATACAGAGCATGGTGCAACTGTTCTTCGACAAGGAAATGGTGTGCATACCGTTTGGTTTCTCGGCGCCGTGTGTAAGGCTGACAAACTTGATGTCTTTCTCTTATCTCTCGGATGACGATTTATCGCAATGGGAAGTATAGGCATCGTATATCGATAGGACGGACTTTTTGAACGCAGTGGTACGAGAAAAGAAGAGATTCGAGAATTCGCTTGATGACTGCGTAGCTGCCGGATTGAACGGCGGTACGCAGGCGCTAATGAACCAGGCATGTACTCCATCGTCTATAAGCAGTTAGTCACCCTTGCTTACCCACGATTCCACAGGTCGAGCACATTATTATCACACGCACCAAGCCACGGGAGTATTACCCGCAGGAAGACGCACTTCTAGATCTTGGACCTACGCAGGGGTGCACGGAAGCTATCAAGTGCCTCGAGTCGCACTGTAAACTCCTTCGGGGAAGTACTAGCCGCGAGGTGCTGGAGGTGTTCTATCAAGAAGTTGGAATTCGACTGCTCGCGTAGGTCCTCATTCAGTCACTTACATTAAGTTTACCTCAGATACTCATCGGTGATGTGCGTGTGTAGGATCCTTCAGAAGCATATCAAACGTCAGATCATTTCCTTGAGCGGGGGATTCCAGGTGATTGCGGACTTGAACGCATACCATGCTTTCATCGCATCCCTCAAGGTACACATACATCCCATCCTGACGTGATCATTTGTTACACTCACGCAACTTTACAATATAGGTCCCAGCCATTACTGCTGAATTCGACCACTTGAAAATGTTAGGGCACGTGTTCATCGTGGCAGACGCGAAAGACCTGGCCCAGATTGTACGTGATGTAACACGTTACGGAGGTGCATACCGACCCGAGGTGGGTATTCTCCGGCCGCTCCCTTGCCGGCTCTGGTCGAAGTCCTGATACCTTTTTTAGGATGTTTATGAATTCATCCAACGGCGTTCAGACTGGAAGAAGATTGAAAAGACTGTAGACAAGACGATGTATAACTTGAGCTTTAAGGAGGATTGTGTTGTTTGCTGAGCGAGGTGGCCACTTGGTGTGCGTTTCCTTTTGACGGTAATGGCGTTTTAAAGCAATGTATACCTTGTTAGCGCAGTCTAAGGGCATCACGTTGAGGATATCTGCGCATGAATAAATGTAGTTTTCGCCCCCTACGAGCGGCTGAGCTCAGACAGGATGGTACGGTACTTGTAAGATGCATCGCTGGACTCCGTCGAAGGCGGCCCTAAGTGACAGCTATTGCATGGTGTAAGTTGACGAATGAGGGGAAGGATCAATATGCGGACACTTACTGTACTTGGGCCCTCCTCCTCCTTCCGGAACTGTCCAAGTGATATCCTGGGTGGGCACCTTGATATCACAGAGCTTGCAGTGGATGCAATTCTGTGTCATCTAGATTAACCTCAACTTAGGAGTTTGTTGTCCGGAAAACCCACCTGTGAGTTGATGACCAGCTTTTTCCCTCCCCAGCCCTCCGACTTACCCTCTTCTACGGAAGATGTATGTTCGTCATCAACATACTCATAAACCCCTGCAGGACAAGCGCGTCCAAGAAGTCCTGCATACTCCCCAACGTTCCGCTTCACGTGTTCCCTCCGCACTGCTGCATCCTCCACCCCGTCTGCACGCACACGCAGGTGTATAGGCTGGTCCTCAGCGTGGTTTGTACCCGTTAACGTGAGACTCGTGAGCAAATCTGTACTGAGAGGCGGCTGTGGCGGTGGGTATATTATTCGTTTACAGCGTGAGGCGGGCAATGTATGCGCAGCATCGGACGTGCGTGACACATTCCTGAATGTCCAAGGTGTTCGTCCCTTCAAAAAGAGGGAGTCGATCCCAGAGTAAACTATGCCCCCCCAGATGCCAAGAGGTGTGTTGAAACTTGCGCGAAGATTGCGAACTTCGTGAAGGTCAGACCAAACCCAACTGTCTTTGAGACTTGTCTCGTATGCGCTCATATCACTCAGACGCGACGATTCCGGTTCGGATGCCGTGCTTTCTTCGGTAGTTTCACAAAGTACATCCGCTGCGGCTTCCGCAGCCAGCATCCCACTCTTCATCGCGTTGTGTGTACCCTTGATCTTCGCAATGTTTACGAACCCAGCAGAACAGCCTATCAATGCACCGCCAGGGAAGTGAACACGAGGTACGGCCTGTTGACCACCCTCATTTAGAGCACGGGCGCCGTAAGCGATACGAGTCGATGAACCGGAGAGAAGGCTGGAGAGATAAGGGTGATGCTTCATGCGCTTTTTTGCAAAACAAACGACGTGATGTCAAGATGATGCTAAACTTTAGCGGAAGGAACGTAATGTTCGTACCTGCAATTCATTGTGCGGGCTTAACCACGGGTTTGCATAATCCAAACCAATTACGAGCCCAATGCTAACAAGGCCGTCTGCCATATGGTACACCCAACCCCCACCGTATGTCTTCCAATCGAGTGGCCATCCCATGGTATGCACAACTTCTCCAGGCCGGTATTGACTAGGATCAACGCGCCAGACCTCCTTGAGGCCGATGGCGTAAGTTTGAGGGTCAGCGTCGCGTCGTAGGTCAAATTTATTGATCAGCTCCTTCGAGAGAGACCCGTGTGCACCTTCGGCAATGAGCGTGACCTTGGCACGGAATTCCATGCCTGGTTCGAACGCTTCCTTCATGTGGAAGTTCTTGTCGAGACCGACTTCGTTAGTACGAACACCAAGGACCCCTTTTCTGTCATCGCTGTATACGATACCTGCCCCGGCGAAACCGGGATAGACCTCTACACCCATCTCCTCTGCGATAGTCCCGAGCCAGGAGGTAAACTGCGAGAGTGAGGCAATGTAATTACCGTCATTATTCATCTGTGGGGGGTGAGGGATTGGGATGGCAAGCGAACTGGTTAGGAATTTCATGGTAGACGAAGTTGCGGGCTGCTTGAGCGGGTGGTCTGGTCGGGAAGACCAATCTGGGAGGAGCTCGTTGAGAGCGCGGGGCTCGATGACAGCCCCAGACAATATATGAGAGCCTGTGGGTGAACCGCGTAGCCAAGTGAGACGTCGAGATTAAAGCTCAAGGATGTCGCAGACAGCTCACCAACTTCTGCACCCTTCTCCAACACAACGACTCTGAATTCTTTTCCGCGTTCCTGCTCGAGCTGTTTGAGGCGAATGGCAGCGCTGAGCCCAGCTGGGCCACCCCCGACTATGCAGACATCTACATCTTCTGAGATCCGTTCTACGGCAGAAGGGTCGAATGGTTGCCTTTGCATCCTCGTTGCTGAGACATGCAACGTCCTCGCAATACGGGGAGCGATGACAGGTCGCCGTCGCACACACGCCAGCATCGTGTCGACCGTGGATGATCCTCTACTGAACGTCTCAGGCGAAGTGACTTATTTCGCGTCTCTCAGTACTTCACACAAGCGTCGGCCGACCAGAAAGATCGAGTTTTCACATGCCATTGACATGCATTTGGAAACTTTGTTCAACCACCACCACCACGACCCGAGTAATCCTGAAGGCTACGAACTGTCTACTTCGAGCTTACCGCTAGCCAGCGACCAGGTAGGGACAATTTTATCATTCTGCGCTTTCAAGCGATCGCCTCATCACTGGAAAGAGGTGACCACAAGATGCGGTCGACTCGTTCACTGTCAGAGGGACACGTTTTGTTACACATGACGTAGTCGAACAGTCCCGATGAAGTCCGGAAATGCAGGCGGGACGCGGACGAGAGCCGCCACACTCCGATGCTACAGCAACCGTCAAAAGTCATATGAGCAACACGCGCGGTTCTGCAAGTAGCAATAGGGCAAATCAGATGCTACTGAAAGTTTGCAGGAATCGAAGCTAGAATCCGCAGCGACGGGTGGTCGGGAACACCACATCACTCAACGTCGTGTTGGCAGCGCTAGGCGGACGTTTCTGACCTTTTCGGATCTCGCGCCGTCGACTTCAAAAATGTCGGAACAAACTTACTGCAAAGGGCGGTCGTGCGCTTGATCGTTTTTCTCAGAGGTCCTTACTTGCCTGTATCTTGATTTCATGTCACTCATAAGGTCCGCCCTGCATGACATCTATTGCCCTGTCGGCTGTAAGTGTGACCTTGCGAACCCATGCCAATCTCCCGAGTTGGTGTTTGATGTCACCCTTCGGAGTTTGTCTTGCTTCACAGAATGCTTCCGCGAGGTAGCGGGTGTACGTATGTGGGGAAATTGACAGAATTTCGTCGTCGGTCACTTTCCTTTACCCCATGCCCCACCTCGCAATCATTCCCCAAAGTGCGGAAAGTGGTCGTGTGCCTATATATAACTCATATCTTTGCCAGCCCATCAGTCACGTTCGTGTAACGATGATCTAGACTACGAGATGGGCCGTGTCGGCGCAGTGTAACGTGTCCTGCGGTGGCCGTGTCATTCGACGAATGACGTTGGCACATATGAGGCTGCGAAGGGTATCACGAGTCTATCTCGTTATCTGGCGAGTGTACATCCGTGTTAGGGGGTTTTGCCTAATTCACGGCCTCCCGTACCGAGTGCTAACGCACCTGCCATGACCTAGATATCAGGGTCGGTTAGACACCAGAGCTAGGTTCGCCGCATTCCGGTCCTCGGCAGAAATTTCTCACACGTCATCAAGGCATGCATGGATCCGTCTCACCCGGCGTCATCAACACCAGGCCTCGCGGTCGAGCCACTGAGGTCACGCAAACAGCAGGCATCCACAGCCTCGGTAAATGGATCGCGTAGCTCGGTCGCTCTGTCGGGCTGTCTTTAATCGTACCACGACCAAATGCATACGGAAGTTTTCTTTCACACTCGTGTCTGGTGCCTTCTATATCACGATCTTAGGGCAAGAGACCCTTGATGTCCTGCACATCACTTTCTGTCACGGGACACAGCCGAATTTCCTCCTCGTCCCCATCGATAACCTACAGTTCCTCTTAAGGCAAACAGTGCATGCTGGGCCAGTTGGCCACTTCGCCTCGGAACAAAATAGTTTGACGTCAGATTAAGCGCGCACCTTGCACACCCAATACGCCTGTTTCAGGGAAACAATATTAATATTGTGAAGTGGTGAAACACTACCGAGATGGGGAACTCGCGTGTCGACTCCTGAGTTTGTCCGGCCTTCGCCGGTCGCCCCCCAGCCGAAATGAGTAAACAGGTAGCCAACTGCAGATTGCAGCATATGTCGTCCACGTTGACTCCGCCATCAGCGCCCTCCGGAAGGAACCCCATCTTTTCAAACTGAAGTTGCCATCCACAAATTTATTATTGTCATACACTTCACTGCGTTCCATCAAACTAACGTCCTGTTTCCTCCACTGTACACGCCGTCTCACGAGCACCCAAAGTTACTTCACTCTGTCACATTTAGTGCTCCGTCATCGATCGAGTTGAGGTTAGAACACTGTCCCGTCGCTCTCGATTTCGATTGGGGGTCCCCCTGTGGCAGGTCGGAGCTTCTTAGCTATTTCCCGCCCACCCTTCCATGTCGCGCTCTCCAGTACCTGCGCAAGTGTTAACTGGTCCTTGCCCAGCTTGTATTTACGCCTAATGCTATCGGCAATGCGATCTCTTGCAGTGATATTTTAAGTCAATGATCGGTTTGGAGGCAATGATGTGATGATGACACTAACAGCTCTATGACGGTCATGGCTCTCCATTCGACAACAACAGGGTGAGAGGGTTTCAACCGAGGGATGTCGCTCCCATGCGCATAACACTCTGAAGGTAAAACGGTTGGGCGAAGGGTCAAGACGCCAAAGTCAACTAACAAGCCTCCTGTTCTAACTTGTCAAAACAGGGAGTGGATCCAAAGGAGACTCCCAACTCGTACCGTTGCGATATTCTGGCAATCCTGTCAGATCTTCTACTCCATCGAACTTCCACCCAAGGATCTTTTCTATGGGCTCCATGAGGCTGTACGTGAGCCACCCGGTCAGCTTGTGGAATGGGACTAAATCATCCCCCTCAGCTTGACCGGGTTGCTTCAATGCCGTACACGGCCAGACGTCTCCGAGTGGAATACCACCGAGGGTTAACCTTACAGGCCAAATTGGGGTCAAACCTTCGATCAAAGCAGCCCACAACGAGGATATGTGAACGTGTCGAGTCGCATTCTCAAGTCTTGATTCCCTTTCAAGAAAATCTAGGATCCGCGCCATGAATAATCATGGAAAACAGGCTATGTACTCGAATGTGTACCGATAATGTTCCCTGGTCTTTCGTCTTCGCCGAAGAATTGAGGATTCGCCTTAAGGGCTGCGCTGAGGTTGGACAGGAGGGAAGTTCTTCCCTCGAGGCCAACCATCACGTTCGAACTGCTGACCTGCATCGCCTTTGAAACCCTATCAAGAGTAATCCGGGAGAGCCCCTGAGCTATAATGAGTGACACATGTACCTATTAGCTAGTATGCACCGTTGAAAATCGGGGACGACAAGAACCATCTACCCTGAAAGGCTGCGACGTAGAGCCCGAGAAAAGGCCATCCACAAACATGTGCACGCTCGCGACGCCCAGCCCTTCCGACCGGCTGAACGTCTGACCAGTCGCCGTTTCAGTGTAAGACCACTGGTTTCCTGCCCCTGCATCAAGCAGAACAGACACGAGGAACAAATCGATCAGGCGTTTGCACTTCTCTTTGTCGTCTACAGGTAGCGCGCCTGACGTATCCCAGCTGTGAAGCATGGGTTCGATGCGAGGCTGGCCTGCATCTAGGTGGCGCCAGCGTCCATGCGAGGGGATCTGAGAAGCGGGAGTCACAGGAACAGCTGAGCCAGCGTGTGGGTTAACGATGCGATCGTGATGCGCTCACGGCTGAAAAGTTGTTCCCGAAGTCTCTCTATGTAAAATAAGAAAGGAGGATTTCAATTGATGCTGAACGGCGGGGCAAAGGCGTCACACGGTACCTCGATGACACCCGCACAGAATTCGATCGCAGCATCCTCCTTTTCCGGGTGATAGTCGAAGTACTTCAGCTTACCCTGTTTTGCAAGATCGTGAACTCGGGAGCAGCGCTCTCTGATAGAGGGTAGGGTTCGCAGATACACCGCCTGGGTAACGGGATTCTCTGGACTTAGGGCCAACATCGTGACTTGGATGATCAACGCGAAGGTGTCTCGTTGGTAGTTAGAAGTTGTACTGCGGGTTGGGGGAACGACTCGACCGTGGATTTCCCTGGACAACCCGTGCCAAGTCCAGCGGAACTAACGTCGGAAGTACTCGTCATGATATTTGATAACGGGTGGCGACAAACCTTATACTTGTTTTGATCTACTCAAGTCGTCTCTAACCCTCTACCAAGCCTCATCATCACCGGCGCACGGCTGTCTGTCAGCTGGGACCGTGCCTCGAGGCCAGCAGCTTGACCCACATCTGCCCATCCCCGTGGCTCTCACGTCCAGCGAAGCACCGACTTGTTTCATTAGGTGTCAAAGCCGCGCTACGTGCTCTCCACGTTGTCCAACATGTCCCGCTGCAATTTGCATTTACCCCGAAGGCAACTACCCCAGAACCCTCAGGTCCTCCCGCGAAATCCGACATTCGGGACATCGGCGTAACACTATTTTCATCGTGTACGATGCTGTGCGACGGCACTATTGAGCCTTGATGGAAGGAGGCAGCAGGTGACTGACAACGCACAGATGCTTCGGTGGTCATTCCGTAGTGCCAAAACACCCTCGACCTGGACCACTTAACTTAGTGGAATGCGGAGCGCTGGTCCACGTGGTTTCTCAACGACCAATCCCTGGTCCGTCTCTTCGTCATCCGCACGTCCTTTGGCCATATGGTAAATCCGGCCCTCGCTGCTGGCGTGAGGTACCAACACCAAAACTGCATCACTCATGATCAAATACATATCAAGCCAAACTAAATACATAGTACACGGGAGCTTCATCAGGTAGGTAATAATACTAACTATCTCGTCGATCTTTTTTCATGCAACCCCGTGGGCGCAGTGGTAGCAGAGCCCGTTCCCGACGGCTGTGACAATTGGTCGCGCTCTCTCGAAACTATCAGATCGAATACGTTAGACCAGATAGCCATATCAATTCAACAAACCCACCTTTGTGCACATGTTGCATGACAAACTGCGCAATTGGACGGGTGGAAAGAACTGGACCGACACCGACGGTTGTTACAGTCAACCTAGGTAAGTGGTAATGAGTAACGTTGACGAGTATATAGGGCACGAAACACTCGGAACGAACCTTTCTCTCAGCTGTCGGCTGTTCGTGACCACAGGCGTATCTTGTCTGAAACACCTCGCGGTAGCACATTCTGATATTACTGGCGGCAAAGTAGGACTGTCGGCGCAAGTGAGGAAATGTGGATACTCGTGGAGAAATGAAGTAAACCCTACAGAATAAAGGAATGCGAAGTAGAGTAGCCGATGGATGTAGAATTGGCTGCTGTGTGTTGAGGATTGGAGAGCAGGTCCAGTAGAATATTTATACCCTACCATCGAAACCCTTGAAGTTCCGCGCATCTCTGTGGTAGTGGCAGAGGGGGGAGTGGTTGGTCAACGACGTAACGTGGACTGTAAGTGAACGCTCCCATCAACGATCGGACAATGCTTGTGGGGTGACTTTTCCAACAATCCATATCGATCATCATCAGCTGGCCCGATGCAAATATTATTGAGCACGTCCAGTCACATTGCGGAAGACAGGCAACATCGATTTATCGATTTATGTCCGGCTCGCAAGCTTTTTCTTCACAAGTCACTGGCTGCGTTCGCGGAGTCTGGTTGAGCGACACATGATCAGTTACACCAGAAACATACCAAGATTGGTCGTGTGTCCATAAATTCTCTAATTTTCCCAAGTGAGTTGACCGACAGGTTGGCTGGTTACATGAGTTCGTGGGGAAAAAGGACCACAGCTGAGGCTCTCAGTGCCGGCAAGATCAAAAATGATGCGATACATCGATTTACGTTTGGAAATTCTGTTCGACAGTAATTACTTTGAGTCAACAAGTATTGAGGATAGCAAGGGATAACAGCGTCAGAAGGTCTATAAAATTAAGGGCAAGCCTTGCTCACACAGCTTCCGCGACTCACGAGGCAACAGGCTATCATGCCCTTGTACATTCGGGCGTCGTCACCGAAAATTTACGGCGCAATCATATAGCAATTACATCGCCTGAGTTGGCCGCCAGTTTGCGGCGGGTGGACGTTGCGTGGGTCAGTATGGAGATCGGTAAGTGCTGGGGCTTCCAAGGGAAACGGCGAAGTGCATTTCCTTCATGAAGGGTATGAAAAGCGCCAAAAAGTCCAAAACGAATAAGTAAAATAGGGCGTGAGTTATGCATCATGATCAGTGCTGAACAGTTTGCGACTGGCATTCCCAGAAGCGGTCATCCCACCACTCGCCGCCGACGCATGTAGCAGCAAGACCCCGTTCAAAGACGTGGTCAACGTAGCCATCAGCGGGGCGACTCAAAAACCAGATCTCTGACACCCTTAATCCACGCAAATAATCTCGCATCTCCGGGTATTTTTCGCCCACACCCTGAGGTCCATGGCTGTCATCCGACAAGGTAAAGCGCCCACCTAGGGCATGAATCAACTAATGGAAGACATGAGGATACACATTTGAGGTAATTTTCAGCACGCACCTCAGCAACGTCCCTCCCAGGATAGCAAGTGTCCCACCCTTTCCGCAATGCAGCCGCGTTAAACTCGAACAGAGCACCATAGCTGGCAGCGAATGAAATATTTCTCTCTAGCCTGTTGTAAGCGTTCGGGTATTCCGCGAAACGCAACCCCGGGTTGTAAAGCCTACAGAGGTCCAAGTGGCCGATAATTTCCGGTCGAAAACGTTTCAGTAACGTGTATTGCGCATCAAAATAAGCCGAAAGGAACTGGTCCATGTGACTAGCACGGGGGGTATCAGCTTCGGCTGTGGGTGCGAATCTGCGTAAGGCGTCATCGAACGTGGCGCGGTCAAAGTCGATGGGGATTTCATGAACGTGGTGCACTGAACCGACGATGTACTCGATGCGGTTAGACTGTTCTAAAAGAATGGAGGAGAGCATATCCAGATCATCTTCGGTGATGTACTCGGTTTCGAGGCCGACCAGAAGGGTGATTTGGGAGGCGTAGGCTGACTTGAGCCTATGAGCTTCGTCCAGGAAGTCCGTAAATTGTTTCATGAGGCTGACAGGCGACAGCCCTGCTTCTAACTATATCCAGGGCCTATATGAGCGTGTGCCAGTACCCTCATTCAAAGAAAAGAAGGAACCTCTTCTGGATACAAATGGTCTAGGCTGTACCGGGGAGCATGTTCGGTGAGTCCGTAGACTCGAAAACCTTGTTTGATCGCTGCTAGAACAACCTCTTCCAGGGTTCCTTTTGCATGCTTGCAAAATTGACCAGAGTGCGAATGGTGACTGAAAGGCATAATCTACATAGATCGCTGCAGCTGCAGCTCTGAGAGTTATTTACTGCTTGCCAGATCAGCTCAAGTTGTTCAGCTTATCATTTTTACCCGATAAAATCTTCCATGTATTACCTAACAATAAATCGCTCAAAAGGTAATCTGAAGACCTTCCAAGTTCTTGCTGCATCGAGTCGGTGCGTGCAGGACGTCGCCGACGTGATAGCTATGGCCTACTGTAAATGTCATCTACAGGACTTCAGGCCATAGTGAATCCATGAGAATGGCGGCGATGGGCATATCAAATTCGAAAACCTAAGTTCGACTTCTATTCAATTCATACCATTACGTTACCGCAAGTACTGTGATTGCGGAACGCACGATATCTGCGGCAGAGCTTAACCGAGGTTCTACCCATATCGGTGAGGTACATACAAAGTCCTAAGACGTTGACGTATGAAACATATGGTCGTCAAGTGGCCGTCAAAGCCTTTTCATTAATTACAACTGACATGAGCAGAAAGTTGTACAGAAGGGGCGGTTCGACTGCGGCTCGACCGCCTAGACGACGAAGGCGTTGAAATCGCGTTTCCCCTCCCTCTGTTCGAAGAAGTTTTCCGAACTTGTGTTACTACTTCCGCCGGGGTCTGCCTGTTCCAAGGCATCTGGAAGTACAGCCAACCCCACCATGTTTCCAGAGCAGCAGATTTCTCCCTGTCTTGTCGCTTCCTCTCAAACGCCGCGCGATATCGCTCGTATGATTCGCGAAACGACCGATCCACGCGAGATGAAAAAATTAGTTCACCACGGGGATTGCTCGCAGGAGGAATCGGAGAAATGGGAACTGATGTACTCCGGTCGTATATTGTCGTTTTGGAAGGGGACATATTGCTAGATTCAGGGGGGGTGTGGGGACGCGGGTAGAAAAAGGACATAGGGTTAAGAGGAAACTTGGACCGCAATGGCGGCTTGCGGACATTGAGATACATATTAAACGAGCGGAGTGCCTTGTTCGCATGGGGGACATAGCTTCGAAAATGTCTGTAATCAGCAGCGTCGAGGACTGATAAAGGTAGCGCTGTTTACCGGTTAGCATAAGCAATCTTCTCAGCGTACATCCCACTTGCAAAGAAGAGGAACAGGGCAGTGACAGCGACAAACAAAAGGCCAGAAGGGATGTAGGGATGGAGCTTGACAGACTGATCTTTCCTATGCACGTCCGGGAAGGCACTCCGAAGGGCATAAGTATACGGTATGTCTAGAAACGCTGTCTGCAGCAAGACTTCAGACAGGAGGAAGACAATGGCAAAAATAAGGTTAACAAGGAATACTACGGTCCCGTTAGCGATGGATGCAGAAGTGTACGGCAGATGGCTCACGCTGATAGCGGGACTTTCTACGTTGCAGAGAGGCAGCATTGGTCTTCAGTCTCTCCTCGAAAAGGAGCAAATCGCGGTAGGTTGCTGGGTCATTGGGTGGGTGGTAGGATGTGTGTGGCTGGTGTGACGCGTGGCGGCGACGCATGCACGGAGGTTGTTGTGACTGAGCTGGCCTTTACTTGGACAGGGTCAAGTGGAATGGAATTGAATGGCTGGGAGGCACCGCTGATCGGTATGAATCACGTGACTTGGAAAAGTTCCCCGCCGTGTGCGGTAGCGTGTTCCGCGCGAGGCACTGTCTCTCTCCATTTCACTTGTCGAGTTTGATAGACTGACGGGTCCAGGCTATTAGCGATAATATCGATGAGTCTGCTTGCCTCCGTCTCTTTATTTGCGCTCGTCCTTGGCCGTCCCATATTGCCTGGCACAGAATTGTAAGTAACAAATATGTACAGTTTGAGCATGTCATTTTTAATGACACCATCCTCCAGAGACGTTCAGTCGTTCCCTGAAGTTGGCCAGACCGCCTTCCAGATCGGTGCAGGGTTGGTGCTTTTTCTTCCACTTGCATTCCTCATGTCTTTCATCTTGATGACTGGTTTTCATTCCGCTTCGACATAATTAGCAAAGATGCATACAGGGATGATACAGCACGTGTGTCGTTCATGGCTTCGGACGATGGGGAGCAGAACGATTACCTTTTCCAGGTAGTCCCCTCGACTGGGGAACCAGTGGTGTCCCTCAGGGAGCCGTCCACCCTCGAGCACACGGAGGGTGAATCACGCAGCGGCCCGTTTATGGTTTCAGACGAGCAAATCAGTGAACTCAATGTTGGGCATAGTAGTGAGGGGTTGAGCGACTCGATACACGCGCCGACCAATACTTCCGCCAGTGTCGGTCGTTCCCCGATATCCAACAGCGACCAACGTCAACCGACCTTCTCGTTGTTGGTGCTGGTGCTCTCTTGCGTAGCTGCATTCTTGGCTTTGGCCTGTATTATGCTGGTTTTGTATATCACCAAGTTTCTCGTTTCCCACGTGCTTGCCTCGAGGAATGCATGGGAACTGTTACCCCACTTCCAAAAGTCAGGAGCACCTTTTCCACAACCAGAGACTACCATCACACAAGATCATGCTCAGTTCAATCCCTGCCGCCTGGTGGAAAAGCGCGGTTTGTATGATGAAGAAACCCCCAAAGATGTTGATACGTCAGACATCGATTCGGATGGGGATGATGTCGAAAAGTATCAAGACGCCACGGATATGACTCCGATTCATTTTGCTTGCGATCTTCCCCCAGACGTCACCGGAACTTCCACGGATAATTCCACCGAAAAGCTCCTGCCTTTACCTGCCTTTTCATGTATTCAAACTTCATCTCGTGACCCAGACAATCCTGTGGCAAGGGAGGTGCCCTCCACCACGCCTTCCCGGCCGCTGTGGTCAGTTCGTGCTGGTGCATCCCCTCCACTTGGCTTGGTTCCGTCCCGGACGGCTCATGACGAGGCAATTCTGCCCCTTGTGCACGGTCGCCGACGCGCTTACCGGTCAGCCGTGCCCGAATTTGATATTGCACTTGCACTCCGACTGCATCCTGGGCTTGGGATCAGTGCTGATTCCGCATGGGTGGTTCGTTTTTTGATGACCATCTTCGGATGGTTTGCAGTCGCACTGTCTGCAAATCGGTGATACCCGATACTTGTGATGACAGAGTGCCTACATACCCCACCGTAGCGACTGTGAACGTCTTACATGCTCAATCATCTGCCTCCCGAAACGAATCACCCTATGCATTCTGTTTATCGATTACACTTCCTTCTTCCGCTCGCCCTAAGCCCGTATTCATCCGCGCCTGCTCCTTTATGGCCAACCCCTCGGCTTTCCGTCGCAGCACTTTTCGCATGATATTGAAACCAACATTAGATACTATCTTTCCAACTCACGGAACACACACATCACTGCATATTTTCATCACACTGGTTCCTGCGATTTTCACTATTGTCCAAGCCTTTATACCTCCTCCGAGAGCATGTCGTTTCTTATAATGGTTGACTTTTTTGAGTTGTCCGTCGTTAGAATTACAGTGGTTTGGCTTATACGTTTGGGATGAAACCAAGTTGGCTTATGATTGTTTAACTGGGATTGCTAGCCTTGATCTCCTTACTTGAGTACATATTACAGCCAGTACTGCTGTCAGTGCCTGGATTGTGCTTATGTAAATGAAGTGCGTATTAATGGGCAATGCCTCCGAGGCTTAGGGCACTTGGGTCCTGCCTGCAGCGAAGTCCGGGCTGCTCATCATAACAGCCGGGAGGGCGCCTCTTACGACAGATCCAACCAGCTTCTGTCAGAGCACACAATGTCACACGACCGCGAAGCACTGGTATGTCCCCCTGGGGCCTGTAGCTTGTACACGTATGGCTTATTCGGGACATTTGCAGTGGAATACTGGTCATGACGAATCAGTCGAAGTGAATCAGCGTGCGTTGATAGACAAGGTGCTTGCGCGATACTCCGGAGAGTTCACAGGTGAGATTCCTGGAATTTTAGCATGCTCGTAACTTCACGTGGTGATCATACTGCGCAACAGTATTCCGGGAACTTCTTCAGAACTCTGACGATGCTCGATCATCCACTGTTGAGATTCGTTTTGAGACGGAGCAGTACATTCACAAGGATAAAAAAGACAGTGATGAACCGCAGGTCCTTCCAGATCTGAAGACCGCACCTGTACGAGCGTTATGTTGAATGCGCTAGCTCCCTAGTTTGACAGAGTTACATTTTCACTCAGGTTGTGCAATGGACGTTTAGAAATAATGGCATAGCTTTTAGAGACGAAGATTGGTCTAGATTGCGGAAGATTGGTGCGTAAGCCCCAATGATTTGCCATGCTTTGTTCTTACATTTATGTTTTGAAGCTGAGGGGAATCCTGACGAAGAGAAGATCGGAGCATTCGGTGTTGGTTTGTTGCATTAGGCTTTTCTCTCGTGCCTTGGGTTCTCAAGTTAAATGGACTAGGTTTTTACAGCTTGTTCTCAGTAACAGAGAATCCATTTGTATCATCTGGAGGTAATTTTTCCTCATGTTCTTCTTGAATTCTAATTTCAAGGGACTATTTGTAGGCCATGGGATGCAGTTTTACTGGAAAGACAACAAAGACCAGGTGGGTCGGGCGTTCCGTGAAACGAATAAATTGGCTTATTCGAAGGACTAGCTACATGTCCGTCGCGGCGACCTGCCGTCGAAAGGAGACTCAGACCCGTGGACGACGTTCGAAATGACATTGCGAGAACCCGGTCCGATCCCACCAGCTTTCGACTTGATGCGATTCCTGGCGTCCTCGATTACCTTTATGGTTCATTTGAACGACGTCAGTGTTTACTTCGACCGTTTTCGTATAGGACATTTGAAAAAGTCCACTGGCGTGTCACGAACGCTCGACATTCCCAAAGGATTAAAGAAGTCCAGTGGTCTCAATATCATGCATATTCAGAACATTCAGTCCCACCGTGCGTTCGTTTGGATCCCGATCGTTTTGCGAAGCTGACAGTGCTACAGAGATTAGAATAGAAGCTGAGGTCATGCGAGCCGTGTACACTGTGGCCGCTGAGAGACCACCTGCACTACAAGCATCCGAACCACGTAAGCCACAGAGCGGGTTTTTCTCATCGCTCCTTGCATCTTTCACGACTACGACTATCTCTCGTCGACCGGCATCGCCGCCGGTACAGCTGCCCCCGAAAGCCTTGACGGAGCTTCACCGGACGAGTGTAACACTCACAGTGTTCACCGCTGAGGTCAACGTAAAAGTTGATAAAAAGCTGTTTGCTGAGTTACTGCGTTCAATGAAGAAGAATCCACCACAGCAGCTCAGATACAACCTCATTTATGTATGTGGTTGCTGGACCTTTCTGGGTTCAAGTCTGACGTAGAAAACCATAAGACGGGGAAAAATGAGTATGATCTGAGCATTGCGGATGAGAGGGATCATCCAGAGTGTGCAGGTGGCGTTTTCCAAGGTCTCAGAGCGGATTTGGATGGGTTTGTCCTCCCAAGTTCACTCTAAGACGAAGTCACTTACTGCTATCTTCAGAGCAGGCCAAGCTCGGTTGTTTATAGTGGGAGCATCCTCATCAACTTTGTGCGTTCGCTGAGTGTCTTTTACAGGGTCATGCTACTGGACAGACGACAGGTATAGGAGGACATATGGCGTCGCGGTTCATACCCACGGTTGAACGCGAGTCCATAGATTTGGTGTGAGTTTCGTAATGGGCGTTATTTATTCGCACTGACATCTGTCTTGAGTGACAAAAACGTTGCTGGTAAGTAGGTATGCATCAGATGCTACTTGAACTTACTGTTGGAACCAGTTTGGAACAGGGAGCTTCTCTACGTTGGGGGTTTCTTATCTCGTGTGGCATACGATCTTGAGCTCGCTAATATTAACGATCTTTGGGAGGAAGCAGCAAAGTCAAGAGGCAATGCCGATTTTCGCCCGGAACCTGAACTAGAAGACTGGCTTCGCCAACGCTTCGTACACATTCTCAAGTTCTTCACCTTTCGTGCGTCGACACCATCTTCCGAGGTTTCCCATCTACTTGAGAGAGCGTTTTATGGTTGTTCTACTAATCCTTTGAAGTTACTTTCATCTGCTGGCGTTCGCGGCGCTTCTGACATCAAGGAACCCGATCCCACTTTCTCCGAATTCCTAAAGTACCTTCCAGTTCTCCCTGAGGTTGTGGTGCGAGAAGGAGCTCTCACAGTTAGAGCCCTGCAAAGTCAGGGGATGATTTCGCCCATTACTTTCCATGACGTTTTATCGGAACTGCGCAAGCACCCTCTAAACGAAGAAGAACTAGTCGCATGTCTCAAATGGTGGATTAATTTTCCCTCGACTAATTCTACCATCGACATGGACAGAATGCGCGTGGAACTGCTTAACGCAACCGTCCTATGCCCCAGCGCTGGCGATGGCAAAGTGCTTCCTTTATCTGCGGTGCAATACTTCATCAACGTTCGAGGTGTTGGCACGCATATTCCCTTGGATGGTCCACTCCCAGCGTCACTCGCCCCGCTCAGCGTTACTCGGCACTTCGTACCGACGCAGCTCCTCTCCTTCGGTTGGAAGGAATTGACGGTGATGGATTGGTTACAATACATTTCCAGACCAGAGACATTGGCAAATAACCCTACTTATGACTTTACCAAGTCAGTTGAGTGGTCGGAGCGTGTTTTGACCATCCTCTCTCGTACCTGGTTCTCCTTATCGCACGAAGCGCAGAATTCTGTGAAGGTGTTGCTCTCTGGCAAGAATTGTGTACCGACGACGAGTGGTCTGCAGACTCCAGGAGGGTCATACTTTCCGACCGTGAAGATCTTCAGTGACCTCCCGGTAGTCAACATCTCTGGCATTCCGATTAAGGGGTCGATGGAGAAGATGTTAATCTTTATTGGCGTGCGAAAACATGTTGACCTCCAGGTAGTATTTGACCGGTAAATCGAGGCATAATCGGGGACCGGATGTAACCTGACGTCCTTGTTAGGATGATCAAGACTGGAGATTGGACGATACCGGATCTCATAGGATACCTTGTCTCCGTAAAGGACGATTTATCCGCTGAGGAGATATCTAGATTATCAGCGACAAGTGCCTTCACTGGAGAAGGAGGGAATGGCGATACGGGCACGAAGAGGATCAGGCATCGGGCTTGCGATCTATATGAACCAATCGACATTTTCCGTCAGCTGAAGCTGCCAGTTCTAGACTGGGGCGAAAAACCCAAGTGGAAGAGTACTTCTGAGGAAGGCAAGCTGATTTTTGTTGGCTTCGATGTGTATGCACGTCTAACTTCCCTTGTTCTTTAGCTAAGCTTTTGTTTCGTCTTGGTCTACTGCGCATTCCGCCTTTAGGTACCATCGTCCAGCTTTGCAGCTCCCCAGATGCAGCTGTCAGGACGGTAGCGTTCAAGTATTTGTGTGACAATATTCCGGCGAGGTACCCTGATTATACGCCCGATGACTTCGCGAATGTTGCATTTATACCCGCGGAAAATGAAGATGGCTTTCATTTGGGCACCATTCGAGAGGTACATCATTGCTCACGAACGTTGTATCTCAGTACTAACCCATGTACAAGGTTTTTGGGGACCCTCAGTGGAAGCTTTTGGGGTTCTCTGTTGTTCAAGCTGACAACCGGAAAGATGTTGCGGGTAAGCTTGGGGTGCAAGAACATCCACCAGCATCTATGCTCCTTTCCTTGTTGGAAAAGACACCTCCTCAAAACGAAGCCATGGCTCGACAATGGTTTGAAATACTGTCTGAACGCGTCACAAGTACTTCCCCAGACTGTTGGACATTTACATCAGTTGACAATTACGTAGGTTTCCACCCTGCTCAACTTACCACGCTGTCGAAGATACCAATCGTGCCGAGCAAAGGATCAGGCTCGCAACCCGTACGATGGTTAGCTCCCTCTCAATGTTATTTGGGCAAACCGACCGGAGGCGAATTCCATTCAAAGTTGTTTATCTTCGTCGACTTTGGGGTCAACGCGAACCGATTCCTTAGTGCATGTGGCTCAAAGAATGAGCCATCCGTGGAAGAGGTTGCTGGGATCCTGCTGGCTGACCCCCGAAGGTTCTATGATATGGCGGGAGGATTCGAAAAGTGCGAGTGTTGTCGAACTATAAATGAAGTCAACCTAATCTACACATAGCTTCCTGACGGAGCTGCGTAATCTCGCTGTGAATCGGCGTCTGTTGCCTGCGGTCATTGTCAACAAAATGAAGACCTCCCCGATTTTGCTCGGTATTCGTCGTCAGAAACCCACTAAGACTGTTACAGACAGTACAAAAGAACTAGATGAAGATAGATGGGAATTTCAGCACAACTTGCTCAAAGCGCATGACATCGTGATTGCTGACGATACCAATGCCTATCAACTGTTCGGAGATTCAATCTTTGCCGCACCTCAAGAAGACCTGTTAGAGAGTAAGTCGGTGCGTGCAATGTCCGGTCGTCGTTAACTGACGATGCCAGATTTTTATGCTTGGCTTGGATGCAAGCCTTTGAGTGCAGTCGTTCGGGAGGAGTGCAAAGTTAGCCGCGAAATACCCAATGCAAAGATCGCCACAGAAACACGTGCACTTGTGTTGGAAAGGCTCCCGTTGTTTCTCCACGAGCATACGCATGCTCGTACGAAAGTCTCTCTTTCATGGCTCTCAAAACCGGACAATTTCAAGGTTAGGGTATTCGGGAAACTGACAATCGTCAAAACCCTCGACTCAGATAACATTCGGTCGACGCGCACGCAGGATGCGTCAGCTGCTGCGAAGCGGATTGGGCAGGGGGTCATAGAGCTATGGCTTTCCTACAGCGGACAGGTGGACATGTATGAGTGAGTCGCCTGTCCTGTTACTCTCGTGGCACGTCCCTAACATTTCACGCAGGGTAGCAACATCATTGTGCCGGTTGCTGTTCGAGACGGTAAAGGTCAACGATACACTGCTCTTTATGACTATTTTGTCAACCGACTTGAAGGCACTAAGACGACGAGGCTACAACGGCACGTCTACATCGTTAGCCAGGTTATTCTCTCTCTGACTGATCATGCAGTCGATAAGATTCTCAAGCAGCAGCAACACGAGAAACAAATGGCAGAGGAAGCTAAGAATCGCTATCTTGGTTCCGACTCAGTCGAAACACTTACCCCACCCGTTTCGATTCATCCCGGCACTGCCCCCGTTCGTGCACGACCCCCTGCACGACGTCCGGAGATTCCGGGAGGATGGGAAACTGGCTTGAGTTCTCCTCCGGCTCTTCCCCTTCCACGGGAACCACAATCATCCCAGCATATCTTGAAGGAGCCCGAACCGACCTCCGACCAGGCCACACAGGGAACAAAACCCCTCAGCAGCACGCTGCAGAACCTAACACGCAAATTGGTTGGAATGGCTCCGCAGAACCTTTCACAAGAGGTCATAAGCGTCGTACAATCACAGTAAGTCTGTAGTGGGCCATTTGATCCTCTCACAAACCGTTGTAGACGTTCGCGGGAGGTCACTCCTCAAACCGACATTCGTGAGTCAATGTCTGCTTCTTTTTGTTCGTTGCTAATCGTGGCTCTTCAGGCGCCAATGTGAACATGGCAATAAGGGCATGCCGGCCGGAGCAAGGAAAGCTCCTTCGCAACAGACAGAACATGGAAATTATCAAGGAATCTTTGGACGAAGGATACTGTGACGTCTCTGGTCAGGTTGGGGAATTGGACCACTTGAGTACTGTTGGCGACATCAAGGTTTTCGTTACGAAAGGTCATCTCTTTTTGTTTGTCGTCACGTCGAGGAATTACTAACAAAATCGCAGATGTACCGGAAACAGCAACTTTCATGACACGGAAACTTGAAGTACTCGCGCGATTCATCCATGTCATAACCCCGTTGGGCAAGGTCTATGGTCTCCCGACAACCGCGCTGCACATCTTCTGTGACTCGACTGGAGGCTTAATTGCCTTCAACCGCAATGGCAGTATCTTCTTAAACCTTCGTTATTTTGAAGCGTGGCGTAAGTAGTTTGTCTAACATCTTCGGTTCTCCCCCAATACGACTGACCCTTCGCTGAAGATGACGAAGACGTCAAGAAAGGCGACCTTTCACAGGCCCAGATATCGTGGTAAGCGCTGCGTATTTTTGACTGTGGCTACGGCTTGATTTTGCGTGATAGGTTCTTCACTCTGGCCCACGAGATAGCTCACAACCTGGTTGAACCTCACAATTCCGAGCACGAGTTTTACTTTTCCGCGATTTGCGAAACCCACATCGTTGCATTTTCGAGGTTGTTGGCCTCACCTACCTTGCAATAATTGATTTGCGAGCGACTGTTAGCCTAAGATGAAAACATTCAGCTCTATTCTCGTTGCCAGGCTGCACTTTGACGCGTACCCTTACCTGTAAATTACACACCGTGAATATGTTACTCGATGACTGTTTGAAAATTTAGATATTAGGACCGATCATGTCCTTGGAATATGGAAGGTGGTACGTCGCCCGCACGCGAGAAAACTGTAGGTCAATTTTCAATAGTTTGCGATATTGTTCCCAGGCATTAAAAAACAGAACACAGTTGCTTCTTTAAGTTTTCGTGAGGCTCAAAGCCCAAATTATGGCGAGGGCGAACAAAGTCTAAGTCTGGAGTGAATGGTCCTTTAAATCCAGGGAATCTACACTAGTAATAATCAAAAGTAAACGATGCAACCAATATAGGAGAGGAAGTATATTATGATCGGAGGCGTTCCAGCCACCCGAGTATCCCACCCTTATGTGTGACCCTATCAAGGGGTTTCAGAAGTGGCGTATCCTCGCCAGCTCCGCCCGATTCTTCAACCACCCTTACATCGACGTGATCTTCAAACTCCCCGTCGTCGCTTGCGGCTGGGAGTATGCTTTGGGCACCAGGAGAACCAGGAGATGGTGGTAGACCCAGAGGACGACCAAAATCATCTATGTGAAGCCTTCTCTGGCGTATTTTCCACATAAGGCACATCAAAAGCAAACAGGCTTGCATAACAGCAGAGACCGCATACATGACCCAACCTACAGGGGTTTTCTTGTCAGTCCAACTATTCTCCATGGCAAGAGGTGACATGATGGTCACGAGATTAAAACCCACTTGTCCAGTCGGTGCCGGGCTTCGTAGCAATGGATATGGCCATCACGACACCACCAGGGCTTTGAATAACCATCATGGGTATGCTGAGAGCGCCGACAAGTTTGAGACGGTAGGTGCGCTGCAGTTGCGGGGCATATTGAATTGCAGCAAGAATACCTGAACTGACGCCAAGGAATGTTGCCCAGAGCTCGATCTGGTGAGGACGTCGACCAGAGGGATCGGATAAAGGACCGGTGGTAAATAAGAGGAAGAAGGTAGTAAAGGTGATGAAGGCACTAAAAGAGAAACGTTACTATCTCACGAGAGCATAGATGGAAAAACACTTACAGATGAATGGTCACAGCCCAAGAGATGATGACGGAGAGCCGCCACTCCTCGCTCTTTATGTCTGATCGCACACGTTGGACCGGACGTGAGTCATGCGTGTCGATCTCGAGTTCAACGTACTTGTGGTTGAGAGGGTAGTACACCATGTAAAGCACCAGACTGCAGACTCATCAATAAAGAAAGTCGTATTGCGCATTGGCTGTGACGTACATCATAGAAAACAGAAACCACTGGGAACCAACTTGGAGGACTCCTGAGGAAATCTCAACGCACTTTCCGAAACTCTATTAAAAAATGCGTTCGGTAGGGTCAGCGCGCACACAGCCCTTATAAAATGCAACGAACCACTTCTAGGCAGCAACGCAGCACTGGTCCTTGCATCGTAATACTGTATCATTTAGATGAGTTCAGGCACAATTAGTTAATTCGTACGGTGTACTAACATGTTCAGCATGGCTGCCGCAGAGGACGTGCTGCCTAGAAGGAGAAACCACGGACTAAAACCGATGGACGTGCCTGCTCGAATGATGCGAAAGTGCTGAAGTTTAGAATCGGACACGAGTTGATGGAAGGTTGCCAGATAAATGGTCGCCTTGACACATGTGCATGGAAATCAAACTCACCTGTGGAATATAGGATGCGAAGAGGCCAAACATGAGAACGACAGTGAGGGCATTAGCAGCCCAATCCGATGCCTAAAAACGAAATGAACGGATGAGAGATCTCCCAATAGCATATGCTTCATGTTTTGGAAAGAGACCTACGAAGTGGCATGTCGTTGGTTCGGACAGGCTCAGGACCATGACGTTGACCCCAGAGGCTTGAAGTTGCACCTCAACTTGAAAGAGACGTTCAAACGTGTGAACGACTCGGCAAGTTGGTGGCGGTGCTCTTGGATCGGATCGGAAATCGGAACATTCATTAATATAGCCACACTTTCGATCTCCGAGAACACGCCACGATGGATGATAAAAAGCAACGCCTGAGGACAGACTATGGATTCTTCCTCACATATCGCACACGCTGGTTCGTACTCCTTGCTTGTCTTCCACCACAATCCTTACTGAAAGAGATACAATTGTATCACATACTCTTGGCTTTTGCACTCGGCAATTACAGGAGCGACAATGATCAATACGGACACGTCAATAATGCAATTTACTACCACTTATTCGATGCAGTCGTAAATACCTACCTCATCGAACAATGCGGAATGGATCCCATGAAATCCGAACACATCGGACTTGTTGTCTCCTCGTTCTGCGAGGTACTGTCTGCTTTCAGTTTTTCCAGCGTGAAAATAGCTTTCGATGACGGTCCTAGTTTTTTTCACCTGTGGCATTTCCAGACGTACTGGACCTTGGCCTGAGGGTCACTCGTCTTGGAACCAGTTCAGTTACCTACGAAGTGGGGGTGTTCAAATCGAAAGCCTCCTTCCAAGAGAGGAACGAGGTGTCTGACATGGTTTGTGCTGTTGGCGGATATACCCACGTTTTTGTGGAGAGTGCTTCTCGCGGGAGCACTCCGATGAGTGGGGTGTTGAGATCTAACTTAATGAAGTTAGCAAAACAGACCCCCGCTCCTGCTATCTCTAAGTTATGAAACTTCTGGTCAGACGGAGTTGACCGCTAAGTATGGCTTCACTAGATTACCAGGCGACCCCATGACACTGACAGTTTATGTACCACCCCACCGTATGTATCCTTTTGTTCTCTTTTTGACGTTCATTGTCACATCGCCTTCCTAAAAATCCTTGCATTAAGCTGACCTCATCCTTTATTGGCCAATCACATCTGCCAGCTGCGTCTGAGGAATAGCGGCAGCGTATGCTTTCCTCTGCAATCTAGTCATCGTTTTCTGCTCGTACGCATAGGCAAACCCTATGAGGCTGTATTCACTCCACGCCGTCCCAAGGAACGACAGACCAATCGGGACGCCTGGGGCTGGGTAAATGGTGTTCGGTCCTGCGCTACCGATGGTGACGTTGTCGGGATAGAACCCAAGTGGGACTGTTGGTTTCGTTTTATTAGTGTTTGGCTTGACAAGTGCCGTCTGGAATGTACCTGTGACGATTGGGTACCCGATAATGGCTGCAAGTACATGAAGACGTGGTTAGCTCTTTTTCTTCTTCTTTTCCCCCTATTTTGGATGGACAGTAACCCCTTACCAGCTGGTGTACTCGTGTAACCAGGAGCGGGCAATACCAGAGCATCCAGGTTATATTGCTTTAGAGCGGCGTCGATGCCCTGACTTCCCCCCATCTCCCGGTCGAATGCGAGAGCCTCGAAGAAGGTCGCGTTGCGGCCAGTGGTCGCCTCCGACTCAATCAATCTGTACAAATAAGTGGTGGAAGAAATTAGCCGATTCGGACGGCTAAATATTAGAAGAAGAAACCCTTACACCGATTGATCTATGTATCCAGTAGGCTTTTCGAGGGCGGGGTATTTATCGTTGAACGCAATGAGATCAGCCAGTGAAGTCACATTGAATGGGTTCTCGACCAAGCTTTCAAACCAATCATTGATTTGTACCTGTAGTGGCGGACGCCAGATGCGGTTCTGCAAAAACATGTAAAACTGCTCGTACATACTTTGAAGTCAATGTCAGCGACAATGGTTTCATTCTTGGAAGCAACAATCTCATATGCGGACGGTAGGTCAGCGGGATCGACAATCGTTGCACCTAACTGTTGCAATGTCAGGAGTGCCTGTGAGAAGATCACGTTGACATATGGATCATTTCCCGTTATAGTGTCGTTCAAGAACACAGTGCGCGGTACACCGAGACGTTTACCGATGAGGGAACTCGTATTCAATGCCAGTGTATAGTCAGGAACTGGGGATGGTTGGGCAAGAGTGTAGTTGTCGTTTGGGTCGGGACCTGCGATGATGCTAAGAACGATAGCTGCATCAACGACGGAACGGGTGAGAGGCCCGACCGTATCTTGGTGCTCCGAGATAGGGATGACTGAGTGAAGATGAGTGCACTTGGAAGCTATGGTCATTGGTAAACTGTACCTCCTGCACGCGAAGTCAGACCCAATGTAGGTTTGATGCCGACTACATTGTTATTTGAGGCGGGGCATGTTATACTGCTATCCGTCTCTGTGCTGTACTTGGGTTATATAGGGGGGATGGGTATGTATCCAACGAAGGTAACACACACCCCAAAGAGACAGCAGTCAAACCGATCGACGACGCTACACCAGACCCAGATGAAGAGCCACAGGGATCTGCATTTGGGTAATGTGCATTGGTCGTCTGTCCGCCACGTCCTGACCACCCTGCTGCTAGGATCCCTCGCATGTGTGCCCATTCTGAGAGGTTGGCTTTTCCTGCAGATCACGCAGTCAAACACTTACTACATGTCACAGATTCAGTTCGAATTACCGAGGATGATTGCTCCAGCTGCGCGTAACCTTTTCACTACACCAGCGTCGTCGGGGAAGATGGAGCCCAGGAGACTGTAACTCCCCGCAGTTGTATTCATTCCTTGAAATTTACAATGTTTGGGTTGTTCTTTCTTTCACAAACATCACGCACCTTCGAAAGCGACCGTTGCAATGTTATCTTTGAGGAGCACAGGAATGCCGTGCAGCGGGCTCCAAGGGCCGTAAATTAGCCTCTCAAAGTCAAGAGCCTGGGCTCGCTCTAGTGCAGACGGGTTGGTCTCTATAACAGCGCGTAGCTTTGGGCTTTGCAGATTTACTTCTTCGATTCGAGCAAAATAAGCCTGTAGAGGAAAGATCAGCAACGAAATGAACTCAAACGATGCCACCATGCTATGTTTGAATTTGGGTGACAACGTCCCCCTCTGGAAAATGTGCTATTCCGCGGGTGGAGTCAAGGAAATTGCCAAGGTATTGGCGGGGATTGTTTCCCGAATGAGCATGGTAGTTGCGAACCTTGACTAGATCCACACTCGTGAATTGGCCAGACGTTAGCCCTGCCTGAAGTTCTGGCACGGACGCCTCATAAAGATCTGGCGGGGGCGCCGATGTGGTGAAGAAGACAGAAGACGTCCACCCAGCGGAACTGAGCGAAAGCCCCACCAAAATCCAAGCCATCGATTGTGATAGAGAGCGCATGCCCGAATACATCGGATGGTCAAGAGCACGAACGGGTGTTGAAACGGCGGGGAGCTACTAGTGAGCAGGACAAGTAGTTATGGGTGAGTGATGTTACCTGAAACACGGTCCCGGAAGTATGCACTGTTTTCCCAACTTATCAGATAGACCCATGGCAATGCTCACGTGGGATTCACTGCCTCGAGCCAGGGACGCAAATACCATGAGCACCCAGAACACCTATTACCCTTGGCGGTGAACGTCAAACGAAGGCGACAAGAAGGGGAGAAGGTCTTTGGTTGCCAGTATATGACAGTTAGCTGCTACGTTTATTGGAATCTGAGGTATTTGTTGTATGAAATGTGTGCCCACACGTACTATGCGGGGCCGGTGATTGCTCGTGATTACTCCAGACGGACAGAGAACAGTCAAAAACATTGTTATGTCCAAATGCCATTATTCCGGAGATCCAACCTTGTTGATTCGGGTTAGTGGAGTCCCGATCTCACACACATGGCACACATTCGGCCCAGAGGTGACTTGGGATGTCTGTGCCGTCGGCGTCCCTCGTCGGGTGCATACGTAGTCTTCTGACTCTACGACTTTATGCCCGCTTAGAACATCACTTTCGTTAACGACATCACTAACGACGACAAGCGTATGTCCGATCTCGCAAGATGATGTCTTATACCTACGAGCACTGCGAAATAAAACAAGTCAACGGTCAAAAGATGGGCAACATCCTGCAAATGGCATACTCACACGTGTGGCTCAAGGCCCCAGATGGCTTCCTTCATCAATGCAAGTGCAGAATGTAAGGAACGCAATTCTAAAAACGTAAAGCGCGCGACATGTAGGGTCAATAGATGAGTCTGGTATCTAAAGTATCCATACCTTCCATCGCGATCCCATCAACATTGAAGCATTCGGATACAGTGCTGTGTAACTGGGAATTGAAGAAGGCACCTTTCACCGGTGAAGTAGGAACCGAGTCAGACACCCTGAATTTGGATAACCTGAAAAGCCACGGCCTCTTCACAGCTACAGGGAACGAATTCTACTTCGCATCCGCCTGTATCGAACTAACGCGCGCATCGATGGATGAGATATCCGTCGGTGATGATAGACTTAAGGGGTGCGACCCAGATATGTCTTATCAACGCGTGAGGCCTTGGTTTTGTAGACAGTATTCAGATCCTGGAGAGAGGATGTGGAGGTTTGGGGGGTATCGAGAAGTGTGAGGATACGGAGAGGCCCTAGGAATTGTCGGAAGCGATCACGGGGCAGGGGGCATTGATAGACTGCGCCTTCCTTCGCCAACCCTTTGACAAGTTTCTGCTAACCCTTCGACACACTACGACCAACCCTCTCCCCATGCGTGACTTCGTGCAGAGGAAAACACTGGCACTTATGAGGCATGTAACCAGGCTCAGGGATCATTACTAGAATGGTAACGGTTCACTACTAAATCTTCGTCGATATCCTGATCTTGAAGAACACGATGTGATTTGGTCGTGAGCCCTGACCCATACCGATATGTAGCTTGAGGAACGCGAAGATCATATATTGGCTGCCGCGAGTAGGTCTGTCGATGCGTCGTTCTTTTCCCTTGTTAAACTCCAGAACAAGCTGTGTTGGCGGGGTTACCAGCGATGACGATCGGCACTTACCAGCAGTCAGAGAGGCCAAGTCTGTTCTATTGACAGTTCGCTGCGGTGGTTAAGATGCGAAGCGGACTGAAATTGTATCTCAGAGTGATGGTGATGTATGACCAGTCACCTTTGCGGACCTGAATCGAAGTCGGGTCGTAGGAGGACATGCCAACGGTGATATTCGTCGATAGAAGATTGAAGACGAACAGCATCAGGGACCAACCATGCATGCGAGTAGCAGTAGTGACTAGCGACTGGTGACCAGGCTTTCGTCTGGAATGCAGCCACTCATGAAAAAGTGCACGAGTTCACAGAACACGGCAATTCTGTATTGAGGCGAGCGACTGCACTGACATTGTATCTGCAGACTAGTACTACTACAACGCCCGGCCCTTTGGTATTGGCACTTCCGGTATTTGACTTCTCCCTCCCTTCCACACTCTGGTGTTACCACCCATGGTGGCGATATCCTGTTTGGTTCGGGCCATGAGGATTCAACCAGTTCAGGGCCCATCACTCCACTGGCCTGGTCATCTGATGGCCAGCAACTGTTCGTCGTGAGCAAGGGAAAAAAACATATGTATCGACTATTCCGAAGACAAACCTTTCCAAGTCTTTGTCTTCAGAATTGTCGATCCATAAGTACCAATCTCGGGTATCTATAGCATTCGACGACAGATTTATTGCATGTACCGCGGGCTCGTCAGTTTCGCTATGGGGTTGCGAGGGGGGGAATCATACAGGAAGATCACAAATCCACGATCTCAGATAGTCTTCTCCTTAAGTACTCCTGAGTATGAATCAGATTGCTTAGCTAAGCATTACGCCATTCTTGTGCCCTGTGACGCTCTAATCCGCCGCCGACTTCCGCTCGTAGAGGTGTGTCGAGTCCTTCGAGTCGTGGACACCGGACGATACGACGAAAACCGAAATTCTGCTGTCAGAGGAAATCAGGTGCACTTCAAGCCCTACATCTGCGATAGAGGACGTCAAGGAGGTGACTTTGCATTCTCACTACTCCATGCGTATGTTTGCTCACATACACGTCAAGCCTCTCTGGGTTCGGCCATAACGCAACGGCGGTTGCTCCACTTAGCCAAGGTGATCGAGAGGACGCGCTATGTACATTCGACCTTGGCTTTCATGATTGTGAGCTACACGACATTAGATTTCTTTTACTAGGGAAGGTGCGCGAGGCAATCTAGTTCTTTGTATTTGAATCGGAAAACCAAGAAGTGGCGATAGTGCATGCGGAGTACCTTGCTATGAGAGCGAACAAGCACAATGACGACGACGGGTGTTTATTACAGCTGCGTAGCAAGTACAGCACATTCGACAGTGTAAATTAGCCAGAACATACGCCTTGCCAATTCATACGTATGGCTTTCTCAGGAAAAGCATCTTGGTCGAGTAATGAACTCCCACACTCCTCGTTCGCGATCTCGGCGGGTCGAGATAGACGACAATGAACCAATGTGTGGATTAATGATGTGTTGGTTTTTTCCCGTCCACGAACATGTTCCTCGTAGCGCTCGGAAGCCGAATCTCCGTGCCGTCCATCTCTTTCGTGACCTGCACCTGACACCCAAGACGACTGGTGTCGGTGAGTCCGAATGCGAGGTCGAGCATATCATTCTCGTCGTCGGAGGGTTCTGGAAGGGTGTCATACGTCTCCGGCTGGAGGATAACATGGCAAGTGGAGCATGCTATCGAGCCTTCACAGGCACCTATGAGGTGGGGAGAAACAGCATCATGCAATAAGTTCAGAAAGGACGGAGCGTGAGGGAATGGCAGAAGTAGCGGCGGAAACTAGAAACACACACCTTCTAAGTCTATGTCCCATTCGTGGGCGAGTGATAAAATGTCGTCGCCTTCGCGAGCTTCGATCGTCTTTATGGGATTTCCCTTGTGATCTTTGAAATGGAGTTTTATACTATCCTCCAACGGTGAGCGAAATATCGTGGTTAATGGAGAAACGGAGGAGAGATACCCTGTTCCTGGCTCCGGGCGTGTGATCTGTCCGTGCTGTCGTACTGTTCCATCAGACAGAAGTGTAAGATATACGCCGTGAGCCTACATGGTACGGAAACGCCCGAGGGTGGAATACGCACTAGGAGTCCCGTGCAGATATCTCCGGAGAATGTACCTTGAACTGTCTCTACGGCGGTACGTCGTCCCCCACGTCGACTGAGCTAATGGAGGGGCGTGCACGCGTATGCACCCAGGTATGCGCGCGAGTTGGCGGAGGAACTTGAAGGACATAAAAATTACTTGCTTACGTCACCTTGTCGACTTCTATTACTTGTAAAGTCGTAACGCTTCCACCAATACTAGGGAGCGCTTGGTGTCATTGCACAAGAAGAAAAAGTATATTATCCTCATCTCTGCCTACAAACCAACCCTCAGTCATCGTGCAAGACGACACGTAAGTACAAAGGCAACTATAGAAGCAATGCCTCCCAACCTGCGCAGGCACCATGGACGTCCATGTCAAGTCAAATACAGCGCCAATATCCCACATCGCCCGCACAAACGTATCGACGAGCGTGAAAGATGTATGGGTGATGCGAATGACATCCGGACAGAAAAGGTGGAATGACGAAAATGACCGAGAAAGACGGTATTAGTTTTCCCGGCAACGTTTCGCGCAAACGTAGGAACTACGCACGAGAATATCACCGCGATTGCGTTCGGGTCACCTGTTGTTGCTATGTTGTCTTCGCCTTCGGCACGCGCGCGCAGAAGCTGCTGCACTACTTTTTCGCCTACCACCTGGACCGCGCGAGAACTCAGGTGGCGGCCTAACTCAGCCAATCCGTTCCCGGTTCCTTCAGCTCCGACATCGACACCTAGTCCAGTCGTGCCATTTCCAGGAGCTCCAATCGGCATTGGACTTCCGGGGCGATGTCCATGGAGAACGGATTTCTCAGGGTCTAGGACAGCGAAAATGAATGACGACAGGCCTGTCACGAGAAATTGAGGAAGAACAATGAAAATATTGTGTATACCCTATTCGAAGGGGTTAGTGTCTTGACAGTATGGCTAGGACCGAAAAAACTTTGGGTGGTCCCCAGTAAACGGGTCACCTGGATCACCCCGAGAGGAAAGCTAATGGCGAGGGTACGAGGGGATGCACTCACAAGGATTGTACCGGCCTGCGCACTGAGTCCCTTTCCCTTCCCCCTGCTTTCCGAAAACCTTCTACGCCCCCGCTGCTGAGGACCACGAACAAGTGGGTGTAAGTCAGGCTCGAAAGCCTCAGCTTCCTGCAGTCGCGGCGACCGCCGTCCAACACTAGAATGAGGATTTTCGGGATTTATTAGTTCCTCGCGTTCGTCGTCTTTCCACTCGTCACTAATCGGTTTACGGTACTTCCCATCATCCACTCCCCCCCTTGCCCGCCTGTGTCCGGCCTCTCGTTCCTGGTAGTCATTTTCAGTGTCAGCGTCGAACAGTGTCTGCGATTGTAAACCACCACTCGTGTGGGCATCATCAATCTCATAATCTCCCTCAGATTCGGCATTATCCTCGCCCCATCCCTCAAATAGTTCCCTCCTCTCCATTTCCTCTACGTTTTCGTCGCAATCATCGTCCACCATACCACCCTCGAAACTGCGGGGACCCCGGTTTATGTGACGATGCCGACGTGTAGCTATCGGTTCGGTGTCTGAACCACCGAATTCTTGCTCGAGCTCTGGGCCTAGCTCCCCCAGGTGACAGCCAAGCTCCAGGGCAGCCTCAGCTTCTAGTAGGAGCGTAGACGGGTGGCAAAGGATTGCTTCAGCGAGCTAGAATGAAGAGGCCGCATATCACCGAGAGGGGGAGAGATGTTCATTGCAATGAGAAAGTTAAGAGTGTGGCTTTTCATATGTGGGGAGGACTCACCAAGGTAAAGGATGCCCATTGCCCAACTGCCGCACAAAACCCGGTGAGTGCCATCACAAATGTCGCACCCGAGACAGAAGTCGTGAAACTAAAGGTGAAAGGACCGGAAGGAAGATGTCAGAACAGTGATGCCAGGACGCAAGTAGAAAGCACTAGACAAACTAAGATCACACTTACTATGTCGCCCACATGCATCCTGCAAAAACAGCATGCGAAAATGCCCAGAGCGTCACGAGACGGATCCTTGGCACTTTAATCCATTGTCGCCATCTGCTTCCCCGTACTATGCTTGCCTTGACACCAGGTTCATCCTGAGTGACGAAAAAAGGCGTGACCAGGTTAGCAACGAGCGCAACTAGGGCGCTGTAAAACAGTGCGCGACTCCCTAAACGTGTTGCTTCCGCATCGACGTCGGCATCGTCAGCCACAGTGTCTGGCAACGAGCGCTTATAAAGCTCTCCGATATACAGAGAAGTGTAGAAAAGAACGGGAAACCAGGCAAGTGCTGAGCTGGATTTAGTCACAACCAGATCATTCACACCAACATCAGATTAACAAAATTATTCAGAAGTCTGCCATCCTGAAGAGAGGGATACTCACAAAAACTGGATGAGACACTAATCTCTTATTGGTGACTGTTGTTCCACAAGAATGGTCAAAGACAACACTTACAATCCGATAGATGGTGAGCGGCAGGCGGCGGTAAGTATGCCACAACTCTATTACCTGCTGTCCAAGTGTCTTGGTAGGGCCACTGTTAAGCTGTCAAGACAGGGTATACGGGTGGATGGACACCATCCTTACTGAGTGGCGACCAAGACGCGCTCCTTCACACACCAGGCTGCCCACATATGCGTGCTGAGCAGTAAGAAAGATGCAATCACGGAAACGACTTGAAGTTGAGCGTGGCCCAGAAATGGAAAGATGGAAGGAAGGTCGATATTGCCACTGCGTTATGAAGCTTGGTATGAGAGGTCACAAGTCAAAGTGAAAACGCACACATAGAATCCCACCACACTGCCAATAGCAACCATACGACCTGCCCAGGCGTTCCCGTTCGGTTGCTCGGAAGTGGGAAGTATGTCAACGATAAGAGCACGGTCAAGTGCTTGGACTTTCCCCCCCAGGTTTGTGATATTATATAGTGATGGGAGGCCGGCGGACGTACCTGCATTTATTGAGAAATCGATGCCATAAATGGCTAACACGGCAAGCCAAACAGTGAAAACGTTATGCTATAGCCAGTCAGAAGAGCAGTGCGAGGGATGGAAGTGACACACCGTCAATGACCCACTGGGTGCAAAGATAGATGCAGCAGATTTGGTATATCCAAGCAACAGGGTTGCGCAGCAACATAGTACTGCTCCAGCAAAAATGAAGGGTCGCCGTCGACCAAAACGCGACTTCGAGTTATCGGCGATGATACCTGGTGGGAGTTGAATGATGCTCTAGCATGAATTGCCATGAAGGAGTATAAACCTATCAAGGGCTGAACGATGAGACCGGACAAAGGGCCAGCAAGAAACACGGCGGCCATTCCCGACCTAGACATTCCGAGGGACACCAGGTACGGGGAGGCTAAGATACCCAAGGAAAAAATGGTTAAGAGGGGCTAATGCGACACGTAGAGGGACCGAGCGTACCATAAGACATTTCGACTGACCAAAGGACCTGCACACCGAGAAAGCCAATGGTAAGGGACGGCAAACGCGTCCACGGGGGACCCAGTACCCTTGCTACTCCATCCCAGTAGCCGTGATCGAGGTCATCGTCATCGTCTGCCAGAACTATTCCTGAGGAGCCCGTCATAAGCACAGGCAGGAAAGCACTTGTCCAAGTTAGAAGCGACTCGAAGACGAGCACTGTGCAGTCACGTGCAAACAGGGTGTTACTTCGTCCACATTGAATTTCCTTCCGTCAGCAAATGGATCACGACGACGACTTGGAGGCTTGTGCTGCTGAGCGCGAGGGTCTCCTGGCAAGTCATAAGCAGCCTCCCACCGATGTTCGGGCTACCACCGTGAAGAGCCCTCTTCCCGAGTCTCGGGGCCCGCGGTTTACCCTCACACATCTCTTGTCCTCGTTTGCAGGCGGAGTCACGCTCTGTTTCGTTGCTCAGCTCCTGACGCAGCGGCTGAAGTGTCCATCGGAACTTTACAGTGATATCGAGAAAGAAGGCCAGGCGAATGTCCTTGCACCCCCTTTTGTCGGTTCAACTCAGGTTCACAACTTCCCTCTTTCTCCGACAAATTATTACCCAGACCTGTTCCCAACGGAGTACGTCTACCAAAAGACGACTGTATTTCCTCTCCTCCTGACGTATGGCTAACAGCGTCGGATACCCAGGCAGCACCCCAACAGGTGCAGAGCCAGCTCTTATACTAACAGCCCCCTCACAACCCATCCAAACCGGTGCTGCTGAACTCGTCCTCCCTCCTTCACTGTATGAAGACTTTCTGGAGCATAAAGTTGAAAATGCGACTGAGAACGCGAGGGAACGCGAGTTCAATCTCTTCCGTTCTTGGGGGAACCTCTCTCCGTGGTACAGTGTTCCTAAAGGTGCTTTTGGAATTGATGAAGGACCGGAGCCCCCGCAAGGCTGCAATATTGCCGGCGTCCATCTGCTGCATAGGCATGGTGCCAGGTATCCAACTGGTCCTTGTAAGTTTTCTGTAGTAAATGGTGTCACCGAGCGCCTTCTTGTCGATGAACGATTTCTTCCGCAACCACCTTATGTTAAACTTCAGCTTAATATTAATTTGTACAGCATCGGGACCTGCCACCCTGTCCAGACAACTGCATGAAAGTGCTGCAGAGTGGGAAGCAACTGGATCGTTAGCCTTCTTGAATGATTGGTGAGTTGGGACTAAACCCGCCCTCGATTTATTACTTTCAGTCGCTCTAACTACTCCTCTGAAAACCTTGCTTTCAACCTTCTCACTCTCACGGCGTTGTATCGACAAACGCTGTACTGCATAATTGCAATTCTTTATGTCTGGGGTAACACGCGCTCAGGACATATAAGCTTGGTGAGGAAGGTAAATGAAATTCGAATTGCGCAGTTCGAAGAATCTTCTGATTTATCCTCCATTTTCGCTGGCCACTCGCTGCATCACTTCGCGTGGGCTCTCGACAATTCCCCACATTCATCCGTTGTCAGTTCTGACACCCTTTGGAAGGCAGCAGCTCTGTATGTCCCAATTCACCTTTCAACCTATTTTTCCGACCGTCTCCACAGTCGACCTTGGTGTATCAATGCGGCTGAAATACGGCTTTTTGCTCGAGGTAGTGCCAACTATGCAACTTAACGTTTGTAGATGCGTTTAACACCATCCCTGCAGAATTTCACTGCTGCAAATAGTATCCCTGTTTTTCGAACGGAATCTCAGTGAGTAACCCATGCGGAACACCATATATGCGCCGCATTCCCATGCATCCTGTCTTGGTGCCCGTAATTCTTAACATTTCGGACACAGGGATCGTATGCATGCCTCAGCGATCAACTTCGCACTCGGGTTTTTCGGGTGGCCTCTTGACGGCAAATATGAGCAAGTACTCATGATCGAAGCCGATGGGGTGAGAAGTTGCGTTGAGCATTACAGCAGCCGAAGTACTGATTTAACCCGCACGGCCAGTTTAATAACTCTCTGGCCCCTTATGATACGTGAGTACTCCCATGCAGTTTTCTGTCCCCTTGATTTTTGGGCCACCTGTGTGTTCTTGCCTTTAGCTGCCCCAACGCCGGTGCACATGGGAAGGCCGACCGTGCAAGCCCGTACGTCAAAGAGTGGATGAGTCTGTATCTCAAGGACGCGAAGCCGCGACTGCAAGCTCAGTTCCGGCCCAGTGTCAAAGCGAATGGGGAGATGGGCAATGGTTTCTTATTGACCGATCGGCATGTGTACAATATGCAACAGATGTGTGCATACGAGGTACGTTTCGGGTGTGCCGTGGGTTGAACGTGGTGTTTTGGATGCTGATGGTGGTGGTATCAGACGGTTGCCCTGGGGTACTCCAAATTCTGCGAACTTTTTACGGAAGAAGAGTGGGAAGGGTTCAATTACTCGTGAGTTCATATTGGGTTTACTACCTGCGTTGTGTCGACTCGCCGGGATGCTTTCTCCTTAGCATGGACCTCCTTTTCTGGTACGACTCCGCATTCGGCTCTCCAGTCGCGCGCATCCAGGGACTCGGCTACATCCAGGAGCTTGTGTCTCGACTAACCCACATGCCAATTGAGGTTCACAATTCCAGTACGAATGCCACATGGCACAGGGAGGAGACGTGGCCGCTCTATGATTCCCTATATGTTGACGCGACCCACGAAGTGGTTGTGCTGAATGGTGCGTTCGTTGCTTTGGCCCTTGGGAATGTGAAGGTTTGACGTCACGTTGGGTCCCGGTGGTGGTCATTGGACACCGCTTTTACCGAGTGTAGTCCTCACTGCGCTCAACCTGACGACACTCGCTGAGACTGGTCCTCTTCCCGCCGACCATATCCCTGCAAACCGATCGTTCAGGGCATCCGACCTTGCACCATTCGCAACCAACGTACAGTTCCAACGTGAGTCTTTCTCTCATCACGCACTTACTCCCCAACCGTGCATTTCTACACCTTTGCCAACCTGATGCTAATGCCTTTCAAAATTCCTTGCAGTGCTCAGCTGCCCTGCAGAGACGTCCAGCTCAGATCCCAGTCACATCCGGATCGTGATCAATGATGGGCCCGTGCCTCTGCACGGTGTCCAACCATGCCCTGTCTCTCCACATGGACTTTGTCCTCTCGAGGCATTCTTAGAAGGACAAAGAAAGACCATCAGGGACACGGATTGGGCATGGGGGTGTTTTGGGGACTGGACAATACCACCAGGCCCAGAGTGGGAGACTGTGGGAGGATGGTATCCACCCGAACCGCGGAAGGGGGATAGCAAGTTTAAAAGCAATTAGAGGTTCTTTGGCACTTTCGCAAATGACATGGACATTGAGACGTTACTTGTAAAGCTGCTAAGAACATACTAAGGTCCTTATACTTTTCGACACATAATTCTCGTTCTCGGAAATATAACGAATATGACATTATCGTATGGAAGGTACGCTATCGTCTTTGCATGTATTCAGATGCATGGGCATGGGATGATGAAGCACCATCCCCACTACGAGCATAAAATGTCAGCTCCAGCACCTGCAATGCACTCGCGAAATAAACGACTGATACTACCGGACAGGGTAAACATCCTCCACGTAGCCGCAAAGGCTCCCTAACCTCGCTCTGTTGTTCTGATTGTGGATTCGGATGTTCTTCCTCCGACGCCGGGACTCGAGAAGCGGAAGTAGACATGGAAGTGCGGGACGGCTGGAGGAAAATGACGTCCTTCTTTGTTGTATGTGCAGGAGGAGGAGCTTTAACAGAAGCTGCAGTAACAGTGGGTTGCATGATGACAGGCAGAGGTGAGGTGAAGCGACTGCCCCGCAGAATATTGGCATCACTGGTGCCCGGACATATGATGTCATTACTTACATAACCCTCACCAACCTACGAGATATCGCCACAAGCTGTGCGATCGGAAATGATTTTTAGGGGGGATGTCCCGATATGACTGCCTTAGCTACTGGAGGCAACTGCGCTTCAAACCTCTCATTCCTTCCTTCCTTGTGAACCGTAAACAAACCAGAATCAGATCTAAGAGATCATGTCGTCCAGCGAGATCGGGGGCTATCGAGTTGTCTTCCAGAGAGGTACACATTGGCATCTTCATCATCCGATTCCTCTACAATGCTAGGATCCCGTCCTCGACTTCAATATTCACCTTATTGTTTTTTCTTTTGCAGGGATAACGGGCGGCTTCGCTCCTCCAACTCCCGAGGCCCTCTACTCGCTAGCAGTCAGCGAGGACAGTACCGAGCTCACAATCACCTCGCAGATCCGTCCAATCGGTACCCCTACTCTCCAGCCTGCCGTGACCACGACGCTTGCCATCGACGACGGTAACGTCACGGTTTTAGCTGAGCTCAAGGACATACTGTCCAGTATACCCCCGCAATACCCGGGAGCTCAGGACTATTATGGCACTGATATCAGCATCGTTGCTATCCAGGACTCTGTACAGGCGGCAATGGGCGGAGTGCCTTATGGATCTGTTGCAGACAACGCCTGCCAGCCCACGACAGAGCACGTTGCGAAGTTCAACAGGGCTGTGGAGATTGTCATGGAATTAGTCAACAAAGTAGAGCAGTAGCTCTTCGATCATGTTGCTTGTATACCTGTACTCTGCTTTCCTCCCTTGTTTACTCTGGTGTACCATTAATCCCAAGATGTCATGGAATGATTGTTGTATTAGTGTCGAAACGGAACGTAACTCACAGTTTCCTTGTACAGATACATAAATGTTAAGCAGGGTATCAGATACGAAAGTAGCAACACGTGGGAGATCGACAGTAGTGTCTGATACTGGTATTACTCTGAAACATTAAATACTTGACTTGCTCTCGAGTCACGAATTCAAATGGAAGCATTCTGTCATACCGCTGCCGCTGTCTGGTGCCGCTCAACCTCGCCACCGTCGGAATCTTGGAGTTTCTCCTTATCAGGTTGGGCAGTCTTGTCATTGAGGTCTGAGTCCTCAATTTTGGTCAAGAACAGCGAACTTAGGGTCGCCAACCCAACCCAGGGAATGAGAGATACGAAACTCCACCTCACCGCGTTCCTAAACGCATCCCGGATCACCGCTTGTACATCATTCGGAAGTCCGTCCAAGCTCTGGATCGAGGAAAGTCCCCCGCTCTCGTATAGGCCCGCAAGCACCGCGAGGTCAGCACCCGAGATCGTGCCGTTAGTTAGGGCCTCCGAGATATAAGAGTCGACTTTGCTGTTCATTATCGTAAAACATTGAGCGAGTCCGACGGTACCTCCGAAGGCGCGGAACTACGTATGAACACCGGGCACGAAAGGAGGAGGGATCCGGATGAGGAAAGCTTTCGAGAAAAGTAGGTGACTTGGGACTCACGAAGAGCAACATTGCATTCGAGATTGCGATATGGTCGGGCTTGATGAACCGTGCCTGGATGACAAGCGGCCCGGCGGTTAACCCTACCCCAACGCCACACATGGCCATAAAGCTATTGCATGTATATATAAGCGTATGAACCAACCACCCATTGTAAGTGGCATGCGCACCCATCGACCTGCCCTTGGACATTGTTCTCCATGGCCATTTGAATCAACCCAAGACCGACAGTCATGAAAGCTGATCCGAGCACAATAGGATAGATAGGCTGTTTTTCATTCGTCTTAGTACCGAGAGCACCGTGTAGGAAAATGTACTTGCCTGTCTCAGTCTCTTTATGAGGCGAATTGAGAGCAACGATCCAACACCCTAGCAGCATCTTCTAAGCACAGGACTGGATGAAAGAAGGATGGCGTAACGCACAAGACCAGGTGCAAAGTAGAGCAACTGAACGCCCGCTTGAGAAGATGGGAGACCGGTGACGACCGTCATGAAGATCGCCACGAAGTAGAACATCACAAACATGACGATCCCAGATACGAATGCCCCGTATTGCACGATACACATATCAAGCGACGTGAACATCTCGAGTGGGATCATTGGACGAGCACGGAATACGCCGGATACTCCAGTTTGTGAATGTCGTTTTTTCTCAAGGATGATCTCCCACACCATACACAAGACGAAAAGGAGGGCACCTATGACTAGGTTGGCGATGGTGCGCGCTGACTTCCAGTTATCACCTGGACCCCAGTTGAAGGCAAGAAGGATCAGAATGCCTGAGGAAATGAATAAGAACGTGGCGATCCAGTCGATGTAAGCGAGCCGGGAGATCCATGTATCTGATCGACTGCCTTGGGGAAGTTCATCGGAGGAACTTCCCCCGCGAACTCGGTTGCGCAGGAAGAGAAAACAAAAGAGTATTGCGAGGACCGTACACGGCAGGCTGAAACTCGTGATTAGCATGGAACGCAGTATAGTACTCGTTGCTACCAACTTGATGGCAAAGACCCAGCGGAAACTTGCAGCCACGAGGAAGCCTCCAATGACAGGCCCAATGGAGAAGCCAACAGCGTACAATAAAAACATGGTTGATTGTTGGAGATTGTTGGCGTTTAAAGACGTCGTGTCGGATAAGATGGTCCTGACAATCTGAGGATAGCATGAGATGGAGAAGGTTCCTTGGTGTAAGGATAGCCCACTGTCAGCAAACCGGCAGCTCCAACACCAGCGATGCCCCGCCCAGCCAGCACCATGATGATGTTGGTGGCACCAGTGCTTAGGGCACTTCCGACCAGGAAGAAAAGTAAAGATATCTGGAGACCGAAATGTCTGCCATAAACATCGGCCACGGCAGCAAAGAACGGCAAGAAAACTGTGGAAGTCAATAAATACGACGTTCCGATCCAGCTGTCGAAAAAGGTCAAAACATTGCTCGATGGAAGTAGGAGAAATTTTGGAACCTTTGAAGATCTAAGGCATTAAACACGGACTGGAAAAGGCATCGTCATTTATGTAGATGGGCCAGGAGACACGCGCAAGAAGCTCACAGCTATATGCGACTGAGCAGTTGCGACAACTAGGAAACACGACTTTGTCAGTCTTGCAGAACAGCACGAGGTTTGAATTGACCTGCCTGTATAATCCAAAGTCTCTAGCGTGACCGGAAACAAGAGGGCAAGCATCAACTTCCAGTCGAAGGACTTCCAGAAGCCTGGCTGTTTGGGAGGAGCCTCGGCTACCTCATTGGCTTCTGCAAAGCGGTGTAACTGTAAGTGACCATGGATGGAAGGTAAGGTCAACAGTTCTTACGGGTAGCCTTGCTCTTAGCAAACGGCATTCTCATCTTTGGTTTCTGTCGCGCCTGTCACGCGAAGAGGGGGTGTGGATGGCATGAAAAACAGGCGTTAATATATAGGATCCTGGCAGGAACAAAGCGAGGCAGATTTCGGTTGCTACAGCAAGGAATGGGTATCTATGCTGTGCACGTATGCGGCTGTCAAGACATTGGCTGTGAAAGACAAACCAGTGGTAAACGAAATGCGATGGTCCCGCAGTCCACATGTGACGACTGAACACCCCTAACTGGGCCGCAGACAGTGCTGGTACTATGACCTTTCCGAGAGACTTCTGACCCACTCTGAATCCCCACATCAGTGCTAGGGTTGGTCATGAGGATGCTGCACTGTTGCGATCGAGAGTCGTTATAATCTCTAGTTTCGGCCCGATGTGACCCCCAAGCCAGGGGTGTCCATATAAAAGGTGCTCGTCAGCGTTCCTCAAGGCCTCGTCGTCCTTTGTCTCTGAATGTGATGATGATCCCCGTACAGCGTTCGTCCACTTGGGTGGTCCTTTCTCTTTTTTTTTTTCTCTCTCTCGGAGTTATAACTACGATTGACGAGGCATTTTTCTGTTCACCCGGCCTTCGTTTTAATGCTCCGAGACAAGGATTTTTGACTCTCGAAACCAAATAACGGCGATCCCTTGCGTCGACGGGTTGTTCGTTCACTGTAGAGTCGACATGTTTTTGTGTATGTCATGTAGCACAGGCAGTGTGTGTATCGTAGTTGACGGTAACTTGCCGCGTCACGTCAACTTGACAAGCTATCCTTTTTTTCGGACCACCAGGCAAGCAATGGTCCTCCCCGCCAACGACGCCTTCTCGCTCGGGCTTGCCCATGACCAGCCACGCCGCTCGTCGTCTCGCTCGAGGACGCCCTCCCTTCCACGTCGCCCATCCACGCCTCCCACCAACATCAACATCAGCATGACAGGTGCCAAGCACGCGCACAAACGCCGGCCGTCGTCTATGCGGGATTCTCAGCACAGTAGCGGTTCTATGGGCTCACTGTCTGACGCCCCCACCATCGACGAGCTTGTTGAGGAAGCGGACGCCCAAGTCGTGGCTCGCGAGGCAAAGAGACAGTCACGCGCACGGAATGGTTCTGCCTCTAGTAATACCAGAAATAAAAAGCAACCAGAAAAAGTAGATAACAAGATAGACTGGGAGATTCCCCGCAAGGCTTTGCATTCGTCCATTGGTACTTTTTTTTGTCTCCGCATCTCTGTTGTTTGTCATGTCTTCTGACTGCTCGTAGGCTTCTTGACGCTATACTTGTGGACATCAGATGGATCACGCGACTACGTCGTCATGGCACTTGGCTCTGCGCTTGCCGTACTCATACCAATCGACATCCTCCGTCTGCGTTACCCATCCCTGGAGCGCGCCTTTGAGAAGTGCGTTGGCATTCTCATGCGAGACAGCGAAAAGGTACCTCTTGCTACCCCTCACTATCATTGACATCACCCTAATATCGCCTGTTGTCATCCAATATCAGCAAGCATCTAACGGCGTGATATGGTACATATTAGGCGTTAACACCGTCCTCGTTACCCTTCCTCTCGACATCGCCGTCGTTTCTGTGGTCATGTTCGTCTTTCCAATTCCTTTTACTGTCTCCCTTTTGACACACCTCTTGTATACACAGTCTTTCATGGGCCGACACCGCCGCATCCACATTCGGCCGTCTTTACGGCCGGTTCACACCACGCCTCCCGGCACGTGTTCCCATCCTCGGTCTTCCGCTTGCACAGCGGAAGAGTCTTGCAGGGTTCGTCGCCGCTGCAATAACGGGCGCAGCTGTGGCTGTCGGTTTCTGGTCATTTCTAGCGCCATTGAGGGAGCAGAGACCGGGATTGAGTTGGACATGGGAAGGAGGTGTTGGAGAAGCCTTCGCAGACTCGAGTTCGAAGATGTTTAGTGGGTGGACGGGAATAGCCACAATTGGAGTCGTGACAGGACTCGTTACTGCTATCGCAGAGGCCCTCGGTCAGTTTCACGCCCTCTATTGTTCCCGTTCTCCTTTTGACAATCGTCAAGATCTCGGTTCTATAGATGACAACCTCACTTTACCTATCATCACTGGAGGCTGCCTGTGGGGCTTGTTCAAAATCCTTGGGTGGCTCGGGGGCGTCATCTCCTAAGTCGTTCTCCGCTCTTATTTCGATCACTTTCTTACTTTCCATTCTCAATGCTCTCCGAAGAGCAGTGTGAACTTGACGACGACGACAATAATCAAATAGAACACTGTCCAAGGATGAGTGAGTTGGTCTACCAGTTGACACAATTTCGCATGAGCGACATGACACGTACGGTTATATGTTGATGTCTACCTTGCCCCGTATCAGTTTCTTTTCGTTCGACGTATCTTGCACCCCTACCGGATTCACTTTCCCAATTTAATGCCTGTGACGACGTTCAGCTCCTACCCATGACCTTTACGTTCGCCGTTTTTCCTTCCCTACAGCATAGGTTTTTCCGCACCTCGTAGTACTCCATATGGTCTCTATACGATCGGTTACTTACATTACAGTTACTGTTGCATATACCATTTCACTTTTTTGTGAGTTCTGCTTGGTGTGCTCTTTAGTCGGCGGACAGAATTATTATGTATCGTTGCCATGGCGGTGACGATACACTTTCCAGTTCTACGTAGACGATAACGCGGAAGTCAAGATCATACCATGACTGAAGGACCAGGTAAGATTCCCTATCAAATACATCACATTTCCCGGCGATGCCAAGCAGTATACTCACCCATTTGGTCGTTCAGCCGTCACGGTCGGATAGGAATTGAGAAGAGGATAAACCCCCTGTCGGCCTCGGGTACAGACCGTCGATGCTGTCCTAAAGCATAAAGTGGAAGTGCATACGTTACCGTTCAAATCATAGTAGTGCCACACACACTGACGACGCTCCACAGGCTGCTACCTCGACCGAAGGACGCAGTAACAACTTGGTCATTCCGGACGAGTGCCAACTGTTGGAGGATGCGGATTACTCCCCATCCCCTACATACCAGTCCAACGCTCAAGTGGACGAACCGTGTGCAAGAGAGAACATTTGTATATTAAACAATGCTGGTGAGTATTGTATGTTTAATCCCACCTGGTTAATCGCGACCATCGATAAGACCTTGATCAAGCCTGAAAACGACTGAGAGAAACCAAAGACATACATCCATTCACATCCTTGCCCTTTCTTAGCTCAAAATCTATACACCTGCCCTCCCAACCGTCGCACCCCCTACATACACTCCCTCTTGCGTCATCACCGCCGTATGGCCACCGGGAGTCAACATCGCGACGTGTCCCACGCTGTTCGCACTTGCAGAGAAACCTCCGTGAGTCCGGTAAAGTGGGCGCGTCATGCCTGCTGCCGAGATGTGTGTAGACCAGAAAGAGTCGTATGTTAATGGGGGTGTCGACGTGGATGTGAGTCCTGACGTGCTTGGCGTGCACGATGATGGGACTATTGTAGCTGCTGTTAGGGGTTGCGGCGGTGGTGATGGCGTCGGCACTGGGGTTGTAGATGACGGTGCAATCGACAGTGGCACGTGTGACAAAGCTGGGTATGACATGGTTAGGCTTGGGTTTGGGGCACTTGATTGTGGTTGTTGTTGTGAGGATGCTGGGACTGGTGATGGTGACGACGCTGGAGTTGATGCTTGCGTGGATGCTAATGTAACTTGGGGCTGAAGGGATATCGACGGTTGTAAAGTCGAATGGGGGGGTTGTGAAGATAATAGGGACAGCTGCGGCGCAAGAGTTTGTCCAGCTTGGGTGGAAGGAGTTAATGAGATGGGACCAGAAGATGGATGAGATAATAATAACGACTGTCCCACTGCCGGTGATTTCGTCTGTGGTTGAGGCTGCGATTGAGACATTCCCAATGCCTGTGACTGCAACTGCACAAGTCGGATCAAGATCGAAGGATCTGAGAGAGCAAGCATAGGAAGAGAATAGCTTGACGAAGCTGCCTGAACTGCTTGCGGCGTTAGTGACTGCATCTGCACGTTCGTGTTCGTACTCTGCGTTGCGACAGCTGGATTGGGTTGCGATTGGGACGGCTGTGATGAGGTGTCCAAGGGCTGATCTTGTTCTAGGCGAGTCGTTTGCGTGACCGGCAGACTCGATGACGCAAACGTACCTATGGCAGTTGAACGAGAAGGATCCATGATGTTATCGATCATAGACGGCTCCGACATCTGGAGTGCCAACGCCCGGTCCGGATTGCTAGATGAGTCTGTTGGCTGCGAACTTGTGACGAGATCGTCTACGAGCATAGATACGAGCGAGGAGACTTCTTTCGCATCACCAACATTTGTCGTGTGCGGCTTCGTCACGGTGGCTGGTGGTGGTGCTACTCGTGAGGTGCGAAGGTGTGAATGGTGAAAGTAGAGGTTTTCCACCTCATTCAGACTTTGTCGTTGCTAACACCCTGTCTTGAGACACACACACTGAGGGGCATTCTGTCCAAGCGACTCACCCAACCGTAATCTACCTTGAGCCTCGCATACCGTAGACGCATCTGCAGCTGCTTCGATAGCTGTGAAACGATGATTCGTCGGGTGACTGCGGGTTACCGGAACAGATGACGTACGTGGTTCACTTTTGCCCGTTCTAGTGTCTGTTTTCGACGCCTGTGATCGACATCCTGTTGTTGTTGAGGGACCATTCTTTTTGTTTTGTCTGTTTTTTGGGGGGGCGAGGACGGGAAGTGCGTCAAGCTTGAACCTTGCCTCCGCACAAACGGTCACTAGCGCCCACTATTGCCATATTTGGTATATCATCCCTGACGACGACCTCGACGACGAGTATGCTGCCCGGAAATTTACCCTCCAACGCACAGCGTCCTACGTATGTATTGCCTACCAGGAGCAGAAAAGGGGAAAAAATACAGGCAATTCCAGACGACTGGGACGCTGACGATGATGACGATGATGACGACGGCGATCACAGTGGTGAGACCAGTACCACAACTGCCCTGCAACAGACAATGGACATGAACGTCCGAGCCGTTCAAAACGACTTTGACGCCGATGTGTGGCGTGAAGCGTGAGTCTTGTTTCTTGGAACCAATCGCAGGGGTTGGCGCTTGGCATGAGAGAGAGTGCTCACGTCGTGTATCTATTTGCTCACAGTAGCACCCGAGCTCCCATGCCTGAAGTGATCATCAATCCCTCGGGCACCAGGAACGGTACCACCGCACCTCCCGCCGCTGCACTGATACCCCAGATGCGCATCCTCAAACGTCCCAGTCAATCCCAGTCATCGAACCCTGCCTCTTCCTCTGCACCCCCCACCCAAAGTACTCTCGCACAACGGGAGGCTCAATACTTGGAAGCTCGAAATCGGATATTTGGGGTGTCAAACCAATCACCAGCATCGGACGTGGCAACAGTACAGTCAAGCAATCCCACTGCGACAGCTGGTATCCGACACAACGTCTCACGCCAATCTGTGGTCACTGTCCTGCGCGATCCACTTGGCCCTCCTTCCCAGTCAATCATTGATCAGGATGGAAATCGGCCTGGAGCAGGCTTCTGCGTAGATAGACGAGGGAGGAACTTAAAATAAATCGGATGTCGGTCACCACGTAGTGGCCAGCTATTGGATCGGCTCCGTTTATCTCGTCCTTTGGAGATTTCGAGTTATGTGAATATCCTGTTGATTCCACAGCGCAATGCACAGATATCCCAAGACCGGTGTACATATCAAATACCCTTTCCTCCGCTGAGTATAGTTACACTCTTGTGATAACTTCTCTCATTCATACAGCAGCGGCTACCTCGTATAGATAGGTACCCAGGACCTTCGTCTGCGCAACCTAACATGAGAATATGCTTTTCTACCTTCTATGAACAAAGACTTACCCCTTCGATGAAGTTCGACCGATCCAACTTCTCGTTAGTCGAGCTGCAGTTTGCATGTCAATGACAACGTCACTGGCCCCCGAATAGAGGCCCTTACTGAGCACCATCATCGGCACGACCCATGGGCAATAATAGGACATTCACACCCAAAGCTTCCGCGAAAGTGAGCGTGACAGGGATCGATCCGCCCTCACGTGTGTAGTCGGGTGTCTTGTTGTATATCGCCTGCGCAACGTGTGAAACCAAGTCAGTTGATGGGGAAGAAGATGTACCTCAATCGCTCGTTTTGCAGCTTCAAAGTTCCAATGCTTCACATCCGCAACCCAAGGTTTCCCTCCATGCAAGTATTCGACGAACATCTTGTTCTTACTGTTCAACTTGGCAAACTCCGACTCAAGGTATGCCTTGACAAGCGGAATGATATTCTCCGGAGTTTGAGGGGGAACGAGCCTGCAACACTCCGCGGACGCGATAAAACATAGGTATCAGGAATGACCTCACATAATGAAGACGCACCGTATGCTAAACTTGCCGCCGACCTTAGAAGGTATTACAGTCTTACAACCAACGTCCGAAAAAGCACCTTCAATTCCATGCAGTGAAAGGGATGAGCTCCGCATGCGCGCCATCAGAACTGTCACTTTGTCTTCTGAGATCGCGATCTACGTACATAAAACACAAGTCAGAGATCATATCCACGGAGTACTATATGAGGAGAACTCGATGCATACCGGGCCGCCAGCAGCTTCTTCTACGTCCGCTGTGGTGTAGTCCATCTCCTTGTACAGCTTACTAGAGCGCGCTGAGATGTAAACTACAAAGGAGTAAGATGATTACACGCACATCTCCTCTGGAGTTGGGGGCGGGACCATTTCATCCACGCCGGGAATGAGTATATTGCCGTTATTATCCACAAGTCTGCTCATGAGCTTGATGAGATCCGTCATTGGCTCGTGCACCATACGACCGAAAAGGCCAGAGTGAAGGTCCTGGCCGGGCCCAGTAATATTGATACTGAAGTATGCGATACCACGCAAGCCATAAGTTAGTGCGGGAGTGCGCGTGTTAAGCCAATAATTGTCAGACTATAAACAGAGATGGTGACCGGAAGGACAGGCATATCTAAAGACAGACTCACGATGCAAACGCAATCTACACCGCTGAAGTACCCTTCTTTTCCCTTTCCGACTTCACCGATAACACACTCATCGAGCTCTTCGCTTCCATTTTCCTCCATTCCCTCGAAGCAAAAGCGCAAGTTGACAGGCATATCGAGACCCAGGCTTTTGTGCGCCTCAATGACGTTCAGCCAACCCATGATTGGACCTTTGTCGTCCGTCGCGCCACGTCCAATCAGCTTCCCCCCTTCGTTATCGACGACGAGTTCAAACGGATCTGTATTCCAACCGTCCGACTTGAGTGCCTAGTCAAGTCAGAATATCCTTTTGAGTTCTTTCATCATGGTGAGTCGGATGAGAGAGAGCGATGAAAGCGATGAAAGAGGAGGATCTCCAGACAAATTATAATGTGCAGGGTTACTTACGGGCTGTACATCATAGTGGCCGTAGATTAAGATCGTTCGCTTGTTCTTATCTTCGCCCAACTTTCCCAAGATTGCGGGAGGAAGAGGGAGCGTCTGGCCCTGCATAACATGGGTCCCGAGATCGACGAGCTTCGTCGTCACGCCGAGAGATACGAGCTGATCATTCAGCCAGTTTCCCATTGCGATGACATCTTGCCGACGGCGGGCATCGCTGCTTATGCTGCAGCAGAGACGATATGGATCATCCGCATGGCTATATGGGGCTGAGTGCGCGTGTGATAGGCTTACCTCCGAATCCTAACTGCCTGTGCCAGCCGCTCGATGAAAATATCTGCGTTTTTATCGATGTATTCCACAAACTTTGTGCGGGCGGCCATAATTCTAGCTACGACTAGTCTTCGATGATGAGCTGTGATTGAACTAATAGGGAGTAGTTTCCGGTCCGGCAGTATCCGACGGTCCGGGCGAGGACGATTTAGCTTCCGTCACGCCGTCAGTGGGACGGAAATGGACGATGGTTGTATCAGTACTCCAAGACCGGTAGACCCTGCACTCTCACAATGGCTCAGACAGTCCTTCTCATTCACCCCAAAAACACCGCTCAGCACCTCTACCAGTGCCATCCCACGCACACCTCTTCGATCCGCTGGTACTGGCACTAGAGAGTCTAGGAACCCGTCACTCCGACCGGCGAGCACCAGGCGGAAGAGGACAGAACATAATGCATCAGTCGAGGAGGAGACACTTCCGGCGATCAAGAAACGACGAACTTCTCGTCGAAACAAGGCGGATTTCGACAACAAAGCCTTGTCACAGTCGGACAGTCGAGTCGGTCGGTCCGGTCCTGCATCATCGGTCGCGTGCACTACGACCATGACTCGAGGACAGGTAATTGCATATTGGTTCCAAAACATAACACGCCGTTCTCACATCTCTTCGAACGAAAATGACAGGGTCGTCGGATGATATTGGAAGCTGTGGAAATTACGAAGCCGGAACGTCCTTCGCGCAGCACACATGTACTGGATGATTGGACACAGATGCAGGACTACGCTCCTGGGTCTAGTGCACCGTCTGCGTTACCTGTTGGAGAATCAGTTTCTGTTGTCCCTCAGAAGCCCAAGACGCGGAGCTCCACGCGCCGTACGAAGACACCCAACACCTACCGTAGGGACGGCGCTGATCGAACGCTTGGAAAGCGGACGACATGCGATAAAACGCAGGGAGATGTGGTCAACAGCCATTTGAGCGAACACCGGCGGTCATCTGTGTCGCGCTCTCGTTTTAAACGGGACGATACGCTGTCGGTTTCGACATTTGTTACATCAGAGGCCCCACCAAAGACGTCCAAGTACTTCACGGTACCATATCAACCCGCGGCCTCATTCCCTACCCCCAAATCCACCATCATCGCGGATACTAATACTAAACTGACTGAGTTACCGATATTAACCCCAACATCTGCTGAAATCCCGGCATGCCGCACGCCAGATCCCACAAAGCGTTCTATATCTGTCTTCCACATTTCTTCGCAAGAAAAACATGATGATTTGGTAAAAGACTTCATGGTCATGCTCCAGATCCTTAAACCGAAGTTAATTCAAGGTGAGCTAGTACTCCGCTGTTGGACTCCGTATCCGAACGGCACTGTGCCTTGAATGGACCACTTATCCTCTATCGCAGAAGCCGTATGCCATGATCCTTGGAAAGTCTTACTTGCTGTCAGGTTGCTCAATGTTACGACGGGTCGCATGGCTATACCAGTTTTCTGGAAGATTATGCACCGGTGGCCCACACCTCAGCGTCTCGTAGATGGTACGTACGTATGTATTTGTCAACTTCCCAATGCAGAGAGGGTTGTGCATACTACCCATGTCTCATGCCCGGTGGCCACTCAATCTTCATGTCATGTTTCGGTCAATGACCTATATTTTCATTTAGCGCCCCTGGATGAGCTAATCGAGTTCATTCGTCCTCTAGGGCTCTACAACAAACGAGCCAAGTGGTTTAAAGACATCTCACGATGTTACATCGAGGACCCGCCACGGTACTTCATAAATTCCTCGTATCCTTCCCCTGATACGTGCGCGGCGACTTCAATCAAGCCCGCATGCAAGCGGAAGACAAGGTCCTCTTACCCTGATACCCCAATCTCCCATTTCCCTGGTGTAGGCCCGTATGCTTTTGATTCTTTCCGGATCTTTTGTACCAGTTCATACGGGCCCGGGGTTGAAGCCAGAGCAGAAGAGGAGTGGAAGCACGTCATGCCAAGCGATAAAGAACTCATCCGGTATTTGGTATGTTTAGTTCGTATCCACTCCCAAAGCATAGTGCACTCATACCTGGAAACTATGGAACAGCGGTGGAAATGGGCATATGAAGAGCAGAAAATATGGTATCCGATCAAGGGTGTCATCGGAGATGTGAATCTTCCGTATCTGATCAGCCTAGTTGATGAATTGGCAGAACATTACGATACCACGGTTGGAGGGGAAGGATATATTGATACATTCATTGGGCGCATTTCGGGTAATTGCTAGCCAAATTCAGCTACACAAACTCTGACAAACATTTAATACTTTTGAGTTACAAAACAGATTCTTTGGGATTTGAATCGACATTTAAGGTGGTACTCAAACTTGAAATAAGCATGGCTCCGAGCCAATACCTATTTAGGTAGGATTAATCTGAAGTTTAGTCGACCTGGTACTTCATTGCAAGTTTTGCCCTACATGTAAGCCCAGCTGTGGTACAGAAGTTGCACATACTTTTTGGCCTGAGAGCAGTCATCTGCCTCATACTAAGGGAAAAAAGGACCATACAGGCCTTCCAGGAAGCATAGACACGCCAAGTAGAGGAGTAGCTTAAGTATACATTGTATTAACCTTTCATTGTGCTGTAACAAAATGTCATGACGATCTAAGCGTAAATAGAGTGCCACAACTCAAAAAATTAATGCACAGGTTCAGAGCGAATTGACGAGCTCCACACTCCTCTTCATAATCTCTTCTAGCGGCCACCTCTCCCCATGTCCATGCTTCAAATCCAATATATCTCCTACCTCGTCACAAGCTCTCAAAATTATGTCGATGTCATCCTTGGTGTGCGCCCCACTGACACAAAACCTGACTCGACTGGTGACTAGCGGTGTAGCGGGGTACGCCACGACCACTACAACGATGGGTGTCGGCCGCCTGGCCCTCATCATCCGTGCAAAGGTTGCCATCTTGCCAGGATTGAATATCAACAGGGGCACGATAGGGGAGAAGGGATGGCCGTAGGTGATAAAACCGAGCTTTTTCAGACCTGCGTGGAGATAACGGCTGTTAAATGCTAGCCGGCGGATTCGCTCACGGGCCTCAGACCCGTCAGAAAGCGAAGGGGGTAGGGAAAGCCAAGTAGGAAGGGAGGAAGCGGGTGCCATACCCGGATGAATGTATTCGTCTGCTTGTGGAGCAACTGTAAGCGCTTGCGAGGAAGCCTTCGGGTTAGAGGACGTTGGAGAAGCAACGCCCATGATGCTGGCCATGCTGGCAACGACCTGCATGAGAACGGGGGGTGTCATCGCTTCAGCATATGGTCCTGAATGGCCACGGAACCTAAGGCTGTTGATGAGTTCTTTGCACCCGGCAACGTATCCACCGGCAGCCCCGAAGGATTTGGTGAATGTACCCATTAGGACATCGATAGAACGAGGCGGGATATTGAAATAGTCTGTCACTCCACGGCCGTGGGGTCCAAGAGCCCCAATGGAGTGTGCCTCGTCGACGAAGAGGTAAAACTAAAAACAACATTTTCTCAACATCAGTACATGGCAGAAGCCAAGTAAGCACACCTTATATTTTTGCTTGAGTTCGACGACCCTTGGTAAATTGACCATAGTGCCTTCCATACTATACAGGCCCTCCACAATCACAAGTATTTTCTTCCACGGTCGGTGCGTCCTGGGCTGACCTTGACTGATAACTTCCCGCAATAGCGCCTCGAGACTGTCCATGTCGTTGTGCTTGAACATCCGCACGTGTGCACCACTTTGCCTCACACCCACTCGGATGGACGCATGGTTATGTTCGTCCGAGATGACGAGGCAACCCTTGCCCACCAAAGCGGGAATGAACGTCGAGTTAGTCGCAAATCCCATGGAACTGATCAGCGCATCCTCCATGCCGACGAACCGAGCGACCAACGCCTCCGCGGTCTGGTGGAGGTCGCATGTGCCCCCTTCCCGACGGGTTCCACACATCGAGATGCCATACCGTTTGATGGATTCCTCGACTGCATCGGCGCACCCGCCGCTCGTTTGAGCGAAGCCGAGGTAGTTATACGATGAGATATTGAGCGCTCGGGTCTTCGTCCCTGGGTATATCTGAGTATAGTTACAGTCTTCAGAGTAGCGATCGTAAACCAGGATGGTTCGACCAGCGACACCCGTCACAGGGTAAGAAAAACAGTCGTCCATGCGGCGCTTGAGGCGCCGCGTGTAGAACGAGTCGAAGTCGGAATTCAGAGGTGCGTATCCCTGCTACACATCAGCAACAAAACACGAGTAAACAAGCGGTGAATAAAACACACGTTATACGGCACCAAGTGAGTAAAGTAGGACTTGGCAAATTGTTTTCCAAAGAAGTCGCGGAGATGACCGAAGATGATGAGGAGCAGGTAACTGAAGTATGTTGTAAACAGAATATAGTACGGGGGTTCCTCGATCTTGTGCTCTGCGACTGGTTTTTCAGAATCATGTTGAGAAACGCAGCGATAGTCCTGGTTGGCACAATGGCCAAATTCTGTGTGAACTGTGGTGAAGACCTGCTCGGAGGTGGGAGCTGTGAGGGGGTATGTGAGGCCGGAGCGGTCAGCGTCAGGCTCGTTGAGGACAGTATCACCCGAGGCAGAGGTCAGAGAAGAGGATATAGAGAGCGGAGGAGTAGAAGTTGGGGTGACAACCTGGCCGCGGGCCCGTGCGTCTGCTTCATGGAGTGCAGAGAGATACGAGGCAGCAGTGGGGAAGGGAGGAATCTGGGAAAGGGAAGACTTCTTCTTCTTCAGGAAGAGAGACGGAGGCGGCGAGGATGGGCTGAGGGCAATTGGCGAGGGCATTGTGTGAGTCACTGACAACGCCGGTCGTCGTCGACAGCGAACGCAGTGCAAGCTAACAAACTAACTTACAGAGACTAATAACAGCAAGGAAAACATACGATTATATCAGCTCATTCCCTTATTAGGAAATACGAACTCACGGGGAAAAGATCGTCGATCCTCTTCACCTGAACGACCAGGCGTGAACAGCTCAGACACTTGGATATCTAGATTCCTGCGTGGCCGATCCCTGTTTTGTGCATGTGTTACATGCACCTGCCATCTTGGTGCATTATCATACTCACCTGGGTACCACTGTTTTACTAGCCTAGATGTGGAACTCCCTGATGGAGTAACTACCTTGCTGTCCCTCACTTGCATATGACATGCCGCCGTGCGTGTCTGAGGCTCCACATGTAAGAGTCCAAAGTCCGAAATCAACTACGTGCGCAGTTATCTGCACTGATACATATATCACTTGTGTAAGAATGTGAACAAAAATAACACATGGTGGTGAATTGAAACATTTCTCGAACTCATCCGGCAAGAGGGTCAGATTGAATGGACGAGTTCAACACTTCTCTTCACTATCTCCTCGATTGGCCATCTCTTTCCTTTCCCATGCTTGAGATCCAATATATCCCCTACTTCATCACATGCCCTCAATACGACATCGATGTCCTCCTTCGTATGTGACGCGCTAACACAGAATCTCACACGACTAGTCACGAGAGGCGTCACAGGATAAGCGATGACAACCACAGCTAAAGGGGTCGGTTTCCGCGTCCGCATCATTTGCGCGAACATTAACATCTTTCCTGGGTTAAAGGTCAACAGAGGTACGATGGGAGAAGATGGATGTCCGTATGTGATGAAACCCAGCTTCTTCAAGCCCGCGCGGAGATACCGAGCGTTGAATGCTAAGCGGCGGATACGCTCGCGAGCCTCAGATCCGTCAGACAGGGACGAAGGTAGTGAAAACCAGGTGGGAAGTGCAGAGGCCGGCACCATCCCTGGATGCAGATACTCGTCTGCCACCTCGGACATTGCTACTCTATTCGTGGATGACTTGAACGTGGGCTGATGAGACGTGCTTTTTGAAGTCGCAAGGTCATCGACAGATGAAACTCCCATGATGCTGGTCGTGGTTGCAACAATCTGCATAAGAACGGGTGGTGCCATTGCTTCAGCGTACGGCCCGGAGTGACCACGCATCCGAAGACTGTTAATGAGTCGTTTGGGTCCTGCAATGTATCCACCAGCGGCCCCAAAAGACTTCGTGAAGGTTCCCATAAGGACGTCAACGGAGCTAGGCGGAACATTGAAATAGTCTGCTACTCCACGACCATGGGGTCCCAGCGCACCTATCGAGTGTGCCTCATCCACGAAGAGGTAGAACTTGACCCATCACTTTAGCGATGGTATCGGGCAGCCGATAGGAGCGTACCTTGTATTTCTTCTTCAGTTCAATGATCTTTGGGAGATTGACCATCGTGCCTTCCATACTATACAGGCCCTCAACGATCACGAGTATCTTCTTCCATGATCGGTGAGTCTTGGGTTGACCCTGGCTAATTACTTCCCGCAACAACTCTTCCAGGCTACCCATATCGTTGTGCTTGAACATCCTCACGCATGCACCGCTTTGCCTCACGCCTATTCGGGCGGAAGCGTGGTTATGTTCGTCTGAGATGACGAGGCAACCCTTTCCCACCAACGCAGGAATGAACGTCGAATTAGTTGCGAATCCCATGGAACAAATCAACGCATCCTCCGTGCCAATGAACCGCGCGACCAATGCCTCAGCAGTCCGATGCAGGTCGCACGTACCCCCTTCCAGACGTGTTCCGCACGCCGAGACACCGTAGCGCTTGATAGATTCTTCGACCGCATCGGCATAGCTGCCGTGCGCCTGGGCAAAACCCAGGTAATTATAGGAAGAGACATTGAGAGCTCTTGTCGTCGTTCCTGTGTATATCTGAGTACGATTAAAGTCTTCGGAATACCGGTCGTAGACCAGAATGGTTCGGCCGGCGACACCAGAGATCGGCTGGTAGAAACAGTCATTCACGCGTTGTACAAGGCGACGCGCATAGAACGATTGGAAGTCAGAAACAAGTGGTGTGTATCCCTGGCAGATGTCAGTGGTTTAGCAATGAAAGACGAGATACACGAGAAGGACACACATCATGTATCATCAAATCGATGAAGGAGGACTTCGCGAACCGTTTTCCGAGGAGGTCGCGCAGATGACCTATTACGACGAGAAGTAGGTAACTGAAGTATGTCGTGAACAGGATATAATATGGTGGTTCTTCGATCTCATCTTCTGCGACTGGTTTATCAGGATTATGCTGAGAAATATAACGGTAACTTTGGCTGGCACAGTGACCAAATTCACTCTGAACCGTGTTGGAAGTTTTCTCTGAAGTGAGCGCTGCGTGAAGGTTGTGATCATCTGATTCGTCGAGGACACTGTCCCCCGAGGTTTTAGACGGGGTTACAGAATGAACGGGGGTAGGGGTCCGTGTAATGGTTCGACTGCGGGAATGCACCTCCGCTTCGTGCACGGTAGAAAGGTGTGATGTGACTGTAATAGGAGACAGCTGTGTAACGGAATATCTCTTCTTCACCCAGAAGGGGTCCTGCGACCGCGGTGAGGGTGAGAGTGAGCAGGGGGATCTGGAGGCCGTTAGTATGGCCATTGTAGAGGCCAGTCACCGGGGAGGCGAATGCAGGCAAGTGACGTTAGGCAAATCCGGCCTTCCTCTCGACGGCGAGTTACGAATCACGATTAGTTTTGGGAAGAGGAGAAGTTATACTATACCCCCTTTATGTGAATCCGATTTGGAACCAGCGCATGGGCACCGGCTCCGGGTGACTGAGTAACCCCCACTGGTGAAGGCCGCGCCGAGGACAAGTTCAATGCGAAATCATGTTAGCGGCGGACGATGTAAATGCAATCGTGGCGCTCCATCAGCCTGCCAGTTTTGCAGACCATTTCACCTATTCCTGGACGCAGCATAGTCCAGTCTGGAAAGACTTTTTATCCACTCACTTGTAGGAGTTGGACACATTTCAGACTGTAACGTCACTTGTGTGCGTGAGTGCTGCCACGTTTCTACATATACGTCAGCGATAAAGCCTACCTTTCTGAATATCTTCATCTCCTTTCAGCCCATCAGCAATAATCTTGAGATGCTGTAGGAGAATCGGGTGAACACAGTAGATATTTCCTACAACAAATCCCGACAGGATGTCTCGAGACCAGTCACCAGAGAAAGTGTCCGAATCTAGCAGGGTATTACTAATATAACAGACCAAAGCTAGTGGCAGAAGCTGCTGGCCTGTCGTCGCCCCCCTCCCCTAGTTAGGATCATGCTAGTAGGTCAAGCAAGCTTCTATTCAGCTCAGTGTGATTCACTAGCCCTCATATGATTTCGAAGGCCTCCTCTTACTAGCTCTTGCTAGGTCCAGCAGAATTCGCCATTCCCTGGTCAACTCTAATTGCCAGGACAAAGCGCTGAGGTTGTGCCGGATTCTGCTGATCGGGCTGCCGAGTACTACGCACCTCTACCCAACCTCTACCTGCCGTCCATCACTATCCTTATGTAACACCACTTGAACACTTGGTCGTCAAACGTAAGCTTCCACATCGCAACACTGTTCTCCCTCTCACGCGTAAATATTTATCATTTTCCAATCGGTGGGGTGTTATTCAATTGAGCGATTCCCTACAAATTTGGATATCCTTCTCGGGCGCCGTTCATACCTCCGAGGTTACTACGCCTACGTGGCTGAAGCGCTGATCTCTCGCATTTGAAGGTGTTTGGCTCGATGACATGTCACTGAACACCATGAAGTTTTTTCCGAAATGACATCGTTTTATCGCAAACGCAGGGTCCTGATGGGTTCGGATAGTCTCGGAGGGTGATCGTCTTGGCCTTCTGGCCCACGAAGCATCTAGTGCTGTATGTACAAACAACAAACGAAACACATGACACCTCTTGGATTATATCAGTTCTCGATAAATAAAGGTGAGGGAAAAGATATCCCTGTAACACAGGATCAGATGGAATGGACGAGTTCGATGCTTCTCTTCGAGATCTCCTCGATTGGCCATCGCTTTCCTTTTCCATGCTTGATATCCAGCAGGTCCCCAACCTCATCACAGGCCTTTAACACGACATCGATATCCTTCTTTGTATGCGACGCGCACATGCAGAACCTCACCCGGCCACTTATCAGAGGCGTCGCAGGATATGCGACGACAACCACAATCATGGGTGTGGGTTTCCGGGTCCGCATCATTCGTGAGAACATCGCCATCTTTCCAGGGTTAAAGATCAAGACAGGTACGACGGGAGAAGAGGGATGACCAGAGGTGATGAAACCCAGCTTCTCCAAGCCCGCTCGGAGATACCGAGCGTTGAATGCTAGGCGGCGTAATCGTTCCCGCGCCTCAGATCCATCAGAAAGTGATGGAGGTAGGGAAAGCCATGTGGGAAGTGCAGAAGCCGGAAGCATCCCTGAACGCAGGCGCTCGCGGGCCATACTGGGCATCAATTCTCCATCCGTGGACTGCTTTCGGGTGACCGACTGAAAGGTATTTTGGCAAATCGGGGAGACGGGGACAGATGAAACACCCATGATGCTAGCAATGCATGCGATAATGTGGGTCAGGACAGGCGGTGCCATCGCTTCGGCATACGTCCCGGAATGACCATGCATTCGAAGACTGTCAATAAAAGGCTTGGGTCCCGCTATGTATCCACCAGCGGCTCCGAAGAATTTCGCGAAGGTGCCCATGAGAACATCAACAGAGCTAGATGGAACATTGAAATAATCTGTCACTCCACGCCCACGGGGTCCCAGGGCACCGATTGAGTGTGCCTCATCTATAAAGAGGTAGAACTTTAAACTCGCCACTTCAGCGATAGCAGTCAAAGAATGGAAAAATCCTGGAGCCCACCTTGTATTTCTTCTTCAGTTCAATAATCTTCGGTAGATTGACTACCGTGCCTTCCATACTATACAAGCCCTCCACGATCACAAGTATCTTCTTCCATGGTCGATGGATCTTCGGCTGACCCTGACTGATAACCTCTCGTAACAACCCTTCCAAGCTATCCATATTGTTGTGCTTGAAGATCCTCACGTGCGCATTACTTTGCCTCACGCCTGTTCGCACGGACATGTGGCAATACTCGTCCGAGATGACAAGACAACCTCTGCCCACTAGCGCCGGAATGATCGTCGAATTAGTCGCGAATCCCATGGAACTAATCAACGCGTCCTCCGTGCCGATGAACCGCGCAATCAATTCTTCGGCAATCCGATGAAGATCGCACGTACCCCCTTCTAAACGTGTTCCGCACGCCGAAACACCGTAGCGTTTGATAGATTCTTCGACTGCATCGGCACACCCGCCGCGCGACTGGGAAAATCCCAGGTAGTTGTATGAAGCAACATTGAGCACTCTGGTTGTCGTTCCTGGGTATATCTGAGTATAATTATAGTCCTCAGAATATCGGTCATAGATTAGGGTGGTTCGGCCAGCAACGCCAGTGATTGGCTGGGAGAAGCAGTCATCTATGCGCCGCTTGCAGTGACGAGTATACATCGAATCGAGATCAGAATTCAGGGGTGCGTATCCCTGACGGATATCAGCAACGAGAAAGGGGGATAGACGAGAAAAGCCCACACCATATGGCATCAAATGGGTGAAAGAGGACTGTGCGAATCGTTTGCCAAAGAAATCACCGATATGACCGAATCCGATGAAGAGCAAGTAACTGAGGTACGTTGTGAGCACAATATAGTAGGGAGGTTCTTCCACCGCAGGTCCTGTGACTGGCATTTCAGGATTGTACTGAGAAACAAAACGGTAATTTTGGTTGGTGCAGTGGCCAAATTCGGCGTGAGGCACGTTGGATGTTTGCTCCGAACTAGGTGCTGTGTGACGGCACCCAATGTCGCAATCACTTGGCTCGTCGAAAATAGCATCTTCTGAAGTTGCGAACGAAATCTCAGAAAGAAAGGGGGAGAAAATTGATGTAGTAATTCGACTGCGAGCATGCGCATCCGCTTTATGCACGGAAGAGAGATGTAATGCATCTGAGGTTGGAGAGGGGAGCTGTGCAAGGGAGGATCTCTTCTTTACCTGAAGGCGGAACTGTGAGGGTGAGGGTGATCTAGGGTTCACTATAGAGGGCATCATAGAGGCCAGTCGCGAGATAGCTGATACACGGTGAGCCAATAACAACTAGTGAATGTGGTGGGTGAGGTTTGTGTTCCTTTCGCTCCCGGACTAATATTGCAGGATCTGTTGCTATGATTTGGACAGCGACATGGTGATGGGGGGAAGCCGCGGGCAAAATTTTGATCCTCCGGGAATAATATTGTGTCACGATAATCTGTGAAGGGAGGAGGAAACCGCCGATAAATTTTGATTCTGATTTCGATTCCCGGTCCTAATAGGGTTGTTCACGAATAACACCAACCCGCCCGACCCGCAGCGTGGCATCAATCCGCAGGTAGTGTAGTCAAAGCGTGTCGTTCTACACTCACTGAGAGGTTATACAGGCTAGCTGAGAACCATCACTTTGACGGATTTGTCGCGAGTTGGAAGGGGGAAAAAGGACGAAACATGTGGATGGGCGAGCACCAGCTCTTTTGTGCCGCCGAAATATCGGGTTTCAACATTCGATTAGTTAGGCACGACGACTTGAACAGAAAATGAATTCGCTGCCAGTTGTAGGGTGGTGGCCCAAGCTTTTTCTATTTCTCCTTCTCTCGACGTGATACTGTGAAGCCGTTGCGAATAAAATACATTATGCAACTCGCCATGCTGCATAAAAATTCTCAGCGAGGAGGAAGCCGCTGGCGAAACAAAACTTCGGTTTTCCGACAGCGGAATATGACGGTAAACCAAGCATGCGGGTCAGACCCTTTTCTTGGCTTGCGGGATTACATAATACACCGCGACTGTAGTTCTCAGAGAGACTCGGCATGCCCTTCACCGTATTGTACTGCTACTTGGCTATCAGTCTTCGGAAACGTGTCCCAGTGGACACACGAACCAGCAGCAAAATTCCAAAAGGGAATACTCTGAGTCTTAATGTCGTCTCGATGCCAGGGAATCCCGTGCTTCACTGTTTCAATTCGGGTAAAACAGTCGTCAGGTCTCAAGATTTATTGTGTATCACACTCATCCAGACAGTTAGCAGTAGACATATTTGGGCTGTAGTCTTGTCATTGCCTGCTTCAGCTTAGACCTCATCGTCATTCATCCCCGACATTGACTTGAACAGTTTTGTTCCTTTGGATTCTCAGTCTGACCCATCGAACCCTCCTTGCAGGTTTCAAAACACCTTATAACAAGATCGGATTCCCACTCATTCAGGGTCTAAAAAAGGAACCTCAGATCTGCTGAGATCAGTAACATCCAATCCTAATCGCGACTGCTGAATTCTGGTGTTCAACGTTGTCAACGTCCGCACCCCCGAATTAATTATTGTGTCTCATTATCTAAACAGCGCTGGTGAGTTTTGGTGTTCAAACGTCTTGATGCTGTAGCTTACTAACCAGATAACTGCTGCGCCGACGAGGCAGAGATGTACCAGTCACAAGCTTCACAACGTAACCGCTATTGTTGGCGCACTAGTGCACACTGCGTCGTTACCCATCGATGATCCAATCGACAAGAAGCACACAACATACAGCGCTCCGAATTCGTCGTAGAAACACTCCATGTTGCTGGAAAGTGATAAGAGTGATATACGGAGAATGCAGCTGATATGTATATCTGTCTCCCGACCAGGGATGATCGATGACCATTCATAACGTTCCATAGGTGGTAGAGGCATCACGCACTATGCCTGTTCTGTCAAGCGGAACAGCTAAAATGCTGGTGCAGCAAACTGGTGGATTCTTCGTATGTGAATGGCATAGTCCAAGCACATCTGGAAATCCCGCGCCGTTAACTAGGTTCGCATCTCGCTGTGAAGTGTGGTGCGAGCACACAATACTGTGGACCTAATCCATGTCTGGCATCACCAGAAGCAGCCGAACTGACGCGTTCCTTCATGCCGGGGTGGTCATCTAACAGTTTGCCGTGACTGCTGTTCAGCTGGTTTCTAAGCGCTGCTCCCCGAATTGCGGCTTGCTGCTCTCCCACCACACCCAAATCAGTAGTCTCCGGATGTTTTGGATGGGGTTGGAGTGACATTTCCCGACCTCCGACTCCATGCTCCATTTCTAAAAGCGTCTGGTTGAGACTGCCAAATCATACATGAACGTTTTCATAACTGCAAGAACAGGTCTCGTCTGTTGTCTATATACTAGTGTGCACCTTCATTTCATTCTAATTGTGATGTCGACTATGGAATTCCTGCACTGAATCTCACGAGGACCACGAGAGCATCGTTAACGCGTAACCATCGTCTTTGGACACCCACTCCTGAACAGGATAGGCCCCGGCAATGGCCCACAACACCTGCCGCTCGACGCGGTCATATTTGTGGGAAAACGCGAAACGGATGTATTCCCCTTTGTGGACAAGGATGGGTGTTTCTGATGGGATCCTGAATTGCGTCTCTTTAAGGCAACGGAAATAGGTCTCGTTCCGGCCCTGTACCTGTGAAACACGCGGTTAGTGCAGTGCTTCGGCTTAACCTGCAGAATTTACCTCGTTGGAATAGGGGTTATAATCAATGCACCAGACATCCACGGTGTTGTCATTGAACAGGTCGCTAATGTTACTCGATACGTTGAGAGCGAAGCGACGAGTGACGCCTGCCCTATCATTATACGCAGCGTGGATGTCGTCGAGCTTGTGGTATCTACTATCGATGACGTCAATGAAGCGATCCCTGGGAGCCAGAACATCCCTGAAGGTACAAATCTACTTCAGTTGAAGAGCACGGACGGAGAGAGTATGGAAGCAACACTCCGTGTCATATTGTCAACGGAAGGACCTGCTGCTGAGTACTTGCACAGGCTTGCTTGTGTCCGCGATCGATCCACTATCAGAAACCCCTTCTGATATCCGTGGAGGTTCGCGGCGTTGGCCCGAGGATTCCCTTTCAAAGAATCTGAGTGGAATCCCGGAAGAAATCGATCAGTGATCCGGCCTGATCCGGCTCTTCGGCACTAATCACACCTGTCCGATTGCACCACTGATGTCGATGGTCCCCCCGCGCGATTACGCCGTGCGGGTACGAATAATACCAGTCCTTCATGGTCATCCCTGTGCTTTACGACGCATGGCACATGCTAACGGGATCCGGGCTGTGCCATTATTACGAGCATTTTCTCCTTGCTAGACAGTGACTCTTTCCCCATTTCGGAGTCCGTCCGTACCACACGACATGGTCCATCGTGATTGGAGTAGGTTGACTTCTTCCCTCTACTTGATCCGTTCAGCTCATCTGCGCCCGTGAAGCCTCTTTTTTATGTCTTTTGGAACGTGAGTGACATCAGTATGGAGGTCTTCATATCATTTGGCTGACAATCTGTCCACAGTTTTGATTGGATCAACTCCTTTCATTTGGTGTAAGCTAGCTTGAAATAATATTAAAAAAGCAATTACGAACAGTACACTTTCAAAGAGCGATCGTTTCATGGATTGGATCCATCTAGTATGGTCTCATCATATCGCTGGTATGTGGTTTTTATGTTACTAATCACTCATGGTTCACACAAGTTACTATTTGACTGGCCATTTCCCCTTACCTTTGGTATAATAATGATGCGCTCGCTGTCAGCAGCGTTTTCTATGTTGCTGCGCTGGTAAGTACTGACGAGCTATAAACGTTGCTGCTGACATAGCTTCTTATCACCGAGCACAAGACTTTCTCGCAAGTCATTTACGTCAGGGAGTAGCAACTGGGGCAAGAGCTTGCTATCAGAGACAGATCGACGAAGTAGCCAACTTTCAGTTTTTTACTGGCATACTCCTCGGCAGCACTCCTGCAATTGTGTTCCACTGACGCTATTTTTCTCATTACTGCAACCCTGAAGAAGCCCTCTCAAGTTTTTGGCGTCCTTGCAATAGGATCGAGTATCATGTCACATTGTTGGGCGTTTATGTTCCTCTTATTTACCTCGGTTTGCCTGGTGAAGCGGCTGGATTTTCTCCATACTTAACGTTTTACTTGATTTGTGTTTATGTATGGTGAGTCGATACCTGGCACTGGACAAATGGGTTGGGACATTCCGAACGGCGTTTTTAGAGGCTCAATAAAGCTGTGGTTGCAATCCCGATGATGTTACTGACAGACGAGACACCGAGTACATGCGGTCGGTCGCATTATGTATTAGAGCTCTGGGTCTTGCTCCCCGATTTCCACAGTTGGTATATGTCTAACGTATCCAAGTAATGTTCTGTGGTTAGATGTTCTTGAAAATATTGTGCATCTGTAATCAGTGTCCGCAATTGGCTTTCCGAGCTCCTGTTTCAGATTGAAACAGAAAGGGAATGCAGTACCTGTGGCGGTGAACATGTGGACCATTCGATAGCAGCCCAGTCGGATCATATACAGTAATACACGGTCTGGTGGCCGCTTCCCCTAGCTTACACATTCCTATTTCACAACAGGCCAAAATGTAATGAAAGCTTTGAACAGCCTGCAAAGTGGCGGGCGCGATCCGCGAGATGGAAATAGTTTTTGCATAGTTGCCTCAGTTTGCGCATCACACGGGCTTGCGGGAACACCGCACTAGTGTGCGATCATTCGTGACATATCATATGCTTGGTCAATGGTGAAACTGTCACCACTGAGGTTTCCGCACCATGAACTTAGTACTTGTTACCCACCGGTTTGCTGTGAGTCGATTGCAAAATAATAGTAAGGGGCATAGCCCAATTGTACCCTCTGAAGATTTAAAAAGCTAGGAAGAAGGTCGAGGAGAATCAGAAACCACATACCACCCAGTTCTTCGAGTCACAAAACCTACACCCTTCTGAATATACACAATGGTCTTCCACACTCGCGTCGCACTTGCTGAGGACTACGAACTTTCCCAGTCTCAGATTGACGAGTACCAGAACAATGTCTGTTGTGTACTTACGATGTATCGGGATGTCTTTGCTGACGGATATCCCCTAGGGCCACATCCTGCTCAGGAACGTTATTCCTGAGTCGGAGATCGCTGAATTGCGCACTGCTGTCTTGCGGGCGCATGAAGCTCTCAAAGCCCAAGAGGAGGACTTCCAGAAGGCGTTCCGCGTCACCCAAAACCTATGGGAAATTAACGACGTCGTGCGTGCACATGTCTTGTCCAAGCGTTACGCAGGTGCGTTCGTGACGATGGGGCATCGATCTCATCCTCACCTTGAAAAATAAGGAATCGCTGCGAAGTTCTTAGGCTGCCGCGACGTGCGGATTTACCACGACCTCACCTTCTTCAAAGAGGGTCTCGGTAAGGGCAAGCCGACGCCGTGGCACCAGGACGGGCACTACTGGTGAGTGACCTCTGTCTAACTTGTAGCGGCGAACGTACACTGAGCTGTGTCCGCAATGACAGGCCCCTTGACACGGAAAAGTGCATAACCCTTTGGGTTCCGCTTACCGACTGCCCAGTAGACATGGGTCCCATGTCGTTCGTGTCGGGTTCACACCTCAATAAAGATGCTGAACATCTACCGATTTCTGATGAGAGCGACGAATATATCAGAGAAATGGTCGGGAGGGAAAACCTTTCTGTGGCCCCCGCGCAACACATGAACGCAGGAGATGCAACATTGTAAGTATCTTTCTCCCAGCTGTTGGAGATCAAGCTTAGTACAAATGTTATAGCCACTCGTGCTGGACATACCATGCTGCGGCATCCAACACCACAGAGAACACTAGAATTGCTTTTGCTATCGCGTATTATGACGCCGATGCGACGATTCCTCTGCAACCGCCAGCCAATGAGCGGCGTGCCGCCAATTTGGCCAGGTGGTTCCCTGCGACTGTACCTGGCGGGCCTGCGGTCAGTGAAGTGAACCCTGCTATCCTTTCTCCCCATGATTGATGGAGCATTGATATGTGCTCCTTAAGGCCGGTATGTAATCGGATACCTTCATTGAGTAGATCTCCTGTAAGTTTAGAATTGGTAACCCCGCTACCGCAATAACCCCACCTGGGAGCTAGACTCTGGGTACATACCTTAGTACTTGTATAGCTTGTGTACAATGGCCTGCAGGCGATTATTTACGCGAGAATTGAAGCAGCCCGTAGTCTGACGAATCCAACCAACGCAAAGCTCTGGATCAAAGTACAGTACCCCACGGAATTTCATTTGGTTCTCGTACCTTGTAGTTGGAGACGCCCGCCCCACCATCACTGCTTGTGCATGTACTGCTGAGGGTCGGACTTACAAATCTCTGGGAGTTGTAGTGGTGCAAGCGTGCGTGCTTGCTACGCGTAACTAATCCTAATCGTAATAAGTACACCGATCCGAATGTCGTCGAGGACTAATAGCTTGCTATGTGATGCGTGAAATACAGTGCCAAGCAAGAAAGGTGCGGCAGCGTACGTCCAACCGCACGCGGCATGTTATGATTACTCGATCGCTTCGTCGTCCCCGTTATTTTTATTCGCCGCCCCCTCCCCCTTCTCCCCCTCCCTATTTCGCCCGTCATTTTCTAATAGTCTCAAAACGCTCGCTGTCATGCCCGCTGTCACCAAAGTTTGCTGCAGTGCGTCTCGTTTCTGCCGTTGGCATCGCTTGTAGCTCACTCCCTGTTTGTCACCCACCCATGTAGTCGGCGCTGGATACGTCGGTGAGCATCGCAAACTTTTCAGATTTTCCTCATCCATCTCTCACGTACTCTTCTCTCCATTCACAGGAGGTCCCACGTGTGCTGTCATTGCCCTCAAATGCCCTCACATCAAAGTAACTATCGTCGACCTCAACCAGTCCCGAATCGACGCGTGGAACAGTGCAGACTACAAACTTCCAATCTATGAGCCGGGTCTCGAGGATGTCGTGCGCCGGGCACGCGGTCGCAATCTCTTCTTCTCAACAGATATCGACAGGAGCATCCAGGAGGCCGACCTTATCTTCGTGAGCGTGAATACCCCAACCAAAAAGTCCGGCGTTGGTGCGGGCTTCGCCGCAGATCTCAAGTTTGTAACATGTGCTTATCTACACTCGCTACTCACTTCTTACCGCTTTCCCAGCTATGTTGAATCCGCGACTCGTCGTATCGCGAAGGTAGCTACGTCAAGCAAGATCGTTGTGGAAAAGTCCACTGTTCCGTGTCGCACCGCACAATCAATGCGTATCATTCTCGAGGCCAACTCAAGCCCCAACTGTCGGTTTGATATCCTCTCCAACCCCGAATTTCTTGCTGAGGGCACGGCCATTAACGACCTGTTCAAGCCTGACCGTGTTTTGATCGGCTCCCTTCAGACTCCCGAAGGAATCGCAGCATCAAATGCTCTGGTCGAGATATACGCAAATTGGGTTCCGTAAGTTACCACCCCCTACGTCATGCCATGGTTACTTCTGCGGCCTTGTGGTCGCTTCGCCCCCCCTATCCCTTAAATTTGTATGGTGACTTATGTTTTTCAATCTGCTAACACAGTAAGGAACGTATTCTTTCTGTCGGCCTTTGGTCCTCCGAACTTTCCAAATTGGCAGCGAATGCAATGCTTGCGCAACGTATCTCCTCCGTCAATGCGCTCTCTGCGATCTGTGAAGCTACTGGCGCCAACATCGACGAAGTTGCACATGCTGTCGGGTACGATTCGCGTATTGGACCCAACTTCCTCCGCGCGTCCGTTGGTTTCGGAGGGTCTTGCTTCCAAAAAGATATCTTGAACCTCGTTTATCTCAGCGAAAGCTTGCATCTTCCGGAGGTTGCAGAGTATTGGAAACAAGTGGTCACAATGAACGAGTACCAGAAACGCCGTTTCTCCAAAACAGTAGTCGATACGTTGTTCAACACGATCACCGGCAAGGTGCTGTCACTGTTCTCGCATAACTCCTATTCTCTTCCTCACAGTGAATAAATGCCAGCGTATTGCCGTCCTTGGATTCGCATTCAAAGCTGATACGGGTGACACACGCGAGTCTCCAGCCATTACCCTCGTCAGGGACTTCCTCCTCGAAAAGGCCCACGTGAGCATCTATGATCCTCAGGTCGAGCATACCCAGATCTGGTCGGATCTCTCCGAGGCTCTGCCTCTCGTTCCATTGCCCAACCGTACGTCGCGCTCTTTTGTCCACATTGCTTACGCGTAACTGATACCTCATTCCCCGTGGCAAACGTGCTAATATGTGTCTGTCCCAATCCCGTACCCACATAGTGCAAAAACAAGTTCACATCGCATCGAGTGCTCTTGATTGCTGCAAGAACGCGGAAGCAGTTGTCATTGCTACCGAATGGCGTGAATTCCGTGAAATCGACTGGGAGGCAGTGTATAGGGGCATGAACAAGCCTGCTTTCGTGTTTGATGGGAGGCTACTTGTTGACGCACAGAAGCTTAGGTCGATCGGGTTCAAGGTGGGTTCCTGCGTCTTGTGGGACGTACTCAGACAGATGTTGACCTTGGATAGGTGACTGTCATCGGACGGGGAGAGCAACTCTAGGTTACATACTGACCTCCGACGGATCATATCGTAAGCGGACGACTGACGCAGCACGTAATGGGTTGGACTCCATCACGGACTATCCACATTCCCTATTACCCATAGAAACTGCAGTTGATTATCTCGAAGCACATTCCCAACTAACCATCCTCTGTACATATCTAGTATCTCCCCTTTTGGATTTCCGAGACTACGAACTATTACTCCCAGTAGAAAGCGCGTTCTCTCTAGATACGTGACTACAAGTTGGAAATGCCTGACACCATCGTAATCTATCGCAAGCTAATGAATGGACAAGTGGTAGCGTTGATTCCGCGAGTACTAATGGACATGAGTAGTCAAGAGAATTTTTTAAAAGCAGATCCGTCAATATTCAAACACTAGTTAGATGTGTTTCAACCTCCAGTACAAATGTAAGAAAAATCTCAGTACTTCATATGCACAAATCTAATCCACTATCCTAGTATGTATAGAGCCATGGAGAGGACCATGTCACCTATCCCTGCCATCCACCGAATAAACCGCCGTGGCCAAATACCTGTTGCTGAGCCTGGGGATGCATAGGCGACTGGAATTGCATTTGCGACTGCAAGAACGGCGTGGACGACGTCCCAAACGGTTGATGCTGTTGCGGCAATGCTCCACTCGTAGCGAAGGGCGTTGAATACGGGGATGGAGTGTGCGGAGCTGATATTGAACCTCCTGAAAATGGTACCGTGGACGGCGTCGGTGCCTGGGGTTGGGGAGCAAGCAGGCCGGTCGGGTTCGGCACGAGTGAAGGCGTAAGGGGTCCCATGAACAAGGAAGTTCCAAAAGACTGCTGAGGATTTGTCATGCCAGTGCCGATAGGGCCTGTGCCCACGCCACCGACACTTCCATAACCTAGGGGAAAGGGGTTCGGGCTTGGAGTGCATGCTGCACCATTAGTGAGAGGGAATATCGGTGAAGCGGGAAGCGAAGTTGGCGTGAATAAACTTGCTCCTGTGAATGGGTTTGTGTTTGTATTCATCGTGGGGAAATTGATGCTGGGGGTGCCAAGAGGTGCTGCTGCTGCCATAGCGGTTGTATTAAAGGGGTTCCCAGCGGTCACACCCACACCCGTTACATTCATGTTCACGAAAGGGTTTGGAGGCATGTCCAGCGTTGGGAATGTTCGAGACTGCGGCACCCCAGTCGGCGACATTATCATCGAAGATGCTGCAGTTGGTAAAGATGACAAAGGCGCTGATGGACTGTGCGACAACGACTGGTACTGCAGGGGAAGTGAAGAGTTCTGCGCAGAATCTTGCAACGAGATGAGCTCGTCCCACACCTCGCCCTTGTTTGGAACTGTGGGTTTAGTGCCAAGCAGTGCATTTGCTGACGAAGGAAGGGGTTGCGAGACAGCACGTGTTGGCGGGGCAGTGTGCTGAGGGAATGTTGGCGACCGCGTTGGTATAGTTGCTGATGACAGAGATGGAGAAGCGGACGAGCCAGCAGCGAATGAGAATATTCTACTAGGCATGTTCTCAGGGGTCTTTTCAGGCGGAGGTGGTGGTACTGGCGACCCTTTGCGCACGACAGGCGCCTCCCCGGATAATGACATAGGTCTGGCTCGTGTGTGTTGTGTAGACGCAGACGCCGCTCTGGGCGGTGGTATGACTGCGTTTCGCGGTGCAGCCATTGGTGACTTCCGGGACATAAATCGTTTGAATTCATACTTGGCTACAATTATCCAAAAGTGGATCAGGAAGTGATCTCCGCAGACACGGTAGTATAGGCCTTACCACGGATGAACTTTTCTAGCTCGCTGTCTCTCTCTGTTCCTATCAGGTTCGCAGGGGGAGGATGTCGAACTTCGTCAGGACAGTATAGTTGATTGGACTTGATGTTCCCGTTTTGCTTCATAAACTGAATTGTGGCTGTCAGTGACTATGATGGGAAACGGATCCAGAAACAAAACCAATCTAACCTCGACTTGTTCCTTCGACCACTCGTCGAGCGTCAAGCTCTTCCTGAAATCCACACAAAACGACTCAGCCTCGGACTTCTGGGTCTCGACATACGCGGAGCAGAAAAAAAAAAAGAGAATACGTACACTTTCGTGATATGGGTCCCAATCTTGCGATGGATGCTTGCACAATTCACGCTGTCGGGTGATATGAACATTCAGTTCTAAGAGTACAACTACCATGCAGAGCAGGAGGAGCCGAGGGTCCAGGGTCGGCGACATACCAAATGAATATACCAATGTTAAACGAAGCCCATCTAGGGGCACGAGCTTTACAGTCTGCGCAGACATCTGTGGCACGTATAGTAGAGGGTAGATACACGGAGAGGCACGAACGAGCCCGAGGCCAGGAGAAAACAAGGAGTAAGCAGCCTATTGGAGCCGGTTACTGCACAGGACACACCGTTCCCAGGTTTCGAGACAAGCTCCATGAGAACGCGACGATTCCTCTCTGCCGCGATCTTGCTGATGCCAGACGACATCCCTGCGCCAAGTATTGTCCAGTTGTCGGTGTCGGTCAACTCGACTTGAACTGAATGTAGGTTCGGTCGGAAGGGTCGTTGCAGTAAGCCTCACCACAGCAGGTTTCGGCGTATATTCTGCTGGAAACCCTTCAGAATACCAAGTTCGGTAAGCAACCCCTATGGGAGGGGTGGTGACGCACGTTCCAATCAGGGTCATCGAGAAACAACCGTCCGATTCGATTACCCGTGGCGGCGGTACACCAACCTCTCCGACCAGGGACACGTATCCTTCCTGCGATGTCTGGAAATCCTGCTGATGGATCCTCTTCATCCGCCCTGCCACACATGGAAACGGGGGCTGCAAAGGAACAAGCTCTTCGCGAATTCTCCCAATATCCATTCACCTCCGACGAGGTCTTCCAGGTGCGTAGTGCCTACCCATTCTCAAAAACTGGCGAGCTCCGACCGTAGGGTCGGCTTCCACGTATTCCTGATTACTTGCGCTCCATCCTTACGATACTGACAACGCTAACCAATATATACCAGCATGGTTTGATTCAGATCCTCGCCCATTCTTCCACTCAATCCACTTCGGAAGAGGAGAGATCAGAACTTGCACTCAAGACACAATTATTTTACTTTAACCGGTGCGCACCTTTCCTTTTCACGACAGCCCTTCATATATGTGGTACTTCGTATTCGTAATGCACTTTATCCCTTTCCACAAGTTTACCTTCTTGACACGAAACCGAACTCGTGTCGTGTATTGACTGTCCATGATTGCGACCTTCTGCTGTGATTCGATGTTAATGACGACATTAATATTGTCATCCGGTTTCGTGGCCGACAGACAAACGGGGCGCAATCTTACACTCGAAGATGTCAAAAGGTTTCCCTTAGCAACTTCCGACTTACATCCCTCAGTAGATCAATCAGTGGAGTTGCTCGAAACCCAACCGTTGGACAAGTCGCCTCGTATTCTCTCCTTCGCAGAGCTGAAAGACCTCATTGAATCTGGAAACACCGAGAAGATCCCTCACAATAAACACATCCCCGATCAATTGAATGTACGTCTTCGGCTTTTGGTTAGGGCTTCAATATACGCTCATCCACGGATGTTTGTACGCTTGACTGCACGGAAATGAAACCTTGTCGCGACGCGTTTACTAAACCGTGATAACGGGAATGTATGATCGGGAATGGTGCAGGATTGTATTCCCAGCCTGTCAAATGCGTCGGTAAGGAAGAAACCCTGGGAAGCCGCTCGCTCACCAGTACAATGAGGCCGTGATAAGTACACAACTAATGTACAGTTTTGGGGCGTCCTTGGAATATGCTTTTCTTCTACGTGCCGCGCAAAGATAGTTATAGACGTAACAAGATTGACGCTGATGCCATCATCTGGACACCACTTTGCTGGCATCGTGTGCATCCATCACCAACCGCGAATGGGTGTCGTACCTCCCAGACTATATTGATGTACTGCAATAAACTGAGTCTAGAACGCCACGTTGGCATTTTTACAAATCTTACGATAGAGATTCGATTAAACCCCCTAAAAGCAAGGTTGTCAGCAGGTATCTCACCTGGTGGTACATTAATATATCGGTCCTGCCACAATATACATACATACTTGTGCGTTACTCTCGGTCTGACAAAGTCCCAAGCTAGTGTCAGATCATAATGCAGTTCCGCATCCAGGTCGGTAATCTGAGACAAGGATCAGTACTTGCGTTCCACCGCGAGGCACTTCAGAAGGTCCGCGTCTAATCCGGTCGCCGGAGTGTCCCGGTCCTTCCTAACGCCCCAGGCCCGAACTTTGACAGCAACCACGAATTTTTATCCGCCGGCTTCTTGTCATCAGAGTTTTTTGCTTCGCCGATGATATTTGTCTCACCGTAGCTGTGCATCGACTATCAGAGGAACTTCTCGACCAGCTGATTGCATCCGTTGATATCCGTCCACCCACCGTCGTCGGTGCGGAGATTCGCACAAGAAAACTACGTTTGGCGTGATGGCAACCGGCGGGCCTGCGGCCCATCAAGCTTTTCGGGATTGTCAGGTTACAGAATCACGAACGCTGAACCCTCTATCAGCATGTAGAGGCGCAGGGCATGCTGGATGGCGTTTGAGTTTCACTCGTGGGTATTACCATGGTGTAGTCACCTGAATATCGGTGCCATTCCCATAAACCTGCCTTCTCCGTCGACCCTATCAATGGTATGTAGGCGTCATTGCTTCAGTGAGCGCGCATGCCATCATAGGGGGCCGCAGCAAGTACAGCATCGCCTGATTTTTGGGTTCGCGAAGTGGTCCTCGGGTACAAGCTTGGGAGTCTTTTGTGCAGGGGAGACGCCTCATATGTACTTACATTGGATATAACCAACATGCGGATTGAGAGTTATGACATTCACTTGCCAGATAGTGTCCCCAGAATCGGATCCACATAATGCATCGCAGCCTATGGGTGCGACTCGCAACTCTATCGCGATGTACCTATTCGAAGAGGAGAACTGTTTATCATGTTACCATTAGGTCCGATGGTGATGGTGGTGTCAGGAAGGATTCTGGGGTAACATTTGGACACCTGCTAACTGTCAGGACGGGTAACACCGAATACTTACTTTTGGGTGCTTGTGTTGCTATCATATTGATAGGCGGAGGTGCCACAGGCACACAGTGCACCTTGTCCTCGTTACTATGCACGAGTTGGAGAGGCTACGTGATCAAAGTCATGATCCGTGACTTTACTGAGCGCTGAGTCCTGACCGTACTCACCTGCTCTTACCACGCCTGTGGAAATTCCCGGCCATTCAGTTTGAGATACTATGAATAGATGGCACTTAGCACTCCATTAGTACCTGAGAAGCCGTTTCCAGCATCCTCGCGTCCATATGTTTGTGGGTGCGGCCAACCACCGCCAAGGCGCCCGCTCCACAACGCTGAACCTTGTCCAGACCCCGGTCGTTATTTGCATCCGCTGAGCATTGCAAATATGTATTCAGTAGTGAGACTTACTTGAGGAACAGGAGAAGACTCTAGATCATAATGATCCGATCAGGATCTTATTTTTGTCGCAGGGTGGCAAACTATTAGTAGTAGCCATGCCCATTCAACGTTGTCAAGCTCGAGCCACGGTCTCGGCACATTCGCATGGGTTGTGGGAACTGGTGCTCCTATCAATAGTGACTTCAACTTGCGAGTCTCTGAGCCACAAGATGGGAAGATGCGTGACCCAGCTACATAGACAAGGCAGAATGATTGCACAAAGGGATGCACGAAGAGGGAAAAGTGATGCGTGGCGAAAGAGAACACGGTGACATATATGAAAATGAAGGCAGTGCGGAAGTACATCTCTCTGCTACTAGTCTATGCGAATTGCGGAACATGCGAAGGGGTCCGGTCTGTACCGAGTTCCGATCAAACAGGGGAAATATAACTAAACTGGATCGGTCTCGCACCTCCTAACAAACTCTACTTCTCACCCAACTTGTCCTTGATCCATTGTGCGGACACGTGTTTCTCCACGAAGAACCCTTCCACTTTCTTCAGCTCGTTTACCCCGTCCAGCACCCAATCTCGTGATCCCCATGTAGGGTCGTCGCGTATGATGGAGATTGTTGTGAGTGTGGTGTGTAAAGCAGGAAGTATGTCAGCGTCGACATATCCTATCGGGGCTTTGGCCGTATAGCGGTACTCTGGAGGTATTCCCTGAGAGTCTTGTTTGGTTGGATGTGAAGGTGCCTTGGGGGATGGAGATGATTTTGGGGAGGGCGGGGGCGAGAGGGTAACGGAGGCAGGCGCTGCCAGGGCGTAGTCGGCGTGTGTGCCCGTTATTTGGTAAAGAAGGGACCCTGATGCAGATGAGAAGGTGACGGCGATTGCCCAGTGGGAGGAGTCTTGTGACGAAGACGAGGAGGGGTGTGATGAAGATGGCCCGGTGGGGACGAAACGGGCGACTGCGAGTTCGTAAAATGGCGGCATACTTGACTAGGGAGATTCCGGGGGTGGGCAGAAAGCTTGGGAGGGGAGGAGGGAAAGACAACGTGCACTTATAGGCAGGCGAATTGTAAGGGAGACCGCCGAGGGAAAGACAACGTGCACTTATAGGCAGGCGAATTGTAAGGGAGACCGCCTGACAGAGGGACATGTGGCTGGCGGTGGTCGGTGTAGTAAGTACTTATGGGTGTGGAAGCGCTCTGACGGAAAAAGACGAGTCCCCCTCGGGCTATAGTGAAGCATTACTTTTGAGTGTATTAAACGCGACAATATCGACGTATGTCCTAATCTATCCCTAAATGTGTAAATTAACGTCTCACCGTCACCTCCTCCGCCAATACGAATTCGGTTTCGGAGTGTTGCCCAGCCTTGTAATGCTGGTCCTAAAAAGTAAGCGGAAAATTCCAGGGCGCTCTCTCCTTACATTATCGATCCTCTAATTTCACCAACATGGCAGATCAATCCTCGGGTCATCATCTGGTCCATTTCCTGTCGCAATCTGTGAGTCCGGATCAGTGTCCACCGATAAAGAGGTCCACTGCATTGCGTGAGAGGCTTCTTCCTCCTAAGTTCGAATTCATATACACTTTGTCAACTCTTCCAAATTGGTCAACGACGCTGTCTTTGTCGTGGCTCGTGCTGCCAGTCGCCACGACAGCCGTCGGACGTTTGCACTGCGACTAACATAAACAGGACTGTCAGTCAGGCCCATCCACTGATCAGACGTTTTCGGATCGATGTAAGCAATCAGCTCTCGGAGTAGACCCGTCCATGTTTACTTATTACCGAATAAAGAGCTGGAACATGAGTCCCGTCAACTGTCCGGAATTATCTAGCTCTCCACGCCATGTCCAGAATTTTACCAATATAGTCCAAAATTAGTTGGGTTCCGAATCTAAGGTATGTATTGACAATACGATATCTTCCGCAGGTTCTACGTATATATTAATATCGTTGCGATGGGGAGCATTTATGTGCCGAACTTCTCTGCGTTGTATATGCAAGTCAGAGTAAGTCAAAGAAGTCGCTCGCGATTAGTTACATATTATCAGAAGCATCATGCAAGATAACGAAGCGAAGTGAATGCATATGGACTTCGGCCTTGCTCACAAACACAGCCACGAAGATCGTAGTGAGTCTCTTGCAAGTGAAACCCAGATTCACGTCTTCAAGGACTGCGGGAAGTACGGACGCAATATCAACCCCGAACATTCTCCGCCCAGCCACGCCAAGCATTTCAATTTCGACGTCAGGGCTGGGCAAAGTCACAAGACTCGAATTTGAGGTGGGATCAGCGGCTTGGTCCGTAAATTCCGAAGTTGCATTCATTTCACCGGAGGATAGTTGTATTACGTTGGGCGATGGAAGCTCCCCATGCAGTCGCAGCAGACGAAATTACTGTGGAAGTACGAGCTCATACCCTCAGTATGTATGGGGAATGAGCAACCGAAAAACCAAGCGTTGTCGTAGGGGAGCGATCCATGATAAGGCGGAAAGGGGCCGCGGCACGAAACATGACTTGTTGACTACCCAAAGCAGAAGGTGCTGTGCGAGTAATGAATTTCGTGTTTTATCCTACACGTAATGAGTATGCTTCCAATGGGCTCATAGCTTACGCAGTAGTAGTACGGGAGCAGGAGGGGCATTTCCAATTCCATATGCCACCTGACGTTTTCGGCGGGGGCTCCACCTGTGTATTTGTAAGCTATACTTCACTAAGTCAGTTTATCTCGGAAAATTGGCAAGTGGCGGTGCGTGGGACCTGCAAATTTTGGATCGGCCTCCTACTTCACTAAGTTGGCTTGGGTATTTTCTGTGCATGCCTTGCTAAATGACGGTAAATGACGGCTGAACTTGGGTCGTGAGTCCATAAGCCAGATAAGCATTTGCCCCAGAATGGCCATGACGGCATGCAAGGCGTATATTAGTGTGGATGCCGGACCTCGAAGGGAACCTCAAGATGGTAATATTGACAGCAGATTGAACTCGCCCAATTGATACATACACTCGGAGGGCAACTCTCCTGACCAAGCTAATCCAGGTACTGGTGCTGCATTAAGAAGGGTCGTGTTCTTCCTCCCGCATTCGTAAAATGAAAAAAACATCTGGAACCGGCTGTTCGGGAAAGCAGGTTACTTCGGGAAACCATATCAGTGCTGATTAGCGCCCAGAGTGTGTAGGCGACTTGCCTGCCGATCCAGCCTGCCGAAGTTCAAAAAAAGCTGGAATGTAATGAAAGCGCGAAGATCGGCAGACTTATGAAGCAGTGACTGCGCCATTACAATTCTGAGCCACAGAGTTCGTGCCAGAGACCCTGTAATTATGAACGTTAAGTATGATCGCTATTGTGACTTGCAGAATGTCAGAACCTACTTTTAGATCAAGCTTGCGTGGTTCGTAGCACCGTACGCGCACATTTTGCGAGGCACGAATGATCAGTCTATAAGAGCAAGCTGATTCGAATTCGTGGCTCAAGCTTGAGAGCGGGTCTGATACATATGTAGAACATGGTTTACTAAAACCGTGGTATTGTTAGAATGAACACGCACAGGTAGGTGGTTATACCTATGGGACTACTCAACAATTTGGTTTGCAGTCGCTTGCTCGTTTGGTGGACAGGTTGATGGCCGCGATCCACGGCTGTGGCACTGGTTGGCGATTTTCCCACGGGTATTTGCTGGGCCAACTAGCAGTGCAGCAGATTCCTCACTGCAACCATCCATCCATCCCGCTACGTTACCCTCCAATTTTTGCTGACGACGACATCGGACAAGAAGTTGATAGGAAATGGACCTATAGCTTTGCAGCAGTGCAAAGGAGATCAGAACCGACATTCCGTGTCATTCTTACAGTGTCACTATATCTTGAACCATATTCATGTCCAGCGAAACAGCTGCTCAAGTTGCGAGGTGCGCTTTCTTTTTGTCGGATTTTCTTATTTCGTAGCTGACAGATACGCATCTTTTATATTCTGATGACATCCCTGACTGCTATGCATGATATCGCGAACGTACATCCTTGCGTCTTGGTATGACCATGGGCATCAACATCATTTCGGGTGGAATCGCTTGAATGGACTGGGGAACAGGGAGGCCAAGGGTATTTACCAAGGCCTCAAAGAACTCTTCAAGACACACAACCCCTGGGATAAGGAGGTCGAGTTCAATCGGAAAAAGTATGTCTCCCCCTTTCTTATTTCTGCCGTGGAGTTGATGAGAACCGACTTCCCTTTAATCGTGTCTTCGATAATATCCACGTTCATATCCGCCATTACCCCAATGCTCACTTTTCGATGATGCACTCGTTGCAAAGCCTCCGTCGTCTTTATCTCCGTCTCCTCCTTGTCGAGCCATATGCAAAGGAATCCAAGGATGCGGAGACGCATCTGTGGATGCAAACATCTTACCAATTTATATCCCTGTACAAGCAAAACATTTCCAACCTTGACCGTGTTTTGCAGCAACAAGGACGTCCTCCCCGCCGGAATCGTGTTCCACCAGATCAAGGCTCTGATCAACAACATCAGGACCAGCGTAAACATGGGCCCGTTGAATATCGTAAGCTCATGCAACGCTTTCGCCAGTTCTTGGCCGAAGAAGAGAAGTTTTGGATACGCTTCGTCGCTCGATACCATCGTCAATTCAATATATCCGAGGCTCGGCCAGTCCTGATCGAACTCGGCGAAATCTCTGCGACAGCGAACATAAAGATTCCGGAACTCGGAGATACGAGTGAGGGTGGCGCTGCCGGTCCTGCTGTTACGAACAGTGACGTCAATGTAGAACATGAAAACAACTCGGCCGGGAGCGGTACAGCCCGCCCACCACGCGACCACTTCGGTTTCCCGCCGGAGGATACTGTCGCCTTGCATCCACCCCCTAACATTGACGAAGCTGAACGACGTGCGGCTATACTGGCCATTGTTACAAAGGCTCTCGTATGTCTAGGTGATATTGCAAGGTACCGAGAACTCTACAATGAGTCCGGAGGTCGACCAAAGGCAGGACACGAGGATGGGCCTGGCGTGGGACCAGCTCGTCGCGGTCGTAATCGTCGTGAAGGGCCAAATTCTAGTGGACTTGGGCAGGTTACAAGAGCACGCACATACCACCGATCGATTTCCCTCTACGAGCATGCACGTGCACTCGTTCCGAGCGATGGTAATGCAGCGCACCAACTTGGTATTTTAGCGTTTTATGGTGGTGACATCTTCCACGCGCTGTATTGGTATTGGAGGGCCCTTTGTGTTAGGGCACCTTATGAAGCTGCCGTAGAGAACGTCAGGAAGGTGCTTGCGAGGGCTGCTTCAGAGGGAGCCTCGAGATGGTCTAGCCAAGGTGCGAGGGTGGAAAGCGACGAGAAAGTATTGGCTAGGAAGGTAGAGGAGATGAAGGAAAACATCGCGTTTTTATATGCGTTATTGAGGGTTGGAGCTCAGAGGTGAGCCATTACCATCATCGTTCTTGTCTGTGCGAAATTACTTTGACACATCATTTCCATAGGCTCAACGTTAGCACTGATGTTTTAGCCTCACATGTCGCAGGGAGTTTCAAATCTCTGGTATCCGAGCGAGCCCTGCCTGCAGAGATGGTCACTCGGGTAGTCGTTCTCGTTCAAGGTGCTCTATGGAAACATCGGATGATCCGCGACGCATCAAGGGCACCTTCTGCCCCTCAAATTTCCAAACCCCATGAACGCGAAGGGCGGTCACGTTCGAGGTCTCAGTCAATGGGAATGAATGACGTCGACGAACAAACATTCGGTCCCAATCCTGACGACACTAACAGCGACACCCCAGCCGTTATCGAATCTCAGCTTTTTATGCACCTCTTATCGCTTCATCGCGCTCTCTTTGAAGTCGGTGCAGCACAACTCGCGACGCCTCCACCTTCCGACGCATCCGAGAATGAATTGGCACCAAGGATTACGGCAGTTTTCAGAAGGATGCTGCCTGCGCTGAGAGTGGCCAGTAAGTGGATGGTGGGAAACGTTAGCTATATCATCAAGGCACTCTCGGCAAGCTCGCGCAATACGGACTTGAATGATGGTGCAAGGGGATGTGAGACAGAAGATGCCCAACATGGTGGTATCGCCCTCTTCCTCATTCGCTTCACGGAGTTCTATACTGCACTTGGAAAGACTTTTCCTCTTGAGAAGCTACCGAAGCTGGAAGCACCGCTCGATGAGGACGTCGATTTAAAAGGCTTTTTGCCGTTAAGGGGCAAGATGATTGGTGATGATATCGGTGATAGAATAGGACAAGGGGCGACGTCCTTGGCTACGGAGGGTGCAGGTAAGCAAAATGCCAACAAGGAGAGACGTAGAGCGTATGCACCCACAAAGGTGCCCAAGGAAGTTCACCCGAACGAAGAGCAACTTATGCGCATATGGGACCTGGTCACGGATGCAAAAGCGTTGACTGAGGTTAAGGTAAGGATTATGGCTGTCTGGTATAGCACTCGTGCGCATGGGCTGACTTCGTGCTTCTTCGTCCGTTTTCTCAGGGTTTCCCTGTCCGTATGGAGGGTTCGGTATTTCTGCTAGATGACGCCGGATTTGAGACGGGAACAAAGAGCTCATCTTTCATCCCTCCTGCGGCAATGAGTCCCTCGTTAAATCTAGCCTTTTTACCCGAATTACCGGACGAACGAAAACATGAACGCGTGCACCGTCTTCAGCAGCCACCTGGACAACGAGGTCTGCCGGAGCACATGGTAACATCTGACCATGAGCAAGATGACGATGTGGGGACCGATGCCGGCCGAACAGACGATGATCCTGTTGGGGACGCATTCAGAGAAGTGTTGGATAACCGCCCTTCGTCTGAAAGTGAACGCGATGAAGACGAGGATGAAGACCAGATTGTGTGGAATCCGAGGTATGTGGTTGATATTTCTTGATTTTCTTGATTTTCCACGCTCTTGCTGACCTCGCGTTGGGCTTGCACAGACCGATAACCTCTCCACCAAAAACCGTGATGCCCACTACGCCTAACTTGCCAGAAACGATCATAGCCGATGCAAGGACGGTTAAAGTTAAAGAATCACCGAAGGAGCCAATTGCAATGATAACTCCAAGTCTCAACTCGGCAGCACTACCTTTCCCACCCTATCGGGCGGTTACTTCCTCAAAACCTAAATCTCCTCCAGCTGCGGCAGGAACTACCGCTCAGGACTTGCTAAATAGTGTCATGGCGCTGGGGGGGTCGAGCAATAGGATTGCGGGTGGGTTGAAGACAAGTGCAGACCTAGGGTTATCTCCACGTCTTGCATCGGGTGTTGTTCCGTCACAGCAGCCGCCTTCATTCTTGTTTGGACCTGGCTTGCAGAGTTCGCCTATTTCCATTTGGTCTACTTCGTTGGACCAGGACCGTCTGTCTCTCCTTCCACACCATAAATCCACCGAGCCGAGTCAGGGCATTGAAAGTGGTGTTGGCCTCGGGGAGCACAATCGACCATATGCGCACTCGCATATATCTGCACCTAGCCATGCCCTACCAGTGTCAGCGCCGAGCGCAGGTTTGGCATCCGTGTGGCCTCCTTCATTCGCTGGTGGCTCTCCGCATCACTCCTTAGGGACAAGGATCGGTACGAGTTCGGCTGAACTACCCTTGACTCCCCATATGCATGCTCCCATTCACCCAAGTGATGTGCATCATATTCCGCAATCGTTCCAGACAATTCGCGGTCCCGGTCCGAGCCACCATCGGACCCTGTCGTCAAGCCTCTCTGGCTCTTCACCAGTCATACAGCAGAGCATGGCTTACCGAAGCCCGCCATATGGCTTGTCTGGGTTGCCTCCAACTACTGGTGGTGTACTTTCTTCAGGTTCTTCACTGCCAAGCGGCATAACCAGTACAATGATGAATTCGTCGGCAATGGGGGCCAGTTCGCTTTCTGGTGGCCCCGGATTGTCCTATCATCCAACTGCTGGTCCTAGTTTTACCGATCCCGCCATCGTGTCTGTGGCTGGCCCTACTCTTGGCCCCGCGCCAGCACCACGTCCACCACCCAACAGTCAGATTGGCATCCCTCAGTTCGAGGTGTTTTCTAGTAGTGGCATACCTGCACAACGGCAATACCTTCGACAAGGACCTCATTCCAGCCAACCAATGTCATTCAGCGCATGGGATAGCACGGTGTGATTTTGAAATGATGGCGGTACATCGTTTGCCCCCAACCTGACGTGTCATTATCTGGACCGATGGTTCGCAGCTTTTAGTTTCGTTCTCATTGTCCCTCGCTACGGTTGATCGTCATGCTTCCCGGCTTAAGTGTGCAAAGCTCCATGGGCTGTCTGGGGTTTTCTGATACACATTTGTGTGCGCTTCAGTAGGACTGTATGGCAGTGTTCCCTGAACACGTACGAATCCACATTCGTCCGCATCCTCTTACCCTTCTTTCGATCTTCTCCCCCCAAGCTCGGTGGCGTGTTTAACTCATGCCAATAGCTAAGTTCTGGTTGCTTATGTTTTCTCCGTTCCGGACTGCCAAGTACGTTTATCGTTTGGAACCCCTGTTGTATGACCGACCTTTTCTTTCCAATGATGATTCATCGTATTTGGTTTCTCTCCTGTTAATTCTGATTTTTCCTATTGCTGGCTTGGTTTGTAAATGGTTTGACTTGTTTAATGATAGCGCAGAGGTCAGTGCCCAGCTCTAGTGGATACTGCCACCCAGGATTTGCTCTATGTCATTGATTACTCTGCACAAATGCTACAGGACAATCAACTGATGATCATTGATCTCACTTACCAATGCCTCATTTTGATCTGCAATTCTGGGCAGAAAGCAGTGCATCATTCCATACCACTGCATCACCCATAGCATGCACAACTGCGAATCGCTTTATATCATCTACAGTACATACATATGTGCACCATTACATCTATAATGTAGAAGCCCAAGGATTCCCAACGTCACGAACTTCAAGACATGTAAGGGTATGTGTAGAAGAGTCATTATGATACGCGTGGAATCTCGGTCCACCAGGAAATCACCAAGAAAATGGAGCAAGAAACGAAGAACACAGGCATTCGAAAGGGGTAAAGTATGGAAAGGGTGTCCAAGGGACGTCTGCAATAGAGGGCGACACAACGCCCCACCAAAATCAAACATGGTATAGCACGGGCTCACGTTGCCAACGTCACCCCCAAGAGGTCCGAACGTCCGTAAATGCCAATTACTTTGTCTGAGGTTCGAGAGAAAAAAGCGTAAGATTAGGGCCTGAACCCATGTCAGGAAGAGAACGCCCGACACAGTTCAGGCGGGAAGCGATCGTCCGTATCATACAATTACCATCCCAATATTCGTTAGTTCTGTTTATTATCAAACCCGCGCCTGAGGGCGGGAGGCGTGGGGAAGGAGTCAGTGAGGGACGGCAGCACGTTGTGGAGCAGCTGGTGCGACCAAACCTTTAATGGAAAGGTGCTATTCAAAAAGATAAGATACGTACTTGGCTGCGGAATCCTCTTAAACCGGGGTCGCGATCACGCCATCCCAAACAATCCTCTCAATGCGCTCCTCACTTTCGACTCTCTCTCAACCTTGGGTAGGACAGGAAGGTACATCGCAGACGCAGACGCATCTAGGTTCCCATCACCCTTTCCTCTTCCTACCCTCTTCGGGCTTCCACGCCCGTGAATGTCGTCTGGTAACGTTTGCGGTCGCTTGAGTTTTCTCGGGGTATGAACCGACGCGGGCGATGGACAAGGTGAAAGTGAGGGTGGTGGTTGGAAATGGGAAGGGGGAGATACGAGGGTTCGGGGTACGGTGCCCTTCTGAAGGTGTCCCGGTGTCCGCACCTCCGGAGCCGAAAATTGCGATGCAAAAGTGGGCGAGGATGCAACGGCGACATCAGTCGGCACCAGCTCAACATGCCTTTGAACTGGCAGTTGCGATATCACCTTTGGTGGGCTAGAACGCCCACACAGCGGACACGAGTGGTACGCTTGCAGCTGTGGCATGGGAGTGACAAGTCTGACCGGGCTCGGAACGGCGTCTCCATCCCACGGATTAGGCAGCGGCACGGTCAAGAAGGATGCGTCGTCGCTTGAAGTCGTCAGCGTGGAGCTAGATGTTCCCGGTCTAGGAGGTGCTAGTAATCCCGAAGTCGGGCGCGGATGGTGACCGCCATTGACTACTCCGTTTGCCTCTGCATCGGTTGCGGTAGCATTAACGATCGTCAGCACGGCTTCCTTGGAAAGGTGTCCGTGGCTAAGCCTGTGGGCAAGGCAGAGGTCGTCGTTGGCGGTTGTGCTTGGTGGCTCGTCTACACACAACACCACTTTCGCGGTAGACGTCGCAAAGGCGTCTTTAGTTACAAAAGGGATGGGATTTACACTTTGAACGGTCGAAGGAATCCGTATACTACTCGCCGCCGATCCGGGAACCGATCCGAACAACGAAAGAGGGTTGACTGTCGTGAAAGGGAGAGCAGGTGAAGGGGAAGCGCACAGTGAAGGAGATGCAACGAGTGTGATCTCGCTGCCTTGAGGCAGGGTGGTTATGTTCGTGTCCGCGTTTGGGTGAGTGTCTGAATGGGTATCTAGCTCGTTATTTGTGTCGGGGGCAGACTGCATAATAGTGGCATTCGCAACTTTGGGAACCGCAGAGAGGGCAGGAGCGTCTGAACCCCACTTCTTCCTCATTTTCCCCACTTTCCTGGGCACGCCTATGACGTCACCAGGACCTACACCAGCCTGATAAGTCCCAGGTGTGACATTGGCAGAAGATGCAGATCCATCCCGATCTCTCACCTCGCGCTTGGACCTCGATTTCCCAAACGAAAGAACAGGTAGGAGGAAGCTGTACCGTTTCGAGCGAGGACGAGTGTTGACGTTGGAGGGGGTTGAACTGGCTTTGCCAGGAGCGTTTACATCCATTTCGGTGACCACAGCAATTTCTTTAACATCTGGCGCTCTTCCTTTGTGGGGTATTAGACCCACCTGACTGGGTGCAGCTTTGGCAGGAATCGAGTCTACTGCCGGCGAAGAGTCACGAACGGTATGTCTAGCCGTGTTGTCATTCTTATCCTTACCAATCGGTAGGCCATTGGTGTCAACGTGCTCCTGTTCTTGCACATGTCCGTTTGACGATCCACCGTGGCCATGGGACGACCCGTCTTCGACGATAGTCGAGAGGACAGTCGGAGCGTGCTTGAGAGGGGCATGCGTTGGCCCTGCTGGGGCTGTCATGGCGGAAGGCGCGGGCACAGATCCAGACCCGGGCTCTACATTTGTAGTCGAGGTAGCTGCCGTGCTTGAAGAATCTGGACGATAGACAGATGAAACTATGGAAGCGGGCCTGGACTTGGTGAGCTTCCTCTTTCTCTGTGGATGTTGCTTCGTCGTCTGGCTTGCCTGGGCAGGCACGTGGGGTATACTTTCCTCTCTGTCGTTCCCTTGATCCTGGGCATCTACCTTCACATTCTCGCCCATCGCCTCCGTGACCACACCTTCGTTTGGAACCCACGCTACTCTGCTCTCATCCGCCCCAGTCGTGCGCACACTCACCGCAGACGTCCGATCGTCACTATTCGCGCCAGCGTGGGAAGGTACTGTGTGGTTTGGTACAACGGTGACACCTCTCGGAGCACCGCCCACCCACTCGGCAGTGACACGTCGTGGGGGGTGATCCAGGAGGCGCGCTGGCGGCGGTAGCGAGATTGCGTGTGCCACGTCCACGATCATGTGTTCACGCATTTGGACAGGTGTTGAAGGCAACGGCGGCGGAGAGAGTAAAGGTGACGACGTAAGATCATCCAGACTCCTCGTTGGTGCCAGCACAGCTCTCTCCCCACCACCTGTATCCCTTACTTCATCTCCCTCAATCTCGGACGTATTCTCACCCTCCGATCCCCCGGACTGAGCTGTGGCAAACGATCCAAAAGAGCCAACAGACAACCTCATCATGACATCAACAAAACTGAGCCTACTACCCGCAGACATGCTTTGCGGATTAGATTGACGACGGACCCTCGGACGTGGTCGAACCGGAAGGTAGGACTTCTCCTTCTCTTCTGACGATGTATCAGAAGATGGGAACAGAGAGGATGATGTAGTTGGCGAAGGGGGAGGGATAGGTAGAGAAGCGGGGGAAGGAGGGGTCTGGCTGGACGCATCAGATGTGCACGAGAAGAAGGTATTTGTGGACGACTTCGGAGAGAGTGGTTGGAACTCGTGGGTCGGCGTAGCAGATGTGGCGGGGTCTGTCTGCTGCTCAATACCTGGGGTGGCAGCTATCTCTGGCTTCACTGCCATCGTGGAGGAAGTCGCAATCGGCTCGCTTGGAAGGACATCCGATGTTGGGGAAGGAGGATGTACCTTTACCTCGACATGAGCATCCGGCGGAACGATTTGCAGAGTTGGGACCTGAGAAAACTTGGACTCCCGTGCACTGCTATCCACAAAGCTAACCCTTTGCTCTCTTTCCTTTCCTTTCCTCTTGTCTACACTGCGAGCGTTCAAGCCGTTTAACGAGTCAGAGGGGCTTGGTAGAGCAACACTGCGCCTTCTCCGCCAGTCCTTTGCACTGATAGGCATGACGACGCCCGACTGCTTGAGTGACGCACGGGAAAAACGAGGTATTTCTGCCGGACCAAAAGGGTTCTTATCGGTTGTGTTTGTCGCTCCATCCGGTTTAGATGGTACCGGTGCCTTCGGAACATTGGTGGGGACGGTCGAGGTGACCGAAGCCCACAGGGGATTCCAATTATCCGCGTTTGTGCTCGTTCTTGATCTATGATGTGCATTCGGGTTCAGGGTTGACTTTCGGTACGTGCTTGGAGAAGCAGTGGGAGTAGAGCTGTGAGACCTCACCACGGGGAATGGTCTTTTAACATGTGACGACATCCCGGCAACCGAAGTGGGCTTTGGTGTAGCGCTCGTTGGATCCCCACCGTCGACGAACGACACTGGCCTGGAATCTGGACGAGAACGGAGAGATTCTGTGCGAGAGTGTGTGAGAGCTGGAGGGGGAAATGCAGGATCGGTGGGGGAAGTAGAAAACTGAGTGAGCTGAGTACTGGACGTAGAATGAGTGAAGGTAGACGAGTGAGTGGTGGCACTTGAACTGGAGTGTGAGGCAGTAGAATGCCCTGTGGACGAGTGACCGGCTGTGGAAGATGGGCGGCGGAAGAAGTTGAACGCGGACATAGCGGATGAATCTTGTTTCACGGGTTCAGAGCGAGGGTGAGGTGATGGTGGTTCGAACCAAGGAGGAAGTTGGAAAGAAGGGATGAGATAAGGCGGCGAGCACGGAAGAAGCCATTGTGGACTTACTTCTATCCTTTGGACCATCTTTGCCACGTTTCGAAGTGGACACGAGTGAGAAGGAAGAAGAGCTGGCATCGGGAGAAGACGTGCCCACGAATGACAAGGTAGAGGAACCGGGTGTCCGTGAATGATCGATGGCACCGTCGCCGCCGCGGGTGGTCCCGTCGAGAGAACGCCTGGAGGGGGCCCTGGATAAGGCAGGGCCTGCCAGAGGCGAAGAGCGCAGAGGACGCGATCCAAGAGTCGACGATGACGCTGAGAGAGACGGTGCAAAGCCTGAATTCATGGACCCCGGTGCCGTAGCAGGACGCCTCGGTTGGCGAGTCTGTCCAGGGTGAACTCACGAGCACAACCACACGCGTGCAACACACACATACCTGGGGTGCGACGGCAGTCATGTGCAATTAGGAAGAGGAGGGGACGGAGATGGAGAGAAGAAAAAAAAAAGAACGAAAGCCTCGGGTTATAATTGCAACAGCCTCGAGGCGAATTAAACACAAAGGCACGGAAAGGCTCAATCTTGGCATCTCATTCCATCATGCCGGGCCCAGGTCAGCAGCTACCGTCACTGTCATCCTGCACAGGTTTTACAACCGACCTAAGAAGATTTATTATATTGCATGGCCTCGTCGTTGTTGTGGCCACGTCTGCGAAGGTGTTGTGTCTTGTTTGTCCAATACCCCCCAAGTGGTCGGGCCCGCTGCAAAAGTCGCTGACGCCAGGGATGCCGTGCTCCTCGACGGTGTAACTCTGCCGCGTGTGCGTATTTTTGTACTTTCCGTGTCTAAGAATATCCCAAAACAAACCCACAGATTATTAATTTACTTGCCGGACCTGCAGGGCCTCCAGTCCCACAACTATCCGATCACACATGGTGGATTGTGCAGTTCCAATTGCCCTCGCCTCTTCCGCATGCTCAAGGTCGGTTCCTGGTCAGGTTAACTCCTGTTAGCCCCTTGTTCAAGCGGTGCACTTGGCAGGAGAGGGAGAAGTTAAGCGATTCGGAACCTCGATGCTTAACCTCTTTCAGCTAATATTGTCATCCACCATGACTCATGAAACTGTCCACTAAGCTGTGATTTGAAACAGCGCGACGAACTTGTTACATGCTGTAGGTTCCATTTCATATAATTCATCATCATATCACAGATTCTGGGCTCGGTGACCACGTAACCTCGGCGGTTTCCCGCTTATGATCCCACCACGGTTTCAGCTACATAAGTACTTACATCAACACGCTCTCACATTGGATAACTTCCGACGCTCAGTAGCATCCAACCCTCTACCTGTGGTCCTTGACATCTTGGGCTTCCGATTGGCAACTTATTTTAAGCACTGGAAGTGACGATGATTACCAACAGCCGCACTCCGATCGTGAGATGAGCTCTACGTTGTGGACGCATCTGGCTTGGTCCCAATGAAGGTTTAACTAGCAGGGAGATAAGCCAGTAGCCATCAGACCCTTCGGAAGAACATATCCCAGTCGATCACATGGATCGTAATGCTATCTTTTAGTGTGGGCATCTGCAAGGTAATTATAGTGACAATTGAGCCACGAATATCCACCACAGGAACGAATCGGAGGCACTTTCCAGCCGATATCACTGCCAACACCTCATGCCATGTCGTTCATAGTCGGAAATCGATGGCGGCAGGATGCATAATACATCCGTTTACCCCGCATGCTGCCTGATCAGCAAGGGTGGCGATTTCTGCTGTTCCCAAGTGGACTGGAAAGGAAAGCCCTCCCAAGCTCTCGCTGCAGGTGCCAGCACAACGAGCAAACCAATCAAACTAGGAGCAACACCAAAGACTCCCAACTATCTTATCTTCCGGTACATGTGAGGGTGGCGAGATCATGATATCACACCGGTTTCCAGAAGGAGTGTAGTTCTCTCCACTTACATATTCTACACTAATCCACCCCAAAGTCGAGTTTTGGATGAAGTCGATCAGTCCCCGAAATGAATTCACACTTCCTAGCATCCAAACCGTCACATGACTCCACTTGTTCGACGCTCATATCCTCGGATCTGTCCACGAAGAAGATGCAATATGCTCTATGTGACACATGCATGTTGAACCAACAGAACATGAGGCACGATCGTCCGTCGGGACAAATTCCGGTGCTGCTGATCGCAAAATGAAGGGATTGCGTGAACGTCGGCGCGAAAGATATCGCACACTTTTTTTTCGACCTGTCGACTTCTATTTGTAAGATGATCCTCCTAAGGATAGCGAAGGTTGGTTCGTACACGCTTCGAGTTACGAAAAGTTGCAGTGCGTCGCGAATGCGTCTTACTTCGTGGGACGAAAGTCCCTCGACACGCCTTTTCCCAAAGTCCATACGGGGTAATAGCGCAGACATTCCATCCGGAAGTTGGCCGCCCATACAACGACACGCTGCAAACGATCGGTGGGTATGATCTCAGCCAAGTCATGTGTACCCACCAACATGCGCTGCGCCCAGAATTGTTGAGAAATCGGCGATCAAGGCGTGTCGATAACGCTGCACTGTGACTCAAGGTGAGAACTTACCTGAGAGTGGGCTGTGGAGAGTGACACCAGGTAGCAACCCATGAAGTGATCCCGACAGGTTGAGGTACATACCTAATTGGCATCTTTCAGTATCCAGAGTTTCAGGGGGGAGAGTACGTTCTGCATGGGTCAGCCTAACCGGTTAACGACTTAATTGGTCCGGTCCAATGCCGGGCCGGGACCTCGTCCGCATTCCATTTTAGTCGGAAGACCAGATTGTCTATGAAGCTTGATTAGGAAACTAAGTGGCAAGCTGTCGATAGATTCCGTTCTGGTTTGGTGTTGTGGTCAGTTGTGGACACCATCGAAATCAGGTAAGTATGTCGATTCTACATACGAGGTAGTACGAGGCTCTCTGCCAGTACTTGATGTTCGGAGGAACGGTAGTAGATGATACTAGGGTTGTCTTCGGGGCAGGACTAGTTGGACTCTGGGATACGTATTGCCCGTGCAATGAGGTTTGGCGTATTCAAACGATGAGTCTTGTAGTACGTCCACCTGATCCCTTAAAGACCATCATGACCCACATATATTCTCTGGTTTCAGGGCATGGCAAAGCAACCTCTGTTTTAAAATCCCGCTCAGGTGCGTAATCCATAACGTGACTGCCTGACGAGGTTCGACAGATTTACATATTGCGATGATTTATAGTTTGCTAAACGACAAATTACGCTGCTCAGCGGCGAGAGAACAGGACAGAGTAATAGCTTCTTGCCAAAAATATAACAGGTATACCGCCTTCACAGATCGACCTCTCAATCATCATCGCCATCCCGGTCAAATCCTCTAAACAACGCCAGCAAATCATCCATTCCCAACTTCATATTCTTCAGCTTGTCACCACTGAGTGCTGCCGTGGTCAATTGCCGTTTGGTGTCTTGCAGCTACGAAAAGAAAGGAAGGTTAGAATGATCCAAGATCGCTTCAGAGTAGTTTACTAGGGCAACTGACCTGCAAGATACGCGTTTCGACAGTTTCGGGTATCATGAGCTTGTAGATATTCACGTCTCGCGTTTGTCCGAGACGATGGGCACGATCATATGCTTGATCCTGTGCGGATCATTTCGCGAAGCATGAGGTGAGGGATGAAACAAAAGCCATCTTTCATCAGTTGAACATACCTCGAGTGCAGGATTCCACCACATATCCACTAAGATAACATTGTTGCATGCAGTCAGGTTGAGGCCTATAACGATATTACACAATGACTGGAACGAAAGTATTCGTTAGAGACATACCAGTGCTTCCCGCTTTGAAGGAGATCAATATGCATCGCGTACTCTTGCTGCTCCTGATCTTCTCGAGGCTGGCTTCACGCTTGTCTTTTTGCATCGTACCGTCATCTACCCAGGAACAGGTCAACACCGTGCGCCAAGAGGAGGTAAAACTCGACAACGCACATCGAACATATTTCACCCCCTCTGCATCCAAGAATGGTTGTATCAAGTCTAACATGCTCGTGAACTGTGAAAATATAATCGTCTTCTCTTCTCCTCCGGAACGCTCATCGACCTCTTTCAAGATTTCTAGTATCTTTCGGATCTTCGCTGAGTCAGGAGGAAGTTTGGGGTCCTTGGAGTTGCTGGACTTTGTCACAGCCAATGAAGCACAGCTATCACAATGCACCGAGTCTTGTCCAGCAGGAAGTCTGTCGACCAACATGAGCATTAACAGGGACGGGACAGAAGGAAACATGCACGAACGGCGCTTGGCATAACTGGCATTTCTTGCCGTTCGAGACCCCCATCTGACCAAATAGTTCATCTAGGTCATCTACGCCCTCGTCGTCATCTTTGGCAGGCTTCGGGTCCGCAGCATCTTTGTCAGCACGATAGTCCTTCGAGATCAGCGAGGGATGATTGCACGCTGAAGGGGAAGTCAGAGGAATCATCCACTTGTGATTAATGATCAGAGGAGCAGAAGAAAGCCTCCTAACTGTACTCACCTTGCCTCAGCCGAAGCAAGAGTAACAACACGTGGGTATAGTTAACATTCTCGCTCTGAAGGACTAGTTTATTGACTTCGGAATTCATACGGCTCTCTAGGCGGGCATAAAATGCTTGCTCTGATGGGTCGAACCGGCATTCGATGATGTCGAGATTGCGTTGTGGAAGTTGGAGCAGAGGTTTCCCGTTCAAAATTTGGTTCTTGGTCCGGCGGAGCATGATGGCTTTCAAGACGACCTTGGAAGCTTTGGGTTAGGTGATATGCGTACTGCGTGCGACAACTTGAACGTACATGAAGTCTCTGCATTGCTCTGTTAGGATATCCACCCTTAACTGGCTTTGCAATCCGCTCATTGAAAGTCTGCCAGTCGTTCAATGGACGGATGCGAAGAAATTTTATTAGCGAGTACAACTCTTCCACCGAATTCTGCCTTCGATCCCCCGCATTAGTTGTTAGGGTGAGCAAGGAAGATTGGTCTATTAGCTGGAGTAGATGGGACAAGGGTGGCAGACATACATGGGAGTTCCAGTGAGACACCACCTATACTTGCTTTCCAGGGCGCAGCAAGCCAACGCAGCCTTTGTATTGCGGTTCTTGATATTGTGGGCCTCATCTACGCAACCGGCAAAGAATGAATGAATGAAGGCTCAGTGCACGTGTGTTTGTAACTACAACTCACCGAGAACAATACGATACCACTTCACCCCGAAGAGAGCATCCTTTATCTTACCCGCCTTTGCCTTTGCCTTCAGCTTCCTCGTTAAACCTTCCGACGAATCTGAGTCGGACTCGGCCTTGGATTTGTCTGCTTTTTTCGATTTTGATTTTTTCGACTCATCCTTCGCTTCGGGAGCATATGAGGCGTATTCAGAAGAGACGATGCTATAGGATGTGATTACGACGTGCGCCTGTTGCAGCTTTAGCGGGTCTGCAGGCGAGGTATTATTATTTGAACAGATTCTGCTATCGAAAGCAAGGATGAACGAACCAGATGTCCGATGAGGACCGTGGTGCTCAACGACACGTAGTCCAACGGTCATCTTTTTAATTTCAGCAGCCCACTGGGATACGAGCGCAACAGGACAGATGACTCTGAGTTGTGGAGGTGAATGCCACCGTAAACATGCACGTGCATAGGAAATACGCACAGCGTACTTGGTGCCCAACCATCTGCCTTGTCCGACTTTTTCGGGCGCCCCTCGACAATACGCGTAAGCGTTTGTATCGTCTTCCCGAGACTGCGGGGCGTTATGTAGTTTAGCCAGCTTTTGCAACTTTTGCAATCCTTTTAAACTTACCCCATGTCGTCTGCCAAAATACCACCCATTTTCTTTCCGCTTTCTCGTTCCCTCATCCAGATCCTCCCCAGGACCTGGTGTGGCAACAAGACGATACCGTCAGTGAATCCCTCTACGATCGCTTGTTTCATGTCGATCTCGACGCCGTCGTCTGTGTCGCCAACAGTATCCTCAACGAGTGCTAGGAATGCCTTTTCGGCTTCCCCTGCTGACATGGGACGCTCATAGACGTCTCTCGTATCCGGAAGGTCAAAGGTCTCAGCGTCGTCGTCGGCGGTATTCAAACTAAAGGGAAAAGATTTGTTTGTGGGTAACTCGACTGGGGCTGGAACACGGTTCCACTTTGGAAAGTCACTTGGCTGAGCGCGTTCTATGGTGTGCGTCACGTTGTCCCGCGACACAACAGAGCCAGCTACACCTAGGAGTTGTTTACCTTTCCCGGGTTGCTCGGGAATTTTCTTGGTGGGCGGGCTGTCATTTACATCGCGGGCGTTGTCGAAGCGATGCAGCGTCATTATCTCATCAGTCACCGGAGAGCACGATGTCACTCGATTACGTACCTTTCTTCGTCCTCATCTCCACTCTCATCATCGGAAGAGATAATAATAGGGCCATTCTTGCCTTTGATGACCTTTGGGGCGGTTTGGGAGGTCGTCGATGATGCGGACGAAGATCCTGAATGCGATTCGCTCGTGGATGATGGGACAGACTAGCATCATGCATGACTTGAGCATAGGAACGAGCCTTTTCAGCTACATTATAGAAATACACTCACGGGGACATTTTCAGGAGCCCGGCCAGATGGTCTCCTCTGACCCGGCTTGAAGAACTCTGGGTAGAGATTTTGGTCCCCAAGGAGCTGTTGCCGTCTACGTAGGCAATAAATACGCGGATGTTGAGATAGATCTAAACGCACTTGGCTTCCATCGATAGTGGATTATTGGACAGATTTGAAAAGAGACGGGATGAGAGTTGAGTTCAAGTTGCGACGCGCGTGGCCACCAGGAGTGGCACGCGTTTCATTTGTGCTCACGTGACCGACCCACCATGTTCGCGTCTGCCAGGCGCAGGTGTATGTATTGCTTATCTAGTCTTTCTCTTCCAAGTGGATTTTAGAATTGATCCCCGCACACTCGTGGCGGCGCTTACTGCACTGTTAGGCAACTATCATGGCCTCGCCCATGTCTGTAACTCTTCGACTTGATTGGTTCATTTGTGGGTCGTTGGATCAATTTTTACGATACTCGCCGTATTTTATCATCCTTCTCTTCTTTGCTTCTTTTCCGGTGTGTTCTCTGTCACCTTCGAGATAGTCATAACTGAACTACTCGCTAGCGTAGATGGCTAGGGTTATGCTATCTACGATTGGCGTACCCAAAATATATATTCAATACGAAATTAGATGATGAGCCGAGAGCAGAAGAACTGCTACTATTGTCCACCGCTGCAAGCTAACAACTGATGAACGCGCAGAGCGGCAGCCTACTATGTGCTTGTCTGTCGTAATACACCATTCTCAATGCTCCGGATGGCGCACGAGAGAAAACGGTTAAAATACCTGTGTATGTCGCCATATGGCAGGATCCGTAAGTATGCAGATCATTCCATGATGTGATGGCATGATGGCAACGCCGGTGGGCGTGCATGTCACACCCAGATCGGGGAACGGAGATGCGCTCCACGGACAGGTACCTCCATTCCTATCGGAGCCCCTACCAGGGAAGCCTCCCTTTGAAAAATGCACAAAGCGCAGTTGCGGCCGGTACCGTCAGGATACGCTGTTCACATCATATTACTTAGTCAGTGGTCGTGGTCCATACATATCATGCGTTCTTTATGGAATTTTTATGAAAGAAGTTGACGGGTGGCGGATTGACACGGGAATGACAAGGTCTACTGTCGCTTATCACTGTCAGTGTGCCCCTTGTTTGTCCAGCGCAGAGTAAGTACACGTACGTATAGCATAGGCGATCGGGAGCGGTAGCGTTGCCAAAGGTGTCGGAAGCCTGGCAGTGGACTGCGAACGTGTCGGAAGACCCTTCCAAAACCAGGCCTACGATGCGACGGAGACGGCAACCGTCGCCGAGCGGTGCCGGCAAATCTAGGACACCGCCTGACACCGTCCAAAGTCGACCGTTGTGTGAGCCGTTCGAGACTAAGCAACTCCTGAAGTGCGAGGAAAAAAGAAAAAGAAAAAAAAACTCAATCACTGAGTGACCCAATCAGCGTTGATGGCAAACCCCCACCTAATCCCGAATAGGAAACGGAAATGAGGAGTGGACTATGAGCGTGAGAAGAATGTTTGAGCATGTCTTTCTGAGCAAAATCGGTCCCTGTCTTTGTCGCCAGTTTTCTTGTCCATTCGTGGGGTTGGGACACGCAAGGTGACCCCGAGCGATCATCTCCTTGGTCATCTATTGGTTGTGGTGGGTTTCTTGACGTCTGTGGTCGTTGTGTAAACCAGGGACGAAGAAGAAGCACCGTGAGCTAATCACAGGTACCACTCCAATGGCATCAACGACGATGGCTACCCACACACCGATCATGTCTGCCGCCACCACAATCACCCCCACTAGTCCAAGACCTTCTCTGTCCTTGGACGTTCAACACCCTCGGCCTAGCATAAGCACGCTCTTACCAGACCGCACTCATTCACAATCCAGTAGACGTGTCTCCTCTGAATCGCAGCGCACCTCACATGGCAGAGCATCCCCCTCCCCTAGAAGCACATCGCGTCGCACACCCGTCCCCGCCCTCCTCGATTCCTTCCCTATTCCACCGAGTCATATCCCTCCCTCACCAGCTACGCCCGTCAGTCCATCCATTCCCGGCTCATTTTTTGGACCTTCCTCTTCAACTCCCGGTCCTTCCGGTACCCATCCCCCACTAACATCACCCCCTCCTGCACCTCTTCCTCCTGTTCCAGGTCCTTCGTCGGTATTGCTTTCGGATCTGTTGATGACTCGTCGGTCACTTCAAACGGCTCGGCCCGCTTCTCCTGCCGGTGTCTCTGAAAACCCTCCGAGGAAGTCTGCTGACGGGCAGGGGAGGCCGAGGAAGGGCTCGCTTTCTTCCCTTCGGAACACTGCTTACTGTGCCGTGACACATGACCGAGGTCAAGGCGAGGTCATCCAGGAGGACCCTGGTGTCGAAGGTGAACACGGTTCTCAGTGTCGTATGTCTTGTTAACTTTTTCCGATTGGTCTTGCAACTTATGTTCTCAACAGCGCCACAATCGGCGCCAGCTCGTGCGCTGTCGCCGCCTGCGTCTGTGACTCCATCGTCTCCCCCGAGCATAACTCCCCTCGGTGCAGGGGATGAATCTACCAAATTAGTTCTTCCCCTTGAAACCACCGTTACCTTGGTGCCAGCGATTGCTCGTCCGAGTGCATCCCGTAAACCCAGTGCAGGCACGTCCATGCCGCTATCGGATAACACATATGGCGAGGACTCGATTGCGAGTATCGACATGAGCGATCTAAGTGCGCTCAAGTCAGATAACGAGGGTGATGGCGACGAATTACGGACATGTCTTTCCTTTCCCCCTGTTCCCCCTATTCCCCATTCCGTAGGGTCAGGTAAGAGAGGGCCACTCTACGCCCATACCCCCCGTAAGCCGAGCAAGGCATCTATCTCGTCTGTACACGTGTTCCCCATTTCTCCCACTGACCGGAATGCAATGCGTCACGTTGGCGACGTCGACAAGAACGACAATGGCGAACAAAACCGTGCTGATGCACATAACGATATCGATCGTAATGACGCGCAGTTCCGTTCACGTTCGACCTCTCCCGACCTATCGCAAATTATTTCACTGACTCCTCGTCCACGTAAACGGTCGACGCCGTCGCACCCAAGATCCCGGACATCAAGCTTAGGGAGGGAGAGAGCGCTGAGTGTGAGAAGCAGGAAAAGTTCAGATGCCCTGCCACCTCCTGTGCCGAAGTTGAGTCCTACGCGCACGAGGACTGGCTGGGGTAACTTCGGCGCCCGTGGGGAAGGTCAGCCCGAGGGGGAGACGGGTGCAGTACTTGGTGAAGACGACGATGCGTATGGTTCGGACTCGAGTATCGATCTGCATACACCCTTGCCGTGAGTCTTTCGAGAGTTTCTTTTTTTTTTCCGAATGCTAATGGTCGTGCAGTCATCTCATGCTACGGCACGGTATGCTCTCCCCCAATTCGAAATTGCTCCCGCAGCCTAGCGTTGACTCTCTGAACCGGATGAGCATGGTCTCTGACGTGTCGAATCTGTCTTACTTCTCCAATGCTTCCAACGTGTCGCTCGCCAGTACGTCGTCCAAGCATCCCAAGGATTCGAGAGACACGCCCAGGAGACGCACGAGGCACCGCGATGGGAAGTTGCTCAAGGGTGGTATTGGCCTCACCACCGGTCTAGGATGGAGCGATAGGTGGGCGCATTTCCTTATTGGTACCGTTTGATCCGACTGCCGCATTCATTCCCGACCCTCTCGGCGATTCCTTTGATTTCCTTTCTTGTAATGTGACTGTCATGCTGATCCCCCTTCCGAATCCAGTGAAGACGAAGACGCACCCTCCCCACTGACACGCAGGCTATCTCGGATTGTCCTCTCTCGCAGTACATCCGCCTCTTCGTTTCACTCTTCCAGGTCTTCCCATTCGCAACCGTGCTTGCCGCATCCACTGTCCCGCTCGATATCTCACAGCGTCCTACGCGAAGCAGACGAGTACGAAGGAGCGGGAGAGTCCGTTGCCGACTGCATTCCTTCCACCATCGATGAGTTTGGCCACTCCAGTGGGGTCACATCGCGGAGTTTGCCATCGAGGAGCGGCAGCAGGGCAGGCACCGTGAGCATCAGTCGCTCGGGCAGCACGTACAGTACCACTTCGGGGTCTGGCTCCAGGTATAGCAATTACTCCACGATGTCTGCTCCTGCTGCTGGTTTGCGTATGCGTACGAATTCGTCGTCAAGTTCTTATGAACCTGTGGGCCGGACGAACAGTTTTTCCCGCGAGAATGGGTACGGACTTCACGGGTTGGCGGTGAGTATTCCGGAGCAGGATGACGGTGTGACGCCTACGCGTGCTGCGTTTGACCGCGCAAGTTTGGGTGCTGTTAAAGGTGGTAGTGGAAATGGCACCCAAGGAGGAGACCAACCCCATACGCCAAGTAGCACTACCTCGTCAACTAGCTTGTCTTTCCCTGCTACACCGGAGAGCACAGACGGTGTTCAGCCTCAGCATATCGACGACAGAAAAAGTGGACACGGAGGCGAAGCGACCCCGAGCGCGGTTGCGTGGAACAAGGACAAGAGTCTTCCGCCTCTTCCCTACCCCGCGGTTACTACTGCCAATAGCAATAGTGCTTCGTCAAAGGGCAAGTATCCGCCTTCTCTTGGCCTCAGAGCACCAAGCGTGGTACAGCGCCCACGAACGTACTCTAATTCATCTTCCGTGTCGACGAAATCGGCTCTGGCGGCGTCAAATGCTGATGGTAATACATCGAGAGGCCCTTCCCCTGCACCAATAAATGCGCCTGCTACACCCTCGGCCGGAGGCACATCGATACCTCGTCCCTCACTTGGGATACCGCGGCCATCGTTGTCAACAATCTCTCCAGCCTCGAAATCTCGACCATCTCTCACGCTCCCGTCCTCGGCGCCTATATCTACTGCGACATCACCTTTGGCTACATCGCCTGTGACCAACGGTTCTATGGCAGGGATCAGTCAGGGGCAATCGCCACGCCCTCTTAGACTTGTCCCTTCGAGATCTGCCACACCGTCATCCGACCCGATACGTTCACAGTCCCCTTTCTTGTCACGGATGCCTAACCGTAACGTCAAGAAGGCCTTACAGCCTGGCGAGCAACTTCCCCGACCCGGGCAAATCCTCACCTATAACAGGAATGTACATGACCAGCTCAAGCTACGGTCCCTCTCGACTAGCTCAGGTGTCTCGAATGCAAAGATTGGGCCTGTGTCACCGGGAGGTACACAGACGCTCTTATTGGCTTCTCAAAGTGAAACCAGTGGTCTCGGTATTTCACCTGGATCGAGTCCCCTTTCCAGCCCTGTTACCGGAGAAAGTCCGAAACCAAAGCCAAGAACGGGTACGGGAATGACGTATCGGACGAATGGTACAAGCAGGATGAGGATGCCGTCGACCACTTCACGGTAGAGGCTTGACAAATGTGAGTTGAGTAAGCTCAGGGTAGCATGGTGCGGCGGTGTACATGATAATGATGTGGTGGCATATTGTCTAGTAGTGGGTTGGAGAGATTGTACGGGTGGCCTGCTGGGCTTGTGTGCGAAGATCAACTCCTACGTCGGTTCCTCTCTTGTGCCCCTCTTATGCGCGATGCGGCCGGCGGAGATGTTCCCTTTCCTGTGTTGTTCGGTTTATCCATGTCATGTCCTTACTACGCACGACCATTCCTGCGTCCATCGGTCACACGGTACTAGGGGTTTCCTCGGGATCAACATCGTGCCACGTGCTGCGCAGCTCCGCTCCCCCGCCCTCGATATCGACGATGTTAATGATACTGCGGGTAAAAAGGTCTGATCGTGATCCCCTATGTTGGTGGCCACCTTCCTTATTTCCGCTATACCAGCCATACCAGCGGAACATCTGATCCGTATTCCACTCAGTCAGTTCTCCCGCACCGGTAACCGCACCGACGTTGGGGGCATAATGTGGCAAACCTCTTCACTTCACCCTTTGCTCGACTTGATATCGCCGTGGACAACACAGGGACCGTCGCACTATGGACGTCGGCCGCCCGATATCCTCTTCCTTTTTTTTTTTTTCTTTTCTTTTCTTTGCATGGTTTCCACTTCGATTTCCCCGGAAAATTGTACGAGTATAGGTTTCACCCTACATCATGCCATCGTCCGTTTCTACACCTATCGCTTCCCATTTTCTCTCTGCTTCTCTCTCTTTTCTCCCCCTTTTTCTTTTTTGCGGATCGTGATACCTTGCACCCTTGTATGACCCCATCACAGTCAACATACCCCCAGTCCCACGCTCACTCAAACACTGCCTACGTGCTACCTCGCGTAGCATGACAATCTCAACTTGCACTCCATCTTGCTCTTCACCCTCCCTTTGATTGTTCGCATTCTACTGGTTTGGATCTTTCGCTGACTTATCCTTATCCCCGTGACTTTTTTTCTCAGAGACCACATACTGAGGCCGTTCTCTAGTCTAACCCCCGGCATCGAGAACCTACCTACAACTTGCACCTTTACACGTATCTGCACATCTACGCTACGGAGGGACATATATATACCACACGGTATACACTTACATAACTACTTGTAAATACTTTGGATTTCTTTTTCACTTTTTTTTTGAACTGACACTTGAGCCATTATGTGCCGAGTCGTGATTTCACTGCGATACTGCCGAAGGACGCTGTGCAGCTAGCTCCGAGAACGTTTCATAACACTGCAAGGGACTGCATCGAAAGAGGAGAAGCCCAATGCAATGCTGACATGGCAGAACATGAATACATATATCAATTACTATAGTTACATTCATTTTGGTCTGGCTCCTGTCTGATTTGCGTTATACTCGTACATACGACAATGATTTGTCGACACGGAAGATTGGGGCCGTCCAACGGACCTACTGCGAGCTGACAGCAACAGCATTTTACACCTAGTGGAATATCACGGTCCGTCGACGGCGGTGGCCCATCGCGACACGGGGGGGAATGTTTCACGTAAGTCAACTAGCCCACGGAGTTGGTTTGACCTTACCATTCCAGAAGTATGCGGGTATTTGAAAGTTGGTCTCACCGGACTAAGCAGTCTTCGAAATTCGGAGCCGTCGCAGCTTTCCAGGACAGCGGCGCAGAAAAGATTATACACCGAGCTCGCCGAGCGTTGATATCTTTGAAAGCTTCGTCGAAGGGGTAAACTTGCGCCCGACACCACTTTCCTCCATTTCCTAGAGAATCTGAAGGAATGAATTAGCTTCTTGGAGTTTGGCGTGACCATGGAAAAATTTCTCATGCTTCCTGCTGGTTACGCCGTGGCCTGCTGTCAGACAACGGATGTAAATTGGTGCTGTGGTTGGTTACCCTCGTTCCGCCAAATGCATGAATTAGATCCACTTGGATCGATGAATCGCTTTGGTGCTATGCACATGAATGACTCCTCAGGGATTGCGAAGCAATTGCCAAAAGTTTTTTCACCCCAGCCCTGGCTGGAGTTTGCAAAGATCACACTCGCGTCAGCAACAATATTCCACAATTTTGACTGGACGATTTCTTATCGTATGGAGCGATCGACACGCCTGTACGCTCCCTACCAAGGCCAACGTCAATGATACAGCAATTTGACGTACGACTTGGCAACTTGAGTGTGTCCTGGATCCTTATCGAAGTCTGGAGGTCCGAAATGATGGCCGCGCGGCCTGCAGACCTTACTTAGAATGTAATGAGGTTCCACAATTTGAATATGCACGCACAGTACGCACAGTAGGGTGGATTCCTGGCGAGCTTTTGAGCCCGACTCGGGGTCAGGGACAAATTAAAGTCGCCCACATTGCTGTATTGCCCGAAGTTCGGAGAAATATGCATGTGTCTGTTTTGGACTTCTCTTGGAGTCAACGAGGCCCACGCCTGTATCTTCTGTGAAGAACAATCAATTGACAGATTAAACACGAACGCCAACCGTATTCCTGTTATCAGTGACATAACAACATACATGGACCAACACTGGCAAGAGCTTACGGCCATACCATGTGTCGTACACGTCCATGCCATCCTGTAGGGCATCGGTGTGGGTACTATTGGACGGTGAGGCAACTGGATGCAAGAGACGTCCAGCACCGGAAAGGTTCCTAAAAAAAGGTGATGTTCTCAACAGACCCCGACGCCGATGACTGCGGAAATAATTCAGGGTATGATAGACGCGGCTAACCACGACTGTCTTAGAGCCCTTGCTTTCCTCGCCTAGAACTGTGGGCTCCAGAGAATACCGGTCCACACTCCGGTGACTCGGAGAAACATGCGGGGCAAGCAGCGGAAAGAAGGAAGTTTTATGGCACTGGGTACGTGCAGGAATGCCATAACTTCCCAAGATTCCTATTGAACGTGTTCTGTGAAGCTGCGGACGCCTCCTGGCCGGCTGGCTTCGGAGGCCATTAGTGGCGTATAGTGCTCACCAAATCCATCGTAGAACCTTACTTCCTGCACGACCCTTGCATCCGTTCGTTCATCTCCACGTGCTGCAACACCAATGGCTTGCAAGATATTATAGTAGAGGATTCCGAAGTCACCAGATCATGGTAAGACGTACCCGACAGGGGGGGCGAAGAGCAAGATCACCTCGGAGTTAGAAACGTGAACTTGTTATGTACTGCTTGAAGAGGACCCTAAACTTCGCGTCCGCCAGACCCAACTTTCACTGGCTGTTACGCATACGCTTTTATAATAGCCTTTGAGACTTCAAGCCACAGCTAGTAGGTACTCTGAAATTCCTCGACTTCTAGTGGCATTCCTCTGACTTAGTTTCGTGGTCGCTTTGTATAGCTTTACAATGTCTGGAAAGGTCATACGCACCTAGGCTGTTATACACGATGGACATTCGACGTCATGAATCTCATCGTAGTTGTTGACTTGTGCCGCAGAGTGAAGTGACATTGCGGATGACACCGACCAGTTATTTTCCGTTTCATTCCTTGTCGATCTCGATCATCATGCTGCTGACACGCGCTGATCTTGACGATTGACGTACGATCAGGTAACAACAGGCGGGCTCCGAGTAAGTTCCAAAGACCAGCTGGTCATTCACCGTAGCGAAGATAAAGAACCGTGCGAGCAGCTGCTTAAGGGACTTGCAGGCTGTCCGTCAGAAGGCGAAGATAATAACACGCGTAAAAACGACGTCCATGAGATACTGGAATTAGGTCAGAGGCGAGGCCCGCACTTGGAATGGTCGTGGTAGCACCGCATGACCCTTCCACCCAAACTTGGCGCTTCGCTGAGCAAAAGACAAAAAACGAACAACGGGTAGGTCGGGTAGCATATCAAACTTCGACGCTAGTAGCCGCAATCGTAGCGGAGAAATCCAGATCAGGATAGATATGAATATGAAATGCACGTCCAAAAAAGAGTATGGATATCGCACCCACAGAACTATTACACACTTACTGTAGACCGAAACTTTGAGTAATGCTGAAGACCTTCGCTTCACCGGACCGAAACCCTTATCCCCTAGTGTGCGACCCAAGGGCCAAGCTGTGGAGCAGCGAGGATGAGGGTCAACGGTCAACCACATAGTACCTACGGAACCGCGGTCGTAAGTTGATGACTCCCAGTGATGGATCCTTGATGAGGGTCCGATTCGGATTAACGGCAAAGTTAGAAAATTGTTGAAATTTTTTTGTGGGCCACACGGTTCCATCACTGCATTATCTCGGGACAGTCACCGGTGGAAATTGGGCTTACGTTGTGATGAAGACGATGGTTTTGATGAAAGTCGTGTCCGGACGGTAACAGGCTGAGTTGCACAGCGACCAGAGTGACAGAGTACTGGGCTCTCCTTGCCCAAATAGATGTTAGAGTTATAAGGGCGGGGATGCGGCTTCGGAGTTGGAAAAAGGCTTCGACGACTTCGACTTCTTAGTCCAGTGCACTGCCGCAGATCCTTGGGGAGGGGGCAAACGTGCCAAGCCAATGTCTCTGGTGACAGCATGGAAACGTTTGCCAATGAACATATCCATGTCAAAAAAGAGAACAGGGCGTGGCATCTCGGTATCCGACAAGGGCGGGCATAACACGTGGCAAGATGCAGCGCCAGCGCCCAGCCCGGCATCCCTTATTGGATTGGGTTGCCCCTGCAGGCAACGATAACATGCCACGTGCTAGCCGGAGCAGCCGCATGCGATAGAAGAAACCTCGGTGCCTGGTTAGAAGCTGTTTCTTGCGTTGGCCCGTTGAGAAATGCCATGGCGAGAGAAACCAGACTCTGATGCGAAGAACCTGAAAATTGTCACGACAACGCCCCACAAAGTATACGGCAGTTGAACCTGAACCATTGGACGGAACAGACGGAAAAAATCGAACGAGAGCTCGATACCGTGGGTGATTTCTTAGCCCATGGCTTGGGTTGACCGAGATCTGCAGACAAATCAGAAACGATGTAGCCTGCGCGATGAAAGATGGTAGTCCTGCGGAAAGCAATGACGATGGGCGCCGACGGGCGGACACGCCCTAACTCATTCTTTTCTTCCCACAATACAAGACCAGTGTTCCGCGTCCTCCGGTCTGCGAACCAGTTGAGGTGTGACCACATGAAACACGTACGAGCAGTGGCACTGCATATAACAAGTGTGATTCCAGCGTTATCGTACTTGAACTCTGAGCTGAGACCCGTCAAGTTTTGGTACTGGTGCGGAGGGGACCTCTAGGCTAAGTGTTGGATCTCGTTATCATGAGATTGGATCTTGCTTACCAAATTGAGATGAAAAATACAAAGTTGCGCCCGGAAAGGCAAATCTCCGATCGCGTCTGAAACAATGCATCCGAGGAGGAGAGATAGGTAAAGGTGGTCATGTTACAGAGTGTCTTTGGATTTGCCAACCCCAAGGGTACCCCCCCTCATCGCTGGGTCAGTGAATGGAATAGCGAGAAGCTGAGATCGGGGCGAAAAGTCTAGTGTCAGGCTTCGGACAGTCTGGACCAATAACATGCTGTAGACAAAAAAAGGCATGTCCTCGGGACGCGGGGCTGTTGAGTGCTGATTGTAATGATTTGAAGAGGAAGATGACCTTACGCCACCCTGTCAGGGTAGTCATGCGGCAGTGCCATATCGTGATTTGCCCCAAGGATGGCTTGCGACAGCGATCGTCGGAGTGGTCGTGCAGGTCGTGTGTTTTCCGCCTCGCAGGGTCGATTGTGCGGATTCGGGCCGTGGTCAGTGTGAACTTTCGAAGAGGTGGAATCATTGAAGGTAGCTGACAACCCACACACATAGTGCATTTTTCAGTCTGTGTGTTGCCCACAACTTGACTGCTTGTCGTGCATGGAACCATAGCACCGGAACCGCGATGGGTCGTTAATTCCGAAAATGAGTAATACTCAATTGATGTGATCATTCTGCCAGCAGAAGCCTACCGATGAGTGGGTCACTTTCAAAATGCCAAGGGCACTAATCAAGGGGAGTCAAGGGGGCGCCTCGTTGCGGCTCAACTTCGGCGACATGAGAATTTGATGTGCTGGCTGGCAGCACAGACGACGGCAACAAACAAATTCTTTTTTATTTTATTTTTCTTATTCCATGTCACTTACGTGGTCTCGTCTCGATCTTCGATTGCCCGTTGTCCCGCTGGAGGGTCGTACTACGTAGCAGTGAGTATCGATAACACTGGTCGGCCACTACGGAGTTATTAGCCTGGTGAGGTAACCGGCGGACCGCCAGTGGGATGTCGTTAAAGTATTGAAAGGGGCCAACGGTTCCTCATGTCCTGGCCATATTTCTGTGCCGTATTTCCCCCTCCCAGCCCTCCTGATCATGGCCCTCGAAACCTCTACTAACAGACAGTACTTCATAGCAGATCCCCCACTCCTTCATACAGTACCATCGTTCCCGGACCATCCTCACCTCCGTCCAGCACACCGCCACTCTGCCTTTACCTTCCCTGTACCGGCTAGAGCCCATTCCGCCAGCTCCGGTTCTGTCAAATCGGAACGTTATACGCCGCCTTATTCTGATACATCGCTCTCAACTTTGCAAGAATTGACCTTCCATTCGCCGCCACCTGCTGGCTCACTCAAATCACCTAATTCCACCCAGTCCCTCCTCACTGATCACCACCGTCACCCACTGCGCTTCGGGATGGTTCCCCCACACTCCAGTTCCTCCTCGGATGGGTGGAACTTCAAACGTTCCCACGCTGGTCCTGTTCACGGTTCCAATATGCCCATCGACATCCCCGAGACGTCTTACACCGACGAGTATGACGACGGGGATGATATCGGGGAGCTCCCAGTACCATCTAATTCTGGTTCCTCGCATGGTGGGCAGGCAGACAAGGTTATCAGACGTAGGAGCAGCAAAGGTATGTCATCCTTAAGTCAACAGTCGACCCCCCTGGCCACACCGATAATATATCTCTCGCCAGCCTGTGATCAATGCAGGAAGAGTAAGTGCAAGTGCGAACGTACTACCGACGGAGCAGCTTGCAAAAACTGCACGATGCTCGGCACCCGTATGTTCCCCCGATCACTTCATATGCTCCTTGTCACTGACCTGAATGGCATGCATTTCTTGTCTCCTGTACAAATGTGTCGGCTACTTACTCCGGTCATTTCGTTCCTCTTGCGATCGCCTGCGACCCTTCGCTTCACCACCCGCTGTCACATTAATTGTCCCCTCCGTTTCCCATGCGACCCATTGAATAACTGTGCTACATATGATGTGTGGTGCCTCCTTACGTCATGACTCCTCTTGTGCAATTTCCGCCGTATCGATTTTATCTGATTATCGCCCTACGTGACTATTGCGGCGACGCTCGACCGGGTGGCCTGTGGTGGGTGTGGCGCAATCCGTCGGGTTGGGGCGTACGACTGCGGCGACATCCCACGATGATCGGATGTTTAAACGTTCGTTTCCGAATTCTACTCTCCATTTTTGGTGTACAGCTTGCACTTTCCTCGGGCCCTCCCGTAAGCGTGGCCCTCCAAAAGGGTACATCGATGCCATTGAGGCGCGCCTACACCAAACAGAGGCACTGCTCGGCATCCTGCTTGCTCTAGAGGCCGACAGGTCTGAGAAAGGGAACAGCAGCAGGGAACGGGACGACGGTGCCGAGAAGGACGGAAGCTTAACTAGTGTCCTGGCTGCGCTAAGAAAGGTGCGTGTTGTGGGTGTACTTGTAGGGATGGAAGTTTTAGCACGTCCACACGCTAATATTGTATCTTTCTCATAGGACACACTGGCGAGGGAAATTTTGAACCGCGTAGATATGACCCCTTATGGCGTACGAGGTCGTAAAACTGGAAAGACCAAGTCGCGGTCGAATGCCCATTCCCAAGCTGGGAGCTCCGGTTCCTTTAATCTTCAGACCACTCAGTGAGCACTTCCGTTATTTCCCTCCCTCGATGACACTAACGTCATTATTCCCTTTACCAACGACGTTGATTTTGAAGTCCATCTACGGAATGGCAGGACGAAGTAGTCTCCATTTTATCTCGTACACTTTACACTAGGCCCTCGCGCACGAAATTGGGCTCTTTCAAAACACTTCCCTCTCGAGAAGGGGAGCCAAACGTTGGAGAAAGCGATCTACTAAGGAGACGACGACGACGCCTCGAAGGAGACGTCGATGACCTCAGCATCTGTCCAAGGGGAGGCTCCAACCCTCGTTCGCCTCTTCTAAGCGCTAGTCCTGGGTCCTCACCCGTCCTTTCTCGCGCGGGTGAAACTTCTGTGGTGTGCAGCGAAGCGGACGCTGGTGACGTGACTGAAGAGGACGTCACCGGTGCCTTTGGACTGCTGAGTCTCAACGAGGATGAGCAAATACGCTATCATGGGGAAGCCAGCGGGTTGCACATTCTGGGCATCAACGCCAAAGACGAGGCGAGGAACGAGGGTGGGATTTGGTCAGTAACCACTTCGTTGCTGGGGTTTGGCTTTGAGCTTAGTTAACCGTCGTGTTCACGCAGGCGTTTCCCAAAGGCCCGTGTTTGGCCGCCAATCCCCGCCTCTTCTTCAAATCCACCAACGGATCAGTCTATGGACACTGCGGCAGGGAACCCCGGACATTTGTCGTTATTTTCCTTTACGGAGGACAGCCTGGAGATCCACTTACCCGACTCTTCCATGCAGCAGCACCTACTTGAACTGTATTTCACGTATGTGCATGCGTCGTTCCCAATTTTGCATAAGAGCGCGTTCTGGGAGTCATACAAGAGGTTAGTGTGATACTTTTACACACTTCTCATCCTATTGAATCGGCTTGTTAGTATGCAAAAGAAGGACAGTCCTTCGTCTGATGGAGATGGTTGCGAGCACGAATCCCGTACTTCGCGTTCACCTTTCACTCGCCTTCGACATCACGCCTCTCCCTTACTTCTCTTGAGCATGTTCTCCATTGCGGCCCGCTACTCAGCGTTGTCATCACCTCTGCCCACTACTCGTTCATCGTCACCGTCTACGCGACCTCCAGAACCTCTTGAGATGTGGGCTGCCGGCGACGATCACTTCTCCCAAGCCAAGGTCCTACTCGACCGTTCTTACGCATCATCTCGACCATCTACTGTTCAAGCACTGTTGCTACTCAGCTACCGTGAACTTGGCATTGGTGCCATGGCCCAAGCGTGGATGTATACCGGTATGGCGGTGCGGATGGCGCAGGACCTCGGCATGCACCGCTCCGCGGACGGATGGTCCCGTGCAAACTTTGGAAGGCTATTCAGTGATTGTGAACTGCAAGAGCGGAGGAGGATCTGGTGGGGATGCGTTACACTTGGATGCCTACATTAGTACCTACATAGGGAGGCCGTTGGCCATTGCCGGGAAGGACTGCAATACGCATTTGCCCAGCACGGACGAGGTGAGTATCCATGTAGTCCTTCCGCTGGACGGAAGTTAAAAGTTTGTCGAAGTCGGAAGAGATGGAGCCATGGGCCACACATGCTTCGGTGCCACCGGATGTCAACGGCCATGGGTACCGTCCGGAGGTGGAAGTCCCAATACCAGTTACGGGGCACATAATCACATGTTTCACCGCCTCTGCCACTCTTAGTAAGTCGCGGATGGCAATCTGGTACACTCAGCTCCTTCACTTACCACTGTTTCAGCTACTATCCTTTCGCCTATCCTGCGATCAATCTATTGTAGTGGAACTGCTTCTTACCGCCACGCAGAATTAATTCGTCTGGAGAGCGAACTCGATAAGTGGTATCATAATTTACCAGGACATCTCCGGTTTGAACTACGCCATGATTCATCGGGAAACTGGCATGTGCCGGACGGAAAGAGTGTTCCCCTTCCACATATCTTGACGCTGCATATGCAGTATTGGTGCACGGCACTGCTACTGCATCGGCCCTTGTATGTCTCATTGTCAGCGAAGTTTCTTGTTGCTGACATGATGTAAAACTATCTCAGCATCCGTCAGGTGTATATGGGGAACAAGAAGTAAGCACAACCAATACTTGTTTCTGTGACAAAGTGCTGATGGCCTGGCAAGGAGAGGAGAATCATCATCGAGTGACATCGAAGGCCGCTCTTCTAGCGAGAAGAACTACGAGCTCTGCGTCGCAGCTGCGAATCACATTGCTTCTATTGGTGAGTCACTTATGTCCGTTCAGAAAATGAGATTGTTTGACTGATACTGTTTGACGTAGTCTCTTTCTATCGAGAAAAGTACTGCCTACAGCGTGCTCCAATGTTTCTGTGCTTCTACGTGTTCACAGCCGGAATCATGCACATTACAAACCGTAAGCTCCATTCACCGACTGTCATGGCTCCGCTAACCCATGGGTACATTGCAGTGTCCTTGTGTCCTGATGACCCGCAAGCGCAACTGGGCTTGGGCAGGTGTATGCAAGCACTTGAAGACATGGAGATTGTTTGGCCGTCAGCAGCCCGCGCCCACGAGCTGCTGCGCACATGCAATCCTCTCTCGCATTCTCCGCCCCGACCACGCCCCCACTACGCAGCTTCGCCGTCCGGTCAGAAGCGCACCGCCGAACACTTCATTGAAACGGACGGAAGCCAATATGATCAGCCCCGTTCTACACACGTGCCAACACTGTCCAGGGATGCAAACCATATCGTACCATCCCAGGCGCCATACGCCCAAGCGTGGCGCTCTACGCAGTACGGCACTGTAGCTGGAGATGCCAGCGCCACCCCCAGTCCGGACGAGTTTCCGCAGGGAGTTTCGCCAGGGCAACCTTCTTCGTTCTTTCCGTGGAATGACGACGGGGGTAGTGGACCGTACTTGCCCTATCCGGGGACATTGTCCACGTCGGTGCTCTCTCAGACGTATAGTACTGGACTGGTTGACGATCGGAGGCAGCCACAGTCAGTGACATCTCACCATGGGCAAGGCCGGTTACACGGGCACTCAAACGAGGGTGAGCAAGGGTACGACCAAGTTAGCGGGGCACGGTATCCTCAGTACTGGAATGACTACACATCATTTGGCCAGATGGGGATCATGTACTCCCATCCCGAGAGCCGTCATTCCAGCCAGCCACCTCATCCGCCGCCTCAGGTCGAGATGTACCTTAACGGGCAGTATGGGAATGTTTACAGTGAGTGTGCCGTCTGACCAAACGCAGGGAGGCGTTGTTTCGCTGACCAGCAAACCGTAGATAATCATCCACCGTCATGACTAATTACTCCCCTTAATGTGGGATGACCCACTTATCCGCTTTGAATGTGTGCCCACTTAAAATGGGGCACACGGATCCAAAGGTCTCCGATTGTTATCCATTGACCGAATTTCTAGAGACTATCGGACTCATTCGTTGCTGTCTTATTATATACCCAGGGCTTTATTTGTATAATCTGGCTTGATATGCTTAACGTTTTAGGTTCCCTCTACTAGTTTGATATCCCGGCCGAAAGAGTGGCCAGAGTTGATGTATCAGTAGCTATACCGATTGTGTTTTAATAGAAGATACCCGCTCTCGAGACCTTGTTATGTACTTCGGACGTTGTCAAGTGATATCCTGGTACAATAGATTCCCACGACCCCACACCAGTGTCTACAGGACCAGGACAACGCCAGCGACTAACTCGGACAGCAACACCGTGAAATGCTCATGATCGACGAGGCTAAGGAAGCTGAAAATGTAAAATTACTGACCGACATGATGGGCGACCATGTCGATCGCGAGGTCGCCCAGAGAGTACTCAGAAAATACGAGGGAGACGTAGAGAAAGCGGCCTCGGCCATGCTCGAGGGTGAGCGGGGAGAGGACAATCAACTTTGGAGGTCAGTTTCGCAGATGGATGTTGTCAGCCAAAAGCAGCCTTCTGTCCCCTCTATCGTGAGACCGAACACCCCTGTGGTCGATCTGACAGGGGTCGACGACGATAGCGATCTTCAACGCGCGATGAAGGAGTCGATGAGCATGATACAGCAACCAGCCCCGGTCTTTGGGCCTAGTGAGCGACCCCCGGATCCGAATTGGGCGATGGTGCAGTCTAATGTATACCTCCATGGCAATGACGGGCATGATACCGAGCTAACCGCAGTGACTTCCAGCCAGAGAGCAACCATGACGCCAATTACCTACAAAACCTCGAACGCGCTATCGAAGCGAGTCTGGAGCACAATAACGTCAATGATTCTGACGCCTTGGAACCGTTTCCTATCGAGCAGCAGCTGAGAAGAGATGGGTGGTTAGTCCTGTAAACGTTGCTGATGTTGTCCAACTAATGCCACCCGATCACAGCCCTGTCGTGTTGCGGCCTTCGATTCACACAATGTGCTATGCAGCAGCCATTCTTCAGGGTTTGTTCTACGTGCCCCAAGTGAGGGAACGGATGGCGTCCTGGCGACCAGCCGTGACTCCTGGAATGGCGGAGGTCAACGTTCCTACGAGCGGTGCAGGTAACTGGTGAACGGGTGTGTGATAGGTCTGTTGTGCTGATACTCTCGTAGACTTTACTCTTTGGGCCCTCAGTGAAATATTCACTCATATGGACCTCGCCCGCCTGTGTGACCTCAATGTCGATAAGCACCTTTGTGCTTTTGACATCGAACCTTGGACTAGCCTGGCGAACCCGCCAGGAGAGCTGTCACGGAGTGAGTGATTTGGTCTTTCGCGGACGAAGATTAACTCACTCGATATGAAGAGTTCTACGCGAGGCTGGTGGCGATCCTAGAGAAATCATTTGTGGACCAGTTCGTTCTTTGTGGCCAGCCTCCACCGAAGTAGTACCCTCATTACGATATTCTGGAACCATGGCTCATCAATCTCTAGCTCACGCCTGTTCCATTTTTTGTACGGTGACAATGCCGGTGACCATATACAAGTGCAACAGGAGACATCCCTTGTGCCAATTGACATCAACCCAGGCAATAGCGGCAGCGACGCCAATGATTTGATTGGACGCCTCTCGGCCCAGCTCTCCAAACCTCAGGACGCACCGGAGAAGCAAAGTGTCATCGTTGAACCCTCAGAAGTGGTCGCCTTCCAATTATCTAAGCCCTCATCATCCTACCTGAACAGTACCGGCATCAACACAACAGCGAAGCCGTTCGTGTATCCGAGATCCATCTACCTTGACCAGTTCCTCAAAGAAAACGTTGAGCTTGCGGAGGCCAAACGTAGACAGCAGCACGAGATGTTCTCGGACGTGCAAAAGCTTATATTGCATAAGAAGTCCATGACCCACTTTAACGTGAGTTTTTGCCTACAAAACTTCTTCATACCTCAGTTCCCCGTTCCCTAGGGTAAAGATACCTTGAAAGATTTACGTTCAACCATCTACTACTACGAGCGCGTTGCCGATGATAAAGGAGACCCAGAACGCGCTTCATCTATCAAGATAACAACCGAAAAACTCAAGAGTATTCTTGAGGCGGTTGAGTTAGAAATCAAGGGTCGGCACTTTCGTTTCCTCGGTTTCATGTTTGCTTGGCTCATTTTAGCAAATCGGTAGCCACCGATCAAATGATACACAGGATGCGGGAAGAAGCTTTGGCATTACTTGATTGTCCAGAGTTGAAACAAGTCAGGGTGTGTGTGATCGCTTACATTCTCCATGCTTCTGATGTGTGAGATTATTTATACATATTTCCTCATTAGTACGACTTGCGAGTCGTGTTCATGCATGATGGCCTTTATGGTCGAAAGCATCTCTATTGCTATGTCCGCGATAAAGGTCAATGGTGGAAGATAGCGGATTCTCTGATCGAGCAGGTAATCGACTCTGTTAACGGTCATTTCAACCGCCTGATATTCACTATGAACACGACTGCCAGGTCACAGAAGAATCCGTCCAAGGCGATACCACCGGTTTGCATCTCGGTGCTGGACCTTATCTCCTACTCTACTCGAGATATCGGCCAGATGAAAATGAACGTCTCACCTCCTTGCCTTGGCCTCGGGAGATTAAGGTGCCTTGGTCCTAAACTTACTACTTCGGCAGCATTTCTCATAATATGTTCAACCCACAGGACGACGTGAAGGAGTGTAACAAAGCATTTCTTGCTCAGCTGCCGCAAGAGCTCGTCAAGGACATCAAGGAAGACCACTCGCCATCTCCGCCGAATGTCACATTTCAACAGACTGTTCAATTGACAGATCTAGAGAGGCGGAATGACGGGATGGACACGTCGTGAGAAAATCACATACTCTCAACGAGGGTTTACTTTCCGCTGGTTCTCCTATCTTTAAGCCATCGCCATCATCTGTGATACATGTGGCACTGATCTCTTGACCTCAATTGCCCCAGTTGTATCTATCCTAGTGCATTCCCCTGCTGGCACCCACAGCCTGGCGTACGTGGGGCCAACTATGATCATAATGAACTTAATACCTTCCCAATGGGGGTCGTTCAAGTGTGGCTCATGACATGACTTCCAGATCAACAAACTCAAAAACATCGTGACCAGCACATCGAAGACGCCTTTCGGCACTAGAAAAACTCAAATATAAAAAAAAAAAGGAAACCAGGCTGCTCGATTCGACTGCTACTTCACGTTGTTACCCGATGGGCGCGGCCAAACACGAGACGAGGGAGACAAGAGTAGAAAAAAGAATATCATAGGAAACTCTTGATCAAAATACCATATCCCAACGCGCCCAGCATACACCCAAGTATGTGAACGGTAAGGAAGGTAAACAAAATAATAATTATGACATCCACAAGAAACAACGAAAAAGGTAACAAATACCAAGGTGCTCGGTAGCTGTGTGCACTGTACAGTCTATCGTGCAGCTCATGGCAGTGAACTACGGGGGTAAAATGATGATAGAAAAATCGAGAGCAAAGAAAAATAAGAAATCGTCCCAGCAGTCAACGCCCTGCAGCTCAGAACTGCGTGGGATTGAAGCCAGGGTATGCGTCGTATTGATTATGACCAGAAGTCCGTGGAGGAGCCTGGGGTTGTCCGTAACTGCGATAGCCATTGACGGTGACATTCCGAGGTCGTGACTGGGAAGCGCTGCCGGCTAAGGCACCATTGTGAAACATGCCAGAGTTGTTCTGCGAGCTCTCAGATCAGTATTCTTTGACAGTACGATCACCGCACCTACCCCACTGATTGGTGATGTACGTGACAATCGACTTGACGTGGACGACGTGGAAGAAGACCGACTAGGTGCTTCGACACCGTTCATGTAATTTACCTGTTCGGGGTAGTTTTCTGCTTGACGCACGTTCGCGTTTGTCACCGGACCGTTCCGAATGCTAGTCATGGTCATATAGTCCGGTATGCGTGGCGGCCGATGCGGTATGGCAGCTCCGGAAACCATCTCGGGCTTATCGCAGCATGCTCCACGCTCACCGGACACGGCGAAAGTTGTGCGCGACCTGAATCCATCATTAGGCTGTTCACACTGACGCCCACCGGCAGAGCAGCTACATGAACCTCCGGGGCAGGAAGGACAGCGCCCATAGCGGTTATCAGCTTGTGTTACAGCCGAGCGCATGATTCCTTCGGCATTAGGCAGTGCATGCACCTGGTTGTTGACGACCAACTCATACGGACTGATAGTTGGCTGCATGCCCATTGGAGTTGGTGATGCAGAGCCGGATATCTGTCGCAGCCATTCTTCGAGTTCACGTGACTGAGGATCTGAATTGGTGTCGAGGGACGGCTGGGCAGTATTGGCGGAGAAGGACAAAATTGTACAATCGAGACAAAACGTGCAGCTCGTAGGATTAGTGCAAGAGGCATATGCCCCGCCTGGTGAGATCGCAGCGCCATTGTGCTGTGAACACCCTGGACAGCTGCACGAATCGCCGCAAGCACATGAAGAAGGGGGGCCCCCACCGATAGATTGCCATGATTCAACTGCGGAAGATATTCCAGTCATGGCGTCTTGTTGTATAGAGGCTAAAGAGGCCAACATGCGACCATCTCCAGCTGCCATCGTGGGTTTACGCTCATGGGCGAAATCCGGAATGTGGGTCTGTTCGTAGGCACGGTTGTAGGGGCTGAAAAACATGTTGTCATGTGAGTGATGGCGAAAGTTGTGGCCATGAGGAGTGCCTAAGGATGGATCGTGGATGGGTCCTTCAGAAAGGGTCCGGGCAGGACGCGGAAGGACGGGACGCAATTCAGCGATGCGAGCGATGACATGGGAAGAAAGTGGAGGAAACGGTTCCTTCGTCGAAGACAAAGAAGTTTCCGAGCGGTGCTTATCGCCTCTAGTCGCATCATGATTTGACAAGCGACGACGAGGAACCGCCTTTCGGGGGACGGCGCAATCGCACGGACCTGCTTTGTTACATCTACAGCCGCTAGGAGAAGTTTCACCTTATTGGGAGTCAATACTGTAGATGCAGGGGAGAGAAGGATGGCGCGTCGGGCCTACCGCTATGATCTGAGTCAACCGATCCGTCGGATATTGCAGGTAGAATGGCCAGCGCCTCGAGATCCTCGGGAAGACCACGAGGAAAGGCAGCAACGGCTGGCAATTTGGCTGTCCCTATCAATTAGTACGGTCAAGCAATGGGACGATGGGACAAGATAAGATGATGCCATACCTTTTTTGTTGGACGCCTCGCCGCCTGCACCGCTCGGATCTTGACCGCATAGACATTTTACGTGCACTTGCTTGGTTTTACGGAGTTCTCTGCAGTGTTCACACTGGGTCACTGGACGACCTTTTTTCTTTATTTCATATAGAGGTCGATCGGATGTGTTTGCATGCAGAGGATCGATGGCCCTTTATACACGTTTCGCTGGAGTGAAGCAGTCACGGTCGGCCATGTGGGACGTGATCGGAGTATGATGACATACCAAGCATATTTCTTATCGTTTAAGAGAACCTGGAGAGAAGATGTGAGAAGGATGTGAGAAGTGGGGGTGAATAGGTTGCTCACCATGGTTTGGACGAGATGTTGTTGGGTTGATTAGGGAGCCTGAAGGAGTAGACAGAGACACACGCCGGGGACGAGTGGTGGTGGAACACCGCCCGCGACGTCAAACGAGTACTACTTTGACTGAGAAAACTTCATCAATGCGGTGGCCAGTTGGCTTTTAAACACCATCCAAATGGAAGGAAGACGGGTGTGTTTACAGCAGTTGACAGGCCCGGCTTCCTCCTCTTAGCAGAGGCCTGTGGTCGCATAAGCAAACATGTGCAAACAGTCTCCTAGCTGCGCTTTTTCTGCCAAAGGTGGGTCCTCCCCGGCACACAATAGCTACAGTTCAGAGACTCGTGTATGTCGGGCTCATGTCACGACCGTCTGCGAGACAGTCCGTTGCCGTCTCTCCATGGCCCCGAGCTTTGTATCCTCTGCTCTTCTGTGGCGTTTCCCCGAGGCTTTGCAGGCGTCACTTCATTTCCATGGTGTCGGAATATGTGACAGACAAGTTGCATTAACATTCTTCGTCGCATATATAGCTTCCGCCACAGCTGCTATCTACAGCTTTTCGTGACATTCTGTGTGCATGAAACTTTATGAGACCGCTAGTTGCCTCGTATACCGTGGCGTCTTGCTTTGGTTACTAGCAGGGTTGTCCGACGCACTGCGTGTCGGGGCAATGCCACGCGTTGGCCCCCATACTAGCCAGACTAGTCGGATTGGAAATTCCAGTGTCTCCATTACAAGCATAGTGTGCAGTCCGATAATATCCATGGGTTCATACCGACATACCACATTCATCATTCGGGGGGAGGAACGAACAAACAGGTCATCCCATATAAGAAATAGGTACGATCATACCAAATGCTCGAGTCTCTTTTAGGAGGCTTCCGCGGCGCGTTGTGCTCTTCGTGCTTTCTTAGCCGCATTAGCAGCGGCGGCCTTGGCCTTCTTTGCTTCCGCACGAGCAACCTTCTCTTCCTCCTCTTTCCTCTTCGCCTCCTCTTCTGCTCTCTGTTTTTCTTCTTCTGCTTTCGCTTTCAGCTCAGCTGGCGTGTTCCCTGCCTTATTTTTTTTCTTCGCTTCACGTGCTTCTTTTTCTTCCTGCTTGATCCTCTTGATACGTGGGTCCAACCCCAGTGTCAGGTCAACAAGGCTGCGCAATCGCACCGTATCTTCCTTCTTGCGGCGTGCGCGCTCGGACTTGTTCTTCTTCTCGGTGTATCTCTTGTCATCACGACTGATCGAACCATTATCAGAAAAGGCCTGACCGCAGGTATATCTACCGCCACTTACCTGTCACTACCCTCATTCACCTCCTTATCAAGATACTCGAACGACCGCCAGCTATCAAAGTTGTACCAGAAGTCGTAGAAGGCTTCTACCGTTTCCTTCGAATCGCCATATGCACCAAGCATTGGCACAGGAGTCCGCTTGCTAAACCGTGCCTCCCTCTCAAACACTGGGCCCATCGCCTTGAAGAAGAAATCATGATCTTTGTCTTTGCCCTTGAAATCAGATGCGGTAGGGGTATCTTCCTCCAGTGCAAGGTAGTATGGATCGACGGAGTCGAACTGACGGCGCTTCTCAGAGTGGGTAAGTACATCAAATGCCTTTTGGATGCATTTGAAAAATGCATCATCGTTGGTGCTGTTTGAAATACCGGCTTTCTTGTCCGGGTGGTGTTTAAGCACCTTCTTCCGATCTGTCGCACCCCGCCGTGTATGTAAAGGTTCCCAATCAGACAAATAAGCATGTACGATATGGTATGAGGGCGCCAGAAAATCAAATACATACGTGCAATTTTTATCTGCTCCGAGGTAGCCTTGTATCGCAGATGAGAAAGACCGAGAACCTGGTAATGGTCTTGTTTCTGATCGTTCACGGGCTCTCAGTTCCATGATAGAAGGCGGCGTAACACCCATAACGACTTGCCTTCCATTCCTTGGGATCAAGTAGCAGGAGCTCAGGTGACTCTTCCTCGTCGCCGACGCCCAAATCGTCTTCGCCATTCAATCCATCAGCTTGGAGGGCATCTAGCCGTTTTTGTTCTTCTTCGACCTGTTTGTCGTATTCCTCGAAGGAAAGCTTGTTCACCACCCTTCGGACATGTGCGAGATATGCCGGACCTGCTGGTAGTAGTTGGCGGCGAACGACAGCTGTATAATGATCGCCGACCCAAATTTTTTGGTTTCAGAGATCAGGATCGAAGTAGAACCTCGAGTTAGTCCCACCATCCTGTATCGCCATCAATTGGTACGATATATGTACGTACGGGAAATAGATTTTGCTGGCGAAGCAGGTTCATGCCAGTTTTGTGGGAGTGCAGGTAGCACTGTGGGGGTAGCCATCGTCTCGAGAGATAGGTTTTTGGGGAGGAGGGTCGTGCACCACGCCTTTTGCACAAGCAGACTTTGGCCTTATTGATTACGTGATCAACGGGCATGTCCGAGGTCAAACTGCGTGCTTTTGGTCGCTGGCATCGTGCGGTGCATCAGCATCAAATGGTCACTCCTACCTGGGTAACTTGGTCAAAATTCTTCCGCATTCGATGAGAATCAACCATTGGAGTGCTGTATAAACGTGTTGAGTAAGCGAATCATGGTGCATGAACTTGGGTTGCGCTTGATCACATTCTCTGATTATCTACCACGGCGCAGCGGCACAAGTAGTTATCAGGTGATGCAATCATGCTGTTACTTATTGCATGGTCTAACTTTCAGAAGACTCCACAGGAATCTGTTTTGAAACCTCGGTATCTGAATATGGCACCTTCGTGGTCACTTAATATTGCGACACATTGCCAACAACTCTGTTGCTGGTCTACTGAATTATTAAATAATGCCCCCATTCGACCTTTCCTGGTCGGGCATTCCATATAGACTTTCGCTCTTCCCGCAAAATTCCCTCGCTATTTCATTCTTCACAAGTACACCTACTTGGGTAAACGGCGGCAGAACTTAGGGTGAACACGCAAGGCCTGTCCGGTCAATCGTTTTCCGCTGCTCACGGTACCTTTTCAGCCACGTATTGCCATTATCTTTCGCACAGGTTGGATGGTTTGTCCTTCATATGTGCTTTACTGACAGCAGCAGCACGTATGCTCATGAAGCACGCAGCGAACCTCGCACTTGCACATTAAATTAACCCATCGAATTTGGCATCTGTTACGACTTCCATGTTATAAGTAACACGTACTGGCTATCCTGCTCTGGTCGACCCGTATTCGGTTACGGTTTGTCCGCGGAGAATCCACCGACCTTCGTTACGACGAAAAAAAACAGGGTCAGGTGATACTGACACAGTGCTACGCGATTTGGGTGACCTGGAACGCGAATTAACAAGAAGCTTAGAGGGGCTATTACAAGGCATGGAGACCGAGCTACTGTAGCACCTTCGCAAACGTAAAGACAGAAAGTCTCTACTCTCCCCTTCACCGAGTTCTACAGCGTCAGATATCCGCTGCTCTGATAGTTTGTGATCAAAACCATTTCTACCTTTCCCAATCATCGAGACACCTCGTAAAATTGCAAATTGAGTATACGGGGCTTTTATGGCACATTAGCCACTGTAGTGTATTCCCGATCGTCACGGATAGGGCGTTGCGCTACGTAGTAACTGGCAGATCTGAGTTTGGTGAATCGGCTTATATTCATGTCTCGGAGCATTCTAATGCCGGGGCAACGCTTCATGGGCAGGCTTAAAAGCTAACTAGCAGCGGGGTATGTGCAGACAATCTACGCCTTCAAAATTATTGGCCCTAGGGATTTTTGCGAACGCGCGATAGTGATAACAACACTTGATGACGAGTAAGTATCCAGCCACCCCGAGTCGCAAGAGATTTCAATAGTTTATCAGGGAAGTACATATGTATTTACCGACGTGATTAGCAGGAGGGCACTCATAAAGCTGCTTTAAAATGAGGTGTCCCGTATTTCTCTAACAAGAACGTGGAGATATCTCGAGCTAGTTTCCTCAGTTTAGTGCCGAACTCCCGAACCGAGTGATACTTACCAAGCTCAACTGGGGCTTCTTGCACTATCTGTGAGGGGTAAAGTCAGGTCGGACAGCATAGAGCAACAGCGACATACGAGGTGTCCAGCGAATGGAAATACTACGTTTGATGCGTTAGCAGGTCGACGCCATACCCTTACTTTAGTCTCTTGTTCTCCAACGAAGCTAAGTATCGAGGCCATTAGGGACCGAATTATCAGAGTCAGGCATTTTACCTGACTGCCGGGACAACCCATCGAAGAGTAATGTCCTCGTCCAATTTCTCCAGCAACTCCCAAACCTCGAGCGGAGGGAACACGTTCGCAAAGCATAGGCTTTCTTGGATGGGCGTCATCTTCAACCTGACGCCACCGGAAGGATCAGTTGTTAAACCAGTAGTCGACGTACGACTTCAGGACATCCGGGTGCCAGGATGCAAAGAACGGCCGCTGTTTGAAGAGGCGGAGAGCTTCCTCACTAAAATCAATTAACAAGAGTTACGTGCGGAAATGGCCAGGGGGCTCACCGGGAAGACCAAGTATCACGCCTGATCAGAGCACCACGTATGAGCTCCGATCCAAAGTCGTAAGACCCATAATTGACGACGACAGGATCCACCAGTATTAGGGATGAGAACAACTTGGGGAAATTCACGGCTGCCAGCGCGCTGCGCGAGAGAGGTGAGTAACTATGTGGACGCCAAAAGGTTGCAACTGTCAACCTACGACGTGGTGCCGCCAAACGAATGACCAACGACGACAATTTTCCGCTGGTGGTATCCCTGCGCTTTGCGGGCGTCGCTCACAGCTTGCGAAATGCGCAACAACCGTGTCGGCAAGGGTGTCTGTGCAGCCTCGTCCGGGAGGTAGTGCAGAAGAAAGTTTGCGATGTCACGAGCATTATCCTGCCAGTCAACTGAGAAGTGGTTAAATTCAACGACTACTCGTGATTAAGATTCCCTTACATATCCCGCTCAAGTTTTCCGCGTTCAAGAGCGCCGAGTCCCCATGTTGAACGGCTTCCCAAGACCAAATCTCATCCACCAGAGGAGCAGCTGGCGAATCCAGGAGACCTCGCAGCATAGTCTCCGATATCTGGATGCCCGTTTACTACGGAACCTGCGAGCGAAACATAGCTGGACTTGCCTCCTTTGGGAACCCATTTGCATGAGCGACGAATAAGGTCAACCCAGTCCCTGCAGTATTGCACCTATCGGTCCGGACATAGCGGTTGACGCAGTTCCAAAGTGGTTTCTGGCCGTGCCCGCCAGGCATTGTCCCTTGCGTGAAACATTCTTGCCTCTCGATAAGCTGTTTGACGGCTGTCGCAACCTTTTCTTGCCTTTCAGCGGGTGATATCGAATCGGAACGTGGTGGGATCTCGAGAAGAGGAAGAGGTATATCTGGAGCCAGTCTAGGGAAGGCAGCAGGTACAATGTGTGTACTTAGGCACATAATCCTTGTGAAAGATGTCTTGTCTAGGAGGTGACGGAAGGCTGGGAGTACGCAGTGCAGGGTGGGGTCGGATGGCAAGCAGCGGCCGCGGGTTAACTGACGGCCAAGAGGGAGATGGTGTATAGGGTATGCTGAACGTCATCCTCGTCATCCTCGGCTACTGCAACCACCTGATAAGATAATGTGAGACGTCCGAATGATTCCCGGGCTTCTGGACATCCGGTCAAACCTCGAAAGATAATCTGCGCAGCCCCCGCGGCTACTTATCATCGGCGGCTGGCAGCAAGAATATTTAAGCGTCAGATGTATCAGCGCGCCTATCACCCACCCGCGTGGGCTTCCACAGCTGTTGAGTTCAGGAGTAACTCCGACCACTCGCACTGTACGACAGTCAAGTCAATATTGTTATGGTGCCTCGCATGTCGTCGTGGCTGTAGTCAAGCTTGCCGCTCGTCGCCGCCCGCACGGGAAATAGAATCTCGATCTGAATTGTTTGGTGCCACCTTGGGCACTACCATACTGCAAGCCGCTAGTACAACCTTGAGAGGAACAGCGGTAGGCAAGGCTCCTGCCTACCGACTCCTATTCAAGTACTTCTGATCCTTCCTGGCTCTTCAAGGCAGGCCCTAACGCTTGTACTTGTTTCGCTGGTTTTGACCTCGCCTCTTTGAAAGGTTGAAAATTCCCCTTACTACTGCGCATCGGATCCGCACTCCGTTCACAGCTTCGTGATTATGCTAGTCGTTTTCTCACTATTTGCTCTTGCAAGCGGCGACCTTGCACACACGTTGCAATCCCGTCTTATCTAAAGCTTCTGTCACTGCAATCTACTGCCAGCTTTGCGCAGTCCTAAGGTGTTCACTGCGCTTTGGCTGCCCTCGCAACTGGCGCGAACCCAAGCAAGCCAGAGGTGTGGTCTCAACCTTTCGAGCAGTGGAAGAATGCATATACTTGAAGGGTGCGTCAGGACCCGAATGATGAAATTAGCTACATGAGCACTGATGTTCTAGGTTATCTTTACTTACACATTCTATTAGGAAGACATGATACTAGATTTCTTGGCAGGTGAGTACGTGCAGCTCCTCACCGAATACTTACTCAGACATATCCCGCAGGATCTCGCCCCCACCTGCCCAAACGTAATCTCTAGGATCTACTGCACGCTGGAGATCCTTTAGCATGGAAGCCAAAGGAACTGAACCATAGGCAACGACCTATCGCAGGCTTTGCTATGCCTCCGTTTACTCCACGTCCACGCATGTTTGTGGAGACGTTTGTATGGAACGGTTTCTTATCGGCTAGCGCTTGGTGGTGGATGCCCCCGACATGATCGGCTATTCTGCCCCATACTTCCTCCCGCAGTACATGGACAAGAGTTTATAAGCTTGTCCTTTTCCCTCTCGTTGGGTGGCAGGCAGGCGAAGGGCGGGTGATACTGATCGAGGTAATAGCCGATCGCGCGTCGTGGCTTCACGGATCATATATTACATCGACCAGCCTTGTGCACTGAACCAGTGTTTTAGGTAGCACATGATAATTTGGCTTCTGGACGTGGGGTATTTTTACGGTCATCGAAACTCAACACGAGTGATTTCATCACTCATGTTTCAGCAGAGGTCATTGTACGGATCCGAGTTGCAGTACTATTAGTGTAATGTACCTGAGTTGGGGCTGACAACGTTGACCTGGGGACACCCTGAGAATTTGACGCTTGCTTAGCCTGTCTTTCTTCACCACAGCGCAGAGGTCGTCGCAGCGCGAGTCCCCCGCCAGACCGCCCTCGTCTTTTGGTTTCTCCATGCCCAGCCTATTCTCCCGTGCAAGGACAAACTCCATTCCAGGCAAGAAATCTAGTCTGGGCACCGCCCACGATGAGTTTGGCCGCGTGAAGAGCAGAGACTCTGGCAACGGCCCTTCTCTTACCTTCACCGGCAGAAAGGACAAGGACAAAAAGAAGGACCAAAAGTCCAGGAAACGCACTATCTCTTCTCCAAAACCTGACAACGAAGTAGCCAACGTCTTCGCTCAAATTCCCGACGGCAGTTTTCTCCCTCTCAGCCTCGACCGTCCTCGCGACGAATCTGGAGAGGTGAAGACGCTCGAGTACGACTATGGCTACCTTTCCTACGAACGCCATGTCATCCTTGGTCTGGACGAGGTGGCACGGCTTGTAGACGTGGTTGCCAACGAGCTCACGACTCGATGCCTCACAACGCCGTTCATTTTTTCTGCTCTCGCTCTCGACATCTCTTCCCCCGCCATCAAGCGTCTCATTTGTACCTTTCTCGACACCTGTGCAAATCCACTCTCTATGGATGCGGACCGTCGTTGGCGTGAAGAAGCGCGCTTCGCCGGTGCCCACGAACTTGGCATGTGCATTCGGTGGGGTCTTGCACGCGTCGTAAGAGTAGTTGGAAACCAGGCCGTGCGAGGCCTCATTTCTTGGGAACACTACACGGAATTCCGTGATTCGGAGGCAGGTATGTGATCGCTCGCGCATGCACGAGGCATGACGACTCACTTACAGTAATGATTTGCGTTTCGTGTCACAGCCCACGGCTATCCGCCAGCGCACTTCTCAGCGTTCTTCCCACCATTGCCATCCGTCCTGCAGTCCATCTTATCGACACTTCTCGACCTCCTCACTCGCTTCATTGCTCACAGTTCTTCCTCGGGGCATACACCACCCACATTGTCGCCACTCTTCGGACCTTTACTGTTTGGTCTAGGCCCGGCAAGTCTTGCTTTCCACCACACTTATATCCACTATTTGCGCGCAGTTAACGCGATGGAACACATCCTGTTGGCTTACATCCGTTGGCAGGATGCACCCAGACTTGCATCCTCTCCAACCCACATTAACACTAATGTTGTTCACGGGAGCGCCACTTCCCTTGGTGTTCCCACGCGCCTCAAAGACTGGATTAGGGGTTACCCTTCCATGTTACCTTTCCTACATGCCAAGGACAAGCAAGGTCGACCGCAAGTACGTCGCGGAGCTCGCACAATACGCGTCGTCAGTGTCCGCCGCAACGTTAGGATGTATTCGCCCGACCTTGTCAAGACAGCTGCAAGCTGGGCATCCCGTCCTCGGAGCAGTAGTGAAAGCCATACCGGGTTGGCTGGATCCAAGGAGTGGGAGCGTATCGCCTCGTCTGCGCTCAAGCTGCAGCCCCGTTATTCAGAAGGATACAAGAAACGAATGGACATGCCTCCTAATTTTCATCCTTTTACGGCTTTGAGTTCTGACTTGTCGTCAGCGGCTTCGAGCACATCGTCAAATACGTCTCCTCTAGATGACAAGGATTCACTCGGGCTCGGTCTCGGTCTCGGTCTCGGTCTCGGTCTCGGACCACGCGAAAGAGAAGACCGATTTAAGACACTTACCGATATGAAATGGGTCGAATTCGAGACAACTGGCTTTGGCTCGTTCGAGGTTGACGATAAAAAACTTCAATTCGACCTGACAGAGAGCGAAAAGGCGGTGCGTTTTGTTGTTCATCGCAGTCGGATGTTTGTCTAAGTGCATTCAATAGCCTCGTTCCGAGAAGCGTCAGACGATGAACTGGAATGACTTCTCGGTCGCTGGTTTTTCTCGATCTGATGGCCCCCTTGATACCTCTCTCCAGTTTAGCGCTCCAGTGACCCACACCATAACGTCATGGCCTGCTCACAATGCGGATATCACGAAAAAGCTCAAGAAGACGCAACGTGCACTCCCACCATTTGGTTGGGACACAGAGCCTGTCATGGGCTCCGAGGAGGTGATTGAGGAGGCGTTTTTGGATGTATTTTGTGACCTAGTATACGGAGGTGGATGGATGGATGTCGAACGTGTTGAGGAGACAGACAGGGAGTGCAACTGGGCTTTGGTGAGTCTGCTTTGCAGCTCGTTCACTGCTCACGAGGTGATTCTGAGGTGCCTCGTTGTAAGATTGAATTTAAGTCGCTGCCGGTTCACAAGCCCGCAGTCATACCAGGCACTGATCCCCGCGTGGCAACAATGGTGGTACTATTTGAAGAATTCGTGCCGTTGGAGTACCGGCAGCAGCTCGCTAAAGATTCCGGGACGAAAAGGCGGTTGCCGTTCTTCTTCGCGTCGATCAAATCGAAACAGTGGAAGCCAGCTCCAACCCTCAATGGCCGCCCCTATGTCGTTGGTCACGTACCCAAGAGCCCGTCGTACCGCGAAGTCGAATTCGAAGGTCTTCTGCGCTCAAACGGAAGCAAAGTTCTGACGTTATCCAAGCCCGTTCCGCCAGCGGCATCCTTATTGGCACCTCCGTCCCCTACGTTTGTAAGGCCTAGACCCAAAACTCCCCGAACAAACTGCCAATGACTCTGCCGCCCCACCCCCTCCCGAAAAAGAAAAGCATCTGCAGCGGGTGCCCTCGGACAGCCCACTAACTCCGACAAGCAATCGCCGGTCTCGGTTTCGCATCCCAGTCCCGAACCCAACAGTCGTACGGCGGTCGGGGTTAGTACCCGCTGAGTACTCAACTGTCGATTTTGAGACGCGCTTAGCGAGCTACAGCGATGATGAGTGGAATGAGACAGCCAGCACGAAGGCCCTCACTCCCGCTGAGAAGTATGAGCGGCGCATGTCCAGAGATGACGCGTGGGTGGACATCCTGGTTGCGAGTCAAAACCGTCGACTGGGAACACAGGAGGCAGAGATAAAGGGGGGCGGTGGGACCTTGTTGAGGGGGATGAAGGGTGGAGGCCGCTCGGATCCTGAACTTGCCAGTCAAGAGGTCGCGCAGGTCCTTGCTGGCGTGCGCGCGCGCTCCCCACTTTCTGACGATGAAGGGATTCAAACCCGCCAATTGACGTCCTGAACCGCCCCACGCAAAGGAAAACGAAAGCAAGGGAGCCTCACCAGTACCACATGGTGACGACAACGGCAATATTCACGAAGACGCAGACATCGACTCGGTGATGTCCTACCCGAAGGCGAAGCGAATTGGATACTTCGATTTGCATCCTGAGCGCCTCCCTGGGGCGACAACTAGGCCCCTGCCGGTACGACCGCGGGCTAATGGTGATGAATCTGACGGTGACGATGTACCAGATGAAATGGTTTACGGCGCGCCTGAGCAAGTTCCCGCGATTTACCCGTCGCCGCAGGCTGTGAGGTCATCTTTCGAGTCGGCGAGCGAGTATGCTCCAACGTCGGTTGGCCCCTCCCCTCGTGATATGGACTTCCCTGAGTTTGGCAATGGTGAAGAGAGTAGAGAACAGAAAGAGAGTGGACACTCAAGAGCGGAATCTACCACCCTACCCCGCGTCCAACCTGAATTGCCGGTGACACCAGTATCGCAAAGCAAGACTGCTGCACTTATCGAAATGTACCGTGAGCGGGAAAAGCAGGTCACTGTAACAACCCCGTCCCGAATCCCCATACAAACCCCACCTAAAGATGCGTCACTACCTCCGCTTCCTCGTGCTACTTCCCCTACGCCATCCCCTCAGCCAGTGCCCCAGATCGAGATCGAGGAAGTTGGTGTCGAGGAGCCTGAACTGGAGGAGGAACCTTTGACTCCAAATATGCTTTATGAAGAAGCCGGAAGCAATAGCCCTGGTCGATATGTGCACGGCATGCCTCTTCAGAACGTCTTGGAAGAAGATGAAGAACTTGACGAGTGAAGAAAGACAGCCATCGCTCCTTTTTTTTTAGTTTCAGTCATGTTGGATTTCTTGCGTGCGACATATTCCGCCACATCAGTATTAACCCTCCCTTTCCTCCCCCTGTTTTTCTATCTTGCCCACCTGTGCAACGGTTGATACCTCTGCCCTTTACTGGTGCCGGGTACTGGATTTTCCCCTTTCTTTATCCTTACCATATTGCCGTTCTTTCTTTTTCACACTTTCTTCTCTTTTCCTTATTAACATAACCTGAAGCTAACCTGCTCGCGCTGACCATTTCTAATATCGATCGCCCTTCAAACCCATGCCAATTGGCCTCGTCATACATATTTGTCCACCCTACATATGTTGCCTCTCCTTCATCAATCTCTTACGTCCCTCTTGCGGAGTTACTCATCGACGAAATGTGGTACTTAATATCGAATGATTATCAGTCTTGGTCGGTTGTTAACTTGTTACTCGACGTGAATTTGGTGATGTAGTAGATGGTCGATGTGGAGATGACGTCGGCACATGACTGTCACGCCCCACTTATGGTACGGCCGACCGGTGGACATCTTATCGCATTGGACGCCAACTTCTAGCGGCAGGTACCTTGCATTATTTCAATCGGTCGAGCTCGAGATTGCAAGTCTTGCATAACCATGACCGCTGTACCCGACAGATCGATACGCATATGTGCAGATCGAGGAGGAACCTTTTGCGATGTTCATGCGTATGTAGGCTTGCTCCCCTCTCCTGCGGCTTTCTTCCGCTCGTCTCATCGGCACTTCTGTTTCTTTCAGGTCATATCCGGATCCCGAGAACCCTAAAACACGCAAAGAGCTGGTGATTAAGCTACGTGAGTAGCGACTGCATTGTAGAACGACGTTATTAATATATCAAAATTCTCAAGTGTCCCAGGACCCAGCCAATTATCAGGATGCACCCACTGAGGGCATCCGCCGAGTACTAGAAATCGTGACGGGGGAAAAGATCCCCCGGGGAACGGTCCTCTCTACAGACAAGATCGGTTAGCCCCTCCGTTTCGCCCTATCACCCATTTAAACCTGTTTTCCGGTTGTTCTTACCAAACTGAATGCTATCTACATACAGACTACATTCGCCTATCTACGACAGTTGCCACGAATGCCCTTTTGGAACGCAAAGGCCACAAGCACGCCCTGCTCATCACGAAAGGGTTTAAAGACCTCCTGCTAATCGGTAATCAATCACGCCCAAGGATCTTTGACCTCAACATCAAGCGACCACCGCCTTTGTATAGCGAGGTCGTTGAAGTAGACGAACGTGTCACACTTGTAGGGTACACATCAGATCCTCAGGCCGAGAAGCATGCAGTGAAGTTCAACAACGACGGGAGCGTTAAGAAGGGGTATACTGGCCCGGGACATGATGAACATGGTTTTGCGGATGGATCCGGGGACATCGTCCAAGGCATATCCGGGGAAGCGGTGCGAATAATGAAACGGCCGGGTGTGTTGTTTGTGGTTTCACATTCTAGTTTCTCAAAGCTGATCGATTCTTGTCATGAGATCTTGAGGTCGTGAAACACGATCTTCAGCGCCTGTTTGATTCCGGTTATAGGTCAATAGCCATTGTGCTAGTGCACTCTTACACATTCCCGGAGCACGAAACACAGATTGGACAACTTGCACGGGAAATAGGGTTCACGCAGGTCTCGGAGTCGTCGCGCTTACTTCCCATGATCAAGATGGTGCCTCGAGGGGTGTCTTCAACTGCCGACGCATACCTGACCCCTATTTTGCAAGCATACTTGGATGGGTTCTTCACTGGCTTTGATGCTAAACTCCGGGATGGAAGGCTGAGGAGCCCACGAGTGGAATTCATGGGCAGTGATGGTGGTTTGCTCGATCTAAGCAATTTTTCTGGGTTGAAGAGTATTCTCAGTGGACCTGCCGGTGGCGTGGTTGGGTATGCTCTAACTAGTTGGGACGAGGAAAGAAAGTACCCGATTATTGGGTCGGTATCGGTTTCGCGGATTTCTGATCCTTTTCCTTACCCCCAGCCAGAATAGATGTTGGTGGCACGTCAACGGACGTGTCACGCTTCAACGGGAGATATGAGGTAGTCTACGAGACGACGACTGCCGGGGTTACCATCCAGTCACCTCAGCTGGACATTAATACTGTTGCCGCTGGTGGAGGGTCTTGCCTGACGTTCCGCAATGGCTTGTTCTTGGCAGGACCCCATAGTGCTGGAGCTGAACCTGGTCCTGCTTGTTACCGGTGTGCTCCGTTTTTACGTCAGCCTTGTGCATAAAGTGACCACACTGACATTTCCCAGCAAAGGCGGGCCGCTGGCTGTGACGGATGCAAACTTGCTTCTTGGACGTTTGATACCCGAACACTTCCCGAAAATATTTGGAAAGAACGAAGACGAAAGTTTGGATGTCGAGGCATCGAGGACGGCTTTCGAGAAACTCGCCTCGCAAATCAACGACAGTCAAGAATTATCTCATGAGCTAGATGAAATCATTTACGGGTGCGTACACGCACCGCACGACTCTATGACAAGCTCACAAAAAAGTAAGATTCATCAAAGTCGCGAACGAAACAATGTGTCGTCCAATACGGGCACTGACAGAGGCCCGTGGATACTCGACTGGTAGCCACATGTGCGTATCCTTACATATATGACGCCCTTCACATGTATATTGACGGAAGCAGACTGACTAGTTTCGGGGGTGCAGGAGGTCAACATGCCTGCGAAATTGCCGGTATTCTTGGGATCAAGACTGTCCTAATTCATCGCTATAGCTCCGTTTTGTCTTCTTATGGCTTAGCACTGGCCGATCGGTGAAGCCTCCGCTGACGTCTTGTTAAGGTGTAGCTAACAAGTATTGTATAGAGTATATGAACTCCAAGAACCGTCGTCCACCTTTTACTCTAGCTCCACGAAATCTTCGCTCCTCGCACGACTTGACAAATTAACGAAAGCTGTTCAGACGGAGTTGGCTCGCCAGGGATTCGAGGAGGACCGCATCAAGGTGGAGCGAATGTTGAACATGCGCTTCGACGGAACGGATACTGCACTGATGGTTTTGCCTGTACCGAGTGACGGTGATGGGGATGAAGATTTCGAAGTTGCCTTCAAGAAAGTCTATAAGGCGGAATTTGGTTTCTTATTGGAGACGAAGAACATCGTAGTTGATGATATTAAGGTAGGCATTGAGAAACGGGAAGCCATGCAAGGTCATATATGTATATGGTTCCTATCCAGGTCCGTGGCATCGGAAAGACGTTCGATAGCCTCGGAGAATCAGTATATTCCGAAGTAGAGCGGATCAAGAAAACGCTAGTCGATCAGTCCAAAGCTAGTTCGAGGAATAGCGTGTACTTCGACAAGGTCGGGAGAGTGCATGATACACCGGTCTTCCTATTGGACAATCTGTCCCTTGGCGACGAGATTGAGGGTCCAGCCATGGTCATTGACAATACCCAGACGATTGTAATTGTTCCAGGAGCACGAGCGGTACTTACTAGGAAGCACCTGTATTTGACCCTAGAATAATGACAAGCCTCTGCGCTTGGTTATCTCGATTACTTCATGGTCATTTCACTGCAACGCCACTGCATCCATTGGACAAATTTCCCCAAATTTTCATGAGCCCGTTTAGCTCAGTGGTAGAGCGCGCCACTCGTAATGGTGAGGTCGGTTGTTCAATCCAGCCAGTGGGCAATTTTTTTGCAAACTTTTCCTTGTTGCACCTATCAAACCCCCGACGTACATACCATAACCACACTCCTTCGGCGTACACAACGAACTAGCGCGCTTTTGACGGCCTTACGAGACCATAACTACTACTTGTACCTGCAGAGTTATCACAAATGGTGTAAAGCGAGTCATGAAAACATCTGTACTGGATGACAAGTGCTTGTCGTCTGAGGAGTTGGAGTCGGGTATCCATGTACTTGATGGAGGTTCTCCTTATGCCTGTTCCTTCGGCCGGTGTTCGCAACTTACCTTGTGAAGCGTTGTTCTTACACATTGAAGGCAAAGATGCTAACGATGCTAACGGGATGTCGACAAGATTAAACAGGGCAGGCTGCTGACCGACCGACTTTGTACGGAGATAATATACCCCCTGTCCAAAAACTGATAACACGGTGCAGTTCGAGGGAAGAACGGAATTCTGCAACATGGATTAAAGAGAAAGTATAAACATCACAGGGAGAGACAAACATGAAGAGACGCTATCCCAAGGGAGCGCAGACCAATAACCCGATTTTTTTGGACAGAACAAAAAACAAAATTGTCTCGTTAACCAATTTCGTGTTCGGCTAGTAACTATGCGGAGGAATAATTCACGGATGTATACACCATTCGAGAGACCGATAGGAAGATATCTTAACTCACCATGTTGGGAATACCATTTGAAATAGGGTAGACGTGCTTGCAATTCGGACATACCATCGCACCCTCGACTATGTGAATCTAGAAGCAGGAAAAGTATCGCTGATTGGTGATGAGGACAGTGAGACATACCTCTAGCAATACGTGGTGCAAATTTCGTAGTAGATCGTCGTCCATCATCTCGGGTTGTTCAACCGGCAGTGAAGTATCTCCCACCTATGCAACTTACAGCAAAAGAGAAAAAAGAAAGAAAGAAATCTAGTCGGTGCACCGAACTTACCTGCCTAGCAGCGTCCGCAAGGGCACTCCATTCCAGTCGCGGGAGAATGCTCGTAACAAACTCGGGGTTAAACTCTGCCTCCTGCAACTCGATTTGGACGTCCTTAAGAGCTAATGGGAAGTTGTTGCTCGTGCAGCCTTTGACGTGGCAGGCCAGCAGGTTGTGCGTGATGAGACGAACCATTATAATCGAATATGCTCGCGTTTGACAAACCTGGTGTGTGATGGTGATCGATTGATTTCAGGAGGTTTTATCTTTTTGAGTTTATCGAGCGCTGGTGGCGGTCAAAATGTCCTTAACCCCAAATTAGGAAGCTCAGCCTAGCCTTCACCATCCCAACTGTCCAGCATGCGACCGCCGTCGCCGTCAATACCTGAAAAAGAATTCGTATACCAAGCACTGAAACAGTCTCTCCGACTCGATGGCCGCAATCACCTTGACGCCAGGACGCCGACACTCGACTTTGGTCCAGATCTCGGTTGGGTGGAGTGTGGGTATGGAAAAACACGGTATGGTTTCAGTAGTCTGCGTCCTCACAACTCGCTCAGTTTATAACAACAACTTGGAATGACGTCCTCTCCCCGGAAAATATGCGCTGCGTGAACGAAGAGTGATCGCTTATGTCGAGGCAAAAATGACGAAGCCGCCACCCGAACGACCTCTAGAGGGCATTATCACAATACACTCCGAGATATCGCCTATGGCGTCTGTGGATTACGAACCCGGTCGGTAGGAATATGCGCTCTGTCCGTGTTCAATCTATCTGACCGCTCGCATTTTCTCTACCTGGCAGCCCATCGGAGGAGGAAATAACGATCACACGGATGTTAGATAAGATTTTGAGAAGGAGCGATGCGATTGACAAGGAATCGCTTTGCATCGTTGCCGGTGAGCGAGTACGTTACATAAATGTCTTACTGTGTTCCGGGCGCATCCAACTATCTGGCTATGGTAGGTCTGGCACCTTCGCTTAACGATCCACTGTCTTGCAGACGCAGGAAACATGCTGGACTGCGCATGTCTCGCAGGCATAGTGGCCTTCAAACATTTCCGCAAGCCGGAGGTTGAGGTTATCGGGGACGAGGTGATCGTCGTACGTATATCTGCACCCTCTGTTGGCTCAGTACTCGAATGTCGGCTGATCAACCACTTAGCATTCAGCAGCAGAACGATCACCGGTACCCTTGGCTATCCATCATATGCCCTTCTGCGTTACGTTTGCATTTTTCCCGGACCCTTCTATGCGGCCCGTGCTAGATCCGTCACTATTGGAACAACGGTTGAGCACAGGCCTGATGAGCATCGCGTTGAACGCACAACGTGAAATCTGTGTCCTACAGAAGGCTGGCGGTGTGCCGATTGCTGCAGAAGAAGTACTGCAGTTGATCGATGTCGCAGTAACGGTGGCTAAGGATCTAGACAAGTTTGTTCAAATGCGATTACGAGAAGACTGGGAAACCAGAAAGATAGAAATTATGTAGGCAAACATCCCCATCTTCGTTCTAGCATCGATCGCAGGAAGGAGATGAAACCGGTCTATATGTGCATGAGGTGTAGTGGTATACATTGTAGTGTACCCGACTTCTTTATGTAACGTCTGCTTGACACTTCAATCCCTATTACATAGAAGTCTTCATGGCTCTATCAAGAACCAGGTAAGTGCACACGCAAGAAGCGGATCATCGGTCTTAATCCTTACGGGCTCGCTTCCTCGCGGTGCCGTCCTGCATACCAATATCATTGTCGACGGCGGAGAAGTAATCCAGAGAGCCTTTGGGGTCAGGCTTGATTGTCCTCGATCCTTCAGTCCAGCCCAATGGACAGACTTCGCCGTGCTTCTCCTAATGATCACGTTAAGATGGTATCGACAACATCCGGGTGTACTTGGGAACTTACTACAAACTGGAAGGCCTTCAAGAGCCGAAGGGTCTCGTCAACAGAGCGGCCGACAGGCAGGTCGTTGATGGTGATTTGCCTGTGAAACAAATGCGTCACTGGCGCCCGAAAGCAAATGGAGACCGGTTACCTGACAACACCCTTGGGGTCGATGATGAAAAGGCCGCGAAGAGCAATACCATCTTCCTCGATCAATACACCGTACTCGCGTGAGATTTGCATGTTCCTATCTGCTATAAGGGGGAGGCTAAGATCGGGTCCGAGGCCACCTTGCTTCCTAGGCTGTTGGGCCCAGGCAAAGTGGGAGTATTGTGAATCAGTGGAGACACCTAGATGAACCATCAGACTACGGTGCAAACGCTAATTCAATTTCCTACCAAGGACCACAGCACCGAGTTCCTTGAACTGAGGGAGTGCGTCATTGAAGGCAAGAATTTCAGTAGGACAAACGAAAGTAAAGTCCCTAAAATGGACTCAGCCAAGACTAACGATTTGGGATATAGTTAATACCGACATGGGATAAAAGAATAGGATCACCCTGAGACAGGTCTCGTTAGACGGACTGGTAGGTACAGTGTCAAAATTAGCGATGCCATTTACCATTGTCCCTGGAAATCAGAGAGCGCGATGTCCTTGAATAGGCCCTCAACGACGGCCGTGGCTTTGAATGGAGGAGCAGGTTTCTGGACGACAGCAACCATTGCGGGGATCTGTTGTGGATGCGAATAGTCACAAAGAAAGAAACTAAGCGGTGTTTACACGCTGGAGCGGAAAGAAATATGACCAGGGCGCGTTATGTACGTCTGTTTGGTTCCCTTGCACGTGCTGGCAGCGCTGCAGCTATCGTCGAGTAAATTACGTGCCCCTCGTGTCTAGTTACTTACATATTGCACTTCTGAATCATGGATTCGTCGGCGTCTTCCAACCTTGCTGCGGCTTGCTGTGACGCGGATAAAACATACTGCAGCAAGCTAGCACATAAAAAGTTCGTCCGTTCGACCACGTTTGTGCTAGCAGACTGATATCACCTTTAATAATCGCCTTTAACAATATTGGCCGGGCGCTGGGGGCGCTGCAGGGCGATAATCAAACGTAAAATTAAGTAATGAGATGCGTTTCAGCCTACTAATCCGCATGCACGATGAATGGCGGCGTCAAAAGTTCTACATGGCCAGGCCAGGCCTCGACATCATTTTGTCCCGAAACATCCAGAACTTTCCGGGTTAATCGTATGGACGCCGCTCCTTAATCGCATTGTTAAATTTCCCTTGGGGGTCCTATGTCCACCAGCTTGTCATTAGGCTACTGCGATGGTAATCACGCCCTGAGTCAGGTTTGTTGCAGCTGAAGAAATGCGTGGACTCAGTCTCAGAAAGAGCGCGAGAGGTGTACGGCTACGCTCGAGCTAACTGATCCTTAGCAATATTACTGCAACGGGACGGCCTCCGCAGCCTGTGCGATAAGAGGTATTATCAAGCATAGTTGGCTGAAAAAACCTTGTGGTGTGGTTCGATTCCACGTGGACCTAGCCGGAGACTTGGAGACTTAGGAGGAGGGTTTGTGGGCGGTTGCAACCGTTTACGGCTCTTAGCCCCGAAGCTATGTGAGTAAATGCCATCAATATAGAATTATCGTCGGATCATGTGCAGTGACTACCGAATACTGCAAGGAATGCCGCCCACAAACTTGTCCATTCAACAGGTGAATTTCGTATTACAAAGCTACAAAATTGTACATCGGGGAACAAGACCACCGAACTGTGTAAGTAGCTGTCCGACGGTACACTGAAGGAAATTGACACCGACACTTCTCCACCCATGTGTGAAATAGGAAAACCGTATCAAAGAAAGTGCGTGGAGGCTACAGGGATCATGACGCATATGTAACAGGAAGCCTAGAGAGTGGTTGTGGCAACAGAAAAATGCCATGGAGAGGACACGGAGGATGAGGGGCGGTGGATTCACAACATAAACTGGATTCCTGTAATGAGAACAGCAGCACTTGCGAACGAGCCAACGTGACTAAGCGAGACTATGGCTGCCCCGCTCTTACTCGTGATTGTCGAGTTCCCGGATGGAATACTGCCGCCAGTCCCAGAGCTGTCCGAAGATCCACCGATGGTGTCACCATCGCCACTCCCAGTAACTGACCCGGTATGCGTACCAGCGATATCTACGATAAGAATGTCGTCAAGAAGCATATAACATTTCAAAGGTGGTGCCTACTTACACTCTGCAAAGGAGGGAAGCGTGTATCCATCCTCGACGTAAGGATTGCTAACATTGAAGGCCACGCCGACTGGGACGAGGTAAGAAAACGCGGAAGCCAACTGGTCGTAGAATTTGACGGCCTCAGACATCGTGAAATTGTTCAACTCATGAGTAAGCATCATTGTGCCAGACTGTCCACAAAAAATTAGTACGATAGACTTCGAAGGATGATGGTTGCTTACCGCGCCGAAGGTACCGTTTTGTGCGGCAGCGATGAGATCCATGTAGTTGGCATCAATGTCTGCTTCAGTGATATTTCCACTACCAACACGCCAGTCATTTGAGTCATATTGCCACATGATGGTCGTTAAGCCAAGGGCATTGGCAATTGCTCGAATGCGGTCGTCGACATCACCGAAGGGAGGCTAGGCACCTAAGCAAGATAAAGTACAAAGCGGAAGGCACTTACCCTCCAGCAAGTAGGCGTCACGCCGATAACTAGTTTGATGATCTGCATCTGTTTTGTTATGCTCAGGGGAGTATTCACGCAAAAGAAAACGATTCCAGCGCACGGCTGAATTGAACAACTTAGTGTAATGTCACCCTCGAAATAGAGAGCCACCCACTGTACCAAAGCTCTGAGAAAGCTTCATCATTCGTGAGAGAGGTCACTGTACAACAAAATGCATCGAAACGGTGTTCTGCGATCCTCAAAAAGGTAGCGCACTATAACGATGAGACCAAGTATCTGGGGGAAAAGGTCAATGCGGAATATTGGTAGGTACATAGCGAGCCTACTTACGAACGCAAATCTCATGTCCATCTGCTAAACCACGCTGGGCTTCAAGAGGCCAGTCCATGACGTTACTGCCGATATAAAACATTGCTACGGGATCTCGGAATGTCACTCTTACAAACCAAATAAGCAAGTCGACTTACTGGCCGTCTGATCTCTTGACTGCAAAAAGTCGTAGAAAGCGTTATGCGAGCAGTTTGGGCCATCGTCGAAGCCATATCCAAGAGTATTTGGCTGTTTGCGATTGCGAAGTGAACATCAACGCTGCCAACCATTTGCATTAGATAGCATACCAACCTCTGGGAGTCCAGCTATATCATCTGGAATACCCGGGACCTTAGGAGTGGTACACTTCTCGAACGTCCACCAACAATCAGGATCACTGGGATCATATGTGATGTTTCCCCAATTGCCGACTAGAGATTGCGGCTGTGTTCCCTTTGGGGGGATGTTTGGGATTAGACTCTCGATACTTTGGTATTTCGATTGAGCATCGGAGTCGCTGGATAAAATCGTAGCTACTGTCCAACTCAAAGGAAAATTGTTTTTGGCATTACCGACGGGGGGATATTGATATGGCGTGCATTCTATGTTAGGATCTGTTTCGAAACGTGAGTAAACGTTCAGGAAACCAGTACTCGGGCAGTGTGGCTTTAAAACAAGATACAGCACGCAAAGCGTATGATTGCCATCGTGGAGATTGCTTTCAACACCAAGGATGCCCAGACCTCAAGGGAAAGTCGATTCATTGCGAGGGCAGCGACGTCACGATGAACTATGGGGTTCGACAGGCACACATTCTTCAACGAAGCGACGCAAAGCACGTAAACAGCCCTCCGGAAACTCCTCACCCATTGAACACTGAACTGCATAAGACCCACCTGAAATTTGAGCTTCTCCCTGCTCGGTGGTACGATCCTGAGCGCTTGCACAAGGGGAAAAAACGAACGCAGAAATAAAAAGGCATGATAAGGGCGAAGCAACGAACGACGACAAACGCATAGCGTCAGTATTGAAATCCCAAAGGAAGGAGCGCGGTGGTCATCGGAAGACCGAACGGGTAGTATAAGAGGCAGACGGATCGTCCCTGGTTATCCGCAGGCAAAACTTCTTGCCCGACAAGTTGTCTAATACGGCCTGTCACTGAAAATGATATTCAGTCACTAGGTCCGCTGGCAATTGTCATATGCTACTCACTGCTACTCACCGTGCCTTTTGCCACTTCTCATGGGCCAACGCCCACTCCCAATCTCGGGGACGGCCTGTGCCAACATTTGCCGCACACCTGCAGTCGCTTGCCGCTCTCCGTCTATGGGTAGTCCGGAATCGAATCATATTAATAAGACAAGTGGTCGGTTTTGAGAGTGTCCCACGTTCCACATTCGAGCAGCTGTTTACGGTTCATCTTTCGTGGACGTAGACGTTGTTTGCCCCTGATCATTTCGATCACCGCGATCGTGGCGTGACGTCGATCCGGGTCACAGCTTGAGCCTCACTAGCTCACTAATAGCTTGAACACTTTTCATTCGACGACGAGCCTAACCTTTACAGTGGCGATGTTGTACAAGGCTCCCCACATATTCTTTTTTGTCGTGGGCTTCGAGGTCGGTGTGTACCTGGAATACCTAACCATCAAAAGATTGTCTCAAATTCAGCTTCTTTCGTTGTCCGCCCGACGGAAGACGTCGGCAAAGTTATCCAAAGTGAGTCGGGCCGGCCAGGGCAATCTTCGAGTCGATTTCATCCACAAGATGACGCATGAGGTTTGGCAACCTATAATGCTCCAAGTTTTCAATGGTGATTCAGTTGCGATGACGAACGTCGCACTTAGCTACGGAAGACCGATGGTCAATCAGGCTAATGTACAATACTAGGTGTCCTACAAGTAGTCTCCCTCAACTTCCTACCGTAGGTACCCGCGATGTAGTTCCTTCTGCGTACATATCCCATAATATGTACTTCTCATGCGCCAAGCAAAACCCCGGTGACACAGTGAAGTAACGGGACCAGCCTCGCGAGCAATGAGCAGAGCTTGAAGCAGGAAATGAGATGATGTATAGGCTAGCTCTACACGCGTGTCCGTGTCCTCTGTACGGCTATGCTCCCTCGGCCCTCCTGGTTCCCCCTACTATAACAGTAACGGCGGCACGTCTGTAAAGGCCACCGATGCCCGTCGTCGACAGCAGACTGTGGCTTACTCAGGTCGAAGGACAATGGTTGTGACAATGGTCGTCAGCACAACCCGGGTCTTACACGGGCTTGAGCTCTTCTTTTGTTCCCCGACACGCAAGGCAAGCACCACTCCTCAGCATGGTGCGAAAGAAAGTTGACACACACCGAGGATTGACCGAGAAAGAGATAAGGCCATGCTGTAACTAGGATTCCATGATCCAACCCCTGACGGCTGTTGGCCCATACAAAATCTTGCACCCAAAATACTGTCATTTCGGGTCTATACCATACACATACAATGCTGACATCGTAATACATGCATGAAATCGTCAAAAACAAATCAAGAAATACCTTATAAACCATATGAGAGCTCTTAACCCTCCACCCTGCTCACCATTGAGTCGGACTATACGATGCCACAATCGGTAAGAAAGAGGTATCAACGAAAGAAGGGGAACTGGTTCTTACCCGAACGTTCCACCCGCAGGTGGCTCAAGTAGAGGCATTGCCTTTCCGTCTGCAGTATTCAAAAACACAGTATTTCCCCACCATTTCTGGATACTGTTGATGCCTATCGTTCCATTCGCAGGGTACTGCAAAATGAAAAAGACCAGGACGACCGATACAGCTAGACCAGAGTCCAAGGCGGCAGACAAGACATCTGGGAGTGTGAGCAGTCAGTATCTGTATTCCGGTACCACTGCTACGAACGGTGGACGAATATCAACTCACAGTTGTACTTCGTCCACCATGAGAAGTGACGGCGACGTATGACGTAGTTGAAGATGAAGGCGACGATTGTCCACGGGACATAATTGACTGCGCTCGCTGGGGGAATATAGCTTGTACCGTTGAAAATGACGGGGAAGCTGAAGCACAAGCATAAACGGGGTGCGCAGATACGGTAGCAAGACAGAAAGACCCTTACTTGACATAGCGGATAGAGCTGTTAGGCCATTTGAGAGAGATGACCCATGCAGCGAGTGGAAAGAGCGCTCCAATAAGAAAGAAGTATACAAGTCCTAACATTGTGTTGATATGTGTCAACAACTCATTGGAAAAGTAGAATGACCAAAAAACGTACCGTGATACACCTGTCCACTGGAAAATTGCCTCTGAGGGCCAATGACACCCCATATGAAACTAGCAGTACCAAATACTTCCGTGCTGGGACATATAAAACCATCCGGCTGTGTTGGGCTGCACATGTCGGGAATATTGGTGAACATCCAAGCTTGCACGCCGAGCTGGACTGTACCAGCAACCATAGTCGCTACAATTTGACCTGTCGAGCAAGGCGTGTAGGTCAGTAGCGCCAAAATGCCGCTACATAAAATTACGCACACCAAAACATGGTCCGCGGAGGGATCTTCATGTAATGGCCAAGTTTGAAATCCGACGCGAAGACGAGAGCTTGGTACATGGAGATATAACCCCACGTCTTGAATAACATCATTGCAATTGGACGTCCAGGCAGGGCATAGCCGACAATCAATTCGGTAATAACGCTGTACACAGCAAGTTAGAACACACGGAGGTGAATGACATGAGTGAACGAGATGATCATACTTGAGACCGATTTGCTGGTTTGTGATGGCTTGGATCATGCCGATAGGGATGACATAGAAAAACGCTGTACGCACAGCTCTTAGCCTTCGAATGCACTCCCAGGGCAGAGGCACATACCAATGACAAGCGAGAGACAGAATGCCCAAACTGGGAACTCAGTGTGCCAGAACTCAATCGAGAGGACGCCGATCACAAACATAGACACTATATTGAATGGGGTCGGTAGGCGTTCTTCGATGGTCAGAAAATAAAGCAACACCAACCGAAGATGAGCATGTACCACCATTCCGGAACTTGCTTGTACTTGGCCATGAGCCGCGCGTGGATATCTGCTTGTTCATGCATTGAACGACGACTTTGGATCCAAATCTGCTTGCGGAAGAAGAGAAAGGCATGCACAAGCGTGGCAGTGATCGAGGCGAAGGATAACCCATAAGAAATTGCAAAAGTTGTGCTGGTATCGAATTAGGCGTGCTTTCGTTCACGAATGGAGAAATACTTACGAAAGGAAAAGGGGACTGTACTCCTCGTAAGCGGTAATGTTGAAAGAGGAGTCTGCGTTGATTATGCGGGTAATATTATACGCTGCACCAGTATTGTCGTAGGACGTGCGCGTCGACATACTGCGGGCAACTCGATAACGGGACGGCAAAGCGGAACAGACATACGCACGGTAAGTACTTGCTATACCAAGTATTGGTATAATAAAGACATGGAACGACGAGCCCTGAATTTCTGCGGTCAGTGACTTGTCAATAATTATCTGACAGAAGGCAGCCCACAGAAAAAGAACGCAAAGCCGGCGCCAACATTAGCCGCGGCCCACCACGGGGTAGCAAGAGGGCTGATTACATATGTAATCTGAGCCCAATCAAACGTGATGACGCTCATCCCGAGGCCGGACACGTAACCGAAGAGTTGGTTGACGACGATATTATTCGGGGCGATCCAGCAGACCCAAGAGAAGTAGGAGAGGCCTTGGAAAATGAAGCCAGGGAAGAAATACCACAGAACAGCTGCCGTCCACACATAGAAGAAGAAACGCTCGCGGGAGATACCGCCATAGTTACCCATGCCCGTGTATACCTGAGAGTGTAAAGTGTTGAAGAGAGCGCACGTGACAAGGTTTATAGGCCAGACTACAAACTGGGGTTGATTCGAATCCGATTGACTAGAGGTGAGTACATACTCATTGAGGGGGGATTGACGAGGAAACGTCGCAGGATACCTCCGATGGAGAAACCGATCATCTGAGTAGACATGACGATCATCCATTGGTCTGAATGGGTAAGTATAGCATCCGACCCGAAGAAGCGTGGGAGCCATTTATGAGCAAATCTTTCCAAGTTGCCGCACGTGCGCACTCACATCCGAAGTTGTATCTCTGGTTGTAGTACACCCGCTGAACGGCAACAATGTCCGTCTGGGATAGAAGAGAAGTTCCAATAAAGTGCAGGTAACCATGGAGAAATTACTAACGGCATATGCGGCTGTAAATAGCTCGGAGTCAACTCATTCTTCCAGGTTCGATCGGGGACACCTACAACCAGCACCAACGGAGGCCATGATGGTGACAAGCACATGTTCTTTGATAGTGAATGGACCGGGGTTGAGTTGATAACCAAAGATACGCCAGTTCGGCATAAACTGCAGGCATGAAAAATAATGAGCAGATTGGAAATATGGAAGCAGACTTCCACTGCGGAGGGAATATGGCAGTACAAACCTTTGCCCACGCACGGCCCATGGGGAATGAAAGCAACTGGCCGACATAACTGGAGATGGTAACAGAGGGATAGCGGAAGAAAAAGAATTGGTTGAGGCCTGAGATGAGGATGGCCCAGAAAAGACCCATCACATAGGCGCGCAACGTAGATACAGGAATATCCAGATCATCGGTGTTAGCGACAGCAGAGCGCACTTCGGGGTATGGCGAATCGTCCTCTGCGGAAACGAGTAAGCGGTCGTTAGGTTCATATGATTCTAGTAAACCAACCAAGGACACCCTCTAGGATATGTTCACGGTCGAGGTTAGGGTCGTCAAAATTGACGATATTCTCCAGGATGCGCTCTGTTGGAGATAAGACGTCTCTTCGCGGGAGAGGGAGGGAAATATGTACCGGTTTCCTTGGGGTCTGGGGAGACTGCTTTCTCTGAGTCTGAGTCACCATGGCTGCACTGACCGTCTTTTGGTTCGCTTGCCATGGTGGGAGAAGCCTGGGCAAGAGGAGAAGTGGGGGACGGGCGAGTTCCATCCGTAAGGGGGGCGATCAAATACTTGTAGCCACAGGGGGCAGATCTAGTGGGTGCGTGGACAAATTAGTGATAAGGGAAAACGAGCACGCGGTGAGCTCACCAACGCTGGGAGCCGAAAGATCCAAAATGGCGTGCAACCTTCTAATTCTGCCCCACGCGGTAAATATACCCCGGATCCATATCGGAGAATTGCTAGTGAGCCAGTGAGTTCTCTGAGTTTGTCCCTTCCGCCGATCGGTCAAGAGGGATAAAACTTCAAGTTTGTATTCCAGTGTGGCTTCCGAGATAAGTTGAAGCGGGGTCTCAAGCTCAAGAATGCACTACACACGTGACAGGAACTGCAACCCAAAAAAAAATTACATTACGACTTCCTTGCTTCTTTTTCGATGGAATCTGGCACATGGTCGGGTAAAGTTCAATATGAGTGAGTAGTATGAGTATGTGGGCTGGCGGGTGTCTGTTCGTCTCTGGTAATGCGGTCCAAATCACTCATATGCGAGACCACCGGAAAAGATAACAGTCGAATGGGAAGGCGTGTTCTGCGTATGTACGACGCGCAGGAAATGAACGAAATGTAAATGTTAGCAAAAATGGTTTCCGTGAACCTTGATTGGATCAAACAACGGCGGTGATAGTTGCGCACTGGTAAGTTGTTGCCCAAGGCTACATTAGATTGACGACAAACTTGCAATTGGAACTGCCGTAGCTCAAAACAATGCATAACGCGAACGAGCGATGCTACGGGATCTCCACATTGTTCTGAAGTAGCAGCACTTGAAAGTGAGTTGAGAGGAAATAATGTCTTCTTTTGCCTAGGGGAGAGAGTATAGTTTCGGTATCAGACGATTTGCATCTACTGTACTAAATGTGGTCTATTTCACATGTTCACCAGGAACGCAGGCGCCGCACACATATGGACTTTGCCTTATCACCTCCACAGTACTAACGATTATGATCCTATTCTAGAACTCGTATCTCTCATGGCCCATATTCATCGTATTCAGAAAATGTGGTTACGGGGATGCCTGGCACTGGAGCCGCAGATGCCGTCCTCACCAACGCCTCTTAATTTTTTCAGCCTGAACACCGTCCTCGTCAGGGGCCTACGTTTCAGATTCGCATAGCACCAGTACGTTCAGGGGGCTCAGTAGCAAGTCGTCGTGGGAGACAACACGTTGAGCCACGACTAGAGGGTAAATCGTCACGAAGTACCCTGAGGAACAACATTGAAACAAACTGCACCCGACGATGGCGTTCCATAGTGTTCCGTGTGCAACTTTCACCGCTCTTTTTTTTGTATTTTTCGGAGAAATTTTCACGCTAATATTATGCGGCTGAGTTGTGCCAGTATTGTACAAGCCCTCGGAGATCAACGCTGGATCAAACTTCACACTTCCCCCACTGACCTTTGCCAGGTAGGGCTTTCAATTCGGTTCATATGTAGTTGCACTGGAGTGTAACGGAGAAACTTTACAAGCGAGTCGTCGAACGTTGAGAATTAATTATAGATAAGTCCTGCGCCTTTGTGATCTCAGACCTCAATGAAAGATAGCGGTGTTTGACCGGGGTTCGTCACGTAGTCACCACTGGAACCGGGGGGTACGCCCAATTCTTAAGAATAGGTCCGATTCTGAAGTCGGGACAGATAGACAGAGTGATCCCGGGCTGAGTGATAATCCATAATGGTTGCAGTGGGGCAAAAACATCTCAAAACTCAACATGTTGGTGAATGGCTGTCGGTGTATATACATATGTATACTGTCGGGTAGCGCAGCATGTACATACAGGTAAGCACGAAGTATTTAGAAATGTAATGGCACTCGTGTCCCGAGGTCGTAATCTCAAGGCGGCTGGAAATGTCGGAACGTCAGAGTCGACGAACCGGCGGCATTGCTCTTGGCATCCCGCACGGCCTGAAGTCGATCGGCTTGCATTGGACGCGGTGGTTGGATAACTGACGGCGTGGATGAAGACGGTGCCGAGATACGAGATGCTGTGGAAGACGGTCCGGGAGCTACTGATAGGCCAAAAGTACCAGTGAAACCCAGCCGGGGTGGGGGAGGAACTCGGGGGCTCCGCACTGTGCTCGCGGCGACTGCATCGGGTTTTTGCTCTTTGATCTTCCTCTGCGATTCATCATCCTCGTCAGCACTAAGCCCCCGTTTCCGTTTCGAGCCGCTAGTGCCACCGTTGACCTGACACCTCCCACCGATAGAATCAAACATCGTCTTCGCCACTCGCGCATTGCTCCGAATGTCGGTGTGCTCTGCCCTTGTCTTCACCCGCATTTCACCTATCCCTTCTGCAATCTCCCTGAGAGGCAGCTTATCCTTCTCGACCGAGATGAGCAGGCACATCATCACAAACTCGATAGGGGCAACTACGCCAATCATCCTTAAGGAACAAGGGCCTGAGCGTGTCGTTGCCCACCAGCTGAGAGAAAGTTCGGAAAGTCGAGTGGATTTTTTCCAAAAACGAAGAATCTTTGGAGAGATCTTCCTCTTCTTCGTGCTGTGCGTCCTCGTCACTCGCCTTTCCCTTCTTTCCCTTTCCCTTGCTCCTTTCCCTTACGCGCAGGCTGAGAGGTTGGGTTATGCAACCACTTCTCGAGTTGCAAAACCGAGGCCAGTGAGGCCTGGCGTGGATATTTAGAAATGAGGTATAAGGCTTGGGTGATGCACCGGAAGTCACCACCGCGAGAACGGTCCCAATCGAGTTCATCTCCAGCAAGGGGGCCACTGGATTCGAGGTATTGTGTTTGGATTGACCGGACAAATGATGCCATTGGGGAGTTGATGACTTGGAGCTTCTCTAGACGAGCGTAAGCTATGTTAACGGCTGAAAAGACGAAGCAGTAGGGGCGTACTGACCTGCTGGTGTGAGCGCCATTCCCAATTGTACCCTCTGGACATCGAGACATTCATCGTCACACCCGGTGTTAACTCGCAAGAGCAGAGAGGACACACCTGGAATATCTCTCGCTCGTCACTGCCAGGTAAATCTTGGTACTCGATGCAAACAATTTGTTTGTTCACGAAGATACGTTTATATTTCTCGGGTAGCACCATTGACCCCTTACCCTGTGGCGCAGAGCTTCTCTTGAAGAAATATTTGTCTCCGGTTTGCCTAATGAAACCCACGGTCACAAGGGGACATAATGCTGGTAGACAACTCACGGGTCTTTGTCTAGTGATTTGAACAAACAGGCGTCTAGTATACAGCAACAGAATGAAGAGCAAACACTTACGAGGAATCTAGATAGGGATAGAAGGACTAAATACAAGGAGCAAAAATAGAAACAAGTTGCTGACCTCTCCATCCATGAACCTACCAGCAACAGCACAACCGTCAGCGCCCAGATATGTATAAACGCACAGGCCCATACCGTTGTATTGACGTCAAGCGTTGCTTTCCATCTATGCATGTCTTGGTTTCTGAACCATCCTCATACTGGTGAGTTACTAGGTAGCATTCGCACGAGGTTAGAGCACGGAGACAAAGGACATTGACATTGCAAAAAAGATGGTCGTACCAAATATGACGGGCGGAATATAAAAATTGCGAAGAATAGAGTCTATGAGGCCAATTTGCTTCGTGTCTGGCCAAACGACAGTCTAACGGGGTACACCATGAGATGAGGTGACGGTGTGTAGCGTGAGGCTTGTACCTCGTTGATACTCTGGCGAGAGGTCGATATCCCCAGCATGTATCTGGTCTAAAACAGTTCATGAACATAGGATTCAGTGAAAAGTATGGCGTACTCACCGTAGACAGCTTGCGTCGAGTAGGTTGTCGCCCGAGGGAGTTTGAGAACATTCTTCAGTTGATAACCGCCGTCCTTGCTATCCTCTCTTGTGTTGCGGCGCCTGCTGCCATTCACATTCAATCCTCGATCGAGTTCGTCGTAGGATTCGTCGAGTTGCCCGTCGTCCTCGAATTCGCTCCCGTCCTTGGCCTTGTCAGACATGACAGTCTAATATTTCGCAGTAAGGCTCCATGAGCGCTCGCAGTGCCACCGCGCCAGTATGGTTTCCCCGTTTGGAATCTTGCCGAGTGGCTTGGAGCCAAGAGTTGAGTGATCTTTACAGAAACACATTTCGGAATGAGCAATAATGCGCCGTCGTCGTCTTCTGGAGTGGGTCGGACGTCGTCAAACACGCTCTCACGCGCGTCGCTATTGGCCGGCGCCCGACTGACGACATCCTCAAAACGGGACTCTCTTATGGCCGAGCTGGAACGCGGTAGGTACTTCTTGTGTCACTCATGCGTATACTCATCGTATTTTCTTTTCCTTTTGTCCCCTTGTACCTCATCTGCAGATCCTCAGCACTCGACCGCAAAACGCCAGCAACGCTCGCAAGCCTTTTCCTCAACAATGGCCCATGCCTCCCTCGAACGACAGCTCCTAGCAGCTCAGACCGGCAGAGCGGAAGCTGAGGCGAAACTCCGAGATAGGGAAAGTTACATTGAGCGACTGGAGCAGGATAGACGGCTCCTTGCCGAGAGAGAGCAAACGGAGCGGGAAGAGAAGGAACGTGAGCGCACTTCAAGTGCCGAAGAGAGGGTGCGTCCATATTTTCCCGGATGAGTTCATACGAACACCGACAGCTGAAGCAAACGTGTAGCGCAAAGCAGAAGTGGACCTTCGTGATCTTCGAGAATCTCTAGCCATCTTGCGGAGCAAATACATAGAAACGGAAGAAGAGTACTCCACTCTGAAACGTTCTTATGCCCAGTTATCCGCGTCACAATCATCCCAGGCAACGTCTCTAACACGCAGGAATGATGAGCTCGAAAGCGAACTCGCGGAATACAAGGCCATCGTGGAAGACAAGGAAGCGACCGTACAGGCCTTACAACAAAGATTGGATGACTTGGAAGGCCCAAATGCTCCTACGTCGAACCGGTATGACGAAGATCAAAGTTGGGTCGTTATCAGGGATGAATTACACCGCCAGACTGCACACATGCGGTCGCTGGAGACTACAAATGCTAAACTCAACGCGGAGTTAGGAAGATACAAAGACAAGCACGCGAACATCGAAATCTTACGAGAGGAAAAGCATGCTCTCGAGAGGAAGGTCGCCGTCACGGAGGAGTTGAGAGGACGCGTTGTTTCTCTTGAAGCACAGGTGGAAGCTGCTAGGCGGGAACGGCAAGAATGGTAGGCGTACATTGCTCTTCACGGCTGATCCACCGACACCTACCTCAGGGCAAACAAATCAACGGAACCTGGCATGCAGCCTGATCCGTCACTTTCACTCGTTCAGAGTCTCTCTGAGTTGCGTTTAACTCATGCCCGCCTATTTGAGGAGCACGGTGCCACAGTTGCAGTTTTGTCCAGCCGAGAGGCTGAGCTAACGAAGACCCAAGAAATGCTTTCGGAAACACAGGCTACCGTCGGTTCGCTGCGGGCGGAGGTTAGCATGCTGAAAGCCAAGGTCACTCGTCGCGAACAGCGCGCTCAGCTTGCTGAACGAGAAACGGGGTTTTTACGAGCTTTGGTGGTGCGTATGGCATCCATGCTACCTAATTATCTCATTTTTTTGGGGGGGTAACAGGCAAGTTATACGGCGGAAGGTGCCCAGGATGCCGTCGAGCAAGACAGTTCCCTCCTCCAGCGTGTTCAACAGCTGGAACAGTCTCTAAGTGACTACAAAGCTCTCAACAATACACTACTAGAGGCTCTCGATGGCATAGACGCGGAAGCTGGCGCAGACGGTATCCGACAGTCTCGCAAGGAACTCACAACGGAACTCGAGCACCACAAATTCGCTGCTGTCGAAGCCACCAAAGGTACCACGTACGATATGCTATGTACCGTCATTTATTCTGACGAATATCCATTTCACTAGCTCTTGAGGAAGCCCGCGCGACTATCAAAGTTCACGAAGACAAGGTGGAAAACTTGGAACAAACACTATGGGAGCTGAGAGGGAAAATAGGGGCAGGTAACCATGTCCCCCCTGGCATGCGGGTGGTTTGCCTTCGGGACAACCCAGCCCAACAGTGGAATGACCTTAGGCAGTCGGTGCTGGACAGACTGAAGAATGAGAACGAAGCTTTGATTAAACGTTTAAGGGACCTTGAAAACAGCGCTACAGTGGTTAAGTCAGAGGCGTCGACCTCGAAAGGAGATGACTTGATTCCGAAGGAAAGCTGGGACGTCCTTGACAACGAAAAAAGAGAACTCGAGGAAACGGTTAAGCAGAAAGAGAAGCGCTTACTACGGCTTCAACAGGTACACTCCTTTTGACTTACACACTGCTTGTCTCACTTACGTTGCCTGCCTTTGAAACTCAAGGTCTTTTCAGCAAAGAGTGCAGAGTTCAGAGAGGCCATCACATCCATACTGGGCTTCAAGCTCGCCTTCTACCCTAATGGGCAAGTGCGGTTGACTTCGATCTACGACCTTTCCGCGTCATTTGTGTTCCAACCGCAAAATCAAGGTCACTCAGATGGCGCGCGGATGCAACTGGTCGCACAGGGTGAGGGTGGACCTCAGGACCTTCCACAACTTATGGACTACTGGGTTGGCGAGGAGCAGTGTATGCCGGGGTTTTTGGCAAGCGTGACGTTGGAATGTTATGACAGGTCGAAGAGGGAGGGTGGTGTGCTCAATGCGACATGATCTTTGTGTTGCTTATGATCGAGTACATATAGTTGGCTCGCGATGATCTGTTTACCACGACGACACTAATAACTGCCATACATCGCAGGTACTCAGTCACATTCAAATCCCACGGTTACAAACACCCAATTCTCTCCAGCTGGCAAGTACACATGCTCGCCTTCCACGAACCACAACCCAACAGATCACAATGAACGCGTGATCCGATTCCTGAATTCTTCGAATATATACGCACACCAGCTAGTCGGCGAGGGACCACCGGGTTACCCACGTGCGTCATATCGTGAGCGCCAGGGAAGATCCAGTGATGGCCAAGTAAGTTGTTAACAGTGTCCCTGCTACTCCAGTGGACATAGTGAGGGCCAGAAAAGCACCTTTCGCCAGCGTGTTTGCCTACCATCTCACTCTGGAAATCACGAAAGCTCTCATAGTTCCGCTCGTAGTCGCTCTCGCCACCCTGGCGAAGTCAAGCTTCCCTCACCCTGCTCGTTTGGCCTCGAATACAGATACCAATGCTCGTGTCGAAGGGCTATACAACCTCGTTAATAGACGCATTCCGCAACACGCTGGTGCATTTAGGTTCACTCTAGCACCTGGGAATACCACTGCTTTTGACACCTTCACCTTGAGATGCTACCTTACAGAATGATAACTGTAGCGCGCAGATCGACATCGAATGCAACTCGATAAGTGCGTGTGCTCGAGGACTTTACACGTGCGTTTCCCCTGTACAATGTTCTTTCCGGGAGCCCTGATCTTGGAGATGTAGGTATGTCACTGAGTTTGGAGGAGTGGACATCTGGTGGGCCGGTTCCCGACTTGATCAAATTACAAGCCCCCTACCACCGGTCGGGGCGCCAGTCACGCGCAGCTCTGTCGTTCGTTACCGCTATTTCTTCAATATGGTGACATTTAGTTACATGACCGCTTTCCACACCTTCGAAGACTGGGAACTACTTCTTTACTGGATGGCCTTACATGGTATCAATTTACCTCTTGCCTGGGTTGGCTACGAGTACATCCTTGTGGAGGTCTTCCAAGAGGCTGGACTTTCGGATGCTGATATTGCGGACTTCCGCTCCGGGCCTGCCTTTCGAGCATGGAACCGGTTTGGCAACATACAAGGTAGCTGGACAGTAGGGGAGCTGCCGAGACAATGGATGGACGATCAATTTGCACTGCAGAAGAAGTTGGTTTCGCGAACAGTGGAACTTGGGATGACCCCCGTCATGCCCTCGTTTACTGGTATTGTTCCTCTCACTTTCGCAACGCTATATCCCAATGCATCCGTAGTCGTCCGTGGCCAGTGGGGTGGTTTCCCACCTACGTATACCAACGATTCGTTTTTAGAACCATTCGACCCTCTATTTGCTGCACTACAAAAGTCATTTATCGACAAGCAAACGGCAGCATACGGGCCAAACACGAGATCGAAACCGAAGGACGCAGCGTTCGTACCGCTAGACATGATCTACATGATACTTAATTACATCATAATGGTTGCTCGTATACAAATCTGAAAAAAAATTTGATGGCCTTTCTGACGCTCGAGCTGACATGCAAGTTTGGATTCGTCAACGCCCTCCGCACATCCTGTACACTCGCGTTGTGTGCGGCAAAGTTGCCTTGGAGCCGAATGATGTTGCCCTCCGAAAGTAGGAAACACAGTGCTTTCTTCGAAACAGAATATCCAGTGCGTTGATAATAAGGGTCGTCTTGGAACGCCATGTAGATACGGTCAACCGTTGTGTCCCTTGGTGCACTCAGTAGGTGGTCCCATGTTTCGCCGAGCTTGGCAGTAATCAGGTTCCTCGCCTGCTCCAAGAGAATCCGTCTATGAATGACAGAAAGGGCAGCCGTAACCTGAGAGATCACTGAGCCAGGCGCAGTGAATGTGACGGAGCGACTTACACCACGCAGCCGAGAGTTTGCACGGTCGTACTCTTACTTTTGCAGTGAATTTGAATGTCTTGCTGTTCCACTCTTTGGTTCGCTGCTTGTATCTCGCTCTGTAAACAATCCCACTGCGCTTTCAGTGTAGCAAGCTCTTTCTGTGCTGAAGGCAGTGCTTCTAGCAGGGTCAGGCATGGCATGACCCCATCAGTTCAACCCGGGTAAGGACAATGTGACAACTCATGAGCAGTGTAATTTTTTTCTGCATCGGCTTCCAATTTTTTCATCAGGCCTTCTGTTCGGGGCTCCACCACTACACAAAGGGTTGATTTCCCCTCGTCTGGGCTGCAGTCAGCCAACCCTCACCTATGATTGCATTGACAAAACCCACCAAAGAACACATTGGTTGACATCATATCTTGCATCCATGCGACTTCAGGGGAATAACGGGAGTTGATAGCTGCTACTGCGTGGTCCGAGGCGTTCTTGGTGACCGCTGTGAGTTCTTTGGAATCAAGGGGGAAGCGAAAGGCAAGTTGAGAGTTCTCAGAGTCATCGAGGGGAAACCATGGGATGACAACCCGACCTCGCAGCATCTCTGCAGTAATGGGAGGGAAATGGGCAGGAGCAAGAAGAGGTGAAGGGTCGTACCAATTATCTAAGTGAGGGTGGCTGACGGCGCGACAGGGATCACGTGACCCCAAAATTAATCCTGAAGCTATTCACACCAATGGTTGGTTGGGTAGTACTGCTTGACCATGCCTTCGCGGCCGTTGGTCAACTTTGGGATCCGCCTCCAGCTTACCACCTGGTAATCTTCAAGTCTCTTACACCTCCATACGTCGCTCATATCCCCGACACCAACTTTCCAAAGGTTTTTCCGTAAGTACGATGTAGTTTGGCTGCTTTCGGAAGTGAAGTTGCAATCGTACTCGTGGGTGCCACGACAGGCGTGTGTGGCCCAGTCTGGGCACTTTGCGGTCGACCTATCACTACCGCACCAGCTGATGACACTGTGACGCCGTCCGACTCTGCGTCTGCTAGCAATCGAGACCCTATCTTGTCAAGTCCTTGCGTTATCAGCACACAAGCGTTGACGTATGTACTCGTTTCCATTCCTGCGTCATGTCCAGTTTATTTTCTCGTGTCAAGACGAAATCAATTTTGGCCAGGATATCCCGCGCAACAAGTGGCGGTCTTCATACCACGACTGGCGCCGACGATGATTTAGCCCATACAAAGAGGAGTGCCTCGAGCAGTGACCAAACGAGGACCCAGGGGGCGAAACTGCGACGACGCCTTGTGTCCTCGTCCAAACGTGCCAAGAGTGAGATCCGCGCCCCAAATACCATCGCCCAAGTCTCTGACGGCGGGTTTCTGCCTCAAGTCACGTCAATGAAAGCTAACCTCGAGACACATCCAAATTCCGTGCAAAGATAACAATATAACCGATATCAAGGCACCCATGGTTGGTTGCGGTGCCTGTGGTCTGAAATCACCGTCGATCAGCCTCGTTGAACCCTCTGAGGACTTAACCTAGAATAATCCAGCTTGATTGACTGTACTTATAACCTCGATTATTTGACCTGTCAGGAAGATCCTATGATCAACAGGAAGCTACTGTCGAGTACCACCATTATATTTGCACACGTATCGAGTGCATCACCGGTAATAGTTTTTTTACTGCCTCGTCCACACTTACATTTCCCACAATCCTAATTTGGAACACTGCCAGCATGTCACGTGGTGTCACGCGATATGTCGGGGTCTTGCCGACTGGTTGTAAACAGCCGTAAATTTTGGCGAGCTTACAAATGTCCCTTTACCTGGTACACAAGTCGTCGATGTGACTGCGGAATCGTGATATCACCGGTGGGTCATCATGTTGTCCTCACTTGGCTTGAACTGACAGGGACATAAGGACCTGCTAGTTCATTTTGGAAACAGCTCGACGAGCTTCGGTCAGACTTCTCTAAGATGGAGGATGAGACCAATAAGCTGAGAGAGCGGATCGAGTGAAACCACGCAAATTTTTTGCAGTGGGACAAGGAACTGGCTGCTGAAATTAATGACCTGTGTCAGGTACGTCTTTGAATTACATTCACCACTCTGATTAGTTGATATCTCTCAGATTACCTCGTCATTGGTGCCACTACACCGTCGCATCTTGCTCGACCTTGCACTGGACAAAGTTATCAGCCTTGTTGCTGGGACAGAAAAGATGCTGGGGTGGCGGTCAAGGCATAAAGCAATAAAGCACACATGCCAGAGGTAAGGGGGGGTTAAGTCCTAGTCCTCTACCAATGGGCAGTCTGGGGGGACACGGCGCTCTTCAAGCTCGTCGCATGAGGTATACTCCATCCAAGGAGGCCCTTGACTTCCTTTTCACCCATCATGATGTCTTCCGGAGATGTAACAATGCGGTACATGTTCCCACTGTGGATGTGGGTGAAATGAGGGAGGGACTGTTGGATTTTCCTGCTGACGAGAGGACCAGACGTGCACTTGGGAGCCTCTTTGCATTCACGTTCGAGGAACCCTACATGTAGCATTGCTAATTAACCCTGTCCTCGCCCCGCAGCACACCAGATGGATGATGCAACAGTTGCGATATGTTTCCCATCATTTCTGTGCATCCTTAATTCGTGAGTTGTACATTGCTGAATGCATGAAACAGTCGTGTCTTGTTCGTCAGTGACCGTGTGCGTGTATCTATAGCAAGGCTCAACCGCAGCGGCAACGACTTGACTCATATTTCGGTAAACAGTGGATCTGGTGCCAGCTACACGACTTCGGAGGGAATCAGGGTACGGAGGGCATCTTCGCCAACGTCACCGCTGCCCCCATCGAGGCTACGATGTACTACTTGACCAGGCTTGGTCGTCAAACGCAATCGATAGGGCTACATACGTTTTATCGTGGACCTCTAGGAGGTATTATACACCAAACCTTCCTTCCGTCGCTGTCGATGCCTGGCAACTCCTGAGTTCCACGGTTTATAGCAACACAGATCCATCTTCGCAGGCGACTTTGAAGAGCATTTTGGAACCGGAGCCCGCACTCACTGGCCTCGTCAATCGTACTGGACATCATCCGACTCTCATATCCTATAACAACTATACCACGGTGATGCCCACCTTAAAGCTGCTCATCGAGGCAGGATATGAGTTAAAGAACTGAGGTCTGTTCCAGAGTATCGTTACGACCTTGTGGATATCACCCGCCAATTGCTCACAAACCGCTTTATCGACATTTACCAATCCGATGATGTCTCCAGAGCACCAGAGCCTCTTCAGCAACTGCTCTTCGACCTCGATCGCGCGCTTCTCACGAATTCGCACTTCCTACTCGCCAAATGGATCGATTCGGCTAAGGCGTGGTCGCGTGGTAATGCGACGCTTTCCTCCTACCTAGAGTAAAATGCTCGCAATCAAATTACCCCCTGGGGTCTGACGGAACAGATCAACGATTACGCGTCTAACCAATGGGGGGGGGGGACTTGTTAGTGGATACTATGCTCGACGCTGGGAAGCATTTGTGCGATACCTCGTCGAGACAAAGAAAAATGGCACGACGTACAATGCTACCATGGTTTCAGATATTATGCTTGAGATCGGAGAGCAGTGGGATAAGCAATTATGGGGTTCTGAGCAAGTTGATTTAGGTTCTATGGAAAACGGTTGGGAAGTCGTGCAACAATTAGTAACAAAACACTGCTAGCTTTCTGAAACGGACGTTCATCGCAGAAACTGGCATAATCTCGTAATAATCTTCGACTGGACTGAAATATCTTGTACTCGGTCCTCTGAGGACCTATCCTAGGATATCCCAGTTGAATCGACTGCAACATACGGAACTGGGGCCTCAACCCAGGAGTCACCTTTCAGACGAATGGCAGTCCCATAGATCTCCACGTAGTTAATATTTGGAAAATCAGCCAAAATAAGTGGTAGGGTACTCTGTTGCAAATGATCCGATGAAGGTTGCCACGGGGGTACGAACCGAATTCCACCGGGATAGCATGGAGCATGAGATTGTACAATCAGCTTCTCCATGTTTTCACTAAAGCCGACACGGAAACAAAGAGGGGGGCTCTTCTGGAGAAGCGGGAATGAGTTGCACATAGGAATGGGATTTAAAATACTCCATACCACGTGGGACTGAAGATAATCCCTTATGTTAGGATCAACAACTAGCGTGAGGGAACGCAATTTTTGAATAATCTCCGATAAATTGCTTTGAAGATAGTGTTCGAAGTCAGGAAGTCTCATGTGATCGTAGAACGATAGCTTGAGCTCCGCCACGGATTGTCGTATCTTTCGTAGAGTGGCTCTTAGGACGAATTCATGTGCTGGACTAGAGTATTTTATTTGGCTAAGATGGAGTTGTTCTAGAATGTAATCTTGAGGCCAGTCGAGGAGCACGGCGAACGGGAGGTCTGTCTTCAAGGAACGCAGATGGCCCAAGTTAAATACCCTAGCGGCGACATAGGCGTGGGCACCGCCTTCGTAAAACTCGATAGACGGTACTCTGAGGTTCATTGGGTGGTTGGTATGAATCCCATCTTCTAGTTGAGCGGTTTCTGTGAACTGGCACTTGTCAAAAGCCAACTCCCCCAGCGCCCTCAACGCCATTACTGCACGCCAGTGGTTATTGGTTATGAAGCATCTGGTGAACGTAAGTCGGCGGAGGTTGGTCATATGACTGAGGCTGGAAGTGAAACGTTTCGCAAACATGTTGACCGCCCACGACCCCTCGGACTCTAATTGCCAATCGCGGAAGTTGCACTCTCTAGTACACTCGGCGCCCCATAGTGCGAGATCCTCACCAGCAGCCATACGGCTGCACCACGAAATGTTTCGTGAGAAGGGAAGATTATCGTGCCTGTAGTAAACAAGGCCGACAAAATCGACGTGTTCGAAAATGCGGGGAAGTGCGATGTGGCAGAAGAGTTTGCAGGAGCCAGAAACCCTGGTAAGAGTCTTCGTTTGCTCTACAGAGAGCTTCTCGCCAGACGGCGCAAGGTGCTCGAAAATTTCTAGGTAAATTTCGGTTGGGATCGTTGGAAGGTTGCGGTCACCAACACGGCGTTCCGGAACTGAATGACCTTGTCAAGAACCTTCCACGGACTACTGGAATATCAACTCACTCGTCCATCGGAACATATTATAAAACTGAACGTTGGGGTGTCACAGTAGAGAGGGAAGGATTATATCCGTCAAGTCAAGTTGGTCCGGCCGTGTCGTGTCGCTTTACATACTCCGCCCGTGTTTGGAGGGGTCACCATGCGGGAACTGCGGGTAAGGGCCCAGTGGCATCCCTTCCAAACCAAGCCTAAAACTTGCCAAGGGCGTAAAAATGTAGTGACGAATCATTCGAGCATACTCAGAGAATTCTCTCACGACTTCACGTTCCATGCATAAAAATAAGAACATGCCAACTAATCGCAGCCTAGTGCCACCGATGTTGGTGCCTTGTTTTTGCAATTTTTGTGTAAGCTTTCTGAACGAAGGTGATTGCTCATATGATCGCTGCAATTTTTCGCTGGTGGCGGGTTTTGGACTTGGTGCAGAAGGAATGCCACCGGATCTTTGCCTGCAATAAGGGTGAATCGCAGTTCCGAGCCTCTTTCTTTATGTCCGGCCATCTCAATACTTCATGTCGACAATGCAAGTCGATTAGTGAGGGTTGCCCGCAACTTGCAGGTACATAGTGTATGATCACTACACCTACAGGATGTTTGCAGGCCTGAACTTGATAGCGTCCAGGAATGTACATCCGCCTGCATCGCCGAAAAAGAATTCCGACGAAACAGGCTTTCTAGAGCTCTGTCCTATCCGCATCTCCTAGTGTCGACTGAGCAAATCAGTTAGTGACAGTAGTTCGGTACATGGCCATCATGGATCACACTCCGGCCCTCTCGATGAGTTGCCCCAGGCTATCGCGATCTAATATACGGGAGCGGATGGTCAGACATCGAACATGTTGAAGGGATTGCATGATAGGGAATCCAACTGAGTCTTTCAAGGTGTGCCCGACTTCCCCGCAGCTGATTTGGGTTCTGAAATCTGAAGCACGTCGTTGTAAGGTTGAGTTCAAGGCGCTCTAGCGACGATGGCTATGTTATGCGAAGAATTCGTGCGCATCAGAGTACGTAGTGTGCCATGAGTGGTACTGACAAGAAGCTAGTCCTCATCCCATTCTTCGCTATCCATCAAACCACGGGAATGAATGCTACATACATAGCCTTCAGACACATCTGAGCCCCACGAATGGGAGCTGCAGAGGTTCACTGGTTATACTTGCCGATTTCTCTTCTGACCCCGCGATACTGGGCAGTCAACTAATCAATTTCAAGGCACTCATGACTAGTTGCAGCATATACCGTACACATCGTATCTGGGCTTAGTTTTACAAGCCAAGGGCGATAAATTATTCCTAGCAAGCACCGAGCACCTATCACGAATCTACAGCTTGATGACGACCCTTCCGGCCACGTCACCTCGCTGAAGGTCTGTGAGGATGCTGAACAGGGCGTAAGTATCAAGAACGAATTGAGGGAAGGGACATCGCATACCTGTCGAGATCTTCTAGGGGTCTGACAGAGTATTGACACTTCACCTTTCCTTGCACGGCGTAGTCAATGGCTTCGATGGTATCTTGCGGGGATCTGCCGTAACATGAGAGTTGTAGGATTAGTGACGTGGAATCCAGCAAGACCTCTGCATCTTACCCTAAGGCAGACCCAAAAATCTTAAGTTGCTGTAGACGTGTCAGTCCTGGGCCACTATCACACAACAAGCTATGTACCTTTCCGATGAGTACCCCAAACGGGATATCGAAGGTTCCAGGCGGTACCCCGACGCCCACGAGGATACCACCGGGCCGGAGGTAGAAGGAGGCTTGTGTGAAGGATACTGCCTGATAAAATATTCAAAAAGGACGATCGACAACGGAAAGCAGACATACGGATGCAGCGGTTATTAACGCCGCGTGAGGCCCCTTCCCATCAGTTGCTGCTATAACATCATCCACAAGGTTGGAGCCACTCTCCCTAAAGTCAAACCATTTCTCAGCACCAAGCGAAAGACATAAGTCTCGCTTCTCTTCTCCACTATCTGCCTACAGGTCAGGGGCTTCGGGTAGAAAGTGGATGGTAAATCCACTGACCAATGGCAATCACGCGGAAGCCCATGTGCTTTGCATATTGAACAGCTGAATGATATTAACATCACTTCGAGCTTCAAGAATCGGATGAGCATGCCTAAATGTCCCAATCCTCCCCCGGCCCCGGGTATAGCAATCCAGTCGCCTGGTTGATGATCGATGAGTTTCAGGCCTCTATAGACTGTAACACCCTAATCTCGTTCACACGACCGTGAAAAGGACGTGATAACAAAGGTTAGGGACTTACTGCACACAAGAAGGGCGTCACAGCTGCGCTATGGACGGAATCGGGAATTGGGGTAACATAGTCCGCCCACGCGACCTTGAGTAAGAGGGTTTCACGCCACGCTGAGATACATCAAAGGCGCAGCATCACTTACAGCATATTCAGCAAATGAACCGTCTACGGTAAACCCGTGCATGGAAGCGGAGGCACATCCTAATATGGTGGCGTAAAGTCTTATGAAGCACTCGGTGAACTAATCGACTTACGGACTTCAAAACCCCTACAACAATACTCGCACTTCAAACATGCCCGCGCCAAGAATTTCAAACCAACCCTATCGCCAACGTTGACGGGACTGCTAGTAGTTCCATCGCCAATGGCAACGACCCTGCCGACACCCTCGTGGCCGCCGATCCGGGGTAGAGTAGGCTTCAATGAGAAATCGCCATCGCGTGCGTGGACGTCTGTATGACAGACACCTGCGTATTCAATTTTGACAAGACATTCATTGGGAGAGAGGGTGGTAGGATCCGGGACTGGGTAATCGGTGAGGACCTTTGCTGGCTCTCCGAACCTTTGGAACTGAGCAACACGTTGAGTGCTTGGGAGGGACATGTGCAAGGGGGTGTAAGTGTAACAGACACGGGAGGCGCTCAAACAGCGATGGAAATGAGCTAGATCACTGACTGACTCATTTTGCTTCCGCAGATCGGCCAACAAGGCCTCCGGAACTACATTTACCCGTACGGCACTGCTCCGGAGATCAAAGTATACACCACTGCTACGACTAGCCATGCGTGGACCTCTCCAAGTCGATCACTCTACAAGCTGAGTGTCGCCTTACACTCGTAGGGTCAGGAGAGGAACTTGAGACCATTGGCAGGCAAAATTGGTAAATCTTCACAGCCCCCGTTTGCGCAACCCAGATGCGTCCCGAGGGCAGTTTTCATTGTCGTGATTTAAGAGGTGTAGTGTCCCAGAGACTTTCTCTATAATCCGCTGGCACGAACTCCTCGGATAACATGACCATCATTGCTGTGTGTGCATCGACGCCTGGCGTGACCGAGTGTGGGAGTGGCGATCGTACATTCCTGGATGTCATCAAGTCCAAGCGTGGACTCCAATAGGGCTACGACGGCAGGCTGACCTCACCATTAGTAGGTTCATAATCACTTGAATGGAAAGTTCTGCGTGTTTCCTGTGGAAGACGTCTGACGCTGCGTTGGTGACCGCAGCTTTCCGGCTATCCCAGCCGAAATTTATCTAGAAATTCTCGAGCACCTTGCGCCCGCTGGCGAGAAGCTTTCTCCAAAGAAGATGAAGATTTTAGAAGTGTTTCCGGCGGGTGCGAGCTCTTCTGCCACATCGGCCTCGCCCGCATTTACGAACGCACATCAGTATTGTTGCTGAGGTGCTCGACTTGGGTCGTCTGCGTTCCCTGAAAACAGACATGGATTTCGCCCGAACTCTTCAGCTGGCCTCGGGAGTACATTCTAGAGCAACCCCATGTTGGCGGAATAGATCACTCTAGTTGAAGTCATCAAGCCACCCTAAAGCCCATTTTGCGGCGGGTGTGTGTGGTGGAGCTGGAGCTGTCTTTCTTGGAACGTATTTCTCTTCCCGAGTTCGTAAGCCACTTCCAGGGCGGTTTACTGGAGAACATTCAAAATTTGCGTTCACTCGCATCGGTTGCCGCTAGAGATTTTGCTGGACCCTGCGAGCTATGTAGTGTAATCTTATTCCTACGTATAACTGATCTTCCAGCATGCGTGCCCAGATGACTTCCCTCGTCTGTCGTTATGTTGGTTCCGGTGAAACCAGAGAGGTCGGATGTACGATAGCAATGTAGACATTTTTTCAGTTTGGTCGCGAAGAAACAGCCAGGATCGTCTCGTGTAGTGGCGACAGCGAAGTGTAGCACTTGCGACGACACTACACGAGGAGCTTTACTGTAGATACTTCGAAATTCCAAGACACCAAGGTCTGTATTTGAGGTAGGTAGGAAATGCGTCCTCGTACGTTAAGATACATGACCCTTTTTGTAGTAGAGAGAACAGGCGCGCAATATCAGTAAGAAAGGGTGTGGGTAAGAACTAGATCAATCATAAATGAGATACGTAGAAGAAACGTCAGAAGAATATTGAACAAGTGACGTGCGGCCGACAGCGTCGGTCCGAACTTTACATTTCGCGCTCCCACAGTCGCCCTTCGATGATGTACAAGACATCCGATCAACTGTTTCAATAGTTTGTCCAAAGAGATTACCTACGTGGAGATCTACGGGACTGCATTACGTCTGAGAGGTGGATCCGGGTTAAGGTCCAAGTGGTTAAGGTCCGAACTGCGCGGTTAAGGTAGGAAATCATTCGCTTTAATCGTCATACTCGAGGTTATAAGTACAGTCAATCAAACTGGATTATTCTAGGTTAAGTCCTCAGAGGGTTCAACGAGACTGATCGACGGTGATTTCAGACCACGCGACCAACCATGGGTGTCTTGATATCGATTATATTGTTTTCTTGTAAACTGCCAAACACCCGTAGGGGATCAGAAGAGGAACGTGAAACCAGATCGGCAAGTGAAATCGGTAAATCTTTGCACGGAATTTGGATGTGTCTCGAGCTTAGCTTTCATTGACGTGACTTGATCGACAGCGACGAACGAAACGGGGAGTGGCTTCTCGCCGCAGTGTCCTTCAAGAGACTCTCCCTATACTCCACAGGCACGATCTCTTCAAACAGCATGACCATCGTTTCCGTGCGTGGATCGACGCCCGGTCCGACCGAGGTCTCGTTGACTGGAAGCGCCTTGAACTCGATCTTATGATGTCACGCTTCAGAATTACTCCAAAGCAGTCATGAAGCGGCTAGACTCACCAAGGCCCAGTTCGACTCTCTGTCAATCTTTTCTCCGTGTCCAATGGATGACCATCCGCCTCCGTATATCAGATCGCAAAATACGCCCAAAAACGCTTCCTCGATCACTACCTCAGATCCCACGACCGGTTCCGAGTCCAATTCAATCTGAGGTTGTTGTACGTGCTGGGTCTTCCTTAACTTTCTAGCGATACTGGCACTGCGAGTGAACGATGAAATTCCTTTGTGAATCACTGGGCTGCTTGGGTGAAGTGATATATCAAGGAAGTCGCCGGGTCGCGAAAATCCGATAGCTGCAAAGTCATTCCAGTTCATCGTTCGACGCTTCTCGGGAGGTATCTACAGACAAAACTCCAATTTAAGCGATCATCAGACATATTGGAAACCAGGACCTACCATTCTAAGATTCTCATTCGGGTTCAACTGAAGTTCTTCGCCGTTGACGGCAGAGGAGCCAAAGCCCGCCTTCTCAAACTCCACCCATTTCTTCTCTGTCAAGGACTTAAAGCGTTGAGAGCCTGTATAATATCCAAGGCCTAACGCCAGCCTGAGTGGATCGTCTACATCAACTCCAGGACTCCAAGAAGTAGCGGTCGTAGGCACGTCCGACACTTGACCAGTGTAAGGGCGGAAATCGTAAGGTAAATTCATTCTCTTCATGTAGCCCTCGGAGAATGACGGTTGTAGTTGAAGGGCAGACGGAGCGATACGTTCCCACTCCTTCGACGCTGCAACGCCGCTATGTTTTGTGGCTCGACCTCTAGGACTTGGTGCCCAGCTTGCAGCCGTGTTGACGAGGTCAGGAGAGTACTTCGTAACGTTTCGGCGTACACGGACAACGCGTATTGTGCGTGCTCCACGACGGACTTGGAACCATCCTTGCGTGTCCTTGTCATATAGAACAGGCAGCATCGAAGGGTATCCCCTGATCCACTCCTTGAGGCGAGCAGGGGCCCTAAGAGGGGTAGTATTGCTGCGGGGAACACGAGTGCCGACACCGGGTAGTGGAAGTGGAATTCGTGGGGCGTCCTGCCAGCGGATGTACGCCAGCAAGATATGTTCCATGGCGATGACTGCGTACAGATATTGGACATATGTGTGGTGGAATGGAAGACCGGGCGGTCCGAGACCAAATAGCAATGGCCCAAAGGACGACGACAGCGTTGACGGCGTATGACCAGACGCAGAACCGTGAGCGACGAAACGGGTAAGGAGGTCGAGCAACGTCAACAGAATTGATCGGAGAGCATGCGGTGATTGTGGCAGAAATGTTGAGAAGTGTGTGTGCGGGTAACTGAGAGCTGGGATGCGAGACCGTGAATGAATTACATGAGTTGTCAATGCCTCGTGCGTACGTATGATTTGGGAAAAACATACCTGCTTCTGAATCACGGAACTCCGTGTAGTGTTCCCAAGAAATGAGACCCCGCATCGCCTGTCCTCCAGTGACTCTCACGACCCGTGCAAGACCCCACCGTAGGCACATGCCAAGTTCATGTGCGCCTGCAAGGTGTGCCTCCTGACGCCAGCGATACTCTGCTTCGTTGGAGGATGGATCTGCGCAAGTATCAAGGAACGCGGAGATCAGCTGGTTGATGGCAGAGGAGGAGATATCAAGAGCAAGAGCAGAAAATATGAAGGGAGTGGTGAGGTACCGGGTGGCAAGTTCATCCGAAACGACCTCCACGAGCCTTTCCAGTTCGTTGATGCCAAGGACGACGTGGCACTCGAAGGAGAGGTATCCGTACTCGTATCGGGGGGCGTCGTGGGTTCCCCTGCGATGGTGGTCAAGGTTGAGAGGCAGAAACCCGCCGTCAGGGACTTGGGCGATGGTATTTGGGACGCGGACCTCACTCTTGGCACGTTTGGACGAGGATACAAGGCGTCGTCGCAGTTTCGCCCCCTGGGTCCTCGTTTGGTCACTGCTCGGGGCACTCCTCTTTGTATGGGCTAAATCATCGTCGGCGCCAGTCGTGGTATGAAGGCTGTCACTTGTTGCGCGGGATATCCTGGCTAAAATTGATTTCGTCTTAACACGAGAAAATAGACTCGACATGACGCAGGAATGGAAACGAGTACGTCAACGCTTGTGTGCTAATAACGCAAGTCGGAGCGCAAAGGACTTGACAAGCTAGAGTCTCGATTGCCAGCAGACGCAGAGTCGGACGACGTCACAGTGTCGTCAACTGGTGCGGTAGCGATAGGTCAACCGCAAAGTGCCCAGACTGGGCCGCACACGCCTGTCGTGGCACCCATGAGTACGATTGCAACTTCGCTTCCGAAAGCAGTCAAACTACATACTCCGATCGTACTTACGGAAAAACCTTTGGAAAGTTGGTGTCGGGGTTACGAGCCACGTATGGAGGTGTAAGAGACGTGAAGATTATCAGGTGATAGGCGGAGGGGGACTTTTCGTCTTTGGTTCCGCAGCCTGTATCTATCCTGCTACTTTATAGATGAAGCGAATTTCACGATAAGAGGGAGTGATCTCATCGACCGCTGTCTCACTGCTGGACCGCACGCGGTGCGCTGAGCCGCCTCGTCGCTGCACGGTCCGCCCGGGTGGTGAATGGATGATAGAATATTGTCGACATTGTACTGCTGTCATCCCACAACTCTTTTACCTAACTGGTAGTGGCCGGTAGCCACGTCGGAGGAGCGGAAACTGTTCTCCAAATCTCCTCAGCAAAAAGTTGTTATTCTAATGCTCGGTCGAACGCAGCGGCAGAGTCTGTGTTCCCGGACAATGTTCACGTGACTTGCAAAGTACTCTCGCGGTGGGCTGTGTGCATTACAGTAATATGCGTGGATCCCCGTCAAAAGCTGAGTGGGCAGGCAGCGCTTGGTGGTGTCAACACCTTCCATATGGCATATCCGCAGCGTATATAAATTGATGGCTAGGTTCAATTGCCGGTAATGTTGGTCACATTTTTCGCCCTGTCCTTCGCTCTAGGGAGCTTTGCTGTCGCGCCTTCCAACAGTTCAGGATGTCTATGCACTTACGGGCATCCTTGTTGGCCAACCGTAGACCAGTTCGCTGAACTCGAATCCCAGGTGTCTCAACCTCTCATCTACCCCGCTCCCACTGCTTCCGCGTGCTATCCAGCCAATGACCCATCTGGGAACTGTACTCAGGTAATGCAACGCTGGACAGACGGGAACTGGCGTTCTTCGATACCTGGTTCGATGGACGAACCAAATTTCGAGTCATTCATATTTAAGAATGGTACAATCAGTGCATGTTACCTCAACACATCCCTTGGTACACCTTGCGAACAAGGCAGCGTACCTGTGATTGGCGTAGACGCTCGCACTCAACAAGATATCCAGGTTTCCATAAACTTTGCACTGCGTTACAATTTGAAATTGGTCGTGAAGAATACAGGGTGAGTGGTAGGTTCCTCACGCGCCAATGACTTGATCTTAGTATTGGTGGGTCATCAGACACGATTACCTCGGGCGCAGTACGGGCCGCGGTGCCTTTGTTGTATGGACACACAAAATGAAGAACATCACGTATGATGCGGAGTTTGCGCCCGAGGGAGCACCTGCCAACGAAACATACCAGGGTAAGTCTTCGTGTTCTTCTTGCGTTGGAGTCGGAGCTTGACTATCGACTGATGGGTGCTGTGGCATCCACAGCCATGACAGTTGGCTCTGGGGTACAGTGGCACGAGGCTTATGATGTAGCCAATCAGAATGGACGCATGATGGTCGGTGCCCAAGATATCGATGGATCTGTCGGGGCTGGCGGTGGCTGGCTTCAAGGTGGAGGGCACAGCTCTCTTTCGCCCTCGTACGGCCTCAGTAGGTAACAAGCGCGAATTTATACTAATTTCCTGCTCATTTCACGATGCTAAGGCGTTGATAATGTGGTTCAGATTACAGTGGTCACATCCACTGGTGCCCACCTCACCGTCAACAACTATCAGTATCCCGACCTCTTCTGGGCGCTCCGTGGTGGTGGCGGTGGTACCTATGGCATCGTCACGTCTGTCACCTACCGTACGTACCAGCAGCTTTCGGCTGTGTTGTACTTCATGCAGGCCAACGTCACCAATGCAACTGTGATGAAAGAGCTCATTGGAGGGATGCTACGCCTCCAACCCAATCTGACGGACGACGGCTGGTCAGGATATGGCTTCTTGGAAAACACCACCTTGACGTTTATCGGTATGAATCCTGGCATGTCCACCACGGCAGCCAACGCAAGTACGCAACCCCTGACCGATTACTTGCTCAGTTTGGAGTCCAACGGTACCTCGTTAGAGGTAGAGATCAATCCGTTCGACACATGGTACGCGTGGTACACCTGGTTCAAGCAGTTCTTCAGCACGGGAGGTGAGGATGGTGCCAATATGATGATTACCTCCCGCCTTCTCTCTCGTGATACGCTCGTGAATCAATATGCCGATGTCGCAGGGATCCTTTATGACTGCCAGGCCGGAATCAAGTACGTCTAAGTTCTCTCACATGCTCGCTTGCACGTATTACAATGGACATCTGATGCCGTCGTTCCTCCCTCATCATAGCACGGTTTCCGGAGGAAAAGTTGCCCAGATCAATCCCGATTCGGCAGGTCTTAATCCGGCATGGAGAGATGCCGTCGTCGAAACCGTGTGCGGTGTATCCTGGGCTGAAGGTACCACTGCCGAGGAAATCACAGGGAAAATCGACCAACTTAAGGTATGGATCAAGGATATGTATGCCCTCACACCTCAAGCTGGTGCCTATTTCAATGAGGTGAGCAAGTGCAAGTCTCGTGGCGATGAGTTTGGCAACTGACATGTTAAACAAGGCGTCGTTGTTGGAGATCGATTGGCAGTACACATTTTTCGGTTCACACTATGGCAAGCTGAAAGAGATCAAGGATAAGTATGATCCGTACCGTCTCTTCGTAGTTGCAGAGGGTGTTGGTTCAGATCAATGGAACGAAGAGCTGACTTGCCGGTGGTAGAGGTGGGCGGTTAAGTAAGAAACATAACATGGATGATCATAGCACTACCTTTTGTTCCTCGCTGTCAATCAAATCACGACAATGAAAGCTAGCCTCAAGAAAACTGAGTTTCGAATTCCTCTTCTGGCCCTACAATGCTGGGCAGTCCACTAATTAATTCTAAAGCACCCCAAAAGTACCCATGGCTAGGTGCATATATATCTCGGTACTCTGCCAAGGATCTACCCTAGATATTCCGGTATGGCGGTATGATTTGGACCTAGGACCCTAACCCAGGAGTGTCTTCCAGATGTAACGCAGTCCCACGAATCCGTCAGACGAACTTAATGCGCATGGCCAACATCCACTGATAGTCAGTCGTGTGGATGGTTACATTGACGTGATGATAGATGACTTGCTCACGAAGGGAGCCGAGGAACCATGTACGTGGAAAGGTTGCTCGATGATAGCGTATTGGCCTCGAGCGAGTAGACCGAATGTTCACATCTCGTTCAGAGAGTATCGTATGACGGTGAGGTGCGATAACGCAGGTCTGCGACTGACCTGGAAGGGTTTATCATCTGCACACTGATGGGTTGGCAGCGTAGTTTAGGCCGTGAACAGGTTATGAAGCAGGCGGTGTCTCGCCCAATCGGATACAAGTTCTCCAGTTCGTGGTTTTGAGTCCGACGGTGCATAGACATATGCCCTGATGATCGTCACTAGGTTTGGGAGAGAAGTTCGGTTTCAACATAACCGAGGATGGTATTTCAAGGAGACTCTACGGAGCTCCGTTGTTTATTAGATAACAACTTGCGGTGCTTACAAGCTGCTCCGAAAACCTTCCATTACTCTCGACGCCTTAGCGCAATCAAATGTTGCCCCAGAAATGGATCAGCTGGAGGCTCGCATCGTCGTTGATGGTGAATACATGCAGTACATGATCTTCATTGTGTTACAGAGCCATCCAACCACTTTTGTTCAGCGACTTACGCGCCCCATATACCTCGTCAGTTAGCTGACCTCCGGGCTTTCCACACGGACGGGTCTCTTCCGCTCGATCCAGGTATAGATTATTTCCCGGTAAGCGGGTTAAGCGAGGAAGTGCGGGAATGGCTCCGGGGCGTCCGGCTTGAAACATTGGGGGCTGCGAAACGAAAGGAAGGCGTGACACCTGGGGCGCAGTTAACCTACTCAAACAGTAGCACCGGACGTGAGGAGCTACTCAGCGAGCTGCACAATCATCACGGAGCAGAAGTAGTACATCCCGCTGCAGTTGCCGCTCGTGCATGATCCTCGATGATAAGTCTGATCTGGTTTAGAAGTGGAATTCGTGGTATTGGACATACGTGTTGTGGAATGGAAGACCGGGCGGTCCAAAACCAGATAGGAATGGTCCAAAGGACGATGACAACGTTTAGAGGGTAGATGTGGTCCTCAGAGCCGTAGTCAGACCGATTCTACATGAACCGTGAGCAACGAAATGGGTGAGGAGGTCGAGCAACGTCAACAGAATTGATCGGAGAACATGCGGTGATTGTGGCAGAAACGTTTGAGAAGTAGGTGGGGGCTAGAATTGATTTCGTCCTGACACATACTCCAAATGTACTCACCCAGAAACCTTTGGAAAGCTGGTGTCGAGGTCACGAGCATTGCTAGAGGTGTAAGAGACGTGAAGATTATCAGGTGGTAAGCAGGGGCGGGGTGGGGAAGCACTTTTCGTCATTCGTATGAGCCTACATTGATCCTTTTACATGAAGACAATTTCACGATGGGCGGGAGTCCAAATGATCTCATCGACCGCCGTCCCATCACTGTACATGTGACGGTCCGCTCGGATGATGCATCGATAACTCGCATAGATCAGCGAGCGTCCACTGTCTTCCTAAAACTCTTTCGCTTAGTGGTAGCCGCGTTGGAGGGGCGGAAACCGTTCAAATTGTTATGTAGCGCTCGGCCGTCGCGCGGAGTCTGCGCTCCACCCCAGCTAGTTTTCATGGGACTTTCAAAGTCCTGCTACCTGGTGGGTTGTATGCAATGTTCATGGTCCCTTGTCAAAACTGGCATCACTGATCACTGATCGCAGTGCGCAGTAGTGCACCAAGCGGGCGGGCAGCGCTAGGTAGTTTCAAGCACTTCCCATTCCCATACAGCATGTCCACAATGTGTATAAATTGATGGTTTCGTTTGATTGCCAGTAATGTTGGTCATTCTTTTCACCCTATGCTTCTTTGCTCTAGGGAGCTTTGCTGGCGCGCCTTCCAACAGTTCAGGATGTCTCTGCACCTACGGACATCCTTGTTGGCCAACCCCAGATCAGTTTGCCGAACTCGAATCCCAGGTGTCCCAACCTCTCATCTACCCCGTTCCCACTGCATCCGCGTGCTACCCAGCCAATGATCCATCTGGGAACTGTACTCAGGTAATGCAACGCTGGACAGACGGGAACTGGCGTTCTTCGATACCTGGTTCGATGGCCGAACCAAATTTCGAGTCCTTTGTATTTAAGAATGGTACAATCAGTGCATGTTACCTCAACACATCTCTCGGTGTACCTTGCGAGCAAGGTAGTGTGCCCGTGATTGGCGTAGACGCTCGCACCCCACAAGACATCCAGGCTGCCGTAAACTTTGCACTGCGTTACAATTTGAAATTGGTCGTGAAGAGTACGGGGTGGGTGATAGGTTCCTCACGCCCCATCTCTTGATGACTTGAATATAGGGGCACTGGCGGATTATCAGACATGATTACCTCGGGCGCAGTACGGGCCGCGGTGCCTTTGTTGTATGGACACACAAAATGAAGAACATCACGTATGATGCGGAGTTTGCGCCTGAGGGAGCACCCGCCAACGAAACATACCAGGGTAAGTCTTCATGTTCCTCCGGCGGATTTCGCCTATCGACTAATGGGCGCTGTGGAATTCATAGCGATGACAGTTGGCTCTGGGGTACAGTGGCACGAGGCTTATGATGTAGCCAATCAGAATGGACGCATGATGGTCGGCGCCCAAGATCCCGATGGATCCATTGGAGCTGGTGGTGGCTGGTTCCAAGGTGGAGGGCATAGCTCTCTTTCGCCTTCATATGGCCTCGGTAGGTAACAAGTGCGAATTTATCCTGATTTCCTGCTCATCTCAGGATGTTACAGGTGTTGACAATGTGGTTCAACTCACAGTGGTCACGTCCACTGGTGCCCACCTCACCATCAACAACTATCAGTATCCCGACCTTTTCTGGGCGCTCCGTGGTGGTGGTGGCGGTACCTACGGCATCGTCACATCTGTCACCTACCGTACGTACCAGCAGCTTCCGGTCGTACTGTACTTCATGCAGGCCAACGTCACCAATACAACTGCGATGAAAGAGCTCATTGGAGGGATGCTACGCCTCCAACCCGATCTGACGGACGATGGCTGGTCAGGATATGGCTTCTTCGTAAACACCAGTGCGACTTTCATTGGTATGAATCCCGGCATATCCACCGCGGCAGCCAACGCAAGTACGCAACCCCTGACCGACTACTGGCTCAGTTTGGAGTCCAAGGGTATTTCGTTAGAGGTAGAGATCAGTCCGTTCGACACATGGTACGCGTGGCACAAGTGGTTCCAACAGCTCTTCAGTACAAGAGGTGAAGATGGTACCAATATGATGGTCACCTCCCGCCTTCTCTCTCGTGATATACTCGTCAATCAATACGCCGATGTCTCAGAGATCCTTTCCGACTGCCAGGGCGAAGTGAAGTACGTCCAAGTTTTCTCTCACATGCTTGTTTACACTCCTTGCACTGGATGTCTAATGCCTTTGTCGCACCCTCATTATAGCATGGTTGCCGGGGGAAAAGTCGCTCAGATCAGTCCCGACTCAGCAGGCCTTAACCCAGCGTGGAGAAACGCCATCGTCGAAACCGCCTGTGGCGTATTCTGGGCAGAAGGTGCCACCGCCGAAGAAATCTCAGGGCAAATCGACCAACTCAAGGTATGGATCAAGGATATGTATGTCCTCTCACCTCAATCTGGTGCCTATTTCAATGAGGTGAGCAAGTGCAAGCTTCGTAGCGACGGGTCTGGCAACTGACATGCAATACAAGGCATCGTTGTTCGAAATTGATTGGCAATATACATTTTTCGGTTCACACTATGGCAAGTTAAAAGAGATCAAGGATAAATATGATCCGTACCATCTCTTCGTAGTCGCAGAGGGTGTCGGTTCAGAAGAATGGAACGAAGAGCTGACTTGCCGGTGGTAGAGGAGGATGATAGCACCCCCTATTGTTCTTTCTTATCAATCAAATGACGACAATGAAAGCTATCCTCGAGAAAACTGGGTTTCTTGGTCTCTGCGAGTGGGTCTGAACACGTGTCATTCGACTGGTTTTCACACTGCTTTCTATTCTTGTTCCACGTGAAACAAGTACGATGGTGCGACTTTTCTAGGTTGGAAAGGGGGATCAGGTTCCGCATCTATTTTTATTTCTCCGCGGGACAAGTGGGGCACGCTGCATGTTCTGATCTCTGGTTGTAGCTTTGGGAAATTTGGGACGTAGGATGAGTAAGCTGTCTGTTTCAAAACGCACACTACACCTGGTTAGCGAGTATACCCCGGAGCATTCATCTTCAGCGGACAAAGAAATGTGAGTATTGCTTCAGTTTTTTATATACATTTCTATTGCTCACGTGTGGAAAGGGCCCCGGCACTGCCCCTCACTTGGGGCTAAGGCCACTCGATTTGGTCACAAGGGCAACCACACTGCGGTATTGCCTGAACCCGAAATACTTTTATGTTTACATCCAGACTGCCCTAAATAATCTATGCGGGCCTTTTTTTTTACCAAAGCGGCCTTTCGCATTCAATGCCAGAAGAGTTTCAGGAGCCGATGGTGCGCACTGTTCCTGGCCTGGAGAACGTCCGTATGGTCCAGCCGGTTCATGGTGTAGAGTATGACTATGCAGATCCTCGAGAACTTAAGCGTGGGTCGCAAACGCTGGGAAGCCCTCTTGCGCGACCACAACGCGAGACATAAACGGATACAAGGTCTCCAGTTCGTGGTTTTGAGTCCGACGGTGCGTAGACATAGGCACTCCCATTTTCAGATAAATGCACTGATGATCGTCGCTAGGTTTGGGAGAAGTTCGGTTTCAACATAATCAAGGATGGTATTTCGAGGACACTCTACTGGAGCTTCCTCGTTCGTTATATAACAACTTGCAGCGCTTATGAACTGCTCCGAAAACCTTCCCATTACTCTTGACGCCTTAGTGCAATCAGATGCTATCCCAGAAATGGATCAGCTGGGGGCTCGCATCGTCATTGATGGCAAATACATTCAGTACATGATCTTCATTGTGTTATAGAGCCATCCAACCACTTTTGTGTAGCGATTTATGCGCCACACATACCTCGTCAGCTTGCTGACCTCCAGGCCCTCCACACGGGCGAGCCTCTTCCGCGCGATTCAGATATGAATTATTTCCAGGTGGGCGGGTTATGCGAGGAAGCGCAGAAATGGCTCCAGCGTGTCCGGCCTGAAACATTGGGGGCTACGAAATGAATGGAAGGCATGACACCCGCAGCCCTGTTAACCTACTCAAACATTAGCACCGGGTGTGAGGAGCTACTCAACGAGCTACACAATCATCACGAGAGGCAGAGGTAATACATCCTGCTATAGCTGCCCCTCATGCATGATCTTCAATGATAACTCTGATCTGGTTTAGAAGTGGAATCCATGGTGCGGCGACAGCATAAGATATTGGACATATGTGTGGTGGAATGGAAGACCGGGCGGTCCAAAACCAGATAGCAATGGTCCAAAGGACGATGACAGCGTCCTGGGGGTAGGTGTGGTACCTCAGAGCGGTAGCCAGACTGATTCTACATGAACTGTGAGCGACGAAATGGGTGAGGCGAGCAAGATTAACAGAATTAATCGAAGAAGAGTATGCGGTGATTGTGACAGAAAGTTGAGAAGCAGGTGGGTGGGCATCAGGTAACTGAGAGCTGGGATGCGACACTGAGAATAAATTACATGAGTCGCTATGCCTCGTGCATCCGAATGATTTTGGGGAAACGAAAGATTTATACATGCTTCTGAATCACGGCACTTCGTATAGCATTCCTAAGAAATGAGAGCCCGCATCGCTTGTCCCCTATCAACTCCCAAGACCTGCGCCAGACCCCACCGGAGGCACATGGCAAGCTCATGTACACCAGCAAAACGAGCCTCTCTGCTTCGTCGGAGGATGAAGCTGGGCAAGTATCGAGGAACACGGAGATCAGCTGGATAATGTTAGAGAAGATATCAAGAGAGCAGAAAAGATGAAGGGTGTGGTGAGGCATCGCATAGCAAGTTCATCCGCAACGACCTCCACGACTCGTGCCAGTTCGTTGATGTCAAGGACAACATGGCGCTCGAAGGAGAGGCATCCGTACTCGTGTCGGACGTCGTCAGTTTCTTTGTGACGGTGGGTCAAGATCAAGAGGCAGAAACCAGCCGTCGGGAGCTTGAGCGATAGTATTGGGCATGCAGACCTGAATGTCTGGCCCGTGGCACGTCTGGACGACGCAGGGCGTCGTCGCAATTTTGGCCCCAGGCTCACTACTCGAGGCACTTCTCTTCGGATAGCCTAAGTCATCATCGGGGCCAGTCGTGGCATGAACGTCGTTGGTCGATACCCGGGCTGCAATTGATTTCGTCCTGACACAATGTACATACTCCAAATGTACTCACCCAAAAGCCGTTGGAAAGCTGGTGTCGAGGTCACGAGCATTGCTAGAGGTGTAAGAAACGTGAAGATTATCAGGTGGTAAGCAGAGGCGGGGTGGGAAAGCACTTTTCGTCTTTCGTATTAGCCTAATATATCGATCCTTTTACATGAAGACAATTTCACGATGGGCGGAAGTACTACTGATCTCATCGACCCACCGGTGGATGGAACGAGGTGGGCTGAGTCATCCCATCAACAGGCTGTACATGCGAAGGTCCGCTCGGAAGATGCATCGATGACTCACATGGATCAGCGAGCGTCCACCGTCTTCCTACAACTCTTTCGCTTAGTGGTAGCCGCGTTGGAGGGGCGCAAACCGTTCTAAATCTCTCGTCAAATTGTTATGTAGCTCTCGGCCGTAGCGCGGAGTCTGCGGTCACCCCAGCTGGTTTTCATGGGACTTTCAAAGTCCTGCTACCTGGTGGGTTGTATGCAATGTTCATGGTCCCTTGTCAAAACTGGCATCACTGATCGCAGTGCACCAAGCGGGCGGGCAGCGCTAGGTAGTTTTAGTCACTTCCCATTCCCATACAGCATGTCCGCAGTGTGTATAAATTGATGGTTTCGTTTGATTGCCAGTAATGTTGGTCATTCTTTTCACCCTATGCTTCTTTGCTCTAGGGAGCTCTGCTGGCGCGCCTTCCAACAGTTCAGGATGTCTCTGCACCTACGGACATCCTTGTTGGCCAACCCCAGATCAGTTTGCCGAACTCGAATCCCAGGTGTCCCAACCTCTCATCCACCCCGTTCCCACTGCCTCTGCGTGCTACCCAGCCAATGATCCATCTGGGAACTGTACTCAGGTAATGCAACGCTGGACAGACGGGAACTGGCGTTCTTCGATACCTGGTTCGATGGACGAACCAAATTTCGAGTCATTCATATTTAAGAATGGTACAATCAGTGCATGTTACCTCAACACATCTCTCGGTGTACCTTGCGAGCAAGGTAGTGTGCCCGTGATTGGCGTAGACGCTCGCACCCCACAAGACATCCAGGCTGCCGTAAACTTTGCACTGCGTTACAATTTGAAATTAGTCGTGAAGAATACGGGGTGGGTGATAGGTTCCTCACGTACCATCTCTTGATGACTTGAATATAGGGGCACTGGCGGATTATCAGACATGATTACCTCGGGCGCAGTACGGGCCGCGGTGCCTTTGTTGTATGGACGCACAAAATGAAGAACGTCACGTATGATGCGGAGTTTGCGCCTGAGGGAGCACCCGCCAACGAAACACACCAGGGTAAGTCTTCATGTTCCTCCGGCGGATTTCGCCTATCGACTAATGGGCGCTGTGGAATTCATAGCGATGACAGTTGGCTCTGGGGTACAGTGGCACGAGGCTTATGATGTAGCCAATCAGAATGGACGCATGATGGTCGGCGCCCAAGATCCCGATGGATCCATTGGAGCTGGCGGTGGCTGGCTCCAAGGTGGGGGGCACAGCTCTCTTTCGCCTTCATATGGCCTCGGTAGGTAACAAGTGCGAATCTATCCTAATTTCCTGCTCATCTCAGGATGTTACAGGTGTTGACAATGTGGTTCAACTCACAGTGGTCACGTCCACTGGTGCCCACCTCACCATCAACAACTATCAATATCCCGACCTCTTCTGGGCGCTCCGTGGTGGTGGCGGTGGTACCTACGGCATCGTTACATCTGTCACCTACCGTACGTACCAGCAGCTTCCGGTCGTACTGTACTTCATGCAGGCCAACGTCACCAACGCAACTGCGATGAAAGAGCTCATTGGAGGGATGCTACGCCTCCAACCCAATCTGACGGACGATGGCTGGTCAGGATATGGCTTCTTCGTAAACACCAGCGCGACTTTCATTGGTATGAATCCCGGCATGTCCACCGCGGCAGCCAACGCAAGTACGCAACCCCTGACCGACTACTGGCTCAGTTTGGAGTCCAAGGGTATTTCGTTAGAGGTAGAGATCAGTCCGTTCGACACATGGTACGCGTGGCACACGTGGTTCCAACAGTTCTTCAACACGGGAGGTGAGAGTGGTACCAATATGATGGGTACCTCCCGCCTTCTCTCTCGTGATATACTCGCGAATCAATACGCCGATGTCGCAGAGATCCTTTATGATTGCCAGGGTGAAGTGAAGTACGTCCAAGTTCTCTCTCACATGCTCGTTTATACTCCTTGCACTGGATGTCTAACGCCTTTGTCCCACCCTCATCATAGCATGGTTGCCGGGGGAAAAGTCGCTCAGATCAGTCCCGACTCAGCAGGCCTTAACCCAGCGTGGAGAAATGCCATCGTCGAAACCACATGTGGCGTATTCTGGGCAGAAGGTGCCACCGCCGAAGAAATCTCAGGGCAAATCGACCAACTCAAGGTATGGATCAAGGATATGTATGTCCTCTCACCTCAATCTGGTGCCTATTTCAATGAGGTGAGCAAGTGCAAGCTTTGTAGCAACGGGTCTGGCAACTGACATGCATTACAAGGCATCGTTGTTCGAAACCGATTGGCAATACACATTTTTCGGTTCACACTATGGCAAGTTGAAAGAGATCAAGGATAAGTATGATCCGTACCGTCTCTTCGTAGTTGCAGAGGGTGTTGGTTCAGAAGAATGGAACGAAGAGCTGACTTGTCGGTGGTAGAAGTGGGCTCTTACATGACCGAGTTTCCAGCACCAGTAGGACACCTGTTGTAATTGAGTTCGGGATATTGTCAAACCACTATGGTCGAACACTTAATGACCTTCCTGAGATGCGCACACGGGGCATGTACGGCCACCTGAGTCCGTTTCGGAGGAAGGGATTTTATGCACGGAAGTGAGTGATACCCCGTAGGCCGATACCTACTAAACATGTACGTGTCATTGATGGAACGAGCTATCCATGCTGGTGGTTAGCCAGCGTTCCCGGGAACACAGTACTATGTAAATTGTTTCAAGGCACCCACGGCTAGTTGCAGTGTGTACCCCGGTCTCCTCCTCTGAGCATCTGACCTGTAATATGTACCCCGACTCGGCGGCAGTCACATGATGCACGCCGAGCCTGCTAAAAGTGAAGACATATTGTAGAGTAAAAATTAAAGACCATACGACAATCCACACGATCCAACCACGTACTGTATGCACGTTTGCTAGTTTACGATGCATTCCAGGAACGCTGTCAGGGCCGCCGCGCGCCAGCGACGTCCTACGTGGTTCCCGGTAATCCCTCTCAATACTTCCACCGCTCAACTTGCTCTCCGCGAGTTCCTGCGAGCACCTCCTGTCTACAGCAGGCATGTCCACGCGACTTCATCTCAGTCAACTAGCGTCCGCACTTCTTTTTATTCCAGTACCCAAAACAAGTATGATGGTGCGACTTTCATCTGTTGTCCATTGCCAAGGTCTCGATTGAAGTCAATGATTCAGTTTGTGTCATCGGAGGTGGTCATGCGGGGTGTGAGGCGGCCACCGGAGCTGCGAGGGCAGGGGCGAGATCGCTTCTGTTAACTCAAAAGATAGACACCATAGGAGAGCTCTCGTGTAACCCCTCCGTCGGAGGAGTGGGTAAGGGAACGCTCGTGAGAGAAGTGGACGCCTTGGACGGGGTTATTGGCAGGGTAGCAGGTCTGTTTTATGTCCGCCGAAGATTATCAGGTGCTGATTGTTGCTGCTAGACAAGGCTGGCATACATTTCCGGATGCTGAACAGTTCGAAAGGCTCCGCCGTATGGGTACGTTGCAACATTGAAGGTCGTTAACTCTGCGTTCTTACTGGGACTAGGGGCCCAGGGCTCAAGTAGACCGTGAATTATATAGGGAGCACATGCAAGACATCATACTCAACTATCCAAACTTGGATGTGCGCTCAGCGAGCGTTTTCGACCTTGAATTCGATCACTCCACGTCGTCGACCTCCGGAAGTACACCTGCCTGGGGTGCTGTCGCCGGCGTCCGCTTAGGTTCAGTGTGAGCCAGAATCTTCATCGTGCCCTATCTTACCCGCGAATAGATTCCGGCGAGATCATACATTGCTCTCAGGTAGTCATTTGCACTGGCACTTTCCTCTCGGGCGAAATACACATTGGTATGGTCCTTTTTAGTGCATATACGAACCTTTATTTTCACATGTTCTCTTAGGAATGAAACGTTTTCCTGCTGGGCGAATGCATGAAGCACCTGCAATTGGGCTGTCTCGTGCTCTCCGAACAGCTGGATTCCAGCTAGGACGGTTACAAACAGGAACTCCTGCACGCCTTGATAAAAACTCCATAGACTTTTTTAGGCTGGAAAGACAGGAGGGGGATCAGACTCCACATCCATTTTCGTTTCTCCACAGGAAGGTGGAGCACGCCGTATGTTCTGATCTCTGGCTGTCGCTTGGGAAAACAGGGTGATTTGGGGCGTAGGGCGAGCAAGTTGTCTGTTTCAAAACGCACACTACGCCTGAGACACATAAATTGGTCAGCGACAGTATACCCCTGAGCATTCATATTCAGGAGACCAAGAAAGGTGACTATTACTTGAGTTTTTATGTATGCATTTTCTATTGCTCACGTGTTGAAAGGACCCCGGTACTGTCCCTCACTTGAGGCCAAGGTCACTCGATTCGGTCACAAGGGCAGCCACACTGTATGGCTCGAACCCGAAGGGTATACTTCTGGTCAGCGCTTTATTGTTTACGTCCAAGCCGCCTAAATGATCCATCCAGACCTTATTTATCCAAACGGCCTTTCGTGTTCAATGCCAGAAGAGCTTCAGGAGCCGATGATGCGCACTGTGCCCGGCCTAGAGAATGCTCGTATGGTCCGACCAGCTTATGGTGTAGAATATGACTACGTAGATCCTCGAGAACTTAAGGGTGAGTAGGAGCGCTTCTGACATACCGTTAACTAATGCTCCACAGCATCACTTGAGACAAAAAGAATAAAGGCATGCTTTAATCTACTTCCAATGGACGGTCCAATGATATTGTTCTTCCAGGGCCTGTTCCTCGCTGGTCAAATCAATGGCACGACTGGATACGAGGAAGCGGCAGCACAGGGTTGCATTGCCGGGATAAATGCCGGACTTGCTGCGCGTGGTCAACTTCCACTGATAATCACTCGTGCGGATGGATACATTGGCGTGATGATAGATGATTTGATTACAAAGGGGGCTGAAGAACCATGTACGTGGAAAGGTTGCTTGATTGCAGTGCACTGACGTCGAAGGCGTAGACCGAATGTTCACTTCTCGTTCAGAGTACCGTATGACGGTAAGGTGCGATAACGCAGACCTGCGACTGACCGAGAAAGGTTTGTTATCTGCACAATGGGTTGGTAGCGTAGCTTAGGCCGTGAACAGGTTATGAAGCCGGTGTTGTCTCGCGCGAACGGTGGGAAGCCTTCTTGCGCGACCGCAACGCGATACAGAACGGGATACAAGTTCTTCAGTCCGTGGTTTTGAGTCCGACGGTGCGTAGACGTATGCGCTCCAATTTCCGGGAAATTGCGCTGATGATCATCATTAGATTTGGGAGAAGTTCGGTTTCAACGTAACCAAGGATGGTATTTCGAGGAGGTGCGAGACTCTACCAAAGCTTCGTTTGTTCGTCAGATAACAGCTTGCAGCGCTTACGAGCTTCTCCGAAAGCCTTCCATTACTCTTGACGCTTTAGCACAATCAGACGCTGTCCCAGAAATGGATCAGTTGGAGCCGCACATCAAGGCTCGCATCGTCATTGATGGTGAGTACACTCAGTACACGACATTCATTGTGTTACAGAGTCATCCAAACACTTTTGTTTAGCGACTTATGCGCCGCATATACCTCGTCAGCTGGCTGACCTCCAGGCCTTCCACACGGACGAGTCTCTTCTACTGGATCCAAATATGGACTATTCCCAGGTAAGCGGGTTAAGCGAGGAGGTGCGGGAGCGGCTCCAGTGCGTCCGGCCTGCAACATTGGGAGCCGCAAAACGAATGGAAGGCATGACACCCGCTGGCGCTGTCAATCTACTCAAACATGCGCGTCGGACGTGGGGAGCCACTCAGCGAGCGGCACAGTTATCACGAGAGGCGGAAGTGGTACATTCTGCTGCAGTTGCAGCTCGTGCATGATCCTTCGCCGCTCCTAATGATCGTTCTGATCGGGTCAATATAAAGTCTCAAGAGCTTGAAATACTTTGGTTTCCCTTTGGTATGCATATATGCGTCGTTTTTGAGGTGAAGTTACCTTGTGTGGGCCGAAGCCACTGAGTGGAGTAGGTGTGTCCGTCACTATTGTGTAGCTGGATCTAGGAGGAAGCGTTTGAGATGAGATGTGAACGCACGCGTCGCGACGCGCCAGAGTCACGTGCATAATATCAGTGCTGTAAACCTGACTGCGCTGCAAACCAGTTCAAAACTACTCACAGACATCTCATTCTGTCCACGTTTGTTACGAACAAGGTGGATCATCGTACATACGTCCTGCATTGCGTCTGCGGTGGGAAGAGGTTACTGCACCTTTCTCATCACACTTCTACTTAATACTTAATAGTCGCCCATCTCCTGCTCCCAAGATGCTCACTGCTGGTTCATTCTACCCGGTATCTCCAACGTCTACGAGGAAACCTGCTGCCAAACGACGAAAGCTTAACACCACGAGTTCCGTGCCTCATGTGGAACCCGACACCGCTACAAAGAAGAGCCCTACTGGGTTAGGGTGCTCTTCTCACATGACCATTCTCACTTGTGGAGGCAACCCACCTTTCTCTCGCTCATCTAAACTTTCTTGTTCGACATGCCATAGAGCATTGCCGACTGTGCGTCCTGACGGGTCTGCCATGGTATGCTCAAGGTGAGCCATTCATTCTCGGGTTGTCCTTTGGCTGCCTGCGTTTGTCATGCCTTATTACGCTCTTGTGGGATCTGGGTATTATGCGTTATGGCGCTTCGGTTTTATTGCTTATTCCTCTTCTAATTGTTGAGTTGTTTGAGGGTGGTTATGGGGGTCTTTGCGTTTCTTTTTCGGCTGGCTAGTATACAATCGGTCCTGACTTATGTCCCTTGACAGATGTTTGGAGCCGACCTGTAACATTTGCTCACGAACATGCACGTCCTATACACGACCTTCTTCGTTCCCGCCAACTCCAGCATTAACGCGATCGCCGACACCATCTACGAGCCATGGGATCAGTCCGTCCAATTCTTGCTTTGCTTCGCCCAGACGAGTAGCATTAACACCAGGCTGGTCTGCCGTGAACTGCGAAAACACAGCTACTACCATCCCTTCAGTCAAGCGCAAGAAGGCACCTAGTGACCCAGACCACGGTGATATCGGTATCACGTTTTGCGATCAGCAATCCGATAATCCTCTATGTGAGGTCATCGATGACAGCACTGTATCAGTAGTGGTTCCAGGATGTGGACGCTCTATATGTCGAACATGCTGTGTCGAGAGCGTGGCAAAGTATGTGGCTCTCTCTTGTTGCTTGGTGTGTTGCGATCGTGTGGCCATTGACGATTCATTCAAGTGACGGAACCCTATGCATGGATTGTTATGCATTGGTGTGACACGTCCTATTAGAACTCTTTGTCTCGGAAGGGCTTCCCTGTTTTGTTCTTTGTCCTGCAATCATGTTTCATTACGGAACCTTGCACATACTCATCTCACATTCCCTAAACATCAATGCCCTTTGGCTTGGGCGATTACCTCTGTACCACTAATGATTCGAGCAGGTTGGGTTCCATGCATATCGATTCATAATAGGCGAGACAGATGCATATCTTCGCGTGCTGTTCGTTGCGCAGGTGTTGTGTGTGGTGCACATGTATACCTATCTCTCCGAACCAACTCCGAACTCATGGGGCTATCACCTTTGGGAGTCTGCCCCCTTGCGCGGCCAAAAAATTATTTCATCTCCGTAACAGCAGTACATCACAAAATTCGGTGCGTGCCCATCCCAAGGTAGCTTACAAGATCTTGATCGTACAAACAAACTAGCTTCTGGGATTGTTCCTACCCATATCAAGGTAAATTGAGGCTGTCACACTTCTCCTGCGCACACCTCTTCGATCCACGCTGTCTCGCTTCCGACCATCGTGAGATTCTCAGACCCATTTTCAGTGATGAGTACATCATCTTCAATGCGGATGCCGCCCACACTTTCGTACCGTGCAAGTACGGTTTTGTCGAGGAAGCAAGAATCCATATGAGGGCCGAGCAGATGGGGAGAAAAGTAAATACCCGGCTCAACAGTCTATGTATTGGTCAGATTTCTGGCACGCAAATGCGGATACCACGTGGCAGGTGAAAAGACTTACAACGACCATGCCAGCCAACAACGGAAGGCGTAAACGTAGGAACTTGTAGAAGCTCTCGTGTCCCCCAGCACCAGAACTGCCAGACGCGATTGAGCCTGGAACAAAGTATTTTCCCGCCTTTTGGGGCTTGCTTGCACTTGGCACGTCGTGTACGTCCAGCCCAAGTGAGTGTCCGACGCCATGTGGGAAGAACGCTGCGCTAAGACCAGAAGTAAGGATATCGTGTCGGAGATCACCGTGACTCTTCATGTTCGCTGCCGTAAATTTCGTAAGTTGGGTGATAAGAAGATTGAATGTGACCCTTCCGGGAAACATACCATGCGAGGTCTCAGCATTGCGAAAGATTCCCAGGCGGAGGAAACCGTCTACTAGGACTTCATGGCACCGCAATTGAACATCGTCCCAATGCACACTGGGACGAAGCATGGTGAGAGACTCCTGGAAAAGAGTTAAGCATTCCAACTCGAAGACGAAAGGTCGAGAGGGATAGAAGGACCTGTTGCATCTGCAATACAAGGTCATAAATAGCTCTTGCCTCAGTGGTGAACTTTCCTCCATTACCAACTGGCATCGTGCGCGTGACTGTTCATGACATAAAGGGCGGTCAGCCAAGATCCACCAAGCCAACGCCAAGTATTAACGATTTCGACGGTTCGTATCTCTTCCGCACGAGATCGTCTGAACTTACTGTCGGAACTATAACACTCCCATTCACACCCTGCGTCGATCAGTAGGACCTGGGGCGCCAATACACTTCCACATTCCCGCTGAGATACCATGGAGGTAAGGTGTCCGCCGTTGTTGGCGTGCCTGTTCGTAACGGGTCCCCAAGCAAAAGCTTTGTCATTGCAACAGTAGTGAAGCGTCGCAGCGCGGTCGTTAGCAGCAACGATTGGCAAGTATGCTTGATGAAATGCTCTAAAACATTTCAAAAATATGAGATCTGACAAGCCGATATACTAGGACCCTTACCCCTCCCTCCTGCACGAGGCCACGAAAACCGCTTCTGCCTCTGCTTCCGTCTCGATCAGCCACTCAGCCGGTAATAGCGGACGTTTGTTCCCATGACCGTTATCTTGTTTAATCTTTCCTTGGACTGCCAGTCCTAGTACTCGCATTACTACCTCATGCGCCCGAGAGCTAATCTCATTGGCTTTTCGGATCAGAGCAATCTCAAAGGCGTCCTTGATCAGCCTTGTCTGGTGCAGAGCTGGGAGGAGATGCTCTTCCGTGACAGCACTCCCGCTGTTGCCCAGTGGGTGACCCGGTGATGATTTGTCTACATAACTACGCACGTCCGGGAATTCTCCCGTGCGTGGAAGTACGTGAACTAGAGCATCGGCAGGAAGAGACTTCAAATGATCGACAAACTCGACTTTGTAGAAAACGTCATCGACCTCGTAGGCTGCACGGGCCTCCGAAGGACTTGGTGATGCGGGAGACCACATGAGGTCCTCGAGCGTTGCTTTTGGTACATACAACTTCGTGCTTACTGTAGCACTGTCCGGGTGGTATGTTGCGAGGAAAGATGTTCCAGGAACGGCACAACCTGACAGGTAGAAGAAGTTGGACTCTTGACGAAAGGGAAGCTCCCGATCCGTATCATTACGACAAGGAGTTTCGGAACCAGCGAGTACGATAACTTGAGGCTACTCACTGGTAAGATTCCACCGACGGAGGTATGCTGGGTAGTAAACTGACCTTATCGCGTTGGCTGGGATGTAGGGAGTAAGTCAATGTTTTGAATGTCCTCACGACATGATCTTTCGCTGGAACAATATGTTAGGCGGGAAGTTGCGCTGACAGAAGGCAAAGAATAACCTGGGTACTTGGCGGTGAGTGGAGTGGTCGCCATCGCGAATCGCCTGCTACTAAGATGCGCTTGCGACCCTGGCCAAGACCCGACCATCGTATCTTTGATCGCATCTTACGAACATCGACTTAACCAGATAACAGAAGTAAAGACGGTTGTCTAGTCATGCTACGCCGATGGTGAAGCGGTTATCATGCTTGCCTTCCAAGCAAGCGGCAGGGGTTCGACTCCCCTTCGGCGTATCTTTTTTGTTTGTCGCTCAGAGCTAGATTCTCACGTCATGTTGAAATAATTAATGCCGAGTCTCGGGCACTTCACATGCGTGCGGCTGCCAAGGTACAGGTACCTGGGACTATTGGATCGACGATAACCCGAAAATGAAAATGGCGTTTTTCAACAGAGTCCCTTTGGACGACTATCGTCTGGTACATTGCCTCAGCTGACTACGTTAGTCACAAAATGACCACGTCGCGCCCTTTTCCTTCCATCAACTAGCGGTTCCATTCCTAAACAAACCACATATATCACTGCATATGATTGGTGGTGAGTGACAGTAGTTGCCGGGGTGATCATAGAAGAGTGCGACCCATCGGGGGAATATGTGCATTCTTTCGGAACCAAAACACCGCTGCTGGCAGGTCATAAGACCGTATATAGCCCCTCTAGGTCGCCGTGTAGGTTCGTCGTCGATTGGCCGTCATGTTTTCTAGTTCATCCCCGGAGGTCTATCTTGTCAGTGCAGGTTTGGTTGGAATCACAGTCCAACTGTTCTTGCAATCTCAGAGAGTGAGTTCATCTTCTCGACGGTCTGCTCGTCATCATGATGTCATTGCCAAGCTCAATGCAATCCCCACGGTTGGGTCGACTAACTGGGGCGGCTCCTGGCGGTCGGCTATAAAAAATATAAGTGGCACGTCTGGCGTCGTTCAAGAAGGTTACAACAGAGTACGCAATTTTCTGGAGGTCTTCAAGTTCATAGCCCTGTTAACTCCAGTAAACAGTATAAAAATGTGCCATTCAAGATTCCATTGCTTTATAATTGGATGGTGGTCGTCAGCGGGGCCAAGCTGCTCGAAGAAGTTAAGGCAGCCCCAGATGACCAGTTATCTGCAGCCGAGGGTACAAACGACGTGAGAGCTTTTGCGAAACCGGTCATCCCCTGCGTCTTATGATATCATGGTCACAGTTCCTCAAAATTGCATTTATAATGGGACATCGGGTTGCGAACGAGCCGTATCATTTCGTGGTCATTAAGACACAGCTCAATCGCAAGCTTAGCACTTTATATCCAGTCGTTGAAGACGAGATATCGGTCACCCTGAGTGAAATGTTTTCTTCGCAAGATAATGGTAGGGGAGTGACTTCGTCCCCCACTTTCCGCGAGTGATCATCGTTCTATAGAATGGAAGCCCATAGTGGCATTGGAGGCCATCCAAAAAGTGGTTTCTAGGGCAAGCAACCGGATTTTTGTTGGACTTCCCCTCTGTTCGTTCGGTCTCAGTTTACGGGATCGGGAGAAGGGGTCACCTCTGATGTCTATGTAGGTCGTAGCCCCGACTGGTTGGAGTTTGGCCTTCAATTCGCTGTTGATTCCTTGGGATCAGCAGCGAAAATGGACCTTTTTCCAAGTTTCATGTGGCCGTGAGTCTGCTGCTAGACGCGCTTTCATTTTCGATGACATCATCTCTAGGATCATTGCGGGCTTTGTTACGTCTACGGAAAGTCAAGTTGGGCGGGCAGTAGAATTTCTAGGCCCCATCATCAGGGAGCGCCAGAAAATAGCGGACCATGCTCGTAGCGGAGAAGCGGTTAACATGCCGGTCAGTCCAGACGCTTTTGAACTACCAGTACCTCATGTATTTCAATAGGACGATTTCCTTCAATGGCTGATAGACACTGGTATCGAAACCACTGAAAGGGAGATCACGCAACGTATGTTGGTCATGGTTTTTGCTTCGGTTCATGTGGGCATCTTCTGCTTTGTCTCGCCCGCAAAAGTTCTGGTCTTGACTCTGGTTCTTAGGTAACTGCAAGCGTAAGGAGTTGACACTACTTTTCTCCTGATCGCAATATGACACCCTTCAGTCTCTTATGCGTGCGGTATACAATCTTGCGGCACATCCTGAATATCTAGAGCCTCTCCGCGAAGAGGTGGACACAGTAGTACGTCAACATGGCTGGACGAAAGCTGCGACAGACAAGATGTACAAAATCGATAGCTTCTTGAAAGAGAGTCTCCGCCTTGGTGGTGCGAGCAGCTGTGGGTTATATATTCAATTTCCGAAGATTCAACTTGACTGATTTGCACCTAGTGATCATGCTGAGAAAGGTGTTAAGAGATTTCACTTTCTCGGATGGCAGAGTCGTCCCAAGAGGATGTTACATCTCTGCCCCATCATGTGCTATTCACCACGATGAAGAATTCTACGACAAACCCAATGCTTTTGACCCGTTCCGTTTTGTTCGACCCCGTAGTAATGGAAAAGATATGAAGCAGGGGATGATCTCTCTTGCCCCAGATTACTTGGCATTTGGGCACGGGAAGCATGCGTGGTAAGTTCATGTCGTCATGACCTCTCATTTGTCGTTTACCCTTTACTCGCTAAATGTTGCGCAGCCCGGGCAGGTTTGCTGCTGCCATGATTCAGAAGACGATACTGGCTCATATCATATCGTCGTACGACCTGAAGCTTGACGACGACGCCCCGGCATCCTGCAGGGCCGTCGAGTTTGGGATCTTCATTGCTCCAGATCCTACCACCACAATCCTGTTGAGGAAGAGAGCTACCTAATTTTTACCACTATATTTCGTATCATACCCATGTATTGTAGCCCCCCTCGATGGGGAGAAATTGTACACGTTACCTGAGATAAAATGAGTGGATCAACCTGCCTGTGATGCTGTCCCGGGAGCTATGGCTGCTTTGGCATCGGATAATTGGGAAGTGATCACAGATCGTAACACAACACACGTGGAAATTAACGGTACAGGAAATCTGTAATTCACCTAGTCCTTCATTGCTGCTTTCCTCGGCCTCCAGACGTCGTGCGATGGCGTCAAGCGGTTGGAGGAGACGAAGCGAGATTCCGACTGTCTGAGAGCTGCCTCTACAGTATCCTTGACCACTGTGGGCTTTGGCAGAGGGGAATTGACCGCAAGTCCGTGTTCCCGGGCCCTAGTTGCCGGTGGGAAGCGGTTGCTCCGAGGATCGTCAGCCCCAGGTTGCCGGGCGGAGTTTGCAGTGTTTCCGACCGATTTAGGCGTTTGCATTCCAACACGGGGTGATGCATTAGGCAGTGAAGTTCGCGGTGACTTTTCTAAGTGCGTGAACGCTGCACTAGAGTCTCTCATTGGGTCTTGTGTACCCGAGCGTGGTGCAGGATCCTCTCCTCGCGGCATAGCAGTGGACCGAGGCCGCCATCCGCTGACATGTTTATGAATAGCAGGATCGGGTGTTGGCAGAGGCGTTGATTGAGTGTAGGCGCCGGGGGTGCGGAGAGGAGCAGTGGTGCCAGGAACAGTTGGAATTGCATCCGTGCGCCGAGGTATCTCCTCATTCTTTCCGGTCAAAACTGATGGAGGGGCGCTTTGCCCAGCTTCCATTCGAAGCCCTTGCTTTCGCGTGTCTTCATATGCAGTTGTGTGTTCCAGCTCTCGCCGTCTTTTGGCTGCTGCAATAGCCTGGGCCTCCAGCCGAGCCTTCATGCGTGCTTGGAACTCTATTTGAGCCTTTGTCCGTGCTTCAGCCTGCGTGTCAGTTTGCTCGATGGACTGAGCTGGCACCGTCGGCGTCGACCGCGGTCCAAACATGCCTGGTCGGTATTTCGGCGTTGTCCGTGGTTCAGCCTGAGTATCAGTTTGCTCAACGGACTGGGTTGGCACTGTCGGTTTCGGCCGCCCGGCGAACGTGCTTGGTCGATATTTTGTCGTTGTCTCTATTGCCCCCTGAGAGGGCTTGTGGCTCGCACCACCAGCTTCATACCGTTCGTCCGTTGATGTCGGTTGGAGATCAACGACAGATGTTCTCTCCCACTTCTGTTGCGTGCGCAGCTTTGCAGACGCGCCGGGTCGGGATTTCGGGGCCATACTTTGTGCTCCAGGCAACACTCCCACTGCTTTGCTGGGTACAGTGCCAGACTCGCGTTCAAGTTTCCTTTCCGCTTCACGCTGTTGTTTCGCAGATGGTTGCTCCTGTGCGTCCCATGATTCTGCGAGGGAACGTCAGACGCTTCAAGAACATCACACTAACCAACTCACTGGCTGCCCGCCTTTGGCGTATTACCGCTTCCATGTGTGCCAGTCTCTCCCGAGCTTCACGTTCGCGCTTCTCTCGCACCCTAGCCTCTTTCTCTTCTTTGATCTCTTGCGCCGCTTCTGCTTTCTTCTTCCGGAACTCCTTTAGTCTTTGGCCCATCACCAAGGCGTGGTACGAGTCAAAGTCTGGCAGCATGCGTGACAGCCGTAGCTTCCTCGCGTGAGGTCCTTCCACAGGCTCCGCGTGCGGGTCGGATTTCGTCGAGGATTCGGCTCGGCTGGCACTTGACTCTTCGGAAAACTGACGAACAAGAAGAACGCGCTCCTCCTTGCGATGAGCTCGTTCGACGTGGTCAGCGTACTTGACCAAGCTATCAAGGCGCTGTCGTATGTCTGATCTCTGTTCCCATACTTCTCGCTCGCCTTGTTCATTCATCTCGAGACTGGACGCAGCTTGCTGTAGCTTCTTCGCCTGGCGGCGTTTCGCCGTCGCTCTCCGCTTGGCTATCCAGCGTCCTCGCTCAACAGGAAGTACAGGCAGAAGAGAATAAATAACAACTGTACCGTTGTTCTGTCTAGCCTTATCTCTCTCAAAGTCGTCCAGGCACGAAGAAATAATGTCGTCAAGATCCCGCCTGGTCTGGACATGCCACTGCTTCTTCTCTTTTCCACGAGGCTTGGCCTTATACGCAGTGCCCTTCTTGAGAACAACGAGCTAGAATGGCGCGTTCACAAATAAGAGGGAGAAAGGCCATGAAGCGAACTTACCTGTTGGCGTTTCTCCTTGACCAGCTTTGAAGTTGCTGCAACCCGCGATTGCTCCTCCGCTTTCAATTCAAAGAAATCTTCGAAGCCAATGAAAGGTGATAAGTCAACATATGCTGCAACTGCAGGTACGAGTATTCTTACTTGGCGGATCTTCCCCGTGGACATGAGGCTGATTCGCGTTAGACACTGTGAACGCAAACCAGCCATTTGCCGACGGGGAAGGTGTTGCAAGTCCCACGAAATCATCTAGATCTTCTTTCTCTTCGAGCACTGTGTGAGTCAGACATCGATATATTCCCAGTGTGCTGCTTAAAGAGTTACCTGGAGAAAAATCGCTAACCAGGCCCGTGTTTCCTGCCCAAGCCTCACCAGAAACAGCACCTACGGGAGTGTCTCTGACTATCCCCGCAGTGGCAAAGCCCGATGACCGCGTAACTTGGACAGCAACATCCTTGCGCTCCCGTACCTCGATATTACTGTCCAAAATACACTGCGAAAGCTGAGTTTCTTCCGCTCGGAACGGAGCACTTATCTCGGTTTCCTGGGCTTCTTGAGCTCGAACAGTTTCCGACTCCGAGAATGAACTTCGCAAAGCCGCTCTGGAGGGTTGACACCACTTGGCATAGTGTACGGCACCAAAAGCCTCAGCTTTCCAGTGGTCTTCGCACAAACGAAATTCTGCGTATTTGACATGAATAGCCAGACAGAACCACTCGAGTGCGTAGACATCGATATCATGCCAATCCCCTGGAGCCATCTCGTACCTTAGCAGAGTGTTGTAGAGTAAGCGTCCGAAACGGAAGAATTGCTGCTGACGCCTGGTAGATACCACGACACCATCTTCTCCTACGAGGAATGACAAAGGACCCGAGTATTCGTCCCTAAGCACAGTCAAATTCGAAAACCCTTGACGTTCCTTCTCGAAACTCTCTTCGGTCCAATAGAACTGACCAATGTAATGCTCCCGCCGGTAAGTTGGAAGATGAGAGTTTGCTGCGCGCGCAAACTTTAAGATGCGGAAGAAGGGTTGAAAGGAAAGTGGTCGAGTTAGACTGTTGTGAGATGGTATGACTCTCGAAACTAGCCGTTCATATGAAGCACTGCCGCGGAGATAGTCAGAAATACCTTGACCTACACGACATGAGTATTTACCTTGTAGTTGCTACTTCCCTTTGAAGGGAAGACACTTGAAGACGAAGCTCGCTGATTTGTTGGCGTTGACTACACAATGCCCCCTTCAGCTCCGTGTTCTGTTGTTGAAGTTCTACACAGTAATTGTGACTGTGTGAAGATATCTTGGGTGAACCAGAAAGAGACGAAACAAAATCAGACTCGATATTCGATGAAGGGTCCTGTTCGGAAACGTAGGTCACTTCCGGTGCGATCCTGAGGGGAAACTCACAGTTGAAGTGTCACGAAATCGCGGAACAATGTTCTCTTTGTCTGCCTGTATGTCAGTAGTCCGATTGGGGTGACCACCTGGGCCACGACTATATGAGCATGTCTCGACGACTCCCGTGTCCGCTACCGGCGAACGCTTAAGGCGTGCTTCTGCGTCACTGCTGAGCTCGTGTACAGCATGCGAATCCGGAGGATAGCTGTACAGTGACGCCCATGGATCGAAAACCTGGGCTTGATCATAGTTCCACTGCATAAAGTCACCCATCACTTCCGAGAGGATGATGGTTGGACGGAAGTGAGGGTAGAGGAATTCGAATTTCAAGAGTACATGATGCGCGCCAAACACGATGTTGGCGTGCTGTGGAGAACGATCATTTCCGATTATATCAGCCATCAGGACTTGCAAACATATCTAACGCATGGATGATGGCGACCTTGATAGGGTGACTGCAATAGTGATATTTTAAGACCTGTTGGTTCTCATTTCCGCACCATCCCAGGAATATGGGGTAAAAACCCGTACCGCCTTTTCGGCAACGTGGCGCATCACGGGATCCTTCGACCAGAGCACGAATGTACGTGCCCTTGCGCCTTGATACGAAGTGTCAAGTGACCACTGTGGTTACCTGATGCCTTGTGTCCAGAGCACGAGGCAAGTGACTTACAGAAATGTTAGTATGTACCCGCGCAGCAAATCACACTGGCACCCAATCTGATAGGCTACCCATGATAAGGGTACCTACCCGTATCGAAGGATCGAACGAAGGCGGACATTGAGTGAATTTTGCGAATTGTAGCCAGATGCAACAGTATTACCGCGAGCAGCGTAATGCGTGTCAATTGAAACGGAATTCGGTCATTCCCCAAGTTCACCGTGCACGAGCTAACTTGTGACTTCAAGCTCCAAGATTTATGATGGCTACCTTGACCGTGGCTCTTGTTTCAGGCGGAAAATCCGCGAGTGAACGACGATGCCAAAGACCGGAACCCACCCACGAGGCAGACAAGCAACCATCTTGTGCGAAGGACGTACACGAGTTTGCGTCGTGTAGATTGTTGGCACGCGCAAGAAACCGCACTGAAGACAGTTATCTCGAGGAATGCAGACTTGCTTCTTCGCGTGTGTTCGAGGGAACGTGGTCAGCGTTCGAGACGGACGAAGAGAGGGTGGTAAAGCCGAAACCGTCAAAAGCTTCCGTGCCCCCGACCACTGAGCACTCCGACAGCGTTGCTAGTATGTAGTGGGCTTCAAGTCGAAATCGACTTTGCTCTACTACGAGTAAGGTCTGCACAGAGGAATCTAGCATCTGCAATAACGATTATATATTGTCCTCCGGCCCATCCTCAATCATCTTCGCATAATCTTCATAACTTGCAAACGTAGGCAAGGTCTTCCGCTTCTTCCGCCTCCTCTCCTTATCCTCGCCCTTCCCTTTTCGCTTTCGCTTATCTCTACCTCCTCCAAATCCGGCCCGCTCGTCACCATCTCTTTCAAGGTCTTCTTCAGGCGCGTCTGGCCCATCGTATTCGATCAACCCAGGGATATCATTAATGGCCAGAAGGTCGTCGTCATCCGAGGCCTCGGCAAGAGAAAACGCATCGTCGGGCAAGTCAGCATCAGCCGTGTCAGATACTTCATTCTCTTCATTATCCGGCTCGAGTGGGACTTCTTCGTCTTCTTCATCGTCCTCCTCGGACACGTGATCTTCGTCCTCTTCTTCGTCCTCCTCGGATGAGCTATCTTCGCCTTCTTCATTGTCCTCCTCAGATGCGTAATCTTCGCCCTCTTCATCGTCCTGCTCGGACTGGAGATCGTCGTCGTCGTCGTCATCAAGCTCAGAAGGTAATTCGTCGTCGCCATCCATTGCTGGCATAGTCGCCTTCATTGCCTGGAAGTAATGTGAAAATCCAGCTTCCATGAAGCGCACGAGGTAATTAACAAAAAAGCTTTGCTTACCTTCCATACAGCTTTCTCGTCAAGCTCACTTTCCTCTCCCTCTTCCTCCGCATCAGAATTGCCACCAGGCACAGATCCTCCCTGAGAAAGCTCCTCATCAGACTCTGCTTCGCTCTCGTCACTCTCATCACCTTCTTCCTCTCCTTTCTTTTCGTTAACATTACTCTCCCTGTGTTTCTGAGAGAAAAACCGATGGAAGAACACTTCATCAACCCTCACATCCTCCTCCCTCTTCTTCCAAAATTTCTCCTCGTTCGGCAAGACGTCGTCTCCCACCACTTCCCCTTTCGTCTTCTTGACACCCACGCCGTCAGCAGCGCTCGCACCGGGTTGCATGGCACTCGCGCCTTTAGGTCTAGGCTTCTTCGGATTCTTGTACACGAATCGATCAAGGAAATGGGAGAGCGTGTTGAGATTGAGATCTGCGGTGGACGTGATCGGCTGAGATGCGAGAAGTTGGCGGGCATGCAGGGAGATCGTGGGGTGGTAGTGGTGTGTAAGGGGTAGCTGTATTGTATGGCACATAAGCCCTATGGTCGTAGTCGAACATCGAATCGGGAACTTACCAGTTCAAAAAGCGGAGAAGCAGACGGATGGGCGTATTGTGGGTCGCGTTTTCGAGGATCATAGTTGTCGCCTTCGTGCGTGTTCTGCGTGCCGTACAACAGGTTCCTAAGACCGGGGAGTGTGCTAAAGATCTTGCCAAAGAAGGTTCCATATCACTCTGTGATCCACGGTACAGCCTTTAATGGTACGCACCTCTCCAAGGAGGTATAACCCGCCAACGATAAATTCGTTACCACCAACACCCCCACTAACCAGCACCTGAACAAATCTGCGCACAAAACTCTTGATGCGCTCCACGTTGCCATCCGCCTTCAGCGATTTGAACAGTAGATTGAGATACATTGTTTGTTTCGACGATGTTGCGAGCCGTCCATCATACAAGGAAGCGTATAGAGTGCGGTAATACCGGTCTGCTATGCTCTTCGACTCAGAATTCGATGGAGACGCTTTGGATTGATTGACGAGGGTCGAGGATATTTGTTGGATAAGAACGAGAGCTTGAACGGAGATGTTGAACGTGGACCTGTGTGTGATGAGGAACAAGGTATCGATATGCTTTCCCAAGCTTTTCGTTTCTCTCATGAGTGAATACCTCATTCCAAACAGGGACGTTGAAAGAGTACCTTGAATCCGTAGCACCAAGCTTGGCAAAAGGAAGAGCACGGTTCACTCCTGTGAGGATAGCTGAAAGTAACTTGGAGCGGGAATCTTCCACTTCGGTAAATCCACCTTCACCCACAACCTCTTTACCTTTCCGCTTCTGCTTTGATTTGTTGTGAGGCTGGGACGCCTCCGAGCGTGCGTCGTCATCCTCTTCTTCTGCTGACCTGCCCTCGCCAAGAATATCTTCGAACAGTCGGAAATACACGTCAATGACCTGCATTGCCACGTCCTTTTCATTCTGGCGGAATATGATCTGGTTGAGGGTAATGCTAGCGTAGTAGCGCACGTGTTCATTGACCGGATGTTTAGCGGCAGGGTCTACTTTTGATTTTGATTTTGGTTGTGGCTTTGACTTAGGGTCCGATCCATCCTTGTTGAATCGTATATACGTATTTTGTGTTGGAGGGGGAGCTGTTGCGGCTGTCGATGTACCCGGTCGGAGGACGAGTGACGTCATTTCACGGATAACCACTGTTTTCATCGAAGGGTGTACTTGGAGGAGTTGAAGGATGTAATACGACGAGCGGGAGCATATCGTTTTATCGGAGTCACCCTGAAACGTGAAAGGAGTGGATTGGTGTAAGGAGTATGACAACGATGGCATGTGGAACGTACAAGCTTATTGACGAGCAGTCGGAGCAAGTTTTGCTCCTGCTCAGGTTTTTCCTTCAGTAAAGTGAAGATCAAGGAGAGGGCCTGCATTCGGACGTATGAAAGAGGATCCGCAGAGAGCATCTAGAGGCAAATTGGAATCACTATCACTCCAGGGTGCGTTGGACACGGACCTCGAGGATTTGTAGAACGGAGAAGAAATATTTCTTCAGCCAATCCTCGAAATACCATATCACAAGATGCCGGTCGTTGACATCGGGATGAGCCAAAGGCTGGTCCCGAAAGTACCTGCGGTTGAGTGATATAACTTCCCGCAATGAAGCAGATAACAGGGACCTACTTTAACTTGCGATCGGGTGCGCCGCTGCCAACCCACCAATCCACCACGCAACGCAAAGCCTTGAGACTCTCACCTCTTCCGCCTTTGCCCTTACCCCGTTCCGCCAGGTTTTTTAGGGCTTCGAGTGCCTTTGTATTGTGCAAGGGACTGCTCTGCACGAGTAGAGTGAGTGCACTTAGGCGATCTGACAGTGTTCCGGTCTGCAATATATTCTGGAGGAAACTGTAGTCGGAACTGGACGAGGTGACAGTTGAGGTCGACTGAAACGCGTTGACCACATTGGTATGTGACGACGTTGCGCGATCCAGGAGGGACGAGAGTTTTTCGGGTGTCAGAGTAGCAGCATTTGAAGTCGTGGGCTGCAGTGGGGATACGTTGTCGTACCAGCGCGGTGATGCATCGAACTGAAGAGAGTCAGCTTTTGACTTGGATGATTCGGACACATCTTTTTTTGCTTGCGGTTTCTTCGACTTTGATGCAACCTTTTCCTGACTTTCCTGGGAAGCCTTTTGTTTTTGTTTCTGGCCCTTTTCTGATTTGAGGCGTGCCATGTCCGACTCGACGATGGCAGCGGTGAGCTCTCCAGTTGCATATGACCATTATGTCAGCGTCAGGGATGAAAATGAAAATGCGAAAAAGAAACCAAAAATGTTCGGATACCGGGAGTCGAACCCGGGGCTGCTGTGATCAACCCGCTGTAGCGGTTGAAAGACAGCCATGTTAGCCGTTACACCATATCCGATGCTTGTACTCCTTAGTCGTTTAACCATCGAGATCACCCACCCCTGGTCCCTGTAGTACCTATCCCAAGTATCTACCGTTAATAGCGTATCTTCCATCGCTACCAGACGTTGCCGTTGGTCATGGGCGTCATGGTCACAGTCCAGCGGTGGTTTGGGTAATCCGCCGCGCGGAATTGGTTAGACGCCCGGTTGGCCATGCTGTGGCATCATCTGATCAGACCCCTAGCCCAAGTCCACACGATGGTCCCGGCACCTGGTGAGAGGACCCTACTCCCGGGCGGATCATCACCTGGGCACCCCAGTATTTAATCACATCTTGGCGGGGAGACCACTAGCGTCATTACTTGGCCACTGCTTCACTCTCTTTCCTGTCGGTCATGTCTACCGTCGGCCTACGTCGTTCTCCAAGGACCCTGTCCGGTCGCAGGCTGCTCAAGCAGCACGCCCCACATCGGTCCCTTGCAACGGTCGCTCCTCCCAAACTCACCATTGGCATTCGACAAGAAGATTCCGCCAGAATCTGGGAGCGCAGATGCCCTCTGACACCCAACGCTGTCCAAGAGCTCGTTCAGCAAGACGGCATCGACGTCATCGTGCAACCTTGTGACAGGAGAATCTTCCCCGCTGACAACTTCCTTAAGGTCGGCACCCCCTCTGCTACACCTTCCATCTTGATCCGTTGATGTTGGCAAGGTTCAACTGACGAAGCCACTTCTTTTGTTGACAGGCCGGCGCCAAGGTACACTCCACCCTCGAACCAGCGCATATCATCGTCGGCATCAAGGAAACCCCCTTGAATGAGCTCATCACATCACCGGTGTCGGCACCCCAACTGTCGGGGATGCTCACCCACCGTACCCACCTTATGTTCTCCCATACAACGAAAGGCCAACCGTACAACATGCCTTTATTGTCGCGCTTCCTTAGCGAAAATGACTCACAGTTCCCCACACTTCCGAGATTGATAGACTACGAGCTTCTCACGGGTTCTGACGGCAAAAGAACCGTCGGCTTCGGATGGTTTGCTGGTGGTAAGAATGATCTTCTCCTATCCATCGTATTCGCCCTTATCATACCCTGAACCCCCAGTCGCCGGCGCGTTAGAGTCACTTTCTGCACTTGCTCATGCACACCTTGAAATTGGTGTAGCCTCGCCCTTCCTGGTAGGTTGTATGCAGCCATGCTCCTGACCCGATTCATAAACATCTTAACTCTAGCACACACCGCGACCACATAGTCATCCCTCGATCCCGTCACTTCGTGCGACGTTGCGTACCATTGGACAACGGATCGCTGAGGATGGAACGCCGAAGCCATTGGGAGCGTTTGTTATAGGACTTACCGGGTAAATTGTCATAACATCCAACGCCGCCATTGATAGGTTAATGAGTTGTGACAGAAATGGTCAGGTTTCGCAAGGCGTCTTATCGATTCTCGAGGAACTTCCTATCGTCAAAGTCAGCGTGAGGGATATGCCCTCGCTTGTTAGTAACCCTGGTATGTTCATGGTATTCAACAAGCCACGTCAACAACTAACTGACCTTGGCAGAGACGGATTTGCGCAAGGTACCATGACTGCCATTGCCCTTGGGGAAAATCGAATTAATGTCTTACAGGTGTACTTGGTGCATGCGTCACCTGAGGACTACCTCTCTCGTATGGACGGAGGTCAATACAGTCGATCTCATTACTACGAAAATCCGTCCCTTTACAGATCCGACTTCGCCACCAAGGTTGCTCCGTACCTCACCCTTTTCTTAAATGGAGTTGGTTGGCTTCCGGGCTTCCCCCGTCTGATGACGAACGAGCACCTCGCAGTCGCACTGAATCGTGCAGCCGAAGTTGGCCCTGGGCGGTTTGGAACGATTGGAGATATTAGCTGTGATATTGAAGTGAGCATTTCCGTTTTCCATTCTACGCTGAGCATCTGCGGTGTGTACTGAATACTGCTTGTATTTTCCCCAGGGTGGCCTCGAGTTCATGCCCCGAGCGTCAACCCTCTCCGAACCAGTGTTTAAGCACCGCCCAGCCTTCCTGCCGCCCCATCTGCCAGCTGTGCATATCATGTCGGTCGACATTCTCCCATCCAGTTTACCTCTTGACGCGTCAAACCACTTTAGTGGCGTACTGATGCCGTATCTGAGGGCGCTTGTCCGTGGGTATCGGGGGACTCGTGCGGGCGCAGAGAAACAATGCCAGTACGATGAGGCACTGGAGCGTGCTACTGTGGCAAGAGAGGGCCAACTAGTGGGGAAGCACAAGTGGTTGAGGGAACCGGTGGAGAAGTGGCGTTCAGCCTCTATGTCGCCCACAGCTCATGCTACGGCCTCATCGACAAGGCCGGCACCTGCTGAGGACACGGTGCACAAGAAGAAGAATGTGTTAATGCTCGGGAGCGGGATGGTAGCTGGGCCTGCTGTCGACGAGATCTGTAAGCGAAGCGACGTTGAGTTGATTGTTGGTCAGTAGGCCCGTCCTGTTATACTCCACATGGACTTGTTTTTCTCATCCATCTTGACATTTGCATGCACATGTATGATATATGTACCCTATATCCCATATACCGATCTCGATCAATTTACTCTCGAATTCTTATCTTTGCAGCGAGTAACTCGATCGACGAAGCCAAAAGCCTTACCCACCACCTCTCTAATGCTCGTGCACGTTTTCTAGACGTAAATGACGGCGAAGCAATGGCACGGCTCATTGAAAAAGCTGACATTGTTATAAGGTGCGTTGTCTCCCACCTAGTTTGATCTGTAGCAGACAGCGGCGTGTGTACATGCATACGAGGATAGCTGATTCCGAATGAAACGTCTTCTTCAGCTTACTTCCGGTTCCATTCCACCCCTCCGTTGCGGAGTTGTGTATTCGACATGGAAAGGATATGGTAACGGCGTCGTACATATCCCCTGCTATGCGTGCTCTACATGAACGGTATGCCCTAGCCTCCTTATCTCCGATAAGTGGGATACTGACTCCCATCTCCCAGAGCTGAAGCATCCGGCGTGCTCCTCCTAAACGAGATAGGGCTCGATCCAGGCGTCGACCACTGCTCCGCGCACTCTCTTCTCTCCCGCCTTCGCAGCGAGCGCAAGCGTGTGCTGTCTTTCACGAGCTTCTGTGGTGGTCTACCAGCCCCGGACGTCGTGGCGTCGACGCAAGGAGTTGGTGATACTTCGTTAGGCTATAAGTTTAGTTGGAGTCCTAGAGGCGTGCTGAGCGCTGCATTAAACGGGGCGCGGTTCAAGCTAGGTGGAGAGGTAAGTTGCAACCGTCGTCAATCCTCGTTCTTCGCTCATTTTTTCTGGTTTGTATTCTTGTCGATGACCGCACTAACGTGTTTATTTTCATTTTCATTCCCACTGGTAGGTGGTCGAGATCTCCTCTGAGGATATCCTGCGCAGATATTTTCCCGATGTGTCTGTCCCAGAAGGCGCAGCTCTCAGGTTCGAAGGGATTGCAAACAGAGATAGTTTGCCCTATGTGGAGACATATAGTCTTGGCGATCTGAGTAAATTGAGGACTGTGCTGAGGGGAACACTGAGGTATGTGCGTCAGCTCCTAACGATCTTGGTGTAGGGCTGCTTTCCTCACAATGTACCGGTGCTGACGACGTTTCGTCCACGCGTTTGCACTTTTCGCAGATATCCCGGGTTCTCGGACCTTATGGACGCATTCAAGACGATCGGTCTTCTCTCGCCTTCTCCTTCCTCACAAATACCTCTCACCGGATGGACCGATCTCACCCGCTTCGCGCTCCAACACAAGCTAGGAACAAACGTTCCTGGGGACTACGACTCCATCCAGGCCGCCCTATTCGATCTCTTGCAAGGAAGGCGTGGGAAGGAGAACATTGAGAAGGTGATCGACTCGCTAATGTGGTTGGGCATCATGCCGCCTCGCCCGACCCACTTACCTCGCGTGAACGTCGCCCCTCTCCCCGTGTCACCATTACTATCACCAGCTACTGCCCCAATCGACCTTTTCACCCGGGTGCTCGCTCACAAGTTACGTTACCTCCCCGGCGAACGGGATATGGTCGTTCTCACACACGAAATTGTCGTTGCCCCTGAGCACGCGTTGGACGGTGGACTCGACAAGGCCGTGGAGGAGTCGGCCGAGGTACATACGTCGACGTTGATCACCTACGGCACGCCGAAAGCCTCCGCGATGGCAACGTGTGTTGGACTTCCAGTCGCGTTCGCGACGCTTACCGTCCTGGATGGAAGAAGCACAGCAACGGGCCTCGGGCTTGGACTTGGATCAGGTGTCAGAGGTCCAACGGAGGTGCAAGGCGTATGGAGCGCGGTTCTCGGCCGGCTCGAAGAAGCTGGTGTTGGGATGAAGGAGCGAGTTCGCAAGGTTCCTCGCAGGAACATGACATGTGACGAGGGCGCGATGGAAGGGAAGCTATCCCTTGGGTTCTTTGGACGTTCTTGATCCGTTTATGCAGGACAAATTGCATTACTTACAGACTCTTGCAATAATTTTAGCATTGCATAGTACAGAGACCAGAATTGGAGTGTACACACGTGTATTCTGTCGGGGACTTGTATATACCATAGGAGAAGATAGCTCAGAACATGTCATCTTGTCGCCCTTGTCGACCCTCATGTGAGGGGCTACTTGAGTCTAAATGTATGTAAGGAGTCGAGAGCGCGTGTAAAGCGATCGATCATGTAAACCCGGCCGCGAGACGGACATTAGATAGTTGGGTGCCGCGATTCTTTCCTCACGTCACAGTCAGGTTAATGGCCCTTCATGATAAAAGTTCTTCACCTTGATACGCCTGTCTTTACGATGCGGTCTAGGCTCACGGAAGTTATGATAAATGCATTGGAACGAGCGGCGCTAGGTCGACTGGCGAAAGAAAAGGCACCCTTACGACCAAATTTGCGGTCAAACGGCATGGCATGAATGTTGGTATCAAGGAAGCAATATTGAACGGGCTTGTTCATCGACCGATCTTCGATGGTGTTTTCTAGAGGACAAGGAATACGAATGGAATGGAAACCCCCGTACTTGGTACTATGCATCGTCGTAGAGCTACGGCATTAAATCTTCCACGTAGAAGGCCGTCGGCCACTCACAAGCACCATACGCAAGAATTGTATTCCTCTTTCCACTCGGTCTGTGCCAGAAAAAGAGAAGTTGTTTCCTTTCAGCTGCTAATATCCGCCAATGTTCAATAAGTACGACCCTGAGTCCTTCTGTCGCAGTTCCTCCTCGTAATTGAACAGAAACACAAATACGGCAGAATGGAGACGGTTTGCTCACTTCTCAAGGTATAGTGTCCGATTACATCTTATCAAGTTTTGGTCGGCGGTGGACGGATACGGTGCGAAGAGACAGTGCCTCGAACGTTGTCTAAAATTGTCGGCTTTTGAGGACTCCCCGCCCGACGAGAAGTCAGTAATCTTACGTAGAAAGGGGTCATTTTGAACGGCGAGCAACGCCCTTGGCTATGGATATTGTCGCGGGAACGGCGACTTGCTACCCGGTGACTCCGATCTGCCCTGTTGAGTACTGGTAAATGTCGTATCCGTTCGAGGCTATGGTAATGACAAAGTCAAGATGGATACGAGGGGGGTTCAAAATGGATCAGAGGACCGGGCGGCTATTTGAAAGGTATAAAAGCCGTCGAGTGTCAGCTGGGACTCGCAGAAAAGACAGCCTCCTTCTCTACTCACAACTCACAATACTTTGCAATGTTCCCCCGCCTCGCAGTAGTCATTGCTGCCTCCTTTGCTGTTCTGGCAGCAGCCACTCCCGTTGAGGTTCGAGGTGATTCTGGTGACAGCCAGTGCAACGGCGGCACCATCAGTTGCTGCAACAGTGTGCAAGATGTAAGTTGACTACAAGCAAAAGCGGTCGTTCAGGTCCTTAACTAAGGTGTTCCTCAGGCTAGCTCATCCTCGGTGACCAGCCTCCTGGGGCTCCTGGGCCTGAGCCTTGGTAGTATAACTGGCCAAGTTGGCCTAAACTGTAGCCCTCTCACTGTAGTCGGCGTGGGCTCGGGTGCCAGTTGCACGTCGCAGACTGTTTGCTGCACGGGCAACTCCTTCGTAAGTCCAATTGTTGTCCGGCCTGTTTCTGCGCATGGCTGATGGTCGACGGTCTTAACTTCGCAGAATGGTCTCATCAACGTTGGCTGTACCCCCATTAATGTTGCCTTGTAAACGTGAGAACTCGGAATAGGGTAAAACTTGGACAACGTAGCTATGTCGAAATTTGATTGGTTTTCTTGCTAAGAGTGCGGCGGACTATGTTCAAGTTTACCTTGCCAAGGTGATGTGCAGCTTGTGCAGAAACCGTGCGTTCCAGTTCGTGTCTTTTCAAAATCTATGAGACTGCCAATTAGTTGAGAAACGAGAGGCACATAACTCGAAGCGCTGCTGCTTTGGATCGATTGGTATAGGGTAATGAGTAACGTGAAAAGCCGTTAGTATCATGGTCATAGGCGCCGCCACAAGCGATACTATCGATGCACATGAAAGCTCCCAGCAGCATGGTGTATTATTTCCCCAAGCGAACGGATGCAAAAGTACCTCGGGGAGACCGATCACGCGAGATAAACTTTTTGAGTTGTGCTTGGCATTGGGCCAAGCCCAAGGTTCCCTGCACAGTAGTGTTGACATACGACGTCATGGTACGGGGGTAAACACGGCAGCACATACGTATGCAAGGCGCGTCGCGGTTTCAGGATCAGCATCCTCGATGTATACATACCTGTTCATTCGTCGAGTCAACCTTCGTGACCTTGAGCAGGTGATGAGAAGTTCGTGGAGTCGCTTTACCACATCGAATACGTCGGATACACTGTTGATCAACGACGACCAAACAAGGTACTGCCATAGAAGAGAGTGCTCACTGTCTCCCCTTGCAAAGGGACAGGGGGGGAGGGTAACGTGCACTACCTGAGTGCATTGATTGATTTTCAGTTGCGGTAAGAAACAGTCACATGTCGGATGCCAGTCCATAGCAACCTCCGTTTGGGTGACTTGTGTGCATTCTTACAAGCGTCGGTATGACATTGTGAGACTGGGAGGACACAAAAATAGGAACACGAGGCAGTGCTATAAATAAGAGTGGACGGATGACTGACTGTTGTTCTATAAATAGTCTGTGCCATTAAATACGTTGTTCGGTGGGTCTGCTGGCCTTTTAAACGCCCTCGGGTTTTTTCCACTCTCCTTCACCCCACCCACCAGCCTATTTGGAGTGTCGCGCACGCACGCACACACACACATGGTTTTATCGTCGCTCTTTTCGGTAAAGACACTCCCCGCCGTCGTCTTGCTCGCTGCGTCCTTCCTCGCCAACTCTGCCAACGCCCAGGACCGAACAACAGAGCAGGGAGAAGCTCAGATATCAGGCAAGTAACCGTCTCGCTCCCTCTGCACGCCTGCTTTTTCCACCCCTCCCTACTACTTCGTTCCACACGCGTAAACGAACACAGTACATAGAGAGCTCCACTCGGCGCGCGGGGGACTCGTGTCGCAGCACATCTTGCCCTTGAGTGCTGTCCCCGCCGCTGTTCCCCCTTCTTCCTTTGGAGGGGGCCTCGTGGTGTGGCTGACCTTCCGCATATACGGCACTGTCCTTGTCCTTTGATGCTCGCACACCTGGCCTCGCCGTCTTGGTCTTGTTTTCTGGTGATCTCCGTGCCGACACAGCAACTGCCGTACATCTATATTCTTTATGCCGTTCTCGGCATGACCTAATCTCTGAATTCTCTCATTGCGCTCCACTAATCCACTTTGACAGACCCAAATGAGGAGTGCACAATTTACTACTATGCACCCGTGTCCAATGCTCGCTACAACTTCCCAACCGTTTGGACAGTAGCAACTCTCCTCTCCAACGACACAGCTGGGCAGACCAAATACAGCAATATCTCGTCTGGAATACCCAATATCTCTCCGAAGGGCACGCAGCCTCAGTCTGAGACAGGAAATTTCACGGGCTTCACCTACAGCGCGTCAGATCCGGATTGTTGGTGGACCTATGATAAATGCACCACCCCCAAGTACTCCGGGCTGCAGCCTGATATAGCGGGCGTGCCAGAGGCAAGTAACTCTGCAGCGTCTGGAGTACTAAAGGAATAACTGCTCATGGGACACATACAGCCTGGTACGCTTGGTTACGGCTTCGACGACGGCCCAAACTGCTCCCACAATGCGTTTTATGATTACTTGTCACAGCAAAACCAAAAAGCATGTGCGTGATGGTTTTTGGAATGTTATTCCCCCGTTTCTCGCTCAACTGGACCTTCTCATTAGCCATGTTCTACATTGGTAGTAACGTGATGGACTGGCCTCTGGAGGCGCAGCGCGGGCTCGCAGACGGTCACGAAATTTGCGTTCGTGAGTGCTCCACTCGCTTTATAATCGGCGCACGTTCACAATTTTACCAGACACATGGTCCCACAAATACAGTTCGTGAACCACGTTCTTTCCTCGCGATGTTGAGCTGACACGCAGGTACTAGTGACCTCGCTTACGAACGAACAAGCTTTTGCCGAGCTTTGGTACAGTACGTGTACTTCCTTTTTGTGAGCGCGGCGCGTAGTTAGATCGTTTGTGCTCATGTTGAAATTCTCACAGCCGTACGTATAGGACTCACTATAGAAGTAGTAGCGCTAAACCTTGCTAGATGCAAGCCATCAAGTTGGTCGTCGGCGTTACTCCTACCTGCTGGAGGGTTTGTCGTCTTATCTCCGTCACAATTTAAGCTACATCCCCCGTTCTTTTCGCAGCCCCCTTTCGGTGACGTAGATGACCGTATTCGCTGGATTGCCAACGCTCTCGGCCTTCGTACGGTCATTTGGCAGTACGACTCGAACGATTGGAAGGTTGGCACCAATAACATCACCGCGGCGGACGTCGACGCCAACTACGAAGCCCTCATTCAAAGAATGGAAAATGGAACTTTTGCTACTGTTCGTATTCCCAGCTTTCCAGCTTTTGGTTTCTTATCTCGCGCATGTTTCCCAGTCTGGCACGATCATGCTTACGCACGAGCTTAACAACTACACTATGTCCGAAGCGATCACCTTCTATCCCCAGCTTAAGGCCGCATTCAAATACCTTGTCCCTGTGGGTGTGGCTCTAAACGTGTCGCAGCCGTACGTGGAACCAAGCCCGATTTTACCTAACTTCGAGCAATGTAGGTAGCCGTACTGCCTGGTCCTTGGGTCTAATTGACATTTTTTTCTATGTAGATATCAGTGGCACAACCACACTCTCAGGCTCGGCGCCTTCTGCAACTGGTAGCCAAGGTGCCTCTAGTGGGTCTTCCGCAAGCAAGAGCGGCGCGGGAGAGTCGAGATTGATGAATGCATTGTCTGTGGATGGGGCTGGTGGTCTGGTTGGCGCAATGATGTTCGTGGGAGGTTTGTTGAGGACTATGATGTGAGTCGCCGATGGGGTCGCGGCGTGGGTGGGGATGGAGCCTATGCAGGACACTTGGTTTTCTTATCTCATCCACACCCCGCTTTTTGAACTGGCCGCTCAATACCCGACCTCGCATCTTCCACGTCCCTCTTGAACGATTCGAAATACTTAGCTTCTACAGTATTACCCGCAGGTTCCGTCTTATTGCCCTTCCTCCTCTATCATTCCCTTGCCTTGGGTTTTACGGTTCTACTTGATACACTTCTCGAGCATACCATAAATTTGATATCACATGTTCGGACTATATACCTAAGCGTAGTTGAAATGTATTGAATCAGAGCCTTGAGCGACAATCGATTTGGCCGTGTTCTCCTTCCAAAGTGTCATCCCGTCGCCGAAGCTGATAGTGAATAACGTAATGCGTAGCAAGCAGGCGGTTTCTGTTGAGCCTTGGCTAGAATAGAAATGAATGTCGGTCGACGTCGGACGATAGGAAATTTTAACATGCATGACACATGATGTCGTTTCGTGCGCTGACTGTGAGGTCCCGTCGCCTCACCACAGATATGTCTCTTCAATACGCTATTGAAAAGCAAGTCGCCCTCGCCGCAGTCCGCCGCGCATGCGCACTTACCTCTGCGGTTTTCAACAAACTCGTCAAGCAGGAGACCCTTACGAAAGATGACAAATCCCCTGTAACAGGTGCGTAGGCAATCATGGCTGCGGTATGGTGTTCATAGTAACCAAACACACCACAGTCGCCGATTACTCTGCTCAGGCAGTCGTGAACACTATACTTGGTCATGCCTTTCCCACCGATCCCATCGTTGGAGAAGAAGATGCGAACGATTTGCGTCGGGAAGAAGCAGACAAACTCAGGAACAGGATAGTCGAACTCGCTAACGAAGCCCTCACTGCTGACTTAGGCATCGGTGACATCGCTGAGTGGGGCATTGGTCCTGGCCAAGAACGAACGCTGGAGGAGCTCCTTGATGCCATTGACCGTGGGAATGACCAAGGCGGTCGTGTCGGACGTGGGTAGCAAGGTGCCAACGTTGTGCCCCCTCTTTCTTCATCTGTGTGTCTCTCTCTCACAGGTAGATGGACCCTCGATCCCATTGATGGAACGAAGGGATTTTTACGTGGTGGTCAATATGCCGTATGCCTCGCATTGATAGTTGATGGCGACGTTAAACTCGGCATTATCGGCTGCCCAAACCTTCCCGTGAAGAGTGAAGAACCAGAAGGTCAGAAGGGCTGCATCTTTGCAGCTGTCAAGGGTCAGGGGGTTGAGCAGGTTATTTTTCCTCTGTTGCATCGTCCCGTCCCGCGTTTTTATATGCCAGTCTTTTATTATTATTCCACAGATGACCATAAGCGGGGCAAATCCTACACCAATCGTCATACCTCCCGTGGCACCGGGGATGCTTAACCTCTTAGAGTCCGTTGAAGCTGCACATGCTGACCTGTCTTTCAACGAGCGAGTATCGGAACTCCTAGGTATCACTCGACCACCTACACAGATGGACAGTCAAGCCAAGTATGGTTGTTTGGTGCGTGGGGACGGAGGTGTGTACTTGCGAATGCCGACCAAAGCAGGGTACCGAGAGAAGATTTGGGTTAGTTCGATATCCTTCCCTTTTTCGCATTCCTCTTCTACGACGATGGACTCATCTAACACGTCTGTTAGGACCACGCATCGGGGTCACTGCTTGTTCAAGAAGCCGGAGGGCTTATTACTAATTCGCTTGGACAGCCTCTTGACTTTGGCCTTGGTAGGACTCTGGGAGCGAACTATGGGATTGTAGCTGCAGGGAAAGACGTTCATGCACTGGTACTTGCTGCTGTCCAGAAGGCACGAGCCGAGGAATTGGAGAAAGCAAAAGCTTGATGAAAGAGGCGTCTTTCAATTCGACGAAATTATCATTGCAGTACGCCAGACAAGAATGTATAGACTACTAGTTGTATTTTCCTCGCACATTTAGGGGAAAGCGGTTGTTCAACGAGTGTTTAGCTGTGGTGCCATCCAACCTTGAACTTGGCTGCCATCTACCGTGTACATAACGTACAGATCGGCGTGCTTGTCTTCACGGACCACTTCGGCAATCCAAAAACATGTCATCTGCAAGAAAAGATTCTACTCCAGATAAACCCTACTGGACGTTAATGCCAATACCTTGAGACTTGACACGACCGGACACTCACCAGCTGGAACTACCCACTGAAAGTAGAGCAATGTACCGAGGAACACAACACTACTTTGTCCACTATCGGGTTGCTGCAAGTTTGCAGTTTGTGGTACAAGTCATGAAGATCTGTTCCATCTGCCGGCTCGCTTGTAGAGAGTCCTGAGAGCCTCACAGACACCCTTGGCCCACCAGACTCCAGGCGCTTGGTGAGCCACCTCACGAGAGGATCGAATGTTTCGGTGCCGTCAAAGTTAAGGTCGTATATAGTTAAACTTTCGAGACTTGTCCAATGATCTGCCGGCGCTGATTCCGAGTCGTCGACCTGACCCTTAGGTGTGAAAAATACGTCCATGCACGCACTACGCAGGGTCACATCTCGCGCCCCACAAAATTCCTCGCAGAGTGGACGGTAACCTTCCATGTCAGCAGAGTAGAAGTTGAAAATAACCATTTGAACATGGCTGAACTTTGACCCGGTGTCAAAATTGACACGCATGTACCGCAGCTCATGACAGTCAGAATAGTCAAGGCACGCAAGCTTCGGTGCTACAATGGCTCTCATGACGAGGCACGGATTGCAAACTGTGAGTTTGAGTACTTCAAGAAGCGGAAGATGTATGCCTGTCTGGCGGAAGTCTCCAACTAATGTTGTTACCACCAAGCGAGAGTGCCACTAGGGACTGGGTAGGGATAAACATTGGAATATTCATGGCCTGGTATTCTCCGAATCTGAATGATATGTCAAGCGTCATGAGGGTCGTAGAAGCTGCAAGTTCAGGTGCGGGGAAAAGGTCATCGAGTTTCAAATTCCTGAGGGCAGGGGCCCGATTCGGTAAGAGAAATTGCGGATAGGATAGGTAGACACCCAATGCATATTATCGATGGTAACATCCTCGAGAGAAGGGAATTTCAAGCCGTCGATTGCGTCAAGGACTTCAGCAAGCACCCTGTCGCGGGGATGGTGTACGTAAAGACACCGCCAGCGATCGGCGCTGGAGACAAGGACGTCCAGCCACGATTGTGCCTGTTCATAGTGATCATAAATTGAACCTGTGATGAAGATATTGAGAGGGGCGTTGCCACTCCTCAGTCAGCTGGGTCTTCAAGGACTCAATGGTGAATGTGTCCTGTACGCAGCACGATATCCCTCCAGATTTCAGGAGTTCCCAAGACCACGCTCCTCCAGAGTCGTGACACCATTGACAAATCTTTCCTGCGCCTGGCTATCGCAAACTCCATTGACCTGCAACGGTCATCGTAATTCGGTAAGGACAGAAATATTATCCGCAAAAGGAGTTCGGTGGGGAGACGATTCATAGGAGGAGGTCGTTTCTTGACGAGCTCGTCGATCTTGTTTTTCTGTATTTTCATGGCTGCACGGATCTCTACGAGCTGCTTGAAGAGTGTTCTTTCGGTCCCTTGCAGTTGGCCTAGCTTGGCGCGTGCCTCATCCAATTCGTCCATGATGGGCAAGGTGGGTAACAGTACTAGTAGCCGGGGTCAGCGTAGCTGCGCAATGCGGTATCGTTTGTTCTGAGCGTTACCTTAGTCTATGCAAGGTCGACGAGGGACGATGAGGGACGGTGTCCGTGATTATCATTTGTTGTTTACATGTGTGGCGTCTAGGGGTTACTGCAGTTTGCGAAAATGATGACAATTGTCAAATATTTGCAAGTCGCGTCGTGAGGAAATGAATCAGCGCACGACACAGTGCCGCCGTGTACGCAGAGCTAGTAGTACATTAGAGACCCAAGAATGGCCAAGAAACAGTCAACAGGCGGCGAAGAAGCTGTCAAAGGTGACCAAGAAGACCAACACTGGTTTCAAGATACAATTTCGCTGACCTTGCCCATCAACCCCAGTCGATGACAATTCCAGGACACTACTGCCAAGACGCACGAAGCGGGCACACAAGGGCCAGTGCCTGACTACTGGGATTGATGATTCTATCCTTGTGATTGACTGATGTGTCTGAGAAAAGCCACTGTATGCTATCGGACAGCCTTGAGATTGAGGAATACTGGGAGGCTGAACGGAGTTCACAAGGTGAGTCGTCATTCAACCTCTCCTCACAACTGACTTTTTTGTGCAGACGAGACACCTGGGCTGAGATGTGCGCAGAAACTCCCGGAACTCAGCACGGCGCTGTTCGTCCCTCTCCGATGCGAGTTTCTGTAGTACCTTTCGAGAAAGGCCCATGTCGTTTAGGTGCGACCGAGTGCTGAGATACTGATAGTGATGTCATGGCCAACTGCAAGCCAGGTAGAAAGTTCGTCGAGAAATAGGTCAGAATCCTCCATAAGAAGGTCTTCCATTGCATTGAGCACTGCCCTGGTTGTCGTCCGAGCACGTCCCCTCAGTGGTGAAGGTGGTCGTTCTACAGCGCCGTCCCTTTCCATGATGGACTGCCAGTGATAGCAGCTGCGAGGTAAGACACCAAGAGCAGCGCAAACATCTTCTAACTCCCATCCGGAATTCCACAAACGCAGCGCACACTCTTTGAGGTCATTACTGATGCGGCGATAGGGCATGGCGGGGACTAGAACAAACGTATATTGACAGAGTCCTGGACTACTGTAGAGTACGAGCACTCCTATACGTTGCATGTATTTCATTTCCTAATTTGGAAACACTCACGACGCGACTCGCAAAATATTTGACTATTGTCATCATTTTCGCAAACTGCAGTAATGGTAAGGCAGTATGACCACCGCTCTCTCAAAAGTCGAGATATCATACATCAGATCGTCTCTTCTCTCCGCCCCACCATTACGTGCGGATGGACGTTCGCCAGAGGATTTCCGGCCTATCGCGATCGAGACTGGGGTAGCACCATTAGCCAACGGGAGTGCAAGAGTCTCGATTGGGGAGTCTCGCACTGGCAGAGAGACAGAAGCGGAGGGTGCTGGAGGCGGCACGGAGGTCGTCGCTGCAGTGAAACTCGAGGTAGACGGAGTCGGTGAAGACAAAGAAGGGGGCAAAGTCATTTGCAACGTATCCTGGTATGTATCCAAAACTTTTTTCTTTCAGAATCGTCAGTTACCGTCCCTGGTGCTACAGTTCCCCGGCGGCTTATCCTCACTTGTCATCACCTGCACTTGACGACCTTCAATCGGACCTCACCTCCGTGCTAGGGAGCGTGCTCTCCCATCCTTCGCTATGCCCAAAAAATTTGGTGATTGTTCCCGGGCAAAAAGCTTGGGCTCTAAGGCTCGACACCATCATATTTGCTGATGCGGGCAACGTTCTCGACTCTCTCATGATGGCCTGTCGCGCTGCACTTGTGGACACGCGGGTTCCGAGTACGAGAAGTGTGGAATATCGTGCTCCGGGGAGACGGAACGAGGTGTCAGACGATATCATGGACGTCGACGAGGGTAGAAATGGTCCATCAAGCCTGCTGGAAACCCGAGAACCTAGCCGCATAGTAGATTTCGAACTCACTGACTATTGGGATGAAGGAGGGGTGCTCGAGGCGAGGGATTCCTGGCCTGTTTGTGTTACGCTGAACATGGTACGCCGCCTTTCCGCCTTCCACAACATTTGTCTATTCTACCAGGTTGCATTTCATGTTTAACTCGACTTTTCACCATATCCTGCTGGTTAATCTATGACTCACGAGATCCATACTATGATCTTTCACAGCTTCCTACTATGCATTTCCTTGATGCAACGTCCCAGGAAGAGTCCGCAATCCCGTTAAGGCTACACGCTATGTTTGCATTTCCGGGAGGCAAGCCCACGTTACACGGCATGAGGATGGCGGGTGCAGGCACATCCGACTTGTCACAAATTAGAATATTGTTGAAGGTGAGTGGTGGATGGAATTCGATGATTCGATGACGCATATATTCACTCACTCACGATAGGATGCGGAAAAATATGCCCGAAATATGTGGACTGGGCTGGAGGCGAAGCTTGCAGAAGAGGAAGCGCGTAGGAGCATCAAAGCACGGGAGACAGTTCTATGGCAGGCGGCGACGATAACCAACACATTCCCCAACGCTTGACAACCTTCGACATGTGGATTTTCTTCCAGCGTCAAGTGTATTTGATAGTGATGGATACTGAGTTAGGCAGCATTGCAATGTAATGTATGACTTAGCTCGTACAGATTCAGTAATGCACAGCTTGCACCAGCAAAACATCAACCTCTTACTCCATCCCACAACAGGTACCGTTAGACCAAGTTTGCCCCAGCCATAGGAACATGATGACGTCACCGCAGGTGGCTGTGAGTCACTTTCATCCATGCCAGTGTCAATTCGCGACATCCACGCTCGTCGCCCTGAGATTGCCCCAAAGCGCCGCTGCGTTCCTGGTTTGCAAACTGCGATTCCGTTCCCAAGCGCCTTGCCTAAACGCCAATAATACCGTAAATATCCTGTGAAGACCCTATTACCTTTTTTTAACGACGTCATGGCTAGATGGTAAGTAGATCGTTGTCTGCCAGGAACCTACGATTGACTTGAGAACAAGGATCGACATATTTTCTTTGTCTGTCGTGAGTAGCTTGTATATCATCGAAATTAGCCACCCACCCACACGTCATTGAATCATGGAACACAATGTTACAAGACTACCATGATCTTCGTTGGCATGATCCTAGCTATCATATATTTTGCAAGGCGTATTTCGTCCACCGTTGAGGTAACCAAGGAATCGTGAGTTTTGCGTGTGCCTAGTCCTAGTACAAGGAAGCTGACCTGTATCTTTTCTATATCCACGTGGTAGACTCAAAAACCGAGGAATATCCGTATCTGACAGTGGAGTCTCCATCAAAACCAACAAACGATTCGACATGGAACATTACGTCGATGCCACGCAGCGGTTCGTACTAAGACGGCACTGGGCCTCGAATTTTTATCTCACAATTAACAATTAACGACTTTTGCCTTTTCAGCGGTTTAATCAAAGCTATGGATGCCTCCTCGTTTGGTAACCCAGACACAATCAAGTGTACGTCTTCTCAGGGGTCGGGGGGCGGATGCAGCTCAGAGGGTGAAGTCCATGCGAAACCAACTTCGACAGCCTCAGCTGTCGCAATGCACAAGAGTCATAGCAAATGACTCGACTGTCTGTCCGTCCGCAGTACAACTGACCCATGAAATTGCAACCCATGGTATGTTGTGGCTTCAGCATCTATCGTTCGCATTTTGTTCGCATGTTGTCCACCTCATCAATGTATAAAAGCTTCTTCGGCGATTCTTGTAGTATGTACTCCAAACATCGAAATATGTGCTGGGAGAGGTTGGTGGCTCGAACACTCCCAGTGAACGGGGAATTTTACGACTCCATTTACGCCCCCGCCACAGGGCAGGTGGTATACAATAAGTCAGCTAAGTTGATAACACCAGATAGGCTAAACGCGAGGAAAGATGCGCACTGGGATGGGAAACCTGCGTGAACGAACAGAATTAGCACATAACAAAGTAGAGTATCAATTTGCGGTGTAAGTGAGTCAGCACATCATGAAAGCCATCGTGAAGGTACCAAGGATGCTCCGTCTGATATACCTCTTCACTGAAGATTCACTGAAGATGTTTGTGGCGTGCTTTCATCTTCAAGGCTTCCCCTCATACTCAGACGTTCGTCTTCGACATCCGCCGAGTCCCTATGTTGTTGAAGAACAGATTTTGCTTCATCGAAGCGACCCTGTACACCAACCATCGCGGTGAGCGTGGTACGAAATGCATCCTAGAGCAAGAATAATCCCATTAGCGGCTTCGACGATAGAGGGAGTGAGCCTAGCAAGGCTACCGTGAAGTCATGATGAACCATATGCATCGAAGAACCTGGTGATGATGTCCACGGTGATGAGACCAGTGCCACGAATCCTGTGGAGGGCTAATTCACAGAGATATGTGGTGATACAGATATGCTCTAGACTTGGCCGACTCCGGTGATCAAACAGGCATAGAAAAATACGAGGTGGTCGTAGAGGCCAATACGACAACTCTAATTGCAAAAGTGAGCCCACGATAATGTACTTGAGAGATAACAAATCAGCGACTAACTAACGCATAGGGATGAAATTGATGCGTAGCGTAGGATACAACAAACACATATCCCCAGCGTTCCTGTTGTATTAAAGGTGACCTATAAACTCATCAAACTGTGCCATCTGAGCAATGGCGTCAATTGGACCTGACATGGGGCATGAGGACAATGTTACTACCTACGGGAAATGTTTACCTGTCATAGCAGACCTGGTATTGAAGCATAGAGAAAAAGGAGGTAAATTTTTACGGTGGACCACATCATAGCAAGTGAGTGTTGGGACATCGATTGAACGGTATACTCGTGTAGAACATGTAGCACTTGGTCAGACAGCACTTACATATGCTCGTGGCTGCACCCCACTTCCTTGGTGTCGAGATTGTAACCCAAGTATGCAGAGGTTGTATAGAATTGCACTTCCACTCTGTTCCAAATTCCATCAGTGAGGGGATGTTTTTGAAAAACAAAAGAGGGTGTTGTTCGTGGCAGGCCCCAGTAGCCTACCCTCGCAAGCCACTCGTATATTAGTGATATGGAAAGATGCGGTCTAGGCCATCAGCCCATCCTATGACGAATTCTGTCGGTGCTATAATCACTTACCATTACCAGAACCATGCACGTCGCGCCAGCCGAAGCAGACGCAAACATTGCGTATCTTCATGTTCGAGAACACATGTACAAATCTATCAAATGTCGCAAGAACAGATGAACACGAGTTTAGATGAGTCGGGAGTTCCTGCGGTGAAAGCTTTCTCGGACGCACCGGCGAGATCATAGATGACCACAAGGTATTTCAAGCTGCTGACCTGCAGATGAACGTGTCTCTCTTCCTATCAACGCATTTTGCACTAGACAGTGTCTATGCTGTAGTGCGTGTCACGGGTCTAATAGTGGCTGTTGTGGGACTGCAAACACACCTAATACTCTGTAGGTAGCCTTCTTCGGGACAGAAGAGTTGCCTGGAGAGCAGTCCTAAACCTTCCGTGAAAGTTATTCCATCGATTTCATCATGATGATATTGCCAAAGACTCACATAACGAGTCCGAAATCTTGCAAGTAAATAAGTAGCAAAAGTTGCGAAGTCTGGGCTGTTAGGGCTACTTCTCCACGATGTACGTATAGCAGAAGTATAGCTACAAGTGTTAATGGAAGGAAAAGCTGTAGAGACTGTCGTTGTCTATGGCACATGGGTATGAACAGACCTCCAATTGGGCCCGAGCACTCTGGAGTCTCCGTCTCCATCCCATTGTAACAAGCAAAACAACAAAAATAACACGAAAAGAAAAATGACCAACAAGGGACTAGAGATGGTCCAGCTGTAAAATCCAGCAGCTAAGCTGCACACGTTAAAGGATTTCCAAGACTGTCGCCAGGATGTTCTTCGAAGTGACGTTGGTTCTGAGTCCCGAGACGACAATCTCGTGCTCAGCAGCGACCCTCCTGTACTCTCCATTCACTTGCTGTACGAGAAGCAAGGCATTGAACGGCTGTCCGAGGCGAGCAACCATCTGTAGTGCCCGGGTATAGTCGTCAACCTGAGGCACGGGAACAGCGTGCAATGGCAGAACTTCATCCCATTCAGCGTCGTCATCCAAATCTGCTTCAAGGTCAGTATCAGACTCCGAGCCACCTCCCCAGGTAATGGTAATTCCACTGCTGGGACCCCGGATATGACGAATCCACGGATGCACGAAGACAAACTTGTGGGGCTCATTCACCGGCAGATCATCTGCCGTTGTGAACTCTACTCTCCCCAGCGCCGATACTCTGGCATGATATAGCTTCTCATCGCCTCTCCGTAGCTCGTGGATACCGAGTCTTCTGACAGAGAAAACGATGCATGGAAGATGTAGACGTCGGCTCCCAAAACGGGCGAGTGGAAGAATGTTGATCTGATGACAGATACTCAGGGCTTCTTGCTGCGGTAATTTGCCGCGTAACTTTGTGATGCATGTTTCCATTTCTTCCCCTTCGAGTGGCAGAGAGTTGTAGGGAGTTTGACTGTAAGTGGAAAGGGAAGCCGGGAGACAACTGTTGTATGACGATGACTGTCCTGACCACGCAAGCACGGAGACCTCGCCGGAGGGGTCACTATCTCCTCCAAGAGATGTCTAAGAGCGTCGGGTCCTTCACCGTAGAGAGGCCCAGTATCAGACTCAAATATACCAATGAGAGAGTATGCGACGTCTTCCTCGATCGTCGCGTTGCGCGTCGAAGCTAGACGAAGTTTCTCACGCACCCGAGATCGTCTGGAGAAAACGTGACGATAGTTCCACGGGGAACTTTGATAGCACCTGCTAGTTCTCGCATGATCTCCGGGGATTCCTTGTGATTCGCACTGGTATCGCCGAGGTATAATTTCCACTGGGCATCATAGAAAAAGATAACTTTCGGTGAGAGAAGTTCCTGTAACGTCCATGCCCGCGTCATCCATAAACTATGCGCGAGGTCACCAGGCTTGGATGGATGCGCTACGCCGGCGAGGAATACGAGTGTGGCAGCAGCTGAATTCGCATACCATTTGTGCATAGATGTGAGAGATTGATTAAGGATAGAACTTGTGGACTTGTCGATACAACATGTATCGGACCATGCCCAATCGTAACCAAGTCTGCGCGTCTCCTTGCAGAAGTCATGCAACTTCTCGTTTAGGGGCGTGTTGGGGAGTTGCCACACGGATTTCGATCCAACTGTATTGACGTCCTGGAATGATGGTTCATTCCCCTGCCATGCATGTGAGAACATGACATATCCGAAGAACCTTGCAACCACTTGTAGGATCCGCTCATTATCTACTGCATTTATCATGGATGAAACAAGCTCTTTATACAATGGATCGGCCTTGAAGATACGGATCCGCTCAGGACGGTCGCAAAGGCAACCAGTGGTGATGTTGATGACAACCAGGGGGCAGTTTTTAGGGATCCTGTGGATGGCAGGATCGATAGCTGTAATGGTCTCCAGAGGAGAAACATAGTTTTTTTCGCAGTTCTGTGGAATCGTCATTTGCAGGAATTAGATGGACACATGAGGTACATACCCCTAGTTGCAGGATCATGAGACTGTTCGATTACGTGCAGCATAGACTTGAAAGCATCAATCGCTTCGTCATACCGTTTTGCTCCATGAAGTGCTACATGCTTGGTTTCGTAGCCCCAAGGCCAGGAAGGGTCTGCTTTTACTGCCTATCGGCAATAGTAAGGACCGACTCATGCAAGAAGAATATCACACATACATTGTTCGCATCCTGCAGTGCATCCTCCCATAACCCTCTTGTCGCTCGAGCTATGCTCGACTTGATAAATAGACCTGCAGGGCTTGGAAGACATAAGGGGAATGCAGAAGAGTACTGTGCTATTGTGCTATCATGTATTCCAGATCCAAAGACATTGTCACCAACATGCTGAAGTATAGTAATGCATTTTGTTGTGAAATCTGACGATGGACATTAATGTGCACATTAACCAGACTAGCGGCTACAAGACATACCTAAAATCCAGTCTGCATTTTCCTTACTCCTCAGGATCTCTTCATCCGATGTCCGGATGATGTTGAGGAAAATCTCCACAGCTTCCATCGTGCGTCCTTCAGCGTAAAGGCTTTCACATAGACGTTGCTGTGGAACGATGTCCAGTCCAATGAAACCCCACCCAAATATCTTCATGAAGGGTTAGATTAACGGATAGTAATAGCAGAAGACCCACGAGTGAGATCGACTGGAGTGGAGGACATTGTTTGCCCTTGGGGGCCAGAGCCTTCGCACGCTCGATCAACGGTATCGCACATCTGTAATTCCCGTTCTTCATGTACATAACTGCAAGGACCTGAAGAATGTATCAGCAGTCATACTCGCATGTCTGGATGATGTGAAGCACGTGCCTGGGTGCACAGGTAGGCGTTGGCGTCACCGTTCTGATGGTCTGCTCTCATAGTAAGGTGCTCTGCGCGCGTTATCGCCTCTTCTTTCAAACACAAGAATTGACTGGGCGGAGCACAGATTAATCGCAAGAATGATCTAGTTCACATCGCGCATCTTCAGAAGTAAGAGGAATTTGACGTCGTGCTAGCTCACAGTCATAAGAGGCGAAGTCGAATGTCCATAGCGCACCCTCCCGATCGCCCTGGCCAAGTAGAGCAATTGCCATTGCAACTGTAGCCAATAGGTGATGGCTGAAGCCGGGGGGGCTGGAGGTGCATGTGAACAAACATGCGCACGAAGTAGTAAGGTTATAGCAGACGGACCTCCTTGGCGTCCTCTAGCGCAGGTTCCAGATTTTTCAAACGTGTTCTTACAAAAGCGCGATTTGCCAGCACGTACTGTCTAGGAATCGAGGCGGTTGTGATCTCCTCCGACAGCAGCACTTCGGTGTTCGTCGGGTCGTCCCGTGTCCATGACTCGAAGGTCTTATCACTCACCCGTACGAGCGGAAGCTGAGAAGCGTAGGACTGTTGATGGATCAAAGCATTACACAACGTAATGGTTGTTAGCGATGCGACCTGCTTCATGAGCGGATGTATACTTACACCACGGTCGAAATACTTATGGGAAAGGAAATCTCTGAAATTGTGAACTGTGATATTCCTGCCATGACTGCATGCGAGATACCCCCCGCTTGGTGAGAGAGCGACGTATTGGATCCTTCCAGTGTGTGACAGTGCTACTGATCTGCTGGTGGGACACACAATCCCATAACGAAACTGATGGGCCTGCGGCACACGCAACGAACTTGCCGTTGGATGCTATATAAACCGGTTGGTTTTCATGGATCAACCATTCTGCGGACGAAAACTTGGACAGGTCAAAACAGGTTATCTTGCCTGTCCCTGATATAAACAGCTGCTGGCCATCAGACGACCAGGCCAATGGAATGCGTGGCCCGCTTGAACTGTTTTGACCTGAATCGAACAAGATGTCGCCACTGTGGGTGTTGTAGATGCGGAAACCCTTAGTCTGCGAGGCGGTAGCAAATCGACTACCGTCTAGTGAGAACTTTACGCCAACAACATTAGTGTGTGGGAGGGGAGGAAGCAGTCGAACACCGGGAGTGAGGCTGAATATCTCGACGTTGTGCCAGTCCGCAAAGGTAATTTTAGTACAGTCGCTCGAGATATCGACCCCCAATACCCAGAAGTTGGGTTCGGTGAACTCGCGCACTTTCTCATGAGTGGCTGCATTCCAGACGATTGCCTTGTTTCCGCGATCTCCAGACACTATCCACCGGCCATCCTGGGAAATGACAGCAGACTCCACAATATTTCCACCCGCTCTCATGGTTGGGCCCTGTTGCTGACCGTCTTCAATCTTCCATCGACGAATATCACCGTTGGCATATCCTCCTACGTCCTGACTTTCGTCCACAAAGGTGATTGCCCATGCATCACTTTGAGATACAATTTCGATCCGTTTTGTATCTTAACCACCACAATGAACTGTCAATAGGGCTGCCTCAGCCTCTCTGACTCTGGTACGTACCCATTGTCGTCGCTGGCAAGCCCGCCAACGCAGTCAATTCGTCGTGAGGATCAGAGACCGCGGATACTGTCCTTCCAGCCGCCCGCAACGTACCCGCAGCAGCTAACGTGCGACGGTGCAGGAACGTAGTACAGCAGATAAACCGATCGTGGTATAAAGGCGAGCATCTCATCACCGACCCACCCTCTCACCACCCTAGTTACAAATACAGGTAAATAAATCCGTAATATGCGTCGTAGTCACATCGTCTCCTTCAATCAACGAACATTCGGTGCAGTTCTTGGTATTCGTCTGCACAAAGTCATGCATAAGCAGGGTGAGGGTTGGCGGAGACATGTCAAAGGAAGACTTGGTGATGTATACAACCGTCCAATCCCAGAAAAGTATTCAGCGCATGTATCAATCCCTCCACCCGCATTCGGTCCCAGCAGAGCTTTTCGCCGGTACCCCCTTCCTTGGCCCCATCAAAACCAAGGTCTCACCCATTGATAAGACACATCCGGGTCGCGGGCGCCTCGCTTGATTCCCGTTATACTACTGCACCGTGTCCGGATATATCAAGTGTCGATATCCTCCATAACTAGATCCTAGTTGGCTCAGGGGTCATAATAGGCGCGGTTAGAGAACACGCTGGTACGTTGGCAAATGGCTACGGCTGTCTCATTTTCTGACATCTTGCTCAACGTAACCTAATCGCACTCTCAAGCCCCGACGCCTACCCTATCACAGATTTCCAGCGACCTTTGAATACCTTCCATGCGGAGTTCCCTGCAGTTCCACAGCCCGGATTGCCTCGGACAACAATATCGCCCTGGTGCCACGTGGATACCGTGGCACGGGGATGTGGTCGCTGTTTGCTTATCTGGTATTTGACAGTTTGGTACCCTTACTCTGTTGCATGTACGGGGCTTGCTTCGCGAGTTGCTAGTGTCTAGATGTTACCAAGCCGTTTACCGCTGTACTGATGTCAGGTGAGTTGGCGCGTTCCAGGTTATAAGTAAATTTTCGGATAGCTGACTCTGAATCCAGCACACACCACACGCTCAATACATCTTCTTGTTCCGCATTTGATGGATACGATGAGAACAATGTCCAGTGACCTTCGATTCGTCATCGATCGTGGTGGACCCTCTTTGCAAAGGTATTTTGCCTATGGACGTGTCTAGGGCTGAGGCCATGATGCCACACCATTGACCTTAGGCCGCCTTCGTACACCCTGGTTTCTGCAATATGAAATCCATGGTTGGCCCACTGGCGTCACCATTTTGACTTGCCATTATCCACAGGCTTGGAAGCGAAAGGACATTTCTCTGATCATGCTCCTGACGGCTTTTGATAAGACACATGGAGGTCACAGACTCCAATGGGATCCTTAACGTTACGATCGTTCAGGCAGGGCGTCAGACGATTATTGCCAGCGTGCTAAGGTACCCGGTGCTTTGTGTGCGTCATTATGGAACGTCCTGGGGACTCTGCGCCGAGTCTTGTATGGGTGTATCCATGCACTCAGTACACATGATTGATGAGCCACTGACTCAACTCTTCCTGTCTGATCACTAGCCGTGTGGTCAGCTCACCCGTCGATTACGTCCCACCCCTGTTTTACCTCACAGTCCTATGCCGACACCTTTCTTACTGTGTAAGTCCTAATTCTCCTCCACCTGCTGGCGGAAGTCCCACATCAGACAACAGTCGCACTTCCACAATAGCCACCACATCACGCAAGATCCGGTACTTTCCACCTTCGTCATACAAACGGCCAAATCAAACGTTCCTCGTGAAATGAACTACTACTGCCTGACGTCTCGCAGATGCGTTCCCGTCGCTGACTTCGGTTCCCCACCATCCTTGGTACGACACAAACCTAGTGATCTGTCGCTCGTCTGAAGTGTAGAGAAGTACAATGTACATCTAGTTCACACGAGAGACCCCGCCCCGGATCGCACGTTGTAACACGTCGAAATAGTTCGCGTTGTCGCCCTTGTAGTCCTGGCCTTCACATTTCCAGTCTTCTCCCCCCTTTATCTCCTCCTCCGTCTTCGCACCCGCCGTAGTACCCCGCCTCGTGCGAGTCGTTGTTGTCTTAATAATCGACATTTTCCAACTTGAAGATGTGCCTGGATTGGATGTACCCTTGCCCTCTCTCGACGGTGTAATATTTCTCTTCATCCACCACCTTGGAGCTTATTCGGTTTCACAGTTCGATAACCTAGTTGAAAAAGAAGTCTGTAAGTCTGTCACTGAGGAAAGGACGTGACCACAGCCCACGATCGGTCAAAGTTGATTGTATTGATTGAGGCGACAACAGCCCATTGGGGAGCTTTCCCGTTGATACGAACCTCACCATCAGCTTTTGCGCCATAAATCGCATAGAGAATGTCAATGCCCAATTGACACCGTGACCTCACCGACGAGGGCGCGTTAGGGGACCTGGTCAACCAGGCTTCTTAAATGACAGTGTTGAATCTCAACCTTGGGCTGAAGTAAGTACTGTCGTCCGACGGGTTCCTTTGCAGTTCTCATTGCTCTTCTCTTCTGAAACCCAGGACAATTTAATATTTGAGCTCTAATTTAAACATCTGGTCTGAGCCACATGTGCCCCCGCAGGTCACCCTGCGTCGGGCTGCAATGCTACTTGGAAAGCAGGTAGTAAATTCACACGTAATGACACCGGCGTCCGATTTAACACCGGTCAATGAAGCAGAACTGTCCATATACTGGCCCTTACTGCCCTCCCGTGCTTGCCGGGGTAACGGGACATTTCTGCATAACCACTTTCCAAACGGCGTAACATCCCATCAGATTTCTTGGTATGATATAGCCAGGATAGCAACACAAAGAAGACGGGAACGAGAGAACAATCCACGAATGCTCCAACCCTGAGGAACTCTAACAGCTGAACAGGGAAATCTATTTTTCAGGCTTCGCTACGTGGAACCTTCGAGGGACTCTATGGTCTATGCTGTGTATTAGTGCCAGGTCGGAACGCTCACAAAAGGAAAAACCTAATATCCGCCAGTGTCAATAACTGCGGCCCTACGACCTCCGTGTGCAATTCCCCACCGCAGCTGCACAGTGCGAATATGGCGGAACGGGGATTGTTTACTCAATTTTCAAGGTATAGTGTCCGACCATATCATTTGTCGGCGGCGGGCGAATGGTGAGCGGAGACAGTGCCTCGAATGTTGTCTCTTCGAGGCCGTCGCTAGCTCTTGCCGCCGAGACTGTATTTGACCTTCATCTCCTGCAACAATTGGAAAAAATATCAACCCGTGGGGTCTCCCCACCGGCAGAAGTCAGTCACCTTACGTAGGAAAGGCTCATTTACCATGAACGGCGATTGGAGCCCTTGGCGGTGGATTTTTCGCGGGACCAGGAACTTACTATCTCGTGACTCCATTTGCCCTGTAGAGTGCCGGCCAATGGGTGTATCCGTTTGAGTCTATGGCAAAGACAGGTCAAGATGGATACCAGGGGGCTGTGGAACGGATTAAAGGACTAGGGGGTTATTTGAAAGGTATAAAAACCACCAGGTGTCGGCCAGAACCTACAGAAAAGACAAGGACTCCTTCTCTACTCACAACTCACAATACTTTGCAATGTTCCCCCGCCTCCTTCGCTGTCCTGGCAGCAGCCACGCCCCTCGACGTTCGCCAAAGCCAGTGCAACGGCGGCACCACCTATTGCTGCAACAGTGTGCAAGATGTAAGTTGACTACAAGCAAAAGCGGCCGCGAGGGTCCTTGACTAAAGTGGCATTCTTCAGGCCAGCTCGTCCGGGGTGACCAGCCTCCTGGGGCTCCTGGGCCTGAGCCTTGGTAGTATAACTGGCCAAGTCGGCCTCAACTGTAGTCCCATCACCGCGCTCGGCGTGGGTTCGGGTGCTAGTTGCACGTCGCAGGCCGCATGCTGCACAGGCGACTCATTCGTAAGTCCTACCATTGTCCGACCAATTTCCGTGTATGGCTGATGGTCGATCTTACATAATCTGCAGAACGGTCTCATCAACGTTGGCTGTACCTCTATTAACCTTTCCCTGTAAAATATCGGCATCCGGAATAGGGTTCTGAGCTACGTGGGAACCTGTGTAGAAACCCGAATGTTGATTTTATCGATAAGATACTCGAGCGTAGTTTGCTGGGATGTTGGTATATAGTGCTCGAGATGCGTCCCTTCGAAATCTCTGCGGAAAGCATGAAGCAAAAATCTGTCTAATAGTCGAGAAACTGGCAGAAAATAACTCACTCGAAGGGTAGTTCATGCGAACCAATCGGTGAAGGAACAGGGTAATGAGCAATGTGAAAAGCTCTACCAAATCGCAAAGAGCTTTCTATAGAAGAGTTCTTAGAAAACCTCAGTTTGAAGGTTTGTGGATAGCAAAAGCCACGAAGGCCAGGCTGTTAGGGAACAAGAAGTTACGAAGAGGGTGAACACCCCTGCGCTAATACTAGCTTGTTCACAAGCCATGTAACAAGCAAACCAACGAGGACAGCATGAAAAATACAAACAGAAAAAAGTGACCGATAGGAGAAGAAAGAAAGACCAACTTTAAATACCAGCAGCCGAGTCTAAACATACGTCAAACGATTTCCAACACTTGTACCTGAATGTGCTTGGAGGTGATGTCGGTTCCGAGTCCAGAGATGACAATCTCGTTCTCTGCAGCGACCCTCTCGTACCCTCCATGCATTTGCTGTACAAGAAGTAGCGCGTTGAACGGCTGCCCGAGGCGAGCAATCATCTGTAGCGCCCGGGTATAGTCGTCAACCTGAGGCATGGAGACAGTGTGTAAAGCCACAACTTCGTCAGATCTAGCGTCGCCATCCCAATCCGAGTCAGAGTCAGTATCAGATCGCAAGTCACCTCCCCCGACAACCCCACCACTCGGACCCCGGATATGATGAATCCACGGATGCGCGAAGACGAATTTCTTTGGTTCGTGCAGCGGGAGATCATCTGCCGTCCTGAACTCCACCCTTCCATGCCCTGATACCCTGGCACGATATAGCTTTTCATTGCCACTACGTAGCTCCTGTATATGGAGGCTTCTGACAGAGAAGACGATGCATGGAAGATGTAGATGTTGGGCCACAAACCGGGCGGATGGAAGAAGGTCGATCTGATTATAGATGCTCAGGGCTTCCTGTTGGGACAACTTGCTACGTAACTTTGTGATACGGGTTTCCATCTCTTCCCCTTCGAGTGATGGAAAGTTGTGAGGAGTTTGGCTGTAAACGGAAACAGAAACCGGAAGACAACTGTTGTATGACGATGACTTTCCTGACCACGCAAGCACGGAGACCTCGCCGGAGCGGGTCACGATCTCTTCCAGGAGATGTCCGAGAGCGTTAGCTCCTTCGCCGTACTGAGGCCCAATATTGGACTTGAATATCCCGATCAGAGAGTACGCGACGTCTTCCTCGATCATCGCATTGCGCGTCGAAGCGAGACGAAGTTTCTCGCGCACCCCGAGATCGTCTGGAGAGAACGTAACGACGGTTCTATGGGGAATCTTGATAGCATCTACTAGTTCTTGTAGAATCCCCGGAGATTCTTTGTGGTTTGCGGCAGCGTCGCCAAGGTATGGTTTCCATTCAGAGTCATAGAAACAAACGAGTTTCGGTGCGAGAAGCTCTTGCAAAGTCCATGCTCGTGTCATCCATAAACTACGCCTAAGGTCTCCTGGCTTGGACGGATGCGCTACTCCGGCAAGGAATACGAGCGTGGCTGCCGAATTCGCATACCATGTATACATAGATGTTAGAGATCGATTCAGAGTGGAGCTTGCGGACTTGTCGATACAGCACGTATCTGACCACGCCCAATTGTAGCCAAGTCTACGCGACTCTTTGCAGAAATTGCGCAACTTCTCATTCAGGGGCATGTCAGGGAGTTTCCAAACAGATTTGACCATGTTGACATCCTGGAACGACGGTTCATTCCCCTGCCACGTGTGAGAGAACATGACGTATCCGAAAAACCTTGCAACCACTCGTAGGATCCGTTCGTTGTCCACTTCTTTCGTCATAGATGAAACAAGTTCTTTGAATGTCGGGCTAGCCTTGAAGATACGGATCTGCTCGGGACCGTCACAAAGGGAACCGGTGTTGACATCAATGACGATGAGGGGACAGTTTTTTAGGATCCCACGAACGGCAGGATCAATAGCTGCAATCGTTTCGGAAGGAGAGATGTAGTTCTTGCGTAATTCTGTGTAAGCGTTACTTGCATGTATTAGATTCAAAGAGGATATTCATACCCCTGATTGCAGGGTCACGGGACTGCTCGATCATTTGCAGCATAGACCCGAAAGCATCGATCGCTTCGTCATACCATTTCGCTCCATGAAGCGCGACGTGCTTGGCCTCATAGCCCCAAGGGCTGGAAGGGTCCACTTTCACTGCCTATAGGCTATTGTAAGGAACTGACTCGAACAAGAAAGTATACCATGCACACCTCGTTTGCATCCCGTAGCGCATCTTCCCACAACCCTCTTACGGCTCGAGCTCTGCTCCGCGTGATAAATAGACCGGCGGGACTTGGAGAGCTGAGAGACAACACAGAAGAATACTGTGTTATTATGTCGTCATCTTTAACAGATCCAAAGACTTCATTTCCAACATGCTCAAGCGTCGCAATACATTTTTTGGTAAAATCTGATAACAGAAATGAACATACACGTCGACCAGACTAGGGCTACAAGAAATACCTGCAATCCAATCTGAAGTCGCCTTGCTACGCTGGACTTCCTCGTCTGATGTCCTGATGATGATGAGGAGGATCTCGACGGCTTCAGCTGTACGTCCTTCAGCATAGAGGGTTTCACACAGACGTTGCTGAGCAATAATGTCCAGTCCATTGAAACTCCACCCAAATATCTTTATCAAGGGCTACATTAATAGGTAGCGGTAATAATAACAGAAGACCTACGAGCGATATGGTCACTAGCGGAGGACATTGCTCACGCTTTGGGGCTAAGTTCTTTGCACGCTCTATCAAAGGTATCGCACGTCCGTAACTTCCCATTTTCATATACATAACTCCAAGGACCTACACGATGCATCAGTGGTGATACTTACATGTCTGCATCACACGCGAAACACGTACCTGCGTGTAAAGATAGGTGGCGTCATCATCGTTGTCCTTGTGTGCCCTCGTAGCAAGGTACTCTACGCGCATTATCGCCTCTACTTGATTTCCGGACTCGAACACAAGGATAAACTGATTGGAACGTAGATTAATTGCGAGAACGATCTAGACCACCTCGCGCACCTTCAGCAGTAAAAGAAATCTATTGTCATGCAGTTCACAATCATGAAAGGCAAGGTCAAATGTGCATAGTGCACCCTCTCTGTCGCCCTGGCCGAGTAGAGCGACTGCCATCGCGACATGGCCAATAGGTGATGACTGCACCCGGAGGGACTTGAGGTGCATATGAACAAAAATGTACGTGGAATAGTGAAAAGGTAGACTCGCCTCCTTGACATCGTTAACCGCAAGTGCCAAATATTTCAAACGTGCTCTTATAAGAGCACGATTTGCCAGCAAGTAGTGGCTAGGATTTGAAAGGCCCACGATCTCCGCTGAAAGTAGCATTTCGGTGTGTGTCGGGTCGTCCTGTGTCCACGACTTGAGGGTTTCATCGCTCACTTGTACGAGCGGAAGCTGGGGAACATGGAGCTGTTGACGGATTGAAGCATTATGCAACATAATGATTGTTGGTGACGCGAGTTTAATGAGGGGACGTAGTACACTTACACCATGGTTGAAATACTCAGGGGAAAGGACATCTCTGAGATTGTGAATTGTGATGTTCTTGCCATTTCCACATGCGAGAAACCCCCCGCCCGGTGAGAGAGCGACGGATCTGATCTGTAAGGTGCATGTAATAATGCTACTGATCTGCTTGTGGGACACACAATCCCATAGTGAAACTGATGTGCCTGCAGCACATGCAATAAATCTACCATTGGATGCTATAGATACCTCAGGTTTGTTTTCATGGATCGACCATTCCGAGAACGAAGATTTGGAAACGTCGAAACAAATGATCTTGCCTGTGTTCGCGACGAACAGCTGCTTGCCATCAGAGGACCAAGCCAACGGAATGCGCGACCATGAACCGACTGAACCCTTAGTATCTGAATCGAACAAGATACTGCCATTGTGGGTACTGTAAACACGGAAGCCGTGAGAGTCCGAGGCGGTAGCAAATTGACTGCCATCTGGGGAGAACTTGACACCAAAGGCCCGTGTGTGTGGGAGGACTGGAAGGAGTTGGATACCGGAAGCGATACTGAATATCCGGGCGTTGCCATAGTCCCCGGAGGCGATTTTAGTACTGTCGCTCGAGACGTCGATCCCCGATACCCAGTTGCTGTGTTTGGTGAGCTCGTGCACTTTTTCATGAGTGACCGCATTCCAGACGATCGCATTGCCTCCGCGGTCTCCAGACACCAACCACTGGCCATCCTTGGAAACGGCAACAGAGTCGACAACACTGCTGCCCGCTTGCATGGTTGGACCCTGTTGCTGTCCGTCTTCAATCTTCCATCGACGAATTTCACCGTTGGCATATCCTCCTACGACATGACTGTCGTCCGCAAAGTTGATTGCCCATACATCACTCTGGGATGTAATTTCGATCTGTTTCTCATCTTAACCGCCACAGCGAAATGTTAGTAGGGATGCCTCAACCTCTCTCACTGCTGGTACGCACCCGTCGTCATCACTGGCAAACCCACCAACAAAGCTTGTCTTGGATTTGGGGAGGGAAAGAACGATGCATCATAGACTTACTCACGGCACTCAATATATAGCTCACACGTTCCTCAAGCTACATCTCGATCTGAGTCAGTTCACACCATCAGAGTCGCATCGTGTTCTTCATGATCAAGAAATCGATGACGATTTGGCGGTGCAGGTCTGAGATCTACAAGATCCGGTGCTTTCGACTGCGTGAGGTGATGCATATAAGGGTAAGAGCTGGTGGAAACGTGTCGAAGGAAGATGTGGTGACGTATTGAGATGTCCACAATCATCCAATCCCAGAAAACTATCCAGCGCGTGTATCAATGCCCTCTACCACGCACCCAGTCCTAACACTGTCTTTGGGTTCCACGCTCGCCGATATCCTCAAACCTTCTTTGTAGGATCGAATCCTGCCAACAACGCCAAAGCCTCACGCAATGATAAGACACATGTGGGTCGCACCTATTCACTGTCCATCACCAGGCTCATCAACGCGTGCATCACCCCAACGAGATGGGAGAGGCAGAATATGATATGACAGACGGTCATATCGTCATCTACAAACATTCCATACACTTATGCGCGCATCAGTTCGAGTGCTTCGACACCTCGCAGTTCGATGCGAGCGGATCACGCGAAGTAACATTCCTCTTCATCGCTTGTAAGTCTTGGCTTTTCAGGCTATCTAATCCAGATTCAGGGTGTATGCCCATTCCGACTCGGTTGAATACACTTCACAAGTCGAGGACTCCCCGTTCCTTTACTCGCAGAGGTATTCATCATGCACTCCCGACGTCGTGGTGTATGTTGTTCAGTTTAAGTAGGGAGATCACCGGGCGACGAATGTCTTCCTAACGGTGGACCCGCCACGGCAGCTGGTGAGTGTCCTACGGCTTGCGAGGGACCACGAGAATTGTCGTCGCCGTCTGGCTTCACCTGATGATGGCCCGGGATATAACTACGTATTATCCTAGGACGATGATGACCATAGTAAGCTCACCTTACCAGGACGAAGTCGTACAAAAGTAAGAAAACCGACGGCAACGAAATCGTCCACCTTTAGTTGTACTTTACAGGCTTACAGCGTTCTTGCACTTCGCCTTCCGTGAATTTGAACAAGGATCAACAAAGCACGACTGCTGTACTAGTCCTTGCAAAGGTATCTCCTCGTATCGGAGGTGCGATATGGCGTACATTTCTACATAAGTAGTCTCCAATTTCTACGACTAGCTGAGATAGGAACATAAACAAAACGGGAGCGAGAAAATGATGTACAAATTCCCTCCAGATACTGAAGAGCTCTAGATGGTGAGCAGCGAATCGCTTCGACTACAGGGAACTTCCGACAGACTCGATGGTCTATATAGTACATCAGCAGGTGGACCTAAATTTATTCGAGTGCTCGACACTCACAAAAGGGGAAGCCGTAGGACCGTCAAGGACAGATAATTCTTCCGGAGTGAATGGGAGTCGAGGGATAAGCAATGTTCTGACAGGAGCTAGAAGGAGAATAACAAGAGGGAATGCAATTGCCGCTGACAAACAAACATGTCAGTAATGTCGGCTCCAAAGGCCACACCTGAATGTAATGGCAAAAAAAGAGTGCACAACTCATCGACTGTCTGCGTAATAGCAAACGCTGCATCAAATCCGACAAGCTGGATTCCAACGAACAGTAGTAGGCGTGACGTGCGGACTTTGCGCAATGACTCGTCGGCAGGTGCGAACGACTTGTCGCGCACTAGATATAGTAATTTGAGCGTGATCCCGTTGCCCCGAAGCGCGTCCGCGCCCATGAACCAACTTTGTTGCCGACCGTTAGTGTCTTCTTGAAAAGCAAGGCTTCAAGATACAATTCACTTACAAGGGGCCTGCCATGACACTTGGCATATCAATCTTTAGTAGAGATGCGTTCCAAACATTTGAGGACTTTCCAGACGGCGCAAGCATCCCATCAGACTCCTTGGTATGATCTAGCTAGGATGGCAACACAAAGAGGACGGGAATGAGAGAGTGATCCATGAACACTCCAACCCTGAGGAACTCTAACAGCTGAACAGGGATATCGGTTTTTCAACTTCGCTACAGAGAACCTTCCAGGGAGTCTATGGTCTATCGGGACGCTCACAAAAGGAAAAACCTCATATCCGCCAGTGTCAATAACTGCAGCCTTACGACCTTCGTCTGCAATTCTCCACCGCAGCTGCACAGCGCGTAAGGAGTCCAGGCTAACCATATGGCAGAACGGAGATGGTTTACCCACTTTTCAAGTTAGTATTCGAGCACATCATTTGTCGGCGGCGGGCGAACGGTGCGCGGAGACAGTGTCTCGAATCTTGTCTCTCCGAGGCCGTCGCTAGCTCTTGTCGCCGAGACATAATTGACCTTCATTTCCTGCAAAAATTGGAAAAATATCAACCCGTGGGGTCTCCCCAGGAGCCAGTCATCTTACGTAGGAAAGGGTCATTTGTCGTGAACGGCGACTGGAGCCCTTGGCCGTGGACATTTTCGCGGGATCAGAAACTTACTATCTCGTGACTCCATTTGCCCTGCCGAGTGCCAGTAAATTATGTATCTGTTGGAGGCAATGGCAAAGACAGGTCAAGATGGATACCAGGGGGCGGCGGAATAGATTAAAGGACTTGAAAGATATAAAAACCGCCAAGTGTCGGCCAGAGTCTACAGAAAAGACAAGGTTCCCCCGCCTCGCAGCAGCCATCACCGCCTCCTTCGCCGTCCTGGCAGCAGCCACTCCTCTCGACGTTCGCCAAAGCCAGTGCAACGGCGGCACCACCTATTGCTGCAACAGTGTGCAAGATGTAAGTTGACTACAAGCAAAAGCGGCCGCGAGGCCCTTGACTAAGGTGGCATTCCTCAGGCCAACTCGTCCGGGGTAACCAGCCTCCTGGGGCTCCTGGGCCTGAGCCTTGGTAGTATAACCGGCCAAGTTGGCCTCAGCTGTAGTCCCATCACCGCACTCGGCGTGGGCTCGGGTGCTAGTTGCACATCACAGGCCGCATGCTGCACGGGCGACTCATTCGTAAGTCCTACCATTGTCCGACCAGTTTCCGTGTATGGCTGATGGTCGATCTTACATAATCTGCAGAACGGTCTCATCAACGTTGGCTGTACCTCTATTAACCTTTCCCTGTAAAATATCGGCATCCGGAATAGAGTTCTGAGCTACGTGGGAACCTGTGTAGAAACCCGAATGTTGATTTTATCGATAAGATACTCGAGCGTAGTTTGCTGGGATGTTGGTATATAGTGCTCGAGATGCGTCCCTTCGAAATCTCTACGGAAAGCATGAAGCGAAAATCTGTCTAATAGTCGAGAAACTGGCAGAAAATAACTCACTCGAAGGGTCGTTCATGCGAGCCAATCGGTGAAGGAACAAGATAATGAGCAACGTGAAAAGCTCTACCAAATCGCAAAGAGCTTTCTATAGAAGAGTTCTTGGATAACCTCAGTTTGAAGGTCTTGTGGATAGCAAAAGCCACGGAGCCCAGGTTGTCAGGGAACGAGAAGTTACGGAGAGGGTGAACACCCCTGTACTAATACTAGCTTGCTCACAAGCCATGTAACAAGCAAACCAACGAGGACAGCATGAAAAATACGAACAGAAAAAAGTGACCAATAGGAGAAGAAAGACAGACCAACTTTAAATACCAGCAGCCGAGTCTAAACATACGTCAAATGATTTCCAACACTTGTACCTGAATGTGCTTGGAGGTGATGTCGGTTCCGAGTCCAGAGATGACAATCTCGTTCTCTGCAGCAACTCTCTTGTACTCTCCATGCATTTGCTGTGCGAGAAGTAGCGCGTTGAACGGCTGCCCGAGGCGAGCAATCATCTGTAGCGCCCGGGTATAGTCGTCAACCTGAGGCATGGAGACAGTATGTAAAGCCACAACTTCGTCAGATCTAGCGTCGCCATCCCAATCCGAGTCAGAGTCGGTATCAGACAGCGAGTCACCTTCTGCGACAACCTCACCACTCGGACCCTGGATACGATGAATCCACGGATGCGCGAAGACGAATTTCTTTGGTTCGTGCAGCGGGAGATCATCTGCCGTCCTGAACTCTACTCTTCCAAGCCCTGATACCTTGGCGCGATATAGCTTTTCGTCGCCACTACGTAGCGCCTGTATTCGGAGGCGCCTGACAGAGAAGACGACGCATGGAAGATGTAGACGTTGGGTCGCGAAACGGGCGGGTGGAAGAAGGTTAATCTGATTATAGATGCTCAGGGCTTCCTGCTGGGACAACTTGCCACGTAACTTTGTGATGCAGGTCTCCATCTCTTCCCCTTCGAGTGACGGAAGGTTGTGAGGAGTTTGACTGTAAACGGAAAGGGAAGCTGGGAGACAGCTGTTGTATGACGATGACTTTCCTGACCACGCAAGCACGGAGACCTCGCCGGAGCGGGTCACGATCTCTTCCAGGAGATGTCCGAGAGCGTTAGCTCCTTCGCCGTACTGAGGCCTAATATTGGACTTGAATATCCCGATCAGAGAGTACGCGACGTCTTCCTCGATCATCGCATTGCGCGTCGAAGCGAGACGAAGTTTCTCGCGCACCCCGAGATCGTCTGGGGAGAACGTGACGATGGTTCCGCGGGGAATCATAATAGCATCTACTAGTTCTTGTAGAATCGCCGGAGATTCTTTGTGGTTCACGACAGCGTCGCCAAGGTATGGCTTCCATTCAGAGTCATAGAAAAAGACGAATTTTGGTGCGAGAAGCTCTTGCAAAGTCCATGCTCGTGCCATCCATAAACTACGTCTAAGGTCTCCGGGCTTGGATGGGTGAGCTACGCCGGCAAGGAATACGAGCGTGGCTGCCGAGTTCGCATACCATGTATACATTGATGTAAGAGATTGATTGAGGATGGAGTTCGTGGACTTGTCGATACAACACGTATCCGACCATGCCCAGTTATAACCAAGTCTGCGCGTCTCCTTGCAGAAATTGCGCAACTTTTCATTGAGGGACGTGTAGGGAAGGTTCCACACGGATTTTTCAACGTTGACATCCTGAAATAATGGCTCGTTCCCCTGCCATACGTGCGAGAACATGACGTATCCGAAAAATCTTGTAACCAAGCGTAGGATCCGCTCGTTATCTACTTGTTTAGTCATGGACGAAACAAGCTCTTTGAACGCTGCATCGGCCATAAAGATACGCATCCGCTCAGGACCATCGCAAAGGCGACCAGTAGTGACATCGATGACGACGAAGGGACAACTTTTGAGGATCTCGCGAACGATACGATGGATAGCCGCAATCGCTTCAGAAGGAGAAATGTAGTTCTTGCGCAGTTCTGCGAAACAGTCATTTGGGAATATTAGCTTCATACGGGAGATACATACGCCTGATTGCAGGGTCAGGAGACTTTTCGATCGCTTGCAGCATAGACTTGAAAGCATCAATCGCTTCGTCATACCATTTCGCTCCATGAAGTGCTTCGTGTCTGGCTTCATAGCCCCAAGGATTGGAGGGGTCCGCTTTCACTGCCTATATCACAATTGTAGGGAACTGACTCGTACAAGAAGGATACTATGCATACCTCGTTCGCGTCCTGCAGTGCATCCTCCCACAATCCTTTTGCTGCTCGAGCCTTGCTCCGCATGATATGGAGACCTGTGGGACTTGGAGAACTGAGCGACAATGCAGCCGAGGACAGTTTTATTGTTTCGTCATATTTTGCAGACCGGAAGCCTTCATCGCCAACGTGCTCCAGTGTGGTAGTGCATTTTTCGGTGAAATCTGACGACGGACATGAATATGCACGTCAACCAGACTGGCAGCGAAAAGACAGACCCGTGATCCAGTTCGCAATTGCCTCGCTCCCCTGCCTCTCTTCGTTTGATGTCCTGATGATATTGAGGAGAATGTCCACGGCTTCGGCGGTACGTTCTTCAGCATAGAGGGATTCACATAGACACTGCTGAGCAGCGATGTCCAGTCCACCGAAACTCCACCCAAATATCTTCATGGAGGGTTAGATTAATAGGAAGTGGTAGTGACTGCAAAAGACCTACCAGTGTGATCGCCACTAGCAGAGAACATTGTTTGTTCTTTGGGGCTAGATCCGTCGCAAACCCGATCAATGGCATCGCATGTCCGTAATTTCCCGTCCTCATGTACATAACTCCAAGGACCTGCGCAATGTATCAGCGGTGATACCTAAATGTCAGCATAACGCAAAGCACGTGCTTGAGTGTAAAGATAGGGGACTTCATCGTCACTCTCATTGTTTGCGCTCCTAGCAAGGCACTCAACACGTCTTATCGCCTCTTCTTGATTTCCGGATTCGAACACAAGGATAGACTGAACGGGGCGTGAATTAATTGTGAGGAGGAAGTAGATGACGCTGCACACCTTCAGAAGTAAGAGAAATTTGTTTTCGCGCGGCTCACAATCAAGAAAGGCAAGGTCGAATGCGCATAGTGCACCCTCTCGATCGCCTTGACCAAGTAGAACTACCGCCATTGCGATATAGCCAATAGGCGATGAGTGAACCCGAAGGGACTTGAGGTGCATGTGAGCAAAAATCTACGTGGCCCAGTGAGAAAGCAGACTCGCCTCCTTCGCGTCTTCAATCGCAAGTGCCAAATATTTCAATCGCGCTCTTATAAGAGCGCGGCTTGCTAGCAGGTAGTGACTAGGACGTGAAGCGCTCGCAATCTCCTCTGAAAGTAGCATTTCGGTGTTGGTCGGGTCGTCCTGTACCCATGACTTGAGGGTCTCATCACTCACTTGTACGAGCGGAAGCTGAGGAGCATGGAGTTGTTGACGGATTAAAGCGTTATACAGCATAATGATTGTTAGCAATGCGAGCTTCATGCATCACGAGTGGATGTTCACTTACATTACGGTCGAAATACTTAGGGGGAAGGGCATCCTTGAGATTGTGAATTGTAATATTCTGGCCATTTCCACATGCAAGATACCTCCCACTTGGTGAGAGAGCGATGCATCTGATCTCTGAGGTGTATGTGATGATGCTACCGAAGTGCTTGTGGGACACACAATCCCATAGGGAAACCGATGACCCTGCGGCACACGCAATGAATCTGCCGTTGGATGCCACATATAACAGAGATTGGTTTTCATGGATCGACCATTCCGAAGATAATAACTTGGAAAAGTCGAAACAAATGACTTTGCCTTTGTTCGCGACGAACAACAGCTGGCCGTCAGACGACCAGGCCAAACGACTTCTCGACCATGGACCGGTTGAGCCGTTTTGACCTGAGTCGAACAAGATACCGCCATCGTGCGTACTGTAGACGCGGAAACCTTGAGTCTCTGAGAAGGTAGCAAATCGACTGCCGTCTGGGGAGAACTTGACACCAGCAACATGTTGGTGTGAGAGGGGAGGCAGGAGACGGGTACCGGAAGCAATGCTGAATATTTTGGTATTGAACCAGTCCACAGCGGCAAATTTAGTACCGTCGCTCGAGATATCGACCCCCAATATCCAGACGGTATATTCTGTGACCTCGCGCACTTTTTTGTGAGTGACGGCATTCCAGACGATCACCTTGTTTCCGCGGTCTCCGGACACCAACCACTGGCCATCCTGAGAAACGGCAACAGACTCCACAAGGCCACTCGCTTGCATGGTCGGACCCTGTTGCTGCCCGTCCGAAATCTTCCATCGACGAATATCACCGTTGGAATGTCCTCCTACGACCTGACTTTCCTCCGCAAAGGCAACTGCGTGTACATCACTCTGAGATACAATTTCGATTCGTTTTGCATCTTAACCACCACAGTAAACTGTCAGTAGAGCTGCCTCAGCCTCAGACTCTGGTACGCACCCATCGTCATCGCTGGCAAACCCGCCAACACACCTTATCTTGGAGTTTGGAGGGGAAAAGAACGATGTATCGTAGACTTACTCATGGCACCCAATACATAGCCCACACGTTCCTCAAGTTGCATGTCGGTATGAGTCAGTTCACACCATCAGAGTCACACCGTGAGTTCTTCATGATCAAGGAATCAATGAAGATTTGGCGGTGCAGGTCTGAGCTCCACAACATCCGGTGTTTTCGACTGCATGAGGTGATGCATAGGGTAAGGGCTGGTGGAAACGTGTCGAAGGAAGATGCGGTGACGTATTGGGATATCTACAATCATCCAATCTCAGAAAATTATCGAGCACATGTATCAATGCCCTCTACCCTGCACTCAGTCCTAACACCATCTTTAGGTTCCACGCTCGCCGATACCCTCAAACCTTCTTCGTAGAATCGAATCCTGCCAACAACGCCAAAGCCTCACGCAATGATAAGACACACGTGGGTCGCACCTCTTCACTGTCCATCACCAGGCCCATGAACGCGTGCATCACCCTAATGAGACGGGAGAGGTGAAATCTGATACGACAGACGGTCTTATCGTCATTGGCGAACATCCCATCCATTTATATGCGCATCAGTTCGAGTGCTTCGACGCCTCGCAGTTCGATGCGAACGGATCACGCGAAGTAGCAGTAGCATTCCTCTTCGTCACTTGTAAGTCTTGGCTTTTCGGGCTATCTAATCCAGACCTAGACTGCACGCCCATTCCGACTCGGTTGAATACACTTCACAAGTCGAGGACTCCCCGTTCCTTTACTCGCAAAGGTACCCATCATATACTCCCGACGTCGTGGTGTATGTTGTTCAGTTTAAGTAGGGAGATCACTGGGCGACGAAAGTCTTCCTAACGGTGGACCCGCCACGGTGGCTGGTGAGTGTCCTACGGCTTGCGGGGGACGGCTAGAATTGTCGTCGCCATCTGGCTTCACCTGATGATGCCGCCGGGATATGACTATGTATTGTCCTAGGACGATGACGACCGTAGCAAGTTCACCTTGCTGGAGCGAGATTGTGCGAAAGTTCTCGTTGCCGGAGGGAAAGAAAACCGACGGCAATGAAACCGTCCACCTTTAGTTGTATTTCGCAGGCTCACAGCGTTCTTGCGCTTGGCCTTTCGTGAATCTGAACACAGATCAACAAAGCACGACTGCTGCACTAGCCCTTGCAGAAGGTATCTCCTCGTATCGGAGGTGTGATACGGCATACATTTCTACATAAGCAGTCTCTAATTTCTACTAGTTGAGATAGGAACGTAAACAGAACGGGAGCGAGAAAGTGATATACAAATTCCCACCAGATACCGAAGAGCTCTAGCCGGTGAGCAGGGAATCGCTTCGACTACAGGGAGCCTCCGACAGACTCCATGGTCTGCATAGTGCATCAGCAGATTGACCTAGATTTATTCGAGTGCTCGACACTCACAAAAGGGGAAGCCGTAGGACCGTCAAGGATAGACAATTCTTCCGGAGTGAATGGGAGTCGAGGGATAAGCAATGTTCTGACGGGAACTAGGAGAAGAATAACAACGGGGAATGCAATTGCCGCTGACAAACAAACATGTCAATAACGTCAGCCCAAAAGGCCGTACCTGAATGCACATGGCCAAAAAAAGTAGTGCACAACTCACCGACAGTCTGCGTAACAGCAAACGTCACACCAAATCCGACGAGCTGGATTCCAACGAACAGTAATAGGCGTGACGTGCGCACTTTGCGCAATGGCTCGTCGGCAGATGTGAGCGACTTGTCGCGCATAAGATATAGTAATTTGAGCGTGATACCGTTGCCTTGAAGTGCGTCCGCGCCCATGAACCAACTTTGTCGTCGGACGTTAGTGTCTCCTTGGTTAGCAGGGCTTCAAAATACAATGCACTTACAAGAGGCCCGCTATAACACCTGGCGTATCAATCTTTAGTGGAGATGCGTTCCCAACATTCGAGGACCGACTCACCCCGAGGTATGAGACCCAGAACGTGTAGTAGCGGACCGGTTAGTAGAACAAGGCACAATACACCCTGAACAAGATTCGAGACACGTTGTTCTACAACTGCAACAGGAATCTCTTTCGGACGAGGGACGTCATACGAAGAAACTTCATATTCCGTCTTTTCTATATGAGGAGTCACGGATGAGTCCACCCGGCTAGTCGAAGCCCCATTCTCTTCGCTATTACGGGGTGGGTAACCCATGACCAGCAGGGAGGTAGTGTGGATAGGCGCTTGGGGGATCAATCCATTAGGCGCAGGAACGCCGATGAGTCCAGCGAGGAATGTGGTGATGCCAAGAAGGAAAAAGTCATAATGAAATCCCGGTGGCTTACGAAGCGGGAATTGAGAACCCTGAGCCATCAGCGACTTTACAAAATCAACGTCAGGTTTTCTCGACGGTAAACGCCTGCCTGTCCACTGACCGAAACATTATGATCGAAAAAGAACAATATCCACAGGATAATTCCGAATGGCAACGCAATACCAGTCCACTTCCCATCAAGCTCCCAAAACTTGACGAGCCACGATCTCCCATTTGCAGCCTGAAACGCGCCACCAACTGGTAGGGTAAGCACGTTCGCAGAGTGGAGGCGACCCCAATAGGCCATTGCAGATGTCGCCACCAGCGAGATTGGCATACCATAATCCGCGATGAATTGTCGGACGACGCGATGAAAATATGGCTTCTCGGAGAGTTTTTGGAATATGAAGGAGGTTACTACCATGAGAATGGCGAGAATTATTGCAACTGCAGCACTGACGAATCCGCCCGTGAACTGTCTGGTGATCACCTGAACGCCATATTGCACGTATATCCACGAGACGTAGAAGCCGAAGGTGTCACAAGAGAATAGGGTGACATATTTCAGAAAGTTGCACCCTTCACAGGATGGTTAGCTGACTCCGGGGTACAAATCGTCAGACACACAGTTCAATATAGCCGTAATCCAGTGAATGACAGCAGCCCATAGATACACCCATCCAATAAAGTGCAGGTAGTTGGGGGGGTTGGACTGTATCATGAGGATGTTGTAAATAGTCTTGTTAAAGACCGTGATGGGACCTATACATAGATCTGAATAATGATGACATTATGGCTCAGAAGCTGCGCACCAGTAACACCAGCGATGGTCAGGGGCTGCGCTCCAAACACGGAAAAAATAAAGGCAGCCATGAAAGTGGAAACGAGGACCTCTGAAATACCGTATTGATTTGTTGTCTCAATTAGATCTAGAGAGAACGCAATTCCAGGAAGTACGCTGATCAAATTGGTGTTTTATCTTGACGATTGACATTGTTAAAGAAGTAGACGTACTTTGCACAGAAAATCAGTGCTATTGCAGGGACTACACGGTAATTCCAAGCATCTGTCCAGTCACTGAGATACCACGGTAGGCGGGCTTTGATGTCTTTGATGACGCCTGCTCCAAGGAACCTGACGAACGCTAAACGAGAGTGAATCGTCTGTGGTACATCATGGAGTGTCGTCGATGCACTAGTTGATGGTAGGTCCGGAGGATTTGTTGACCGCTCGAAAGGTGTGCGAGGAGCCTGCAAGGAGCTGGCAGTGCTCGAGGAGCTAAGAAACTGAGACTCGTTCTGCATTTGACAGAGGGTCAGACAGCTCGAAGACGTATTAATATTAGAGGGTCAAGCTCGATCGTCGCTGTAAAATTATTGTAATGAGTTGGCTAGAGAATGTGGATGGACGATTTTCCGGAAGTGCAGCGACTTTGTAAACAAGGCGATTACGTGAGTAGGGTTGTTCATGGGGGGTCGGGGAATGAACCCCGTGCCCCGCACCCTGGGGCAGCGGGTACGGGTTGAACTATTGATACTGACCCGTTCGACCCGCGGTGTGGTATAAACCCGAGGGTAGTGTAATCAAGAAGTGACTTTCTACGTCGTCGAGAGGTTGAACTCGCTACCTAAGAACCGCCACTTTGACGGATAGTTCGGCGAAGGAAAGAAACGGACAAAAGCTGTAGACCGCGCGAATACCATCTTTTTTTGTGCCTCTACGTATAAAATACTCAACATTCGATTAGTTACAACTAGGGTGACTTACCCACTCTGTCTCGGGTCCTCCTCGACTCTTGGTGTGTCTGATGCAGGTCGGAGTTCTTGGGAAGGCAGCATCCCCATCACCCTTATTGGTGGTACTGACATCGTCAGCGCGATCTAACTTGGTGAGCGGGTCGGGCTCTGTGCAGGCAACAAGAATGATTAGATGTGTGTGTCAGGAAGGGGTCCCGACAGCTTTGATCTTTTGCAAAGAAGGATGGGGACCGGTGATAGTCACACGTCTCAGCCCAGTCATGATAGAGGTTTCAGACTGCAGGATGGTGACAAACACAACCTAGCTAGTCGTACTTGACACTGACGAGCTCAGCGCCTCCTTCTGCCTCCGTGCCGACAAGTAATGATACTATCATTGATAATGATTTCAGGAACGTCTTATTCCAAAAAAGGAAATTGACGCGCGCCGAGTTTTTTGGCCCGTGCCCTGACCACATTTTCATTCATTCAGCCGTGACCGCCTTCAAGCTTCAAGGTAGGGACCCCACTCGGTCACCCCTACGTCTGCTAATCGACGGAGTCTCGCAGCCTTCTGGCACTTATCACCTTCATTGACTTAACTCAACGCGGCTGGACCGGATTTCAACACTTACCCAGTCAGACAGCTGCTGGCCATACACACGTTCACAAGCGAATGGCTGCATGCTATCTGAACTTTCCTTAATTTGATTTCACTCTGCAGCAGCCAGCAATCACAGTGGCGAGGCATCTTATCCGGTCATTACCCCTCCTCACTTCACATAAGTCGTTGCATTCCTTCCAATCCATCATTCCCCCATGTCATCCCCATCCCTTCAGACCCCTCGTCGTCGCCAGACAAAACGTAGATTGGGACCTGCCAGCCGTGACTCGAATGCCATCCGAGCATCAGTGCTCCAGACGGCGTTAGAGCTCGGAATCGCCCAGAACCCACTCGTAGCAAACTGGATTTTCAACAGCCCATTGGAAGAGGAGCCGGAGGATCTGCAACTAGAGTCGTCCAACAATCCTGAGCCGGAGCCAGAGATCGTCGAGGTGCGCCCACTTTGACTACCAAGTCCGTCGACTGACCTGTTGTACAAACCTCATCAGTCGATTACTCCAGCTTTGAGTCACAGCTCAAACACGGCTTCAGATGATTCGCCTGTCCTCGGTTCCCCCAAGAAAAACATTGTGGGTGAAAACGTGCCTAGCCTGCAGGTTCACATGCACAAACCGAGCATTACCGAACCACCACACGTGCATTTCGATGATTTCCCTTCTGAAAACTTGTGGCTCTCCTTGCCTCCCGATATTGCGTCATCTTACTCGAAGCGACAGAACAGCGGGAACCTAGTGGTCAAGCGGCCCCAGGAGTCACAACGTGCCTCCAGCCATGAAGTCACCCTGAGCCATACCCGTTACAGCGACAGCCCCAGTCCAGGTCCTGTGGAAACAGGGTATTCTAGCGAAGGCCAATATCTTTCGAAAGGGAAGAGTTCCAAAGAACGGGGGAAAGATAAGTCTGACAAAAAACGGATCAAGAAGTGGATCAAACCCGCAGCCCTTGACCTCAGCAAAGGTGACGATCGAGACGGTGATTATACCTCGGACGGAGGGTATCTCTCTGCCTCATCAAACAAATCGCAAGGGAAGTCTCCTGGTAAAGGCAAATCTCGGGCCATGGCCTTCTTTCGAAGGCGGTCAAAGAAGACTCAAAAAGAGAGCGAGGATGAAGACGAAGATGAGATTCCTCCAGTTCCCGCACTTCCCGTTTTCCCTAAGCCTTCGAGTCCCAAGCCTCTTGCTCGGAATGGCGCTGCACCGTCATCCCCCACGAGGTCTGGCTTCACTCCGCTGACCCTGAATCTCTCGAGTCCACCTGCTTCTCCAAGGCGGGCATCCAGTATGAGCCCGCCACCTAATCGTAAGGGGCCTGCGTCTTCTGGAATTCCCTCGAAGTCTGCCCTGGCGTCAGTACCACCTGCACTCAATCTCCGTCCGTGCGATGTATCCACTCCCGCTCTTTCGGCACCGAACACGCCACTTTCACCATCTTTCGTCCCAACTTCCCCTCCGCAAGGACCTGTAACAACTTCTAAACCCAACATTATTGGTTCTCGACATCATCTTGCCACCCGTCCACCTGCCCCTCCTCCTAGCCAGCCCCTCCCGCAGCCGCCACCATCACCCTTACCTTCAACCCCGTCACGAAGAGTTCTCAACCCGTCTCCGGTTCCGCCGTCACCGACAGTGGCAGCAATGCGGGCTCCGTCGCGGCCGGTTCCGCCATTGCCTGTGCCTCGGTCAGCTAATCCAATAAATCTTCCTTTGGCTCCTGTGCGGCCATTAAATCCTAGGAAAGGTACAAATTCGCTGTCTCGGTCGCTTTCTCCTCAGCCCGATCCACCGGTACCTCTTTCGCAAGTTCTTGCAGGAGGGGATAGCGGTGGTAGTGCCCACGTTGGCCAGCTGGGTGAAGAGGTCCCCAATGCTAATCTATTAGCTCGGCCTTCGCGCTCCACGATGGTGAGACAACACTCAGCGCCAGCAGTTACACACATTTCTGGGGCACCAGCTGCACTCCACCGCAGGCTGTACGGTCAGCAGGGCGGTCCACTATCGCCGCCTCGGCCCCCGCCAGATGCACCCCTTCCACCTGCTCCTAGTCCTGCATCTTTGGCAGCGGGTAATCGGCTTCTGGCGGGCTTTACTTCCAAATTCCATGAACACTTTTCATCGGTATCTTCCACTTCGCACAGTTTGCCCGCTCCGTCGTCCACGTCCACGTCCCGAACTCCAAGTCGTTCAGGATCTTCGTCCGGTCCATCAGTGCATTCATCTTACACGTCGTCTTCCGAACAACAGGCTCCCAGCCAGCAATATGTACGCAATGCTCGGACCAGTACTACCACAACAACCACGGGGACGGCTACTGATGAGTCGCAGCCCGAGACAGGATCACAGTTGAGCTACGGCGAACCTGTGTCGCAGCCAATCAGACTTGTTTCGCGCTTCTCAGATGCCAGTCTGAATATGTGTGCGCGGCTTGGCCGGGACAGTATGGGTGACGAGGCAGACGTTGATGCGGACGTTGAAGGGTCTGGCAGAGACGGTACCGAGGCGGACGTGGACGACGATGCGTCCTTCTACCCGTCTGATGAGAAGACCGCTGGTCGCCGGACAATGTATCTCGTTGAGAACGGACAGGCAGATGAAGACGAAGTCGTTATTGCTGGGAGTCATTACTGGGGTGGTGAGCCGTATCCGCCTCTGCCTACCCGACCTGGGCCTGGATATTTCTGACTTTCTTTCCCCGTGTTTGACCCACGCCTTCATTCTTAGCATAATAACTCTTCATACTGCGATTTGCGCATGCTAATTTATCCTGTCTATATATCAAGGTTTCTTGGAGTGCACGCATTTTCTTGGCCGATTTTATATATATTATTCTCGGGTCTGCAGTTATTTGTGCCCCTCTGCTCATGCTTTCCTTATGTACCGTTCGTTTTGATTTCCCAAATGCTCTCATTCTGCCACCGTCATCCGGGATTGCCTGCGGTTCTCTCATCTTGATTTATAGATTGGATGCGCGATTGGATGCGCTGTCCGCCCTGGGAAGTACGGTGGTCCTTTATGCTCTCCAAGTGACCAGACCTGAAGCTGCTCGATGCAGTACGTAGCATGTACTTACGCCGTACGGTTAATATATCATCGACGCAAATAGTGACCCCTGAATCCGAGCTTCCGTTATGTACAGTATTAAGCTCACTTCCAGCGGCACTAACGTTGATATATTGTTAGTACTCCACCCTTTATTTCCGATGGAATCCATTGACTGGACTGTTCTGTTGAAAGTGATGGAGAAAGACCATGATGGATTCACTAACTTGAATTCCACAGGACTTCTTTCTTGACCAGAGCTCACTGTCCTGTGGAGAGCCCATGACAGGGTCGGCTATACAGCCTCTTAACGTCGATGCTGACGATGAACTATTATTATAAATGTAGTGACGACACAACACCTCACAGATATACTACAACACCGCACAGTCTGGTACTCAGTACAATGGTCCACACTCTACCATGTACAGTATGAACAGATCTAAAGACAAGGCGAGAGGCAGCTGCTTGCTGAAGTAGCAATCAATACCCAGGAGCCGTCGCTCCATAATTTTGCTTGGGTCCGGGATCGGCGACAGGTGCAGTAGTGCCAGATCCAACAGGTTCGTACCGTCCACTTCCGACATCTGATTGTCGAGATCACCATGAGTGTTCATCGAAAACACGAAAACAAACTTTTGACGTACAATGGTACTGTCCACTTCCGTATCTCTCCTCGGCTTTTGCCCTCTTGTATATGAGCCAGAACGCGTGCTGGATTGTCAAGTCAGTATTATTTGCTTTTCACCAGGTAGGATGCAAGTAGCACGTACGATGTGTCCGGGGATATATCCCAAGCTGCATTAAAGATACCATCAGGTGAGCTGCCAAGAGCGGAAGAGAGAACCACGCACATTGTCAACAATACATTAATGAGAAGGTCGCAGCTGCATCCCGATATGAATGCTACTGCTGCAGGTGGAAAGATGATAGCGACCTAATATGAATGGGGGCGTTAGCGTCACCTTCAGTCAAATGAACATATGGGTCACTGAGAACCACACTTACGATGACGAGAACGACAGTCGAGGCACGCATTGTGAGGTAGGAATCCAAATTATATTTTCTGGGAGCCAGCTCTTTTACCATGCACTGTCTTGGGCGAGACAACGTACCTTTATCTCTCAAGCACGAAATGAGAGGGAGAGTTGCAATGAGAATCCACACAGGGCACTCGTCCTGTTAAGAGGGATGGCGCTGCCGGAAGCACCACAGCATACTGCGTAATTCTGGAGTCTTGAGGTCACAGGACCCACGCTCAGTGCCCACGCCCTACTAATATGACATCATCCTCTGCTTGCCATTGCTGCGATGTTGGGAAGAGCCGGGTACACGCGTGCATGCTCAGCACAATCATTGATCAAATTCAAACTTACATCCAGAAACACGGCAGAGTGAAGCAAACGACGAGAGAAGGAAGTTTACGGTAAGGGCATGTACATTATGTAAGTGAGGACCAGAGGGCAAGGAGATAATGAAGAAAACCGTAATGGACCCAGGGACCAAACAGCCAGAGGCCACTGTCTCTTTAATACCATCGTCGTCCAGGAACATACCCCAATAGCAATGGGGGGAAATGAGGTATCATACGGAGAAAAACGGCTGGTCAGTCGATTGCTGGTGTCCTTGCGCAAATGGGTTATTGGCCCCAGCCCCGGTCTTATGGACAGCAAGCCGGCCAGCCTGTGTCTGACCGTACCGAAGCATACCAGTGTTTCCGAAGGTGTCTTGTCCATCGTCACGATTAGCAAGGAGGTTTGCGAGATGAGAGTGTTCTTGGTCGGTACGCGTTGGACCCCTGGCCGGTTCGCTGGAACCTGAATCCATTCGTCGTTCTGGACGAAGCAGATGAAAGTGGCGGTGCCGGAGAGGGCGTTGAAACGTATGATGGTGAAGAAGAGTTGGCAAATGTGCCCTGTAGATTGAAAACGGGTCCATTGCTGCCGTTAACTGGCGTGCTAGATGCTGGGGCTGGAGATACTGAGGGTGCGAACGGATTGTTTGAGCTAAAAGACGGGATGAGCCGCAGGTGTGTGTATGCCATCTGGAGGTAACTAACCCGAATCCCGTAGGCTGGACAAATAGCGGTTGCTGGGCTTGATGTTGGGCTTGCAGTGCTTGTTGCTGCCGTAGCCACTCCTCCTGCTGTTGTTGTTGTAGAAGCGCCTGTTGTTGCTGAGCCTGTATCTCTTGTTGTTGACGTAGCCATTCTTGTTGTTGCCGCATATATTCAGCCTAGGAAGCCAAGTATTTGCTATAGTGAACGTGCGAGCGATGAGTAAATGCTAACCTGCATCGCTTCTTGTTGAGCCTGCTGTTGGTATGGGTTGAAGGACGTGAATTGGGGTTGCATAGTGTATTGGGGCTGAATTGTGAACTGCGCCTGTAGTTGAGGTTGTGGATGGAGCCCAGTGGCATAAGGGTTGGGATCAAGGAATGGGAAGGGGTTGTTTGAGTTGCTGGTAGGAGTTTGTCTGCCGAAATCCATGATATCAATTGGAATGTCACAAGGTCGAGCAAGTAAAGCTCACAATTGGGCCTGATCGTCAAACAAGGCTGACGCATTAGAGTCCTCTACTGCCTTGTTCCTCTTCATTTCCTCCTCTTTACTAAGCCTGATCGCAGTCTCCAAATCGCGATCCTCTGTTGCCCGAGTCTGCTCTTCAGCAAGCGTTCGTTTAGAGGCCTCGATAGCCCGTCGAAGATCTTCTTCGTCCTTGTCTGTGCCACGATTCTTGCGGGGAGGTTGACTCCCAGACGATCTTCTGACAGGATTCTCGTCGCCTTCGTCATCATATCCGGGTGCATATCCAGGTGTTTCCGTTCCTCGCAGCATTCTATCACGCATGTTGGCTCTGCTGCGACGCTCTTCCCGGAGTCGGCCAGCATCGCTCAGCAGATTCGTTATGTCTTTGGCCTTCTGTCGCACATTTGCGCCACAATCTTTGCCATCTTCATCGATGTATTGAAATTCCTTCAGAGTCTTGATGATATATAGGTTGTCTTTAAAGTAAAGGACGACATTTTCGGAACCGGCATGGAGGAGATAGTCAAGCACGGTGAGCGACTTGGGGAACAAAACAAGTTAGCCCCGCAAGTAAAGAGGTTGTATCCAATTACCTTAAAGACGTGTCTCCAGTTCTTACCCTTGTCGTTGAGCCGCTTATCGAGCATCTCCATGATCTCTACAAAGTCATTCCTGTGGATTTGTGTGTAAGAAGCACCGATATTTTATTTTCTTTCACCGGATGAGGGAAACATACTGATTGTAAGTCAGCTGGGCAAGTTCGTTCATCTGCGTCCCGGAGGGACCCCATGGATCGTTCGAGGTAGCATCACGAACTTTGGCTTGCGTGTCCGAGTAACCTTTGGTGTAATTTTTGGCAATCCGCAGAGCGCCCTTTCCAAAATGCTGTAGCGACATCGGCGCGATGGACGTGCACCACTCGTGCTATCGCTGTCGTGGTTAATTAGAGTTGGTTAGTGGGTTATCGACTAAGACGTTGAAGACGTGGAAGCAGCTTTTGGGGATCGGAAGGGGCAATACAAGCGCTGCGGTGAGCGTCGTTTGCCTTTAACTGAGTTTCCAAATGTGGTATATACAGCACGCCGATGGTGAAGCGGTTATCATGCTTGCCTTCCAAGCAAGCGGCAGGGGTTCGACTCCCCTTCGGCGTAGAGGTTTTTACTTTTTTTAAATATTTCATTGCAGTGTATGAGACTCTGTCCTCCTCAAATGATAACTTGCAAGTGTATTTAGTTCTCATTGATTATCTACTCAACTATGGTAGGCGGATGATGCTGACGTAACGCTCCTAGATACCCTCGTGAAGAGGAGGCGCCACTCCTTCAAGACAATAAGCCATGTCTAACGGGAACACACCGCCATCGATCTGGAATAGACAGTCTGGTCCCCGTATAGGAAGAATTGGAGATCCGAACGGCGGCGAAGGCAATGGGAACTCAGCCCCATCTCGGTACGTGGATTCGCATCGTAGAGCACGCACGGGAGGGCAATACTCACCAAGGAGCACTAAATTTAAGGCCTGGCGCACCTGGTCGAATAGCAACTCTCTCTTCTCTATCATCTTCAGGGCCACCACGACCCCAGCAACCCAGCGATGATGAAGATGATGAAGGTCCAGATAAAGGAGGCGAGAGTTGGTTTGCGGGTGGGGAACGAAGGTTTAGGTTTTTTCTTACTCATGACGCTACCGTATTTACCTGCGGGATAGTTAGCGGGATCTCCGTGCAGAACCCTGGAAGTCGTGACCCGGGTCCAAGGATAGTCCAGGATATCCTAAGGCGGGCCGCTGAGTATGTATCTTAAATTTTTTTCGGTTTCTTGTGTTTATGGTTCTGGAGAACTTCTGTGACTCGTCCCCCCCATCCAGTCCATGGGGAGTCACCTTCATTGGCGTTTCGTGGGGGCGGTCATATGCTAGGAAGCGACGAAGTCGAAAGCACGTATATCCCTGATCCTGATGCACCCGATGGTAAGTCGCTGGTCTCCATGCTTCATATGGTCGTGATCGCAAGAGAAATTTTGGAAATGGAGCTATCATCTCAAAGTTGCTGACGCACGCTTTGTACAGAAGAAGGAGAAGTTGAAGTTGCCCAACGCAATATCACTTTCTGGCGTAACGGTTTCAGCGTTGAAGACGGCGAGTTCTATAGCTATGCAGACCCTGCAAACGAGCAACTTCTTACAGAGATTAACACTGGGTATGAATGTCTCCGTTTTCGCTCCTGGATACTTATCCATGGCAATCGTCTCAGTCGTGCCCCGGTTTCTGTATTGAACGTCCGCCCTGGGCAACCAGTTGAAGTGGTGGTAACGAAGAGAGTAAACGAGGACTATGTTCCAGAGAAACGCCCAACCAAGGCCTTCTCGGGTTCCGGCAATAGACTTGGCTCGCCTGTACCCAACTTCACTCATGGGGCTTCTACGAGCGCCACGATGCCTGGCTCATTCCCTAGCGCAAGTTCATCTTCCTCGACAACCAGGAACCCTCCTGCAGCGCGCGAACGCATTGATACCCTATTTGCAGTCGATCAGACACAGCCTACTACGACCGTCCAAGTTCGTTTGGCGGACGGGACAAGGTACATTTCTACTGTAGCCTGTAACGATTTGAATATTTTAAATTTGTCTGTGTTAGGTTGCCATGCAGGATGAATCACACCCACACAGTTGGTGACATTCGCAACTTCATCAACGCGTACGTTCATCTTCCCGTCTTTGGGCTATATCCTCGTACCCATTCACTATTTTATAGCGCGCGACCGGAGAATACTTCGCGTCCCTACACGATCGGGACAACATTCCCGAATCGTGTACTAGATAACGATAGTCAATCGATCAAAGATGCTGGACTGATTAACAGCGTAGTCGTGCAGCGTTGGGTTTGAGAATATTGCCACTAGCTAGAGTTTTTGGAAGCGTGGCAATGTTTTCGCCAAAATTATTGTGATAATGATGTCGAAAAATTGTAGTACTATACGTCGTTCTTCCAAATTGTCCCCTCGACGTGAGGATGTAGTGAAACAAAGCACATCTTATCCGGATGGCGTCGCAGGTCACCTCTATGCGGCGGCTGTTTCTACTTTTGAGGTTCCACGGACCAATCTCCAGCCGTGGACGGTAGCTCGGACTTCTTCATCTCCGGGATCGTCCGGGAACATAGGCTTCGATGTGGTTACCAAGGTATTGTCATGCTGAGGGGGTGAGGCTGGCTTACAGGAAATTTTCTAGTCACGATTTCTTCACAGATCCAGCCTTGAGAACGAGCCTTAGTGAAAAAATCAAGATCACGGTGTGCAAGATGGGGTCGATGATGTGTATAGAATACAAGCACGCAGGGTGCTGGCTGGCTCGAAGGAGGTTCACAGGGCTGGCCAGAGAGAGGGGTCAAGGAAAGTTCACAGGTTCTGAGGAGAGCGTCATGCTGTGATGGGAGTTAGGGAAATGAATGGCGAAGCAGCAACAAAGCTCGCCTGGGAGTGGTTAAAGACGAGATCGGAGAGAATGATGAGGTCGAATGCTCTCCAACCATCACGAGTGGATGGCAACGCGGCAAGGAGACCCTGTACCTTGTGCCCCCAGATGTATCCCTGGCATGAATAAGTGGCAATGCTCAGCAATGTTTGGAAGTAGAAGAGATTCACCTGTATGTCGATGTTCGTCCTGTCCGCCGGGGAAACATTATGGTCTACGTTGTATGTCAAGTTATCGATGAGTTCTTGATCGGGATAATCAGTCAGGACCACCTCCGGCCATTTCAGCTGACGTTCGCTGGTCTGTGCATAACGTTAATACTTACCTTCTTCGCGCCGATCTGAGCGGATACGATGCCAGGGAGACCACCTCCCGCACCAAGTTCCAAAACGAACCTGCCTCGAACCAGGTCACGGTGTGATTCGAGGTATTCAGCCACTGCGACGGATGCATTCCACCTTCGTCTGGTGTAAAAAGTATGGTGGAGCATAGATCGGCGCGTTCTCACAGATAATGTCCCCAAAGGGGATGTGACCCGACTAGCCTAACCGCAACTTCTTCTGACGAAGAATCCTTCGAGTCATTCTCGTCTCTGTAGCGGACATATCGAGCAAAGGTTGCCTCAGGGGTAGGAGGTCTCCAAGGATCCTGTGAGATCGCTCGGTGTGTTGATCAGGGCTGACTATTTGTACATGAGAAGGGAGCAGTCGTCTTACTGTGAATATGTCTTGCAGACACTCGGTCTCTGAACCATCTTCGTCTGCCATGAAAACCTCAGACTGCACTACTAGATAGTGAATCTGCGATCTTGAAAAATGATTGCCGTCTACTCGCGGAAAAGGAAACTAATTCACATCCGTAATTCCATCATTAATCTTGTACGAACACCGAAGATTCCATAAACATTGCATGCGGTAGCCATTGACGATGACGGTCTGTCAAGAAGCCCAACCACAAAGACGAAGCAACGAAATTTCATACGGTGACGTGCGCGTGACGCAATATAAACAACAACGTTAGAAGAGCTACATCGACGAAGCCGCGGCCAAAAGCAGTGCAAAGAACGGCACCGGCGTGAACCAAAAACAATTGCAACAACGGCACCGGCGCACGGAGATCACATGGGGAGACACCGACGCCACAATCTGCAGCTTATAATATCAGATGTGTGCACGGAAAAGATGATGAATCCTGTCTTTGCATCCAAGACTTTAGTGCATGAAAAGCGACTATCAGCTTTATCGTATACCTACATAACCAATCAGATTCGAGCACACATCTGCTTCACCTGCTCTACAACTTCTCTCAAGCGTTGCGCCCCATCCGCCTGCAGGACATCACAGTTCCAGCGATCAGCCGGCGCAACATCCGTAAGACGAGTCGGATGAACCAGAATCTGCTCTGGTGTCAACACCTGCGAGCCAGTATCGTATCTGTAGAAGGAGAGGCGAGTGCCAAATGCACTAACACCATACAGAACAGGGATAGTCAAGTTCACTCGCAAGTCCCTAACACGCCGCCTCATCTGATTATCTGCCTCCTCGCGTTTAGAGTCATAAGGCAAGGAAGCAGAGGGTCTGACTTCTATGAAGAAAACTGGATGCCGTTGGGGCTCGACAACAAAAATCGTGACGAGCTCGAAAGCATCTTGAGTGCCTTGGAATTTGTACTTCGGCGCGATCTCGTACAGGCCATCCAAAGAGAATAGACTATAGAGGAGACGAGTATATGGTCCATGGAATACAGATTCATCTTTGCCAGTAGGATCAATGGCAAGTGCTGAATTGAACGACTGGGTTATAAACTGGGGCCACTGGGCCATTCTGATGGTGGGGGGGTCAATAAACAAACCATATTGATTCGTCTCGTACCCATCCTGCTGCACGCTCTGAGCGCCAACTAGCCGTGACGACTATGTCACACCCAAGGACGTCGAAGGATGGCGAGAAGATGGTTGATCAAAGATGACTAGTATGAATCAGGATGAAACGGTGGTGACTTACATCGACGGTCGGTGGCTTTGTTGGCACCACCGCCTCTGTTGTAATAGCGACCGCCGCGCTGGTTACCCTTGGAAGGTTGGGATGCGGGTTCAGTGGAGGCAGTGGTAGACTCAGCAGCAGGGACTGGGCTAGAAGGGCGAGATGCCTCCTCTGGGAGAAGCGTGAGGACATCAAAGGGAGACACGAAGTCAGCCCACCGTCCAAGATAGCGAAGGGGTTTTTCGCAGCCACCGACATAGTCTGATGGGGCCTTTTCAGCGGCCAGTCAGACGTGACGAGCCTTAGTGGCGCCTGGAGGGCCTTTAGTATGTAGTGGATCTACGACGATCGATATGTACTCCGATCTCAAAATCGTGCTTCCACGAAAGGAAACTAATTCACATCCGTGTCGGTGCTCGTCCCTAATGTGAATATTGCGTCGAGGGGGTCAACAACAACAAGACTGGGGCACGGAACGGATGGATGGCACGGACCCGCACTGTCTGTCGCACTCTACAAACAGCTCCTCCTCCTCTGCGGTAGACCTCACCGGAACAGGGCTCTCAGTTCCCCAGTCTCCGATTTCAGACGTCCGCAGTGCTCGCAGACGCGCCAGCTGGAGCAAGACAGATACATGGCTGGACCCACTGCATCTCAGCTATTCAGCAACGGAGGCTGGGCCATCGAGTTCGGGGAGGAGCACACCTACTCCAAGAGAATCGCTCTTCATAGTGAATGACGACCCATTTTACGCGGTTACGGGTGACCCAACAAATAGTATTAGTAGTAGTTCTCGAGGCAAGTCTTGGCACGAACTGCGACTCGCGTGTCACCACGTTCTGACGTCGCAAACAGGTCCGAATTCATTCACTTCTCTCCTTTCCGCCGCGGACTCGGATCTGGACGCATCTAAAGACGACGACACGACACATCTTACCAAGAAGAAGACCTTAGCCGTCAGCACTGACAGCACTGAGTGGCTGGAAGACTACAGTGTCGATTCAGAGCGTTCTGGCGGAACCACACCGCGAACTCGAAGGCGGACGATAGCGCGCCTCAGTGGAACACCTTCCCCTCTGCAGCGAACGGGCACCGCGATCAAGTCGGCGTTCCGTCGGGCGTCCATGCGTGTTGCCAACATCCGTGCACAAGATGCGTCTATAAGGCTTCCCGATGATAACGAAGAAGAACAAGAAGAAGAGGATTGGACACCTGACGACAAGCCGTTGGACGATGGAGGTCAAAGGCACCAGTCTGAAGCTCTCGGAACACACGAAACACTGCCCCTCAGGGGCAATACCCTAGGCTTTTTGGGACCAACAAATTCATTCCGGCTTAGGTTGTATCTTATGCTTTCTCATCCGTGCGTTTTACTTCTCCAAATATGCGTCGCTAATGGCAACTAAACGCCCGAGTAGGTACTCGGACCCCATTTCGCTCGTTCTAATTCTTATGACAGCCGTCGTCCTCGTCATTCAGGCATCTCGCACTCTCCTCCTATCTACAGACCAATCTACCCCCTCTCCTCAGGTAGGTTATTTCCACGCTTGGGAAGACTATGCGCTATTTGTACTTTACATTCTTTTTACGTGAGTACTCTCCTCGCAGATCTCCGGTCTACTGACGCATTGCAGTATCGAATCTCTTGCTCGAATCTGCGTGTCTGGTTTTGTGTTCGATCCGGAGATCCCTACATCGGCCCTGTTCACTGTTCCGTCCTTTTCGTCATCATCGTCGGGTTTCACGAGTGTCCTTGCAGGTTCCTTGTCTACGGTGGACGCAAGAGATCCGATTTCTCGCTCCAATTCCTTGGCCCGTGGTCTATCGTTCAAGAGATTTTACGAATCTCTGACACAGCCATTTACGTTATCCAAGAGTGCAACACCCATGCCATTCATGCAGGCACCAATCGAACACTCTGTATCGCGTATTGAAAAACGCTACGCACCGGTAGGCGCCTCCGACACATTCACAACTTCAACCTCACTCCCGCTCAGGGTCTCGTTTTCGTAGCACCTCGGAACGTACATTCTTTTCCAGAGCCCTTCGCTCTGACATACCTACATCAGGGAGCGAAGTCATGGCTTTACCATTCCGCTTAAATATCCAATTTGCCCGTCAGAAATTGGCGCGAAATGTTCCTTACTTGCGTCAGAGTTGGGGTAGAATTGATTTTATAGCGGTTGTTGCCTTCTGGGTGGCGTTTATACTGGCATCGGTCGGTGTAGAAAGGGGCACGTATCATATTGGCATATTTCGAGCGCTCAGCGTGCTACGCATCGCACGCTTGCTGGCGATCACGTCGGGTACCACTGTAAGTTGGCGCAATTCTTCCTGGAATTTCGGCAACGTCTGACACGTGTTTGGTAGACAATCATGCACTCATTAAAGGTTGCTCGACCTTTGCTTGCAAGCGTGGCCTACTTCGTCGTGTTTGCTGTTCTCCTCTTCTCGTGGGTTGACGTCTATAGATATTGGATCTTGTGCTCATGTCAGTTGTAAACAGCATCATCGGCGTCCAATCTTTTAAAGGTTCATTGAGGCGGAACTGTTACCTTTTACCAACCCTCGGCGAGGCACAGACGCAGCTGTCCACATTCTGCGGTAGCCACATAAATGCCTCTACGTTGCAACCTTCTCCTTACATCAAACTCGATGGCTCTTCAGGAGACAGTGTCAAGGGTTATACTTGTCCACTCGGTCAAATATGCCAGGTACGCTGGGTATTCTTCTCGTGCATATACGTGTGAAAAGCTCTTTTTTGCACAGGAAGGGCAAGGCGCTTACAGTGGTGTTGAGAGCTTTGACACAGTCTGGAATTCTGTCCTTCAGGTTATCGTGATTGCATCAGCTAACACGGTGAGTTCCACAACGTGTTGATTCAGCTTATCTCATGGCATCGCACCTTCAGTGGTCAACTGTTATGTATCAAACCATGGGGGCAGAATATTTTGCTTCGTGCTTCTTCTTTGTTGCTGGTATTCTCGTGTTGAATTTCTGGCTTTTTAATCTTTTCGTTGCGGTTATAACGAATACATTTTCCGCTATCAGGGCTGAAACCCAGAAGAGTGCATTTGGCGCGGCCCCGTAAGTGATACGTCTTCCCATTTTCATGTACTATTTTTTTTCCTTATCGATGTCGCTTTCTAGGCTAGGCTTTTTAATCGAAGAACAAGACGAAGGTTGGCCAGCCACTGGACGTCACTCGGGTCAGAACGCCCTGAAGTTATTTTATGCCTATGCCCGGTGGGGTTGGATTTTCCTTGCTTTGGCTTCTCTTGTTGTCCAGGCAACTACTACAGCCAACATGAGCTCATTACACCAAGAAGTACTCTACAAGTCTGAATTGTTTCTCGCCATAGCTTTCGATACCGAGATCCTCATCCGGATCGCCGCAGAGTTGCCTGCGTGGAGGGTTTTCTTCAGACACGGAAACAACTGGATAGATTTGGTTCTCGCAATTGGATCAAGCGTGATACAGATACCTGCTATACAGCAATCGGAGGTTTACCCTTGGTTGACGATTTTTCCAGTCGCGAGGTTCTATCGTGTAATTTTGGAGTTCCCCCGCATGAAGCCGTTGTTAGTAAGTGACTGGCAACAACTTTCAACTGTTCACAGGGTCTTACCGCATGGTCGTAGTTAACGGTCTTCGGGAATCTTTATGGTCTCGCTAACATGACGCTCTTTCTCATATTGGTCAACTTCCTTGCAGCTTTGGTGGCCATCCAATTTCTCCAAGGAGACATGAGTGGCAACACGACGATGAACTTTGGCCAGCTGTGGAACTCGTTTTTAGCGGTCTATCAAGTATTATCGTCGGAGAACTGGACGACTGTGTTGTATGACGCTACTGTGGTTGAACTTCCCCTTGGGCAGGCTGTCATTGTGGCTACTTTCATATCTTGTTGGTTGTTGTTTGCAAACTGTGAGGGCTTTCAACTTCCAATGGGTGTAATTGTAATTTTCATACTGACCGAGTCTCATAGTCATTATTATGCAGATGTTCATTGCCGTAATTAACGAGAATTTCAGTGTTGCCGAGGAAGCCAAGAAAGAAAAACAAGCTTCTAATTACTGGGCGCGTCACCATCGCCCACAACGGGAGGCCACGCACAGTCGATGGATACGCAGGTTGAACCCGTATCAGTGGTTCAAAGCAGATCCCGTGACTATTAAGGTTGAGAATTTACCTTCGACCCTTGTTTTGCCGATGCGGGAGAGCGTGGTGCAAGGCTATTCCCCACCTCGACAGGAACGAAAGGCTTCGTTGGTGAGATCTCGGAGCAACTGTCAAAGTGGCCATTAAAGTTCTTAATTTGATGTAATGTGAACAGATGCGCGTGATCTCGAAAAGGGCACGCCACGTTCCATCGAAGTCGATTACGATGCTGCAACGACTGTTTATGGGAACAACAAGGTCCAACGAGTTCCCACTCATTGAATTGCGTCAGCCGAAAACGAGATTAGCTGAGAAAGATGCTGTCGAGGACGACACTGAACAGTACCTGTATGATTCTATCACTCTAATGTTTTCATATTTCTCATTGCCGCCAACTGTTCTCTAGCGAAATATTAGCTGGAATGAACCAAGATGATCTCGCTGCTGAGGCCCTGGACGATGCAATACAAGAACGACGAGCCCGTAAGGCCGACTTCATAAAAGACCATCCCACGTACGACAAGACATTTTGGTTGTTCTCCCAGCGGAACGGCCTTCGCCGACTGTGTCAGAAGATTGTCGAACCGGCAGGTGGAGAACGAATTTTTGGTACCGCTCCCGATATGGTTGCCCATACTATTTTTCAACTTCTTGTTTTTCTCACTGTCATCGGTGGTATTATCACGGAGATCATTGCGCCACCGATCTACCGTCGAAATTATTACCTGCAATACGGCCTACGTCGATCGGCGTGGTTCAATATCGCGGAGGCTACATTCGGATTTGCGCTTTTTCTGGAATTCCTGATCAAAGTGGTCGCAGATGGCTTGCTTTTCACGCCAAATGCTTATGCCCGAAGCATGTGGAACGTCATCGACCTTGTCATCTTGGCGGGCCTCCTTGCCAACATTGGGTTAACCTGGTGGTTTGTCGGGATTTCCAACCGATTTGTGCATGCTTTGAAGGCGCTACGTGCTCTTCGATTGATTACTTTGATCGACCAGATGCGCAGCACTTTCGAAAATTTGATTATCTCCGGAGTGGTCCGCATTCTGGATGCTGCTATCCTCGCCATCCTTTACCTCATCCCATTTAGCGTGTGGGGGACCAATATCTTTGCGGGATTAATGAACGAGTGCAACGACACGAGCGTGCAAGGGATCAGTGATTGTACCGGTGAATACGTGAACACCATCTACGGCAACTCTTATGGGTATCTCGTTCCCCGTGCTTGGAACAATCCATCACCATCCTACTACGTTCTCGTTTGACAACTTCCGGGCTTCTATGCTTATCCTCTTCGAGATTGTTTCACTCGAGGGTTGGATCGACGTCATGTCGGTCGCTATGAGTATTACCGGAGCAGGCCAACAGCCGCAGACAAACGCCTCGCAGGCATATGCGTTATTCTTCCTCATCTACAACTTGCTCGGAGGCGCTGTCATATTGACCCTCTTCGTCAGGTGAGTACTCTATTCTGTGCACGTGGTTTTATGCTGACCTCCTGGTGTAGTATCATTATTAGCAACTTTTCATCCAAAACGGGATCCGCGTTCCTTACCCGACCGCAGCGAGAATGGATCGATCTGGAGAAGTTAATTAAGCGCCAGAAGTCCTCGAAGAGGCCTTACACTCGTCCTACCTCGCGCCTTCGGGCTTGGTGTTATGACAGCGCCGTTCGCAAACATGGCTGGTGGTCAAGGGGGATGACATTGTTGTTTGTCATGCAAATCATGGTCCTTATGTGAGTTTCTATGTTGACACGACATGACCGTAGTAGCATTGAACATGCTCAGGACAGAGACTTTTGGATCACAGGATCCCACGGATGATTTCCGCCGTTAGTGACTTGACATTTCTTGTACGCTGGCAGGCACTGCTGACTATGTATTTCCAGAGGACTTCTCGCTGTTCTCGACTTCGATATACATGCTCGACATTATCGTCAGGTTTTATGGTCTCGGATGGGAATCCTTCCGCGATAATGGGTGGAACATTTTTGACGTGATAGTGGCTTCCGGCAGCTTCACTGCCACCATAATCGTGCAATTTGGCTCAGCCAACCCCACAATCCAGCAACTTCAGAAACTGTTCCTTGTTTGCATCTCGTTCAAGCTCGTGCAACGTGTGGATTCACTGAATCAGCTGTTCAAGACAGGAAGGCACGTGACATTCTCTTGACAAACCCGTTCCGATGTTCACCCCCTCCAAGGGCTAGTTTACCGGTCATTCTGAACCTTCTTGGACTATGGCTTGTTGTATTCCTTTTCTTCGCCATAATGTACCTGGAAGTGTTCGGTATGACGAAGTGGTTCTCCGGGGAATCGAACACTCAGAATTACCAGTCAATGGGCTCTGCCCTGCTCATGCTGTCTTTTATGAGTACTGGGTTTGTGTCTCAGCTACTTCTCGTACTGAGTGCCTTTGACATTGGTTGTTAGCGAGGGTTGGAACCAATACATGCATGACTAGTACGGTGCCTACCTCACTCGCTTTCAAAGCGTGCTAATAATGTGACGCGTAGTGCTACAGTATACCCGCGGTGTACATATACGACCGGGGATATTGCTGAGACGGATTGCGGAAGTACTGCATGGGCATTTTCGCTCTTCATCGCATGGAACCTCCTTAGCATGGTATGAGACATCACTGGTTGCTACTCACTTCGCTGACCGAGTATAGTACATCATTTTGAACATGTTTACAGGTGTAGTCGTTGAAAACTTTTCTTACGTGTTTCAGTCCACGGGCGGGGCGAAATCTATAACTCGCAGGGAGATGCGGTCATTCAAGAAAGTATGGGCCGAGTTTTCCAACGCCAAAACCGGACAGCTCGAACGCCAAAATATCGGACCCTTCTTGGCGGTACGTTGCGTTTGCGCTAATACATAATTCCCAGGTCTTCACTGGACTTCGCAGAGGCTCGATGGCGTCTTTGAAACTCGTATTTACCCTCGGGAACAGTCGGTGGGCGCCATCTTGGCTGGTTGCCGAGACACCTCGAAGAGGGCAACCGTGACTGGAGGTGTCAATCTCAAGAAGTTAAACAACATCCTGAATAAAATCGATCATAGCAGCGTCAGAAAACGACGGAACACTTACGGCCGTCTCTACCACGAAGCCCACATAGTATCTCTCCCCACCGGTGGTTTATCTTTCACGGACATGTTACTACTCCTGGCACACCATAAACTTATCGATGATCGTGAAGCACTAGTGTAAGTGCTTGCACAGCACATTAGCAAACACTAATAATGGCGTAGACTGCGGGATCTGGTCGTGCGGCAGGAGACCAACAAGCTTGTTACAGATCTCGTCAACCTAGACAGAGTGCGTTCGCTGCTCAGAATGATTTCGCAACGCCGCAAGTATCTCCTGGAGAGAGAACAAGTCATGAACCGAGGTTAGCATTCTGTTCCGTGTCGTTTCCTAGATGCTAATGATGAGCATTGGACATAGACATACCTGCTATCTTCGTCAATTCTTCACCCGCTACTCCTCCGCCTATAATTTCTAGGGATATCACTTCGCCCCGAAGTGAGTATGAAACAGGGCAGTCGGATTACGAGGCCAGTAGTCCAACGCCATCGCCTCGTATTCTCGTTTCTTCGTCAGAGCTCCCGACTGCCGATCGCTCCTTCAGAAGCAGCCTCCAACGTGCACGGAGAGTAAGTGACGTCAGCATGTTGTCCGCTGATATGAGTCAGAGTTACTGGTTCGTACCTTCTTTACTCTTACATACCGTTAGCCTCACATGACTTGACGGATAGGAGAGAGCGTTCCCGCTCCCCTGAGCCTGAAGACGAAGGTGACATGATCTCATCTATGCAGCGATCAATATGGGGTGGTGAGTGTCGACCTACGAACAACTCATGAAAACACTAAGAGCGATTCTTATCGCACCAGAAATGATGTTACAAGCGGCTCAGGAGGAAGGCGATGCCTAGACCAAGCGTTCCTGCTAGATGGTTTCCATTGCACATGACCTACTCACGGACAAGCATAGAATAGCACTTGTACTGACACAACATGCAAATTGTACGGTGATGGAGATGGAACATGCATAGCAGTACAGACTAATAACCAGCAGACATGACAGTATAGTGAATCACGACTGACCCTGCAGCCGTCTCGGTCGCCAGACCTTGGAAGCCGGTTCAAAGCCATCTTCATCCTTAGACCCAGGTAACGGCGCACTGTTGGTGGCTGGTGAGGCTGCTTGTTTCGAAGACAGTTTCTCTGCCTCTCGCTGCCGCCAGCCACTAGCAGGGGCAGCAGCCGTATCTCTGTATTTAGGAGCTGTAGCAGTCGCCGGACTGGAGGCGGGTGCGGAAGTTTCTGGTCGTCCCAATCGTTGAGCGCTGAACATTCCAGGTTTGTATTTTTGAGCTGGCGGAGCTGCACCACTCGGAGCTGGACTCTCTGCACGTGGGGGAGTGGCACGAGAAGATATAGGAGGGTTTGGCGGCGCAGCTGAACGCCTCCAAGCGTTCTCGGTAGCTGGTGGCTGCTGCTTCTCGGCCACACGACGCTGGGCTCTGCGCTCTTCTGCTTCCCGTTCGCGTTGGGCCTTCCTTTCGGCTTCCGCGCGCGCGGCTTCGCGCTCACGCTCGCGTTCCATACGAGCGGCAAGCAACTTCTCCTCCTCTTCACGCTTCTTGGCTGCTTCTGCCTCTTCTTTCGCTCGTAGTTCTGTGCGAAGATAAGATTGGGTTAAAAAAAAAAGTAGACGCTATACGTACCGGCCTCTTCCCGCAGGCGCTCTTTTTCCGCGGCCCTCGCCGCTGCCTCTTCCTCCTGCTGAGCACGTCTCTCCTCCTCTTTCTCGGCGATAAGAGCATTGATTCTCTTCTCCTTCTCCTCCTGAATTTTCTCTCGGGCCACTGCCAGCTTCTTCTGGTACTGTTCTTGGCGCTTCGCCATAATGGTAGACTTGTACGAACTAAAGTCGGATAGCATTCGTGACAGGCGCTTCTTGGTTGCTAGAGCTTCTTTGTGTGCTAGCAAGCTGTTTTCGATACGCGCTTTCTGAAGTGCCTCGAAGGTAGCGAGGTCTACGGCCTGTTGCTCAGCATAGTCTTGAGCGAGAAGTGGTCTCTCATCCTTCCGGTAAGCACGCTCGATATGATCGACGCGCTTCGCAACGACACGGAGACGCTCGTTCATATCCCGTTTCTCCTTCTCTATCTGCTCGACCTGCAGGCGCATAAGCCGGTCCTTGCTGAGGTCTTCCATGTCCTTCGGTAGATACGTTCAAATATAGATGAGTATAAACGATAAATTAAATCACTACTCACATCGACGGACACCTTCAGCCCACTGCGTTTGATCAAGTCTTGTGCCAGTTTCTTCGCCTCTTCCGAACGAATCGTTTCAATTTCTTTCCGTGCCCGCTCGAGCTCCCTCTTTCGGGCCTCTTCCTTCTCTTTCCGCTCATCCATCTCTTTTTTAACGCGCGTCATTTCGGCACGTCTGCTTGCCTCCTCTTTCTCCTTGCGTACAGACAACTCGGATAACAATTCGCGTCGACGAGCTACGATCGCCCGACGCAATGCCAGTGCATGGCGCTCTGCATTTGCAGCAGCAACCAGTTCCCCAAACTTCGCATTCTGCACAGCTACAGGGTCGGTCTCTGGAGGTGATTCGATCACCCGTAACGCATCGTGCAGTGCATAGGCGAGCGTGCTGAGACGCGTACGTACTACATCACCGGACGAGGGCTGAATCGCCGCTTCTTGCGCGGACGTCGCTACCGGAGAGGAGTCATCTACGTGTGTAAACGCCTCGTCGACAAAGGTAATGGTCTCGCTTGCGTGGTCCACACGTACACGGAGTTCACCCTGACGTGCGCAACCCATGAGGTACGCCTCCATTTGCTCAGCACCAAAGCCATCCAAGGGCTTGACGAGATCAACGAGGGCACTGAGTTTGAGGGTGGAGTAGATTTGCGATAGTTGCGCGAGGAGCCGTGAAAGAAGTGCGCGGGTAAGAAGAGGACGGTAGCCAGCATATGGAGTATCACCAGCACAAAGTGTGGCGAGCATCGGTGCAGTAGAAGCGCATAACGTGAGTGGATCGAAGGAAACTTCAAGGAGATTGTACAAGGTTTTGATAGGTCCTGGAGATAATCGCAAGACATCACGGGAAAGCTAGCAGTAGCTGAGCATCAGGAATTGTGAGGTTGAGAGAGAACGTACAGCGTCTTTAAGCAAACCAGCCCGAGTCGGTGCCTTCGTTAGACCGAGAAGAGCAGCAAGTCTTGTAGTCTTGCCCTTTCCGCCCTCGTCGGACTGTTGGCCGACGGGCACCGCCAGGGCACTGACGAGTACCTGACCGGCCAGACGGCTCATCTCTTCGTTCGACTTACCGCCTATGCTGGTGACGATTGCATAGTACCTACCCCAGGCAGCCGCGTGGTAGAGTGAATTACCGCTCATAAGAAATATCTTTGTAAGATGCTGGTAGTAATTCGCCATCATAGCTGGGCGTGGTGGTTTTTTGGCCATTGTAAGAAGATTATGTATATCCTCGACGGAGCGGAACGCTTCCTGCCATAGCTCGAGCTCTACTGAGGTGTTGAGCTGCGCGAACCGTGTATCAAGATGATGTTGCAATGTCTCGGGGTCAGATAGGTTGATCGCATGAGTTTGATGTGCGTATTTTGCTACATTGGCAAGGTGAAGTCGCAAGGTCTCACATAACCTGCGGAATTCGACCTTTCGTTGGTACTTCAAACAGAAACGGAAAGCCTGCTGAGCAACTTGCTGAAAAGATAAATACCGCGGAATGCGTCAGCCCTTTTACCGATTTGGGTGGAAGGAACGGACCTGGTATATAGTCTCTAGTCGTGCGTTGTTCTTAAGGGTTTCCAGCGACGTGCGATAACTCTCCCATAAAAATTTGAGCCAGGGGGTAACAAGTGCCCTATCTGTCCGGTCCTTGCTCTGGTCTCCGCTCACTGCTCCCAGCAGAATGCTCTCTGGTGTTTCGCTAGCCTCGAGATCGTCGACATCTACGGCGACGGCTTTATCGGCCTTTTCCTGTGCTTCTTGAACTTTGGCATCGGCAAGTTGCAGGAACTTCTGAATGACAACTTCGATTGATCCTACGTTTGAATTTTGTGCTATGTTCTTGTATTGCATGAGTCCTTCCTTTGCTGTACGGCCCTTGCGCAAGTCGACACAGAGCTCGACAAAACGCAGTAGGATCGGTTCGAGGACGGCCAAAGGGGCTGAGCGAAACTTCTTGGAGGTGAACATTTCTGTTAGAGACTGGAGGGCGGCATGCGCCTGTCCCACTGATACCAGTCCCTCTGCCTGCTTCAGCGCAGCCTCTGGTTTGGTGAACGGTGCCATACTGGGGAAGATCCGTAGGCGATAAATGGTAGTGATGAGACCAATCCAACTTACATTCTTTAATGCTTTAAAGGTGGGAACAGAGGCTTCCCGATGTTTTTTTTGGTGTGTCGAGGTAGCCTGGACGTCGTTGAGGCAGTGGGGTCCGACGAAAAAACAAAGTTCGGGCTGGGCGTCCATGTGAAAACACTTCCTAAAATAGATAAAACATAGCCCCTGACCCCGACCTTTTTTGGGACTCACTACCGTGAGAGCATCAGATACTACGACGGACACCAGTGTGCAATGGGCTTTACAATACCAAATTATCATTATTCTAATGCCGCAAACTTCAAGAGTGGGGCATAATTGTGTATTTAGAATACTTGGTTTTGAGAAAACGGGGTTGTGAAAGCTGCAAAGCATCAAATGCCGTCGGTCGTCAGGGCGGAAATGTGATTTTGGGCGACATTGGAAGACTTTCCGTAGGATAAATCACAGTAGATTATAATAAATCCAGGTATTTTGTGCCAAATTTGGAAGGTCTGCCGGGATGCCGGGCCTCGGAAAACCCGATTTGCAAGTTGACTGCCCTGGCATACGGTCGAATAGACTTGAATAAACCTTAATCTGTAGGGGGGGGGGGTAGAACCCCTTAAGCAGATTTTGTAGACCGGAATAAATGCTGAAATTGCCATTTTTGGCCACTCACACTTGTTTATGTCATTACCAGCCACAATGCTGCAGTCCCAAAATCCCCACCGCTGTCCGCTCGAGCGTTGAACGTTGTGCATCCATGCACGGTGGTATGGAGATCTTCGTGCCTCTGCTAATTTTCTCTGCATGGGACAAGCACTGCCTTAGTAGACAGCCCACACCTGTTGTAGATTGTGTAGAATGGTTGTGTGTCAGGCTCAAGGTCCCCGCAGATTGAAATGCAGCGGTATGTCCAACTTGTCTAATCCTTTGTTCCATGAGCCCATTTTATCTGTCAGATAACCTGGAAGAATGGAATGAGCCATATGGCTACTTTCGTTGTCACCTCCGCACACAAGATAAAAAGTGGCTTGCTACAGCATGGTACACCCAACCACTTGGCCGTACCTGACATTCATTTCACCCACACCGTCTTTACAGTTATGTCTACCAGCATGTCGAACTTGAATCTGCACACAGAGTTCCAGTATGATGATTTGGGCAATCCATTCATTTGTAACTCTAGTGGTACTTGGGTTCCATATCTCGAGTATGCATGGGCAGCTAGGGTTTTCATTTGTCATGATAGTCATGGCTGCTGACCATTTACCCAGGTTGACACTCCATCTGTGCCCCATGATGTTCCATCTGCCCACTTGTTTATGGGTGGGGATCTGGGTCTTAACACATGTCACTACATCAGACAAAGGCCTGCTAATGAACCCTTCATCCAGGTACAGTAATTTTTGTGATGTATGACTTTGCCTGGACTAACTTGCCATTAGCATCAGAATGCTGGGGGTGGATCCACTCTGATCTTGCCTGCCACTTTCCCAGATGGGCGTGATGCTTCAAGCAACACACCTGGTGGTGTTGACAGCTGCATTGACCTAGTCTTATTCCCCTCCCTGAGAGCCATGACTGTGACCTCACAGTTCCTTGTGTCATTGTGCAATCACAGGGGCATCTACCCTCTGTAAAAGTAGCTGGCACCCAACATGCTGTCCAGCCTAGCAGCAAATGTAAAGGCAAGGAAAGTGCTGGTAGTAGTAAGAGGGGGAAAAAGAGGTCACTCGTAGTTGATGTAGATGCTGAGCCAGAGCTGGTGAAGTTGAAGCAAGGATGCCCACAAGGTGCTGGGAACTACTCTACTGTGGACACATCTGTGTTACTGGACTTTGTTGAGGTTGAACTACCTCTTGGACAATGCAGGTGGCAAGCTGTCACTACCAAGTTTAATCAGTGGGCAGCTAAGCACAAGTGGCCTGAGTGTAAGGTGACTTCATTGGAGACCAAATTTAAGCAGGCAAGTAGTGATGATTATTCCATTGACATGTTTGTTAATTTGAGATCTTAGCTCATCAAGACCCCAAAACCAACTGGAGATGCAGACTGCCCTCCAGAGGTCAAACATGTACATCACATTGACAACCTCATCAATGAACAAGCAGGCACATATGATTTGAATGATAGTGACTTTGATGATGCCAACAAAGTTGACAAGGCCAACAGCTCCAGCTGTGAGTCTGATGGTGGTGTGGCATCATCCAAACCTGCTGTTTGTACAGCCATTGCACATGCATTGTGAACTGATGTCCCATCTATGCAACATAATACCCATGGGGCTGCTGCTACAGAGCTGATGAACAAGCTTTCAAATGCATTTGATCCAGCTGTCCAGCATGCTTGTGAGGAAGAACATGCTAACCATTCCCTCACCAACATCCAGTACCTCACTTTTTCCCAACAGCTTCATGATGAATGGGCCACCAATGACAAGTTATGTGCTCAGATCTTTGATCTACACAACCACCTATATGAAGCACAGCAAGCATGTGATTGTGCTGAAATGCAGCTCGAGATGATGCACATGGGGCCCCATGCTGTTGGTAACACCCCTATGTATCATAATCTCCCAAAACACAAGCACCAGAGCTACTGTTGGTTCCCTGATGGTGGTGAGTCAGTGACATGGTTGTCAGATGAGAATGACAAATTTCTCCAAGGCACAGGTGGGGTTATTCATATGGATAGGGTGATGGATTTTGACATGTTCACAGAAAATGAGGCAGGGAGTAGCAACATGTCTTATGAGCACACTCCAGAGATTTGACCTATGTAGTTGCTACATGTACTCCAGTACAACATGGAATCATGCCACTCTGTCCCTCTTCCTTTGTTCTGAAAACAGCATGTCTTTGAACCCTGACCACACCTCTGCATCTTTGTGTGTTCCTTGCCAATGTCCCATGTATACAGTATGGATCTCATTAATGCCAACCTTGATGGTATGAAGATTGTGGAGATGCAAACATGTCTCCAGTAAGTCTCCTCTTGCAGCTTCATCATTGATGTCCAAGGGCATGCAAAGCCTTCCAAATGAACCCTGGATGGTATATGCATGCCCCACTCTGCTGTCTGATGATAAGAAAGCAGTTCCCAATGTCACACACCAAAGGTGTTGTGGACATGGTTACAGCTGACTCTGCCTAACTCATCAATGAGTTGCACACAATGCCCATGCCATGCAGATGAAGACTAAAGGCCTCATGTGTAGAAAGACTACTGGATGTTAACAGTCATCCTTCACACAAGAATGAGTTGTCAGTGCTAAAGAGAAAAGAGGAAGTGAGTTAAGCATGCATTAAAAGTTTTTAGTGCCTGTGTATAGGCATTCCAGTTTTCATTGTATCTCCACCATTTCCAAAGATATTGACTCTGTTCTCACACTTGCTTAAGGTGCTCAGCCATGTGGTTCTGCCTTCCAAATTTGGAGAGGATCCTCATACCCTGTGCATTTCTACAGCACTCCATCCATCAGACACTCATTTCACTGAAGTCCATCAATCATGGCCACCTCTTCATTGATCATCTTGCTTGTCTCATTTGCCAGAGACAGTAGCTATGTGTATCTGCCAGGCATTCCCACCAGCTTCCATCCTGAAGCCCCCTGGTTCATCCCATTGTTGTCAGCCCCATCTCATCCCATGCAGCTTGGTCAGCATGTTCTTCTTGTCAGTATGACTTCCAGAAGGACATTCTTTGGTTGCCTCAGGTCTGTCACTCAGTTAGAAAGGTCTTATGTGGTCATGTTGGTCTCCCCTCTTGATGAAGCATATGGATCATTCCTCCCTGCTCCCTGCACTGTCTTTATTCCAATCTTGTCTATCATTCTTCCTGCATTGTGACAGCTGCAGCATAGTCTACTGTTCTTCAGCCTCCCTGATTGCATTCATGATGAGTATGACATGCATCTTGCCTTCTTACTGCAAGATCCAGCAGAAGACATCCCCCCTTCTCCTCCTCCTCCATCAGAGCCCCATTCATGAAGCTTTTGTTAACTTTGCTGAGAGGATGAAAGGGTGGGAGACATGATTGCTTATGCTCCCATTGCCCCACAGACCCCCAATGCCCTAGCCCCTTTGACACCTGACTCATGCCCTTCAATTCCAGAATTAATACTTCCCTATCTGGAAACACTGTCCATCTGTCATGCCATCTTTGGATCTAGAGAAGTCTTTGCTGAGATCTGACTTGCATTGCCACCCCCTAATGTGATATCAGTGTGCTTACTCAGTTTCTGACTCTGTTTGACTCATTCTGTGATATTTTGACTATCCTTGACTCGTTTATTGCCAATACTTACCAATCTTCTTTGCTTGCTTACTTTTCATTTCTTGCTTACTCATCATGATTACTCAGTCCTTACTCATTACTTACCAAGTGTTTGTGCCTTGTTTGTCACAAGCTGCACTCCCCCCACAGTATATAAACCCCCATGTACTTAGCTACAACCCCAGAGAGAGAGAGAGAGAGAGAGAGAGAGAGAGAGAGAGAGAGAGAGAACAAGCAATCCACAAGCAATCCAGAAGTCAGTTCAGCTCTCTTAGTGCACAACTTGTCATTGACAGTTGAGGCTCATTTGGAAGAGTATTTGTCACCATCCATCATCCTTGGTAGTTGAGGCTCCATCAAGGGTCTATCTACCTCCATTCCTTATCTGAAGCTTTCTCCACTCTTAGTCAGCAGTCTTGCTTAGTCATCCCTCTGCTCCTGCATAACTCAACATTGACTTGTGCCAGGAGCATGTTTTATCAAAGTCCATCATTCCAGAGGTCCTTTTGGCTGAACACCTTCACTCTGTTCAGCATCCCCTGTCCAGTCATTGCTTGTGTGTCTACTCCTGCATAACTTGTTGACAACTTGTGCCAGGAGCACCTCCATTTGAAGTCCCCCCCCACATTAGATTTTCTTCTGCACTCCAGGTTCTGCAGAGGCAAACCACCACTCACACATTATTTGTCTTTGGTGTTGGATTTGTTTGGTTTTCACCAGCTTTCCACACTTTGACTCACACTGATTGAATGCCATGGCTTCACTGATTTCTCCAGGTGTACCCATAACATGATGACCTTCAGCTAAAGGAGCATGAATATGTCCTTGGATTGCAGTGGTACCCTGAGGGAATGCTATGTCAGCAGCAAGATAGTAGCCTTCAGGAGTGTTGGTACAAAGTGTTTCATTGATAGGCATTGCAACATGTGAGTCATGCCAACTTCCAGGGGCATTGACTCTTGATGCAATGACTAACCCTATGTAGTTGTGTCAGTATGTATTCCTCAACAGCATGGTGGGCTGGTGACTCAGATAGATCATACCCACCTTCAGATGAGAAAGCTATGACAGAGCTCACAAAATGTGCATGCAGCCAACCATTATATGTGGCATTTTCAATGTCAGGATCATCTGAAGTTTGCACAGGGAGCTTCAGGCCATCAATACTCCCAAAAGCATGAGCCCATGTACCTAGTTAGGCCATGTGACACAGCCAGTGGAGGTTGACAATTAGCTGTGTCACATGGGCCAGCAGAGGTTGAGCCAACCTACAAGTTGTCAGCATAATGTAGAAATTGGCTGTAACTATGTTGTCATGTGTCATTCAGGATTGGCTACAATTGTATTGTCATGCATGATAGAGGAATTGGCTGCAATTATATTTTTAGGTGTCACATGGAGAGGTTTCAAATAGAATATCACCATGTGATAGGGACATATATGGCATAGCCCAGGTCAGATTGGCATCCTGTACATAGTGCAGCCCAACATGACTACACAGTACACTGCAGGACATGTGCCAGAGCATACCACTGCAGGACATGTGCCAGAGCATACCATAGCATTCCAGAGCACTCCAGAGCAGGCCATGGCCCTCTGGGGTGAGCTGTGGCATATGTTCTGAAGTGAACTGTGGCATGCCAGCCACTCCAGAGCAAATGCTGGAGCAAACTGCAGCACATGTTCCAGAGCATGCCATGGCCCTCCAGGATAAGCTGTGGCATGCCAGCCACTCTGGAGCAAATTCCACAGCACACTGTGGCACATGTGCTGGAGAATACCATTGCATTCCAGAGCACTCTGGAGCAGGCCATGACCCTCTGGGGTAAGCTTCAGCATATGTTCTGAACCAAAGTGTGGCATGGCAGACACTCTGGAGCAAATTCCAGAGCAAACTGTGGCACATGTGCCAGAGAATACCATAGCATTCTGGAGTGCTCTGGAGCAGGCCATGGCCCTCTGGAGTAAACTGCAGCATATGTTTGGGAGCATTCTGTACCATGCTGACACTCCAGAGCAAACTGCAGCACATGTGCCAGAGCATGCTGCACTGTCCACAGTTTGATTACCAGTGTGCACCCATTTTATTACCAAAAGTGTAGCAGGGTCCACTAGTTGATTACCAACAATTTATTAGTGTCTGCTATTTTACTAGTATTGCAGTATGCTGTTAGTGGTGTCTACATGTTTCATTACCACAACTGTAGTAGTGTCTGCACTTTTGATCACAAGTGTAGCAGGGTCTACTAGCTGATTACCAACATTTTGGTAGTGCACCATGCCACTAGCATTGTTTCCTATATCATTCAGTGCCTGTAGTTTCATTACCAAGTGTCTGTCCTGTTCTGCCATTCTGCAGACAACCTGTAGTATTTCAGAGTACTATATGGCTATGCAACACTGTGAATGGCACTCAGAGCTGACAGTAGAGCTTGGCATGGTGTGACATGGCTTGGCACTGTCAAGACCTGGCCAATGTATAGGGGTCACTGCTGAAGGATGGCTGATGGAGGCCAATGAGATAGGGGCTGTGCCAAGGCTGGCTAATGTATAGGGGTCACTGCCAAAGGGTGGCCAATGTAGGTCAGTGCCACAGTTTACTCCAGAGTGCTCCAAAATGCTATGGGTATGCTCTGGCATATGTGCTGCAGTTTGCTCCAGAATTTGCTCCAGAGTGTCTGCCATGCCACAGTTTGGTTCAGAACATAAGCTGCAGCTTATTCCAGAGGGCCATGGCCTGCTCCAGAGTGCTCCAGAATGCTATGGTATGCTCCAGCACATGTGCTGCAGTGTGCTCTGGAGGGCCATGGCATGGTCTGGCACATGTGCTGCAGTTTACTCTGGAATTTTCTCTGGAGTGGCTGGCATGCCACAGCTTATCCCAGAGGGCCATGGCATGCTCTGGCACATGTGCCACAGTTTACTCCAAAATTTGCTCCAGAGTAGCTAGCATGCTGCAGTTTGCTTTGGAACATATACTGAAGCTTACCCCAGAGGGCCATGGCCTGCTCTGGAGTGCTCCAGAATGCTATGGTATTCTCTGGCACATGTGCTGCAGTGTGCTCTGGAGTTTGCTCCAGAGTGGCTGGCATGCCACAACTTACCCCAGAGTACAATGGCATGCTCTGGCATTTGCTCTGGAGTGGCTGGCTTGCCACAGTTCACTTTGGAACATATGCCACAGCTCATCCCAGAGGGCCATGGTATGCCCTGGAGTGCTCTGAAATGCTATGGTATGCTCCAGCACATGTGCCACAGTGTGCTCCAGAATTTGCTCTGGAGTGGCTGGCATGCCATAGCTTACCCCAGAGGGCCATGGCATGCTCTGGCACATGTGCCACAGTTTGCTCTGGAATTTGCTCCAGAGTGTCTGCCATGCCACACTTTGGTTCAGAACATATGCTGAAGCTTACCCTGGAGGGCCATGGCCTGCTCTGGAGTGCTCCAGCACATGTGCTGCAGTGTGCTCCAGAATTTGCTCTGGAGTGGCTGGCATGCTCTGGCACATGTGCTGCAGTTTGCTCTGGAATTTGCTCTGGAGTGGCTGGCTTGCCACAGTTCACTTCAGAACATATGCCACAGCTCACCCCAGAGGGCCATGGTATGCCCCAGAGTGCTCTGAAATGCTATGGTATGCTCCAGCACATGTGCCACAGTTTACTCCAGAATTTGCTCTGGAGTGGCTGGCTTGCTGCAGTTTGCTTCAGAACATATGCCACAGCTTACCCTGGAGGGCCATGGCATGCTCTGGCACATGTGCTGCAGTTTTCTCTGGCATTTGCTTTGGAGTGGCTGGCATGCTCCAGCACATGTGCCACAGTTTACTCTGGAATTTGCTCTGGAGTGCTCTGAAATGCTATGGTATGCTCCAGCATATGTGCCCCAGATTGCCACATGGTGCCAATCTACATATGCCATAGCATACAACACTACACTGCTGAGCTATCCCAAAGCATGCCAAGGTCTTGTGCCAACTTCCAGTGCTGATCTACACATGCCACTGGATAGGTGACATCTCACACTAGGCCACTCCAGGTACTACAGGGACAATTTGATTGTGGCCTACTCATGTGTTATTTGATAATAGAAGCTGGGCTGGTCCATACAGCAGGGGGATGACTCAATGTAGGGCTCAACCTCCACTGGCCTGTGGGACATGGCCAATTGTCAGCCTCCACTGGCCCTGTCATACCACATAGTGTAGTCACATTTAGTCACAACACATGGGCAGCCTGTGTGCCAAAACACCAACACTTATATAGACCCCAAGATGGGCCTGCCTAAATAGATTAGCCAGTACACATGGACAGGCCTGAGGGACTACAGTGAGAGCAACATATGTACAGGCCTGTAAGTGCATTACCACAACATATGGGAGGGCCTGTGGTGGGTAAGGATGTTGAAACATTTAGATGGGCCCATGACCAATTAAGTATATTGAGTTGCTGTAAGACATGGACAAGCCCATCCTGGTAGGTTACACCCCTGTTGCAACATCAAGGTGGACCTGCCTATCATAACATGGAGAGGGTCACAACATAAGGACAGGCCCATCTATGATTAGAATACAAAGTTGGCAACATATGGATGGGCCCAGGAGTAATATCATTTATGGTGTTGCAACATCTAGACAGGCCCATTCATAATAAGCAGTACCCCTGTCACAACATAAAGATGGGCCTGTCAACAGTAAGATGTACTGCTGTTGAAACATAAAGACAGGCTCATCACTAGTATCATTTAATAGAGTCACAGCATAAGGTTGGGCCCATCAGTAGTATTATGCAACATATGGATGGTGTCATGCTTGTGCATTCATCCTAAGTCCTCACTCACTCTGCACCCCTTTCTGCCAGTCATTCACTCACTAATGCACCAACTCTGCCCAACTTCTGTTGGTTATGAGCCATCTCTGCTCCAGCTGCTTTTGGACTTGCACTGCTCCCCTACCAGACTGAACAGACTGTTCTCTGAGGAGTCATGTGACTACCTTTGGACTCCTCCCTGACAGCTTGCAGTCAGGTACTCTGCAGCACGTGCACCACATGGTCCAGCACCTGGACTGTTTCCTTTTCTGGATGTTCTATGTTACCTGTTTGTATGCCCTCTGTCTACCCTTCATTCATCATCTAGGAAGTTTTACTTGAAAATTGCTGGGTCTCCATATGTCAGTTCTGATTCCAGTTACTGTACCTCCATGGTAGTATAAAAGCATGTATCATACTCTGTCATTCCTCAGTACAAATATCAACTTAGTTCCTACTCCCTCTGTCTCTGTCTTCTGCCTGTCAGAGTTACCTCTGACTGTCCATCTGTACTCCCCCTCTGAAATACAAGGGCTGAGATCGTGCAAGGGGGTAGCACATGAGCTAAACCCAATGCCCTCACATTGCTCCACCCTTACCTTGGTGGATTTCATTCCTGCCAACACTCTGCCAGTCAAAGTTCTGCTCTTTCCATTGGACTTGCTCCTGAACCTCTCCCTGGACCTCAACTAGCATTGGAGTTGGTCAGAGTAGGCCTGGACTTGACAGTATATTCATACTTGCACTTGTATGATCTTGTTTTCTGTCTTCTGAAAAACTTACACCATTATGAGAACTTGAGCTCAATCCCAAAGAGAGGTTGCTGAGAACCTCACTGTTGTGCTAGCTAATCTGCATCGACTCCCTTCCATCATTGAACAGTTCCAATCATTCTCCACTCAACACCGTTCTCACACTGAAGGCAAAAGCACTTTGCAGGCTGGTCACTCCAACCTCCACCCAACCACTTTCCATACTCCATCTCCTCAAAACTGAGATGATGGACCCAACCCTGATGACCCTGATGGTGATCCTGACAGCGGGGGCAGCAGTGATGGGGATATCCCTGAAGACCTGGCTGAGCCACTGGAGGATCCCCTCATGGCTCTTGCTAGAGCTGTCCATGCGCTTGTGTGGTCTAGTTCACACACTGGGGACTCCACTCTGAAAACCAAAGTCTGTAAGCCTGACACTTTTGACAGCTCCGACCCTAAGAAACTCTGTGAGTTCCTTGTACAATGCAAGCCGAACTTCCAGGACCACCCCCATGCATTCCACTCTGACAGAGTGAAGGTTACCTTTGCTCAGTCTTATCTTAAGGGTATGGCCCTGGCTTGGTTCGAGCCAGACCTATTAAACCCTGACAATTATGACCACCCACTCTGGATGGATGACTATCACAAGTTCTTACAAGAGCTCACAACTAATTTCAGTCCACATGATGCCATAGCAGATGCCATCCAACAACTCGAGAACCTTACTATGAAGGATGGCTCTCAAATTACCAAATATGTCATGGAGTTCAATTGCTGGGCTTCACAGGTCAAGGACTACAGTGTTGGTGCACTCTGCCACCACTTTTATAACAGACTTCCAGACCACATCAAGGATGAAATCACTCGTGTAGGAAAACCTTCTACCCTCACACAACTCTGCAAACTCACTCAGACTGTCGATGCATGCTACTGGGAGCATAAAGCAGAGATCTTGCATACCACCAAGTCCACCACCAACAAGTCGTAGCCTTCCAGCTCCAACAACAAGTCTAAATTGTCATCCTCCACCTCTGCTCCAAAGTCCAATGCCAAGGGCAAGGGCAAGCAGAAAGATCTGCCCAAGTCCAATATTGCCCATCTTCTGGGCAAGGATGGCAAACTCACCTCTGCTGAATGCCAGCATAGGATGAAGAACAACCTCTGCCTCTTCTGTGGAGAGGCTGGCCACTCTGCTAAGGACTGTCCCAGTCTACCTCTTGTGCAGCCAAAGCCTGTGCAGCTATGGCTGGGACTCTGCCTCCTCTGCCCATGGAGAAGGCAGAGCCAAAAAATTAGTCTGCTCCTCCAGGGAGCTCACACAGCCTGGAGGAAGTGTTGATCCCAACTGTGCACAACTGGACATCTGACTCAACACATCCACTCTCTCTAGTCCCAGTTCTTTACTTCCATCTGTAACTCTTCTTGGTTACTCTGTTGATGCTGTTTCTGCATTGATTGACTCTGGCTCTTCTCATTGTTTTGTAGACCCATCCATAATCAAAAAATATGCTATTCCTGTTTCCTCCATTTCCCCACCAGTTCCACTCTGCTTGTTTGATGGTAGTACAAATGCTGTCATCTCCCAAGAGGTAGATCTATCCCTCTGCTTTCCTTCTGGTGATGTCAACTCTGTTTCATTTTATGTTACTCCCTTGGATTCTTCATGTTTGCTGGTATTAGGACACAACTGGCTCACCCACTTCAATCCATCAATTGACTGGGTACTGGGCAGTATATCATTCAGACCATCATTACAGGGAATGCTGACACCCCAGGTGCCTTCATCACCTTCCACTGCAACCTCTGCTCTGTCTGCACCTCTGACAGACTCACCATTCTCCACTCTGCTTGTCTCACTCATCAATGCTGCTGCATATGTCAGAGCCTGTGCTCTCCCTGGCTCTAGACAGTTCCACTTACAGCTCTCCACTGATGATGTGAAGCTTTGTGTGTCCTCCACTTCCTCTCCACCTCCTGACCTCTCCTCAGTCCCTCCTGAGTATCATGAGTTTGCTGACATCTTTAGTAAAGACAAGGCTACTGAACTTCCACCACACCATTCGTTCAATCTCAAGATTGACCTCGAGGAAGGAGCTTCTCCACCCATTGGCATGATCTACTCTCTGTCTCTGCCAGAGCTTGAAGCTCTCCACACCTTGGCTACAGTTTCATCAAGCAGTCCACCTCCACTCATGGTGCCCCTGTCCTCTTCATAAAGAAGAAGGATGGTTCACTCCACCTCTGTGTAGACTATTGAGGACTCAATAAAATCACAAAAAAAGATTGCTATCTGCTGCCACTCATTTCCAACCTACTTGACTCCCCAAGCCACACTAAAGTCTATACCAAGATCAATCTCTGCCATGCCTATCATCTGGTCTGCATCGCAGATGGAGATGAATGGAAAATGGCTTTCCACACTTGCTATGGTTCTTATGAGTGGCAGGTAATGCCATTTGGTCTGACTAATGCACCTGCAGCTTTCCAGCAATTCATTAATAGCATCTTTGCAGACATGCTTGATGTCTGTGTCATGGTATACCTCAATGACATCCTAGTTTATTCACAGGATGTGGAGTTGCACCGTGAACATGTAAAAGAGGTACTCCACTGCCTTCAAAAGCATGGTCTTTATGCCAAGCTGGAGAAGTGTGAGTTTCACTCCAACTCTGTTGAGTACCTCAGTTATGTTCTTTCTCCCTCTGGTCTCACCATGTCCACTGAGAAGGTTCAGGTGGTCCACAACTGGCCTGAGCCGCAGAAGGTGTGAGACATCCAGTCTTTCCTTCGCTTTGCAAACTTCTACAGACAATTCATTAACAACTACTCTGACATCATCATTCTGCTCACTCACCTCATGTGAAAGGGTGCTCCTTGGAACTTTTCCAAGGAGTGTTGCTCTGCCTTCCTCTGCCTGAAGGATGCCTTCAGCTCTGCTCCTGTCCTCACACACTGGGTTCCTGATGCTCTGCTTACAGTTGAAACCAATGCCTCTGACTATGCCATTGCTGGCATTTTGTTGATCACCTGCTCTGATGGTGAACTCCGCCCAGTTGCTTTCTACTCCCACACCATGGCCACACCAGAACTCAACTACAATACCCATGACAAGGAGCTGTTGGCTATCTTTGAGGCTTTCTGCCATTGGCAGCATTACCTAGAAGGTTCCACCTTACCTGTTGATGTGGTGACAGACCACAAAAACCTTGAGTATTTCTCCACCTCTAAGGTCCTCACTCATCAACAGGCCT